AAAAAAAGGATTTCTAATTAAGTATATAAAAAGAAAATACAAAAAATTACATACCTCCCCCCTAGCTAGTTAGCTCGATAAAATGATATCATTTCTACATACCTAAATTTAAAAACCACACATTACATTACATGCACCACGCCGATCGATACATTTTTCTAAGTAGCTCTTAATTCATTGTAATTATGTAATCCTGCATATACAAAATACCTACTTAACTATTAAGTATGTAAAGCATATGTGGGTTCCCTTCCAACATTTTGTAAAATGCCCAGTTTGCCTAACTATTGCATACCTGTTACTTAAACTTTACAATCGTCCATACAATCGGCCAGGCTTTTTTATTCAAACTTGCAGTAGGCCCGCACACCCACGAGGACCCCATATACAGGGACGGTCTAGAATCGGCTAGAATTATAGAAAAAGAAGAGGGGGAGGGAGGGGTAACTACGAAGAAAGTTCTCCCCAGCCAGACTTGCCCAGGGGCCGGGCAGGCTGGTTTACGAGACAAAGACTTCCCCATAAACAAAAGCTCCCATTGGGAGAATGGGAAAAAGAGAAATAAGCTCCTGCAGCCCGGGAGTTGATAAGAAAGAAATTATTAAGAACATGTCGATATTTTAAGAGGGCGGAAAAGAGGGAGAAGAAGAAGACGACAAATAGAAATCCATAACCATCAAAAACGCCGGATCGGACCACAGAAAAGGGAAAAGTACAAATTCTTTATCGCCCCCCCTGTTAATACTATTTCCAAATAATTGAAAGTCACCTCAAAGACCAATCGCCTGTAAAGAACTAGAGGAAAAACGTGCAAAGAAATCTTTAACCCCCCTTGAGCCCCTCTTCAACCCCACCAATATCCATAGGCACAACGCCACCTTTATCTTTGCCTTCATCAACAGCTACCCCTTCACTCTTCCTTCCTTCGCCGAGATCCCTACAAAGCGCCTGCATCCAATCCATCCTATCTTCTCTTACGTAAACAAGGAAGTATGGTCCTCCATCTGTTCCACCATCCTTGCTCTTTCCTCTAAATATCTCTTCCTCATCAACGGCTTTCGATACTGTCGTGTCATTATAGTTTCTCCAAATTTTGTTATAATGATCATAGATGTAGATCCAATAATGACCAAAATTGACAGAGCCTAGAATATTCCTTAGGTTAAAAACGTTACCCCTCTCGAAAGAAAATGAAGGGAACATACCTCTGTGCATGAAAATGGAGTGAATTCTATATCCATACTTCCTTAAGTCGGTGAATTGCTGGTTCAAATTTCCCTGTAGCTCTTTGATCCTTTCGTTGATGTCTAACCCCCCCAAATTTTACCCCATTAGCACCGCCCCCACCATTTCGTATAGCTTTTGTGAGAAGTTAAAGAGAAGAAGAAAGAAAACTTACACCTCAATTCTCCGCCGACCCTTTCTTTGTGATCTTCCAACTCCACCAATAAGCTAGAGGGTATCACGACCATATCCTCATCCTCACCAAAGATATTATTAATCTCACCTAAATATCCCTTGGTAGCCTCCAAAGCCATTTGAATCTTCAGTCCCTCAGTTTCTTCTTCCAATTCTGTCTTCCGCTTTTCAAGCTTCTCCAATTCCGCCTTCCATTTCCAGCTTTGCTCCCTTCTCGCCATCAACCCCTTATCGTCACCACTAGCCATATACCTATCCAAGAAAATCCTTTCCCCAAAGGTCAACGGCGCATTACTCTTATAGCTAGATTTCGTAGCTCGGTTGAACTGCACCCGCTGGATCTGGATCTGTAGAATCGATGGTAACGCTGTGATCGATAGATATCTGCGTGCAAGTTTGCCTTCCAACTCGACAACTGACGCATCAAAATGCCCATCCATAGCCGTATAGATGTCCCGCCCAACTTCTCCAACATCGATCATCAGGTTTGCAAATCGTTCTTCTTTATCTCTTGTCTCCGCTGGTGCCGAAAACTCCAATGTTTGTCGAGTTTTCCCGTAAAACAGGGTTTTGATGATATCCAGCTGCTCTCCATCAGGCTCTGTTCCTTCTGCCTTCAACGCCGCCTCAAGTTGAAACATCACATTCTCAATACATTCTGTGACATCTTGTTGTCTTCCAAATTCGAAAGATTGCGGCGCAGAAACAGCGGAAGCGGAAACGGCAGTCTTCTCCTTCGGCCTTGGGGGAATAGGTGGTGGACGATCAGGAATAGGAGGTATAACTCTCATTCCGCCTTTCTCAGGTGCCGTAGGTGGCATTGGTGCATCCTCCATACTCTCATCCTCAACCTCTCTTTGCAACAATGGAACTGCACTGTCGCTGTCATCATCAAGATTCATAGCATCCAACGCCGATATTCCCCTGCCTGGTATTGGCTTGGGGGCATGTATCTTAGGCCCGGGTTCTTCCTCTTCAATTTGTTTTCCTTTACCTTTGATATCCCCACTAGGATCCGGAGCACCGGGCTGACCGTCGACTACTATGTATCCCTGGTCCTCGTATGCAGGCGGTTCCTGATTTTCCCCTACGAGAGTAATATCGCTAGACTGGTCATCCGCGTTAGTAACACGGAGCCGTGGCGGTTTCTCATCGATGTCCATGGAGAAGGCTAGCGGTTCCTCATTTTCAATTACCGTGCCAGGTGGTAACATGGGCCCGATGAACCCAGCGGGCCGTTCGTCGTTAAAAGCGACGGACCTCTTCCGAGCAGATACCTCGTGATTCGCACTATTCAAAGCAAGCTCTGAAATTTCCTTTTCCGGTCTGACGTAGGTTTGTTTGCTTGTGACCATCTCGCGGAACAAGCCTTTGAGGCCGTGGGTTACTAGCGGATATGTGAGTATTCCTGAACTCGTTAAAGGAGAAATTTGGGGATGGCTTACATTTTTTCGCCCGTTCAATTTCAGTCATAGTGACTTTCCGGCCACCAACTTGCTTCCGTTCCAATAGTTCCTCAGAAACTTCATCTTCTTCGTGATTGTCGAAGTCCATAATAACATCTCTTAACGGCTTGATAGTGAAGTAATATTGCAACAAACTGTTGAGGTAACATGTGTTGCCCGTATTTTCTAAACCAACTGGCCAGTCCGCCATTCCGTCTGTGAACAAGAGTTTGCTGCCCGTCTTGATATAATGCCTAGATTATGTCTTTAGTAAAAAGTTCTATAATGGTTGATGATGATGATGTAAAAGGTGCGACGCAAAATGGGCAACAAATTGCTGTTGTAAAATATTACGGGTGGTATATAGGAAGAAGGGAAACACTAACTCCAGAGCTCTACTCTGTCGCTTATCCGCAATCACTTTCAAGGCGCTTCTCAGCGTTGTCCGGTTATTCTGGGTAACTCCCCCCTAATTACCAAAAAAGTAAGATTAGTGCCATGTATCTTTCAAGTTACCATGCGCAGATCGAGAAGCAAAGATCTACCTCGTAGTACTGAACAACAGTGTCGTCAGACATTTGTCCATTGACACGAAGGCGTAGAAGAGCGGTGTCGTAGTCCATTAACTCTAGACCTTGGTCGTGAGCGTCACACATGCTTATTAATTTGGGGGCTTTCCGGTTATCTGCGATAACTCTTAAAGCAGCCCAAAGATTGGTAGCATTATTTGGATTTTCGTTGAGCTATATCTTCCTCGTTAACTGCTGTTATTCTTTGTCAAGACGTGGGGGAAGATGACCAACCTGGTAGTGGAAGATACTAGACACAAAATCGGCATCGACGTCGGATCCGATACCCAGCCCGAGTACATCGTAGGCTTGGCGTAAATCCATAACAACCTTTTTAGAAGCGTTCATGATCTTTTCGTTTTTTAAATGTTTCCCGATGGTCATCAAGCCCTCTCTCAGAACCATCTCCTGTCTTGGTGCATCGCTTAACCTCGACTGGAAATTTCCAATGATAAAGTTCTCGTTGTCAAAATCAGTCGTGATTCCTAACTGGCTGTAGGCATTCTTGACATCGCTACGTGAGAATTCGCCTTGGGAGCGAAGGGTTGCGACTTGTAGTTGGAGTTCTTCGCTGTGGCGGCCATTGGCAAGTCCGGAGAGGCAATCGAAGTAAAAGGGCCCATTCTCAGGGTCGCATTCCTTTTGGCGTTGATAAGCCCAGAAAAGGATTTCGTCTGAGAAATCTAGATTCGCACCTAGATTGGCATACGCTCTGCTATTATTATTAGCTCTATGTGGGAGAAAAATTGGAAATGGAGAGACCTTACGGGTGTTCAGGTCGGGAGGGATCCACCGCAGTGCGTCTAGAAGCCGGACTTGTTGGATCTATCGATTGTCAGTATCTGTTTTATTTTGCTTCCAGACTCCGGACGGAGGAACTTACAGTTAGTCGCACCGAGTAATTTCTTTAGATCAGCTTCCGCATTAATGGGCTGAAATAGATTAGCATCGACTGTGCACGAAATGTTAGTCTCGATATAATCCATTCCTAAAAGGAAAAAAAGTGCCCGGTTTTCTCACTCTCATTTTGTGCCGTTAATATCATCAACTCTAGGTCCCAGTCATCAAAAATCTTCGCCAATTCATCTTGCAAAGGAATTCCATTTCCTGGCTCCTCAGGTAGAATCGGCGGTACCAATGCTTGCTCTTCGTCTATGACGAATCCCAAAATCTCCATCATCTCGTGACACTCATCTCCTAGTTGAGTTAAAAACCTAGTATTCAACCTAGGAATATTCCGTCTTTCTTTTCTCGCAGTAACACCACCGATGACTGTTCTCATAGTCTTCAGTACCATAGCCGGTGTTGGCACGGGTTTCATGACGGGGTTTCTCTCTCCTTCGGGAGCTTTGGGGTCTACGAATGAGTCCGGGTATGTCTCAAAGGCCAGTTTATTTCTATTCCAAAGGATCGTCCCGTCCGTAAGGAGAGCCTGAAACCGAGTGGTTATACGACGGCCTTTGGTAGTAATGGTAACACTGGTTTTACAACCGGCGTTCGTGCAGTCAAAATGGTGGACATCTATGTCGCCGGATATCTCTTCAATCCTGTTTTTATCAATGAAGGGACCGGATCGCGCAGGGTCGTGTCGAAAATGATGAAGGGGATTCTGAGGAGTGGGACAAGTAGAAGCGATAGGCACATTGTCAGCATATCGGAGACGGATTTCGACGTGTTGGCGACAGATTTGGCAGACAGCTGCGATAATATGGGTTGCACCTGCTTCGATAGGATATGATCGCGGGGTGCTTTGGTTCGGTTTGAGAATGAAACGGTGAGGGTGGCCAGAACGTTGATAGAGTTTCTGGGCTTCTTCCGAGTCATCATCTGGTGGGAATGAGGAGAGGACATTGTAGCCTTTGTTATGAGGATTGTAGGTTACGATGTCACTGAAGAGACGTGGGGAGGATTTGCCGGGGCCCTGGCGGGGTGGGCCGGTGGATGTGGCGGTGTCCACCAGCATTGTGAGTCGACTACAAGAACTTTAATTCAATATCTCGACGGCGAATTGGCTGAAAGACGCTGGTATAGTCGTGAACAACGGCGGTGAAGCGTAACCGGTGTAGTGCTGCGGTGGTTGTCGTGATACGTGTTTCGTGAAGGATGTCGTGGGGAAGGCTGGTGGGTTGGTTTTCGATATCGTTTATCTTGGACTTTCTTAGTGGGTAGCTACCTACACCTAACGTAGCTAACTAGCATGAGCTAAAAGTAACGAACAAGAAACTATTATTCGATAAATATCTTGTGATTTCGGAATATAAGAGGGTTTCAAGGGTGTTTAAATCTAGGGGATGAGGTTGAAGTTATATGTAGTTCTGAAAAAGCCATGGATATCACATGGAACGTGGATGGAATGGAATGCAGTGCGGTGCGGTGCCATGGAGGGCTGGATGAGATGACGAAGCACGTTTCGCGGTCCGTGGCAAGCCCGCCGGTTAGCTTCGTGAGCTAGCTGCGTAACACATTCCTGGCCAACCAAATTGGGACATCCCACACGCAACACACTCCCAAAACTAGTGACAGTTAAAAAGTAAGGTATACTGTCCCCCCCTCTAGAACTACCTTGCGAGCAAAATTGTTAACACTTGATAGTGGGTCGATGCCACACTCAATTAGTCGAGAATTGAATAAGTGCTGGGCAGTAGATTTATTTCCCTCTTCAAAAATAACACACTTCCGAAGCACTGGGATCCTACCTTAAGCCATCTCGAGCCCTTAAGGGATATCTCAATTTTCCTTCCAATTTGTCAAATATTAGCCCTCACGCTCAATTGGCCAATCACACCTGCGTTTTCCGAATAATTCAAGGAGCTTGGTGAAAAACATCGAATCACAGAGAATGAAGAGCAGTAGAAATAGCTACCTATTTCCATACTTACCTACTATACTTGCTTATGTATAATATCACTCCCTCGAGAACAACCTTGCAACTTCTCAAAGAACCTAAGCTCTCCTAACACAATCTGCAACCAAATACAACGTTCTCCACATATGCACATGGCCGTCTCCATGTCCTCCGATTCGAATCTAGATATATCTGGAAATTCAATATCAATACTGCACGATCTAACCCCTCAGTCGATCTTTCACCCACATACCTCTTCACCCTCTCACCCGTATTACAAATTTTATAAACAAAATACCGCCTCGTTCTCAGGCGTCATAAAGAGTGGCATCAAACGACTGAATCTAGATATAACTCTATTTCGTTGCAAGGAAAAGAAGGTATAACCCCGCGAACGAATCCCAACCTTTTACACTATCTCTCATGGCCCCACCACTCTACATTTATGTGGAGGATCTAACTCATCTTCAACGATAATACACCTAATACACCAAATCTCACCCCCAGTGCACAGAAGAAAAGTTAGATCGATGGCTACTAAAGCCTAAGGACCAAAAACAAAGCAAAGAGATGCATAATGAACCATTTTAGGTGTAACAACAACAAACCGTTCCATCAACTGAACAAAATACGAGGCAGAAATACGACTTGGCAAGTCGTATTATGAGCAATGTTCGTCAATAAACATTTCCTCAGCTTTCTATGTCGAAAATATATACTCTTCCGAGAGGATGGTAAATCCCAAATGGATGGAGGTACTTCTGTCCCACCCTAAAATAAATCTATCTCGCTACGTAACCGTCAGAGCTCTCTTAAATCTTAATCAGAAATTTCAATTTAAATCTCTTGTCTAAATTATATATTATAAAGTCAGCTACCTGGCTAGATATATACACCCATGCTACGAAGCTGCTACAGCCAAGAAAAACACGCTCCACCAGACAACCTACAGAACCGGAACTATGTCGGTAAGAATTTCAAAGATTTCATCGAGAAGAATCGGTATGAGTTTTTAAAAAAGAAAAAAACGTTACAGGGCTCGCATCATAAAATGGTATTCAAGAAGTAATATTAATATCCACCTAAGCATTTAAATCTCTATCATATGAATCCATCACCACCTATAAATATAACGACAGCAACATCTCTACTCACATACTCTCTTGATCAGGTCTCAAAACGAAAACAGAGAGCCTGAAGAACCCCACCTATTATTGTAATAACAATTCCATCTCTCCCATTTAGTGGAGATGAGGTATTCCAAAATAACCATACATTAGATGATAAACCAGGCACCGAGACCATTCTTAATTTTACGAGGGACACCGGGGGTAGCATATGATTGATTACAGATGCATTTGCTAAAAGTATGTGCGCTTGTTGTGGGTATTTCATCACTTGCAGATTCTAGCTACATTCTTAACATGTAGATTCCAAATGTATTGTATATAACATGTATCATAAATCAATACAGATCCCGAATTTATGTCGCATATATAGTAAAGGACATTTGTCACTATTCAATTCTATCAAGTTTTACATCGATCGAATCCGCGGAACTATTATCCGTATGGCCATGGGTGCATATATGAGTTTTCGTGATCTGTTTACCGTAGTACCTTCTAGTATGATATATAACCCCATTGTACAGGGGATGTATCAGCCTCATACCAAGCATGCAACTTTAAAACCCCTTTCACCGCCTTGCTAGTAGATAAGTATTTAAACACTTAGTCCGATCAAGTAAGTAGCTATAAACCGACATGCAAGTGAGCCAATAACTCACCCGCCCCAAAACCACTTTAACCATGCATCTAAACCCCGTATAAAACTCCAAACAATATTATTCAACCCTCCCAAAAACCTCTTACTCCCCCTCCACATCCCCCGCCTTAATAACAACCTCCACCAACCTCTCCGCACACTCCAAAACCTTCCTAACCACCAACTCCGTCAACCTCACATGTGAAGTCTGCGCCTCAACATCAACCTCACCATCCTCATCATGAAAAATCTTATTCGCCTTATTCACAATCCCCAAATACTCATCCCTCCCTCCCCCAGCCGTACTATCAGTCTCCCCCTCATCCCCAATACAAGCCACAAGTCCCGTATACCTCATCAAAACCCCACTCAACAAAATCCTACAAACCCTCCCATTCCCATCCGCAAAAGGATGAATATTCACAAACCTCGTACACAACCACGCCGCAATCTCAAAGGGATCAATAACATCAAAATTCCCTATCTCGGCTTCTCCGGTCAAACTTTTAAAATCTTCAACCATATCCGTCATATATTTAGGAACGGCGGTTGCTCGTATGAATATTGATTTTTTTTGAAGTCTTGAAGGGTTTATATTTATAGTGGGGGGTATGGATGAGGCGGCGATTTCGTGGGTACGGTAGATACCGGCCCATTCTTGCCAGGGGGTTCCGTCGGAGTGAGTGGTTCCTTCGCAGAGGATTCGGTGAGTTTGGAGGATTAGGAATTCGGTTAGTGGTTCTTCTTCGATATAGAATTTTTGGAGGAAGTAGGTTAGGGCTTTTGCGTGTTGGATTACTTCCATTCCTCCCTTTTTGTCGACTGCGGTAGTGGTAGTACCGCTAGTGTTTTCGTCTGTTGTGGTAGTGGTGGTGGTGGTTTGGAGGGTATTTAAGATCTCTTCGGGAGATACATATTCATTAAAGAGTTTTGTACAAATAGCCGTGGTGGTAGTATAATCCGTACCGGCGTATTCGATAAAATTTGAGCCGTAGATGAGGTTGATTAGTTCGGTTTGGATGGCTTGGGAGAGGGGTTCTTCTGGTGTGTATTTGCAGTGGGAACGGATTGCGATCATGAGGGTTATGGCTCTTTCGTAGGTGTCGTTTAGGGTGTCTGTTGAGTTTGGATCAGATTTGTAGAGGGACGGGTGGCGGGTGGTGGTTCTGCCTGAGACTAGGCTTTTGAATTCGGGGAGTTGGTGGGATTTTGCGGCGAGTTTGAGGGGGAAGTTGAGGGTTTCGTGGTCCATTTTTGTATTTTATTTTTTTTGAGTTTTGGGTTTTGAGTATATTCGGTTGTGATATAGAGGGACTTGAGTCTTTCTGGTGGATATATATCTGGATAAGTATATCTTCTTTGTGAGTTTTGGGTATACCTATATTCCGTGACTTTTGAAGTTATAGAATGGAGATGAGGATGTGTAAATACTTCTTTTTCACCAAATACATAGCGATTCTATTATATATTTATTTAATAACTCCCTACTATTTTTCTCTCTTTTCGAGTCTTTAGATATGTATGAAACAGAATCATCTGTTTTTAAATAAATACATTATTTATTATACGAAGTGAGAAGAGGGTTTCTCTGCAGATTCGTAGATCTAGTTTCTTCTTATATTTATATTCTAAACGAAGGGCAGCACGTGTTGAGGATGTTGCATTTTGCAAACAGTTGTATGGAGGATAAGATATATACGAAAGGCGGGTTTGAATTGATTACTTAACTACCTAGACATCTAGACTGATTCTGCAATATCCAAGATACTAATACTCTAACATCATCTATCGAATTTAATTTAATAAAATATAATAAAATAAATATCACTAGTTTATCCTTACCTTCAACATCTCCATTCTCGTGGTAACGCATATGGTTAAAAGTAAAAAGAAAGAGCGTCGCCCAACAAGGAGCAACAACCGAACCAATCACAACCCTCCCAAAACCTCATCCAATGAACACCTCCCAATCCCAATCCGCCAACCTTTCACGACAATTCTAACATAACTGAACCGACCTACTTCGTCACCGCCCTTCACCACCCCTCCACCCGAGCGCCGGTCCTCCACCCCCCTCCGACCTCACTCAATGCTCACCCTCCACTAAACACAATCTCCAACCCCAATCGCCCTTTAAACCACGACCACCATATAAAGCCTCCAACCCCCGAGAAACCTATACCACCCACCCACCCACCCTCGCCTTAAACTCTGAGAGACAGAGAAAGAAAGAAGAAAGAAATGGCAGAACAAACACCCTACCACCCACGCGATGCAATCTCCAGCACCACAAATGCCGTATTACTCAACGGAGCAGCCGGGGTGTTGATCTCCGGGGTACAGAATACATTGGCGAAGGAGAATCGAGGGTTATTTGGGTTATTTACAAAGACCGGGGGGACGATTGCTATGTTTGGTTTGTTCTCCTCTCTCTCCCTCCCTCTCTTTTCATTATTATTACCATTTATCTTTATCAGGTTGGGGGTTATTGGAAGATTATTAACCGTATGTGTATAGCTGCCGTGGGTGGAACATACGCCTTCATCAAAGACGCCTCCGCCAATCTACGAGAAACAGATGATCCCTGGAACGCCGCTTTGGGTGGATTCTTCGGTGGTGCTTTACTCGGGATCAGAAGTATATCCTCCTGAAACCACCGCGAACACAAAAAAGAAGTATATTAATATATTTTTAAAATATAGCCGGCAGGATTCCGTACGTCCTAGGTTTCGGCGCCGGTCTAGCAACTCTAGTCGCCTCGTTCGACGCCGGCGGAAACCACTGGAGAGGAGCTAAATGGCGTGAAGGGTATGTAGACGACGTTGCCAGACGGGAGGCGATTAGATCGACGAGGAGGAGGGCTTATGAAGAGACTATTGAGGAGATCGGGGAGGGGAGAGGTAAGCTTTTTCTTTCCTTTTAATTATTAATATATATTAGAGGGAGAATATAGTGCTAATGGACATGATATGGGGGGAAAAGGGGTTTACGGACCTGGATATGCGGAACGGAGAGCGGCGAGGTTGAAGGAGAAGTATGGAGTTGAAGTACCGTTGGAGCATGAGAAGCCTTATGCGTATTAGATATGTGTATATTTGAGACTTATGAGGGGGGGTTGTACATATTTCTTTTTTTTATATACTTTTTTTATTTATTTAGTTAAAAACAGCGGTTATTTTGAATATACATACCTACTTTCATAACTAAGTACTGATTTGGGATAATTATGGTTTGTAGTTGGAGTACTGGTGATTGGTGATGCCACAAGCGCATTAAACTTAGGTATTATCGATCTCCACCCGAATATAAAAATATACGCGACAAACCCCCCAACCTTCTTCATACAAACAAACTCCGTAATATCTTATACTACTTCAAATAGAAAAGAGGAGAAAGAAAGAAAGAGAAAGAAATGGACGAAGAAGCAATAGACCTCAAACCGATCTTTCACAAATCCTTCAACGAAAGTATCCTCTCTCTCTCCTCCAAAATCTCAAACCTTACTTCTGTACGATCATCACAACAACAAACCGCCATCTCGGACGTTTTGTCCAAAATCAGCGAGTTGACGTTGGAGCTCAAGGATGCGTCGAATTACCTTCCGGCGTACGATCAGAAGGTTTACTCTGAGGTATTTCTTCCCCTTTCTTTTAAATGTCACTATTTTTTTTATTAAATAAGGGAAGAGTGGGGGACTGATATATTTTTTGTATTATAGCAACTAAAGGCGATAACAGAAGAATTGAACGTCGCCAGAAAATCGGTGGCCCCGCGGAGTAAATTCTCATTCAAGAACCGACGGACAGGATCCTCAGCGGCATCAGCATCATCAGATACAACCCCAGCTATATCCACCCCTCGAGAACCAGCACCAATACCATCATCATCGTCAACGTCAACGTCAACATCAACATCATCAAACCTCCAAACAATCTCCCTAACCTCCCTAACCTCAACCCACACCACCCCACCCCCACCAACCCCTCAATCCACAATCCTCTCTTTATCCTCCCTAACATCCTGCATCATAACCCCTCCCCCACCATCTTCTTCCTCAAATTATTTCACAACAACATCCATAAATACAATAAAATCTTCAATCCTCATCCTCCCCAAAATCACAGGTCCAGCACACCTAACATCTCTCAAAAACAGCGTGTTGGTAATATCATGTCACCAGTTCAGATTACACGACAGCAATGATCTAGATGTTTATTTGAGATGTAGGAGTCGACCGATTATTGAAAGATGTAAGGGAATCAGAGTATCCTTCCTTCCTGAGGTTTTAAAGACTGTTTTAGATGGTGGTGATAATAAAGAAGAAGATGAGGTAGAAGAGGATAAATGGAACCAAATCGATGATTTTAATTGGTTGAAAGAAGGTAGACCGTCTCCCAACTGGAGGGTTTTAGAAGAAGAAGAGAAGATTGGGAGGGAGATGTGGGAGAGGGTATTAGAGGATAACAGTGGAGTTGGGGATGTGGGTATTAGTGGACTTTTGCCATAGAAATATAGAGATATATATATACAATTTTTATGATGATGATTATAATACAGTTTTTGTTTTTGTTTTTTGTTAGTGTTCCCAGCGGATGAAGCCTTTCCAACTGTTGAGGTATGCGGTCAACCAGTTTCGTTTGGGAGCTTGGTCGAGTTCAGCGATCAGACGGTTGTAGTATTCCGGGTCGAAGCCGGGTTCTGCGAGGGATTTGACGGGATACTGTGTTATTCATTAGCATCTGTTAAGATATGCTCCATAGAAAGATTATATAGATAGTATAGTGTATATAGAATAGAGAATACCTTCTTCTGATAGCGATTGTTTACGAGACCTCTCAAAACCCCCCACTGTTTCTCTGGATCGGAAGGTGGATGGTCCTTGTAGACCATTATGGCAGGAGGTAAACCATCCTCGATTTTAGGACGGAATGGTTCGGGACCGGTGGAAGAAGGGTGAAAGTCGGATTCGAGACGGGAGGAGAGGAAGGATGGGAAGTTGACGTCGGGACGGAGGATATCTTTCGGCCAGAGGGAGGGGAGGGGGGTGAAGAACGCCTTTTGCTGTATTATACCACTTTATATTAGTATTTATAAGTACTTATTATAGATGGAAAGAGAGGGAGATAACGTACGGCAGCACGACGGGACATTATGAGGTTGTCATGATAATATGGATTCGAAGGAGAGGATGAAGAAGAAGAAATTGCTTCTTTTGGAATGGGAAGAGAAGAAAGAAAGTGGCTTGGCAACGCAGGTTTTAACTAAGTAACTTATCGACAAGCTTGTAGCCTGTTTAAGCTTATACTGCGGGTGAAAAAGCAATTATACATACTCCCCTCTAGTTTATCACCAGATATTTGAGTCGAGTATAATATGGCATGATATCGGGGGTTACTCTTATATATAAGAGTAAGTACTTAGTTATTGTATGATATGGTAGTATGGAGGTATAAGAGGGGATTTGTATATGGGGAGATTAAGGGGGGGGGTTTCTATTCCGTATGATGTGATGATATGATATCAGATGGAATCCATCTGATTATCGATACCATTACCATCACTACCAGATCATGACTCTGTTTCTTATGAGTGACAGGTATCATCATACAAACAGTTATAAGTTATATCGATAAGATATAAGAATAGAATTAGTATAGAATATAAAATATAAAATATAAAATATAAAATAGATACAGAGGTATATAAGTAAGTAAGTAAGTATATATAGAAGAGACGGAGAATAGAATGGAATGGAAGAGAGAATTACCCGGGAATAGTCGCAGCCAGGCCCCCCCCGGCCATAGTTTAGGTGCACACGGGCAGCCGAGTTAGTTAATATGTACGGAGCATGTATGTAATGTACGGCATCGCATGCTCTCCCAAATGGAACAGACAGATTTGCTTCTTTTTATCTTTTCTTTGCTTTTCTTTTTGATATAGTTAAAACCGCCCTTAGTTAAGAAAAAGAAGTAATACTTAGTAGAGTATGTAATGGTGAGAAGAAGTATGTAACTGGCCACAAATAACGTTCACACTTTTTTGTCTTGTCTTAACCGTACTGATTGATTGACTTGACTTGACTTGATTGACTCGACTTGATAGAATTGATTGATTGATTGATCTTTTAAATCCCTCTTCTCCCTCTTCTTTCTTCTCCTCTTTTTCCTTTCTTTTCCCTCTTTTTCTTTCTTTCTAATTAATATTCTGTCTATTCTTCTTGTATCTTAAAAAAAAAGATACTCGTTTAAAAGGAAGAGTTCCTTATTTTATACTTTTTTTATACTCGCCTTGAATCGACGCCCACATTCTTCTCCCTTTCCACCCCCCCGGCAGTTGGCAGCTGGCTAGTCGAACACACAAAACCCTTTGAAGCCCGAAAAACCATCATCATCGTCATCACTTTCTATCAACAACATCACCACTTTTTCTTAATCGACACCACCACCGCCACCACCAACCACCACCACCACCACTATAGATATCAACCACCCTTCTTCTTTTATTTTATTTACTTTATACTTTATAAAATAAATAAAAAATAAAAATAAAATAATAAAATAAAATAAAATAGTTTTTATTTTTTTTTATTTTATTTTCTTTTTAATAAAAAAAAAAAGGGTACTTGGGGGTTGACCGAATCGCGTCGATGTCTTACGACGGCAGCCCCGGCCACGGCCATCGGCATCAATCCTCGCCATACTCCAACGGCATCAACAACAACATCAACAACAACGACTCCATCACCGTCACCCCTCGTCCTTCTTCTGCTGCTTCACATCGAACCTCTGCTCCTTCCAGACCTGCAGGTATTTCTCTCTCTCTCTCTCCTCTCCTCTCTCTTCCCTTCTTTCCCTCTTTCCCTCTCTAATACACACACACACACACATTCCCCCACACTTGAGTACCTACCTAAGTACTACTCAAAGTACCTAAGTAGGTACATACTCAAGTTATCATGTACCGGTATATACTCTATAACAGCTACTTCTAAAAGTACACCTGCTCTCTCTCTCTCACTTCTGCTTGATATCATTCACTTGCTTTGCGCTTTCTCTCTCTCTTCCCTCATTTTCCATTTTGTCTCTTTCCTTCTTACATCCCCCTCCTAATTCGGTACTTCTTCACCTTCTTTCCCTCAATCATCGATCATCACCTCAATCCAATCAAACCTCATCACCTGCATCATCCCTATCATCATCATCATCATGCCGCGTACTAATCCCTCCCAAGGAACCCGCTCCTCAGGCCGTTTCAACGTCTCAGATCTCGTCGAATCCGATCCCGACGCGCCTTCTCCCTCCTCCAAATCCCTCAAACGCAAAGCTTCTCCCGAACGTTCCTCGAACGATTACTCCCCATATCCAACTCCCGATCATCTCCCCTCCAAACAAAACCGCGCCTCCGCGTCCCCCGCCCTCTCCGCCCTCCTAAATGGTTCCCCTCCGTTACGTCCCACCCAGGGTTCTCCGATCACAAATCCTCCTCCATCTTCCTTAACCCCTCCGACTATCAATGCTTCCCTCTCTTCTACTACTGCAACAACAACAACAACTGCTACAACAGCAACGACAACTACTCTATCCCCCCCGCAACCCAAAGCAATCACCGAAATCACAAAATCCTCATCTTCAAGCTCAAAACGCACATCAACTGGAGCTGCTGCTTCGGCAACCTCCGCCCCCGCTTCTCCAAAACCCGCCTCTCGCACTACTGCTGTTGTCGCCCCGGCTATCGCAAAATCAGGTGGCCTGTTAGCTGGTACCTTCGGAGACGTAGCATTGGGCGATGACGACCCGGAACCACCAGTCCCCACCGTCGTCCTTCAAATCTCCCTCAATGGCGAAACAAATAAATATATCGACGTCTCGAAACTAGCTGAGGAAAAATACGGCTGGGCAGCTTTGAATCCGCGTTTAGCACGCGCCAAACTCAGACCCGATGCTTCGGGCGATGAAGCCATGATGGATGCTTCCGAATCGGAATCTGCAATGGAAGATAAACTCGTCGGAATGGCCAGTGATGCTGGCATGAGTGGATTGGATGGCAAGGATAAACCTAAAAAGAGAAAGAGAAGGGTTGATGAATATTACGATGCCAATGATCCTTTTATTGATGATTCCGAGATGTTGTGGGAGGAACAGGCCGCTGCTAGTAAGGACGGTTTTTTCGTCTACAGCGGTCCATTGGTCCCCGAGGGCGAGAGACCGCAGATTGAGAGGTACACCCCCCAACCCCCTCTTTTTCTTTTTTTTCTTATTATCTAATACTAACTTATTTTATAGAACCAACGGCGGACCCCCCAAACGAGGCCGTGGACGCGGAGGAAGAGGCGCAGGAACCGGTCGTGGCGGTGGAACCACAGGGAAAGCCACCGCACCCCGAAAACCCCGCGTCACCAAAGCCGTCAAAGAGAAGATGGAGAAGGAAAAGGAAGAAAGAGAGAAGACAGCACTCAAGATGGCAGCTGCAGCTGCCCAAACGGCGGTTCCACCAACTCAAGGACCTAGACCTGTTGCCGTATAATTTTTTTCTTCTCTCTTCTTCAAATATTTTGCGGGGTGCTTTATTTTCTTATTTGTTTTTTAAGTATCAGGCACTGAGGGCTATCATACATCATGGGAGTGTTCTTTTCGTTTCTTTTTTTCCTCTTTCTTTTGTGTTATTTCCGGTACTCTGCTGTTCGATGACTGCTTTTTGGTTTTTACTACTCTCGGGACGACATCAAAATACTCACTTCTTCTTTTCTTCTCCTCATCACGGCGTTTCTGTCTTTTTCTCTCTCTCTCTGCTACTACTACTACCACCACTACTATTATCACTGCTGTCACACAATGTTTATGATACTTTGTTCATAGGGATCGCGTTACATACCTCTCCTTTTTTTTGGTTCTATCAATTCCCTTTGTTTTTTAGTATATGGCGGCGATAAGGGGAGGGAAACTTCTACTTTGAGGAGGTACTCTTTTTTTTTATTTTATCTATTTTATCAAATTCTCTCCTTTTCTTTTCTTTTATATTTTTCTGTTTTTCTTTCAACTAAGTACATTTTTTTATGGGTCTTTTCCTACGGTGCTGTCCTGTTGCATGTTTTTGACTTTGATTTTGATTTTCAACCGGGTGCATAGCTTGCCTCTTTTTCCTTTTTTTCTTCTTTCTTTCTAGCAGATGTTTTTTTTTATAGATTCTAAGCTTCTTCTTTTTTTTTTTTTACTCGATGTTGTTTCTTTTTTTATTTTTACTTTGTTCGATAGGTAATATACATATCTCTCTCTTCACAAAAAAACAATATAATATATTATTTTTTTGTCCTCTAGACTATACATATCAGCCAGAGGTCTGGAGGCGGGGCGGGTACGAGCTCCGAATATATTACAGTTTTCAAAGTGACGAGTTGTCCGAGAGGAGAGGAGTATAGATAAGTAATAAGTAAGTACTTACTTATTCATGGCAGGAGAATTTCCTGGAGCACTATATTTCCCCACTTTTGTCGTTTACAAGAGATCCTGGTTTTCCGAGTAACGTATTGCATGAAACTACCGAAAGATGCCTCTGATTTCATCTCGTAAACCAGAATTTAATGCTGCTGCGCTCTGGTGGCCGTATGCATATCAACCTTATTATTACTGAAGTAATTCTCCAACTTGAAAACAAATGTATATTCGAGTTCCTTTGTTTCTGTCGGCATAAACTTACAGCTCCTGATCGAGCGCTGTGCGAAGCAACAACCTGGAATACATGCACCTAGCCTCTCGTTCGCCGCGTACATACATGCACGTACATACCTTGATCCTCCACCTGAGCCTGGGTAGCCAATCTCTGTGCCACAGGACAGTTATCACAAAATTTCTTTGTAAATTGTAGTCTGGTGGAGCTCCATGTCATATATAATCATATACATAATCGTTGATTCCGCCTACAGGCTTCCACGAAAAAAGCCTTGTGGATCCTTTGTGTAACGCACATACACAGAGGTCGCTTGCTTCAATGCAATACATTCTCCTGTGGGGGCTGTAGGTTGACCCGTAAACCACTCCACAACTTTCTCTGTGGTGATTTGTTGATGCAGGCCAGGCACGCAGGTGCCTAGGTATGGATTCTGAAAAAGTTTGGTCATAGAAATCGGGACTTGCGCTCGCGAGGCTGCGATCTTGAGGGATTGTGTATATATACCCGTCCAAATCTCCTAGACTGCTCTGCTCAGCTCAGCTCAGGAACACCGATATCTACACCCATAAACGATTAGCTTCAGAATTTGCACCCAGTCCACAGCTTGAGTATTATATAATTAAGAACTCGGGAGTAGCCAGAAAATAATAATATATATATATTGTCATGGAATTCGAATCGTCTCAATCATCCACTATGGAATCGCCAGCTGGCCCCTCTGGGGAACCTTCAGCTCCTCTACCAAGCCCTCCTCCTTCAAACAGTAGCGATGAGCCACAAAATCTCACCCATGATAATGATGATGATGATGATGATGATGATGATGATTTATTGGCGCTTGTCAAGGCAATCTTAGGTAGCGATGTTAACTTGGATGTATCTTCAAAACTACTCCAAGCTATTTCCGAAGCTCGGGAAGGTAAACGAGACGAAGATATAGCCGAATTGGTCGAAGAACTTCTACTCGCTCAAGAGTCGAGCCCTTCCGCCAGTACAGAAGCTAAATCCAGTGGCAAAGGCGTTGCAGGAGTAGGAACTAATACCTATGGCGAGTCGACCTTCAGCATTCCGTCGAACTTATATGACTACATTGGAACTTCGGAAGTAAGTATCGAAGCAAATTTCAATATGTCAAATCATCAACCCCATCAGCGAGGCTTCCCAATTCTAACTATCCTAAATAGCCAACATCCCAAAGAAACCCGAGTTTTAAATTTATAAAACGTAACCTCGAGGAATTTCCTTTCCCACCCGCGTCCGCAAGTCTTTATCTTAATAAGCGTGAACTGTTAAACGGCCTTTCCAGGGCACAGTTTGCCACACGAATTCATCCGAACCATATCTTTGGGTTCAATGATAAGGGTCAGCGTAAGTGGTGATCTGTACTTTCATTAAAATTAATAATTCAAAATCCTATTTGTGCGCGCATGCGAATATGTATAGCTCGTTATTTTATCATGATACCGAGACACGTACTATTGGCTCTATTCAATCCGACCCATATTTAAAAATCCGTAAGTTATTAGGTTAGTGGCTAACAACAGGTATATTCACCCAGTCTACGATCACGGGGTTAGGGATCGGGCGTGTTGGAATAAAACCCATCCTGAATCCGGACTCAACCTCGACGCAGGAGTTCTTTCTTTTTTTACGGATTTTGAGCTTGAAACAGTCTTACAGGTATCAATAAGTCGACACCTAACACTATTCATAGAAATAGTTGTAATTTTGCAGCTAGAAGAAAGTGCTAATACAACGTCGATGTTAATGATATAATGTTAGGGTCATCATCCCACCGAGAGTTATCGGTTCTAGTACGTTACTCCCCCATATTCCCACTACAACAATTACGCAGGGCAAAAAAAAAAAAAAACACCACAGTAGTACGATCTAACATATATGCCGATGGATGAATTAATGTTTTAGTATGATATCATTTCTGGAGTTCCTCACTGAGAACTCACTCAAATCGATATTCGCCGGACATGGCTTCAACTTTGAATTTCTCCAATCACTCATACCTCACACCGTCCTTAAGGGTTCTACTGCGGGATATCGGTCCTTAAGCGACGGGAGTGGCACTCCAATGAGTTATGGTAGGTCTAAATTCCTATTTTTTTTCTAAAAAAACGTCTATGGACAGGGACTGTAATTTAGAGATATCCGAGCCTCCTACCAGTAGAAAGTGATGACACCGAATCAAATGATTTGAGTCAAGCTAATATCTAACGGAACAGATATCTACTTCTTACTTCCTTTGAAACAAGTGAGCAGTGGTATAGAATTCTTGGTACCTGCCCTTGGGAGATCTAATTTGCCACGAATTGATCCACGCTCGGCTTTGGATATATATCCAGAAATAGAGAGAAACCCCGGCTCGAAAGTCGCTTTGATCGACATCACTAATCTCGCAATTACATTAAAATATGATGTTGCGACGAGAAAAACGAGTGTCCTCCTACAAACGCCGATGCCCGAATTCGTGTTCCCGTTACTACAAGGAGCTTTTGAAAACTCCCAGCTAGAAAAAGAGGAAGATCAAAGAGACCCTTTTTTCATCCTCGTCTTGGTTTTGAGAAATTGGTTCGAAGTATGGAAGACAACCAAAATCATAGTTCAAGGCATTACGGAATGGCTAGTAAGCTTCCCTTAAAGTCTTTTTGTAAATTTACCCAAAAATCAGAATGTTTTACTGATGCTATCACCCTAATCAATTCTAGGATGTCAAAGTTCAGGACTTCGTTACGTCCAAAGGGAATGAGGTTTTGTATAACGATATTAATAGTAAATTGCATTACACCCATCATCACCTTTCTCAAATAAATGTCGAAATCGCGGAATCGAATTCGATCTTTCAGATGGTCCACGAACAACATACAAATTTCCTAAAATTTACCGGACTAAAATCTGAAATGTCAATCGGGATTAAAGAACAGCTGGCGCGCCTCGAACTAGATCTCAAAATTCTTGAATTCGATTTGCGGCTAGAGCTAGACAAAATAAAAACGTCCTCCACGTGGGTAAGCTTTCATCCGTACCCCTTAGTTACATAAGAAGTCACCTATTAATCAATCCCTTTTCCGATGGCACGGACGTAGCTATCTACCTCAATCTCACTGAAGCACGCTGAGGCCATGAGGATTGCCAACGAAGAGTCACGAAAGGCCTCTCTCGCTTTAAAAGAGAACACAGAAGCCATGAAAGTGATCGCAGAGCTTAATCAACAAGATACTCTGGCCATGAAAGAAAACACAGATGTTATGAAAAATAACGGTACTCTGCTGCGGGAGCTGGCACAAGCGACTCTAAAAAGTAATGAAAAAGTACAGCAAAATGGTGATGCAATGAGGCAAATTGCAGTAGAAAGTCAAAAAATCACCGAAGCAAATAGCAAGGAAACAGAAATAATGACTCAAATTGCGGTGAGCACGCAGAAAGACGGACAATCTATGAAAGTTCTTGCGTTTCTCACCATGATGTATCTCCCCGGTGCATTAGTTTCGGTATGTTTTATATATGTTTTAGCCTTAATCCGTCCTTTGTGTACGTTGCTCGATCGAGCTATATGATCTAACTATTGTTCGTTTTGACAGAGCGTATTCGGTTGGAGTATCATCTCGTTCGAAGTCGGAGACGACGGGATTCAACATCTTGTCATGGCAAAGCAATGGTGGCTCTTCGCCGTATCGACACTGGGGCTTACTGTTCTTACCATGGCTGGGTGTTTCATTTGGATCTGGATGTCTCGAAAGAATTTGACTATCGATAAAGCGAAGATTGAACGCGCGGCTGAGGATGAAAATACAGCCCGGCAAAATACCCCTTAGTTTTTAGTTGGTCGATCACATTGTGCGGGTTTCGCAACGTCAATTGCAATTCACAACATCCAGTTCACGTTGACGGGTAGTTACGGTATATTAGGCGGGAACCATTGATATTAGTTACTGAATGAAACAAAGAATATAACTTCGATATATATAGAGACCTCTTTTATTGATTGGCGGGGGGTTTTCAGCCGTAAAATGTAGTACGTTATAGTGTTAAAACCGTTCGTTATTATAAGACTTTAAACGAGCTACAGGCTCAGGAATACTCCTAGAGTGAAACGAGTCCATCCGTAAACAGCTCCTTCTGCTCCGGAATAACTTCCTAGCTCGTGTTTATAAGTACTTAAGTACTTACCTAGTATGGATTGTGGAGGTTGTGGTGGTTGTGATGGATGTTTGGAGGTTGCAAAGAGCGAATAGTGGTTAATTAGTGTGGTTTTAATGAGGTTATATTTCTACATACAGGAGGTACCTTGTAGACGGTTTTTGGTAATGATAATGATCGAGAGGTCACGGATCCGTTAAAGTGTTGCTTGTGATCGATCTGTATATAGAAGTATTTAAGTACTATGTAGGTTACTCAATTCAGTTATTCCGGGCCCGCGGGGGGTATCGGTATTGATTCCACGTGGAGTGGGTTTGCGTATTTAGATATGTTTGGCCGAGATACTTTGATATAATGATAAGCTTATAAGTTGAAGAATTATAATTCTTATTTCTTGAGGGGGGGTTGTCTCGTACCCAGAGTCGAGGGGGGGCGGAAGAAAATAGTAAGAATTGACAAGCTGGAATTTGCTGAGTTTTCCCGATTGTAAATATTGGGACTGGTCTTCCTAAATTAATTGCCTACTTGTAATGTATTAGAGATATTTCTTGTAAACTCGATTATTTGAATCGAGCTATAGCTGCGGACCTAGCCTAGCTCTAGGTGTTTACCTACTACTGAGTTAGTCACTCAAATAGAAAACTGAGATCTTGCGTTGTATACGTTGTAATTTTTGTTACGGTGTGATTCGTTCCCAGACGTCTGGGAACGAGACCAATCAGCCCCGGATAGCTATCGATAACCCAGCTTTCAAGAAGGATCCTGGAAATTGTACGCATATACAAGCTTCAATCGACCAAAAATAGGATTTTCTAACCAGTAAAATTGGTACTCGAGTTTCTGCAGGTAGTTGCACCTAACGGATAATCCTGGACGATGTTTTGGCAGCTACTTTGTGTACAGGCCTCCACGCCTGACACAAGGCGTACTAGGCAGTATCTCCCGTCGAAAGGCGGATCTTCTTCACCCCTCCTGGGTAGCGGATAACTCATTCATACTGGAGCTGGGCTTTTTTTTTCTCTTGCTTAATGGATTTTCTATATAAACCATCGATCGGGTAGCTTTTTGTTTTCATTCATGGGTTTTGGATGTTAATTAAATATCTTTCCTCTTCACGACTCGCTTCTTAATCATATTAATACATAAGTTTATTTATGAATACACCCTTTCAACCTTGTATTCCAAGAACTATTTCCTAAATCTACCAGGAAAGTGGTTTTTTTTTAAAAAAAAAAATCATTTTAATAAAATGGATCCATTCAAAATCCTCGGGGTTGATAAACTAGAGGATCTCTACACCATCACATCCGAAAGTCCCCAAAAGGATTTCCCTATCCTTAAGTTGCCCCGTGAAATCCAACTGGCCATCTTCGAAAACGTAAGTTCATGTTTTTATAAATGAAACCTTATAATATAGTTTTCTTCGAATCATATAGCTAATATAAATACGTTATGTATATTATAAAAGTGTCCTCCCAAAACCCTAAAATCCATCCGTCTAGCACACCCGCACCTCAAAGACCCCGCCGCCGCCGTCCTATTCCGCAAATGGACCCTTTCCCTCTCTCTATACACAAAACCTCAACCGATTAATCGATACCACTTCGCTTCCGGAGGTGGTCATAGATGGCTTGACAAAAGAGAAATATCCAGAAGATGGGAAACTACCCTCCCACCCGCAGAATCACAACTAAAAGCCATTCAAAACGCATATTACAACGGATCGAATGATGAACTACAAATGTTATTCGATAATGTGCAGGAAATTGAAATCGTCAAGTATGATGTATACGAAGGGTATCCTGATAACAACGCCATGGCGATGACGTGGCCCCGCTATGCGCCTTGGGGGGTTGAGGTCCTAAAGGGATTTTTGGAGAAGATGAAGAAGTTGAGGTCTATCGAGTAAGTACTCATACTAAAGCGGTTTTACAATGATGGTAATTAATGAAGCTAACGACGCGCCGTCGAATGAATATAGTTGGCAAATGCCGGCTCATAATCTAGATGTTACTATGACGTCCCCTTCTTTAAGAGAGAATGTAACCCATCTATCATGGACACGAGTTCCTGATTTTGAGTTCATCGGGAAATCACCAGAAAGATCGTTAGCTGGGTTTGCATATTTATACAATGTCACACATCTGGACTTCAAACTCGCGAATATAGTGGACTTAAACGGCTTCCACTACTTCCCCAATCTCAAGAATCTCACGCTGGAATGTACGGTGAAAACATACAACATCGTCACATTCCTAAACGGTCAAGCAGCACCATTCAAACTCCGGTCTCTAACCCTCAAAAACGATACCCGCGGTATTACCTTCCCTGACGAGATCTTTCAAAAATACCTATCAAATCTACAAACCCTGAATATGATCACACCGGAAGTCGAAATCGAGCAGACGAAAAATAACTTGGCGTTTAGTCGTAACCCCTTCGACGGGAATGCGAAGTCCATCTGGACGCATTTCATGGAAAATGGAATATATCTTTCTAATATCAATACTTTCGGTCAATCACGGGATTTGATTAAATACCTGTTATCATACCCACAACCGAGACATGCGCTTAAATCCTTCGAAATCAGGGTTTGGCCGTATATAACAAATAACCTAGATGATCCCCGAAACTTCGTGCATACTCTTTGGCATCAAGTTATCCCGTTCCACAGAAGGACATTGAAAAGAATAGCAATATACCCAGAAGCTAGATCTGTTGTCCGAGGGGGGAACTACCACGGAGCAATAAGCTGGCAGGGACAGGAAGCCCTAGGGAAGGAATTGAGTAACTTCCCAACACCGCATACAGGGTTATTTACGCTTAACGATGACATCAAAACAGTTCTTAAGAGTTGTGAAAAACTTGAGGCATTGGAGATGGGGAGTTTGAATTGGAATGGCGCTGCTGAGTTTTTACGGTTTGTATTATTTCAGTTGCCGAGGAGGGTTAGGAATGTTGGATTTTATATGGATGGGTGGAGTAGGAAGACTGTGGGGTGGGATTATGTTGGTTCTTCGGGAGCGCATTATGCAAGGGAGTTTGCGGATAATAGACACCCGTTGATTGAAGAAGTTTGGGATTATAAAGAAGAATGGGGGGTTCATGAGGACGTACTGGACGATTGGACGTGGAAAAGACTTAATATTAAGTTTGTACCGATATGTCAACGGAAGAAGTTGTGGTTTGTAGGCGGTGGTGGGAAGTCATGGAAACTTATGGATTCGGAGTTGGAGAAGGAGATTTGTAATATGAAGAATGAGACGCAGAGGGGTTGGAGGTCGGTTGATGATGTTCTTGGGGGTGAGGAGGATTTGGGGTATGATGTTGAGGCGATATTTCGGGATGCTGTGTGGGGGAATAGGTATGATCCGGCTTGGGAGACTGAGAAACAGGAAGCTGTTTTTGCGAGGTTTCGACGGGCGGCGGAGAATGTGAGACGGGCTCGGGAGGCTAGTGCTTCGCAGCGGCAGTAAAATTAATTATGGTTTACGAGATAGCTTGGGATAAAAGGTCCCTTTTGTTTTTCGGGGTGAGATATTTTATGTAGTTGGGGTGTCTGGCTTATAGCCTTTTGGTCCTTTTTTTCTTCTCTTGTTCTTGCGAGGATGGTAGTTCTATAGTAATTCTCAATACAAAGTATATACAAGAGGGAAACAGACAGGTGGAATCAACTGCATTAAAAGCAAATTCTATACCCCGCAGGTAACACCCCCGTCATCTCATCCACAAACCTATTAACCTTATCCCGAACCCGATCATAATCATCAAGCTCATCATCATCCGATCCATCCTGATCATAATACCCATTCCTCTGCTGCTGATTCGCAGCAACCCCCGTCACCGGCATCATCTTAATCTCCTGAATCTGTTCCGTCAACCCCTCCAAAACCTCCACACACCCATCCAACCATTCCCTAGCATCCTCAGACTGAACCCTACCCTCATCCATCCCAGCTCTAAGCCCCACAACCTCTTCCCTAAAATCAGCAATATCCACCATCGATTCATTCAATGCCTGAATATTCTCTCCCAAAACTTCTAGTCCGTATTGGAACCCCGAAGTCGTTTCTTTAATCGTGTCGATATCGTCTCTTAAGCCTAACTCGTCGATCTCACCTTGGAATGCACGGAATTCGGCCCGGAAACGGTAGAAATCGTCCCTGAGAGCTCGAGTTTCGGCTCGGGATGTGCGGGTTTCGTTGTGCAGGATTTGTGTTTCTTGACGGTATTGGGATACCTCGGATCTTAAGCCTCTGACAACTTCGGTGAGGTCTGTGACTAGCTCCGTAAGGGGTGTGGTGGTGGATGCAGCGGCAGGGGTAGGAGCTGTAGGAATAAGCTGCTGAGAGCGGGAAGACGAAGCTTCTGCTAGTGTAGATCCCGAAGGTTCCTGTTTTACCCGCACGGCGGCAGCGGCGGTTATTTGTGGAACTGTCATCGCTAGTGCAGATTCTGGTGCTTCTGGCTCTAGAGCAGAGCTCAATGGGTTTTGCTATACATGTTGTAAAATAAATAAGTAAATTAAATTAAATTAAAAATGAGAGATATGAAACCTGAACTTTTGATGTCAGGGTTTTCGTAGGATATATGCGCTTACATCGATAGAATCATCTTGATTATTAGTATTTGCCCTAAGACTGGAACGTGTACGTCGAGCCGTAGCTGGTGCCGCCGCCGTTGATTTTGGTTTTGTTACTCTTGAGACATGCCTCGATCGTCGTGATGGGGGCATTTTTATTTTTTTATTTGTTTTTTTTTAAAAAATCTGGGGAGTTCTATAGAGGGTGTATTTAATTCTGATGTACGAGATAAGGCTGTATGAGAATAATCTCGCAGTTTATGAATTCGATACTCAATAACTATCGACGAAGAGAGAGAGGGGAAGGGAGACAGGGCTAAGCTAGGTCCTCCTCTACATGCACCCCCCTTTTAACATAAATTAACCCTCCATCCTCGTCGCGTCGTTTAATATACGACGCGTTCGTCTGGATGTATGTTTGTGGCCCATCAAAACGGTAATCGTCAAGGTAACAAAGAGGGGTCCTAGAGTGGGGTTTTTCTTCTTCTTCTTCTTCTTCTTCGGTACGGGGATAGTTAAATGATGTGAAGGGGTGGGATGGAAAGCTTATAAATGGTGCTAAATTTCACTAGTGTTGTATATTTTTGCGTTGTGTGGTGTTGCAAAGTGGGATGAGGCGGCAAGACTAGACCAGATCAGGCGTAAAAGTCACGTGATGATATCTTTTTATGTTGCACGTGACTACGTATTGCAAAGTACTTAAGCAACCAGTTGAGTGCATAGTTACAGCTTCGACTTGACTTGATTCTATTTGTTACAGCCATTTTTGAAGTTCAAGTTTATCATGTGGCTTTGATTGTCTGGTGACATCATCTAAATGCCGGGTCTTCCTGTCAGCCGTTGACTCTCCCCATGACGGTTCTAGAATCAGTGTCCAGCTTCCCAGAATATTCATATGGAATAAATCTATTCTAGATTTTTGATGAGGCTAGGCACATTCCGATAGCATAGTCTCGTCTGCAATAAGAGACTACCGGTAGCAGTGATTTGGTGCTTGACTAGCCTTTACTTATTAAGCAATGCAATTGTTAGTCGATTCGTGTAACACCAGTCTTTCTTAGCTGGTAACTACCGTAGCTTAGCTTAGCTCTCGATATCTAGTACAGACAGTCATACATCATACATACTAGCCGGCTTTATACAAAGAGATTCTTCGTAAAATTTTTCGTCAAATCCTAACATCAACCGTTCATCTCTTTCGCTGACTCCACTCTAACAATTTCACAATTCACAATTAATTATAACATTTCACAATGTCATCCAAGCTTCTTCCACTATCCCACTCCGCCCAACACCAGCTCGAATAAAGAAAAGCAGAGATAGTAAAAGTTCACGGACAAAGGGATTGCCCCGCGGAAGTTCAAAATGCGGAAAAGACATTACCTACACAGAATCTTGAGTTACGGTGTCAAGTAATCGATAGTGCTATCGCACAAACGATAAATGAGGCGGAGAATTTACATAATTTGTTGACTGGCGTTAGCAATCGTCTTGATGCTGTGTTTGAGAGATATGTGACGACTGAGGAGACTGTGGAAGATGTGACGGGTAGGTTGGGAGTGGTTGAATATGAGTATAAGAAGTTGGATGTTCTGAAGGATGGATTGGACAAGTTGGAGAAGTTGAAGAATAAATTGGAGAAGTTGATCGCTATCGAGAACGGGCCGGAGAAAGTAGATCTTGTGGTTAGTCAGAGATTAGGTGTTATGGAGGGTAAATTGGAGAAGCTGGAGGTTGCGATGAAAAGGTAAGTGGATATCATTATTCAGACATGCATATATATCGATATATCGAGATACTTCAGGGTTTAATTAGTGACGTGCACTTCTGAGAACAACTCCGTGACTGACATCTTATAAATTACGATTATGATAGTGACCGAGTAGAACGTCTGGAAGTCATAAACCTTAACGCCTGGGCTTTTAACAACCAAGCATCCGACAAGCACGATAGGTTAAGGCCTTTAAAAGTCGCAAAGCTCGATCGAGACCAAAATTTGTCCTTCGAAGTATCACCACACTTTCCATTGTTCGTTAGCCGGGTGGGACACCTGTCAGTACTCGGTAGGAATCCCTCCGCTGTATGTGTCTAAAGCTACCCGGGTACATAAGTACCCACTGCATGAGCTCATATGAGTTGGATCAAAGCTAATACTATGATATCTCTGACTCAAAGAACTCTGGCAACTCCTACTTTTTTACGATATTGTTGTCCACGGGGTCTGGGTTCCCCCACGTGCTAGGGGTACTACCTTAATCCTGCCATTGGTCGATGTGCAGAAAAATCTCGATATCTGCCTTCGAACCTTTGTTCGCCATATAGGTTTGAAGTGGGAAGTTGTGGAAAAGCTCGAACTTTTCCATTAAGTCTTTTCTCTTTCTCGTTTTCCTCTTCTCTTTCTGATCCCAGATTTAGTCTAGTTTTCGAAATGGTGCTGAGAGATGAGGTTCATTTGGGCAGCTGCGCTAGCCAACGTTAGGGGTTGACTTGATCTAGATCTCGTAAACCAGTCAACGGTTAACGTAATTAACTTAAGTTAGGGCCCGGCACTGGCCGTGTTTAAAATTAAATTATACTAGGTCACTTGCGTTGTAAATGCAATGCATCAAGCTCACAATTTCGATATGGGCTGGCACGTGACTGCGTACTTGAAGCTGTTCCACATACGCGCTGCCGACCTCCGAAACGCAGTTAATAATAATATTATATCGCTTGATGATCGCGGGACCGGTAGATATATCAATTAATTATAGTTATGCTCCTTCAGCTACTACTCTGACATTTATTTACCTACCTAATAGCTAATATACATTGCAAAAATAGCAAAAAAAAAAAAGTCGACAGATATTGATATATCCAGTAACGCTATAACGACGACAATTGTCAAATTCGAGAATACACATATGCATAATGGAGCATTGGCCGTATTGAAGGATTGTCATGATGTTCTATCATCGGGGTTTGATAAATTCGAGCGGGGTTTGGATAGAGTTGAGAACCAGCCGGAGGCGGTAGAGAGAAGACTGGGGTCTTTGGAAAAGAAGGTTGATGAGTATGCACCTAAGTAAGTACTTACTTGCTCTCTCAGCAACTAGTTGATTCTCGTAGTACTTGAGAATTTCGAAAGCGGGTTTTGCTCGAGTAGTTCTTCTGGCTAATCCACTTTCGGTATTTTTGTAGTATGTATAGAATTGTGAATAATTCCGGGGCACGCCAATTCAATTCCCACGCGCGGAAAAAGACCTCGACGCTTGAACCACTGCTTACTGTTCGTTTTGATGAAAATCGACGGGTATTCTACCCGGTCCCGCCGGGCTTTCCTCAGAGTGTAAGAGCTCTGTTGAGGTTAAGATCAAACTGTAGGTGTTATCCTTCAAAGATAGTAATATATATCTCCTATTCAATTTATATTAACCCTCTTGTGTAGTAAACCTTCTCTGGGAACTTATGAAATTTTATAACATTCAGGTCGCCCGAGAAAACAGCCCCCCCTCCCACGTAGCAGCTGATTCTCAAGAACTTGATAGTAGTGGGTATACGATTATGGATCTAGGAACATTTGAAGAAGTGAGAGATTATCCTGAAGAGTGTTTTGAAACATTCGTTACGTGGATTGGAGTCAAGATGAAGGTTGTCGAGGCGTTGATGGATTCATGAGCTGGTATTTTGTTTTCTCGCCCTTGAGGAGCCGATATAGTACTGGCGTTACTGGACTAGCGGTGAGAGCAATTACACAATATGTTACGGACTGCTTTGATTTGCTTTAGCGTGTACCCCAGCCCCTTTCCTTTTTTTTTTTTTCATTTTCTTTCGTCTCAGGTTATTGTTCTGGGTCAAGTAATGTAGTTTAGTAGTGGCTTGGATTTCTATTGCAATTGGCGATCTGGTGTACCCAGCTCCATACCCAAATATCCATCGGGATCAATTCTAAATTCTTTTAATTTTCCAAGATAACTGATCTCATAGCTGCATAAAATCATCAATCGCAGATATACTACGCCATATATCGTTAGATCGGACCAGAAAAAATATATATCGTACACTCGCTTTTATAATAACGTTTTTAATCAGCTTTCCACCTCTCCCCCCCGCCTTTCTGCCATAACCACAATGCCTCTAATGCATAGTTCTTAACTCCTAGATGTGAACTACCCTCTCCATTCTTACCACCATTCCCAGCCTCCTGCAGACTTTCCAAAACCCTGCCTTCGTGGATACAACGCCAAAGTGATTGTTCTAGTGGCGTGTTTATTCTCCTTTCGTTCTCCTTCTGGGCTCGAGCATCTTCTTGGGTATCTCCATTTGCAATATTTGGATCTTCGAGTTCCTCGTTCGGTTTGGAGTAAGACCCTGTACCGAGACGGTAAAGTATCCTTCCTAACGTTTGAAAAGCCATACATCTCTGCGCTGGAAAGCTAGAGCGGGCTAAATGGCTTAATTCTGGGATTGTATACCCAGCACTTAACGGTGAATCAGCATGATGATGAAGTCCGAGATGTCCAGGAACAGCACGGGATTTTCGGGGAGCGAGAAGACGACCTCTAAAGTCGAAACGGACCGAGGAAGGGAGGATTGATGATAATGTGGGTGCGTAAAGTGGGTCTTGTTCGGTGTTGGAAGGGGGTACCATCCATGCGAGCTTTTGGGGGTCGGTGGGAAGATTTGGAAAGTATTTTTTGTGAAGATGCTCGAGGAATTCGGGGGAATCAGGGTCTGGTTCGGGTTCTGTGGATGGGATGGGAGCTTGGGGGAAGTGGATTTTGATGGAGGGTGGGAATGCTGATTCTGGGATGTCTGAGAGGTGTGAATGGGTGGGATTTGATGGTGGAGGTTGAGATGTTGATGATGATAATGTGGGTGTATCTGTGGGAGGTGATATATTTGTAGATGATGAGGGAGCAGCATTTGGGGTTGGAACTGGTTCCTTTGGCGGTTGGGGCACTCTTGCTGGTCGTGATGTTTCCACATCATCGTCTAATGATGCTCGTTTAAGAAACATCTGGAGAAGCTCAGGACTTAATGAATCCATAAGTTCCTGCCTTTCGGCATCTCTCTCCTGTGATGTCATATTCGCGACTATCGAAGCATTTTCAGCCCGGATAGAAGACATATCGTCTATTCTGCTATTACCACCACCAACACCACCAGTACCCGTCGACACGGATCGAGGAACCGGTTCATTTTGGTTTGGAGCAGCGGAGGCAGCGGCAGCATTTCTCTGTTGTCGGAAAGCAGATGGACGTTTTCGTTTTGTATGGGCTGGAAATCCTGTTGATGATTTTGATGGATCGAAAGTTGGTGCGACGGCTGTTGATGAGACGGTACGTTCGGCGACATCACCTATCAGGCCGTTTGAGAGGGAAGCAGGGAAGGAAGGAGTTTCTCCTTCCTCGTGGAGAGTATCATCGAGGTCGACGGCGAATCTGGTACCGGCGGGAGGAGGGGTCTCGTAGTCCATTTTTTATTTTCGTAGTGATGGCGGGGTGGTTAGGATGATGTTTAAGCTCGAATTCGGATGGATTGAATTCGGGTTAGGCTAGACGGGTCTCGAGACGAGGAGTAAGAGCGGTGGAGCAGTGGAGCGGTGGATTGTGTTGTGTGGCATGGGGTTTCTGGAATGTGCTGTGCTGCGCCTGGCAGATGACGGATGGAATGACCTGCACCGTTCTCCAATCGAATCAATATGACCTGGGTATTATGCCTACATCTTCGAGGGCAGCTAATATAATCTACTGGGAATTATATTCACTGCATTCTCAAATTGGAATATTAATATGCCATGCACGGGCTAACTAACTATTATATATAATACCCTTGTTAAGTATTAAAAGCAGTCTAGTTGTTGGTTAAGTGGTCAGAATGGCATTAGATGGGAAAGAAGTATCGTAGCGTCGGCGCTACAAAAGGGCGGCTTGGAATCGAATATTATGCAAGGGCCTGATGGACTGTCTGGCTGACGAACCAACTAAACCCCCTTTCTCTCTTGAATATACCTGCTTCATTACATATTTAAAGTAAAATAGAGAACTCGTAAACGGCATACGTAGTTCTTTATCGAACAGAAGTTCTGAGAAGAGAAGGTTCTCCCTTTTTAGTCAGCCAGTGCGCCCCGACACTGGTTCTGGTGGTGCTTGGCGTCTGGTTAAATTCCCATCTGCCCCATTCATGCTCATTCCTGGCTTGAACGGCTTCAACTATTATTAACAACCTCTTCTTCCATCTCGAATCCTCGACACCAGCTTTCGTCTATCTTTCCCTTTCCTTTCCCTTCCTGTCATAAAAACGAAATATCCGATACAGGAAGAGAGACGTCCGTCCGTTAGTTAAATTTCCAACAAAGGTCAATCTTTTCAACGATTGCCAGAAGTTATTGAAAGAAGGGGCTCGCTACTTTTAAAACCCGGCCGTTGACAAAAGCCTCGTCATCGTCACCATGGCTCATAGATACGAACGAGTACGACTTCCCATAATTTCCCGCTACTCGATTCCTAAATCTTCAAATTTGTTTCGGTCGGATATAAATATAAACCTGATAAAATAACTAACATCATCTTGAAAATCAGGTTCAAACAGACGACCATGGAGACGCCCGCGCTGCCGGTGTTCCGACCTCCCCTCCACCGTCCTTCCGATCCAGGCCGGAATCCCCAATCTCACCCGTCGAACCTACCGAGAATACTGCCCTCGCCGATTCTTTCGACTCCAGCGACGATGAAGATGACGATCTGAGAAGTCATAACAGGGGTCGGGGAGCGGCACAGGAGACCGTACATTATGAAAGTGCTTTGCCGTATATTGCGCCCTCATCTTCTACACCAACACCCCAGCCGACGACATCGACAACACCTTCGGGAGCCGCGATGAGGCGAGTGATTGGGAACTCGAGCAATGATGGGGTCTTTGCCAACCTTAGTGCCAAACCGTCCGTTAGGACCGAGAAGCCTCTTGAAGAGCATCCACCGGTACGTTGATTAGTCTAACATGTCATGTTTCAAAATATCCTATCATGAAACTAATATCCCGGAAAGAGCTACGAACAAGCCGCCGCCGATGCGACCCCCCCGTATTGGGAAACCACGATCCTTGCTCCCGGAATGTCCCCGGACGAAGTCTTTATTGATGGTCTCCCTGTCGGTTCAGTCTTTGCCTTCGTCTGGAATGCATTAAGTACGCACCTTCCCAAATTACTACCCCACAGCTTGATGAAATAGGCCATTAACAGCAATTGTAGTTTCTCTGTCCTTCCAATTTATCGGTTTCCTTCTCACTTACCTTCTCCATACTACCCACGCTGCCAAAAACGGTTCCCGAGCTGGCCTCGGTATCACCCTTGTCCAATATGGTTTCTATATGCGCGGCTCGGCTTCCGACAGTCCAGCACCGCCAGCAGATGGTGGGCCCGGAACACCAGAGTCTACGCCATCAGACCCGAATTCGTACGACTTCAACTCAGGAACTCTACCAACCGACGTCGTTGCTGCGGCCTCTTCCACTTCCTCGTCGGATGCAATTACTGGCAATGAGTGGTTTAGCTACGTCCTCATGGTCGTTGGATGGTTTATTCTTATACGAGCGGTCGCAGATTTCCTGAGAGCAAGGAGGACAGAGCAACTGGTTCTTGCAAGTCCAGATCGGGGACTCGGTGTTGCTGTGATCGCTGAGGGAGAAAACCCAGATCGATCTGTATAGTTTGGGGCTTCATCATATAGGGCAAATGCACATACTTGGTGTTAATATCTGGTTTTCGTTGATTTCTGATTTTGATTTTGGGATTCCGTGGGGAGGGAGGGTGTCTATCGGTTGCATCTATTGGAACGTTGCGTGTCTCTGGTCTAACTTATCATCACCAACTACTTTCCAATACTTTGTGATTCTTTCTTTAAAGCATTGCGGTTGTGGCCTTTTCTCTTGATTCTCTTATTCATTCCCTTTTTGTATATGATACAGTTCTGATAACATTTCGTTCAACCGTCAGCTACACCCTCTGTTTTTCCCTTTGTGTCTGCTTCCCCCACCCCCCTTTTTTCAGTTTCCATATTTTAATCATCTAAATTTGCTACCTACGGGCGTTTTGTTTTCGTTACAATATGCAGAAGTGGAGAAACTCGCAGCACCTCTTTGGCGTTCTTTTTTTTTTTTTTAAACATCCCAATTCCTATTATATTATCAAGAAAGCTTTGACATCTCGATTGTGTACATACATAAATTATTCAGGTAGTTATAAACCAGAACAGGGGAATCAACTCGGCTCAAGCTCTGGACCTTTTTGATAACTCAATATATCTAACTTGAACTAATTTATGAATTTGGGAATTAATTTCGAGGCTTTTAGTTTAACGTTATCCACGCGCACGTTGACAAAAATGCGGGGGAGGACAGTGCGGCCTGCATGCCATGTCAACGGGGGATGATCCGTTTGAAGACTCCGATTGAAGAATGATCAGCGAGATGACGTCGTTTGAATTAAGGGCTCCCCCAAAAAGTTAAACGCCGACGCCACATTTTGATATTCATTATAATATAACGGCCGCCGCACAAACGTCAACTTATGGCGTATACGTTGATAAACTTACTAACTAACGGCTTTTACTTAACTAATTAATCGATCGTTACTTCTACGAAAAGACGAACATTTCCGACGATAAGAAATCATCATTTTCCATGTAAAAAAATACAAAAGAAATAAAAAGAGAACCGGCGTTTTAAGTATCGGTATATATACGACCTCACCCACCGTGTTCTCCTCGACGTTCCCCTCACGGTATCTGCGACTGACGAATAGAGTCGCACGACATTCGTATCAATATCTATACGGCCGTTCACTCGCCAACTACTGCTTTTCTTTGTACAACTACCCATCACGATATACTAACCACCGATTCTCATTATACTCCGAAATGTCGTGGCGGAGTTCTGGGACGTCGAATTCGGAGTTGGTGGAGAATATGAAACGGAATGGGTTGATACATAATAAAGAGACTTATGAGGCTATGAAGAAGGTATGTATATACATAGATATAAATTATCATTTGGGTTATTATTTTAATTAAATTTAAACTAATGAGGGGGGGCTATGTAGGTCGACAGAGCACACTTTGCACCGGCGAATCCGTATCAAGATGCTCCACAGCCGATTGGGTATTCTGCTACTGTAGGTTGTGTATTGAAGTTTATTGGGGGTTATGGTTTATTAATGAGATTGATAGATTTCGGCACCGCATATGCATAGTCATGTAAGTCCTACCTCTCTTGACCTATATACCATATATGTGGGTTTTTGGTAACATAAGATGTATGCGCTAGGCATGCGAGGAGATAATCGAATATCTCAAACCCGGTGCTGCAATTTTAGATGTTGGCAGTGGGAGTGGATATTTAGTTGCCGTGATGGCACATATGGTACACTCCCCCTCCCGCATCCAACTCCAACCTCCAAGATGATCACTAATTACTAATATAAACTTATTTTTTTTTTCAAAAAAAGGTCCAACCCGGCGGCCGAATAGTAGGCATCGAACACATCCAAGAACTAGTAGACCTCTCGATCAAAAACCTTCGAAAAGACGCAACTCATTCAGCATGGCTTGACGACGGGACTATTACGATTATCAAGGGAGATGGGAGATTAGGTTATAAAGAGAAAGCACCGTATAATGCTATTCACGTTGGTGCTGCGGCGAAGGAAGTACATGAGGAACTTGTGGAGCAACTTTCGAAACCTGGGAGGTTGTTTATTCCGGTGGAGAGGAAAGGGGGGTATTCTGAACAGGCGATTTGGCATGTCGATAAGGATTTGGAAGGGGAGGTGAAGATGAGTGAGAAGGTGAGTTTTATATATAAGTTTAATACTTATATTTTATGTTTATTTTGGGGTTTTTGGGGGGCATGTTAAGTGCTAACGGGGATTTTAGTATGGGGTTATGTATGTGCCGTTGACGGATAATCCTTATGAGAAGAGGAAGTAGGGGAAGTATTCTTATGGTACGGGTGTTTTTTATGGCGACTTGATCAGAGCAGCAGAATGCAATCGGATTCATGGGTTTTAATATTTTTTGTCCTTTGATTTTTTAATTAAAAATGAGAGCGAGAAGTTGAAGTTGGTATTATATTCTCATATGAGCAGACCCGGAGTTTATTTTGGCGTTGGAGGGATGGGTGCGGGGTGTATGGCTCTAGTGGAGCGCGGCGATATTTTCGGTAGCCGTATGGTATCCCGACATATGGCATCCCACCGTATCGTACGTCAGAAAATTGTTTGATAGGGAAACCACCCAAATAAAAATAAATTAAATAAAAATTGAATAAAAAAGAAGTAAAGATGACAGATAAATTGCCTCCGATACGCGGTCCATCGGCCGGTACCTGAATTATGATAAATCCTATCGTCGAACCCGGGAGAGAGAGAGCGAAAATACAGCTGCGAAGTGGACAGGGCGTTTCGTGATCGCATTAGATATTCCGATTGGCCAGAAATCTAAGGAGCGATTTTTTTTTTTTTTGATCAGTCCGTTTTCTTCTCTGACGGTATGTATGGTATAGAAAGGAAAATGCGACGGAGAAGGAACGAGGTAAGCTAGCCTTAGCTAGGTCGGTATGGAATAATGCCTCAATGGTCATAACCAGGGGACCACGGGTACCTTGTCCTTCTGTGGCATTTCTTGCTCTGAGCCTTATCTTGGAGAGGGATATATATCTTTTTTTGTTTTAACTAAAAAAAAAAGAAGAAGAAGAAGAGTGAAAGAGAGATGGGCTTGGAAGAATAGAAATTCCGATGATATATATAGCTAGGTTGATGGGGTCGGATTGATCTCTTTCTTTTGTAGATTTTTTTTTGGATCGGATTCCTTTTTTCTTCTTCTTCTCTTTTATCGTCAGAAAGGCTTTAGACGGTATATTTGTCTGTTAGTCAATTGGTTCGTTCGAGGGTTGATTGTATATCTCGGGATCTAAATCGACTTGAGGTTAGTAGCTATATTCCCGTTCTTCATCTTCTCCACGCCGGGTTTTGTTTCTGTCATATTTGATCCTTCGCGATTGTTATCACTTCGATTCCGGATCGATATGATATCCTTTCGGATTCAGTATCGGGGATATCTGGAAGCTTGTCTAGCACAGACCACAACGGCCAGCGGAATTCAACAGCAGCGCTGCGTGGTTGTGATTGTGGTGGTTGTTGCGTAATGCTGCATGCAGCAAAGCAGCGAAAAGAGCAAAAAAGCAAGCTCGGAGTTGGGCTGCATATGGAGGGGTAATATCAAACTGTAATGCAATCGAGAGGAATAATCGAATGGAATGCTTGCACGTCAGCCCGTCGGTCAGCCAGTCAGTTATAATCAAATCAAAATATCATAAAATCTGAGGCGGGATTTTCTGTTATATCAGATTTTTATATATTTTTATATGGTTAAATGCCCTTTTCTTGGGGGGTTCTATCTGGTTTGATCTGACATATCGATATCTGGGTCTTGGAGAGCTGTTGTTTGTTTGGCGGGGTGCGGTCATTTCTAGCTTGGGAATGAAATACGTCACTTTGTGCAACACCAAAAATTAACTACTTCTAACGTTCCTCGACGATCCCGCTGCTCTGCTCTGCTCTGATCTTCCGTGTCTCTTCTTCTTCTTCTTCCTCCTCCTCAAGCCTTGTCTCGCGGCTAACATAGCTCCCTCGGTTGAATCTCAGATCACGAATCCCCTTTCTCTCTTTCATCCTCTATACTGCTAAGGTGTCCCTCATAGCCACACCCACCGACCATTATAGACCTACTACCTCAGTCACTTCGACCCGCTCATTTTTCTTTTTTACGTGATTTAACACAGAGGTCAAAATCTTTTAACCTTCTTTATATTTAAATCAAAAAGAGAAAAAGAAAATAACGAAAAAGATGTCTCTCCTGTTGATATCCAACCGGTTGCCTATCACCGTCAAGCGAAGCAATGATGGTACCTACGACTTCAGCATGTCTTCCGGCGGTCTGGTCACCGGTCTTTCGGGACTGGCGAAGACGACAACGTTCCATTGGTTCGGATGGGTTGGACGGGAGATTCCTGATGATGAGAAGGAGCTTGTGGCGAATAAATTGAACGATGAGTATAACGCTGTGCCAGTCTATTTGTCGGATGATTTGGCGGATAAGCATTGTATGTCTATCTTTTCCCCTCTTCTGGTTTTTTTCTGGAGGATTTGTGAAACTGACTTGGTGTGTGAATAGATAACGGTTTCTCGAGTATGATATTTCCCGGACTATATGAAAGAGAATGGTTGAAGAAAGCTGGATTATACTAACTTATTATCCCAAAGACTCGATATTATGGCCTCTCTTCCACTACCACCCTGGTGAAATCTCCTTCGACGAACCCGCCTGGATCGCCTACCGCGACGCCAACCGTCTATTCGCCAAAGCCGTCGCTGCCGTCGTCAAAGAAGGCGATCTGATCTGGGTCCACGACTACCATCTCATGCTCCTCCCCGCCATGCTCCGCGAAGAAATCGGTGATAAAATCAAGAATGTCAAGATCGGATTTTTCTTACATACTCCGTTCCCCAGCAGTGAGATTTACAGGATATTGCCAGTCAGGAATGATATACTTTTGGGAGTGTTGCATTGTGATCTTATCGGGTTTCATACTTATGATTACGCTCGGCATTTCTTGAGTAGTTGCTCGAGGATATTGTATGTCTTTCTCTTCCCCCACCACCACCACTTTTGTCGGTGGTTTTGATGGTTTGAGGAGGTGCTTTTACTGATGATTGTTTTGTAGAGGTCTGAATACGACCCCCAACGGTGTTGAGTTCCAGGGCAAGATGGTATCCGTCGGAGCTTTCCCTATTGGTATCGACCCTGACAAGTTCTCGGAGGCCTTGACACAACCGAAGGTCATGAACCGAATTGAGACCCTAGAGAAGAAGTTCGAGGGTGTCAAGTTGATCGTTGGTGTCGATCGGTTGGATTATATCAAGGGAGTGCCGCAGAAGCTGCATGCACTTGAGGTGTTCTTGACGGAGCATCCAGAGTGGATTGGAAAGGTATGTTGCTTCTTTTTCTTAGGTATTAGGGTGTGAAGAGAAGTAGTTAATGAATGAGAATTAGGTTGTGCTTGTGCAAGTTGCCGTTCCGAGCAGACAAGATGTTGAGGAGTATCAAAATCTGCGTGCTGTGGTGAACGAACTTGTTGGTAGGATAAATGGTAAATTCGGTATGTCATAAGCCTCTAAATCTTCTCATAATCCTTGGAAAGGGGTGGATTTTTCTAATTATATAATGTTTGATTATAGGAACAATTGAATTCATGCCTATCCACTTCATGCACAAATCCGTCTCCTTCGACGAACTAGTCGCCCTCTACGCTGTCTCAGATGTCTGCCTCGTCTCCTCCACCCGTGATGGAATGAACCTCGTCTCATACGAATACATTGCCTCCCAACAAAAACGTCACGGTGTCATGATCCTCTCCGAGTTTACAGGAGCAGCGCAAAGTTTGAACGGCAGTATTATTGTCAACCCATGGAATACGGATGAATTGGCAACAGCTATCTATGATGCTATCACCATGCCTGATGATCTGAGAGAAGCGAATCATCAGAAGCTTTATGGATATGTGACGAAGTATACTAGTGCATTTTGGGGCACGAGTTTTGTGAATGAATTGACGAGGATCGCGGATGCTAGTAGTGGGTCTGAAGGGGAGAAGACTGGTGCTGCTGGTAATGCGACAGAGGAAGGACAGAAGGAGGAGGTTGCTGCATAGAATCTTTCTTTTTTGTCTTTCTTTTCTTTTCTTTCTTTCTTTCTTTCTTCTTGGGGGAGGAGAAATGATATAGAATTGGAGGTTGATATGCATGTGATGGAGGAGACGAGGTGGTTAGAAGGATAGCTAGAGAGGTGTTTGGAAAAAGTTATTATTAAAACTTCCCTTTTTTTTTTCTCCCTTGTCCTTTTCCTTCTTGTTTGTACTTAATGTTTGGGTGGAAGCGTGGGGATTTTGTATGCTTTTTGTAGCTAGTAGCATTAGTCTTCCTTTTTATTATTATTATTATTGCTGTTGACCCACGATTGCTTTTTGGTTCTGTATATGCGGTTTTTTAGTACCGATTATAAATCTTCTATACTTACGTACTTACCTAGTTACTTATACACGGGTTTTGAAGTGTGCGAATCTGGGGGTATTTTATGTATTATAATTATGGAACTAGGCTGTATGTCCGCTTTTGGGAGGTACGTTGCAGGCTATGGAGAGACTAGCGTGTACCTGGGCACCGTAAACCAGTTAGGTTAAGCTAACCTCAGCAAGCCTATTTAGATATCAGCAGTAGCACCATTGATGTATTGAAGAAAGTCCCATAATCTAGTGGTGGCATGCCGATAATGAAACGTTAATGATAGATAACAAAATTACAACAATTGAACTGCTCCACTTTTCGAGTTGGAGTTTCTCAAAGGTAAGAACCCTTGTCCTGCAAAGAAGTTGATAGTTGCGACTTATAAATAGTACATATAAACATAATCTCTGAATTCGAATAGACTGATAAAATTATCATAGAAACTATCTGTTATTGGATAGTTATAGAGTATAGTAGGTGGTCTATTATACATATAGGAATTTTCCATATCAAGGAAGTACATGCGCTTTTGTGGGTTTTGTGTGTGAGCATGTACATGCAAGTACCCCGCTTTGGTTCAGCAATAATTAACTTAACTACATGGATTCGCGTTTTTGATATATACCATGCATGGATTACTGACTACCACATTTTGCGTAGAAATCTAGGTTAACGGATTGGCTTTCGAATAACTGTAATCCAGCAAGGGTATCAATATATTATTGATAGTCTTCATTTAATCCCATTTTTAATTAACATAAAAATGGGTACCACTTCAATTCCAACAAGCACCCCATTCGCTACCTGCTACGGGGAAGCAATCAAGAAATTCCAAGAATCCATCAAAAAGTCTCATCCGGAGCCGCAGAAAAACGACCTATGGAATCTTTTCTTCGACACTCAGGCTTCGGGCTCGAAGGAGTTTCAGAACCTTCTTGAGATATGTAGTAATATGGTGTCGAGTAGGAGTGGTGGTGAGAAGGGTTCTGAGAAGGCGGAGCGGTTGATGGAGGTATTGGTTGAGATTAAGAAAGGGGGTGATGCTACTGTTTCTGCTGCGCCGGAGAGTGTGTCGTTGGTTTGGTTTGGGATATCTTCTTTGATATCGGTGAGTATATAGTATAGTGTCTTACACTTAATCGTTGGATTGACCCAAGCTAATTGGAATGTATCATCTGTTAAATTATGATATCGATAGGTGGCGGTTAAATCCCAGGAACTGCGGATTATGATATGCGATACGTGTCAAAGTATTGCGATAATGATTCGAGATTGTCTAAGATGGGAAAGACACACGCTTTGTTCTCCGACGGCGAAGCTGAGCGCTGATCAAACTCAGGGTCTTGCGTTAGATAAGATTAATATTTGGGAAGTTGACGTACCAGAGCTCCTTTACGCCATCTTTGAATTTCTTTGGCACTCGCTGGCTCATCGTGATCGGAAATTTTTCCAAAGTATGTTTTAATTCTGCTTCCCTTCTTGGGATGTTGATACTATGTAGTTTGCTTGGGTGGTCACGTTTATATCAGTGCTGACGATACTACTTTTTAGGAATTGGGTCAACGGTAAAGGAGACATTCACCAATAACTTGAAACAAAGGGTTGGGAGGTTGATGGACGCATATAATAAACTTGTCCAATCGGCACAAGCACAATTCGAGGACTTGCTTCTGGAGAAGGGCCAAGGTCTGTATTGCTATCGCTCTTCCATTTCATCTATATTTTTATATCTATAAGATTATACTTACACTGTTTCTCAAAACCTTTAGAAGCCGAAAAGAGTCTTGCTGAGACCAAACGAATCATGGAAGAATCCGTTACCCTTCTTTCAAAAGTTTTCAGCGATCTTCACTATGAATGGAAGCGGGGCAGACTCAAAGAACAAACCGAGAAAATAGCGGAGCCAAATTCACATAAATTACATTTCAAAGGTCTTAGTGACCGCGCCAATATCATCTTGAGCGAGCGAAATAACGGGCAAGTTGCGGAGTGGCTTTTCGATGATAATATCTACCAAAGTTGGGTGGGGCCACCAGCGAACCTTGATATCGAAAAAAGAACAATATTGTGTCTTAAAGGTCGTAGGGGCCATGGAAAGAGCATGGCAATGTTGTGCTTAAGAAAGAGGTTGGAGCTAGGTACTAACGGTCTCGTCTCGAGCGACAATTCGAAATCGGTTGTGCTATACTTCTTCTTCAAAAGAGGAGATCACGAGCTTCAAAATACGAGAACGGCACTGGAAACTATATTATATCAGCTGCTAAACCGCGTTCAGAATACAGAGGACAACGAGGATATTATTGATGAGTGTATTAGCATCCTAAATCCAGAGCTTAGGGAATCGAGCGGGGTTGGATCAAGTGGAATACCAAGGTACGATTCGACAGATATCAAATCGATATGCGAATCCATTCGTATTATTGCATCCAGACTCTATCGCGTCTACATACTAGTGGATGCCCTCGATGAGTGCAACGACAGACAAGAAGGGGGTCTAGTCCAATTGCTCAAGTCAATCGCCTATTCTGGAAATGCTGCTGCCAACGAGAGTGTACGCGTCGTATTTTCAGTCCGAAATACTGTTGATATCACGGCAGAACTCAAACCATTTAGCGACTCTTTTCCCCATGAGTCGTGTATTTCAACAACCCCCAACCAGAGGGTGTCAGAGGACCTCGAACCCTGGATCGGCGTTATTGAAATTACAGCTGAGAGAAACTCTCCAGACCTCAATGCATTCCTTCAACATGATGTTAAAGCACTCTTGACTCGCCGAATTGATCCTAACACTCACCCTGAACTCTACAACTCGGAATTAATTAGGATATCCGGCATTATCCTAAACAGAGCAAATGGAGATTTTGCGCTGGCGCGGATGTTTATTGCACACCTCCAGCAGCCGTCCAAATTACCACTGAACGAAAAAAATAAACCGGTTACCTGATTCAATCGGGCAGATATATATGAAAGCCCTCGAATCCTTAACCGCTGATCAACAGGAACTAATAATTACAGTACTAAAGTGGGTCGTCTGGGGTGTTTCTGGAATAACGGTATTTGAAGTCTCAGACCACTATAGGGAGATATATAGAAGCGCTAAGGACAGGTCTTGGAATTCTGGGCCACGAAACGATGCTAATCTAACACAGACCGATGTCGATTCGGTAACATCTCCACATTCTGCGGACACGACCAACGTATCTTATGATGTTGTCCAAGGCAACCCGGAAGATGACCCCGAAATCAAAAATATAATTTACCATTTGGAGACCGTTGGTCAAGATTTCTTCAGAATCAAGAAAGATACCAACCTGATCGATGTCGATATCTCTATAAGAGAGTGGATACAAGACGAACACGCAATGACAGCCCCAGGAGTTAAAGAAAAAAGAGGTTTCAGCAGATATATGGATGATGAAAGAAACGTAGTGTTCAAGTTCACACTGACTCGTATGTCCTCCTCCCGAATTATATCGTTCAATAAATATGGCTCGTATTTTATGTGCTGGATTTAACGCTCTTCGTGGGCATGCGTCTCATTAGCATCATTCGTTCGTTATGGGGACGGCCTGTACGAGTTATTTAACGAGCGGAAAGCCCACATGTCAATAACCTTGGATATATGTGCGTTATCCTTCCAAAATCCATTCCTACGGGCAGGCTTCTGCGGTTACCCGTACACTCTTGCAATCCGAACAGTACACTGATTCTCCTACATTTTCGTGGCTAAAAGTACGGGCCTTGAGCAATCAATCCTTCCAAGACAAATATATGCCTTGGGAACTAGTAACGGGAAAAGACTACTCTAGATATGAGGTCGATAATTGGCATATCCACCTAAAGACTCTAGACAAATGGTGGATTAGTGGCAAAAGTCACCTCGAGAGCAAGTGGTCCGATCTCCGAGAGCAAATCTTTATCTTCATGCAACCAGAGAATTGGTATCGGTGGATTCTTCTAGTCTTTCGGAAGCGCTTCGGCACGCCCACATACTCATGTTGGGATTGTGAAGAGGTTTCCTTGTTTTGCCAACATCCAATCCACATTGCGGCTGCGCTTGGTCTACAAATTGTTATCGACCTCCTATTGGGTGACAATAATAAAGAATCGAAAGCCAGGCATCAGGAAAGATTCAAAATTGTAAGTACACTAACTCAGTCCGGGGCCGTTAGGGCAGGGATTGAGGGTTTCGAAACATACCAAAAAGATGTTCAGAATATTCCGGAGGTTGACCTGCCAATGGTAAATGGATCTATCCCTTTATATCTCGCGGCACCTTATCCAGGAGCATTACAGAGCCTTATCAAGTACGGCGCGAATGTTAACGCGGCATCCCGCAGAGGGCGCTATTATAATGGACCGGTGCTATTGTGCGTTCTCTCTCAGATGGCCGACCACGAGAAAAATATGGATATTAGCACATGGATAAGAAGTGCTAAGATTCTGGTGAGTGAAGGCGCAAGGGTGGACGCAACCGACGACTCTGGAGCAACGGCGCTCCATTATGCAGCAAAAATTCAGGATCTCGACTTTTTCAAGTTCATACTCATATCAGCACATCAGAATATTCACGCAGTGGACAAAGACCTAAAGACGCCTCTCCACTACTTGTTTTCCCGTCGCCCGCCTGATGACAAAGTTCAAAATGTCCTCCAGATTTGTGATATCTTAGTATCAATGAGCCAAGGTGGCGACAAGAAGATAGACCTCGTTAACGCTCAAGATGCAAAAAGCACAAGTCCCCTTTTTGAAGCAATCACTCAAGGTTTTACTGCCGGAGTTAGGAAGTTGATAGAACTTGGGGTTGATGTTGATGATGATGACACAACTGGAAACACCTTTTTCCACCTTTTGGCTGCCATTTCTACTTCTTCTTCTACCCTTGAGGTTGCTCAACTCTTGGATATGAGCAATTTGGATTTTAAAAGAACGAACGGACGCGGGGAAACGGCCCTTATGACCGCTTTTCGCAAGAATAACATGCCTATGATCGAGTTTCTCCTAGAGAAATACAGCTCCCTCGATGAAGATGAGGCACAGCCTCACCCGATTTTTGCCCCCGGTGAATTCGGCAAGAATATTTTTCATTATATGGCCCTGTCTAAAACTAGTTGGGATGAAGCAGCCCTGAAATCAATCATGTCGTGGTTGGACACTTCAGCTATTCGGGGGGCTTTGGCTGGGCAAGATTTGAATGGAAAAACTCCACTTCATTACGCTGCGGAAGGATTTAACTGCACACAGACGAACTGGTTTTTAGATTCGAAACCGGATATCACTGTTCGAAATGGAGACAACGAAAACATTTTTGATGTTTGGTGCACCCAACTTGTGCTAAAATTTGATATCGTGGATGAATGGAAACCAATAGACTGCGAAATTCTGCGAACTTTCAAACGGCTATTTGATATATCGCCCCAACCTTTACGGCTATCAATTTTGGATACCTTATTATGGCCATGTCAAAATGAAAAGCTCACAGAAATACTCAACTGGAAGCTATTTGAAGAGTACGAAGAGCTGGGGAATTGTCAGGACGAACATAACTGGCGTGTTCATGATATCCTCCAACACTGCCAGCCGCGCCTCCATGACAAAATAAAAAATCCGAGAAAGGGCCCAGCTATTAAAAATATCTTAAGTCCCTCACGAATGGTGGTTTATTACGGTGGGTTTGCTAAGGGCTCCGAGGATGGACTTTCCTGGTCGATACGTAAGATTTCAAATTTAAACCCATGCCTTTTAAATTATTCGAGACTCAGCACTAAAACAATATTTTTATTTAGCGTCTACTGGAGCATACTATTCTGATTGCAAAATTCATGGGGATCATCCGATTCCACCAGATTCTGTATTTTACTTTGAAGTAACGTTTCCGCCAGTTTCAGAGAGAGATAGATACTCCGTGTAAGCAAAACCCCGTCGCTGTATCGAAACTTCGGAGATTAGCCTAGCAATAGGAGTATTGGTCTTCGCTACACATATTATACTCGGTCACTTGAAAACAGATGGCTGATTTAATAGGGAGCCTCAGATGTGATTCCACTAGCTTTATGGGGATACAACAACTGCGTGACGCCGGTGGCCGACGAAACGTCGCCATCGTAGAACAGGAGGATAAAATTATTGTTGAAACGTTCGGCCGCATTTTCTCCGCGGAAACGCTAAATATAAGACAGAACTTCCCATCGGTATTTAATTCGGATCGAGGAGACAAGTCAGAGAAGGTCCAGAACCAGGAGCTTGAGATTACAATCGGATTGGGGGTAAATACATCTTCACTCAGGTTATTCTATACTTTCAACGGTCTGTTTGCGTGCGAGAGGGGGTATGCTCCCCAGCAGCGATATTTGCCTATTGTGAGCCTTTCAGATTGTCGCCTAAGTTGTACCGTAAATTTTGGAAAGACGCCCTTCCAGTTTGAACCAGCTAATCAGAGTGATTGGCAGGATGATACATCGTCTTTCCAGTCATATTTTCAAGGCTGATGGTGCGGCGCTGGGGTATTCTTTTTATATTTAATTTTCTTCTACTCGTGTAACTAAATCTAGCTGGGCATGTCAGTTGGCTAAATTATAATGTTATAAATTTGCAGTTTGTACTTAGTCCCGGGGTAAGATTGGCTTTGTAACTCTAGATATTGATCGCTATTTGCGTGTACTACTTTATATCTTATAGATCTTGTAAACTAGTTAAAGGTTTGATGCTGCTAAATCGCTTATTCTGAACTAAAAGGCACGAGTTTCTGTTTTGGCTGTCCAAATTGCAACACTTATCGAGCTATCGACATCATCAGTATTGTGATAGTGATGTTGAAAACCCCGCACTTGCCCATGGCATTTACAAACGGTTTTTTTGGAGGTTAAAAGTCTTTCTAAAACTTGCTTGCACTTATGGTCTTTGGTTTTAAATTTTGAGTATAGAAGGGAAAATTCGAAACGGGTTGTGGGAATGGACCCGTGGGAAGACGGACGATTTTGATGCACGCCAGATGCATGCAGGGGATTATCTGTACGTTAAGCCGATTTTGTGAGTTTTACAAAAGTGGGTTATAGCTACGTAGAGGAATCTTTCGTCACCCCTCATTTGAGGATTGAAGTTTATAAATGACCCTTTGGGCCCTCTTTCCATTAAGTCTTTTTGAAATTTCTATTTCATATATATCGATATTTTCAAATTGCATTTTCGTCTCTCAGGCTAAGGAGATAAGACAACACACTTTTGACTTAACTTTTGTTGTATTTTACGGCGAGATCAGTTAGTTGAATATCAATACGATGTCTTCAGGCGAGGAAACTAGAAAGGAGGCTTGTCTTCAGTTATTTCATTGCGAGAATGACCTTCCTGGTGGACGGATGCGCTTGGTAAGTTTTATACTCAAATTTTGCGTCTTTTGGCTATGAAAGCTCCCTCGGTCTCCTAGAATCCAAATTCGGGGGGGGAGGGGGACGTAAAAGATCCAGTTTACTAATTAATTGACACGATATAATTGACTTATGATAGATTGTGGAGCGGCAACATATGTGGGAAAATGGACAAACTCTCACCGTGTCGTTTTATGACGACCCGGAACAGCATTCTATGGGTATGCACACAAAGACTCCTAGATATAGGCACTTGGTGGAGCATTACGGGCGGATGTGGGAGCGGTGGGCGAATATTAAGTTTAAGTTTGTGGATGATGATAATGCTACTATTAGGATTACTTCTGCGGAAGATGGTATGTTTCTCTTTTTTCCTTTTATATGCTTTATTTCGTGGCTTGTTTGCTACAGTGGTTGTGAATATATTAAATAAGTCTCATCATGGCCGTGCATGAAACTAATTCTAAATCTTTGAAATCCAGGCTCCTACTCCGCAGTCGGCACACTTGCCAGAGACGACAGCTACGACAACCGCAGAACCATGAACCTCGACCTCGACGGCAATGAACCAGTTCTAAACTTCTCAAGAACAGCATCTCACGAATTCGGACACGCAATAGGTTGTAAACACGAACAAATGAACCCCAACTCCGGACTTCACTGGATTCCAGAGAACGTGGTAAAATGGTATCATGATAATACGTCGTGGAAAAAGGCTAGTACGGTTTATCATGCTTACTATAATTTTCAACCTATGACTGAGGCTCGGGGATTTGAGAGCTCACAATGGGATCCGAAGAGTATTATGCACTATCCGTTGCAGAAGGAGTGGACGAAGGAGGGTGTTGTGGTTGAGAGGTCGAAGGTGCTTTCGGATTTGGATAAGGAGTGGATTGGGAAGAAGTATCCGTTTAGTGATTCGCCGGGTTTGTAGTCTTCCCCTTCCCCTTTACACTATAATTTTACACTTTGTTTGAAAGAAGTACGCTAACTTGGAGGATCTAGTTTCGGGTGCTGGTGCGGATAAGTTGCTAGATAGAACCTCGTATGCCGTCGTCGATGGATACGAGTACAGAGCAGCGAAGATGTACCTCGTGAGTATCATCAATTGAGCAAAGCCTTCAAGCTTTTAAAAAGAACCTTAGGCGCTAACAAGGCTTCCATGTAGAACCTTTTCTGCCAATCCAACTCCTATAGTCTTTACAAAGTGACTTACCTATTCAAAAACGGAAGCCCCACTGTGCTGGATCCTGATTGGGAATCTGAGCGTATCAAGCTTCCTCTTCATGGAGCAGCTGCCCCAGCTCCAGGAACCCCCCTGGCTGTTATTAGATACGGGGTGGAAGATTTCAAACAAATAGTGCACCTCTTCTACCTCGATAGAAACGATTACATTCGAGAATGCATCTTCGTCAATAGCGAACTCAAGTGCGCCAATAAATTGAACACCAAAGCTGCGTCTTACAGCAGACTTAGTGCCGTAAACTGGCAGGGTAAAGATGAGGAACATATCAGGTAAGCATAATACCGTTGATCGAATTACTACAAACTCGGACCAAATCTTAACACAAAAAACAAATTAGACTATTCTACCAGTCCGCAAGAGACGACCATATCCAAGAATACGTCGGATTAGCAAAATGGAACAACAATAACGCCGTATCTTGGTCAATGGGTGCATACGTCGACATCGGAGACGAATACCCTCTCCCAGGCTCAGAATTATCCTTCGTAAATCTAACCTGGGATACCCCCTGTATCCGCGGCTTCTATCAAAACACCGCCGGAGCTATCAAACAAACCAAATCCACAGGTGGGAAATGGAGCCTTATCCCGAACTGGATGGTCTACGGTGTTCCCTACGCCACTTCATTCGCGGCTATGGTATGGGATAAAGGCCAAGTAGGCAAACACAAGCCCCTTCTATACTACAGAAATTATGAATACCCAGGCTCCGATGACCAATATGTCCACAAAATCGACCCAATGTCCGATGATACAGAAGGACAGGTCCTCGGATCTGCTAAGATAGCTCACAACTCCAGATTGGCGTTTAGCGATAGCGATGTTGGGTTTAGGGTATTCTTTACTACACCGGAGGGGAAACTTATACAAAAAGTTTCTCCCGGGAAAGGAAAGAGCTTTGGAACTGCGGCGGAAATTAAATTTGATTGGAGTTCTAATTTGGGACAGGGTGGGGAAGATTCGTGGGGTGATGGAAATGATGATAATGCTTGGGATAAGCCGGGACCGGTGAACAATGATGGCTGGGGTGATAACGGATTGGTGCAGCCGAGTAAACCGGGTCCACCAGTTAGTTCAGGAAAGAAGGGACCTTTTGGGTGGTAAATTAATGTTCGCATTAATTGGTTCGCGAGAGGACTACGGTTGTGCAAGTTAATACGTATCCATGTCGATTGGAAAAATAAAAATATCAATATGAGTTTATGAAGTTGATACTACTATAATATTTTCGTGCTAAACTACCTACTATATCGAGAGTATATAACTCTGAGAATGCTGGTAGTAGTTATCAGGGCCGCTGGTCAGTACTAGTTAGTCTGTTTTGAGCAACCCTGAGCAAATTAATGTAAAAACATATCTAATGTTCATCTGTAAGAAGAATTCGAAGCAATAGATTTTGCAGATTCTAGTAGGCAAAATCAAGTATCAATAACTATCCAATAAGTAGGGACTGAAAAAACTTTCCCTACATAAAGACTAAAAACCGTCAAAAATATTTTGCCGACGTCTCGTATAACCAAAAGTGCTGGAGAGAGGCGGCCACGGCCATCCAATTTATTGATAAAATCCCGCCAAAAACTAACACAAAAACAACACATACTTGGCTCATGTGTTGTGGCCTAACCTCATCTTTCCGGATAGGGTTTATAAGGGGGCTGCTGCCAAGGACGAGTCTTCAGTTGTAAAAGGATCAAGGCTGCCAGTCGATCTACCAAGCTAAGCTACACTGCACATAGACCCAAATATTAATCCGCGGGGTATAGATAGAGAGTGGAACTCGAATCACATCTTATGAGTCTTAAAGAATGAAAAGCCATCTCCGGAACCGAATTTCAAGGTTCTTTGATGGACTCAAAGGTGCCTCTGGAACTCAACAAAAACTGAGAGAACCAAAACCGATAAAGGCACTTCCGCCACACTTTGACCCTGCATTCCCTCTAGAAACTTTGCCTTTCGATATCAAGTACGCTCTACTAGAGGCAACAACTTTCGTCGACTACGACGCATTCGTTTCACTAATTCTTGCATCTCGGGCTTATCATGAGGTATTTACGATGCATAAGCGCGGCCTAAGCCGTGTGGCGCTGTGGCACGATGCTCTGAAGTATAAAGAGGAGAGTTTCTTTGTCGCCGCTGTACACGATCATTTATTAGATGCTTCTCGACATATTTCTAGAGAGGAGTCAAAGAGGATTGAGGATGCCTATAATGATGCTATAGACCCGAAGGGGTTTGATACAGAACCATGGTATTATGCGACTATAAGGGAAGGAGGCGAAGAAATGGAAAATAGAATTGTGCAGAATCATTTGGCAGTTCGACGGTTTGCAAATGTTTTTATAAGCCGGACGATGTTCCCGCGGCTACTAAGAAGAGTGGAAGAGTTGGAAGAGAATCAAACACAAAAGGGCAAAAAGAAGCAGCAGAAGCAAGAGCAAGAGCAGCGTCCGGAGCCATCTCGAAAGTTGGGAATTCACCGGGGCTTGGAGGGATTGAATCCAAACGAGCCACCAGCAACTATCTCCGAGAGACATAGAATAATAAAAACGATTTATCATCTATCTGTCTATATTCTAATCTTCTACTCTCGGATGCGTGGTCATAGAGAGATTGAGTATACGCGAGGGACTCTCAAATTTATATTGATATGGGGTTATTGGGAAACAAAAGCGGTAGATATGTTACTCGCTTGGTTGGGGATGGAGTTTAGTCCTTTGATTTACAAACTCTTCAGGCAGAGAAGGTGGTGGTGGGCTTGGAATGAACATAGTCCAAGTTTTGAAGGTAAGTTTATCAGCACACCTCTTTTTGTATACATGTACCGCTTATATTTCTCACTTAATTTTTGGATTTACTTTAATGGAATTGCTTAATAAACTTAGAGCCCGACGCCCACGCTCACATTTACGGACCTGAGATGCGAGAGGAACACCAGAGCTGTTCGTTGTTCGCCTTATTGGTCCATGAATTCCCACTCTACGCAACAGAATGGATAACTTCATTTAATCCTCACTGGAATGACTGGCAACCTCCAGCAGATCGTTTCGAGGCTATGAATGATTGGACATCCAAGCTCGACACACGAATTGAGACTGGCTCGGCGCATTGGATGATACCTCGACTTTTGTATTATGCAAATCATACGGATTCTCCCGCCCCAGAGGTGGAGCTGAAGCGAATATGTGTCCAAGGGCGAGAAACATTCCTTAAAAAAGCGGATTTTCTGTCAATGGTTAGGTTTTGGAATGAGGATGAGTTTTTATGGGGGCATCCGGAGCGGCAGAGAGTGGATCCTTGGATGGTAATATGGGATGATTGGAGGTTGGAGAGATGGGGTTATGCTCTCGCGAAGATTATATAGAGAGGTGTGATACGAAATATGCATATATGGAGAGTTCCAACTGATATAATGATAATCATAAGCGTTTGTTTGCATGATCGAATATATATAATAACATTCATAAGTTTCGTAAACATCTGCAAATAGTAAGAAACAGAATCGCCCTAAGTTTTAATTAAACGGGTTATCCCCAACAGAAACTAACCTACCCCCCAAAATTACAAATCAATGGAAAGGATTCCTGTCTCAATCTCATTCCACAACTTCTTGAAGATACCCTCCATAAACTTCTTTGCATCACCAAGTGTAAACTCAGTGGTAAAGTCCACCCTCTTATTCGCAACATCACCCATAATTCTGGCGGTAAATCTACCATCCTTGTGGAGAGCGCCCAACTGTGCAGTCATGATAATAGTCTCGATATCGAATAGATTACCGAGAGCTTTGGCTGCCCATTGTGCAATTCGAAGGCCAGTCTTAGAACCCTTCTCAACAGCGTCAACGCCCTTTCTTAGGAGATCCATATCACCGATGTTCTCCTTGGCGATTTGCAAGGCCTTCTGAGCGGTTGTAAATGCGATGTATTCAGCGGTTTGCAGAAGTCCGTCAACACCTCTTTGTAGACCGGAGAGTAACTCAGTAGATTCCTTGAGATATCTGTCCAAAGCCTCCTCCGCAAGCCTCCAAATCTTTAGCTCATTTCCGGCAGTCTTGGTAAATTGAAGACCTTGTTGAGCGCCATCGATAAGGCCATTCTGAGCGATGATGACACCCTGAAGGGTTGAGCTAGCAGCATCGATAGCAGTTTTGCCAGCAATCTTGGCAGCTTCGAGGGAACCTCTGGCAGCGAACATTGAACCTTCGGCGAGTTTGTAGCCGGGCCCTGTGACAATGGCCTTTGCGCCACTGAGAATTAAGTTGGCAGCTTCGAAGGCGGCTTTCTTGGCTATTGGTAGGTAAATGATCAGCTTTCTGATATCTAACGAATACATTCGGGTATCTTGATGACTTACCTGCGTATTCGGCAGCGATTGGGGTCATTTCGAACCCAAGCTTAATTTTGTTGAAGACATTCGCCCGGTCAATTTGGCGCTGCTTATCGCTCATCCTTCGTTGCACGTCATTGAGCTCCCCTAATCAGAAGTGTTAGGAAACTCGTCGAAGTAGTGTAATATTGTGGAAAATGACTTACTAAGTTTGTTATTGACATCATTTTGAGCCTTCTCAATGTCTTTGGTAGCATTACCAAACCTGCGGTCCATGTCTTGTTCAGCATTAATTAATATCTGTTGCTTTGAGCTGATCTCTCTGTCGACATTTCCCTTCGTCTGTTCAAGTGTTCCTCTAGCCTTTCCAATTTCGGAAGCGGCTGTGATTTGTGTTTGTTCGAGCTTTCTAGTTGCCCTATCAACAGCGGCATCATATTCTCCCTTTGCCCTTCTGACGTCCTCCTTCAATTGATTCACACGGTTAGTTTGCGAGGTCTTTGCGTCGTTAAAGGACTTGTTAACACTATCGGACTTCGCCTGCCAAGCCTTCTGTGCCTTTGCGAGTTCACCCTCTGCTACTCTAACACCTTCTGCGAATGCCTTTTCAGCACGATCCAATGATGCCCTTGCTTCGTTAAAACTTTGGGTAGCAGCGTATTGTGCGGCGAGGAATTGAGCATTGACTTGTGCCATAACGTAGTTGACAATTTCTTGTTGCATTCTGGCTTCGACATCGAATTCAACACCACCAAGGCCACTCTTTGCGGCAGCTCCCTTAATCTTATTGCGGGCTTTACCTTTAGCTGTCATCTTGAAGAGGTCTGTGAAGGCCATTTCAGCATCGAATTCAAGCATCATTTCTCCTTTGCCTTGCTGGACGGCGTTTAAGTAGAGAGCCGCGAGGAGCGGTCCAAGTTTAGCTTCACCGTCGAAGAAGACTTTATGAGTAGTTGCAGTCATCTCGATATCAAGAACAAGGTTCTGCCCTCGTCGACCACGAACAGAGAGTGGGCCGAGTTCGAAAGCGTCCAAAGCACCCTTGATTGCTACACCTGTTTGGCCCATTGTGCAAGCCATCGAGGCTCTCTTTCCGAAAGCCAGGATAGATCCGCTGGCAGAGAATCCTGGTGGGAAGTATCTTGTTCCGATGGTGACACCAGATGACATGTACATAGACATCTCTTCGAAAGTCAAGAAGTCCGAATCTGGGTCTGGCAGATTCAGCTTTGTGACCTTACGAGCGAAGTCTACAATATCATCGATAGCAAGGTTCTTTACGCTACCACTGATGAGAAGATCACCTGGGTTCTCGCTGATAGCGAGCGCAACGGAAGCTTGTGTCTTGCCAAGTTTGATTCCTCCAGTGATTGCAAGACTGCTTGGAGTTCCGGTGGAGAAGAAAACGGCATATATGATGCCCATTTGGAGGGCAAGGTCCCCGATCTCGAGCTGATCGCTGATACCAAGTGGATTTTTCCAGTAGCCCAACATCTCACCGTAGCCATTAGCACCAATCATATCGGCATTGAGACCAAAGGCAAAACGAAGAGGGTCGACCTGGTTTGGAACGATGAGATCGAAGCCAGACTTGAGGGCGAGGGTTGGGCCATTATCGGTGACTCTGATACCAAGGGTGAATGGCGTTGGGCGAAGGTTAGAATTCTTCATAACCATCTAGAATAAAAAAGAACATTCTTTAGTGTATATCCATGGAATTGGTTTCAAGATTCGGATTCTTACCACCGCATTGTCGTTTGGCATGATGATATCCAATCCAAGCATGCCGCTACTGTAATATGCCTTTAGGGTTAGTGCTGGATTACGGGAACGAGTCAAGCTATCGATTTCGTCGATACTGTCAAAGGCGGCGAGGAGCTGAACTCCCTTTGTGACAGCATAATTGTATGAGTTGAGGAAGCCAGGTGGTGCAATGGCGTTAGCACTGCTAGCCATGAAGGCGATATTTCTGAGGCTAAAGTTGAGGAAAGATCCCTCAAGTGCTGGCATAAGTTTGCTTGCCTTAAGCCCATTCTTGTCCTTGAATTCTCCGTATACAATCCAGGCCTTCTCGGAAGTATTTGCGGCTCCAGGAGTGGAACCTGCAGCAGATTTGCTAAAGAACAAGCCAGCAGATATCTCCAAACCACTGAATGTGACAGACCCACTAATAGAGAAACTAGCAGGGAGCGGACGAACGACAGCATTTGGAGAAGCAGACTTCGAAGCCGAGAGTGGAATAGTGATATTGATAGCCGCTTGGGTGAGAGTGACTTCTCCAATTTTGACGTTGTTGATAGCACCGAAAATGGAGATGCCAGCTTTCCCAATAGCAATTCTAGCTGTCGTAGATGTGTAGCCATCAACTACGACGGTACCGGCTAGAACTATACCAGTAACACTGGATAATTCGAACTGAAGATCCTCGAATACAACTTCGAAGTCTGGCTCTTCTAAATCAACCTTAAACAACTTTTCTACTGCATGGATAAGATCGTTGAGAGTGAAGCCTCTTAACCATGCAGTAAGTTTCGTTTCAGCAGGGCCGTGTGTTCCAGAAATATAAAAATCGGTGTCGCCGAAGTTCATAACAGCCGTAATTCCAAAAGCAATATTCTTTGTGTTAGGATTCGTGGTAGGAATCCGGGCATGCATCTCGACATTTCGGATCTATATGTTGCGGTTTCTGGGTTAGAAGATCAAATTTCTTAAGAATTCAGTAAAGATAGACCGTAAACTCACATCAAAGTCCCTGATACCTAACGCATCTTCCCAGGGAAGGTCCCCAACGACATCAAGGGCAAAGTTGATGAACCCACTAGACTGTCGAACGACAACTGACATTTCTAACGGGGTGACGCTACCAGGGAGATACATAAAGGCAGTACCCATGAATCCCCAACCGAACTTCCAAACCTCCTTCATCGTAGGAGTATGCACCAATTCTTTATTTGCTCTAATCTCTACTCCGAGAGTAGCAATTTCAAGACTTCCAATCCTAATAGAGACATTCTCAAGCATACCCCAGACATCCAGCCCTTGAGGGCGTGGAACCTTGCCCCAATTTACTGTATTAGAGACAAGAGCTTTCATGTGCAGGGCAGGTCTAGTTTGTCCGAAAACATCCCTAAGGATGTCGCTGACCGGCTGTAGAGGGCCACTGAAAACGACATCGGTATCAAGCCAGACTCCTGGAGTCGTTATAGAAGTCAGACCGCTAACGTAACTAAGATTGACGTTCTCGAGCTGGATGGCATTGAGGTCCTCGTTATCTGCCAGAGACGGGATAAGCTTTCCCAAGCTCACAGACTCCGCAACCTTGACATATTCTTCAACCCAAGTAATATGGGAGACTGCCGTGCCGTAATTGATATAAAGTCTGGTTCCTGGTATGATACCAAAGAGTTTCTTGAGTTTACCGCTAAGAACAAACCCCGAGGGCAGAGCAGCACCGGCAAGGAATTCTGGAATTTTCTCTACCGGGACAAAGGCCTCTTTGCCATCTTTGCCCATGTAAACCAACGCGACATCGGATATATCAGTCCCGTTGACGTTGAGGATGAGTTCCTCTTCGTCGTCGGCATGTGAAGCAATTTCGTTAAGGACATCGGCTGCGGGGAGCTGATCTGGAGGGATCGATTGTGCAGTAAGAACTGGAGCAGCTACGTTACTTGTAACTAGCGTAACTGGAGGCTCCGTGCTAGTAGCTAAGAGTGCACTAATCGCTGGAGTAAGGAAGATGGCCGTCTTCTCGTTGGGAGTAGCGTCTAACGCCACGGACGGTGGAGAAGGGATAACAGCTTCTACCTCGGCCATGGTAGTTGTAAAGTTGAATTATATGAGATATTAAAATATTATGAAGTAGATGTAGTGAATGCAACTAGGAAGATGAAAAAGCGTGAAGACACGAAGATGGAGGTATCTCAAGTAACTGAAGTATTAATGAAGAAGAGATTTGTTTAGTAAGAAGAGGGTGAGGTTGATTTATAGAAGTGGTGGTGGTGATTTTGAGAGTATTGATATTGTGATATTGTTGGGTTAGTAGGTGATTGTAGGTGGTATATATACAGAAACCGATTTAGACTATAGAGGTTTACTTGAACACTATTAGCACACCTCTCGAGATCGATAGAAACAATAGCTTCAGAGTTGGCCTTTTCTCACTCGATTGCAAATATAGAACGCCTATCTCAGTCCTGCGACAACTCTAAACAGTTCAGCCAGTAAAATGAGCAGAACTCGTCGGATGCAAGTGTTCAAAACCATAACATGCATCGCATTCTGATTTCTGGAAGCTGCAGCGGATTGCATCGATTCTTGCCGGGCTGAAATCAATCTCTGCTCTACAACCCTGCACATGCACGGTGTATTGCATTGCATACCACTATAATAGGTTTCGTAACTAAGTAATTCTCCATATTGGAACGACGATGTTGTTCAGCCCTCTCAGGCCAAGTTGTGTTAGGAGCTGGCCAAGGACCAATACCCTTAAGGACACCTGACGTTAATTTAGCGGATGGACCCCTCCCTCAGCTTCGCAAAATTTCGCCAGGGCAAATGCGGCTAGATGCGAGTGAACGTTTGTATATCTTAATATCAAGATGGACGGTGAAGTTTGCCAATTGAAGTGGAGTCCGAACATCCATGCAATGCATGGCGTATTCGCATCGAATTGAGTGGAGGAGACCACGAAACTAAAAGCGTGTTGTCGAGACCAGAGCGGGCGCCATTGGCTAACGTCCACAACTTAGACTGTTAAATGCCGCTATCAACATCCTGGCATCTATTCTAGGGACATGTACCTCGAATGTCTCGCGGTTCGGTATGTTCATACAGGTCGGTAGGGTAGCTGTTCCGAATACGGCCATTTGCCATGGTTGATACCACCACTTTGAACCGGACTCGAATGCATTGCTACCCGCCCCCCACAAACATCACAACCCCGCATGCACTGTGCCACTGCCGTAGAATCTTAAATTTCCATCTCAACAAAATATCGGCAGACTCTCGCCTTTTCTTACCGATTGAGGAAGCATTCCGCGAGGTAATGATGCAATTGAGACGCAAGATCTGACGTCTAGAACACAAAGAAGCATGAGGGTTACAATGCTAACTATTTCGATCTCGCTTCGGCGTGACGGAACATCGCTTGCTTCTTGTTCGACGAATCGGGCGCCAGGACCATGCATGGATGGTCCCACAGGGCTGAAAACCAAGCATGGTCATGGGCGGAGCTCGGAACTGAAAGTGCTAGATCTGAACACAACATGCATGGACGGCTCGCCGTTGATTGGATGTAAGTTCTGCATAGAATCTCCCTGATGTTAGTAACATAGAACGAACATCTATCTGCATATGCATATGGGGCTGACGTCTACCAACATGGTACCTTTACAAGATACCAGAAACCTTGCTTAATCATCCTAACTACTAATAGAATCGGGCCTTACGGTCCAAACTATAGCCAAGTCAATATAATAAGTCAAAGCTGAGTTCTCCTACCAGCCTCAAAGCTATAATTGACACGCGCCTAGACTAAAAGATACCAAGATTCAATTCCGAGTGCGATCCCTCCATAGTTTTGGTATCGTGTTTCAGGCATTTCCATGGCGCTTTGCCATAGGGCTGAGAAGTCTGCTGGCTTATCGGGAAGAGAGATATTAAAACTCAATTTAATGTCGGCAATTGATAGATTTAGGTGTTTAGAATTAACTTGGCCTAGGACCGGCTCTTCGTTGGCTTCTGCGCAGCTGCAGGTAGTGATTCTAACCGATTGCAACAGAAAACTGTCAGCTGGACTGCGGAACAGATATATTCAAGCTTATGCAATGCAAAACCAGCCGCATCTGCAAGGATCAGATACTGCAATGCATTAAACAAAATAATTGGCTGTCGAGGCTAAAGACACCAATATGCGACATGCGATGTAGCTGTTGCATATGCGGGAAGGTAGAGACCACCGTGACTATCAATCGCCCAGCATCGAATCCGAGAGCCATCGCTTTTATGCTATCCGAAACCAATTGCGGATAGTTACGAGTAATTCCCAAAAGATCAACTTCCACTCTACTATCAAGGCTAAGGATTTGTTTTATATATATATGAGGCAGAGATCCTCGACGTTCAACTTCACTAACAGTAACAAACCATACCTTCTACTTAGTATCCCATACTACAAACATACTTGCAAAATTTCAGAAACCTTCTTTCCTACTATCTTAAGCTTCATAAAGTCTAATAACTTCCTTTCCATTATTATCCGTTAATCTTATCTATTGTTTAATTCCTCTTTTCCAATTGCAACTATGTCCGTGGAAAATCCAAAGCCTGTTGACCCAAATCCCACCGTGGATGCAGAAGAAAGGGAAGCCGAGGCGCAAGAAGCCCTCGCAAATCAGGAACTCGTCACCTGGATTCCATATATCTCCACCAAAGCCCCCGAATCTAGGCAAATTCTGTATACTCTCGCCAAGAAAAATAACAACAATGCACCTGCGGTGATCGATCATCCATACTACATTGTCATGCGTGGGTCTGACCTCGACTATTTTACGGAGAAAAATTATTTCGAGCGACCTATTGAATTCCAGTCTGCTGGGATTTACTTTGTGAGCATGTCTGAAGTTGCATCATGTTCTGGACAACTCTTGATCGGCAGCAATAAAGTAACAGGCACCAAAGACCAAGTCACCGGGAAGTTCACGAATGCCACAATGTTGGAAATTTTTGATATCGAGGGTAATTATATCAAAATTACCGTTGGATTCACTCGAGCCGTGGGCTACAAAAAATTCGCAGAGTTGGCAGCGCAGACTTGGTATGGCTTTACATCCGAAGCCAATCACACCGAAGCGAAAAAAAACCACCCAGATATCGATACTAAGACCAACAGCATTATCTTCGGACCCAACGCTGGATTCAAGCCTGTTCTTGAATTGAATGAAAAGCAGAAAGCGGATAATGATGAGAATAGTCGAGCACTAGCGGACTACTTCAAAACAGACCTCATAAATCGCAAATATAAAGCCGCGTTTTATTATAACGATGTTGGAACTGGCGCCGATATTAGGCCGGCAAGCAGATTTACGTGGTTTAAACGTGCCACGGTGAAGTCGCGATATCCAAACGCCGAAACATTGGCGAAAGAAAAGGGACTTTACGTTCGTCTCAATATGGAGGATTTTAAAATATCCACCCTCGATGTCGGTTTTGGGGCAACTAATCCTAGTAGATGTTACATAGAGAAAGAACATTTTAAGAGTGTCTGGGCAAACACTACCTTTGGAGGCCGAGAGATAGTCGGTGAGCCGAGGAAGAGACCTGCGCCGGACGAGGAAACCGAAGACCCGAATAAACCTAAGGCGTCGAAACCGGGTGAGAGTACTGATGTTGGTGGTAGTTCAACAGACCATGAGAAGGAGAAAGAAAAAGAGAATGAGATGGAAGAAGAGGGGGGGAAGGAAGAAAAAAAGGGAAAAGAAGAAGAGAAGGGAAAAGGAAAAACGGACGAAGCAATCAAACCGGGTGCTAGACGTTCTTGGGCGACGGAGATTGGTGACGATGAAGGATATGTCAGCAGTGTCGTTCCACAGATTTATTTCAGGGACGAAGCTGGCAAGGTCTGGGCGAAGAGAACCAGTGATAGCCAGAAAGTCAGCAATTTCATGCATTACTATGAGAGGGGTACCACTCGACCAGACTATGGGAGCGGACGGTTCCCGCGAGCTATCGATATGAAGAAAATCACCATCTGGATCCATCCTCTGATCAAAGACGAGGAAAGATATGGCGGTACGGCGGAGAAGCCTCGTGAGAAGCTTGCTAATATTTTCGAGAAAGCCCGCTCAACTTCGATGAGCACAACATATAAATTCTTACCAGCCGACGAAGGGGTTGACAAAAACACATACACTTGGGTACGTTGCTCATTCTATGGATTTCTCGCTGAATTAATATGCAAGTTTAAGGTTGAGATAATTGACAGTGGTATACGACAGCTTTCTCGCTCTTGCTTCGGAGATTATGATACCTATATCGAAAATACTGTTCTTACAGAATATTTAACGAAAGAAGTTACCGACGAGAGGCAGGTACCCAAGGATATTGACGCCGATATTCTCAAAAAGCTCGAGAAAGATCATGCAAAGGGTATCGCGGCTTTGGCGGCCTTCAATAAAATAACCGGCAAAGACGAGTACACCGATTATACCGCACCGGCGCCCACGAGAATCACGGCCGCTAAAATTGACGCTGCATATGGAACTAGAGCTAGCGCTCTTAACCAAGGAGCTGTTATGGAGGGAATATCCGCTAGTGATGTCAGTAATATATTTACAATCATTTTGAGGTTTCTAAAAGACTATCTGCTAACAGATACTGGGATTAGGTTGCAAATGCTCTTAGCTGGAGTGATATGCGGGCGACCCCTATAAACGGCTGGGACAAAGAGCGTTTTTCAAAGGCCGAGGTAAATAAAATATCTGGTACTAGGCTTCAAGGGCCGTTATTGATACTAATCTCTGTTTTCCTATTACAATTAGTGGCTCCATAGGGTTGGGTACGCTTATGGAGGGCTTACGGATGATGACCCAACGACAAGCCAAAAGAAATATAACTTGATATTTGGATCGTCTGAAACAAACAGTATTATGACCAGGTGCGTGCTTAAATTGCCAAGCTTCTGAATCCCTCTGATGCAACTAACCTTGCATCTTTCCCGTAGATATGAGGATGTATATCGCAACGCCATCATCAGAGAACGTACACTTAGTCAGCAACTTCAGTTGATCTATGATAAGGCATCAATGGCAAACCCCGCGGCGCAGTTTGTCAACGCTACACTTGCTACAAAACTTACCGATAAGGGAGCAAAGCTCCGTCTCGAGGGTAAAAGTTACATAAGAGAAAAAATAGCTGTACCGAAGGCGAAGTTAACCTCCGAACCCAAGGCTTGGACTGATATCAGCAAGCGGTACCCTTGGTTGTGTAGTGGGTTGGAATATGATTTCGAGTTGGACAAGCCAAGTCTGATGTTCAAGGTGGCCAGGAAGTGGAATACCGATTTCTTCCCATTTGACCGTCTTTTTTTTACAAGATTGGAGGGAATAGTCGATGATGCGATTTGCTTGAAGTTGTGGGAGCTTGCTATCCTCGACGCGAAAACCACTATTGATAGAAAGAATGGAGAGGTAGGGTCAAGGGTGATGGTTATTTTGCCGCAGAAGAAGGAAAAAAAGATTAAGGACGTGGAGATGGGAGAGAAGGAAGATGAAATGAATAGCGAGTAATTGTTTATCGGTTGCCTAGCTTTGGGTTATTCTGCTTGCAAGGGACAATCAAAGTGATGCTCATCGCGAGCCCACGGATGAAGTTTAAAACTTTGTTGATATAATATATTAAGTAGTAGATTTAGTGGTAGTAATAGTCAATCCAGTTTCTTTTTCATATCCATGAATGTTTCTAACAATAAAATCAAGTAGTTAATGTTTCGAAGCCTGCATCTAGCTCGATGCTTCCGGGTTCGAGATTAGGTGCAACTAACGTAGCTTGTCTCGTCGCCAGACTCCTCAACTGTGAACGTAGCTAGCTTTGAGTATTGTGGTATTTTGATTATAAAATGTGTTGATAAACTCAACCGCCTCAAATATTCGCTGGTTCGAACCTCTCTCGAATCTTACTTGGGAATAATGATATGTACTATGTAACCTCACGACCAGGTGAGAGGACCAAATTGCTTGCTAGCGCGAGGTTTTGGGGGCTGGTCTAATTATAGGCATGCTGCGCACGCGATTCCGGCCCAGGGAGGCGCCAGGCGACGCATGCAGTGTGCCTACTAATGACATCAGCAACCTTGCCCCGCCATAACAATGAATAAACCCCTGTAATTTTCTGGAAAACAAGAACGATAGTGGTTAGATAGTGGCTGGAATTCTTTTTGAAAATGGTTATCTTATTCCCGGGATACAACTGCTATTAGCGTCGTCGGGCATTCCGTTCGGTCTGTTCGTTTACTATAGTTGTTAGGTTGAAGTTAAGGCCCAGGTCAACGGCTGAAACCAGCAAAGGGCAGGTCCAACCACCTCAAAACAACACTTCCGTGCACAGCATCTCGACATCTTCAACATCCTCCAACTTCAAGCCGGCCTCGCCTTGCTTCAGCAAACCACCTACTAACCGTCCTCTAGCCATCCCATCTAAGTGTTCCCGACTCTCCATGCGCCTCCCTGGAGTATCCATTCCCTGTTCATGGACATGAAACCTCCCTCCACACAGTGCCGATAAAGCCATGAGACCGAAAAGTAGCGCCGCCGTTCTGCAGAAGACGTACGACCAAACTTACCTCATATGCTCGACCGCTATTTACTTCGAATCGAAAGGAAATGAAGACGAAGCACTCCGGTCTTGGAAAGAAGGGCTTCAACTGATCCAGTCATATGAAAGGACCTCGGCTGCTAGAAAGTCGTCTGGCAGCCTTTCCTTAACCGAAAAAGCCCTGATTGAGAGCTTGGGCGATCTTAAGTTACAATGCTTGGACCGAATCGATACAATAGAAGTGATGAAGCTTAGTAGGAGGGAGGAGGAGGAACAACAAAATCTTCTACGGCATTATAACGGGGGTACAGAATCATCGAACCTCAATTCACCGTCCACGTCAGCTTTTGGGGCGGCGCCTGAAATTCGAAACGCAAATGCGTCTCCGTATTTTTTCGTCGGTGAGGAGGATGACGGTGCTAGCCTAAGGCCACCTCATGACAGGCGGCCATCGGGATCCAGTATCAATACATCATCAACTTACAACTTAGGTGGTCTACCCCCGAATGCTGCTACAATGTCGAATTCCCGGACACGATCCTCTAGCCCTGAAAAGAAGAGTTTGCTTGCAACCCTACGAAACTCTAGTGGGGGGTCCAGCAGCAAAGTCGGGCAGCGACGCCATAATCCCAAACCTACTGGGCAGGAATCCGTGGCTGCTGCTGCAAAAGCTGCCACTAGGGCATGGGGTGGTGGGAGGCAGCACGATAGTATGGGCCGTTCACTTCCAGATAGATCAACCGTTACGATAGGTTCTCGACACTCTGCGGAGACTTCTACTATTGATCTTACTCGTACACACTCGGATGGACAAGCACAGTCGCCCGTTTACTCTTCTATGCATCATCTTCACACCAGCTCGTCAGCATCAAATATTGGCGGCATACCAACTTCACGGTCTGCTCCAGCATCTTCAGTGTTGAGCCCGCCCCTCCCCCCTCCACCCCCTATACCACCGCATGCAACCGTTCCACCTCCTCTACCACCTCATGCAACCCATCAGCATACTCAAAATGAATACTTTCCGGACCCTTTGTATTACATGGTTCCCCCGCACGAAACATGTTCGTATGCGCCCCCCCCTCCACCGCCACCGCCACCTCCACCTCCACCATTTAAGAGCTACGGCCAAGCTCCCGCCTACTCACCCTACGCTACGTACCCGGATGTCTCTAATCTCAAAATATCTGCACCCTCAAGTAACTTGAGAGGTACTCTTGAACCCGAACCGCCCGAATTGCCCCCGCGATCACCCCCTCGCCCGGAGAAGGTAGCCCCACCGCCACCGCCGCCGAAGAAACCCTCGATTCAAGTCCCGAAGGTTCCAACCCCAAGTAGCCGTCTAAATCCTAGGGCACAGGATCAGTCAGAACGGGCGAAGGGCCCCGTACCACCTTCAACACGAAGAACATCACAAGATTTCAAATGGCCTGCAAATCCGACAACAACTCCAAAAATTGAAACGCCTAGGAAGCCATCTCCCGCTAGTGACAAGCCTAGCAGAACCGTTAAGTATGGATTGGCTCGCGAGTCGAGCGATGACCCAAAACCGAAGAAGGCAGGTAAGGCAACCGAAAAAGAGCCGGTTTATGAGCTCGTTGATTCTCCCAATGCTACCGAAACCACCGCAGAAATATCGGAAGACGATGCATGGGAGAAGCGCGTAAAGGCGGCATTGAAGAGCTTGGACAAGGGGGTTGATCAGGGTGCAGCGAAACAAATCCTCAATGAGATCGTAATACACGGAGATGAAGTTCACTGGGAAGATATTTCAGGCTTAGAGGTAGCCAAACTTGCATTAAAGGAGGCTGTAGTATATCCTTTCCTCAGGCCCGATTTATTTCGTGGTCTAAGAGAGCCCGCAAGGGGTATGCTTTTGTTCGGGCCTCCGGGAACCGGGAAGACCATGCTTGCAAGAGCCGTCGCCACAGAATCCAAATCCACTTTCTTTTCGATCTCGGCTTCCTCATTGACGAGCAAATACGTAAGTCCTCAGTCTATTCGATTTGTGAACTATGTATTGATACTGACTGCCTACATAGCTTGGTGAATCCGAGAAGCTCGTTCGCGCGCTTTTCCAACTTGCAAAAGCTCTCGCCCCATCCATTATCTTTATAGATGAAATTGATTCTCTTTTATCCAGCCGGAGTGGTGGCAATGAGCACGAAGCTACACGACGGATAAAGACGGAGTTTTTAATCCAGTGGAGCGCCCTGCAACGCGCCGCCGCCGGGAAGGAATCGAAGAGTACAGATTCTGGAGATGCCTCTAGAGTCCTTGTTCTTGCTGCTACAAATTTACCATGGGAAATTGATGAAGCTGCACGCCGAAGATTTGTGAGACGGCAGTATATTCCTCTCCCTGAAGGGCCAGTCAGGGTCCAGCAATTAAGAAACTTGCTCGGACAGCAGAAACACACACTTACTGAGAATGATATGTGGCAATTAGAGGGCCTCACAGAAGGTAAGACTACTATATCCCTCTTATCTCAAAATATATGCTCACTTTAAGTGAATAGACTTTTCCGGATCTGATATTACGGCTCTGGCAAAGGACGCCGCGATGGGTCCGCTGCGAAGCCTTGGCGAGTCTCTCTTGCACATGAAAATGGAGGATATTCGACCTATCATGCTGGAGGATTTCAAAGCGAGTTTAAAAAGCATTAGACCCAGTGTTAGTAAGGAAGGGCTCCAACAATACGAAGATTGGGCGAAAGATTTTGGTGAGAGAGCTGCGTAGACTACGAATGATGATTCCCGATATATGATGAGTTAGAGGGTGGATAGGTTGATTATGACTCCTATTTATTATTTGTTCTTCGTTCTCTCTTCTTTATATGCTTTTGGCGGGAGTTCGTTCTTTCTTTTCTGTTTTCAACTTGTGGATTGTTGTTATTAGCGATTAAGTTAGCCTCGCACCCACCGAGTGAGTTACATCACGAGCTGGGTTTCCAGGGTCTCAAATGTTTTCGTTACGGCTTGCATGGATGGGTTGACGGTAGTTTTGGAAAAAAGGATGACATCCTAATGTATGTACATTAACGTGAGATACGCACGAAAATACATTCGTATTAGCCAAGTTTAGATGTTTCGAGGCCAAGTCTAGGTGTGCTACATGACTTCTGATAGAATATGCATAGAAAATATATATACAAAGCGAAATTCAGGGCAAATGTAGAATACCCAGAACTTTATACGCCAGGCCCCGGCACTCGTTCAATTATAGCTCCGTTTTCGCAGCATTCTCAGCCTCCTTATCCAATCTATGCTGCTTCCTATCCGCCCTAGCCCCCCATTTTGCTTCTTTATTCGCCCTTCTTGTAGCTTTCTTTTCAAGCTTCTTATCCTTATCGGCCTGTATTCTCGCATCTCGTTCCTCCGGTGTCTCAATTGGCTTCCGTTCCGATGTACCAAACGGCGAGATGATTTCATAGACGACGTGCTTCTTGTGTTTACTATGCTTTACAAATGGCTGGATACGAACGATATCACCAGCCTCACAGGCAGAGTTTTCGTCGTGCGTAAGGTGGTCTTTTGTATGGTGGAAATACTATCAAAAAAGAAAGATTTGATCAGCACGAGGTCTGGCTCAGGAGCACATCTCGAACCTCCCCCAAGAGCTTACCTTCCGTAATTTCGAGTTCCAAACCGGCGACGGCACACGGACTTTAACCATCTTTGGCATTTTTCCGGCAGACACAACGACACCGACTCGGGTGAAGGGTTTTGAGGTTGATCGTGCAGCAGCTTGGACCGCTGACGAGGAAACGCGGAGGATGGTATTTGGGATGGCGCTCATGGTGGGAGGGTTTTAGGTAATGCGGGGGCGCAGCTGGCCTTGTAATGGTATTTCGAGATTTGGAGGTTGTGATTGAGGAAGTCAGGCCATTGTCGGCCGCAGACTGGTTGGTGGGATTGTTTGAAGTCGAATTTCGAGGATGATATTGGGATAATTGAGGTCGGCTGTGAGCTTGAAGGAAGGTTTTGGCGCAAAATTTTTGTGTTGGGTGTATGCCGCATTCGAGATGTTTGATATTGATGCGGCGCAGTGTTCCGACTGGCCGGTCCGTAGATTCGAATTCGATACTTCAACCTTGATACTTGTACTGAAGTATCTCGTGATCCCTAGTATAACTTAGGAGGTTTAAACCTTTGATATCTAGATCTATTCATCCCAGATGATGATAAATCCAGAGCGCCTTGAAGCTTAGTTACGAGCTAACTGTGAAACTCTCAGAGCGGACAATGCAATGCGGCGCAAAAACTGCAACATGAACAACACGTATTTTGTACAACTCTGTAGTCAAGGCTTCAGCGTCGCCATGAACTCAAAATCATCATCTTGAAGGTTATTTGAACACGAAGTTGTTTAAAGCTGTAATTTATACTATATTAAATTTAATATAAAAAGCAAAAATATAAATACCAAAACGCCATTCAGCCAAGGGTATCTTTCTATTAACTCGTATGCGTTCACATCCCGCACGCAATAAAACAATATCATAGCCCGGCAAGCGTATACGCGTAGACCCCATAAGCCGGTTCAAAGTTTACAAAACTTCAATATTGACTAAACTTGAGGGTCTCCAGGGAACCCATTGTTAGCCATTAACTCCGACCCATTAATAACATTATCCGCCTTTATAACACCCTTGAGTGCTTTCCCTAGAATATGTTTCTTCATCGCAGCTGGATCCAACCTCAATTTTGGATTCCTAACAAGTTCATCTGCAATAATACCCGTGACTGCCGGACAAGCCATAGAAGTCCCGTCTAAGCTCGCAATACCAGTAGCATCATTATTAAATGTGCTGACGATAGAAACTCCAGGAGCATAAATATCCACACACTTTCCAAAATTCGAAAACGGTGCCCGCGTATCGTCGATACCCGCAGCACCAACGTTTATGATAGGAATTTGTTGCGAAAAGGCACCGGGTGAGAAATTACATGCATCTGTAGCAGAATTCATGGCTGCTACCGATACATGCATACCAGCTTGGACGGCCTTTTGAAGAATCATAAAGTCCGATTGTTGGGGTGGTGCGGTACCGACGGACATGCTGATAACCGAGCCCATGAACCCTGGTTGGGATTTCCGTTGATTATGACGGGTAATTGCGGCGTCGATACCGGCTACTATTGCTTCGCCATTTACACCGCTGGAGTCTCCGACTTTGATGCCCCAGATGTTGACATTTTTAGCAACACCATAGTGGAGAGCAGCGATTGTTCCGGCGCAGTGGGTCCTGTTATACATACAAATCAAATTAGTATCAATCACTTATATTGGTTGTAGACTCAAAAATGCACCAAGTGATTTTAGACTTACCCATGCCCAACGTCATCATTGACCTTTCCAAAGTAACTAAACATCATGCGCGCCCTACCCTGGAACTCGACATGATCGACATTGATACCAGAATCCACCACGTAAACATCCACGCCATTCCCTGCCACTTCGTCAAATCTGTAATTATACTTTAAATCCGTCGCTAATCTTCCCTTGACATCGATTTTATGCTCGCATGACAACCTCTGTAAGTTCCAAGGCGCATTTCCCTGTTGGATCCACATCACATCATCCTGCCTCTTCCTCAGACTAAAATCTCTTACACCTTGCTCCACCAGTGGTAAAGAAGGTAATACCTTCTTACTCCCCGGTACAAAAGCCCACTGCCTCATCTTCGTCTTTTCCAAACTAACAAGGGAGGGATTTCCATCCATCCCTTCTGCTTCAGATTCTCTCATATTAATCGTAAACGCCCTTAAATTCTTTCCAAAGGTCTTAATCCCATTGACATCGTAACTTGTCATGTTATAACTTGGCCTTCCGCTACCGCTGACTCCTAGTGAATGTGTCATCTTTTTGCTCCCCTTGGTGCTGAATCCCATTTCATCGAATATTTCAGCCCACGGTCGGGTTTCGTCGTCGGAGAGGATGGCGATGTAGTCGTGAAATGGGTCGTCGTCTGTGGAGTGGGCGACTACGGGGCGTTTGGCACCGGGGTGGAGCCATCGTTTTTCTTTTGTGGATGTAGGGGCGGTAGAGACCGTGGATTGTAAAGTTGTAATTATTAAGGTTGTGTAAAATAGAATGAGTGTCTTCATTGTAATTGTGGGGGGAGGAAATGGCAGTCTGATATCAATGTATCAAGTCTCGGAATCAGTGGTTGTCGATACTTTCACGCTACTTGATAATTCTAATGAAAATAAGAAATGACTAGTAATATGATCGAGCAGGTTAAACCATATAATAAAAAGAATGAAAAAATGAGAGAAGATAAGAGAAGAAGAGAAAGAATGAAGGATAGAAGAGAAAGGAATATTCGACAAATTCGTCGTTAAGAGTACACTGGCTTCAATCGCGCGGCGATATCAGTCCTACCTATGTACACATAAAATAAAAAAAGAAAGAAATGAAAATGAAGAAGAATAAGTTGAAGCACGACCAGCGGAATAGGCCAGCCAAAGCCAACGAACGGAACAAATTGTAACGAACAGTTACGGTATAATTCAATAAGAGTGCCAAATAAGTTCCAAGGTTATAAAATATAAGAGGGGGGAAGACAGACTATAAATTTAGATGTTAAAAAAAGTTTAAAACCCCGTTTTCATTTTGGGAATGGGGGGGTGAGGCCGAATTATTGTGGCTGTCTAGATCTGTTGCGTGTGTGAGGTTGCAGGCTTGCGGCCGCAGGGTGGAACATCGCATGCGCATGCTGCATCTTTTTTTTCAGTTCATGCAGCTGTCTGCGGAAACAAGTGGCCACATTTGGGTAACTAGCCGTTTTACAACTTGTGGCGATTCCGTTCTAGTCTCCAGTAAACGTCAATTTTGCATTGAGCGACTATTAATTTTGTAATAAGAGCTAGCTTGGGGATCGAGGGATTGGGCTTGAGCTAGCTCTAAGGTATTTAATTTTGAATTGATAATAAATGTACCAGCACACATGATCTAGTAGTATTCACGTTCTAGCAGCCGAACCGGGCCCAGAAAACCAGTGCAATTTCCGCTAAAAAAAATCGGCTATAGTCACCTGTAAGTATCATTTTAGTAGAACAAGCTAGATCTTGCTAGATCTGGGTGAGACAGAACAAATATTGATGTTAAACATACATACGTAACCATGAATCGGACCCGTCTGTTTGACTACAAACCATTATTTTGAAAAGAAAGGATTTTTAGTCGCGCCATTTGGCAAAGATAATCGTCCTATTTCATTCCTCAACTTGAAATACTCACCGTAGCTAGGCGGGGTTGTGTCATGACTTTGCGACAGGTCTGAAACGGCACTACCGTTTTCGCTTCACAAAGTGGGCTAGTTATGGCGATAAATGATGCGGCATCGACAATCTGGCAGATACTAGTGTGCTTGAGTCGGAACCAGGGCGCTGAAGGAAAACAATTTGGTTTATTCGAGAAAATCACTAGATGCCTCATACTGCATGTTTTCTTTGAGATTGTTAGATTTGGGGATTGGTCAGTGCACGGTTAAGCATACAGTGGTGAGTTATGTTAGCTGTCGAAATTCTTGGCGCTTAGTACATACCTATACATTCCCCAGACTTACCATCTGCAAGATATAAAGAAGCCGCGCTGATATGATAATAATAGAATCTGGACCTATAGGGAATCGGCTTGAGGCTGAACTATTGACATAGTTGCCTAGTATCCGGATTCGGTGTAAACTACCTATATACAAGAAACATCCACTAGGTGGATATTCTACGGGAGAGTCGAATTGTAAACAACCAAACTACCACCGAAACCTATAACGCCGCTCTTGTGAGACCATTACATAGCCTGTGAATAATTTCTTCGGGTAGATATAGACTAGGCTCCGGTGCATCCTACGAGAAAATTACCATCGTTTCGTTTGTTGCATCCCAGATACGTAGCGTTAATCAATGTTTCTACAATATGGAACAAAAAAAAGGCTTCCCCGAGTATATACATCGTCCCCTCATCTTGTTTTAATGTGTACACAAAAGACAAAACACGCTCAGAAACGGCAGATATCTAGCCATATCAAAAAGGGGGGTTCGATGAATCCTAACTATCTGTAGGGTGCATCCGCCCTGATAGCGGCCGCCAGCTCGGGTTCCCACTTATCACCGTTGGATAGTAGCTTCTCCTTGTTGTAAAGTAGCTCCTCACGAGTTTCTGTAGCATATTCGGCATTGGGAGCTGTGAAGTTTATGTTAGACTGGTTCGGAATGTATCCTGGGTTGATAAAATTGTTCTGACTCACATTCAACAATGGCATCGACTGGACAACTTTCTTGGCAAAAGCCACAATAACTATCAAATCGAACGCCGTTAGCATCAAATATATCATTAGAATAGAGGCATTTATGGCAGAGGGGTACTAACATGCACTTGGTCATGTCAATATCGTATCTTGTAGTCCTACGGCTACCGTCCTCACGCTCTTCAGCTTCAATTGTGATAGCTTGAGCCGGACAAATCTGTTGGCCGAGTTAGTAGAATCCTAACAATAATTCCTCTCGCCGCGGGCAGGATTCATCATACCGCTTCGCACAACTTGCAGGCGATGCACCTCTCTTCTCCAGATGGATATCTTCTAAGAGCGTGCTCTCCACGGAAACGGGGCGAGATAGGACCCTAAGGGATTCATGTTAACAAAAAGCTTGTCCCTGCCGCCCTGATAGACGGTTTGGTGTCATATTTACCTTCTCGTATGGGTAAAAGATGGTATACCTGTTTGCAAATGCCGCTAGTTAGTATCAAAAACGTCCAGGTATGAAGAATCATAGGGGAAATTTCGGAGATAGTGCACTTACGGCGGCCTGAAAAACTGCTCTAGCACAACGTACATCCCTCTGAATGTCTCCATCATCAAGAAGTATCGTCCAGCCCTATCTAACGCAGATTCGGTTTCACCCCATCCGTGCTGTTGTGGCAGTCTGAATGTCTTTGTACCATGGCCAACTGGTGGATGTGTGATTCCCTTCGACTGCTGATCTTCCTGAGGGGTGGCGAGTAGACGTCGTGGGGTGGTGGAAAACGTTCGCGCCGGTGTATAGAGTATAGAGACGGCACTCCGTCGGACCAAAGCCGACCTTAACGGAATCAATGGGGATGCCATTTTGTATGTAGATAGAGCTCCAAAGCTAGGGGGTCGAAGGACAGGAATTAATGGACAAGGAGGGGGAGACCGTGGCGACGAGGAAGTCGGTTATAGTATTCCTCGAGGTGGGGACTGAAGGGTTTTCGGCGGGTGTTTCAATGCGTCGCAGCAATCATAATCAAAACGACGGCGGATATTGTCGCTATCGGGAGTCGCCCAACGGGTATTAGTCGGTCCTTCCGGAGCAATTGACGTCGGCGTTCGAAAGTTGAGGCTTCTCCGAAGTCGTAGAACGTCTAAATGAGGTCAACAGAAACAGGCAGTTGAGACTAACCAGGCTAATTCTAATCCCGCTCCTCTCATTGGCTGCAGCCGACAGGCATAACAACCGCAACGCAAATTTGTGTTGGCTATTTAAACTACCAGCAATTTGGTGTCATGTCGTCACCGAAGAATTTTGGTTTTTTCGTGTCTTAAATCTAAAAGATCCAAGTTCATAAAAACTAAAAAGCTAGATAATTATGCTTAAAATTCGATAATACGTTTTAACTCAGGCAAGGAATAAAGGTTTTTACAAACTGTTCCTAAAAGGGCAGATATTAATTGGATTTGACCTAGCCTTTATATTCCGCAAAGTACGCACCGTGTTCCCGAGTTTCTAAATTTCTAGTCTAGGTTTAAAAATATACCAAATTAGTTTGATGTTGATTCTAAAATCTTGTTTGATGAAAGAATCAAAATATATATGGTATCGATAGTAGTATATTGTATAAGTACATTATACTAGACGCATCAACGAACAGAAATATACGCCGTATTAAAAATTTATAACCTATAGAACTTAGAAGTCGAAGTATACGGCAAGTTCATATTACATATTATATATCGTAGGAATAGCAATGTTCGTAGGTACTTAAGTAAATATGGTCCCTCTGTTGAGCCTTTACGTAGCATGTTCAAAATACTTCGGGGTTATATTGATCTCGTTCGCGTTCCCAGTCGTCACAAAGGGGGTCTCACTTTGCTCAGGACACTATCTAACAAAACCTAGCCTATACGGTGATGATAATGACAAGATTATATTCTTATATATACGGGGCCTGGTCCGCGGGCGATGTTTGCCATAATCGAGTCAACCCGTTAGACTATACTGAGGGTCATGATGTAAGTTGATCAGACAGGACTATACTTACAAAAAGCCTTAAGCCCAGATGCCTGCCAATATCTGTTACAATAAATTAATAATATTAATTAATACAGCCCTTGGTACCATGGTATCGAGATGGTCATGTCTAACTGGAGCGATATCATATTATTTGTCCTCAATCATAAATGAATACCTGAAGACGAACATTGGGACCGACTGGGCCTGATGATCATATGAGCTCTAGGACTAGGGTTAAGGGAAAGGCATGCGTAATGAACGTTTTGAAATACTCAATATATCGAACCCCGCAGTCGAGTACTCCACTCGATTCCGTTTTTGACTGTCTCAAACTGCTAATTAATTTTTACCATGGTGTGGTTACGAGTCATGTCCATGACGGGACGGTCACCATATATGCATGTTTTCTTGCAAATTTCGAAGAGACATCTTTACACATAGTTGCGTAGTGCAGTAAATAAGTATAAATCAGGTGATTCTAGGACTAATCCCATTAATTCCGCGGGAAATTTCAAAATCGTAAGGACTAATTCCAAGCTTTCTTAGCAAACTTGGATCGCACAAACAGTATAAATACCAAAAAATGGTAAAGATATTAATTGACGACTCGGCATGCCAGTTCCTTGTAGCTAAGGTCTGCTTAGAGCTTACGGTACCTAAAATATTTATAAAACTTGGTGTTATGAGAATGAGTTAAGTGCAATGCAATCGATTTAGAACGGAATTCTTCGGCGGGGGAAAAGGTATGTTCGGGACTTTATCCGCTTAGCCAAAGTCCCGCATGTCGCAAATATGGGACGGAAAACCCTCAACCAAACTTGAACCACGGCATATGCGCATCGAGTTATCATTCTGTATATTGCTTCAATTAAAAAATTAAAAATTAAAAATAGTGAACTTCCAGGTATGTGATTGGGTACGAGACGAGTATGTGATGCATTCCACCATAATTTGCACATATGCACATTTCAAGTAAATCCCAAATTAAGCGTACAACGAAGGCCGAGTGACGATCAGTTGTAGCAAAATACCATGTCTTTCGGATATCGAACATTCCATCCGACAGCGAAGATGGATAGTTTGGGCAATATAGGTCGGAATCCGGATCCGCAGGGCAGTAACAAGTTAACAAGAAGCAGCATGTTAGCACGTTTCAGAAAACAGTACAGCGGAAGCCTTTCCCATAGTCTGGACGGTCATGGCGTCGCCTGACCCTCGCCGGACGGACTGGCACCGTCCGCTTGGCGGCCCTTGTCACACCGCATGTCTACCTCTAATACAACGCAACACGACCCAAAACCTGGATGCATACCCCTACCCGCTGTATGGGGTATTCGCCTATGTCGAGCCAACCGAGGATACTAAGATGCTGCAACCTTTAATAGGAATTCGTCAGATGTACGGGATTATAGGACACAAGAGCCGCGCCGCAGAAGTTCTTATATATAAAGTTTTATTACAACCATGGGACGAAACGGCTGTCTATATCCCATCCCACGGCTAAACTAGCCCCGTCAAGGAGCTTAATGGCCATTGGAGCGATCGAGTTATTGTGCACCCAAGAATCCCCTAGGTGGTTCCTGAGTAAACCAGGTTTCGAGACCATGAGTTACGGTAAGATTATAGGAATTAGGAAAGGAGAAGATCGGCTTGCAAATTCCTTTAGGCTCTTTCGCCGAATTCTTAAAAAAGTATTATTAAAACTATATCATTAAGTGTATAAATAGGGATTCGAATCCCTCTGAAGAGAACTAATTCTACTATAGTATCATCTCATCATATTTAGTATCAGGATCATACTTCATCAACTATATCACCCTCAACTAGATCTATAGATCCGGTAGCCAATATGAAGAGCACTGTCATTCTCGCCGCTGCGGGCGCCCTCGCACCCCTCGTTTCTGCCCACGGCTACGTCAGCCAGGCCATTGTTGCCGGTGTCACATACCCGGGCTGGAACCCAAATGTCGACCCTTATCTTAGCCCAGCTCCTCAGCGAATCTTCCGCAAGATTCCAGGAAACGGCCCAGTCATCGATCTCTCTTTGATTGACGTCCAGTGCAATGGATACACCGATGGTGGATTTGCCACTGCTCCAGCAGCTCTCTCTGCCAATATCGCTCCAGGAGGCACTATTACTGTCCAATGGACTCAGTGGCCAGACAGCCACAAGGGAGTAAGTTCGCTTCTTTAGACAAGAAAATTTAACCCGCTGGGTGGAGCCATAAACTAATGTAATCCGGAATACATAGCCAATTATCACTTACATGGCCAAGTGCCCTGGAAGCTGCACAAACTACAGCCCAGGAACTGCGTAAGTTTCTACTGAAATCTGCTTTTTTAAGATAATAATTGCTAATATTTTTTATAGCAAGGTCTGGTTCAAGATCCAAGAAGCCGGAAAGGTCAACGGCGTTTGGGCTACCGTAAGTAAACTTCCGCTTGTTTCTCGGAAGATCAGGGTTATCTAACATGAGTTCTCCATTAGACTCCTTTGGAGACCAACCCAGCTGCTCCATTCAGCTTCAAGATCCCAACCGGTCTTGCACCAGGTAACTACATAATCCGTCATGAGCTCATCGCTCTTCATGCTGGTATGTACCCTCTTTTTGAAACCATATGACTTGATTAAGCCGCAAGCTAATTATTTCACAGCGTATTCCTATCCCGGTGCTCAGGTCTACCCAAGTTGTTTCCAAGTCACCGTCACTGGATCCGGCACTCGATCCCCACCAAGCTCTAGCCTTGTCTCCTTCCCAGGTGCTTACACTGGCAGCACACCAGGAATCACTTATGATATGTACACCAACACCGGTGCATACCCAATCCCCGGACCTGCTCTCTGGTCTTAAATTAAAAATACTCAGGAAGTATATTTTCGCGGGGGTAGCTAGTACTACTAAACCCTACGGCCTGTAAATACAAACTTTGGGAATCTGACCCCGCCAAGCGGACGAAGTACCCTTGGGCTCATTGCCTTGTCTATGCATCCAAAAATTTCCTTTGTAAATAGCATTTATCAAAGCTCTATGAGCGACGAGATATTACGAATACAGATTTAGGTATATACTAAAGAGGCTTCATAATTATGCGCTACTAAAGATTCCCCTAGAAATAAGAGCGTATGCCGCAATATTCAACACATTGTTTGTGGTATTTTGAATTCTAGTATTGGTTCGTAACCAGTATTGGCCATGAACGTCCTATATATAGAGTACTGTTACAGCATAGTTTGGTTGATACGAGACTAATCATCACCACTATGCATGTCGAATTCTCTAATAATCAGCTCTGAATCTAGACCGAAGATAAACAAGTTAACTAGGCATGTACTACTCTCATACGGGGCCGGCTAGAAATTTATGGGCGTAATTACAAATATTATTTGATGAAAGATATCTTAACCAAAAATGGCCTATACAATAATATCAAGAAACTAAAGCAAATTTTAAAAGACGTTTCGGTAAAGTCAAAGATTATGAATGCTTTAATCAAAAAAGAGACTCAAAAATCAATAATTCGAAGACTATCCGTAAATCCAAGGCGCCAATCATGATTAAACTGGAGATACAGGTTCAACACTTCGGACATCCACAGAGGCTTCACCATCCTTCCCTGCCGTCCGTCCTTCCTGTGACTTCTCCATAGAATCAACATTACCCTCCGTAAACCCAAGAATCCTCGGCGCCTTCTTAATAATCAAAGCTCTAATAGCAGGAACAGAACTGCAGATTATCGCCATATACAACTCCGTTTGCGTCCACGTTGCAACAATGCTGCTATCCATAGGTTTCCCAATCTCTTTACTAAACCAAGCGTTATGCATAACACTCAATCTCATACCACAGCAAATACATGCCAAAGCACCAATACCAAATGTAAGCACCGCAAGAAACCTTTCCGTTGGGGTATGAATGATCTTGAATATCATGGGAAGAGGGATCAACCAAATCACAACATCAGTAACGATATTAACTATCGATGTTCCGAGCTCTAGCTTCCAGACTTTGACAGGACAGTAGGCGTTGAGAAAGTTTAGTCCTCTCCATCCAAGGACTGGGATGCACCTGAATGTGTACCCAAAAAGAAGGGCCAATGAATTGCATGTTACAACAGCAAAGGTGATGATAGTAGCCCATCTCAGTGGTTTCCAAGCTGTCAATTGGTAGTAGAACAATAGGAGAGAAGTTTTAACGAGGAATACGACGATGGGATAGCATATGTTGTTGGCCAAGCTCGAGGATTCAAGAGCGTTGTAATCATCCCATGATTGATCCCAGACGCCTCTATAGTGAACAGGACCAGTCAAAACTGTGAAAAGATCCATTGAATTAGGCCCCCATTTGCGAAGTTCATATGTGAATTTAGTTGAGGATAAACTTACTGTAAGCTCTCATAATTCCAGTCGCCAGAGTTATTATAAATCCAGCGAGAATAATCCAGTCATAAGCCCGAATATACCCCCCAACCTTGAGTCGAGAATATATCCGGAGAGCAAATACTATCGTAGTGATAATCGTTAAAGAGGCAAACAGAGGCAAGAAGTGTGCTGACTGTGTGGGATGACCTAGAGCGGGAATTACTGGGATCGCAGATAGTTGTTAACTCCATGATCATTTTTTATATTTAAAGTTCGGCGATCTCTAATGGGAGTTACTAACCGCCGTTTACGAGGGCGATAAATTCGCGATAAGATTCGCCAGACCCGAAGAAATTGGCCCAAACAACCTCAACCCATTCTTCCGACGTATCCAAAAATTCCGCATACTCTGCTGCGGATGTATTGGCGTTTTGGACGCCCTGGAGCCAATCATTCGTACTTGAGACGAGCTCAGAAGCCACAATGTTAGACTTCTGACCCTCAGAAGTCAACCAAGTAATTATTCGGCAAAGATTCTGAGTGTACATCCACTCCGAGGGCGAGATAATACGCTTCATTGTGTGAAATTTGGAAGAGACTTATTATGGCAGAAACAAGAACTCAAAACGTGCTAGTCATATGTGTCGAATAACTCTAAGGCTCGCAGGGCGTGCGATAGAAATCGATGCCGTCTTGAATCTCTTAATTATGGGAATGCATTCAATATATATATCGCTTGGGCCCTGAGATCTCTGAGCATTTATTCGTGCCCTGTCGATCGAGTGAAACGATAGTAAAATTCTGAACTTACCTTGGAGAGAAGGTCTACACAGGCCTCCTGGGCGATACATTTCCATTCTAAACGCAGGGGCGTATCGGTGCCGGTACTGAAACGGGCTTGCGAGCCTCTGCATCTCGGTAGTCTGCAAATTTACTTCTCAGTTCCGGAATTCCTGTTTGGAGGTATGGCCATATAGCGATTACTACTCGATTAGGTTATTCGGATGTGTAGATAAGGTCCCGCCTGTCAGGTGCATGCTCACAAGGATTGATATCGATATCGGATCCTATGACATTCGGGAAGATACTTCAATACTGCGGCGCATCAATGCATATCCAGCTTCAGCCCATGGCCCATCACATCAATTCTATTAATTGATTTATCATACTGCCAATTATATACCTCTATGCTTCTTTAAGTATGTGCATCTGCAATCACATTATCAAAACATAATTGATATTAATTTTTTTAAATTGGCGGATTTGTTCGTATTGTTTGATAATGCACAAGATGGTTCCTTGATTTCACACATGCATATTCTAACCACTATCCACACAATATATATCGACCACGCATACACGTTATGCGACAGTATACCTCGTTTGAAACCACTAAGATCTACAGATTTCAAGCCATATATAGCCGCGATTTGGTTTATCAATTAGAAAATCTAAACGTTCTGGATACCAAGGTACGACTACAACGAGAATATTTCCTAATTCGGGTAAACTTTTGAGAAACGATGCATCAATGCCGATCCAACAACCCCGCTCAGAACCTCACAAATTTTTTCTAGATCAACTGATTAAACCGATTTTGTACTTATGTGCATTCTTGGTATGAAGGATAGATTATGCAATGGTATGTGGTCCACAGGTGCGGCTTGTCATGATACCTTGATATCATGATACAATAGATCTAGATGATATGATCATCATCGCCGTAAAAATTTTCGCTTCTAGGATTGAAACCCTGTCAAGAATCGGCTTGTAGACATCGATGCCAACGCGTGTGTCTAGGTGTATGGTATCCTTTTATTTCCATTCTAGTTATGTTTCCTTAGCTTCATTTAAATTAAAGTCGAGGAATCCAACTTTCAACTATTTAAATGTAGAGATATTGTATTAATAAATATGTGATTATATATATGTTAATTGATATGTGTTTTCCTCTAAAAGGGTTTTTTGATTACACAGCTTACACAACTACGAGCGAAAGATATACTCAGCGGTCGATATAATATAACCAAGGCCAAAAATCGTAGTTTTTTCAAGTGGCACTACTCCCGATATCCGAAATGCAGGTCAGGTCAGCGGGGCGAGCATGCACGCCGACCAGCCGTGCTCGGGAACGCTAGCGACATTTTATCAACAAGCTCGGTCTGACGTCGGTGGCGCAATCGCCTCGCTAATGGTACCGCTGACTTCATGCTACAGCCAGCTGCAATTTTTCGCTTCCTGTAACATGATTTTCGATTGCTGAATGATCAATTTGGTGGAATTCCGGGTGTGGGGCTCATATCATTTCTAGGTGTACGAGTAGTTGATTTGCATATGCAGTTCCTGTCATCGGGACGTACCAGTTATCTGTTATTCTCCTGCAGGTTTACCGGTAACTAGCGCGCATACACGCTACCCAGATTCCGGGAAGTTTCGCAAATTCGATGGGCTGCAACTGGTTCCGGGGTGTATCCTACCCATTAGAATCACTAGAATCATAAAAAAAATCGTAAAAATGTATAAACTTAGCCCCATGCCAGTGTACCACGTGAGTTCTGCTTCCCGTTTTATTATAGCTATATGCATATATGGTCGTGTTTTAACGGTAGTTATATTCAATGTAAAGGAAAATTCATTCGAGTGTCAAATGAATTTAGACTCTTGTGAAGGAATGATCAAAACTAGAGGCCGTAGCTTAGGCGTACGGTAGGGCCCACAGATGGACAAGGCGCATATGCGCAGTCTCGAGGCTATGTTGGGACTTGCAAAAATTTGAAGCAATCTGCATGCTTTCGCTTAAAAAATGATAGACGGAGTTTCGACAATTTATTTCTTGATAGAGTAGTAAATTAGAGATAACGAACGAGTAAATTCGCTGATCTGCAGGTTTTTACGCAAGTAAGTTGATCAAGTATACCTAGACTGCTTAGAATCCAGAGTATTCCCAACGCCCCCGTAAAGATGGCCCATACATTAGTTTGCTTCGAATGGAAAGGCTGATTCTTTTCGCTTCTTATAGGTTTCTTTGAGAGCGCGAGCGGAATCCCGGAGTCTGGAAGTTTCCAACCTCCAACTTTGAACCCCTCGAATCGAATGCATTGATCGCCATTGCATTAAGGTGCCGAATCCTGTTTTCAGGCTCATGACTAGACTTACGACTGTATCTACTTGATCCCTGTGCAGCTGTAGTTCCTGCATATCTTGGCTCAAGGGCCATTTGGAAGGGTCATCCATGCACCACGGCTAGAAAAACGATATGAAACCTTAAGAGATCCCCAATATATGGAAGACGGGAAGATATCGATTAAGATGACCATAGGATTGATTCGGTATATTTGTTATACGGGTCACTAATAATCTGAATCCCCACCACAAGCTTTTAGGATGGGGTTACCGTCGAATAAGAGCATCAAGCAAGAAAAGACGTCTGAATACGGCTCTGCGCTCCTAAGTAGTCATTTTGGACCGTGATCAAGAAGCAGACAAGCCCTCCTAAGCCTAATCAGGTAGGCTCAGTTACTACCGTCTTGAATCTAAGGCATAGACTCTATATAAGATGAATGATCGGCCTCTGGATTTTTCGATACCTAGAATAGTCTCTAGATCTTCTTGAATGGTAGGTCGTGGTTGCATTTTGACTACTTGCATACCTAGCATACCTGTACATCATCTGGGTGCAGGACTGAGTATCTCTAGCTTTGTCTCACTCTTGTATACTATCTCCATCCAAATTGGTTCTAAACAAAAGAATACCATGTGTTCTCTAAATGTGGCTATATTCATACTTTGCTTTATTCACATATCCTATGGTAGCCCTATAGCCACTGCAGCGCCTTCGGTGGACGGGGTAGTTCGGCCTATACTAGCTATACGCACCGTCGGTCCAGCCGCAGCTCCACCAGATCTTCAAAGAGACGTGGGAAAGCGACAAATCTTAACCGGGACGACTACCGCCCACACAACATTCACATTTTACTCTTCAACCTTAAAAGGCGGCGATTTTATCAGGATAGAAACCCGGACGGAGACAGCAACCGCCAATAATTCCGGTCCTACTCCGAGTTCAAAGTTCAAGTATCATTACTTAGAGCAGATCAAGTAAGACTCTCGTTTGAATTGAAATGAAAAAATTATTTTAAATTCAACAACTGATATATATTGCTCGTCAATAATAGCGTTTCAGTCGATATCAACGACTCTAGGATCCCAACATGGAAGACATACTCTTACTGCAAAGCTGAAACTAGCTATTTCATGTCCGGTCCGACTCTAAACTCTTTATGGATCAGCCCAGTCACATGTTCTCTTAAAATTGTGTATCCAGATCCTAAACTTGCCTCCCCAACCCGGTGCAAGAATACGCAAGGAATAAAATACTACGATAGCGCCATTGGTGCGTCTGTTACACCCGTATACGACTGCCTCCTCAAACAAAACGCAATAAAATTCACAAAAAACAGCAAAGCAATCACCAGATACCAAAAGGGAGATTTTGCTATTTCTAGGCACTATGATTCTAGAAACTACGCTTGGTTCGAAGCTTGCTACAATGGACCAAATGCTAACAAGAGATCCATTCCACCACAACTTCCTAAACGGGATCTCTTCGAAGGAAACGGCAATTGTCCGATTTGGGATTGTTTCCGAGAGAGTGCATTCAACGCAGATCCGACATCATTTTATGCCGGGTGGCCTGATTATTTCGCATGGTTTGGACTGTACAATAGTTCCGCTGGGTGTTCTCTTATCGCTGTTACCAGGGCATGTTTGCTTCATGATTCGGTCGTTTTCGATACTGTATAGCCTTTTCTATATGTAGTGGCGTTTAACGGTTTGTTTTTGTAAAGCTAATGTTTTAAGGGACCGGCTTCTATGATCATTCTTCAGAATTTCACATCTCCTCAGCCTAGCTGTCCGCACTTGTGCCGTGCCTAGTCCTGACGAGTTTAGACGTAATGCAGATCCGTTCGCGCCCGAGATACACCCATCGGTTGTCGTCGGCATGGCCACTAAGGATATCGATTCGGAATCCGAGTATTCTAAGCTCTTTTGATTCCTAGATTTAATTGTTTTTTGGAAAGAATGACAAGATTTCTCCAAGAAATCATGCTTTAATTCGAACCTCGGATCTGGTAATCGAATGCTTGTTCGGTGACTTGTCCTGTGTTGTTCCGTCCAAACTACCACAATAGAACGAGGGTATCTTGTGCTAGTTTTTATAGCTATAGTTATAGTAGTCAATATAACCGAGGTTTACTTTCAATTCGGAAGGTTATTGTATATCTTTTTGACGATAGTTCTAAGCGTGGTGGATTTAGGAAATACAGCATGGATGGAGATAACGGATCCTAGTTATTGCTGCTCGAGTTGCGACGGCGAGTTATTTGGTATTGTCTCTTTCAGTTGTTTCGATTAGAAGCCTCGGAGCTCATGTGGTCTTTGTTTAAAGTTATACTAGCCTTTCGCTATATTGAAATACTAGTAGGTACGGTAAGGTTACCGAGTTAAGTCGATATATTCTCGGTGCACGTACCGCGTTTGACTGAAGGCATGCTAATCGTCTTGATCTTTACTGGCTGGAACACATGCTATCCTCCCGGAACTAGTTAATTCGGGAGGTGTCAATGTCGGCCCTTGGAAGTGGAGTTGGATATTTAAGGTTAACAAAAAATCTCTTGTGAAGATGTTGCATTTGAGTAACTTTCGGGTAGGTGCTTTTAGACTTTGGGCTGGCTCAACCTCAATCCGATATGGTGGTTAGGATACATCGATATTGGGACACGCCAAAATAGCGAATTGTAAGGTGTAGACCCGAGAGCGCATGCTTGCAGATATCAGACCATGTATTTATCTGAACTAGGGCTTGAGTAGCTTAGCCTGATGTTCAATGTGATGGTTCATTTCAAGCAGAGAGAGTTTCGTCATGATGCGTCGCAAGTGAACTTGCAGCCTTCACTATTTCACTTCAGCCTACACTTAAGGAAACCGAATTCCCGGGATATGACGTGTTGCGGGTGAGGTTGAAATATGAAAATCTATGGAGACTCAAGAGAGATCCAGGCCCTTCTCGATAACCACCTGCCTTTCTTCCCTCCTGCATAAATTATGAATATCAGCCACCAAAATCCAAGCTGCCAATGGCCTTCAAAAGGGTCTACTTTGCCCCATTCAATATCACCTTCCAATCGGGGTTACAGCCGACTGTCGAACATCCTATCCCTGGACAGGAAGTTCTTGGCTTTTCTTGGCCGATCCTGCATGTGCGAGTGTATCTTCTTCCTGAGTGGTCAGGTCGACATGTTACACATCTTTCAGGCAACTCGTCAGATGGCCGATATGCACAGTCTGCCTAACTGATTAACATCGAGTTAGGACTTGATCCATCCCATCTAAGAAAACGACGAATGGAAAACCATACCCAGTCTAGTTGTAGCCAGGCGTTCTGACTCCGATCCAGTTGGAGTCCAAGAGCTTGACAACCTATCTTTGAAACAACGTGCTTTAAACTGACAGGGCTCAGGATTTACTCCAATGGGATTCCAAGGATTTTAGATGCATAGCTTGGGAGAACCTGGGTAAGTCACTAAGAATCCCACCTAGTCCGTCTTACATAACGGGACCTGTCGATAGCCATCCATTCAAATCCCAAGAGAAACATCTAAGGAATTGGCTTTCTTTTGTTTCCTTCCCCTCCCGCGATCAGCCATACAGGCCGGGTATACCGATGTTAGGATGCAGATAAAACGGATAACCGCCTGCCGTTATAAAACATCCTCCTGCAGGCTAACCGAAAGACATCACGGAGCTGAAGCCACCGCGTGCACCGCTTTTCTAGTGATCGATCTTGATCCCACCACAGCATGGGCCGATTCAAGTGGATGAAAGATAAGTTCACGAGGTTGAATTAAAATTATACTATGGCAATGAAAGCCGATGGAGAAAAAGACTATAAATCATAGCCGTTTCCCGAACAATGTCGTGATTCTTTTCGGTTCTGTTATCCAAAGCGCTGGCTACACTTTAGGATCTCTTTTAAATACCAATACCTTTATATATACACATTTATTTTATTTTTTTTGATTTATCATATACCCTATTTGGTAACCATGAAGACCGCTACCATTGTTTATGCCTTGGCGTTGGTATTTGGCGTGACCCAGGCGGCCCCATACCCTCCATCGCACTTATTGGCCCGTAGTGCTGTATGTAATCCTTACAGTCCTAATACCTTTTGTTACTTGGCGATTTATCACAGTAAACTGATAAGATATTTTCCCACAGCCCAACGTACCCACTGGCGAGGATGCGAAGTCCAAGCTCAACAAGCTTACAGTCTCTGCATCCCTACCTGGCGCTGGGTATAACAGAAAACTTTTCCCTCACTGGATAATGCAGCACGGTGAATGCAATACCCGCGAAGAAATCCTTAAGAGGGATGGTACGAATGTCGTTGTTGATGCCAAGTGTGTTTCCACATCCGGCACATGGGTTTGCCCATACACTGGTCTGCCATATTATCAAGCGTCTGATATCGATATCGACCATATGGTTCCATTGAAGAACGCTTGGATTGTAAGAGAACAGCACTCAGTTTTTAGAATACATGGATGGATTTGGTATGCTAACCGCGGCCTTTAATATAGTCTGGTGCCGCCAATTGGACCACTGAAAGACGAGGCGAATTTGCCAATGATCTAAAGGGCCCACAATTGTTAGTAGCCTACCCGTTTCCAACCCTTTGGTAGTTAAGATGTAAGAGGACCGAGCTAACAGGCCATTAGGTGGGCTACGAAGGATACCGTCAATCAAGCCAAGTCGGATTCCTCCCCAGATAAGTGGAAGCCACCACTTGAATCCTTCTACTGCACTTACGCAAGCGCGTGGGTCGAAGTTAAGAGCGTTTGGGGCCTTACTATCACCGAAGTCGAAAAGGCTGCTCTTCAACAGATGTTGAATACCTGCCCTGGAAAGTCCGGCAATATCTTTTGCAAGTAAATATGGGCTCTCTAGCGCGGTGTTCCGATTTTGAAAGAAAAATAACAAGGGGCATTGGACTGGCAGCCAAACCCTTGGAATCCGCAAATCTGCATCACAACTTTACACGCATACTCTACCTAGCCATAATTTCACGGCTATATTATATATATATATAGCATCTAGCCCCTCATGTTTTGCTGATACCCATCATATTTTATTTACTTGTTGATACCCACATAGTACTATTAAATCTATTCTGAACAGTTTTTGAAAGATACCACCGCATGATCATATATATATCTGCACAATGGAAATAGCCAAGCAATACCCCAGCTCACTAGCAATGACTATCATATTTTGCAGCAGAAAAGACATTCCTTTGAAATTGAGAGGTAGACCTGCTACATACATACTAGCTAAAGCTAAAGCTGACCTTATAAAACCCCTTGCAGCTAACCAAAGCTTTGGAATGTTTGCTCCAGAAATGTGTTGTCTACATAGAAGCTTGCAAAAAAAAGACACAGAACGCAGCATGTCGAGCTCGAACATACGACGTCCAAAAAATTTGTTTGCGTTATAGCATCGAACAGTTTCGATCTGTTGGCCTCCGGGTTATGAGCCCGGCGCGCTTCCACTGCGCCACGATGCTTGCTTGGTTCAATGAAATGTTTAACCCATTTGTACCATATAACTTGATAATCATATCTGCCAAGATTTAGTGCAGACGACGCACTGAAGCGGGAAATCGGGTGTTACGTCTCGCCGCAGCCTAAGGCCAACCCCCCGTTTGGATGTGCGACAGGAATTGCCCCGAGCGCTCCTGGACGACGCCGGAAAACGCCAAGTTGTGAGGCAGGGACAGGTGTCGTATGTGTTTGCACGTATCGGGATCATGTTGGTGAGCAGAAAACCGGCCTTAGCCTCTCGCAGCCTGAGATATATTAATAACTTCCACATCAGCAAGACTACGTAAAGCCTCTGGGGTTTCGGAGTGGCTCATCGTTTCTCCTTATCCTTCTTTTCGATTATTTAGCATTTGCTTTGCATACCGGTGTCAGGGAATTCTTTTATAAACTACAACCGACTTATCCTTCCCAACAATATCAATCCTCGAGCTGCTCCCGATTTGGCTGGGTATCGCACGTACGTTCACATAAGCACAGGCCGAATACTATTGACGTTTGACGACACTCTGGAATATCCTTTGGAATTCGCGATACCCTGACGACGGCAGAGATGTCGTCGAACCCGTTTAGACGAAAACCGAACGATGGAACACCTTCAGTATCAGGAAGAACGTCATTGGACATCGACCAAGAACGATTGCAGCAAGTAGCACAACAGGCGTTTGCGGATGGAGACGACGTCTTCGAACAAGCCGGAAGTTCCGGACCAACAACAGTACCGGACATCCGGCCGACTTCAACAACAGCGCAGGTCGCAACTAAGGCACCTGAAAGCATCCCGGAATCTACAGAAGATGGGGTTACCGATGATATAAAGAAGCCGTCTGTTGAAGTTACAGGTACGTCCGCTTCCGCGTTTGTATTGCGTTGATCCCTCAAAATACCACGCGGTGTCGTCAATATCAACACCTTTTTCTCACGATGACCGATTGCTAATGCTTCAATATCGACTTAGATAAAGAGAATAAACTTGAGAATCATGTTGAGGACCTGGTTAAGGCAATTCCTCCCGTCATACCATCAGATGTATCTGAAAAGCCAGCCAGCCAACCACAGAGCATTCCTCCTACCCCGCCTCCAGCTCGGCCCGCCGCCCCTCCGGCCCCTCCACGGCCTCGGAGATCCGTTAAAAGACCCCGCGAAGAAGTTATGATAAACAAACCGATTATACAAGAGGCTCCTATAGCCGAAGTACTGACTCCGGTAGCTCCGAGTAATAATGATCCTTTTGCAGAGGCGAAATTGAAGGCGGAGTCAGAAGATGTTGGCGAGGACGATGAGAGCTCGATATACGAAATCAAAAAAGAGGATGCCGAAATCGCATCTGTAAAATCGATAGAGTCAGAATATGAAGAAAATAGTGCCAGTGAGGTTTCTGAGGTGCCTACGACTTCTGCAGCATCGCTTTCTGTGAAAACAGTTGCGTCTGAACCCGAATACGCTGCCACAACTACATCTCCTCAAACTCAGCCTCCCAACCCTTTTCGAAAGACTACAGATTCCGACAATATCGCTCCGATCTCTCGCCAAGATTCACTAGAAAATGAAAGAAATGATAAGCTTGAGGCACTACCTCCGCCAATAAAGTTTGGAAACCAGCAGGCTGGTGGGCAGGGTTCTAAGGCCAATCGACAGTCTCTCGATGTGGACGCTTTTAAGCGTCTTATGCTTACAGGCCAGGCAGTCCAGACACCGGACTCCGTATCGACCACGGAGACAAGCAATTTATCAAAACAAAGTCTTTTTAACAATATAGAACAATCATATACTCCAAGGAGTAGCCAAGATACCGGCAGAAGTGCATATGAAACCGAAGCAGTGGAACCGCCAACCCCCAAGGCCACAACTACTGCGACACCACCGACACCCAAGGCAAAACCACCACCGCCGAAACCACGAGGGCAGAGAAACAGCATGCCTCCTCCACCTAGGTCTGAACCTCAATCCCTCCTAGTTAAGGAAACAGTAGTCGCAGAGGCCGTAGCATCCGAGGAAGCTCCTACTACGCCTCCAAAGACTCCAAAGACTCCAAGACCTCCAGCACCACTCTCCCGGCGAGTATCTGCTCAAATAACTTCTTCGCCCGAAGGCGGCTTTTCCTTCCAGCCATCAGCAGTCTCTCAAACCCCACCACCTCCACCACCTTTAAGTCGTCGAAACCCCCCATCACCAAAACAACAACCTACAACCCCGCCAACTGTTGCCCAGGAACCACCACCACCATTTTCTTTGAATACGTCACCACTCCAAAATAAGAAGCCGGCCCCACCACCAGCCAGACGTGGTAGTAAGCGTATGTCTGCACCTCCTGGTCGCCTTCAAGCCGCCGCTGCAGCTACCGGTCCAACCCTTTCCAAAACATCATCGATGCCAGCCCCTCCTCCCCCGCCGATTCGAAAGAAAAGTCAACTTTCCCAATCAACAACTGAAGTTGCAGTAAATCCAAACGAACCCCCACCAAGGACGAGTAGCAGCTTTGACATTCTAGAGGATCTTACAAAACTCCAAAAGGAAGTGGATCAACTGTTAGGTAGAGTGTAAAAGGCACCCTCCCTTTGTTCACTAGTGTTCCGTTCTCTCGAGTCATCCAAGCATATAGATAAACCCTTTCCTTTCCTTTCCTTCCACTTCATTTTTGACTCTTCCTCTCACTCAGAGGTTTCAGAGATTAGTATTTCCCGATCTTTTTGTTACAATTCAGTGGCGGTGGCATAATTGTTAAGAATCAAGGAGAATCCCACTTACTTAGGCCATTATCGGCGTTCTGTGAGCGCACAGCGTTTTTATTACAACTACATTCGAATATTTGATATCACCTTTGTATTTTTATTGAGAGGGTATACCGGCTTCCGAAGTTTCTCATGCCGACCCCTACTTGTTTTTTGTATGTGATTTGTAAATAATAACCATTACAATTGTTTCTTTAGTCATCTCTAATTTCTTGGGGACGTTGACAATAATCTAGCGCGTGATATATTTACGTCCATGCGCATTACGTACGTTGAATACAAGGAAGTTCGTGGGTGGTAACATGTAGTACGGAATAATATTGCGTATCAATGATTCATAACGCCAAGTCAAATGCTTATATTATGCTACAAGGATATGAAAGGAATTCCAGCGGGATACTTTTTGAAAAGGGTAGGAACGATGAAAAATGGTGGGTATCCTCGGCATATTCATAAACAAGTATAGAACGCTGGGGACGAGTGCCCGAGCGAAGGGAAGTAGAAGGGGTAGGGGGTTTCAAGCGTATACATATTGGAGATTACCTCATACAAAAAAAAACCCTTTAGGGCTTTTTACTCATCATCTTCCTCCTCCTCACTCTCTTCTTCTTCTTCGGAATCTTCATCTTCATCTTGCTCTTCAACCCATTTAACAAAGGCCTTTGCTCCGTCTCTGACCTTCGTCATCTCCGGAGTTTCACCTTGCGGACCATTGCCTTCATTCCACCACTTCAAAAGGCCTTCATCGTCGCACAAATCTTCATTATAGAGTTTCATGCCGATGGCTTGCATGAGGGTGCCGCCCCTCTCCTTCCCTGCGAGCTCCCTTTGAATGTATCCTAACAACTCGGCCTGATCGTTGACCTCAAATATCATTCGATTGAACAACGGAAGAAGCTTTTCAACTGTTGCATCGACAACTTTCGAGGTATTTTCGTTGCTGGTTATCTTTGAAACGATGTAGCTGATAACCGCCGCGGCAGTAGCTCGTCTGACTTCGCTGAACTCAGCATTGGCGGACATTCGCAAACCGTTTAATTCTAGGATCATGATGTCAACTGAGTGGCTTTGCTTAAGAGCCCCTAGAAGAGAGTTGTAAGCCTCCCGGAAGAAACTGTCAGCCTCGCTTTCGCTAGAAGTGCGAGCGTGGCCTTTCTTTCTTTTCCCGGGAATTTCGTCATCATCCTCGAAGTCTGAAATGTCAGAATAATCGCTTTCATCTTCAGGGGCATAGACTAAATGTTCGTCAGCGCTAATTCAAACTTGGCAGGCTCGGGTATCAAACTTACGGCCCCCCATAGATGCCTCCCTCTGTTCGTCTTCGTCATCCTCAGAGTCTTCGTACTCGATAAGACTCTTAGTCTTCGAGTGGACAACTTGGGTGAACCTCCCAGACTCCTTTTCCTTCTTTGTGCTCATCTTGGTGTATCTTGCTGTCGTAGGAATGTCAGTGCCCTTCTCGATAGTAACGCCAAATGAGATTATCGCCCCGCTTTCGACGGTACATCCATCTCCAATGTGTGCTTCGTTCGCGATAATGCAGTTGCCGAGGGAGCAGTTGTCTCCAATCACAACATTGTCCCATACGATCGTGGAGTGTAACTCTACGTTCTTGCCAATAATGCAATTCCTTCCAATGGTAGCCCCAGAAATAATTGTCTTATCCCCAACACTGGTTCCAGAACCGATGATGCTGTTGTCCTTAATAACAGCAGACTGCGCGAGTATCACTTTAGACTCCTTATAGATATGACCTCGGGTGTACTTGTAGGTTTGCTGGTTTAAGTTGGTGTCCGGACTGAAAGGGTGTGTCCATTTTCGGGTTATGTCGTGAAGAATAGCATCGTATGTCTGGAGCGATTGGATTCTGCCGGCGTATCCAGATTTTAGAATGTGGGCGTAGACCGTTTTTCCGTACAGTTCATCCATCAAAATGCCGTGTAGGAAATCTTTACGGGAATGTTGCCAGTCAAAGTTTTCGGTAAATAGGGGAGGTACCTCAAAGGATACAATGTCGATACAGCAGTCAAGGAAATTTTCTTGAAAGGACATGGTTGGAAAGGCTTTTCCGAGTTCTCGAGGAAGGAGCATAGGGGACTCGGAATCCGACTGTTTCAGATACTCATAGTGAAGTATCCTTTCACGGTTTTGGTCAAGGATGAATAGGGCGTTTTCTCCCCGGGGTCTATGAGTCCAGAGTTGTTAAGAAAGGTCTTTAAATAATTTCCAAATATCATAGTGTAACCCTAACCTTGAATCGTGACGAGGGGAAATCTCACGGAGCACGGAAGTCATGATACAGTTTTTGTCGGCAAGGCGTCTCGCCTTGTGCTCCTTTAGGATACCTTGAAGGGGGATATTGCTGACAATATCCCCGCTAACAAGTATGAAATCTTCTTTGATTAGTCGTGATTGGTCGAGCTCTCGCATTACGTCGCCGACAGACATAATACTAGGAGAGTAAATCACACGAATTTGAAAGGGGGAAGAGTCTTTGCTCCATTTCGATTCTCTATCATTTAAAAAAAGGATTAGTATGATTACTTGTAGAATGTGAGTGAATGTAACAAACCTGATGTATTCTGTGATCTGATCATGATGGGCATGGCAATACAAAAGGATCTCTTCCACACCACCAAGTGCCAGAAATTCCAATGTATATTCGATAATCGGAGTGTTGGCTAGTGGGAGAAGGCACTAATATGGTTATCAGCATTGTCGTCGCAATTTTAACGTAGGTTACCCGCTGAGCTGCATACCCGGGGCTTTTCGAGAGTAATTGGCCGAAAACGCCTGTTAAACGAGTCGGCAATAATCTAGAGGAACGGTTTAGTGATTTAATGGCTAAAAGAAAGACCTTAAGCAACATACCACCGCCTGCAGTAGTGCCTCTGGCGCCTCTTCAAGGACACCTGTTTTCTTTGCTGACCCACGTTTAGATGTGGGAGCCATCTTGGGATCAATAAAGCCTCTAATACAGGGAAGCTATACGCTGGAGCCCTAAAAAATTTTTGTTTGGGTTTATCTAAAGGACGAGGGGAGATGCTACAAGCTTCTTGCGACAGTTTAGTAGGTTGGTGGGGGCGGGGAAGATCAGATTCGCAGAGAGGGCTCTTGATACAAGATTGGTGATCAAAAGGTACTTGATATAGATTGGACTTAGAGCGTATTCAAGTTAGTCCGTCGTGAGGTCAATGGGGGAGGTGGATGATGGTGGAGGGATGGTTGATGATGATTATACAGAACGGTGAAGGTTAACAGTGTTGTCGCAGAGTCATGAAAGAGAGGAAGTCGAAAATCATCTTGAGCTCATGTGTTGCCAAAGAATGTTTGACCTTGCTGGTTTCCATTTTGGGCGATATAAGCCCAAAGCCACGATACTGCACTGCCACAATATATCATGCCAAGCCCATATGCCACATATCTCCAACTACGAGAATGAAGCAGATTCACTGGACGGATCGGAATTCCGGTCTTCGGGCTCCTCGGGTCCTTACATAAAACAACGGCCGACGGTTGACCCTCGTGGATTTAGGGTCTACTTAAAGGGCTAATCGACCCGGCGTAGCGAGGGAGCCGGCGCAGTTGGCCGTTGTGGCACGAACAAATGCGAAACCGCGCTGCAACTCAATATTTCGAATCGGGCGTTTCCGCTAAAGGTAAAAAACCCAAAGTCATAAAACCCTCCAACCCGGGCAAATATATGCTAACTACTAGCTACTTCCTACTGTGCACTTGAGATTTTCTCTCTTGAATTTGCTTTTCGGTCATAAAACGGGATCTAGCTTCCCTCGTTCAAAGGGTCCGGCCCTGCCTAAGTACTTTAGCTCGACGTTAATGTTGTTTTTGTTGATTTGTGATGAAACCTGCCGCATTGTCGTGCGAGGTTCTGAAGGCAGCCGGCCCAATAGCCATTCTCAATAAGGCTGCATAACTGCATAAGCTTGAAGGAGTTCTGGCGCGCCGAAGATATCTCATGCGTGTGATATATGCCAAACACTGCCCTTTCGGGCCACGGCAATCCACCTTCTCTCGATCGAATATTTATTACTTATCGACATTCAGCTCGGAACCTTGGTACTAGTTGCTTGACCCCGGGCTGGCCTGCTCCGGTATCCTTTAGTATTTTCTCGGGCAAGGCTAATTCTTAGACCGTTCCCACAGACCTACAAGACGATATAGAAAAGAAAAACAGGTGGCGAAGTTTTGCCATTCCATTTCGACAACAGCTCAAGAGCTCTAGGCTGAAGTTGCCCTCATAGCTTTTGGTGGCCATCGCTTTCCTTCAACTTTATTTCGCCATTTACGTTGAGCGGAGGGAGCGGTTATAAATTAAACAGGGAAACAAGTATAAATTGACCAGGTCAAAGGCCCACTCTATTCATACGAGTTCCACCTAGGTGCAGAAATTGCATCCTGGGTTGACGTTATCTTTGCAGTCAACCTTCCATACCTACATATAGACCTACATTCTACTCCGGTTATTCACTCAGCTAGCTCAGCTATCCCGAAGAACTTCACACCCCTCGAATTACCCCGCTTTCTTCAATCCGCAACTGCATCTCTGCAGGGGCTCGGTTAATCTTGAGCGAGATTCGCTACAAGGTAATCATCATCTCTCAGGCCTGTATAGAGCCATGCATTTGCTGATATTATGCGATACGCTTGAGTTTATGCTAGGTAAAAAAATTCGCTCGACCATTGCACTCTCGAAAAGGGATTCGAGGACAAACAGGGAACCTTTCTCGAGCTTGCTCATTTGTTGATTGGTGTCCTTGTCAATTAACGCGCACATCCTTGGATGAGGCCGGCTAACGGATATCATCATTCTGGTTAGCGCTGTAAGGGCGTTCCCAGCATACCAAGAACAATAAGAGACTTTGGGACCGGGGTTTTCCGGGGATGGGCTTCGAGGATACATAGGCAGAAAGATACTTATTACCGGGGGGGCTCTAAACTTGTCCTGTGATTTTGGTGGCCGTCTATACATGCACATCTAGAATCTACCATAGGAAAGTTTCCCTCATAATCAAGCTACTTTCCTGCATGGAAATCCTAGTCAAAAGAAACAAACCCTACATCTTCTGCCACATCCATCGCACACTACAATTGACTTAATCATCATTGCATTTATGTGGTTCCTTGGGTCCTACAGGCTAGATAACTACCTGGATTTAGGAATGTCTGCATGACACTTGGCCCGTGTCAGGTCGTCAAGGCGAGGATAGTTTCGGAAAAACGATCTAGCATCGATACTTAGATATTTTCCAATAAAGGCCCCACGGAATAACGTGTGAAGACCCCATAAGGTGTGGCAAAAACGGTAACTGAGTGAGGTCGAGCCGAGGGAGGACTCGGGGGGTAAAATGAGCGAACACGGGCAAAGGAAAAGCCCACAGCGGCCGTTGGCTCCTCGCCCTTCTATTCTTCAACATGTTCCTCAGAAAACCATCAAGAAGACGAAAACCAGAATATCGAACGCCTGTACTGCTTGCAAGGCTCGAAAGACGAAGGTAAGACGCAACAAATAAGAATCTCCTTTGTTTAATTGGTTTCTTTAGTTCGAACACCCGGCCTTGAATCTTGTTTGCAACATTTCTGGGCTGCTTAGGTAGTTCAATAACAATAGAATCACGATGGTCGCGCAATATAGTCCCGTGACTAGACTGAAAACTGACGATACTCTTTTCATTGAACCCCAATAGTGTGATAATAACAAACCGAAGTGCACTGCCTGTACAGCCCGACCTAACAGCGAATGCGTATATTTCCCATTTCTCGATAAAAGAAAACGACAACATTCTACAAACAATCGCGATTCTAAAGCTCGGGAACATGAAATTCTTAACAAGATTTTCAATGCAACGAAGTACTGCTCAAAGGAAGAACTGCCCAAATTACTGGAGTTGATCCGGGGCGATGCATCGATCGAACAAATTGCAGAATATATTCAGGATAAACTCGAGGATGGGGACCAAATGACAATCGATGATGAACTAGCTGAGTCTTCTCTGGAAGACGAAAGCACGAGGGGGGATCATGGAGAGATTGAAAATGAAATTCCTTCCTCACCATCGACAGCACCATCATATCACCGGTATGCTACTACCCAGTTTTCGTCCTCTAGTCCTCCCCCCATCCGTGTCCATATCCTCTACCCGTTAAATTGGGCCCCTGTTAAGCTAATTACCTTATACAACCAAGAAGCAGACGTAGCAAAACCATCGACGCCATGGACATCGGTAGTATTGTTCAAATATCGATACCGGATGTACCCTCACAGCCTTGGACAAATGTTACGACAAATGACGAATTCGTTTCCCATTTGATACAATTGTATTTTACCTGGGAAGCTCCAGTCTACGACTTCGTTGAAAAGGCCCCGTTTATATCTGAAATGCGGTCTGGTAACCCCGTCAATTCGCGATACTGTTCCCCGCTTCTCGTTAACGCCATGCTCGCCACTGCTTGTGTAAGTTTAACCAAAGTCCTCCTAAGAATCAGGGGGGGGGGGGGGGCTGCCATCACCAAGATTTGAGGATGGAATGGTTATTTTGATAGATGTCTAATGACGAATGTTAAAACTAGAGATATTCCGACCGAGATGCTTCCTTTGAAGACAGAATGGACCCAGAGTCCTGCGGCAATCATTTTTTCGAAGAAGCGAAAAGGCTTTGGCAAGCCAGTTCTCAGTCTACATCCTTAACCAATATGCAGTCCCTCGTTATAATGCACTATTTTGAGGCACACAGAGCAAACGATGGCGTTGGGATCAACTATTTTGATGCGGGTATGAATATGTACCAAGAACTGGCTTCGGGCATTTACGATAGCGGCGAGGCCGTTGAATCGCCTTTGCAACTTTCATGGCCATGCTGGAAACTCTGGATCTGTCGATGGTAAGGGCTTCGATCTTTATTCCTTCGGATTTACCTTTCGAATTGCTAATGTTAATCTGGTTGATAGTTTTGCCTCCCTAGTTTTGCGAGAGCCATACTTTCTCTCCCCGCCAAACCTACCTGAACCTGCGATGCCGGATCAAGTCGATCTCAACGACACATGGCATCCGTATCCACAATTGACGAGATCCCGCCCATTTCAAAAAATGGAAACCGCGCGTCAGTGCATCGAGCTCGCAAAAGTAGTACAAACAGCGACCGTATACCTGTATTCCAACAACGCAACGAAATACGAACCAAGCGGCATTCTCGACATTCATCAACAATTTCAGGCCTGGTATGAAGGATATTTGAACACAGTAAATCGAACGGACAGTAATCTTGGGCCGAACATGACATTACGGTACATTCCCAATTTTTATTCCGGGCCACAGTACCATATCAATTACTAATTTGTTCATTGGAAATAGTATATGGTATCACGCCCTCGAGCTCCATCTATTCCGGGGTAGCATATCGGATACTGCCCCAGTATGCTCAGAAAATACCAAAATGATCTCATCAGCGCTCGATATTATTTGCAACAGTGCCAAGTTACAAAGGACCTACTTCCAGTTATACGGCGCAAAGGCTACCATTTTACTTACCTACAACTCCTTCCAATCGGCATTATTTACATTATACTTTTTAGAATTTCAAGAGTATCACGAGGCTTTTATTGAACATGTCAAGATGTTATCCCGGCTGGCAAAAAAGAGAGGAATGTCCGCATTTCAACTCTATATCGTCAAGGTACTAGCAAGGAGAGAGGAAATCCAGCTCCCTAATGAGGTATTGGAAATTTTCCAAGGGCTTGAGCCGGCAAGATTGAATTTTGAGAGACGACTTAGCAAAATCCCAGTGCCGGCGCTGAGCTCGAAAGCTGCGACATTGATTAAGTTTAAGGAGGAATTGTTGAGTGTACAAGCTATGGCCACGGAGACTGGGTCTCCATTGTTGGATATTGATTCGCGTTCATCAGAAGATACTATGAGGAAATCCTCACTTACAAGATTGTTCGACGAAATAGATCCCGTACTCGGGGGCTTATCAGACTTCTACCAGCAGATGCTCACTCTCGAAGACAAGGGTTGAGCTGTTCCCACATGTGCCTGCGCACACAGTGACTAGAGCTAGAGAGACCTGTTGCACTTTTTACTGCAACACGTAAAGTTAATATTTTCTTTTTGTGTTTTTTTCTTTTGTAGACGGTGCGCGGCGCATGCGACTTTTACATCATAAAGGCAGCTAGTAGCGATACTTTTGACTATAGTAGATTTGTATATTCTATGGAGTTTTCTATGCTTAAAATCTTAATTGATATTGTGCATACTAGTACTGAGCATTTTGATTACCCAGAACAAGTCAAGTTGGATCTTGGCGTCATGGTTGGTAACTTCGTCTACAGCCGAAGTGGCAATTTGCACCTTCCTAGATTTACGACGGGCAATGATTTTCGTCTATTCCAACACGCCTTCTTCCTTATCTATAAATCCAAGCCCTGCACCATGTATAGGTATGCAGTAATTTGCACCACGGCATCATCATAAATCATATTTTTCAATACCCTTGCGTGTAGTGGGAATGTAACCGAGCTGCATCCCGACCCGTTGTCATCTTAACTCGATATAAAGTTATAGAGCTCACTTCCGCCTTATGATCATATTGCGAACCGATCATATGATATCATACTATTAGGGCATCCCAAGTTGATAAAAATTTTGCATATGCTTCCGAAGGTCTAGAACCGAACTCATGCATAAGCCACCATTTACAAAATCGGAGTATGATTACTATGGGTGGAAAAACAATATCACAAAATGCCGTGCCAAATTCCGATTTGGAAGTAGCTATTTCAAAGTTTTCACTATGACATAGAAATTTGCTCCTTCACGGCTCCGTTCAGATCAGTCCAATTTTTGTACATCCGGAAAAGCAAAACAAAGTTAGAGGCTCAGGATTAGCTCTAATTTTGATTGGAGCGGGTTACTTTAGCGCTAGTGGCAAGAAAAATATATGTTTTAGCCTCGAGCTCCCGGAGCCCTAGTCCGTTACGCAGTATTTGGAATCAGGTGCCGTAAAGTCTCAACCTCTTTTTGCCTATAAAGTTTCCTAAAACATCAACGCTGCAAACTTCTGTTCACACTGTCGTTTGCCTCTTCGGGTTTATAGGCGGCCGGATACCATAACGATATCACAAGCCATGTATATAGTATAGAGTACTTCCGTTCGCATTTTTCTCGTCTATCCTAGTCCAGATGTCTTTCCAGGGTACCAGGCAAATGCTTATAACGGCGATAGCTTCTACCGTCCGGAAAAACGGGAAGCGATGACTACCATAGCTCCATGCGATATATCTGCGGGGTATAGACACGGGCCCAATTCCAGAGAGGGTATATCATTTTTTGGGGTAAATCCGCGGTAATCGGTTTGGGGCAAGCATCAAATTCTTTCCAAGTGCTCTGTCACAAATTTTAATATTTCGGCTCACGGGCAATGAAAAAATATTCGGGTCGCGGGGAAGTCACAAAGGAGTTAACCCCCAAGAATTTGAGAAAGCTCAATATACCCGCACGACCACGTCGATATGCATATTTCCGGTCAATAAGGTTCACAAGATGAAGACTGGGCGAATAAGCACAACCTAGTAACGTAGATATGCTTTTATGATATGCTTTGATTTCAAAGCAGTTTCCACATCGGGCTCCCTGACGAAGTCGAAGGCAGGTGGGCTCCGTAGACGGCGCCTTTGAAAGTTTATATCTATAAAACCTACACTTTATATAAGTATTCAGCCTTGCCAACTTCTGAAAACTCACAATTCAGGATGTCTTTGAGGCGGGACAACATTCGTACGAATCATGTTCGTATCGAGAGGGATGCGTGATTATCACTCCTCCTTCTCCATCTCCACGAGCCGGAATTTGACACGCGAGCCACCTACAGACACGAATTCAGTTACTTTTTCTTTAGAAGAACTATCTTGAGGCCGTTAGCCTACAACATCTTTTCAGGGCGCCTAGGGCTAACGGGCAAGATTTATTCCCATGCACGGGGTCAGCGAAAACGGGCGAATGCTTCGTGAGCTCAGAATATGTTTTCCCCGGGGTACTCCATTCGTCGGGAAATAAAAAGCATTTGTTTTGATACCGAAACGTTCAAAGCCGCACCAAGAGTTTAATTTCTTGGAAACGTCTCCGTCAACCGAAGATAAAAATATGTCTACCGTTAATGAGCTCCCGTGAACCCAGCCAGTCAGAGCCTCGACCCATATTGGCTGCTGCGAAATCCTCTTCTCATCAAGGTCTCGAAATTCCGAAACGTCATCGGGGTTTTCCTACCTCTCATAATATTTTAATTAATTCGCTATCTGCACATATAACCAATTTTATATATAGTGATAAGTTTTTAATGGACGAAACTCCCAGGTTCTTATTCAAAAGAAAAAAGCTGCACAAAGCCAGAATATTAATATAATATGACTTCCGTTTCCCAATATCGGTTTTCTAAGTATACCAAAATCCTTTGGTTTCCCAAGTACAATTTAACGGAAGTATTCATATTCTTGAAAGAGATAGGGGCAGGTTTCACACTCCCATACTAGGCTCGATCAGAAGTTTTCCAAAGGCTCTCAATGCCGTTCTAATCCCTATAATTTTCAATGTTTGAACAAGAAACAAACAACGTCTAAAATACATTTTATTCCTCTGGAGTATCGAAAAACTTCTGGAAAACAATAGCGTCAACATACTTTTCCTCCCCATCGACTTTCAACCATCCAGCGTCCTTCACCCTGCCCGATCTTGTGAATCCCAACCGGTCCCAAAGTTTGCAGCTGGCAACATTACTCTCGAAAACCAAATTGAATATACTCGATTTGTATCCCTATTTATACCCAAAAAGAGACAAGTAAACAAATTAATAACTTCTGTTCAACATCGATGCATCGACGATGTGATCATAAATCGCGTAGATTGTAGTCCACACGCGGGTTTTGCTTTAAAAATAAAACTTACCAACAAAGGAGCATAAACCAGAAATGTCTCTGCCATTACCCTTCCGACACCTCGTGCCCTCGCAGCTTTCGCCGTTAAAAACGCACCGTTACATACGTGAGAACATCTTCCTAACGATCACGAACAAAGCAATCTAATGTTAGCTACGAAATTCGAAAAGATCCAAGTGATACGCAAAACCGATATGAACAATCAAAACTAGATCTATAAACCCCGAGCGCAACTATTTTTGCCTGGATTGTGCCAAAAAGTTATATATGATTGCTACTTACCCGGATAATTCGGCTTGACATGAAAACTGCCCAACACTGTCCCATCGTCGGGTCCTCCTCGAACTGTCACAACCGCTGCAAAATTTCCGAACCAATACACTTCAAACAAATCCGCGCTCATAATTTCGTCCATTGGGTACGTATCACCCCGTTCAATCTCCCCATTCAACTCCTCACATAACGTTTCCACGATCGGTTTTAACGGCGCATCGTGGTATCCGTTAATGTAGGGTGTAATAATAATCTCAGTACCATCTCTTAGGGATTTCGACAAAGGAAGAAGCTTAGAAGGTTGGAAATTCACCCTGTTAGGACCAGATAATTGCTTGCGAGGGGCGGTGGGGTCATCAAGTGCCGCTGGCGACATCGTGGGAATTAATTCTGTGTTGTCGACGGAAAACTCCAACAGCAGAACCAAAGTGCGGGAAAACTTTTTCAACGGTCTTGGACCCTTCAAAAAATACCAATTCTAATTGAATGAAACAGTCGATCAAACAGGTCTCGCACCTAGATGAGATCAACTAGCAGGAGAAGAAAGTTGTGTAGATGATGCGGTATAATCAATTGTAAATTCAACAATCTCGAATAACATACCGACTTTTATAGCCGGCGGGCTCGGGTATCTCCACGAAACTATCTGTGAAGGATCACACCAAGACAACTTAAGGCCCACTTTTGACGAGCGTCGGGCGGCAAGTCAAAACTTAAACGCTTTTTAGTTTCGAGAGACGTCTTTTCGCATACTTTCTTGGAGGTCCGTGTCATGTTAACAGTAAAAGACAATCTGCCTAGTTTTAAATTTGATTTAAAATTTATTGATTATTTAGTATCGATAATATACTAATAATTAAGCCATAGGTAGTACGCATTAGACAGGTCTACAGAACCGGCACTTTAAGCGTATTGCGAGCCTATCTCGATATAGATTTATATTATACCGGATATATCCCAAACTTCTAAGGCTTTAGACCTCCTCAGGCAATAAGCCGTTAGACCTCATATATCAGTCATGCTGGAAACATAAATTGCCACATGCATCCTCCTTGAAGCGTGTCTCAACTCCATCATCCGCTAAATCGACCACGGGCACCATACTTGGTCTTCCATGTGCACACTGAAATGGAAAATCACAAGCAGCAAGCTTGTCGATCAGATCCCGACATTCCTCTAAAGTGAGCTTATCATTGAACATAATTGCGCCTATGACAAAAATCACACCGTCAGTAAAATTAATCTGTAGAAAAGGAAATTGTGAAGCCACCTACTCCTGCAAGCTCGACTGCTGACAACTTCGTTCAGACGCTGCGTAGCCGTGACCATTCTTTTGATCCACCCGCCTCTACTATCAGGAAAACCTCTACTTCTCTTTTCATCCTTCAACTCTGCAATCCAGCCTCTCAATAACCTCACCACCACTGATGACTCACTTACACATCTATCCGCCACTAACTCTGGCACCCCGACAACATCAACTACCACTGCACCGTGAGCTCCCCTTATCGGTGTAATATCTAATTCAAACCCCCAAGTCCTGATATCATCCAAATACAATCTCAATATGTTCGCTTCGTCCGCATTGATGGAGAATGAAACCTCCTTTTTCAAAGGTTTCGGTACGTTATCAAATTCCTTCCAAAGCCTTTCAACCCGAATTCTTTCGTCGGCAGCATGTTGGTCGACGATAACCAGTAACTCCAGAGGTTGGAAAAACAAGAGGATAAACTTTTCATCCACTTGCGCAATTACTCTTGCTGTCTGAAGGGATGATTTAGATAGTCGTGCCGTACTTATATGTTCATCTCCTTTGAAAGTATCCGATATCATAGATTTTCGAGGAATCTGTGCTTCGGGGTTTCTGTAAACCGGGTTTTTGAAGGACTTTATGATAAGTTAGCCATACACTCGGTCGTTTTCTTCAGGGATCGGCTATACCCACCGAAACAATATTTGATGTCCAGCCCTGAGCGGTCATAATCCCCTTTCGTTGTTCAGGCAATAAGGTCAATCTCTTCGGCATTGCTTGCGGCTTCGGGGTCCTGATTTCATTCCCGGTCCTTGCATCCAATAATATATTTTGGTTCGTTTCTGGGTCCAAGTATCTCAAAACAGCAGGATCGTCGGCGGGTATATCTTCCTGCTGCATCAATTCCTCCGGTGGTGGTCTTTCCGCCGGCTCCGGCATGACCCTCCGAATTTTCGCTCCATTGAGGTTCTGTGCGGCGAGACTGTGGGAACTCTTCATCCTCGAAGGATACATCAAATCCAAGGCAAGATCCGCCCTCCTCTTCGGCACCCACTTCGTCCCGATGTCCTCATCTTCATCTGCCTTCTTTTTCGGCATCATGGCCGCGGCTCTCTTCTTCCAACCTCCAACCTTCAGAAACTCATCCACCACCGCTTCAATCAAGCTTGTGACATCTAAGAGGATTGTATTGCCACTATCCACTTCCAAATCCTCTGCATGCACCATATTCAGTGAACCAGATGTTTCCACGAATATTACAAACGAAGGATGTCGTTCAACGCCCTTCCTCACGACCCATCTCTTCCCAGCCTCTGGTGCAATATTCTCATCGATTGTTCCAAACGATGACCCTGTAAACAAACCATTGATCTTGGAATATAAAATCGAGTTCGTATGCCTCCCAACAGGTGAACCATTGACGACTTCAGTAAGAGTCAGCACCCACCTCCCCCTATAAATTATAAAGCAGGGAAGAAAAAACTCACAAATAAACTGCCTCTCCCTATCCGCCGCAGGCACCAGTGCAATAACCCCTTTCATAGTAATCCCACGCCACTCACCACTTATTTTCTCCCACAATGTCTTCCCAAACCCCGCCTGATCCACCACATTCCCAATCCTCACAGACATACCACTTTCATCCCCGCCTCCAATATCAAAAACCGCCTTCCTAACACCTTCCTCATTCCTAACCACAACTTTAACACCTCTTCCATTATTTGCACAAAGTAATAAAACCTCAACAACTTTCCTCCCAATATCCCTCCACTCCCTCGCTATTTCGGTAGCGGTCATATCTTCCCTCCCCACGAGCCTTACAGGGAAGTTACCGAATAATCTGTCGACAATAACTTTCGTCCCACTTTTTGGAAGCATCAAGTGGTCGTTTTCGATTTGTCCACATACTAGCCGAGACCCATAATGATATCTTACCGCATGGGTAGATCTGTAAAACTGAGAACGGGAGTAAATCGTAAGCAACGATGACGTTGCGAGAGATGATAGGAACTCTCCACGAGAGCCAAAGGTTTGGCTTGAGGGAGATGTCGATTTAGATGTCGCTACAAGTCCAGGAAACGTTTATACTAGTATTAATAACAAAATCCTTCTTTTAAGAAAAGAAAAAGGAAAAAGAAAGGAAATCGAGCTTGAATACTCACAATATCTATTCCCAACTAATATCATATCACCTGGAATAATACCTTCCCCATCATCTTCAATTACAATAGAATTTTTGATGATATTGATAAAAATATTAATCGTAGTAGCATTAGCATCAATACCTAAAGGAACATCCAAATTAATTAGCATTTTTTCACAATCCTAAATGATCAAAGAACACAATCCAGGAATTAATAATTAAGAAAAACAGACATACTATTCATCAAAAGCTCCTGCACAGCACCCGCCAAATTCGTAAGCGACACTGTACTCCGAATCTGAGCTATCGCACTAGCCGAAAGCCGCTGAATCCGCGGCGGCTGTTGCTGCTCATCCATAATATCTTTCTTTTAAAAAAAGGTATAAAGTTAAGGGAAACCACCCAGGGAACTATGTCAGGGGCCTGGCCCAAGCCTTCATAAAATTTAACCTTTTTGGGGAACAAAATTAAGTCCCACACGCTTATGGCGTAAAACAGCAGTTTTATCTTACTGTTTAAGAAAAAGAGCTCAGGTTGAAGTAGGTGAAAAGAGAAAGCTTCGGTAATTTCGGGGGATCAGGTAATCATGTTTGATTGTAAAGTACGTGAACTGGAAGAGTGGACTCATCGAGAGAAAAAATAATCTTTTAATGGACCTGTACAGCTGCACAGGATGAGCAATTCATGAGCACAAATGCATAAAGGTTGACTAGCTGGGTTGTTCCATAGTTGCGCATTTGGCTTTGTAACCAGCTCGGAAATAAAGGAACAAGGGGTTAGGGGGAGAATATTCCAACATTAACAACACGCTAACGTCATATAACACACTTTTGAAGCTTAATCTTGAGATCATGGGAAAAAGAACATGGATAATTATATAAGCTAGAATCGAACTTTTTGTTGATTTAAACTCTTTATGTATCAAGCTATATCCTAATTCTGATTTTTCTAGACCATCATCTCTAAGGTCCCCCAGAATAAGTGTAGCAAAAAAAAAAAAGAAGAGTAAGAGGTTAGAAGAACAAAATAAACTAGATAATCAGTTAAACCACCAAACAAAAGAGAGAGTATATTAAATATTTAAATAAATCCATTCATCCATCCATTTCATTCGTCAAGAGGTCAGAGACCAATTCATCATAACCTCTTCAAACGATAACCGAAAGTCCACCTCTTGGCAGTCTAGGCTCATCATCTCTGTATGGCTCTCCAGCATCCTCTCTCAACATATCATTGATCCATCTGCCGTTTGGCTTGATAATCTCACCACCTTTACCCATCTTCGCAGCCATGTACATGAAAGCCAAGCTGTTACCGACGGTACCAACCTCATCAGAGACGTTGTTCTTGGCGAAGTTGGACATGCGTTCGTACAAATCCTTGTCGCGCCAGAGGTCGAAGAGATGGCGAGCGACGGCATCGGAGTCACCTGGCTCAACGAGGTAGCCGGACTTCTCGTGTTGGACTTGGAGTGGGATACCACCTGCACGGCTGGCGATGATTGGGATACCCTTGTGAAGAGCTTCCGAAACCTTGACCTCGAAACCCTCACGAGTGGAGAGCTGGAGGGCGACCTTGGCACAGGAGAGAAGGGCGTTGAGGACTATGAACCCGTGAGTATACGAATTAAAAAATTAAAAAATAAAGGGGAAGTGAACATACGCTGATCAGATGGTGGGATACGCATAACGATGATATCAGTAACATAGGGTTGATTCTCTGGTTGTTCAAGGATGTTCAGAATCTGATCATAGATGATCGAAGCATCTGGGTCATCAATAGCACCGTGACCACAACTATTTATCACATTAGTAAGGATCAAGAAGTGTGTCGAAAGTTTGATCTGATAGACTCACATCAACAACTGTGGGATCTTGCTAATAGGAAGGATGTTATCCAACTTCTTGCGGAGCTTCACGTAGGACTCAATCACGGTGGGGATACCCTTCGACGGGTCGAAACGGGCAACCTGAACGATATAGTTACGGGCTGGGTACTGCAACTTGTACATCCTGTTCTCACTGCAGAGAGTTCGGAAGTTGTGGAAGTAGTATCGGAGATCCCAGTCACGGAGAGGCTTGCTCAAACCATCAAGGAAATCGGTGGCAGCGCCCATCAAACCAACTCTCTCAGCGGGGACGTTTCCTGGAACGAACTTGTTGACAGGATGCGACAAGAAAACATCGGCCTGTTGAATGCGATCCCAAAGGTAGTTCCAGACATCATTCTGGGCAGTATTCGGCTTCAAGACGAGATCACCACGGATTTCAATGTGGGAGCGGTAGATGACTGGAACATCTGGGCGGACTTTCTTGATGAGCGGGATGAGACCTGGCATCTGTGGGTCATCGATGATAATGACATCGGCACCGCCCTTGCTGAGTGGGCCACCTTCCTTGAGCCAGTAACGCTCAGCGTTGTAGGTGATCCATTGGTCCATTTGGGCCTGGTGGTCTTTGCTGAAACCAACCGATGGGTCGTTGACACCTTGAAGGATATTGTGGTTGTTCTTGGTAATTCTGAAAACAGCCGGGTTTGGCTTTGGAACATACCATCTAACGTCAATACCAAGGAGCTTATAAAATCTCATCATGGCGTGTCTCATGAGAGCGACACCACCACCCTGTGGGGTGGAGTTGAAGAAGGCGATCTTCAGCTTCTTGGCCTTGATTTCATTGGCATACTTGAGAACGCATCGCCAGGTGGTATCGGCGACAGTTTCCTCGAGCTGCTTGAGATTAACAAGGTGGATCTTGCCATCTCCGTCAACCTCGACCTGATTACGGAAACCGATAGTAAGGCGTGGGTTGTGGTTGGGACCGAAGTACATCAAGGCCTTACGAACGGCGGAATCAGCCTGTTCGTCAACGCTTCGGACTTCAATACCATCCTTTGGTGGGGAGTATGTGGAGTTGGCAGAAGCGTGATCTGGATCGAGGGTGATATGGACGTGGAAAACAATTGGAACGATATCCAATTCTTTCCAGATGATGTTGGAGATGGTTGGGCAGTGGTATTCAGCACCCTCGGTAATACCAGCACCAACGAACTTGACGGTATGCTCACGGGCGAAAGTGGTGAGCTGCTGGACAACGTACTTGAGAACCATATTGGAAATATCCTCTGGGCTAGTCTCAGGGGAAACATCGTATGTCTCAACCGAGAAATCGGTGGTATAGGTTCCGTCATGGATGGAGAGACCAATCTCGAGAAGGTTATCGAGAACTAGAGCAGCGATACCAACATACATTGGCTAACGATTCTGTTAATATCGATATCTGATACAGTTTTCTAACGAAGTTCTTCTAAGTCTAGAGATCTAACTCACAGTCAAGGCGGTTCCGACCCATCGTTCCTTATCTTCCATGATACTGGTACGTCGCCTGTAACCAGCACCATCGGGAGCGCGGGACTGGAAGTCATGATGATCATCCTGAGAGGCACGACGAACTGGATGATTGGATCCGCTGTTCTTCCGGTGTGGTGTAAGAACAGTTGCAGCCGCAGCGGCGGCCTGTTCGGCTGGGGCAGACATTCTTAAAGGTTTATAATTCCACTCTAGTTAATCTACCAAGCACTAGTAATTGTTAGAGACGATTTAACTCCTGCAAGAAGAAAGAAAGAATAGTACAGTTTATAACTGCTGTACAACTGCAATGGAGAGCAAAGCTGGAAGAAAAAGATGCATAGTTCCGAGAAAGCCGTCGAGATTTATATCTGACGTAACGACAGCAGCCAAAGTGAGGTCCGCTGCGTTGTGTGGCATAAATTGGGGGTTCCTGTTCGGCAAGACAAACGGCGGTCCCAATTGGGAAACGGGCAGCTACGGGCTGCGGGGCACCAGGCTTGCATAGGCAGCCCATTAGTGGGGGCAGCTAGACCGGCTCCTGACAATGATCTGATGCAGGGAACAGCGACGAGTAAGCTGAGGGCAAGGAGGAACCTGCTTCGACCATAGCAGCTCATAGCAGTGCCACTGGAGCTGTAACGTAACCCCATGACGATACTCGACGTGTTTATTGATGCTTGGCCATTGCATTGCCGGCCTAGAGCCGGGAGCTAGCTTGAAGAAGGAGCAGATGCGAGGAAATGAAATGTGATATAGCGTAATGGCATTGGCACGAAGAGGATAGAGATACCTTTTTTTCTTCAATGGGGCGTGTCAATTGGTAATAAGTGGGCCAATTGATGACAATTAACTGCTTTGGGAGGGGATGGTGATCAGAGAGAGAGAAAGAAAGGGGTTCACGACGGCGAGAGCCCGTCTTTATAGACTTGACCGACGGTGCAAGACCAAGCCAGGGACAGAAACAGAGACGATGAGAAGAGGGAGGGAGGGGAATCGAGGGGTCTGCTTGAAGCACTGACAGTTCACACTTACTTGCTCTGCAGCTTGCATATACATTACATACTTTACATGTATACGGCGGGGTCAGGGAACTGAGCTACTCTTGGAGGGGGGCTGCAGGCTGCTCATTTTTATAATCAAAAGAGCTATTAACAAACCAGCTTAAGTCTAGCTGGTATCGATATCTCTCAAAATCCAGACCCGGGCGAAGGCCGATGCGGGCCAACAGACACGGAACAGTCAGCGACGACCACGAAGATCGAAGCTATCAATAGTATTAATTTGCTCCGCACTTATTTGCAAACTTTTGCCTCGCTGGTCTGATATGAAAGAAAAAGGAGGCTACCATGACGTTGATCATGCCATGTGCATCAGGACGACAAACAGGTAGCAAACAACCGCACCATGGCACGGCCGTGGCGGACGATATCGATTGCTCTGCTTCGACGCGATTTGAACCCGAGCTAACTGCCAGAGCTAGCTGGTTCGGGGAAAGATCGTGGACGACGCCACGCATTTAGAGGCAGGATATCCCCGTCAATTGATCAATTGAGGAAGTAGCGGGGTAAACTGGAGAAGAATCAAAGTTGCATTCTTGTGTAAAGAAAACCAAGAGGCGAAGAGACTAATGCTGTTGAGGTTGGGCTACCAGCAAATTAAATGGCTGATGCCGCTGCGGGTTGCGAATTGCACGTTGGGAACTTGAACAAAACTGGGGATCTCGGATAGACCTGTCATGTCGTACCTTGTCACGGATGATGGCTTCCCCTAGTTCCGGTCTGTAGCTTCCCTTCTCGCTAGCTTATAAGTGCCGGATACCCTAGGTCTGATGTATAACGTATAACGTATTATCTCCGTACAGCGGTATAGTCCGTAGGAATTGAGTATTCTTCACAAGTAATGATGAGGACGATGGCAGTGACGTTGAAGTTAAAAGCTATAAAGTACTTTCGGCCCAATTTTCTGCGATTGAAACTCTCTTGTGAACTACAAAACCAACTGTAAGATATCGGGCCGCATTTATAGAATTAATTCAATCCTGTTTTCTCACCGTCAGAAATGTCTACCGGTTTGACTAACGGAAACCCGAGAAAGAATGGCAAAAAGCTTGGACCTTTTCACGGCATTCCCAAGGTTTTCTTCGGTTCGGTCATTTCTGCCCATGTTCTCCGTATGTACCGACCGCATCGACCCACATCGAAGCTCCAGTTCCAATTCCAGTTCGAGCTCTAGCTCCCCACGTCCAGCCAGTAACGTAAGTGCCCCACCAAAAGCAATGCTCTGTGGGCTAATGATGAACAAAACATGCAGGCTGTCGTTAGATCCCAGTCCCTGACCTGCACGGCAAAGCTGCAGCTTGAGGGCATGCTCTGCATGGGCAAAGGCGGTGTTCCATAGGTTCTCCACTTTTGGACAATCGTTCATGAAGCCGTCTGAGGGTTCGCCTCACGATCCTCCAAACGGAGGCAATGTACGGCGAACTCAGAATTCACCCCACGGAAAGGTCTGACTTCGCCTAGCTCGGGTGATATCGAGAACTGCAAGCAATTGCTTTTCTTCCTTTGGCATTAATGCTTGGATACGCGGAGAATGGCTGCAGGATATATCAGGCCGACTAAGAATTACCATTTCTCATGATATAACGGAAATTGATCCGAGGGCAGTACTCCTCTGCCTTCGGGCTCTAAAAGCTAGATGCTTTCCCCGCAGAGCTCAGCTAATCCCTTCGGTCGGGACGGCACTTCCAATTCCTTCCCGTTATAAGGTACTTCGAGGACACATCCGGCCCGTGTCTATATCAAGTCTCTCTCGTGTTTGTTTCTCTCTACACTTTGAACTCGCGAATTTCGGCGTCCAGTCTTGTGCATCATTGATGAAGCAGTTCGCCCTCTAATCTTTAGTGCCCTGCATTGCATGCATGATGCTGCAACCCAGGAACTGGCACACACCGAATAACCAAAGGAAAACCCTTGGATATTATTTAACTATTACCATACCATAGAAAAGTGCTCACATTACCGCTGTTTAAGCTTCTTTCAACGCTCAGGGTTGGGAACTATGCATATGCGTCTTTCATATTTCACAGGACGCAACCTGCTGCAAGATTTTTCAATCTGCAGTTGGCGACTCGTTTCAATAATCTCAGAGATTTTAGGCCACTGCTTCTCGGGCAGCGGCCGACATAGTATGATGATGAAGGAGGGGTGATCTCATCTCTGGAGTCGTGGATAGGAGGGGTTGGAGGGGTGTGCATATATGAGGGGTAGACATCTGGATGTATCTCTGCAAAGCCACGTCGCGCGGGACATCTATTTATCAATGTCGCCAGACGACTTGATTGCCCACATTAAAAAAAATTTTAAAAATTTGTAGCCATCATGTTCATCACTTTAGGAATTGCTAGATGAGATACCCCAGATGACCTTATTAAGAATGGTTGGACAGCGATGACTTTGAGCCTCTTCGGTCTAGAAACTGATAGAAAATTTTAATGGACTCCCTCTATCCCTACACTATTACAGTATAGAAACACACACAAGGACGGCAGACCCAGCGGCTGGCTGTATACAGACGGGAAGGAAGCCTGCATATAGAGGACTGTAGGACAGGCTTATGCTGCCACCCGCGACTCTGCACTGGTCTTCTGATATCAATTGTGGCGGTCTGTATCAGGTCCGGTGACTGACACCAGAAGCCGATTCGATTGGATCAATGGGGGCATTCATTCGAAGGTATCATCTACAGTCGATACAATCGTGTATACCGGCAGATATGAGAAGTGAGGTGACCGTGACTGCAATATGGAAGAATCGAAGTCGAAGACCCTGAACCTGAAACGGGCGTGGTCCTTTCTAGCCTTTTCCTTTCCCGTCATAGGGCAGGTTTATATTAGCATGTGCAAGGGCTGCTTGGTCGAAACAAACCTCCCGCCCGTGACTAAACAGCCAAATTAGGACTTCTCCACCATTGTCCCTTCATATTTCCCCGATCTATCGATTTATCGATTGCTTGATTGTTTCTTCGTTGTTTCTCCTTCATTTGATACCTTTCTTCTGTTTCTTCTGGCGACTGTTGAACTGCGTCTTCGATCTTTACTTCCTTGTAGTTAGTAGTCATTGGCAGGATCGCACTGGTTGGCGCCCCAAATTTTAGGGAATTGGCATTGGCAAAACCTCAAAACAACAACAACCACCTCTCCACAAATACATCATAGTTGCCTCGAACCAGCGCCTCCCTTCGTCATCGCAAATACAGCCTTGCGACAAAAGCCGGCTTCACCGGAACCCATACCTATCGACTTCATTCAACTAGATCCTACGTCCGTTTGATTATCAAGCTTCGGCCTTCATATCGACACCCTTCCCGAGACTTCCATTCAGGCCTCCTTAACCAGCCAGCGCTCTAAGCTCGCGTGTCTCTATTACAGCAGAACGAACATAGGATCGCCTCGATTCGATTTTACGTAATTATAGACCATAGAATAGAAGGGAAAAGAACCAAGAGCCCAGATGGCGACCGGAATTGCACCAAATTCTGGTGGTCAGGGCGGAAATGGAGGAGGTACGTCTTTCACATCTCAGGGATACGATGGTGATGATGATGCGATGGCGGCTCTCCTGTCACAATTTGCAGCCGCCTTGCTTGGACCTATCTGCTGACATAATCCACCACTTTGTCTAGACCGACACCCTCGTCGCAAACCATTTAGTACTTTGATGAAACGACTTGCTGCCTTCAAACCATCATCGCATAATAGAAACGGCAATGGCAATCAGAGATCGGTCTCAAACGGCATCTTGACAAACGAGTCCACATCCACGTCAGGGACGCACTCATCTTCGGGCACCCAAGTTGTGTTCTCGGACCCACCGCATAGTATCGCATCAGGTTCGCATACCAGAGCCGCCTCAATGGCTGGTTCTTCCCACGCTCACACATATACTTCATCAACCGCCCACTCTTCGCCATCTCAATCTGTCCAATCGCTTGCAACTTTGACCACGGTTCAGTCTACTGCCCCTCCTTCGACGTACCTTGCCAACGGCATAACGACTTCCTATAATCCCCATCTATCTAGTCATAACCCAAATGCTCCCCCCCAACATTTTACCCATCAATTCACAATCTCCCCTGCTCCAGGATTAACCCACACACCTTCCAACTCAAACTCCACACATGGTATCCCTACGACTCTCCCACACCCAACAACGTACCATACAATGACACAAGGAAACATGCTCTCGGACGATGCTAGTATCCTAACTCTGGCTTCTTCTTCCCGAAAGCGCGAGCGACGCCGTAGTTTTGACACCGATGCATCAATCCGCGCCCTACCACCAAGCAGTCTATGGGGTGGTAGTAAGGAATCCCTTCCACTAAGTGTCCTTAGTGGTGGTGACCGGGCTACCATGGGCGACCGTGCAAGTTTGTTCGCTGAACGTCACAGAGACCGAGATAGTATCGTCATGACTGGTGCCGCTAGTCCATTGGTCACGCCATCCCACCCGACATTCTTTGGAGCAGGAAGTAGCACTGAAAATAGACCTGAGGACGAGGATGTTAATGATGGCCGCTCGATCGCCAAGTACAGTACTAAGCGTGGTAGTACGGGTACCAGCTTGTTGAGCGTGCCTCTGCAAGGACCAGATACTGAGCCGGACACCGTTAAATAGTCTGAACGGGCGAATCCACGCGAAGATCTAAGGTCTACCAGACGACATAGCTGCGGTGCTAGACATCCGAGCCGACCGCATTCTAGGATGTCAGGTGCTGCGTTTTCTTCTTCGTCCTTAGAGTTGAGGATACCAAGGCCACTTAGCGGGTATTCTGCATCATCCGGATCTTCTAGTCGGGATTGCCTAAGTCGAGCTCACGGATCACTAGCACTGTCGTATTTACCACCAATTCGACGTCTCAGTCGACTTTCCCTAGCTTCGCCGGAAATCTGGTACTAACTCTTCCGAATCTCCGTTTCCCTACTCTATAGCTGCTTCCTCACCTGAGAAGTTATATCCATGTCACACCGCTCTCTTTTCCTTCTGTGTTAGATATTCGTAGGACTGGAAAATACTTTTTTAATCAATCGCCTTCATGCTTCTGGGCCACTGTTATCGCTATTTCTCACGACTGTTTCACCTTTCTATCCGGAGTTTTCTTATTTTCCCCCCGGTTGGGCTTCGTATGATACTCAGTACTTATACCCCCCAGTTTAAAGCTTTCAAAAAGAAAAAAAGTTGGAAATGGAAGGAATCGTATAGGGATGCTCGCTTGGCTTGGTTTTATTATTTTTTTTACGATGTCTTGTTTCCGCTGCTTCTGCTCGTTCATATCTTTCTTAGCTTTCATTTGTTCATTTGTCAATCCTCTCTCTCTCTCTAGCATTCTAGTTCAATCGCTTCACCATGATCGTCTTTTTTTTCTCTTTGTCCTTCCCTTGCCCCTTTTTTTGCTCTTCTGCTCCTTTCAAACATCCGTCCTTTTGTCCATCGATATTCTGTGATTTTTCTACCGTATACCTTGTCTCTTTGCTAGCCAGTTATCTCCTCAAAACGCACAGGTGGTGTCCTTTTTTTTTTTTTTTTTTTTCCTTTACTTGTTTTCTGTCGTTTCTGTGGTGCCTGCTCTCTTTCTTCTTCTCTTTTTATCAACGGAGTCCGGTCAGTTTAGATAACTGGTTGCAAGATCTTTTATATCAAAAACGTTTTTCACCCTCCTCCTTCTCCTTGGGTGGAACATATATATATACCCAATTTTATCCCGTAGACGCGAACTAGATTATAATTACCTACTACCTATTGGTAGGTAGACACTTAAGTTCATAGGATTAAAGGTATAAAAAAAGGCCTTATAGTATATATAATTATGTCGTTAGTAACCTGACAGTCAACATGATCCGTAGGAAAAACTATCGCTTATGCCCGTGTAAATCGCTCCCCTATCGTGATTTCGGTTATACACCGGAACCATTTAGGAGTTTCGGTCCCGTCGAGTAGCCGATGCTATAGATTTCTATTTCGGTATTTAGAAATATGTGTTTGGGTTACTTTTCATGACATATCGAGCTGAATTGAGGTATAATATAATCGCTACCATTACCAAGAAAAGCTCCAGGTTGTTGGAAATGACAAGTAACGGATTGTAAATGAACAAAGGCTAGTATACAGCAGAAACCGACAATAATTATGATCAGAGGTAGAGGGAAGAGAGAGAGAGAGAAAAAAATACACAATCAATATACATGGAAAAAAAGAGGATTGTATTTTAGGTATATAACCAGTTAGGTATATATACTCATTTTTGTGGCTTCAAAAGGACTTTATACACTCTCTGCTGGTCCTGTTTAAAACAACATCGTTAGTCTAGATCAACTCAAAAAAAAAGATAAACCATGGAAAAAAATGTAGAGTAAAGTTATAACTTACCACTAAACCGACTGTACATCCCACCTTCCACCTCTTTACTCCATTGCGCCACCCGTCCCTTCTCAACTTCACTTCTCGTGATCCCTTGTAACCCCTCAGCCAACCCCATACTCTCCAAAAACTTCACAGCCTCAGTCCACTCCTTCTCCTTCCTCTTCTTCCCCCACCCCATCTCCTCACCCATGGTATCAATGACCAACGGTAAACTCTCCAACGCCGCTTGAGCATTCAAAAACGCTAACCGTGTCCGTCGAGCAATAACATCGACTGCCGTCTCAGCCATTTCATGACGTACCGCATACCGAATCTCACCGTCAACAAAAGGGTATAGTGGAGATATTCTATTGCCACGGACCGGGAAACGAAGGCTTGTGGGTGAACAGAGAGATGCGACGGTCCATGCTCTATCACCATACGCACTGGCAAGATGTTGAGCTACTACCGTATCCACGCCAAAGTGTTGGATTAGATTGATAAACAACGTAGGACTCCAACCGTGAGAACCGATGAGTTTTAATTTATCGGTATTACAATCTCCTGAGATTTCTAGCATGCCGTAGGTACCCTTTGCCGCCGATGCGGCGTCCGAGTCTGCGTCGTTTTCGGCGACAAAAGTTGGGTAGAATGGAAGGGGTTTCGGACGGGGTGTTAGGTCAAATTTTTCGATTGCTATGTCGAGAGATTCTTCGGCCATTTGACGGTATGTGGTCCACTTACCACCGGCGATGGTGAGGAGTCCGGAGCTGGAGACGTCGATCAGGTGGTTTCGAACTAGGGATTCTGTGTTTTTGGCCTTTGGATCACGGACCAGTGGACGGATTCCGGACCAGGCGGCCAGAACGTCACCGCGACGAACATTGATATCTGGTGCTAGGTAACGGGAGACTTCGTTTAAGATGAATTGGATTTCTTCTTCCTTCGGAACAGGTTGTTGGACGATTTCGGTAGGGGCATCGGTTGTACCAGCGATAGTGTTTCCTTCCCATGGTAAGAAGAAGATTACTCTTCCGTCCGAGGTATTCGCGTCCAGAAGACCCATTTTGCGAGGACTGTAGTAACCCGGTAGGACGATGTGGACACCTGAGCTCGGAGCAACGATTTCACGAGATTCTCCGTCGTCCATTTTACGGATTGTATCTGTGTACGGCCCTGTGGCGTTTATTACACATTTGGCTTTTACGGAAATGGGTTTGGAGGAAGGGTCGAGGACATCTTGGACTGTTGCGCCGTTGACTTGGCCGGTGATGGGGTCTTTGAGGAGGGAGGTTACGTTGGTATGGTTGGCGAGAGTGGCACCGTAAAGGGCTGCTGTCATGGCAATTGTGACGTTCATACGGGAGTCGTTGTGGGCGCCATCTGTGTAGGATACCTTGTATTAGCTGCTGTCTACCTTCAAAGTAAAATCACTTTGGGCATAAAGGTTGTGTAATATATACCGTAATAGACTAGAGCACCGCATAGCTTCTCTCTTTTAAGCATAGGGAAAGCTTCAAGGGCTTTTCCTCGAGTCAGGAAGTAACTGCTCTCGATGCCCTCACCGCTTAGCTTCGCTAGAGCATCGTATGCCTTTGTACCAGCCCAGTAATACCTAAAATATATACCGAGAACATCTCTAGTTAATAACACTCCATTCCATCCTTCTCTGTCAATCGAATCGGAGAAAAAAGGACCTACGGTGCCTTCCACCACTCATAAACCGGTAACATGATCGGTAACCAAGCACTCAAATGCGGTGCCGTATGCAAGAATACCGTCCGTTCCTTCAAAGCCTCCTTGACCAAATTATACTGATCTATATCAGCATCCCAAAACGCTTTTTCCAAATACCTAACACCACCGTGCACGAGTTTTGTACTTTTACTACTCGTACCAGCAGCGAAATCATCACGCTCGATCATAGCAACGGTCAATCCACGGGAAGCAGCATCCAATGCGATTCCAGATCCGGTGGCTCCACCACCGATGATGAGGACGTCGAATGGATCTTTTGCATTTCGTAGGTTTTCGAGATGTTGTTTTCGAGATGGTAAGGTTGGGAAGATTGGAGGCTTTGTGATGGGTTTGGGGTTGTCGCCTGGGTAGGCTCGAGGTCTTAGGACGTTGTAGAGGGTTGCGCCGCCGATTGCTGAGACTCCGGCTGCTGTGGCAGCGGTGTAGGCGAGTTTGCGCCGGAACGTCATTTCGCTTTCTTTCTCTCCCTCTTTCTCTCCTTTTTTTTTCTTTCTTGGTTGTGAGGGATATGGCGGGGAGCTATGGCGGGGTGACCTGTTGCTGGGTGGGTTGGTGGGTGAACACTATAGGAGGCGCATTTGGCAAGAGATCTTTAAGAAGAAGAGAAAAAGCTGGCAAAAAGTCAATTTAATAGTGGTGGTGGTGTCTTTAAAAATAAAATTAAGAAAATGAGAGGATGTAATTTAAATATAAAACGTGTCGAAAGAAGATCTCAGATTTTGGACGGAAGAAATGTTTTAATGGGTTTTGGTCGAGGAAGCTTAAACACGGAGAATTGGCTGTCACAGGCGGCGGGGCCCCCTGTACATGTTAAACCCGTTTGTTCTTTTCACGTGTCTAAGCGATTAGATCTTAGCTTCTCTTCTTCTTCTTCTTCTTCTTGAATTCGATCAGAAGCTTTAAAATGGCAGAGCTAGTTAACTTGCTGAGCTCGAGCGAAGGTCGGAATATCAATTGATTGATTTTTTTTTTTGATTGGTTGAATTCAAATCCGATTTAATAGGTAAAACTGATAGAGAAAAGATGATTGGTAGATAATGCAAGTATCGTATCAGTTTCGGAGACTTTGCTTCGACAATTGCAATGCTGTATTTTTTTCGAATTCCGATAATATGATACGATTCGGGTGACAGTTCAAAGATATACCGAGGAGATAATATGATATATTCTTCGAATTCGTGTAAAATATTATAGCTATCTAACAGGTAGCTTTCCGAGCTGCTTGACAGACCTGCAATGCACAACCGGGCTACATTTTATACTCGTCATCCCATGCATGCACCATGCACACAATTGCAATACAAAGTGAAAGAGGAGAAGAGAAAAAAACTCAACCACCCCACGCACGCCGGAAGATTCTTTAATAACCTCATAGGATTCCCATTTCTAACAGTCACCCAGGCGGGATAATGTATATAAAAATAATAAAATAATAAAAATTCGAACAAAAAAAAAGCCGCATCAAGCTAGGAGCTGTCGAAGCTGGGTGAGGGTCCAGGGTGTAGTTGAGGTTAATCCGATGTGGGGAAACGGATACAATTTTCCACGAAACAGATGGCAGGGAACCTTCCGAACCGCGGATTATTGATAATCCGGGATTGATAGTGCTGGTTAATTACTTCCTTTAAAAAATATGAAAATTGATTTAAACTGCATAATAGGATTTTTGGGGTGGAAATACTATTTTTTTGAAGTGTCGGCGGGAGACCGTGGATGTTCGGTGAGTGGACTAATGGTATGCATATGAACATGACAGTGAATCTATACTTCTCGGAGACGCGACATTTTGTGGCCTGATCGGAGCCCTGACATCTGCATCTTCGGATGGGAATTTTTATTCATAATATTAGTTTTCGTATATACAGGGTCTTGTATTTAATTACAAAAATGCAGTGCGTGCTCAATGGCCATATGGGCAGTCAAATCCCAGCTTATAAACCTGGATGCTAAGTGCGAAGTTGAAAGGCCTGGACCAGCTGTGAAGCCCAAACACCTCAGAGTTATATAATCTCCCTTGAATGACAATTTTAAAACATTCCCGGTTTCCATCTTTTGGAAGCCAGATTTTAGTTGTTTTCGGGTATGTACAAAAGATAGTTGAATCGAATTTCTCTTAACTGGTACCGCGGCCACCGGTGCCGGCTACCCAACTTCTTAAAGCTCCCCTGGGTTCAGTTCTCTCGAGATCTATATCACAGCTTGTTAAGCTTCTTAGATAAGATATTAGTTTAAATTCAAACTTTTAACCTTTAAAATTTATAATATAGTATACTCGAAGCAAATTACAAACGCTGACCTACTGCCATCATGGGAAAAATTCACCCTTACCAAACTTGTAAGATACTCTAGAAAAACTTCTCCAATCTATCCGTCCTTCCTGCGATCCAAATCAGTCGCAGGCACTGGTCGACCAATCCGATACGTTGACCTCGTTGAGTTCGAACTAAAGTACTTTGTTTTCGTCGAGTTCGAACTAAGGTACCTTGGCTTCGTCGAGTTCGAACTCATAGTAGGTATGGGTACATAAACCGGACCGTGACCAATGGATAGAGATGCCGTCTCGGTTACATATTTTAACCTAGTTTCTATCTTCAACGAAGTATACAATTTCGTCTCCGTCTTCAATGAAGTATATAATTTCGTCTCCGTCTTCAATGAAGTATATAATTTCGTTTTTGTTTTTGTCATTGTCGCTGTCACTGTCGTTGCATTTGGAGGTGGCGCACATTGATATGGTTTGATGGAACTATCATCGAAATTAATTCGGCCGCAATAAAATTGACAACGAACTTCCCTTTCCTTTAAATTTTCCAAGATGGAAGAAAAAAAGAGGATTGTCAGCCTGTTAGTTTCAATATGTGATTTTTTTTATACCGTTCCGACAAATGATTTAGGAACGGGGAAAAGAGTCTCACATGAATAGTATTCACAGTGCGGTCAGGATCATCTTTATACGACTTCTTATCATCACCATCATATTCAAGTAATTTCCAATCCGTATAAACCCCACAATAAGGTCTCCTATCCTTCGCACCCTCTCCCACGAACGTCGGACCCGCCATCGGTTCAGGATCAGTATTCCATCCCAAGTCTCCAAACCAGAACTGTAAATATTCCCGTCGATGTTGCGGACTGATCACCAACTGTTGAGGCGTACCGGAATTGAATACGCACTCCATTCCCGGATACCCCCTGCAGTTTACGTATACATTATTTGTGATCTGCCTATTTAGCGGGTCCCGTATGTTGGCTGAAATCCAGTCTGTGATCATTCCCTCGCGACTTTCTCGGTATTCGATTTCATAGAGGGTTATTTTGTGCCACATGACTGCGACACTGCATTCTCCGGGAACGTAGTCTTGTGGTACTTCTATGCAAGCCGCGTTTACATGGTTAATTGGAGTGGTTATGAGGGTTGCTAGCGAGCTTAAGAAGGAAGAGATTTTGAACTTTGGGCGTAACATGGTTGAATCCCTGGTGGATATCTGGTATTCAAAAGGTGTAGTGACACAAGTAGTAATTTTTCTCTCGAAGTTTAAACAGCATTGACAACCACATGTCATGAACAGATGATTTGTAGTTAAATATGATAGTGGAAGTGTACAGATATTGGCTTTTAGCTTCTACCGCCTGGATTCGAGGCTAGCTAGGCTTCTAATAACTACTAACGATTTCCCTGTCTACTTGAAACTGTATTGAATTCTTGGAATTCCGTGCCACAGATTCGAGAAATGTTGTATATCTCTGTCGATATCTATCGCTTCATAAATTTATTATATACAGCGTATTGATTAAGCCAAAAAAGACTTTGAACAGACATTGTCAAATATATATACAACACCAACAGAAGTCGTCGCTTCAAATATAATATCCATAGCAGTTTCAAATGGAAATGTTGGCATGCGGTTTTATATTCGATATTTATTAGCGCGCAAAGTCAGCTTGTTTAAACCAACGATATTATATTACCCTGTGGCCCTTACTTGGCTTCACTGACCCTTGAAATCGTAGGTGAAATTACTGGCCAAGTTCGTACTGTAGTAGTAATCAACCGGATCAATCGAACAATGAACTCGAACGGTTGCGCAGCATGGCCAACATTTCAATATGCCAACCCCCTTGGCGCAAGGCTTAATTCTTGTTTTATACGAAGGTTGGTGTTGGCATGGCCTATGATGGTTGAAGGCTTTATTTGTATACTCGATCGATAGCCCAGGCCAGGAGGTCAAGCTAGGTTTAGTAACATCATAGTTTTGCCGATCCAGTAGGCTCGGTATACGAGAACTTAGGTGATTTATTTTGCTTAATCAATAAATTAGCTTTTCTATAAGTTTGATGCATGGTGAGACTAGCCCCGCGCCGCGTCATGATCATGATATCAATATTGTGCAAGACTGATTGGTGATATATCGGCAACTAACTCTAAATATAAAAACCTCGATTATAGATTTATAAGTTAACAGCAGGAGAGAAGTGAGCTCGAGGTGAAAATGGGTATACCGACTTAGGTTAACCAATATAACATTATATAATCATAAATTATAGGGCAAACCAACTGCGCCTTATATCAGTTTTATTCGAACAGCATTCTCCATTGAAAAGAGGTTTGTCCGTAAATAACTTGTGCGACACCGAACGGTGGCCAAAAGAGCGGCGATCAAGCTTCTTGATTGGCTCGCAGCGCAAGGTCCAGGGTATACATGCTAGGTACACAGGAATTAAGATCTGGCAGTTACACAAGCTCAAACTAGTTGGTCTGCCATGGTCCCAATGTACCGTGTGTGCGTACCTGAGCTACTTAAAGGTATACTACGGAGTACGGACATTCCAAAGTTGTATTATATAATACTACCGGTAAATTTGTAAAATGTCGATTGATTTATTCAAGCGAAGGTTTGAACGATCAGGCTCCTTCCAGCCAACCGATCTGACTAACCGGAAACCACTGACGTAATAATAACTGTGATTGTGGCGTCGAGTCGATACATACGTACGCTCAGTCACTTATTTCGGCCGCCTCTCAGCCTTCTGCTCGCACTGCAAAGGAATGGGTTAAAATCTGATAAGAAGATAATTGTAAGAGAAAAAGAGGCTGTCGGGTTTTAGCTAACCCTCTTTCGAAGATTCATCTTCTGAATTGACCACCGGCCACCCTTTCTATTCCCCCTCCCCAACTTCCACATGGCCACACGAAGTATCGATTCCCGAAAAATATCTCGCCAACCGAAAAAGAAACCCGTCCAGTCCCAACCCCAGTCTAAATAATAGTAGTGAATCTCCCAAAGTCTCGTACGACGTGTGTGCTTGTGTGTGTGTGTATACCTATACCTGCATACGTAACAGGACCCTCGGGAGAACTACCAAAGGGAAGGGTTTCGCTGCACTGTACTGGGACATAAGTTCAAATTTCAAAACCGGAAACCCGTTGAAATCCCCCAGCGAGCCGGCGGCGATATGCAGAATCCAATCCCTGCTACCGCTGCTGTTGCTGTTCCAGCTTCTACTTCTGATTTGAATGTGGAGTTCTGGGCGGGACCGTCGCGACCTCAACCGCGTCGATACAACAAGTCCACAGATTGGCAACCCCACAAGTCATACATCCTACGAAAGAGATCTGAAAATGTACCATTAGATGAGATCGTGAAACTATTGAAGTCCGAGAGGAAGCTGGATGTCGAGTAAGTTTTATTTAATTATAACATCATCGATATTGTCGTTCGGGTACGCGAGTGGGTCAAAAAATCTCGCTTCACCCCGTGCCGACATAACCGTGGGCTCTCACACGCGGGCCTCCATCCAAAGAAGGAGAAGAAGAACGGGAGGAAGAAGAAGAAGCAACCCTATACAAATCGCATAAGTTGAATTATCGGAACAAGAAAGTTCCCATGCTGAAATTCTGTTCTGTGTCCTAACTAGGCTCCACCAATTAAAGCACGTGTTGAGAACTTGGAACTCCACGGTGCGTATTAATGCCACTCGTCGGCGCTACATTGTAAGCAAGACCTTGCAGCGACGGGCGGCCGGGAAGCAAAGGACTGTATTCAAGTATGCGGAAACCGGGGAGAAGATTCCAGATGATAAAGTGGATAAGGTGCTGAAACGGTACAAGAATGAAGCACAAGGTCAGTCTGTATTTTTCTGTCCGGCCGAGGGTAGTTCCGGCGTCCTGGGTCATGCAGCTTCGATTGGACGGTTTGAAATGAGTTCATGCATGAAAATCGATCTTGCCCTAACCTTTGCATGGGAAAAGATTAAGTACCGTCCGCTAACCGGTTTTTTACACATTCCAGGCCCAAATGAAGACGAACAAATCGATCTCATTGCCCAGACCCCGAGTGCTTCAAGCGTAAGCTCCAAAACTGCGGTGGAAGAGGACCATATCACTCCTCTTCAAAAAGCTGCAGCAAGATGGCTTCAAGAAGACAGTACTACAACTCCAATAGAGGAGGCCATGATGGCCATGAGCCTCATTGGTGGTGAAACTGCAATTCCTGACTTATACCAAGTAAGCTGGAAATCTGCACAATCTCGACATTGAACCAAATCGGCTCAAGTGCTAACACATATTTCTAGTTGATTGATGAATCCGTGCCCGAGATCCCCACGGAGACCCTCCAAGGGGCGGACCCGGACAATGCCCAAACAACCACGCCGGGTCCGAGTGAACCCGCAAATGATTCTAATTCCCCCTCGGGCGCACCTACTGAAACCCGTCCTCCACCCGAGGACCCTTCTGTCATAAACGCTGCAATGGAAGACCATGTAGAGCAAGGTCAAGCATTCTCCCTAGACCTATCATCTGGCTTCCACCAAGCCACAGCAGTCCTGCGTCCTATCTGTACGGCCTGGATAGAAAGAGTCAAGCGAAACGCCATATGCATCGTGTCAGAGCAGCCATTAGACCCAGAACCTACAATCGAAGAAATAGAAAAAATAGGCTACACCCCTACAGAGTCCATAGAGCCTTTACCTCCAGGAGTATGTACTAGCGTTTTAAAATATCTAGACGATCCAGACCCCCTCCCCGATCGAGGTCACGAAATGCTGAGTATGAACTGGGACCCCGTTTCCAAAATCTACTTGAGCGTCCTCCCAGCGTTCTGGGGTCTTTTCGCAGGAACTTCCGCCTTCGAAACTACAAAGTTATATCTAGACGATGTCGCCCGAATATTCTACCTCCCAACTCTTGTCACAAAATATGGTCCAGGTCACTACTTCGTAACTCGTGCGATGCAAAGCTTCGGCATGTGTTTAGGTCTAGTATGCCATCCTCAAGTCTCCGCTGAAATCCTAGAAATAGCTGTTCGCGCTTTCGATAAATTGGACATGAAGCTCCACCAACATGCACTGGATACCTTCTACCAACTCGCCCAAGTCCTCCCGTTCAGTCCCAACGGTCCTCTAGCTACCCGGCTAGTTCAATTCTTCCACCAAAGATGCCTAGTCCGCTACGGCCGTGGTCACGGCCGCACAATCTCCGCGTTAGCATTAATGGCCCGCCTTCTAATAAACCAAAACCTCAAACCAATCGCCATAACCATCATCAACGAAGCGAACAAAACAATCTCCGAGACCCAAGAAGTCGAAAAGACGTCAAAGCAATACGCCGACGCTCTCCGAGATCTCGGAAAGGCAGAGTTCTACGCAGGATTAACCCATAAATCCACAAAGACACTAACCGACGCCCTCGCACGAAACGATGATCTAGAACATCGTGCCCCCGATTCCTCACATTTATCATTTTTGTTAGGAATGATCCACGGCCATTTACAACAGTGGGAAAGCTCGATTATGTTTTTGAGGAGGAGTACTTTTTACCGATCCGATACCTTTGGAGAATTACATCGTGCGACGGGGAGTTCGATGGAGGCTTTGACTAGTATGTGCGAAAGGAGGGGTCTGGTGTTGTATGAAAATCCGGTGTTGGATATGTTGGAGAAGTTGTTCAAGATGTATGAAAATAGGTTTGGAGAGGATCATCAGAGGACTTGGAATGCGTGGGTGAAGTATGGGTCTGCTATGATGGTGAAGAAGATCACGGAGGATAGGAATGCGCCTATAAATAGGGATATTGTTGAAGTTATTTAGATCGCTCCTCGGGTTGGACGTCTTGACGTAAGTATTTGTTTGTGAAGCAATTGTGATTTTTATATTTTGGTACATGCATGAGTAGGGCGGTATACACATATAGGTAGTAGTTAATGAGGTCTTATACAATGAGTAGAACAGGTCGTTCTATAGATGAATATATAATATAATGAAATCACTAAGGTCCCAGTAATCTAGGTTAGAGGAACAGTCTGACCCTTTCGGCTGCTGTATGTTAAGCAGTGGCCTGGCAGGAAAATTCCTTAAAACTAATATTTTGCGTTCTTAGGGAAGGTGTATCAAGCTAAAACCATGAGATTACCTATGTATTCTAATATTCGAAAGATCTTGCTGTAGGTTTATCTACCACTGCTTATGAGATAATGATAAAAGTGAAACTACGCTCAAACCGAAAATGAAAATATGTATAGAAAAGCTTAGTTTCGTATTGGGAAAAACTCTTCTGTAATTAATGTAATTTAACAGAAACTAGAACAATAGTAAGCAATACGATACAATACACCCGTTTCCCATGTATGCAAAACAACGATAAGTAATCGGAAAAGTAAAAACAAAACCCTCAACTTAATCACAGATAAGAAAAAGAAAGACAAGAAATTAATCCAATAAGCTCATCAGAATTCAAGCCTCGATCTTTTTGAATTGCAAAAAAGGCCCGGTAGTTTCTGCCGTGAGCTGGTCTTTAGTTTCGAACTCAGTGTGCCCGGGAATGACATCAGCTTGGCCGACACCGCGCTTGCTTTCATCGACTCGGATTTCAAAACTATAGATGATCCTGGCGAGAGTAAGGGTAAGTTCCATATTGGCCAGTGGACGGCCAATACAGCCACGAGATCCAATCTGAAAGGGAATCCAAGCAGATTTAGCCGCAGCCACAGCTTCAGCGCCAACAATATTTTCATCCCAGCGGTCTGGGTTGAATACATGAGGATCGTGGAAGTAATCTGTGTGATGGTGGATAGAGTAGACTGGAACTCCACAATCGGTACCCGCAGGGATGGTAACTCCTTGAACAACATGGTCGACTGCCGCTTCACGCCAGAGGATACCACCAACTGGAGAACTCATTCTCAAAGCTTCTTCAATAACGTGCTTGAGATAGGAACAGGAGTTGATCTTTTGACCTGGCCAGATTTCATCTTCGGATGAGAAAGTCGTGCGAAGTTCGGTACGGAGCTTGTTCAGAATAACAGGGTTACGACTGAGGTAATAGAGAGCACCAGAGAGTGATGTCGAAGTCGTATCGGAGCCAGCGATAATCAAGACACGGGCTTCTCCCCAGACATCACTAAGACTGAGATGTTCACCTGTTTCTGGATCGGTAGCGGCAAGAATCCAACCGAGAATATCCTTGTTAGGGACACCTTGGGCCTTGACGATATCCTCACCAGCAGTTTTCGCGGCTTCCTGGGCGGTCCTCTCTCTAGTCAACTTTGCACTAAGAGCTAAGAACGCCTTAATGTTCTTTAGATCTTTCAAACTCAGGAAGAGAAGACGGAACAAGCCTCGGATCTTGAAAAGAATATTATTCTTGCCAAAGACGGGGAGGTGAACCATAACGCCCACGCTACGGCTGGCTGAAATAATGGCATCGATGACATACGACAAACCACTCTCATCCTCAAGGATTTTGAATGGTTGTCCGAACACCAAAGCACCCATAACGTCAAAGGTCAGACCAGCGCCTCAAAACTTGTTAGTTATTGTAAACTACCTTCTTAGCTAGCTGACTAACAATAGAACTTACAGAGACGAGACATATTCTTGGATGCACCCCAGCCATCAGCTCCGGCTTCCTTGGTGAGGATCTCAAGGAACTTGTCGATACGTTCCTGGACAATGGGTTCGTAGCTACGAAGAGCTGCATCGCTAAACCCATGTGACATGATTCTCCTTCGCTTCCCATGGAAAGATTTGTCGATGGATGTGAAGAGACTGAAAACGTTCCCACTTAGAAGCAGGGCTCGATAACCAGCGGACTTGCGGAGAGGCTTTGTTGCACCATAAATATCTAAAGCCCTCGAGAATACCTGAAGTTAGCTATCCACTGTTTCTGACAGATGCAAGGCGACGGAAGTTAGAAGGTTACCTTTGACAGCAGTGGCAGAGTTGAAGGAAACACGATTTGGACCGTACCGAATAACAGGACCTATATCATTTGGATGAACACGTTAGTTCAAATTTATTGCTACCCAAAATATCGATTCTACTAGTACTAACCATATTTTTTGTGAAGCTCGTAGAGATGATAGTGGTGTCGTCCAGTCCAGGCATGATACCCGCCATAGAGGTCTGTGATACGCGCAAAGAAAGGGCCAGGGAGTGAAGCCAGTGGGTGGAAGTAGAAATAGTAGATGGATTGGATAGCGACCTAAGAATGTCAGTTATAAACTCCATCGCTTTTAAGACGTCGAAGCTAGGTACTTGTCGCAATACTTACATATCCAGCAAGAACCGAGAAGGCTACAAGAATGGACGGAAGGACTAAGTCCTTGTCGAAACCGACAACCTGGGCAATCATTGCTGTAGTCGTTGGTACCTACCTAGGTACTGATCACCTAATTTGAGGTAGCACAAACGTTAAACCCAGCCAAGATATCAGCCAGAGCGAAGCAACGGCAACCCAAACGACAGCAAGTCAAAGAACGAGCCGAAGTAGACACCAAGGAGCAAATACAACTACAAGAGCTGGAACTCAAAGGAAAGGATTGAGGTCGGTCGACGGAGGTTTGAAGATGTTGTTTATGTTATTGTTGAAAATAGAAGGAGGAGAAAGGAAGGAGGAAAAAAAATTGGAGGTCGAAGCAAGCAAGTTGAATTTTGCGTCGACAGTGTGCAGCCATGCTCTGCAAGGGAAACGGCTCGGTGCGCCAAACTTTATGTACGGGGCTGTCCCAGCTGCCCATAAAGGACACCCGCATTCGCGGAATGGGAAGCTTCGTATGCATCCCAGCTGGGGCTGCTGATCGTTCGAATTGAGACAGCTGTGTGGCTATATAACGCACTATCAAGATGCGGGTGTTTAACAAGACCTCGATCCCAGCATGCAGTTAATATATTCGCCATGCCCGCAGGAGAACCCCTTGGCGAATATCGATATCATGTCACCCGTACATGTCATTCGAGGAACTTGCAGCTACAACCTTCAGAGCCTCTCTATGTATGCACATTGCATATCCGGATTGAGCGTTATCGTCAATATCGACATTCCGACAGAACTTGAGCCTGGCATTCAGGTGTTCCTGTGTTGCGCCAGAGCATTCATTCAGGTCCACAGGTTTCTTAGAATCAAAATGTGATACTTATAAACATAAAGCTGACTAGTCATAATACATATACATGTACATGTGACGGGCTGCTTGAAGAAGTATCGATGCTTTTATAAATTTATCAAATGCAGCTAGCTGCCTCAGGGCTCATCATTAAAAAATATGCAGGTTCAGCCCACGGCTATCTCCACCCTTGGAGATGCTGTGGTTGCACCTTGACCAACCTTGGCGGGGTCCCGCATGTGAATTAGAAAGATGGCGATTGGGCTGGCGTAATCACCCACCCAATTCACTTTTTTCAATTAGAGACTTCAACCAGGTCTATGGGTAATATCTTCCACTCGAAACCTCTCTTTCTCGAAGACTTTTAGACTTTAGACTTTTACCATCTTTATCATTTATCACTTAACTCTTTTTTTGTTCAGACGGATGCTCCACGCGATCTCGAGATCTTGCGGCACCTCGGCACGGGAAACCAAGATTGTATAGCCGAGACACGTTCCCCAGCTAGCCAGCCCAAAATGCGAACTATATATCCCGACCTGCCTAAGCTAAGTGCTGAGGACTCCCAAGCCTAACCGCGAATATTTCTGCAATGACAGTCGAATTTTCTATCACGTAATCGGCCCTGTGCGGCTGGGGCTGCGCCAAGTTGTTTTTGTAATGCAACATGTGTGCCAGCTGCAGCCAGGCGAGGTATCAACTTTTTGGGGGGTTGGACCAAGCTTAAGCCTGATATCTGGTGGCTGACGCCAATATCCAGGCTTTAAATGGTACCGAGCTTTGACGACTTGAACATCCTTTGTCTTGTGCGCTACTGTGTGATTAGAACCATTTGTCAACAATTTTTTGACTTATGACTTTGCGGGGCGGATTAGCTTAATGGTTAGCGCTTATACTTACATTACGATAAGCTTAGCGACTTCAATACTCCAGGCCTAGGCACGGATCGATACCTACTTCGAGCCTCCAACCTTTGGGTTTTGAGGCGTGTATGTGTACAGACGATTTACATTCAATTTTAGGTAGCAGTGCAAAATATAGTCAAGCACAAGAGTGCCATCAACCTGATTAACGCTAACTATATCAGACAAACTATACATCGTATTGATATTGTCGGATCATACGTATATACATACTTGCATAATATTATAATGCGCTCTAGAGCTGGGATTATTATCAATTATTGTCAATTGTCTGAAAAGACACAGAAACTGACCTCATACAGTGCATCCATCTCGGCACCTATCATATCCGATAACGAGCGAAAAGACGAACGAAAGAATTCGCTGTCTCCTAAAGTTTGCCCATGTTCGCTATATCAAACGAAACATATTATCCTTGACGCCTCGACGAAGTCCTACGAATTTCCCGCCTTCCATCTCAATTGAGCATTCTCCTCCACCATCAATATCCCGCATTGACATCCTTAACGCTTCATCAGCTTCTGCTACCGAAAGTTTTTTGACTTCAGGCTTCGATTTGTCGTTTGATTTTTCGGTAGGGTTTACTTGTTGAGGTTTGCTTGCTTCGTTCTCGGATATTTGAGACTTATATCTTCGCTGGATTTGCTCCGATATGCGTGTCGGTACACAACTCTGATGTCCGGGTCGCGAGAGTGCGGCTCTTTGCAATGAATGAAGACTTTTCTGGAAGTTTATATTTCTCGTCGCCATGTTGTATATTATTCGTCCGCCTAGGCTCCGAGACTGGAGCGCTGTATGCAGCTCTGTACGCTTCTCTAAGAACGATAACGAAGCCCAGGCCCAAGACTCAGGCAAGTATGCAAGCAACCGCGTACTTAAAGTATGAATTGATTTAATATCTCGATCACCACATGAATGAAGACCATGGATATACCGTGCAGCGTCGGGTTTGATATGACGTCGGCTATGTCGTACAAAGTACCTTCCTTCTAACCCGGTGGCGAACCGGAGCCTTTTGCAGTCTCGTAACCAAACTGTGCTTTTGCTAGTTTAGAAATACAACAGGTCCCAACACATCTTGCAATCTTGATTCTCACATACTTAGCGGTACGTCTAGTCGGGGCGACCAATCCGATATATAGCACTATGCATACGATCCTGTAAACCAGGCTCTCGGGATCGTTTAGACCATAAAAGTCGTCAGCTGACCGCTCCATGATAGAATACCCCTGGGTTATAGAGACAGGATCGCCCATACCTGGACTCGTCTGTGTAACCTGCGCTAGCTTCCACGCCCGAAGCCTTGAGACTCCCAAAAAAACCTCATGTAAAGGGGCAAGAGGCCTTTGCCGATTTATCTAGCTAAATAATTACAAGTAGGGATGTTTATATTCTATGAGTTGAAAAGTAGTATAATCTATATAAGGAGTTATTGACAGTATCTCGATTGGGGATGTCGATTCATAGCTAAATACGAGGAGACTGAGATGCAAAAAAGTCGTCTTAGAGAGTATTCCTATACATTTGTACCCTCAAATGGATGCCATATAAGGAACTAACGGAAAGCAAAATGCTCCTCTAAACCAAAAACATATAATCCCATACTTCTATAATGGCCGGATTTCTCCAAGTCGATCAACAACCTATAATTTACTTCGCAACGTTAACAACAACACATATGGCTAGCCGCAAGATTGCAACAGACCGATACATCACAGTCAAAGCCTGCGTCAGACGTCGGGCTATCTGAAGGTGGTAGACTTCCCAAACAGGTAATTTTATGATATACGAAACTACGGTAGATGCTGTACATGGTGATGACCCGGAGTCATGTAGCCCGTAGCCTAAGTTTCTGAGAGTTAGCCTGAATCAATCCTCGCGCTGAATTGACGGATCCGCGGACAGCATCGGATCAGGGTGCGGGGACGGAACCGGACAATCTGCGTGTTCCTGCATCCCTTCAGATCATTTGTGGTTCGAAGCTATTCGAAAGCTAGGATCTACTTGCAATCCTAGCTTACAATCCCCATATCGAGATCGGAACAATTCGATCCGAAAGCTCGCACTGTACCACAGCGAAACCAGGATTTTGAGCAATTGTGTTGACGGCTAAAGTCCCAGAACAAGGTAAGAATCCTTACCAGGTAGCGAAGTGATTAAAGCCTGGAATGGGACTCGGAAATACATTTTGCCTTTACTCGTCACACATAAGGTTCGGCGGTGGGTGTGGCGTCCTTGTCTTCGACTTGTCTGAGCTTGTTCTCTGTCATATTCCCCACAGCACGTCTCGGAAAAGACTTCGCTTCGAAGCTTTTATGCATTGGCGTTCGTTCATCCAGCGGAACATGTAGGCTAACGGCTACATAAGAGGCCAATCTTCCGCCTTAGCCTACTCAAGCCTCGGCTTCAGTCTCGCCGGTTCCACAACCGAGATTGGCGTTTTTTTGGCGATACTACGACAGGAATTCTATGATTTAGTAGAGTGTGGACTTTAGCGACAGATTCAACGTTACGAAGAAGGATCCGGAGACAGAGGACTGCCTGATTCATCATTATGACGGGAAAACTTTGTATAGGTGCCAGCACTCGGAGGAAGCCTATAAATATGGCAGTTCCCATGTACTCAACCTCGTTGTACCTCAGGTGAACCAACTGTTTCCGCTCTCATAGTCCGATATGAAGCTCCAGACGGCACTATCGATTTTGGCCGCCATTCAGGCGGTCGCAGTATCTGCCCTTCCCGCTGTCGAGAAACGGGCCCCCAACCATGCTGCCTTCAGTAGACCGGTTGGAAGACTCTTCGAGATCGACGAGAAGGTTCAATACTTCATGGGAACCAATACATACTGGATTGGATTCTTGACAAACGACAATGATATCGATTTGGTTATGAAGCACTTGAAACAGGTATAATTGGGATATGCCACTTTAATTCGCTACTTCGCCGCTGACATGATTGTTCTGGAATAGTCGAAAATGAAGGTCCTTCGTGTCTGGGGATTTAACGACGTAAACTCTCTTCCGGAGCCAGGAACCGTCTACTACCAGGCTTTGATTCCTGGACAAGAGCCATACATCAACCTTGGACCCGATGGTCTCCAACGTTTGGATGTCGTCGTTCATAAGGCCGTTCACTACGGTATCAAGTTGATTATTCCCTTTATCAACAACTGGGTATGTTGATAACTTCTCGAAACTAAGATATCGATATTTGGATTAGTCTAACTTTATACTTTAGGGCGACTACGGTGGAATCCAAGCCTACGGTAACTACTTCGGTACCAACGCGACCAACTGGTACACATCTGCCCCTGCACAGGCTCAGTACCGAAAGTACATTAAGGCCGTCGTCCGACGATACAAGCACTCCAACGCTATTTTCGCATGGGAATTGGGTAACGAGCCCCGATGCAAGGGATGCTCAACCGATATCATCTACAACTGGGCCAAGTCGACTAGCGAGTATATCAAATCCTTGGATAGCAGGCACATGGTCACTCTCGGTGACGAGGGTTGGTTGGTTTCTGGCGGCGATGGTGCATATCCTTACCAAGGAGGTGAGGGAGTCGACTTTGAGAGGAATTTGGGCATTGAAACTCTGGACTTTGGCACTTTCCACCAGTGGCCACATGCATGTGAGTACCTGAACGAATGAATAGTGAAGTGAAAGAGAGAGTTTCTGACGAAAAGTGATATATAGGGAGCATGCCTTACGAATGGGGTTCGCAATGGATCAAGGAACACGACGAAATCGGCAAGAAGCTTGGTAAGCCCGTTATTCTCGAAGAGTACGGCGACATCTCCGACAACCATACCGCAACAAGATTGCCTTGGCTAGATACTGTCTACTACGATACTAGTAAGTCGATTCAAATCATATAAACCTGCCTTGGTATATTTTAACGCTCATACTAACGCTTCATCGTAGAAATTGCTGGAGATATGTACTGGCAATACGCTGATTTCTTGTCTGATGGCCCATCACCGGACGACGGAAATGCTGTTTACTACGGCACGCCAGAGTACAAGCCATTGGTTATCGACCATGCCGCTCGTATGGTTGCCAAACCTGTGGTGTAGTTTACAAGGCGGATGATTCATCATATCAAGCCCAAATGTATCACTACGTAAAATTGTACAGTAAATAATTGCAGTCTCTTAAGGATAAATATAATTGCCATGACGTCAAAAGTTTACGTTTTTTAATGCCTTGCATTAAGAAGAGGGATTTTGCCAATCCTTCGCATTTCATCGATCCTAACTTGTTGCCAAATAGGCTGTCTTGACTAAATGGCTCATGCCTCGTATTAATATTATTATTATAATATTTTAATATGAAATATCGGAATATCGACGGTTTAGCCATGGCGGCAGCTGATTTAAGGAGCTCAGGAAAGGGTTTTTTCTTATTGGGTATTGTTAGTTTGTGGTTCTAAATACAAATCGAAACTCGATAGGAGGTCACTGGGTACCATGGGTGTCTGCATCTGGTTTAAGCGGTCCCCGCGGCCTCCGTACCGAGTCTTGCCTCGTACAAACCCAGCGTTCTGTGCAACCAATTGCAGCGTGCTCTTTACATTTAACAACGTCATCTTACGGCTGAAACAATCCCAGTCCTGATATCCCGATGGCAGCTCTATGAGAAATAAAGCTGTAACTGAAAATCCTCGTAAATTTCCCATTCTTTTTCCTTTTAGATCAGATCGAGCGAGTATTAATATATTAGATAGTGAATTAATTGAAGCCTGGCGTCGAGGCTCGCGCTCGGGTTCAATTGCAGCTCCACAGCAGAGCAGCTATGCCGCAGAACGCCAACAAAAACAACGCAAATAGTGTATCTAGTCCACAAGTTAAGTGTTACTGTGTGCCACAAACCGGCGGCCATCAAATTCACAGCTATCACAGCCTGGTAAAATGCAATAACTTTGTGCAAATTTACATTAAATGCACGGGATCACTATGACTCAAAATTTCGATTTATTCAATTTCTAACCCCGTAGATAACGGGCAAAATCGGGATGCTCACATTACGAGATGAAAATGTCGGCGAAAAAGGGTTCCGACTAACTCAAAATCTGACATCGCTTCGGCTCTCCGTCTACAATCCCAGAACCAACCTATCAGGAAAACCAAGTATATAATAAAGCGGCTCTGTCTGGACATTAATCCTCTCTTAAGCTTGCCAAACCACCCATACATCAAAAATGGCTTCCTACTTCCCCAATATCACTTTGGGAAACTTGCCCCAGCAACTCCTTCAGCATATTCAATCGCTCTCTACGGGCGACTTGCTTCAATATGCACTCATCGCTGGCGGTGCATCTGTGTTTTCTTGTGTCTTTGTTTATATTCCCGTGCGGTTTATATATCGAGTCTATTTCCATCCGTTAGCTGGTATCCCGGGACCAAAGTTCCAGTTAATCTCGTTGTATTTTTCCCGGGTATACTGGACGACAAACGGGAACAAAGGAACATTCTTGTTCAGATTACAGGGTTGGCATGAAAAATATGGTATTTTCCTTTCCTGCCCGTTCGTCTCTTTGGGATAGAGTAACTTATTGTCCACGGATTGATATAGGGCCGATTGTTAGAACGGCACCGAATATGATCCACTTCAATGATATAGATACCTACAATCAGTATGTAATTATCCAAGCCCTTAAATGTCCCAAGAATGGGCTATCTTTGCTCAGAAACCAGGGGAAATCTAATACGATTTCTTAGAATTTTCAAAGTGGGCACAAAATATCCCAAATCAGCAACACTCTATACGAACCTGACGACCCAGGGCTCTCTGCTCAACATCACGGATTTCCATGAGGCCCATCTCCGACGAGGCGCGCTGCAGCCATATTTTTCAAAACAATCTGTTAGAAGACTAGAGGGTCTCATCAACTCAAAAGTTTCCAAATTCCTCGATCGTCTCGATGGTATGGATACGATCAATATCAGTAGAGGATTTAGATGTCTTGCCTGTGACGTCATAACAACATACTCATACGAGCAGTGTTTCGAGGCCCTTGAAGATCCGGCATTTGCGCCGGATTGGCTTCTGGCATTTGAATCGCTGCTCGACATCCCGCCTTTCGCTGAGATATTTCCTCCTTTGATGATTTTCCTCACTTGGTTCTTCGAGAAACTAGATAGAGCTACTATTCGCAAGATTTCGCCAAGTGTATCGGCTGTACTAGATTTTACAGACCAGTGCAGCACAGCCGTCAGAAGGCAGAAGAGTCGATGGGATGCGGGAGAAAAAGATATGGTCACTATTTTCGCGCAATTATTCCAGGACGACCCGAAGAAAGGAAGAAAAGCATCAACAGATTCAGAACTAGGGGCTGATGCGCTATTAACCGTTTCTGCTGGTATGGATACATTGGGGCATACTTTGACACAAGCAACATACTATTTAGTCAAAAACCCTGATATCCAAAGCAAGTTGCTTTCTGAACTCAAGACGGTAATGAAAAACCCTAGGGACGACGTAAGCGAAGAAGCGTTGGAACACCTCCCGTTTCTGCAAGCTTGCTTAAAGGAATCGCTCCGATTCGCCCATGGCGCTCCGGGACCTTTACCAAGAGACGTACCTCCGAGCGGTGCGACAATTATGGGCCACTATCTGCCCCCTGGAACAATTACTTCAACTTCACAGTACTTTTACCACACTAACCCAGATATATTTCCTGAACCGCTAAAATTCAATCCGGAACGATGGCTGGCAGAGGACACAAGAGAGCAAGAGAAATACTTCGTGCCGTTCAGCCGAGGCGCAAGGGTGTGTATTGGGCTGAATTTAGCATGGGGTGAACTGTCCCTGACATTGGCAAGATTGGTCAGGAGATATGAAGTAAGTTTTTCAGACGAGTTTAAGGAAGAAAATATGCAATGGAAAGCCTTGTTTGTTCCAATCACGAAGGGTCCTTTGCTAGTCAATGTGAAGGAAAGGCGAGAGTAGAAGCTTCAGCGCCGGGGCGGATAACTGAAACTCGAATGCAACGTTCACCATGGCCACTCCTTCACAACTGTACGTCTGTTCTATTTCTTATGTATACAAAGTACGTAGTTAGTCTCTTCTCTTTTGAATCTATCGATCCCCGCAACTTTTGATGTATAACTAAGGCATCAATCTACCTTTTGTAAGTAGCTATAGACAATCTATTCTCATACCAGATAAATTTGCCCAGAAATAGAAAGTTCAGAAGAAGATCAGAAAGGAACATTCGCGGTGGCAGCCTATGTATTGAGATTCCTTCTCAACATGTACTTGCCCACCAACAAAATTGGTCTCGTAGCACAAAAGTCTAGTTACGAGACTGCTCAAACCCCTTTATTCCAAAGGTTTGAAAGCGCTGTGAAGAATCCAACACACTCCGGCGCAAGCATGCGTTTGCATATTTGGCCCGTTTTCATGCCAGCCCGAGAACGCCTTTTGATGAATCAATAGATATTATTGTTATAAGAACGCTCCCGATTTTTTCTGACCCCCCCCCCCCCCCCCCCCCAGACATTCTGTTTCTGTGTGCTAAAGGCTGTATAAGATATCGTACCTTGGACAGAGCGAGATCTATGTACATATGTGTGCTTGTCTATGTGTATGTGTGGTTATATATATATCTGTTGTAGGATAGTTGGTTTGATACAAAAACGCCAAACATGCAGTATATCATGCAGGCTGATGTGGCAGGCTATTGATGTATCGTCGTTTTCAGTAATTATCCTCCCAAGAATAATCTGACAGACAACCGATAGGTAGCGTACAAACCAGGGCGCCTCGAGTGAAAATATATTAGGCTTGGGACTCGGTACCGTCAAGTCTCGATCTCTTTCAAACATCACTTTTCAACCGACCACCTACCTAGTTACGAGCCTAAATCCCCATATTCCAAAAGTTTCACTATTTTCTTCCCGTTAAACTCTAAAATCTGGGACTTGAATCAGTTTGTATGGATATCTAATAACCACTTTGGACGCTGAATAGACCAAAATCCGTTTAGCTTTCCAAGAGAAATGACTAAACTTAACTAGGAGGTTGATAGCAGCGAGAATCAATGGCCAACATGAACAAGACTACGTTCAACAACCCCGGAAATCACGTAGGGATTCAAGGAAACGTTTACAACCATGGGTTAGTTCATTTGGATCAGCGGCGTCTCTATAATTGCTAAATTGTCGGTTAGGTCCATTGTCATTGCTAAGGACAAACATTCGAGGGAAAAATTAAAGAAAAAAGAAAGAGAAATCCTAAGGAAACTTGATAAGTCACCCTACCAAGACCGAAAAGATCGAAATCCAGATCGAGTCAGCGGGACATGCGAGTGGTTTGTGGGTCACGAGCTCTTTAAAGACTGGCAAGAGAATAAGACATCGACATCAAGAACACTTTGGGTATCCGCAGATCCTGGATGCGGAAAATCAGTCCTCGTAAAATATCTGGTCGATTCCATCCTTCCAACCACCGAGTCTAGAACAACATGTTATTTCTTTTTCAAAGACGACTTCGAAGATCAAAGAAGCGCTACTATTGCTTTGTGCAGTATTCTACGTCAACTTTTTATACAAAAACGTATCCTGCTTTCTGAAACGATTATCGAGCAGTTCGAGATCGCTGAAGGGCCCACAAGCTCATTTAGCGGACTTTGGAATATCCTACTCAACGCAGCAAAGGACGAAAACGCCGGCCAGATCGTCTGTATCCTCGATGCAATTGACGAATGCGAAGATCTGGGAAGATCCCAACTCGCTCAAGCACTACGCAAATTATACAGCACGGACAGCATTCTCAATTTGAGGTTTCTCCTGACTAGCCGACCTTATGGTGAAATTCGACGCAGCTTTCAGCCTCTAAAGACCCTGGGATTACCTAAGGGACCGGATGCAGGACCAAAACTACCTGGTGCTATACCCAGAACACACAAAAGCGTTACTGGATTACCAGTCATTCACCTAAGTGGGGAGAGCGACGCCGAAGTGACGAAAATTTCACATGAAATTGATACTTTCATCAGAGTCAGAGTTCGAGATATCGGGGCACGGCTAAAGCTTAGACGTAAAGAAAAACATCTTTTATTAAAAAAGCTTCTACATGTTCCTAATAGAACATATTTATGGACTCATCTCGTTCTCAACTTAATCGAGAGCGATATTAATATCGATAAAACTGGCATAATCAAGGCGACTTCCTATCTTCCGAAAACGGTTAATGACGCATACGAGAAAATTGTATCTAAAAGCCGCAATTTTGAGGAAACAAAGCGACTACTACACATCGTAGTCGCGGCAGTACGGCCCTTAACTCTGAAGGAAATGAACCTGGCATTAGCGCTTAAGAGCAATCAGCGGTCATATAAAAACCTTAAACTCAAATCAGAAGATCGTTTTAGAGAGTGTGTACGGGATCTTTGCGGCCTCTTTGTGACAGTCATACATTCGAGAATCTACCTACTTCACCAAACTGCAAAGGAATTTTTGATTCAAAACGATTTAACGGATCTCCCTAAAAGGACCCAGGGCGAGCCCAAATGGAAACACTCGATTAGGCTGTTGGATTCTCACCTAGTTCTTGCTAGGGTATGTATCCGACACCTGCTTTTTGCAGAATTCGAAAACCACCCCCTGGGTAAAAACTCAATATCCCAATACACCGAGAATCACGTATTTCTGGATTATTCTGCCAAGCATTGGGCGACTCATGTCCTAGAGTCACGGATGGAAGCTAATAATATAAAATCGAGATCCATTCTAAGATTATGCGATGCAAGGTCAAAGGGCTGCCTAACTTGGTTGAGAATCTATTGGACAACCCAAAATATAGATTTCCCGGAGCAGAATTTTACCAGCCTTATGATTGCATCGTATTTTGGACTAATAACAGCGATAAAACATTTTCTTGAATTGGAGGGCTCTGGTGTAAACTCTGAAGATGGTACACACGAGCGATCAGCACTATCTTGGGCTGCAGGGAATGGACACAAAGCCGCTGTTAAGGTGCTGACCAATATCAATTGGCCTCGATGGGGTGCGGGGATACTGTACAGACAGAAACTTCAGATTGATTCTGTGGATAGGTACGGCCGAACACCGCTAGTTTATGCAGTTTGGAGCGGAAATGTGAGAACAATTGAACTCTTACTCAATTTGGGAGCACGCGTCGACCTAAAGGATAGAGTTGGAGGGACACCGTTATCTTATTCCATTTGTAGTGGAAATGATAATGTAGTAAAGCTAATTCTGAAGCGTGGAACCACGACGGCGATCGGCTCAAAGAAAGCTATAATTCGGTCATTACTTTTTTCTAGTGTGAACGAAGGCGATAAGGACGTCATTATGCTACTGCTTGATACAGGGCTGGCCGACCCTGATCTAGAAAATAAATATAATCAAACGCCACTGTCTTGGGCCATAGAGGCTAGGAGTTTGGTGGTTTCGCAGCTTCTTCTTGCTCGAGGAGCGAAAATAAATTACAAATATTATATTGCTGTAAGTGAATGAGCCAAACGAAATCCGCTCCTCTTTGATGCATGGCTGATCTAAATACTGTAGGGAGTAAGTGAAACTAGCGCTGTTCTGAATCAGGGTTTACTTCTTATGGGTTACTGGTATACTGTTACCCTTAACTTTGCTATCTGTTATAGGGGATGAGATTTATAGCTCTATAGCTAGTTTTGTTCAATTTGAACCAAAGTCAGCTTTAGTTCATAGCTAATAGTACTCTTTGTATAGGGGGTACGTCGATCTAACCTTTGCTGAAAACGTCTACTTGGTCAATTCAATAACTAAAATCACGGTTCTTGGCTATTATTAGAATGTATACGTAAGTGGACGTACCAGCAATTGCGCAATTTTATAAAGCTTAATTGATCAATTACTGATGCTATTTTACCTGACTATTGTAGACAGTAAGTTGACTTATCAATATTAGAATATACCTCAATGTTGAAGTTAAGAACTAGACACCACTATCACGAGCCATACTGAATGACGATATTAGTATGGTAGAGCTGCTTCTCAAAAATGGTGCTCAGCCGGACTTAGAAGATGGAGATGGATGTAGACCACTTGTACACGCAATACGGCGAGGAGGTGCCGTAATAGTGCAACATCTAATTGCCGGTGGTGTGCAAACAAGATTTCTTTATAACGATGTAAGTCAATCCATGAATCCGCAACCATCAAACGGATTGATATTAGGCCACGTTGAATGCTGATGATAGGTTAACGGTCTGTATTATCATAGAGAGTAAGTTTTCATTTACGCCCCATATGGACCCTCTACTTAAACTAAATAACAGACACCATTATCGTATGCTGTGCAAACTGGCGATCATAAAGTTGTGAAACTGCTTTATAACAATGGCTATAAAATAAACTTGGTACATGAATTGATACCACTCCTACAAACCTTGGAAGAAAACGAAACACATTTCTCCTCCACTACAGCCACTATTTGGACAGATTCTGTCAAAGGCGAACTTACCGAAAGCAGCTTAAGGGAGTATTTAAGCACAGGCGAAGATATCAACGGACGGTTTACAGCTCAATGCTTTACCCCTCTCATGGGCGCGGTTTTGAAGGGCCATCAGGAAGTAGTCACAATCCTCATCGATAACGGGGCAGACGTCGGTCTCCGAGCAGGGGATATGGAGGTCACTGCTCTTTGGCTAGCGATGTCAGCGCCTATCCCTCAGCGAGGGTTAATCGTCACACAACTACTTCGCAGTAAACAAGATATTAATGCGATTAATACTAACACCGGGAATACACCGCTGATGCAGGCGATTTCTATAGCCAAAGATCCCGAAATGGTTAATAAATTGGTTGAACAATGCGCCAATGTGGAGATAAAGAACTATGATGGTAAAACTGCGAAGGACTTGGCAATGATGGAAGAGAATCCAAGCCTGTACAGCTCAGCATTCTCTCGTGAAGCTGCTTTTGAAAGATATATGCAGTGCGCTCTCGCCCGGATGCAAGCCGTACGTCTCGCAATGGAATCCGAGGGTTTTCGCTAGTTTCTATAGGCAACAGGAAGTACGTTGCAGCCTATCCTGATTATCTACCTACTTTTAAGCTTGAAGATAATTAATTTCATCATCACAGTCTCGACTTCTCATAACTCATCTTCATCCGGAGTGAACAACTGGGACATCCTATGAACTGTGAATTTATTGAATTCGTGTATAGTTCTTTCAATAAACACGGTTGAGCACATGCACCAGGGCTAGAAGCCAGCTTTGAGGCCTCTTTGTTATTTCCGCCTTATGGTTCTCCATATTACGTATGCCCTCGAAGATATCAACTTATGCAAGGAAACGTACTCTTTGTCCGCCTAAAGAAATTGTCACGAGAAGACAGCCTCCAGAATACCACAGGTATTTTGCGGGTCCCAAAATATCACATAGCAACACGTTAGTTTAGTGCTGACCAGTGTGACCCTTGATATAATGATAGCTATCGATATATCGGGTGATTACGAGACAAGGGCTACTAGACCATAGTATTTACAACGAGAGGTCTGTTCGTCATCTGTATATAAGTGGGTTTTGGGAAGTAGTGATAGGGCTCGTCAAAGGAGAATATACGCCTTTATTCTACTATAATAGACGCACTTTAAGTAGTGTAATTTAATTCCTTCAAGTGCCCTCAACAAGGTTCGTATATATATCTCTCTGTAACTCGACAGAAATCGCATAAAAACCAGTTTATAATCTCGTATGAAATGCTTTTCTACTCCAGCTGCATACAATGCATCGCGTTATGTTACACGACGCAGTCTCGAGATCTCGCGATCTCGTAACGTAAGACGTTCACGCTGTAATTGATGGTCATCCATAAATGGCAAAAGGAAACGGACAACCCATGGGAATTCAGTAGAATTCCAGAGCCGTAGAAGAATTCCCAGCCATGAATATCTGCTAGATGTTTAGGTAATTACGTAGCGTAATGGCCAATGGGTATTTAGACCCTGATATCCAAGCACATACGCGGCCAGCCCCGCAAATACAAATGCAGATTCAGGGTCCGGTTGACCGGATATTATGTCAGATCTCAACACAGAAAGTCGTTGCAATATTGTTCCGTTTTTAGCACAGATTGGACCGGGATTCTGAGACTGTCAAGCATGGTTTGCCGACGCAAGCCTTACAAGGCATGCCGAAAGGGGCTCGCAAACTCTCCCTTTTTGAGTCTTTGGCAAGAGCATCTCGAGCCTCAAACTCTTTTATACTATTCCGTAACGCTAAGCTGAGAAGTATTCTGTCTCAGGTGTGGTCTATGGAACACATCTCGCATTCCAGAAATCCCCCAAGATATCGAATATGCCTTCGCGGCGTCGGCTCATGTAGAAAGAAACTTTTGTCACTAGCAAATTAAATTTCCTGCGGGCCTTTCATAGGGCAGATCTCCAGATCTCCATGTTTGGAAGCGAGATAATTAGTGGGTTTGTTTCCCTACGGAAAACTTCCATACGCATGTATTCTGCCTATTTCGAGTGCGGCTTCTGGTAATCATCTTCACAGTGCGCCTTACATCACTGCCCATTCGGTAGTTCCGTCGACTCCATACGATTTTAATATCCCAGGAGTGTCGAAACATATGCAATCCCACCTCACTTGAAGTTTAGCGTCTGATTTAGTGCCAATCGGATCACAAGGAACTGACTGCAAGCGTCAAAAAGCAGTAGTTTACCACAAACCCGATCGATTAAGGAAGTCGGAAACTCTGGAGCCGTCTTGGAATCCCCTGGTATGTACTCCGTACTCCGTACTTCGTAAACAGTATGTGAATATTTGTGCTCGAAGCATACGTACCATGTCCGCTCTGTTCCGAGGCTGAGCAACGATCCCACTCCATCCCATTTCCGTCCCGTCGGCGGGAAACTCTAGAACGGACAAGGTAAGACTGGGGACTAATCTTATTTAATTTCGGCAGGGACCGAGGCCGCCGCACATTTTCTGCTGCCACTTTGGTTCCTTTAGATTCGACACACCGTATATTTCCCAAACTTTGCCTTCATTTGTGTGTATTTTATTTTATCTTCTTTTTATATTCTTTCTATTGTTATTTATTTTTATATATTTTTTTCAATTCGATCCGATTTAAGGTATGGGAGGACAAAATCTCGTAGGCTTCCTGTTACACCTGGGCCTGCTTTCAACAGGCTATGCAGCAGCCAGCGCCATTGACGTCGACAGCGCACGTGCTGAACTTTATTCCCTCGAAAAACGCGTTGTCCCTGACGCACCAAACGGATATGCTCCGGGAGCCGTAAACTGCCCTTCAACCCGACCGTCGATTCGATCCGCCAGCGAACTCTCAAGCGAGGAGGTTTCATGGCTCAACAAGCGTAGGAATAATACGATCCAGCCTCTAAGAGATTTTCTCACAAGAGTAAATATTCCTGGGTTCGACGCCGGGGCATATATCGATGCGAACCGAAACAATGCCCGTCGGATACCAAACATTGGTATCGCGATGTCAGGGGGTGGATACAGAGCGTTAATGAACGGCGCTGGTGCATTGGCTGCTTTCGATTCCCGAACAAATAATTCTACTTCTGCGGGGCATCTTGGCGGGCTTTTGCAATCATCAACTTATCTTGCAGGCTTGAGTGGCGGCGGGTGGCTTGTAGGAAGCTTGTCGTTGAACAACTTCACTTCCGTCGAGGCGATTGTCAATTCGAATCCCGACGAAATAGGCTCTCTGTGGCAGTTCCAGAATTCTATTTTTGCAGGACCTGAGAAGGGCGAGGTGCAAACGCTCAGCGGCAGGAAATATTATGAAAACATCATTGATGCAGTCAATTCCAAAAGGGATGCCGGGTTTAACACCTCTATTACCGATCTCTGGGGCAGGGCATTGTCCTTCCAACTTATCAATTCGCCCGAAGGTGGACCAGGTAGGCTAAATCGGAGTCCCAGTATACGATTATCTCGAGGTTTGGATTTTAAAAATACTAATATAATCTTCTCTTAGGAATTACCTGGTCTGGGATTTCTGATGATCCCGATTTCACAGCCGCAAATGTCCCAATGCCCATTGTTGTCGCCGACGGACGTGCCCCTGGCGAGATTATTATCTCTCTAAACACAACCGTTTTTGAATTCAATCCTTTTGAGATGGGTAGTTGGGATCCTACTGTTTTCGGATTTGCTGTACGTTCTTGATGGACTTCCCAGCCGTGGGTTTCTTTTTTTCATGGGAATCGATTTCACTAACCTCTACACACATATAGCCCATACGATACGTTGGGTCCAATTTCTCCCAGGGTGTGGTTGTCAGAAATGAACAATGCATCCGAGGTTTCGATAATGCTGGATTTGTCATGGGCACTTCGTCTTCCCTTTTCAACCAATTTCTTTTGAACTTCGAGGGCGTTGCTAGCGCTATCCCCAGCATATTCAGAGGCCTCATTGAGGGGATCTTGAACAGCCTTAGTCAGGATGAGAATGATATTGCCGACTGGACTCCAAATCCGTTCTATCGATGGAACCCCCAGACAAACCCGAGCGCCGAGTCCAAGCGTCTTACACTCGTCGATGGCGGTGAAGATCTGCAGAATCTTCCACTCCAGCCTCTTATACAACCCGAGCGTGAGGTCGATGTCGTTTTCGCCGTTGACTCGTCTGCTGATACTCTTGCTCCTGGTGCGAACTGGCCGAACGGAACAGCCTTAGTTGCTACTTATGCTCGCTCCATCAGCGGCAAGCTCAACAATGGAACCGGATTCCCAGCTATCCCAGATCAAAACACCTTTGTCAACCTTGGACTGAATACCCGACCAACATTCTTTGGCTGCGATGCGTCGAACTTCACCGATGTCGTGCCACCACTTCTTGTTTACATCCCGAATCATCCTTTCATATACAACTCTAATGTCTCGACATTCACAATGTCTTATAACATCTCCGAGCGAAACGCTATTATCCAAAACGGTTACCTTGTCGCGACTAGAGGTAACTCGACGTTAGACGCGAATTGGCCTCAGTGCGTTGGATGTGCGATTATGAGCAGGACCTGGGCCAGGAACAGCGCTACCGTCCCTGATGTTTGCAACCAGTGTTTCAATCGATATTGTTGGAACGGAACTCGGGCGTCTCAGGAACCAGCGGAGCCGTACGAGCCGACCCCTGTTTTCAGTGAGGTCAGCTTGGCCACTTCGAATAAAAAGAATAGTGCTATGGCACTTGCGCCGAGTTTTATGTCGCTGACGGTCGTTGTCGGCTCGATTTTTATGATTGCGTTTTAATTGAAATTGCAACAGCATTCCTTTTTGATGCATTTTAGTTGCATTTTGGGGCGGCATATCCACTGCATTTCTGGGTTGTTCTCTTCTTTACTTCTTACTGTCCATTTCTCTTTTATTCATTGGAGCAAGTGACGGCCTCTTAACCTTTTATTAATTTTTGCCACAACTTGAAATGTAAATGTTCGGGAAATCTGTATTTATTACTTTAATCTTGTGAATATTGAGGCTTCTGTTTCTCTCAAATTTCAATATTGCCCTGGTCATACGGGAAAAAATTGCCGACTCTTATCTCATCCCTCAGAACCAACTATCTTCAAGACTTAGCGTCGCGTGCGTATCCACCCACTAACAGGCCACTGTCCGAACATCACCGGTATGTACTTCGATGGATAAAGCCTCAGCTGAGGCAATCAAGTTTAGGTAATAATGCATATCAAGCTCGATGAGTGGGACTTTCTTTACGAGACGAGAATCGATCGAATCCAGTCGTAGACAATGCAAACTCCAATGTGGTACAGGAATGCATGCAGGCCGTGCGACGACGCACGAGACCTTTTACTTGCATGGATTTAGTCCCTCCTGTGGGCGAATAAATCTTATCTAGTGGTTGGAACCCCGCATGGGTAGGCTGCAACATCAGAATCGGCGATTGGTTCTCTATGCGAAAAGCCTTATCTTTTGGGCAGTTCACCGAAGATTCTTGGTCTAAAATCAAGATTCGGCCACGCAAATTGGCAACGGGAAGACTTCTATCTATGAACTTGTCTCAGAATCGGCCGCAGCAATATTTTTTTTTCTGAAAAAGCAGTTATGGACCAGGCAGCGCTGCACTGAGGAGAGCAGACCAGCGGGCACTTCGTTCGCCCTCGGAGAGGCCTTAAAATGGAGGGCGAGAGGCCCTCGAGAACTTCTCCTTCCTTGTGCAAAGATTTCCTTTCGAATTCTTTCATCTCTAAGCCTCGTTTCTTTCGCAGCATATGCATTTCTTCAATTTTCCATTTCGATAGCGCACGTGCGGTGAACACGATTGAATCCGGAGTCCAAGATGACACGCGCCGAGACGGAAGAAATTCCTGGAACCGAGAGAATTTTCGAAGGCGACCAGTCGGAAATCCTCCTTCTCCCGCACCCAACTGACAGCCCCAACGACCCTTTGAATTGGAGCTGGAAGCGGCGATATTGGCAAGCGTTCCTGGTTTGCTATTACACTGGTTTAACAGCTGCGACCGCCAACGATGCGGGAAGTACTGCAGAACCAGTCCTGAACGAATTGGTAAGGACTCTATGCTCCTTATGACCGTCGACCTGTGTTGGGACAACAAAATTGAAAACTTCAAAAGAACTTTAAAAAGAGCACCCAAGGCTGAGACTTCTGATGAACCAAGGGCATAACCTATGCAATCTACAATGACGCAGCAGGCGTTCTTTTCGCTGGGATTGGGTACTTTGCACCCTTCATCGCAGCCTTGGCCACCCTATATGGAAGGCGCATCGGTTACCTCGTCTCCATGATTCTGGGGCTCATCGGTTCCATCTGGTTTGCCAAAGTCAAGGGCATCGGAGATACCATCGGCAACCAACTATTTATAGGAATGTCAGAGTCCGGCGCAGAAACAATTGTCCAATTGTCTCTTATCGATATATTCTATTCGCACCGAATTGGAACTGCGCTGGCTATCTACATTCTCGCAACCTCGATCGGTACTTATCTTGGCCCCCTCGTTGGCGGGTATATTGCTGGAGGACCTTTGGGGTGGAGATGGGTGCCATGGCTGAATGCGATACTTTATGCTACATCGTTTATCATCTTTTACTTTGGGCTGGAGGAAACGTACTTCGATCGTGAGCGTTATCTTCAGTATTACGCAACCGATACTCCAGGGGTTGTGATCAAGGGTGAAAAGGATGCGGAGACGACAGCCGAGAAAACCCTGGCCGAAAAAACTTCAACGGATAACGAAGATGCTGAAAAGAAAGCTGGGGTGAACGAGACAACGGGACCACCAGAGCCACTCGTGCAACGCGGGAAAGACCCAAGGGTTAAGAAAACATACTGGGAAAGCATTGCCTTGATCACTCCAGCTAGTAACTTGAGAGGATGGGGTACTAAGCAGTATTTTCAACGCCTTATCCAGGGTATGCGAGTCTTCGCATTCCCGGCTGTTATCTACTCGGGATTGCAATGGGGTGCGCAAGATGCCTGGCTCAGTTTCTACCTCACCACGATGGACGACCTGTGGTACGACGAGCCTTGGAATTATAGCAACTACGGAGTGGCACTTATGAATGTGCCATGCGTTATTGGGGCTGTAATTGGCTGCATGTACGCGGGACCCTTGAGTGATTGGTTCTGTCTTTGGATGGCGAAGAAGAATAATGGTATTAAAGAGGCCGAATACCGACTTTGGCTGGGACTCGCAAACATGATTATCTCTCCGGCAGGACTTCTCCTCTTTGGAATCGGGAGCGACAGAGGCTGGCCTTGGCCTCCCCCGTATATAGGCCTGGCTTTGATCGGGTTCGGATGGGGTTGTTCCGGTGATATTGCTATGGCATATTTGGTAGATTGCTACCCAGATATGGTCATCGAGGGTATGGTTGGTGTTGCTGTCATCAATAATACATTAGGGATGACTTTCACGTTCGCTTGCAGTCCTTTTATTGCTGCGGTGGGGACGACGAATTCTTATATCATCATTGCGGTTTTGCAATTTTTCTTTGCGGGTTTGACGATTCCGATGATTAAATGGGGGAAGAGGATTAGGAAGTGGACTGCGCCGAGTTATCGGCGGTTTTTGGAGATTAGAGATGGCTTGAATCGGCACTGATCAATATCGAATGTATATTGATGTTTGGATGCTAGATATGGTATATTATATTGGGTATATACGGAGATATATATGGGGTTTAGAGGAGGCGCATGTAGCGGCTGAAGCGCAATACTAACTTTTTTTCAACAGTAGTACCCGCGTTTTACGTTTAATATAATGATTATGGTTTAGTGATTTTAAGAATAATAGGGGTCCTACGATTCGGTTCTTAGGCGCATTAAATATGTGTATTATCATCGGTTCCCAGGAGCTTCCGATTGAGGCAAAAGTAGATTTGATATTTGGACGAAACTCGGTGTGTAGAAGAGATCGGCTCGGACTGCCTGGAGTGCAGTCTAGTGTTGGATTTTGCAGCACGGCATCCTGCAGTAGTCGAAGCCAGACGCACCGAGGCGGTCACCAAAAAAAAAGGTGTTGATCCTGCAAGTTTGTGCCGTTTTGGCAGCCCAAAAGTGCACCGCTGTACCGCAGCCTAGCGTTAGAACGAACGATATGCACAGCAGGCTGCCTGCGAGCTAACCCCGACTGCCATACGCTCAGAGCGTTATCATTCTGCTTACTAATGCTGCTATAATACTTCTCTTGATTTCGGGCTTGCCTACCCAACTGCTACGGATTGCCGAAGTTTGATAAGGCCCCCCCCCTTTGCAGTCGGCCGGGGCACACTAACGACACGAAACCGTGGGAGCCTTGAACCCGGAGATACCTTCTCGCTCCAAGCTTTGGCGTATCATAGTTTTTGGCCAATACAGCAAATGAGTCTCTCGACCTCGCTTCCAACCGAACTAGTCCTACGAGTCTACGAGGAATGTCAGACCTTCACAGACGTCGTGAACTTGAGTTCATGTTGTGTAAGGTTAAGACAGATCTGGAACGAAAACCGGGATGTGGTAGCCTTCCCGGTAGCTTTGAAGGTTGTACCTGCCTTTGATGATGCCCTAATTACGGTATGTGACAGTTTCCTTGTTTTGTACAGTTCGAAAGTTCAAAGACTAATATAATCTACGTTTTAAGATTCGCGCAACTGCTGCTGCGAAATCCAACATATTCAACTATGTCTTGAACAAGGAAACGCCTAAAGAGCCTGCTCTCATCCCATCTAGGTTCTCTTGCCATCTCTCCAAACCTAAATTCGCAGAAATAATGTCTACTTTATCCCTTTTCACACTCATTGAATGCGCTTTACACCTCGCCCACCATGGGGATCCAAATCATCTGAGACGTCTGGGCCGGAACATTGAAAACCGAACATGGAGGCACGGTGTTCCTTATAAGATTATACCAAGCGACCAGGAATCATCGTACGCCTTTAGGTATCGTGTGTTCTCGAGCATGTACCGAGTGTTCCTTGCGGGAGCAGTGCTTTCCTGGGTACATATATATCCAATTATTAAGGAAGACTCTCCGCTGAGAGAACGTTTCCTACCCTACCCTATGCGGGCGCCTCATTTCAACATATCCAACAATGCTACGCCAGAAACGCCGCATCTATTACCAAATCTCGAGCTAAATGAACCTGAAATTGCGTATATGCGGAGTTTTCTCCCTTTCCAGATATTCAATCTCGCGAGGTCGCAGATTCCGGTTCCAATCACATGTGACGGTTTCCTACCATTGGCAGAGTATCTTATAGAAAAAGGCAAGGAGGATATTGAACTTCATGAGCTCGGGCCACAGAGTCTTGAAAATGAGCTTGTTGAGCTTGAAATAACGGCCGAGGATCATAAACATGGGACTGCCATTCAGCAATTTCTGATGCTCCAGAGCGCATACGAGATTCTTCGTCGATTAGTTGCGGATGAGTTCTCTTATGATTCGCATATGGATAGGGTGAAATACTACCCTGAACCTTCTAGCTCAAATTCTGGACACCAGGATAAGTCAGGTAAACCCATCGGGAAGAAAGAGCTCCAGCTCGAGCTGTTTATGTTCGGATGCTATCAGCCAGAAATATTTACTTTCCCCTCATCACTACAGTTTATGGAGCCGACAACATCAATATATGCTAAGCTGGGAGCATATGGGCAGCCATATTCCGATAGCTACTCATGGGACACAATTCCCATCACAAAACTTATCAACAACTCCCACCCCGTACCACAAAATATGAACCACAACTATATTAGGTTAAGTTTGGATTCCTTGTTCACTTGTGTCTGCTTACAAAAGCTTCTTGGCGTTCTAGTCACCCTTTCCGACTGGGCTAATCAAATGTCTGTTATGCGGGCGTTGTACATGATTGAAGGAAGAGCTTTTGGGGTGACAAGGGGGTTTGTGCCGAAACAGGAGTTGTTAAAATATCCGTTAGAGCTGGGATCTCGAGATATTCTGGAGCGACAGAAGGCTAAATATTTCGAAAAAAATTCTTAGAATTATGGTGTTTTTAGATATGCAAACACATGGAAATGATGGCTCGAGTACCCATACAAAAATTCGGTCTCCATATATACCTAGGTATATAATATATTTATATGACCGCTTAGCTAGGTATAGCGGATGGTGCTGCAGTCACATACTGTGAGCAGCCAGCCGCATTCAGGTATCTATATCCAAAATTCCCACCAATAGAATCATAAGCAAGATCGAAGCAGTTCAGAAGCTTCCTCCCAGTATTGACATATCCAGCCTTGGAGCTGATTCCGAATGTATTTGGCTGCATAGGATTAGGAGAACTGACAACTCCAAAGTCAACCCCTTTAATTATATCATATTTCACTTTGTAAAGCTGCGAGGTTCCCGGCACAGATATTTCGAAGGTTGAGCCGTTATTCCAGGTGATAGGGCTGTTGGTGAAATATGAGTTCGGGATTCCAGTATCAACCAGGATTGTTCCACTTTGTCGTGCACCGTTGTCAACTCTATATACCATTGGCGGCGTATTCCAGTCTCTAGATCCTCCGACGTCTTGTTGTGAGAGAGTAGTCCAAGCGAAATTCTTAGTGATGTCCTGGTTTAGGCCCAGGTATAAACCATCGTGGGTGATCACGTAGCCCTGGCAGTAGCTGCTACTCGAGCCGTTCGATGGTTGACCATTGTAGGTAAGCGTATCCAAAAATGGATTGGCATTTTGGGGATCGCCCCTGCCGAATCCGATTCCCATATATGCTACATGGGGTAGGTTGACGACTTCCCTCTTGGCTTCGGTGTCGTAATCTTCTTCCTCATCCCGTTTGCTCCTACAACCGCCGGGAGAGCAGTTACAGCCTCTCGCGGTTTTACTCGTAGGGCATCTGTGACCATCCGTCGTACCATCGAAAGTTGGACAACAAACTTCCTTATCCTTAACAAGTATCTTGGTTCGCATAGCATACGGCCCAAACGACATGTCAATCCATTCTTCGTACCCTTCCTCGAGCCAATGACTACTACTGTAGAATATATGCGTAGGAACAGTTTTGGTGAAAGTGACGTTGGGGAATAGACCTATCGAGGCCACGAGACCTGTGGATCCTGTGTCGACCGTGGCCGTAATGGGGACTCCGGCGACTGTTATATTGAGTTTTGGAGGATCGACCCACTTATCGATTGGAAAGGCCCAGGGGGCGAAATAAGAATTGGTACAGGATTTTGTATCCCATTGGAACCCTTGGGTAGTGGTGGGGGCGGGGCAGTCGGTAGAGCTGCCTACCCTGGTTATTTGCCGCTCTGTGATTTTGGGGTCTGGGACTGCTCCCGCTGAGGCGAGGCTGAAGGCAATGGCAAGCCAGGGAAACTTCGGCCCCGTAGGGTTTTGGGGGCCCCCGTGTTTACAAATAATCATAATGTGGGTAAATAATAGAAAGTAGGGATCGATCTAATGATTACTCAAACGTGCGAACAAGATCTCATCTAGATATATCTTGCAGGTAAGTGTGGGTAATTGTGCATGGCATGATAGATTTGCAATTTGAAATCCACTGATCATCCAACCCCTCATTTTTATAAACATATTGTGCTACATTGGGTTCAAAACATCGGGTTCACTTGAGAATGTTGAGTTTAAGATGTAGTTTGAGGGTAAAATACTTCCATGTAGGGCTGGCCTACTGTCCATCTTGAAAGTTTGAGCATTCAAACTTCGATAGCTAAATGCCGCTGCGTTGCGAGATGTTGTAAATTCTGTGTTGTGAAATCGCCAAATTTTGACAGGGATTATTGAAGGAAGCCTCAGGGTCCACTTCGCCACCAAGAATCAATTTAATTCCCAATTCCGACCGACGATAAGGATGCAAATCCTTATGCAAGCCGTGCCGCTGGTCCACTTCAATATCCTGACTCCGCATATGCAAATATACCAGCAATTATCGGGGCTCCTCCAGTAATCCAATGCAATGATTGAATCATTATTCTGGAGGCACAGAAGGTTATAATTAATCTTTGACCGGGAAATCAGGAGACTTTGGTGCAGATGTAACCAGAGCTGTCTTGGGAGAAAGTAACACCACGCAGAAAGACTCGAAGGGACGTCATAGGTGGGTCCAGTGGTTTCTAGAAAAAACTTTATATCTCGAGATATACTGACTCGAGGATTCGGAAAGATCTTAAGCATCACGACAAATATATGGTGGTCTGACCCTGAAAGGCGAGAAGTCTATTAAAAGCATCCGCTAGAAAGAAACATTTTCTCGTTAACGGTTTTTGAATCATCGAACGTTTGTCTAAGTTTTTTCTGTCGCTATAACAGAATGTAACGTCAAGAAATGCAAGAAAAACATATTGGCAGAACGAGAATGTGACGGTGAAGGGTCACGGGGAAATAAGGACGGGATCTCCGGACCCTTGATAACAAAAGAGTAAGTATATTTTTCCTAATGTGAATTTGTACATGTACAAACCATTAACAGCTAACAGGCCTGATTATTTAGTGGTACTTGCAAGTGCCGACTTGCCCAGCGAGAGGTGATAGGAGTGTGACGGTGGCCGGGTATCTAAGTATAGGCAGCGTGCGAGCAACTGACAAGCCAGACCCTGCATGCGATAGCGTAATCCAGGCCACACTAGGATCACAATACTACAATACTACCTGAAAGGCTAAATAACCGCGGCGAACGGTCGACCTGAAGCTTTCTAGCTCGAAGCTGAGGACGCCTCCTCATTTTTGGACTTTGTATGTACGGGTACCGAAAAGGCAGCTTTCCGCGACACGGAGCATGCGATATTTTTTTTTCTTGGTGATATGACCTTTATCGCAAGAGTTTCCCGTGGTGGGGCTATGAATCCCAAGGTTGCATGGGAAGAAGCTGAGCATGCCCAGCTGCGTCTTGGATCACACCTACCTACCCTTACCGCTCCGTCGACGAAGGAGGGGAAGGAGTCGGAGTTCCCAAAGGAAGATTTGTCAAGATGCGGATATCGTATATATTCGCGGGGGTATCCAGCCTTCTTTTGAGGTTTTATTTTCCTCCCACTCATCCAAACACAGATTCAGATATCTTATATATCGCAAACTTGAACGCCTCAAATCCACATTCGTTTTTCAAAAGATAACTACAACTCTCAATATATAATAGTCAACGTGCTGATATTGGAATACCTATATCATCACTTGTCATTCGTTATACAAGCAGTACAAACATATCCACAGCCTTACAAGAACAGAAAGTGACAGGCGGCATAATACCCACCCTCAGCCTTCTGCTTATTGGTCTACTATCAGACAATCGAACCTGGCCTGGACCTAACCCTGGTTGCAGCATCATCAGCTCCACCGTTTACGGCAGGTTGTTGGATCAAACCGCAATTTGCTTCTCAGCCTCTCGCTTTTTGCCTAGCTATCACCACTTTTTTGCGTTGCATGAAGGGTTCCAACAGAGGGGTCGATCTACTCTACAATTTTGAGCGCAAATATTAATATCGGCTCATAAAACCACCTAAAACCTCTTTTCACGATCCTTTTCTTCCTTTTGCTATCCATCCGGTCCAAATTCTGTGGAAGCAATCACCATACTTCTTTCCTTCAATACACCGAGTACAAACACGAAGACTATGCAAGTCAAAAGATTCGTTCTTATAGCGGCAGCTTTACTGCCTGCTGCCTTTGCTCAGACTAGCTCTGATTGCAATCCTCTGAAAGGATGTAAGTGCCTGAAAATTTCCCCGTTACTGATATTCGCGTGGATGCTTCGCTATGCAGGTCAGCATTCTTCGCTTGAGCAGTAATCAAGCTAACACATTGGAATGAATAGGCTTCAAGGACGACCCGGCACTTGGAACAACTTATTCCTGGGATTACACAAAAAACCATGGAGAGGCCCCAAGATTTGATATCGTTTCTTCGGCATCTCGAATTTCTTATCAAGACGATGGAATGCATATGTCCGTCATGATGAGGGGTGATTCCCCGACCCTCCAGTCCCAGTTCTATATCTTCTGGGGTAGAGCCGAAATCGTCATGAAGGCTGGTCCTGGAGCTGGTATTGTCAGCTCTTTGGTTTTCCAGAGTGACGTTTTGGACGAAATCGACGTTGTGAGTATTAATAGTACCGAGAAAATCGGTGTGATTCGGAGTAAGAGTTAGTATGTTAATAGCTGGGTATAGGAATTTATTGGAAACCAACCTGGAAATGTCCAGACCAACATCTTCTCAAAGGGCAACCAGGATGTGCATATCTACGGTGCCAATACCGCTGTCGCTGATACCGTTGGAGTCTTCCACAAATACACCGTAGACTGGACTCCCCAGCAAATCACTTGGTCAATTGACGGAAACGTCGTCCGTGTCCTAAGTCGAGCTGAATTGGGAGAAGTCGTCTACCCACAGACACCTATGCAAATCAAATTCGGCCCATGGGCTGCTGGTGACCCGTCAAATGCGCCAGGAACTATCGAATGGGCTGGTGGCCCTATCGACTATAGCTTGGCACCATTCGACATGGTTGTCGCATCCTTGTCTATCACTGACTACTCCACTGGGGCAACTAAGTATCGGTACAAGGATACAAGTGGTTCTGCTGCCTCAATTGAAATCACTGGAGGTGGTATTGTCAACCCTCCACCACAGCAGGAAACAACCTCCAGCGCCCCACCACCAGCTCCAACTACCACTTCAGCACCCCCACCCCCACCAACCACCACATCCTCTAAGCCCTCACCACCACCACCAACCACAACCTCAACTCCACCACCTCCACCACCTCCACCAACCACTACTTCGAGTAAGTCCACCCCTCCTCCGCCTCCGCCTCCTCCAACCACCACCTCAGAGCCAACTACGACTTCTGAATCCACTACATCTACCACCGAGGAGCCGGAGACAACTACTTCCAAATTGAACATTCCAACTAAGATCATTACCACTTCCTCCTCTCCAGTTACAACTTCCTCTAAGCCACCACCACCACCAAAGCCTACCACCACGAGCTCTGAAGAAGAAGAAACAACTACGTCTGTTAAAGAAACATCAACTTCTTACCGCCCTACAAAGTCAACTTTCAGTGTTGAAACCACTCACTCCTCCACTTCTAGTGAACCTACTGAACGTTCAGGAGAAACTACTCTCGCAACTGTTATTTCCACTCAGTCAAGCGGCGTGCGGCTACCCACCAACTCCGATGTCCCAAGCAGTGGCAGCAGCATCCGCACTGCCTCTTCTTTGGTGATTGCTATTGTGGCATTATTTGTTCTCTTCTAAATATTTCCGTTGAGAACTCTTTCCATATTACCGTCCCATCGACTTTTTCGCAAATCCCCCTACGGCTGCTGGCACGCATAAACTACATAGAAATAAGTAATTTTGTGTGTGTTTGATGAAGATAGCATTCGATTCATTCATATATTGCATTTCTAGGAATCCGCTCCTCTCTTAATTTCATTACACCACGTTCCCTACTTATTCTTTCTCTACCTCGCGGATTCCCATTGTTTGGTTCATCATCTTTCTTTTTGTTTTTCGCATAGCATCAGCGAACAGGGTTACCGGTGTTACCATGGGAGTCTTCATGTTTTTTTGTATATCTTACCTGTCACGATTATTGAATAGGACGTCCCTCCATGTGTCACGTTTCATAATATTTTCTTAGCCTAATTAATGTTTGGTAGTACGTGGAAGGTTTGGGGTCGTGGACCTTTGGGCTGCGGCTTGTATTTACCTAGGTAGTTACTTAATATACTTCTGTTGGCTTGCAAAAGCCATACATATATACGCTCGAGGTTTTAAATTGTTGGAGGAGTAACATTAAGTCAACAGCTTTGTAACGTCTCCCTCATAGGTTTTATGAGAAGCTCAACAGACTAAGCTTGGCATTTTCATAGGAATATATGGTTAAAACGTCACAAGGATGGTAGAGTATGGACCTGTGGCCACCATATATTATGTAAGTACTATAAAACAGAATGGTTATGTATATAGAAAATTCAAACATTAACATTCAAACCAACTTCAAAATCATAACTTCATTCTACTCCCTTAGCCCCTCAGCCGACAAAGGTTTCTCCAATTTGGCATCACCGCCGATAGGAATGTTACTGCCTCCTCTAACATAGTACAAAACCGAAGCCGCCAACCACGCGAGCCCCATAACACCGGCCACGACCGAATAAGCAATAGTTCCACCGGTCGTATTATCGGCCAATTGTAGTCCCAGCCCTCCGTTTACAATTCCCAAGATGAGAATGGCTCTACCCCAGTAAGTATGGATGTATGCCAAAATTGTGCGCTTTCCTTTGGCCTTGAAGAGCCAATGGTGGATTAAACCGACGATAGGTTGGAAGAATAAACCACCCATGACGACCATGCCGATTATTGGATGGGTTTCTTTGAGGTATCTTAGATCTTCTGCTAGTAGGACACCGTATGCCAATCCAGCGACTGAGAGTGCGAAACCAACGACCTGGACGATCATGTGAATGTCTGCTTTATGCGGTCCTGGCATGAGTCGGATAATTATTGCGCCGAGGGGGAAGAATACTGCGAAAGCCAATCCCATAAGAATTCCATGAATCTTTAGCATTCTTGCAATCCGAGCGGCAGCACTGCTAACAATGTTAGAAGATCCGGACCCGAGGTTTAAGTTATCGTCGCCATCGTCTCCAGAGGCCCCATTTGTCGAAGTAGGTCTCGGGCCACCCGTAGTCCTAGTTACAAAACCAGTAGCAGTTGTAGAAGCCGAACTCTGTGCACTCTGAACGAACGGATTACTACTATCCCCACCAGCAGCCCTTGTAAGATCGAAAGTAAACACCCCAGTCCTATCGTGTTGTTGAATATTCGCCTCCACATCCGAAGAATCAAGTGCAGAACCATCTTTATCCGCCCAAATCCAATTCGACCTCGTATTCGTAACACTCAACTCCGCAAGACTAAGACAATTATCGCATCGAACATTCGCAATGAGTGATCCGCCTACGATACCAGAACCATCGAGGACTGTAATCTGCGCATCGCTGGAGAATACTGGTTCGAAATGTCCTTGACCGGCACGAGCTGATACGGTCACGTTACCGGAGCCGTCGGTGTACACTATAAAGATGTGTGCACCGGCCATACCGCTGCCGATACCTAATGCGATCCATGTTTTTCCGGTAGCCGGACCACGGATTTGAAAAAAGATCGCGCCGGAGCCAGAGGTTGAGGTTGATGTTGGGATGTTGAGGCTAAATGAGACTGATGAGTCGGATGGTGATACATAGCGTGCCAGCTGTGCTGTGGACAGGCCAATCAGAGAAGCTGGAGAGTGAATGCGTGTTTGGTCAGTAAAATTGGATTCGAATGGTCGTCTGGTGTTAGGGATTCACGAACCGAACGATGTAGCGAGTTTCCACCGCATTTTTCTCCCTTATTGTATACCCAAGGCAGGTATATATATATATTCGCGTTCAATGGAGTTCGAAGTTTTGTTCGAGGTAGTACGATCCTCCCGTCGAGTTTACTGTTTAAACGTTTTCTTGGCTGTGTTCAATGGTGATACCACGAAAGAAAGAAAGGGAAAGGTAAGATTAAAACAAGAAGGGCACGTTCAACGAAGTTTGAGTTAACCGTTTCCAATCCTTAACCTTATTAATCCTAAGAAGAAAAGAAAGGGAAACACACAAAGAAAAAAAGAGACCCGTTGGAATGCTGTCAACGGAAGCGGACGATGTGGTTGAATATATATAAATAAAATCGGTTGGCCTACAACAGCTGAACCTCCTGAGTTCAGCCTTCCTCCAACCTTATGCTACCGCGGAAGAAACAAAAGAAAAACAAAGATACATTGCGGAACTAGACTTCCACCCATAATACACATGACAGACATACAATCCATTGAGAATTGAGTTAAAAGGTCACGGGAAAAGATTCGCCCAGAAAATGCCAACGCTCTAATGCCTGAAGCTAAACATGTAAGATCAGCGAATGTGCGCGGGCAATTTCAAGACCTGTGAAAGCAAAATATTGCCTTATCGTTTTTGAGAGCTAACTACCACGCACAAGCCGTTGACTCGTTGGTTGGGTTGGGGGGGACGTTTCTTCGTTTTCGTCGAACCTTGAACATCTGCATACTATGTAGTATGAACAATGAAGTTGCAGATAAATGGGAAATTCCATGGGGTTTAGGGGGGGCGCAGTCCTCACAGGTTCAAGTACGTCCCCACTTCACCCACCCAAACATCGATGTTGACAAGGTGCTACATGTTACATACATATACTTTAAACTTCGCTCGGTTTGAACCGAACCGGCCAATGTAGCCTAGTCCCACCTTTAAACGTCGTCCGGAAGGGATCCTCAACTAGGTCGACTGGGATTCCGTAATCAAGGTACAGGAACGAAAAGGATAGACTCGACCCATTCATTCATTCATTCATGATTTATCATCCAAAGAAACTATACAAGGTTCATTCCCCAGTTATATGAAATCTAGACCATGTGCTCGATCGCTCGCGCTCCTCTTCAATATTTTAATTTCCCAAGCATACTCCGTATATATTAATGATTTAGTTACCGCCAGGAATTGGAGAATATCTACGATGCAAGATTTAAAAGAGCACAATAGACCCGCATGCAGCAATTTCTCCCGACAGAAAACAAGCTTGAGTGGGTATCAAAACCTTCTAGGTTGCAATTGACGTCTACCAAGGCCAAGATATTTAGATCTTCACATAGTCCACATGAGGCCGCGTAAACTGAACTCCAGTCCGAAGGCTGTGAAAACCCCATGCGCACATTCACACTGTGCATACATGGTACATGTGGGATATCGATTCATGCTCATCAGCGCGAGGAAAACAAAATACAAAAAAGAGATCAACCGCGCCCGACCAAGCTCAATTACAAACGGCTGACTGATGGGTCCTTACATTGTTAAACCCCGGCGAATCACAGAACTCACTTTTGTAAGCTAAGTTCTTGGGGCAGAAATCCGGCCCCACAACCTGCAAGGGAAATTTAGCGTTTTTGGAGCTAAACCAAGCCGCGGCATTCAACCGATCTGGGCGAATCGAACCCCAGACGATGGGCGGATGCAACTTGCTGACGATAAAACCTAGTTCACTAGCCTCGGAAAAAAAAAAGAGGGTAGTATACGTCACACAAAGCTTGCGACGGAAAATTAGTGACTGAGGTACGGAAAAACGAATGGTGATGGTACGTATATATTTTATATGTCATCAATACGGACGTTTTGAACCCAAATATATTTATAAATAATTGACTTTGACTCTAAGGTAGCCGATGCTGGATCAATTGATCCCTAAGATCTTGTAGCAAAGAAAGAATCTGATCAAACATGAATTTAAACTAACGTTATCTAGTTGCTTCTGGCCTCTCATAACGTTGCTTCAGTAGGTATATGTTGTAGAAGGAAATACACATGCATATATATTAGGTATGTACATACTTGTGGATACCAAAACCAGAAACTTAAAAGATGGTAAATTTAAATAGACGTAAACTTCGAAAATTGCTGGCCACGGAACTAGACTTCGAAATCTATATTTAATCTAGCGAGTGAGTGAGTTCATCCTATTATCAGTTCTTAGCTAGTAAGGCTGAATGGCAAAGACATATAAAATTTCTTTGCTGCATAAGAACCTCCTAAAAATTGAAGAATGAATGCAATAAGAAAATTGACAATCAAACAGTCGATATCAATGCACTAAAAACGGGGGACAAAACGCAAACCAAGGAAACTGTGCAATGCAGAACAATGAACAAGAAAACTGACGAATGAACCACTCGCAATGGAAAAAAAAAAAAACTCCGTAGACCGAGTGTGGATCCGCCATGCATTTTGAGAGAGGGATAACACTTCCTTACTCCGCCCCATTGACTAATCAACTGCCAAGAACAAATACTAAATACAAAGAACTCCAAGTCGGCCCGGGTTCGGTCGCATCTAATATCTGGGCGATGACGGTAGTTGTCTGGGCGACAGTGGTGTCTCGTTCATTAACATTGATGGCGGGAATCGATGGAGAACTTGCCGTATCTTTTCCATCAAATCTAAGATTAGGAACGGTTTTGTGATCACATCATCCTAGGATTATGTTAGTCTCGAGCATATTGGTAGTTATTGTCATCAAGTTGCAGCCCAAGCCCTCTGTTCTTCGCCTAGTCGGTGCCCGGAACACGATATAGGGCTGAGACCCAGGAGTAGTGCTATAGCTTACCATGCCAGCGTTTATCATAAATTGAACCTGCTCAAATCGAGCATTCGCGGATGTTCCTATGATGGGGACATGGCCACCGGCCCCTGCTTCGTATTCGCGGATCAATCCTGTGGCCGTCGCGCCATCCATTACCTATATCGTATTAAAGATCAGATGTCAGCTACCTGCAGATGCAGAATCCAACTCGAACATAACGATATTTCGTGGTAATTATGCTCTGAAGAAGCGAGATGAAAGTCACTCACGGGCATTTCCATATCCATCAATACAATCGTAAACTTTCCACCCGCCTTGAGCAGCTCAAGAGCTTCTTCACCGTTGTTAGCAGTTACTGTCTCACATCCTTGTGCTGCAAGTTGTTTTCTCAGAATCTTTTGATTCAATATATTATCCTCCACAACCAGGACACGGTATCCGTCACCGAGCCTTGGCCTTTTACTTGATGGTTTGCGGTCTGCAACCTTTTGTATCTTCACAGGTGGTGGCTTAGACGGCCGGCGAGGGGTTGAGATGAAATCTTCTGCCGCAGACTTGATGTCACTACCAAACGAATACGTCCGTTTCACAGGCTCATTAGGCGTCGATACGATATTGTGGGTAGTAGGGGGATCCGTTCTCTGGGCATGGAAAAAGAAAGAGAACGTGCTCCCCACTCCCAAGTCTGAGTCGAAGTGAAGTTCACCACCGAGGAGAAAACATAGCCGTCGCGCAATGAATAATCCGAGACCCGAACCGCCATATGAAACATGAGTTTTCTAATAGATCAGCGGCTGGGCCGATATGGATAAGAAGGGGGACTAGAAGAAAGAATGGCTTACGGGTGCCTGGTGAAATCGTTGTCCAAGGACAGCCTGCATCTCGTTGGATATCCCAATACCAGTATCCTATACCAGGCTGATCAGTCGAGGATTATGTTTTATTGGAATACCTCAGCACTTACTCTGACATGTACTAACATGTACATCCCGTTTTCCGAAAAAGTGGGGTGGTTTTTTTCATTGCTCGTGATAAGGCTGGGCTCACTACTTGGAGTATTTACTTCATCTAGAAAGTTGTCCGTGAATGAAGGCCGGACTTTAGACGAGTCGAGAGCCACACATATTTCCTTTGCACCGTTCTTCTGGCTTGTGAATTTGATAGCGTTGGTAACAAGGTTGATCTAAATATGGCTTAGTATACCCATATTTATCATACTGAGTAAAAAAATTGAGACCTACTAAGACTTGCATTAGGCGAGCTGGGTCAACCATCCACCAGTCTCGCATACAATCAGCGACAAAGTTGTCGGACAGCTTGTCAAGTTAGTAAGACAATTTAGCGTATCCCCCCAAAAAAAAATGCAATATAGATAGCGGTGTTAACATACGGTGAACTGCGCGGTAATTCCCTTGCTCTTCAGTTCTGGGACGAATATTCTCATCCCACGCCGAATTATATCATGGGGTTGCGCGGGTACAGGGTCTACTGTCAAAAGCCCGGCATCGAGCTTTGACAAATTGAGAATGTCATCAATGATTTTCTTTTGATGCTCTCCACAAGCGAGAATGGTTTCTGCAGCTTCTTGTATTGCAGCGAGAGCAGCCGGGTCGGCATCAATATCTATTAATGCATCCAAGGTCATCTGTATTTCATCTGCTGATTGTAGGATAGCAGAAAGTGGATTCCTATGTCCCTAGAATTAGACTCTAGTTTGTGTTTTAACCAGAGATAAATGATCTTACCGTAATTCATGGCTTGTTCTATGGAGCTCAGAACAGGTTAGTTGAGTCTTCCTCTCGATATCTCAGGAAATGATATAACTTCATAACATACACATCCTATAAGACCCGTTAATATAGAAAGACCTTCACGTTCTGTCTAGGGCATAATACTCACGATGAAATTGTCTTGCTGCCGCTTCCGTTCTACGGCCTCTGCAGTTAATTCTCGTTGGTATTCCTCCGCTAGTTTGATACTCGTGATGTCGACCAGTGTACCAAACCACCCCGTAAAATTCCCGTCGTCGTCGTAGGAAGGGTGAATAGAGTTCCTGCACCATGTAGTAAACCCTCGACTGCCAGGCCTCGAGTCGTTCCCGAAACGAAACTCTTCTGCCATGCTCCCACGCTCTTCCACGAGTTTGTCGAATAAAGCTACGATACGTTCGCGATCTTCGACGTAAATATATTTGTCCCAGACATCGGGACCACCGCTCCGATCCATGCCGCATATGCGCCACCATGCATCGTTTGCAAATATGATTTGCCCGTCATTGTTGATACAAACGAGTCCTATAGAGTGTGTGGTTAGCAAAAGACAATGAATCGTCAAGTTATCTCCCCGTTTCTGAGTTTTGGATTGCATACCGACGGGAACACTTTCTGCAGTCTGCATGGAGTTAGTCTTGTCGATATAAGCGCTGAAAAGGTACATTTTACTCACCCTGGTGAATAGAGTCTCGCTCTCTCTTAACTCCTTGGTTTTTTTATCCAGAGTTTGAGTTATCTTAAGACTATGAGCTCTTGCCATCTCTGTATAGTTATGTTAATAGTGTTCAAGACGGTCACTTTGATTCCCTCATACCTGCGAGCTTGCTTTCAAGCAAGAGCCGCTCCTCGTCTTTGACGCTCCATATTTTGGCCACTGACGTTGAAATGATGCTTTGAAACCCGTTTAGCCATTCTTGATATGTTGAATCATATGGTCTTCGATGGTTTTGCCCGATGATAAGAAACGCTTGGGCCATTCCAGAATGTTTACGAATTGGTAATGTTATCGCATCTTGACACATACCAAATCCACGATATGGCATCCCGTGTAGGCTGTTCTGTTCAAATATGGAAAGCGGTTCCCTGATTGTGGTTTTTGCTTGTCCGTATGTGTGTATTAGACGTTCCCGGAATACTTGGGACTTGGTGTGTCCAAGCGCGTCAAAATCAATGTTGCCACAAACTTTAGGATCGAGACCTCGGCTTCCCACATATTCGCAGCGTCGTCCATCTTCTGAAACGCAGTAGAGAATTACAAATGGTGAATCGCGAGGTGTCTCATCTAATGCATCGAGGATAGCACTCCAAAAACCACCTTGGTGCCCTAGTTCTTTGACTTGGACGAGTTTTGAACCGAGTATCTGTAGACTCTTTGTATGCCGCTTTTTAATTATGCTGTCCGTTTCGAAGACCGCGTAGGCGAAGGTTCCCAGGTAGAAACCTTGATCATCGATAGCCGGTGATAATATAAAGCTGACGTATGACTCTTCTCCAGGGACTGACTTGTTCAGATAAAACAGTGCGGCCTCTGTCTCAGTGCAATCAGTCAATGATAAGTCAAGGGGTAGTGTGGATATGACAATGTTCTCGTTTTGTGCTCACCTCTTATGACTGTTTCGCCGAGCAGTGTTTTGTCGATTAAAGGGACAAGATATTCATGACCTTCAGGCCATGCTACAGGGACTGTTTTACCCATTATATATGGATGGCGTTCCTGTGCGACTTGCAGACCCCATGCTAAATTGTAAATATTGATATAATCATAGCCGGCGTACAGTACAATTGGCTGGGTCATATACATTATTGTATTTATAGCTGTTCGCAGAGACGTTGACCATGAGTTCATGGGCCCAACAGCCGTATTTCCCCTGTTGGATGCAGTATTATCAGCTAAAATTTTCTTATCCCCGTACACAGCTGTTTCGTGTAGCACGAGATCAGTTCATACCAATCGATTGAATGGAGTAAATTAAAGTGCTTTCGAGCTTCACCAAATGGTATTGGACATTCCGGCACGGTCCAATCAAGAGAAGGAAGAGACCCGCCATGGGCCCGTATCACTGCTTCTTGTGCCTGAGAGAGAGTATGGGTGATTGCTAGCATGGAAAGCGAGCGGAATGTTTTATGGCCGGCATTATCACTGGCATTGACACTCGGGTTGATAGTCAGCGGTGATAGGGTTGACGATGATGCGGGGCTGCTTTGTTTGCCATCGGCGATTGGATCTGTATCTCGATCTGGATTTGGAAGGGATGTAGCTTCAAGGACCCCGACATAACAACCACCTCTGCTGCCATTTAAAGCAATCTTCCGTAGGATCAGTTGATAACTCCGGAAAGAGGTTTGTAGCTGTAAATGTTCAGGTTCTAGAGCGGATGTCTCGTCTCCGATTGCTGATCTAATGACGCCGAGCAGCCCATCGTGACTGCCGCCGAGCAGCTTATCAAAAGCAAAGTTTGTGTATACGATAGCTTCAGAGGCGCTGCCTAAAATGAAGGTAGGACGGGCATCCGTTCGAATGAACTCCACAAGGTAGTCGTGGTAAGCAAACCCCATGTTAAAAACTGTAGGTACGGAAAACAAGCTAACTACTAGACGCTAAACAGGGGCTGAATTCAATTGTTTGGCGGGCTTGGATGTGGATACATGACCTTGTGCCCTGTACCCGCAATACTAGTACTGCGGTTCAATGATTTGAAGCTTGAACGAATGTCGGGCGCAATGAACGTGATGCTTATTGATGGATGTAGTTAGAGTTGAGTTAGTGACGTTGTAAGGCTTAGAACAGGCAGAGTATTCGCCGAGAAACGTTCCTCAGGTGCTTTGGTCCTTAGCAGCATACAAAATGGCCCTTTAAAGGTAAAAGGAAAAGGATACTGGGTGTCAACCCAAAGCTCGCCTAAGCTCCTAGCAACCAGAACTGACTATCCCTTGACTGAGCGGTGAGCCCTGGGATGCCATGGTGAATGTTTTTGCGTTTGCACGCTTGTGGAGAAATCGGGTGTCTTGTACGACGCATGCGGTCTCGATCGCCACCTCGTGACAGGGTTCGATAAGCTTCGCAAACATGCCTGCCACCCGCAACGCGATCGCGATCCGGATCACGGCTCAGGGCCAGGACTTCAGATTCATTGGAGGAGGGTTGCAATGTGTTGTCTGTAGTTCGATCCACAACGTTGATGTATCCAGCTGGCTGCGACAAAAGACAACAGCGGAATCGGCCCGTAAGAGTGGGAAGTGCAGACAGATTGAAAAATGTTGTCTAAGAACAATCCAAAAGTCTATGACGCTACCACACCTCTAATCCTTTAAATCTATCCTGTGTGCTTTAGCTACATCGGGGTAGAAGCCCAGGTACCGATCCCAATGGGATTAACGTAATGAACTTGGGGCTGACCGTTGGCTTCGTCAGCCCCCGACTCTATGACTTCTAATCCATTGCGCAAATGGCTACTGTGGCAGATTTTGGAACACAAATCCTCCATTTTTCACCGTGATACTTTCTTTTTTACTCAAGCTGGGTCCTCGATTGCGTCTCCCGTGAGTCACGGTGCTTCTCGTCCTGTTCCTAACTCTTAAAGTGTACGTGGCACACGACCGCGCAGGAAATTTTGTATATATGACCTCGGAAAAGGGCAAGAATCTCATTTCCATCAATATCTCAGCACTACACCTAGTTTAGGCTGAAGCATCAGTTTTATCCTCATATTCCCTTTTTCACGGGTCCGTTCAATTCAATTCAATTGGCATCAATTGCGGCTCCCAATTGATATTATTAAAAATACCACGTCTGCAACACCCACTCCAACCACACGATACCAAATGGCGGCACTCGTGAATTTTATCAAATCTAAAATTGTCGGAAGACACCAGGACCGCTGTCTAGTCCTCGGTATTGATGCTGCTGGAAAAACTACGTTCCTTTATAAATGTTTTCTCCCAAACGAAACTGTCACCACAATTCCGACTATTGGCTTCAATGTCGAAACCGTCAAATTCAAGGATAGTGATATCACTCTTTGGGATGTGGGAGGCTGCGACAAGATCAGACCACTAGTTCGACATTATTTCTCTCCTGGAATGGCTGTTCTTTTCGTTTTGAATATTCATGATGAAAGGCTCGCTGAAGCTATGGACGAGCTAAGATTCCAAATTACAATTGGGACTGAAGATTTTGAACTTGGATTTGTTGGCATCATGCTCAACAAACAAGATTTACCGAACACCACACCAGAACTTCGTCAGAAATGTCGGGAAGAAGTGGAAACTGTTATGAAGGGCTTCTCATCACGACTTAAGTGGCGCATCTTTGATTCCGATGGCCTATCTAGTCTAAAGGGCGTTGGTGTAGAGGAAGTTCTGGCAGGGATTTACGACGGACTTCGGGGCTGGGTTCCAGATCCTCATTCCGAGCCGGTGGATAAACCAACAGCAGTTCCACCAGATGCTATCCCAACGACAGATGACCTCTTAAAGAGGATAAAGTCACTTCGGGAATCTAAAAGGACAGTATACCGCTACCCGGAGACTTATCTAGACAAGATGAAGAACGGAAAACTTGAAACATGGGATCACGGCGACCACCTCTTCGTCGCAAGCGTCATTTTACACAAAGTTCTGGAAGATCCATCCCAAACCACTACACCACAGCAACCGGTCTTTGCTGCCGTTGAAATATTCCTAGAGAACCTTTTATCGATGCTCCAAGCAGCCCCAGGTAGATTCAGAAATACAGCTCACCGGACCCTTACAACCTTTTGGGTCTATCAGGTTTATCTTGCAATGCATAAGTTTCAAGGGCCCGCTAAGACTAGTTATATTTCAGACTGGCCGGAGAGGTTCTTCACAATTCTGGAGCAGAACCCGGATTTGATGAATGGTAGACTTTGGCAGGACTACTATTCAAAGAACTATCTCTTCTCCCCCAAAGCCAAAGACAATCTTGTCACACCAGATATCCAACGACTTCCATCAATGGACTCTGGGAAACCGGCAATCCAAGCCCCTGGATATGACACTAAAAGACTTGGAGAAGATCACACCTCCCGTCGCCTAAAGCGGTGGGCGTATGCCACCCTTCAAACCGTCAAAGCAACTAACGCCCGCCGTGGTCTGATTGTCAAGAAAGCCCTTTCTGAGCTTCAGCGGGACATAATCCGCCAACGCGCAAAAAGTCCAACATTAGAACCATACTCGGAAACCCAGGCCTACTTCTGGATCCAAATAGTGCACGCCGGTATGGAAGGTATTCTCAAGAAGAGCCCGACTTTCGACTTCGCTAGGGTTCCATACGACACTATTGAAATCTTATACCCAGATGCCTTTGGTCAGGACGACTTGTGGAAAGAATATTATCTAGAAGCTGACTGGAAGGGGTTGCCTGCCAGAGTTAGCTTTATCCCTCCAAAGAGGGGCAAGGTTATCCCAAACTTCACTCCAGCACTTGTATTGGAGAAAGATTGGAAACTGGCTGTTTCGGATGTTCATGTCCCAACATTGGAGGAACTAACGCAGCGTGCGAACTACATCTCAAGCTATGAAGTCAAAAAAAATGATACGACAACTGAGTCTGACCCTTCTGGTTCTAAGTCAACGGATGCACAGGCAGGTCAATCCAACGAGGAAGATGAAGACGACGACTGGGTAGACGTGCAAGACATCACCGCGAAAGCCTCCCAAGTGAAGATCTCAGATCCCGAAAAGCTGTCTACGGAACCTAAAGGACCACAAACTTGGCAAGATCAAGCAGAACTTATCCACCAGATTTTCGATAAGCTTCCAAAAACTGGATCCCAGATAAACCACAGTTTCATCTCTCGCATCGCATATGACCAGGTCAACGCATCTTGGTCTCGAACCCCTAACAGCACTCAAGACTCCACATTGCAGCACTCCCAACTAACCAAGAAGACGTTTTGGGTCAGAATGATTATTGAAGCTTATATTGATACATATGGTGTATTCAGTGAATTGGGAGTTGAGATTAGCTTACAGCATTTCCTGTCGAAGAATTTGGAACTTTGTTGGGAGGATCTGTGGATGGTTTATTATAATGAGCTGACCTGGAAGAGTGTTACAGCGGACGAGATGATTTTAGGCTGCGATAGGAAACAGCTGAAAAGTGTTAGGAGATGGAAAGAACGAGCAGGTGGCCTGTAAAGCTCGCCAGAAATAGTTGTAGCTGTCATTTAAATGCAGTATTATAATATTAGTGTTATTGGCATCATGTTGAGGCATCTTGTTGTTAAACTTGCATTGATAATCTAAGTTAATTACGTTAAGCAGTGTGAATTTGACGCAGAACGCTAGAGCGTCTGAATTTGATAGTTCAACGAATCGGTGAAACCAATTAATTTTAAGCCTAAATTAATCTAAACAGTCGTCTAGTTTTAAACCGGGCCGAGTATAGTTGCGTGCGCACGTGCCATTGCTAGTCGATCACAGCTTGAGGTCTTATATTAATTATATATGTCTCTAATCATCCCAAGTATCATACTGCACTCCAACTTTCCTCCACGCCCGCTGGACCTTCTTTCCTAAATCAGGGTCACCAGTTGCTTTCCCAATCTTCACTGCTTCTTTAAACGTAGAATTGGCAAAATTGGAAAATAAACATGTCTTATCTAACCCTGTATCGATCAGGGCACGGTACCAGATTTGTCCAGCTTTTTCCCAAGAAAACCCTCCGATCTCTTTGGCGGCTTCGTAAAAGGCTTTGTTCGGGATCCCCGATGATATATGGACTTCAAGGTTGTCATTATATTCGTCGTAGTGTTGGATTTGTAAATCCTTGAGTACCTTAGTTTTGGTAGCGATCTCGAATGCCTTTCCAGGTTCCTTAAGAGACCTTAGGCCCATACCAGGATGTCCGGGTAGAATAGCAGTTTTTCCTATGATCCAATCGGAGTCCTCTAACTTCCAATTGGGATCACTCTTAAAACTATACCACTGCTGTGTCATAATTGCAAACACATCGGCAATCGACTCTGATAGAGCGCCAGGCTCTCCTTTGTAATCCAACCCATGGCCCCGATCTACAGTACACTGGATCACGGCATGCATGAGTTCATGAGCAACGATATCGATACCTGTCACAAAATCCCCGATTATACCAATGAAATCATCTACTGGTTTTGTATCGCTCTCCATCCACCCTGTCATGGAGAACCCAGTGCCAAACACCACTTGCCCCAATGCGGATGAATAGAATGCGTTGGGATAATTGAATTCATAATTGACGCTGGCGATGACTTTACAACCACGATTATCGAGTGAATCACGTTTGAAGATCTCGGCCATGAAGTCAAGGAAGATACCGATGTTATTGTAGCATAATTTAACGGATTTGGCGTTGAGATCTGAAATGTCATCGCCTTCGGACCATGATGGGTTGGAGTCTGAGTCTTCGATGCTGTTTATCCCGCAGAATTGAAGGTCTCGGATCAAACGCTGTTTGGTGATAACGAATGGGTCTTTGAAGTCTTGTGCGTTCGGTGGCTTTGCTTTGATGATCTCTGTTTTCTATGAAATTTGGAATTTAATATTTTGCAGGTAACAGCTGAGGTTTTCGTTTCTACTGTACGACTTACGAGGTTTTCTAAAAACTCACGAGTTTGGAAAACTTTCATGTAGGTCATGCCGATCTCCATCTTATCCTCCTCTGATATGTCGCCACCTTTTTGTGCGTCTGCAGTGTTTTCATTTTCCGTATCCTCAAGGCTGAGATCAATTTGTGTACTTCTTGCGGTGGTTCTCTCTCCAGAGAGATACTGAAGTGGTAAGAAAAAACAGACGTGTCCATCTATAAGATTTGGGGACTCGGTCTGATTTCCTTGAACTTGGGGGTTTATCTTTGTGAATGCCATCTTCTTGGATTGGGCCTTTTGGTCGATCGCGATCGGAGTACGAGCACTTCAATTGATCAATTGATCTTAAGAGTGCCATCTTAATACTTGTATATGCCGCATATCCATCAACATCCACAGGCTCAATTACTCGAGAGAGCTATCGATCGCGATCGAGGCCTCAACTGATAAACAACAATCAAGCGGCTGAAGTTCCGTCTTGATACCATGGTTGCTTGTAGCCCCGCAAATTGCCAATGGATTCAACGTGAGAGGTTTACATTCTGCAAGCTCAGGCGGCTACTACAGCCGAGCCGTTATAATTATAGAGCTAACGTATTTGGCAATCTATCGACAATGCAATGTACGTATGCGTGAACGACAAGTCAGCGGGGTAAAATATTTGGCCAATTAGGAGCATTCGAATATACTGGATTTTTTCTTTTCCCCAATGGTATGATTTGCAATTGAGGGTATTTTTCTTGTCCTAGAACTTCGTTCTGGCGTGCATGATGCAGGGCGTTGGTTGAAGTTAGTGGCTATATTCGGGTGGACTGTTGCATGTTGAAATTCGGAAATCTTTTCTGTTTAGTGCCCCGCTAAAGTAACCCCGCTGAGCATATGGAAATCATCGGCTTTGCGATTGCGATTTTTTGAAAGCTAAACGGTATCCGTACTAATTGGCCCAAGCTCCACGGTTGAAAACAATTGACCAATCTGAAGTCTAGGGTTTTTAATTTCGAACTTGAGGTTCAAATGTTAACGTTTCGCATCCAGGAGCTCAATAAGTACGAAGTTAAGGTCTTCGTGCTACGTTACACTCAGATCTTTGGAATTAAGTTTCTCCAACATTTTATTGGTTTTATTATATATAATAACATATACTACTAATATAACACTGTCGGAACTGTACATTTCGTATTCTTGTAAATTGGATAGAAAGTCTGTACTTTCTGTTCATGCGGGTATACCCCACCTAAGCACCCTGCAGGCCCAGATGCATGTTCTCGCAGTCGGGGGCTGAACCTGCAAGCAAACCGGAAATTTTGCGTTGTTAATCCAGATGGGTCGAATAGATTGCGCAAGCTTGACTCTCGGGTCGTGATACTTTACCGCGTCTACCCAAGCATGTGCATATTCGAGTGCGACCGCCAGACCAAAGCAGGAAACCCAAGCCTCCCAAGGCAGAGGTGAGGATTCCTCAGACTAGGGGTAGCAGGCCAAGTGCTTAACTACCTAGGTAGCTTCAACGGCTAACCGGCCGTTCGAACGTTCAATTGATCAATCAGCCAACCATCAGCTTCGATTTGCAATCCGTTCCGTTGTGGTCACCGCTCATTGATCCCGAACTGCGACCTTCTACAGGGCTTACAAAATCCCTACCTAGCTAAGACGGCTATGCTAAACCGTTCTCCGAGCTTGCATATGTGAATGGCAAAAAGCTATCCGCATAAACTAGAAGCGGTAGTTATCTACTAAAACTATGCAGCTGTACCCTCCAATCAATTGATCAGCTCTACCTTTATGCAATGCAGTATCGTGCGGAGAACACTATGCAAGTGCACAATTTTGAAAATTTCAACCTGTCGGATTCGGATTTTGGTATAAATGGCTATTCAGACAAGGATACCTGTACAAATCTTGGAATGCATGAGGATACCTTACCTCGACAACATGGTATCACGATGTTATGAAATATTAGCGTACTGAGTTATACTCTCGACATCTTGACAGTAGCGACTATTTTGCGTCTATATAAGAAACTTCATATTCCCCCAATATCATTATAATTCTACAAGAACTTAGCATACCAAACCCATTGAGATCCCTTGAGCTCTGTTATTGATCCAACTTTGACGTTTTATATTGTTCAATTTCTCTCATATATAAGATATCATCATGTCTGACCCAGTTTCGTCCGAGGCGACCCCAGGGTTCTCCACAGACCTCCCAGTGGCACCACCAGATGCCTCTTCATCAGTCCCTATCGACCCTGGTGTTTTTAACAATAGAATGAGAGGCTTGGGCCTCGGTCTCTCTCGAAAACACTTTCCAAATCTAAAGCACGGCGGCCACTCCTTTGTTGGGGCTCCCAGTTTTGCCAAAGAAGAGGAAAAGAACCCAATCCACGAGGCTAGTTTCGAGGATACTGCATTGAGACTGAAACTTACCTACCAACAGATTCTTACCAAGTGAGAGACCTATTTAATACCTGAATTATGCAGATAATTTCGTATAGTTACTAATAGTGTTTTTATATAGGTTCGGATCACTTCACGATTTCTTCAGCGTAGATTCATCCGTGCCAACCGACTTCGAGGTAGAGGACAAGCGTGAACTTTATAAATGGTCTAACGGAAATGACGGCTACCCCCCACATCTCAATGTCATCCCACCCGGGGACGTCACCAAGTTCGACGATATTTTCCATGCAAGTTACTTGTTCTACTTCCAGCTTGGCGAGATGCTTGCTGGTGTCTTCCCAACACTCATTACCGGAATCAACGGTGCCCCATGGAACACATTTTCCAAAAATACATTGAGCGGGCTTCAAGAAATCAATGCAAATCTGATCGATAGCAAGACGGGTATCTATACAGAGGCGAATATTGGCCTTCGTGAAGATTGGTACACCGATGAGCAATTCGCCCAACAGCACCTTACGGGACCAAATCCCACAACACTCACCTTAGCATCCGATAACTGGATTCAGAGTTTCAGGGCGACTGCAGAAGCTCAAGAAAAAAACGACTTTATCGCAGCTCTTGAAAGGAATTCGGGATCTATCTATATTCAAGACTACAGCTACTTCAAGAAAGCCGCTGCCGTTGATTCTAAGCATGAATTTTCGTCCGAAAAGACCAGAAGATTTGGACAGCGATATACTGGTGCCTCTGTTGCGCTGTTTGTCCTTGGAGGTGATGGGAAACTCCATCCACTTGCCATTGTTATCGACTACAAGGAGGATGATATCAAGAAAGAGAATAACTACTTCATCAAGTCGACCGGCGATGCTATGTCTAACTCCGTTGTAATTTTCAACAAGAGGACTAGCTCAACCGATTCCACTGCAACCGAAGCAGAAGATTGGCCTTGGCGTTACGCTAAGACATGCGTCCAGGTCTGTGACTGGCATCGCCACGAAGTTGGTGTCCATCTGGTCCGTACACATCTTGTTGAAGAAGCTGTCATCGTCGGAGCTGAGAGAAGCTTCAGCAATGATCATATTGTGTATCAACTGCTCAACCCACATTGGCTCAAGACACTGTCTTTGAATCAAGCTGCACGAGAGACCCTTGTTCCAAAGATTATTCTAAATATCGCCGGTATGGACAAGAAGCACATGAGCAACTACCTTAAGACTGAATACTACACCTTCCACTGGGAGGACCTTTACATCCCCAACGACCTCGAGAGACGTGGGTTCCCAATCTCCAAACTCAATGACGATAAATTCAGAAACTACCCATACGGAAGGAACATGGTTGCAATGTGGTTTTCCCTCCGAAAGTTTGTTCAGTCCATGCTTGAAGATTATTATGCCTACACTAAGACAACAGTTGAGGAAGACGAGCAAGTAAAGAGCTGGGTTAAAGAAATGCAGGATGACATGGGTGCAAGACTCACTTCTTTCCCCAACATTACCACCATGGATCAATTGATCGATGCAGTAACTATGTGCATCCACATCGCCTCGCCTCAGCATACAGCAGTTAACTATCTGCAAGAGTACTACCAAGTTTTCGTCCCCAACAAGCCATCCTGTTTGGCCCACCCTCTTCCAGGCTCACTGCCTGAATTAGAGGCCCTCAAGGAATCCGACATTCTCACTGCTCTTCCACTCGATAAGGGCAATGTATGGCTTATGTCCGCCTATATCCCCCATCTTCTAAGCATGTCGGTCACTGAAGAGCAGAACATCATAACTTATGCTAAGACAGAATTACTTTATCGCCAGGGCATCCGGGATGAAGCTGGTGTTAAGGCAGCGCAAGCTTTCCTCGATGACCTAGAAAAATTCAAGACTCAGTTCCAGGAGAATAGCGCATCCATGAACGTGGAGACAGCACCACCTGGTCTTCCGGGAACCTCACAATACTCTGTTATGGACCCACGCAAGATGGCGGTGTCGATTTTGATCTAAAGACCAGTTGAAAAGAATAAAATGTAGTTGGAGCATAGGTCTGTTTGCAGCATTTTGTATTAGCTAAACCATGGGAACAGAGTGACATGTATCTCTAAAATATTTCAATACTAAAAGAAATTAATATATGTTCCTAAAATCAAACTACCTTACATTAATAGGGGATTATGATAGATCCAGCTTTGAATAAAGTGCGCGTGTTCACAGGCGTACGTATATATGTTAATTGTTTTTTCTGACCGTGTATTTGAATATCTACTAGAGATGAATCATTTCCCATTCATGCTAACGTTTGGCATAAAAGTCCAAGTAACAGCCAAAAATAATATCCGGCTTTCAACACTGGCTTATATCTTAGTTTAGTATCACAATTACTAGATATCCTTTGCACTAAGCCATAATGCACATCGAGTTTATTCTTCTTCTTCGGTTTCTCCGCTTACGGTATCATTTAATCTTATGGCTATTGCCTAGTTAAAGATTCTGCGTTCTTGTCCGGAGTCGAACTTAAGAGGTGTTGGATTTGGAATTCCGCTGTAGGTTTCAACACTTTGGTTGGCCTGCTTGGCGGATTTCGAGATTTCGTTTAGGGCACCAACTATTGTAGCTATTTAGGCGGCCTAGGAGTTGGTAAGCATTATTTCAAGAGAGCTCGATGCTGCCTTAAGTGGGGAAACAGGGGACCGTTGGAGTTTCTGAGGCACTAATATATGGTCTTGCAAGGTGTCGCTCGACTCCACGAAATGATGCACTCGGTTCTGATCCACCCTTACTGCATCGTGATAAAGGTGCACCGTTTGGAGGCAAAAGAGCCTCACAGTACTGCAGTTGATTCAGACGAATGGTGTGCAATGTCTCTAAATCGAGAAATCTCGCCTTATCTTAGCTTTGGGGTATTGTAACACCAATGTTGAAAGTTATGCGGGATGGGCTCGGTCGCGCCATATATTATTCTTGCTCTCCCCGCCGGACGCTGGATTTTACCTTCGCTGTCAGCGACTAGCCACCCATGAACCATCATCCCGGCTGACCACTTTTGTATCACCAAGATGCGATCCTCACTGGCAGAAACCACAGTGCTTGACACAACGGTGGAGGCTCATTGGAGAATATTATAATAATTACCTATAGGCAAAGTTCCGTTAAAGATCTAACAATCATGGGATTCTTGGTATGAATCGATAAAGAGACGGCCGGCTAACCGTTGATGTCCATGCGCATTCTATATTAATAGAGTATGTCGCATCTCCCATATGGGCCCCCTCCTGATTTCCACAGAATCTAGAAAATATTGACGACGAATGACGATTTGAACCATGCGCTTGTCAATATAAAGCCGCACGAAGATGTCGCGAGGCCAATTACAATTATGCTCATTATTTGATCAGAGAGGTGAGTCCACACTTCGAAACTAGCTACGTCTTAAAATCGTCAAATTTAAGCTTATTCAAGTGGAAAGCCCACAATACTACCCTTAAAGCTTATTACTAACAAGAGTCTTAAATTTTTAGTACATATCATCAACGAAACACTCTACTTTGTCGGTGGCTCTTATCTCGATAGCAGCGACATCAAACCTTCGAGTGTCCGAAAAATCAACAAAATCAACCTCAGCTCTGAATTTCAAGTTGATGGCCTCATAGATCAAACGAATATTGTGACTGAAAACGCACCAGACGAAGTAACAGACAAGGATATAACGAACGGAGGCAGATTTTTCTACGATGACACGAATCTCTGGGCCTTCTCGTCGGTTGCGAGAGGAGATGATATTCCTACCCAGGTGGATCAAACGGATAGGATGTATCGCTACGATACAATCGAAGATAAATGGAGTCTTGATAAAATAGAGGGCGGAGAATACCAATGGTTTAATAATACTAATGGGTTCTATGCGGCTGCCCCGGATGGTAGAAACTGGTATGGCGGCGGATTAGGAATTGGGACGTGGGGTCGGAGACCCGGTTTGGTATTCTTCGAAGGGAACTCATCGAACCCGAAATGGAGCTTCATCAGAGAAACCGATGATTTAAATTCCATTCCAACACCCTCAACTGCCGGCGGTTCTTCAGTATTTTTGCCGATTGGAGAGGAGGGAATTATAGTGCTACTTGGCGGGTGGGATGTATGTTATAGTCTCTTCCTCTGCATGAAAAGTTTAGGCATGATGTGACTTAATAGCGCTATATAGCTTTTGCTAACCATATCGATATCGCGCAGACAACCAAAAGAGGCCGTCAGTTTGCTCCAACTGGTGGTTTTAATATTGACTGGGATCTGAGGCCACTCTCCGATATCTTCGTCTATGATATTGCCCAGAACTTCTGGACTCTTGTGCCCGCCAAAGGAGGCCTACCTGAAATGCGTGCAGAATTTTGCTTGGTCGTTAACAGCGCGCCCGATGGGTCATACTATAATATCGTTTTATACGGAGGCTGGAGCCAGCTCCGAGGAGCAGCCTTCGCCGATGTTTGGGTTTTATCGTTACCATCCTTTCGATGGATCAAAGTGGAAGATGAAAATAATCCCGACACTAGACCATTCAGGAACAATCTCGATAATCCACGGGTTGGAGGTATTGGACGAACACGGCACCGCTGTAATATGTTTAAAAACACACAAATGATTGTGACAGGGGGTATCGTATCGCAATACTACGATATCAAACTAAATATCGACGCTTGTAACTCATCTCATCCTCCTTTTATGGTAATGGACACGAGTACTTTTGTGTGGAAAGCGTCTATAATACCTGACGAGCAGGATTATACTGTCCCAAGATTTATAAGGAGTGCTGTTCGAGGCCGGTAAGATGAATCCGTTTTCAGTACAGTATGCATTTTGAACCGCTTGTGCAGTATACTGACCATCCAATAACTTAGTGATTCTCCCGATGGTGGTTGGCCAAATGATCGCCTGGGTCAAATATTTTCTGCGGCTATTACTTCTGCCACAGCTACTCCTTCGACCACCTCACTCCCGCCTGACTCAACGAATACGGCTTCCTCAGACAATAGTACTAGTGGCTTATCGAGAGGTGGAATAGTGGGTATTGCTGTTGGAGGCGTAGTAATATTGGCCCTCCTCGTCGCTGGATTCATAATTCTACGACGTCGGCGGAAAGGAATGGAACCAATACCTCCAGGCCCGTATGATTATCTTGCGGGCGCCAGGCCCCAACTTGGCCCAAAGCTGAATTAGCTTCAAATCCTCCACGAGCTGAGCTACCAAATCATTATCTCGGACAAGAGCTTCCAACTGGAATACACAATCCCGAGCTCCCAGCGAGTCCAGTGAAGCCGTCTATGCTAGGAAGTCACCATGCGCAAACTCAACCCCTGCTGCCACACAGGTGATAGCTCTAGCTGCCGTTGGAAGCGACGTCACGTCACGACCCCTGGCCGCGAGATACCACTACTACCACTAGTATCGTTTGTCTATTAAGTCGATTCTTGTAAATTTTTCATTGTTGTACACTATATAAAGTGGCTAAAACGTGCCGTGTAGATGAGTCCGGGGTCTGGAGTCTGATCAATTGCCCATCCGCATAATTTATGCGAGTATACGACTAACATCCCTGTTAACTTTAGTGCTCCATTGTAATAAATACTTATTTGCTACACTCCTTTTCGAATTTCCGCTGCTTGGCTTCCCGTATACCCAAATCGCAATAGCCACGGATTCGGATTTGATAAATCGACATGACATACGTATATACACGTACGAAAACCTAGATTGCCACACTCGAATATTCGGTCGATGTTGTAGCTTAGCTAGTTGAATTGTCAAGCTTGTTATCTCGGTCAATTTTGGCGTTTTACCACATAGTATATATTCCCAATCAGAAAAAAAAAAGACAATTAGTCCTGCTTCGAACAGGCCCAAAATTATAAAACAGCACTCGAGGCCCTGTAACAATAACGTGACATCTTAAATGCAATGTTTGAGGAGGCTTTGCACACAACGACAGCAACACACATCCTCTTCAAAATGCAACAATCATCAGTACCTGTTGACGGCACTTGCCTCCACGCCACCCCCTCATCCAAAGGACGCAGGGTAGCAGGTCTTCTAACTGCAATCGTTAGGAGAAGGAGCTAACAAAACGGCACAGTTCTAGGGTATCAATTAAGGGCCTTACCGAAATTACCAGGTTTTCAAATACTCGACTACGATGAAACAAAGCTTCCGTCGGAGAATCTGCCCAGCCCGCTTTTCGCCATGGTCGAATTATATTATCGACACAGCCAAACCGTGCCCTTCGAACATAGTTGCGCAATTCGTAGTAATTCATCATCATTCTTAAAATCCAACTTTGAACATCTTTGCCTCTAAAAATCAAGGCTTCAGTGTAATCCAACATGTCAACAATGCATTACAGAATTAATAGCATCAAGATGGATCTCATGATATATCCTGCCACAGAACTTGCAATTCCCTCCAACGGAAATTGCCGCTTCAACTGCATGCAACCTTACCCCCCTCTTCGAAAAAAAAAAAAAAAAAGAATCCCACAAGAAATGCGATGGCATCTTTCCCGATCACAAAAATATCGATCGCCTGTCATCTCACCCTTGCGCATTAAACTAGTACTGTTGGCAACCGTTTCGCAAGCATGCAAAATCACCTGGGCAGCCCATTTTAGCTTTAAACGTTCCAACATTCCAACACTTTATCGATAGGATCTCAGGATTCACTGGGCTTATGTGTAGCTAGCGTTACAATACCCTTTTTATAAGTCATGGAAGATATGTCGAGTCGCGGTTCGACGAGGAATATTAATACCATAAAAAAAAATTAAAATTCGCTCGTCAAAATGTTGGCGCAATCGAAACAATCGACGGGGTCCCCCGGATTTTGAGATATATAACATGGGTTCGGATTATCTGAATTTTTCTTCCCTTATTTTCGATCCTAGCGAATGCAACCCGGGAGGGCCCTTTAGTCGGCTAGTTCCACCGCTTTGACATCCGCTTCGTTGTGGCTTGCATGTAGCTTGATCTCTCTTCCTTTTTTCTTCTATGTTTTGCGACATTCAAATATCTGAGCACCTGGTATATATTATATCGAAAAGAAATAATTCCCCATTTCGACCCTGACCGAGGTAACAAAAATAATCAAGACAATCAACATACTGATAATTGTCTTGAAAAAAATATTCACAATGGCCGCCGACGTCTCTCTGCCTGCAAATCTTGAGTACAATCATGATACTCTTATCAAACTCGGCTTTGCTCTCACTTATTCGACACCATTTTATCGTACTCTCACGATGAACGAAGCAATTGCAGATCTCTATTCTCGCACCAGCTCAAACTTGACTTCGCCTGCCACAATATCAGAAGTTCTAGGGGCGGATTTTCAAAGAACAGAACAACAGATACCTCTATTCTTGGAGCTTGGAAAACAGAAAGCTGGCTTGGTGGCTTTTGTTTTGTCTTCATATTTTAAGAGGCTGCCACATGAGGACATGAGTGATATGTTGATGGTTCCAGCGGTTGTTCTATTAGTCTTTACAATTCTTGCTGTCGTTCTGAGGTTCTTTACAAGATACTTTATCACAAAGATGTTAAGATTAGAGGATTGGTTGATTCTTCCTGGATTGGTATGCATATTCTGTCTTAGAACCCAGCTCGGAAACTAACTAACCTCTTCCCAGGTATTCGCAATTGGTACTACGGTTTCGATAGGAACTAGTAAGCCGTCCCCTTATTTCAATATATACGAATACGAGAGCATAGCTAACTCAAGAACTAGGTGAGGGTCTAGGGGTACACATCTGGGATGTCCCATTGAATCAAATTCTTCGCCTTTGGAGGGTACGTATGATAATATAATGACATCTCTTTTAACAAATGTGATCGAGAATCCAAAGTGCTAACCCGCATATCTAAATCCAGGCCGCAATAATACTACAGCATTTCATAATACTCTGTCATTTCTTCGTCAAATCCTCTCTTTTAGTCTTCTACTACAGACTAAGTCCCAAACCTTCCTTCCGGATCGCTGTCATAATAACAGCGACCGTGAATGCCGCCCACACAATCTCAAACCTTCTCGCAGTTCTCTTCTCCTGCAAACCAATTATTTGGTCTGATGCCCTTTTCACAGCGAAATGCACTGTAAACCGATATGCAGTGAACTTTTCGGGTGTGGTGATATTTATGGTTCTGGATTTGGTCATTATTTTACTACCAATTCCGTATATCCTAAGACTTCAGTTGAAGAAACGGAAAAAGGTATTGATGATCGGGCTTTTCAGTCTTGGAGCATTGTAAGTTACTTCCTTCTTAACCTTTAATTGTATAGTTGATACTCCAATACTAACTTACATTCCCAGAGTCGTCTTCGCAAGCGGAATGAAAGTCGCCCGTCTTCACGACCTTTCATACAACGTCGACACAACATGGCAGATCGATAACCTCCAATGGACACTGTAAGTCCTCACACCCTCTTATAATATACCCCTCTATATATCATATATTATGTCTACTAACAATCTCCATTAGTATCGAACTAAACCTCGGAATAATCTGTGCCTGTGCCCCTTCCTTCCTCCACTTAACCTCTCCTTCCCGTCTAAAACGTTTCTACCACGAATACCTAAAACCCCTCACCCGTTTCTTCCCCCACAAACCCCAAACCCGACGCAACTCCCTCGACGACCGCAAAGTCTCAATAGGAACAAGCGAAGCCACAGCCTCCTCTCGAGATCGAGACCTCGCCCTCCAAAAACTAAACACAAACACAAAATTCCACAATAACCTAACTCCAATCCCCCCCTCCCTGGACATTAGATCTCTAAACCCCCACCATAATCACCACCACCACCGCCACTACAGCAACCACAGCAACCACAGCAACTACAAACGTACCTTCAAAGTAGGCGCAAGAACAAGTAGCCTACCAGCAATCGAAATAATTAATACCATAAAACCCTCCCATCTCCACCCATCGCCGACTTTCAAACCAAGGCCGTCGAATCTTAAAATATTATCAAAGGATGATATAGATCTAATCGAGCAGGGATACCCCGGGCTGGGCCTGGGGAATATGGAAACATATAATTATAGCGAAGATGATCAGGTTGATATCGAGAATGAAAGTATATATACGCATGATTTAACAAGGGCGAGTTCTAGAGCGCTACCCGAGGATTTGGAAAATTGTGGGTTTTCTATCGTGCCTAGGGATGCGGCGTCTCTTCGGGCGGGATCATGAAAATTAGAAATCGCAAGAACCAAAAAAAAAAAAAAGGTCCCGCTTTAGATAGCCTTTATATAAAGTATCTTGTTATTAAAAAATATTGTATAATAAATTTGATCTTAGTTGAGATTTACAAGTTTTGCTGGTTTGAGCTTGTTGAATATATATTCCTCTTAGCCATTTAGAAAACCAAATATATTGGTAGTCTTCATTTTCACCCATTAATTGTGTACCTGAATTCGAATAGTAACTACCACAAAGCGAACCCATCAATTTCCTCGCTAGCAAAACGTTGTGTAAAGTACAGACCAAGGAAAAAGGGGAGTTGAAAGAACAGTTTTTGGTGTCCCGGCCATCACAAGTTGGTAATCCAAAGCTATCTCAAAACGCTGTGCATAAATGTAAGAAACCCCCCGATATTTATCCCAATTCTACCATCAGTTTCGTTAAAAAAATGATCTTAAAACGCCCCGGGAATCTCCTTTGTAACCGCATAAACACTGTCTTCGTCTCCTACTGGTGTTTCATTTAATCCCAATAATGCACTATCATACTGGAGTTTATCTCGATTTGCATATATCGACTCGTTAAACGATAGCTTAGGAACATCGTCGTCCACGCTATTTTCCCCTATGGGCATAACCTTCACATGAGGAACCGTATTAGTAGTCGTCACAATGGGTGATTTCCCTTCAATGACCGGAACATCTGGAATGTCGTCTCCCATGTTATATGCAGGTGCATGCGGAATCGTATTTGTAGTCGTTACGATAGGCTTTTGGCTCGGTGGTAGAAGAGTTGGGAGTGGGTGCACAGCCGGCCATTTGCCATCAACGACTGGGACATCTGGGATATTGTCTCCCATATGAAATGCGTCCGCATGAGGAACCGTGTTCGTCGTTGTAACGATGGGCTTTTGATTTACCGGGGCGACGGCTGGGACAAATTGGATACTACTATCCCCAGATTCTTGATTTCTAGGCATTGTTGAATCGACATGCCCTGTTGCGATATCGGCGGGTGTAACGACCTGTTGGTTCATTGGTAGAGGGGGTGTTGGTGTCCTTCCCGTCTGTTGTAGGGGTTGTACATGGGCCCTAACTGAGTCGATAAGTGAAGTTGCTTGGATATCAACCGATTCCTTTGAATTTCTTAAAGGTGCCGTATCGGGGATGATCTCATCATCCATGCCGTTTGCGACCACCTTTTCTCTGCCACGTTGTTCTTTCTCACTTTGGATTTTATCGATATTCGCAATAAGGTCTTGAGACCAAGCATTTGTTTCATCAGCTGGTAGAATAGAAGGAGAAATTTTTCCAACTGCTGAGGAGTCACCAAGACTACGCCTCACGACTGTTAGTAAATCAGCATTCTCGTCAATTACTGGTAGTGGCTCTTTTTCCTCCACCGGTACACCATTCTGTTGATGATCTGCTTCTTCTACAGTCGGTAGCTCCTCGGAAACTAGTATACTATACCGTCTCTGGTGATCCACTGCTGTGGTGCTTAGGGGTGCCGGAGAGGTTGCTTTCAGGTCTGGAGACTCGATCAATGGGCCATAGTCACTACTAGCTATTTGTTGTAAAGTTGGCCTAGTGGAATCGTCGCTATATACGCTTGAAGCTCCGTCCTCAGGTGCATGAGGGGCGACCAACAGGCTAGTATATTTTGTTTCTGGCGACCCGGCAATATTAATAGATTCAACATGGTTCGATACCAGAGGCGTCGAATCTACCGCCTCAACTTTCCGAGATTCGGGAGCGGCAGACGCAGGGGGACTAGATTCGAGATCAAGGGCAGTAGGATGCTCTGGTTTCGAGTTTGGGGAGACTGTTGTATCCCGAGTAGGAACCGGTTCAACGAATCCGCTGTCTACTAATCTAGTATTCTAAGGTTAGTTTCCTCGAAATTTCCAGAAATGGCATTGACGAACAAAACAAATGCCGTCAAAAATGCACGAGTCTTGCGATCTGACCTTTCCTGTCCCCATTTGCAAATTGTTCTCTGCCAAAATCCGGACTCTTTTGTGGAGTTGGTAGCGTATCTAGGGTTTTAGCGGCTGCAACCACTGGGTCATCCTTTAGCTTCTGCTCCTGTATTATCCCTAGGCCGACTTTTGCACTCTCATTTGCATCCAATGGCGAACAACCTGCCAACCCTCTATTGGCAAGATTGCCTTCTGGTACGGTAACATTCGTTCTAGGACTAACAGCTAGATAATCATCACCATATTTGTCCAGGGTGTACATATGCGACGTAGCGTGGCCGTTTACGGCGAGATTTTGTGAATTGGGAGTACCGATGTCTCGAGGTTCCGTTTTCACAGAACCGTTGGAAGATGTTGGAGGTTCTCCGAGATTGAAGGACTTGCGGAAACCGGGGTCTCGAGCATTTGGTGGTTTGTTTGGGTCGGATTTTGATGCTGTCGGTGCAGCGGTTGAAGTAGGCGAGGAAGCAGTGGCATTGGATATGCTCTTCTTGTGGCTGCTGGAATGATGCAGAAAGGACTTGATTTTCTCTCTGAAAGTCATGACGCCGAAATTTAAAAAAAAAATTAAAAAAAAAATTTAAAAAAAGAACCGCCCGTCAAAATATCAATCTAAGAGATCAATGATGCAGAAAGGAACCGGCTCAATGATGCAACGAAATCTGAAAAAAAAGTCCACGACGGGGAGAAGCCGTTTTAAGTATTTAGCGCTACTGGTTGGGGATTCGAAGCTAGTTGAGAGGTTCCCGGCCGGGGCTGAACCATATGACGGGTTGACTTGGTTGACTTCAAAAGGGCCAAAGCAAAGCACCAACAAAATGGCAGTTTCCCGCGAGAGAGACCTCGCCAAGAAACAGTCTGTAAAGTAGCTATAGGTGACAGGGTAATAGAATATCGAGACGTTGAACGGTGAGTATAATAGGAAGATACCGGTAGACCTTGCAAGCACACGAATATTGTCGCACGGGCCTACACTATCGGATTTGGACGAGGCCGGATTCTGTTGAAGTCAATTCTCAAGACGGAACTCAAAAATGAAGCCGAGTGAATATTTTGATGCGCACCCAGCTGGCCGGTGCAATTCCTATTTTTTATTTTTTTTTATTTTAAATATCAATATATTCCGATTTGATCCAGTCGGACATCGAATGGCGAATCGATAGGATCACATCAATTGACAGGAAATGGCCATGGAATGGATATTGAATTGAAATTTAAACTGAATTGAATCGAATTGAACTTAACTGGACCAAATACTGAATATTCCAGATACTTCTGACGTACTTACCTCCCTCATATATACTGATAGATACAAGAACTTAGAAACACATGCCCCATTAAGACCCTGGATTTCTTTATTGTATTAGTCTTAAGATCTGACGTCCATTTGACTCGGAACTTCTGCCGGCAAGCCAAGGAAGGGAGTGGACTTTGTTCCAGCATGGGTCCCAGGCAGCTTCGATTCAATTCAGGCATCTATGACGTCGGACTCGCCTAAGCAGGGTCGGACACCGGAAAGGAAGGTGGCCTTGCAAAAAAAAGGTCTCGCAAAGGTCTCGCTACCTCAAACTACCACTTACAGAGGACACATGCACACACGCAACCGAGTGAAAGATTTTGTACAATTTTCTTGCAATTCGTGGTGCACCGGTGAAGATTGGATTTGATTGGATTTGATTTGAACGGATTTCACAGAATGGACTCGAATATTGCCATGTTCACACCACCCGCACAGCTGCAAGCCAAAGTCTGCGAAATTCTCCGAGAAATCCCACCGGCAGCCACCGTCGCCATGGAAAACCACACCACTCTCGCCCAGGCTGCAAATGTCGCCGCAAACCCCACCAACGCAATTGCTGACGCGGTCGATGCAACTAATGCACAATACCTGGCTCTTTGGTTCGCTATCCAAATCTTCTACTCTTACTACCTTGGTCCATTGGTCAGCTACTTTCTGAGTCGCATCGGTTTCGATGCCCTGGGTTCTCTTTTCGGTAGGTTTGCTCCGGTTCCGGACAGTTTTGGGAATTGCAACAGCCAACACAAATTTTCTAATATACTAACTAATATAATATAAAATAGGGACATGGATCTCATGGTATTATAGTCCGTTAGGGTGGCTGACACGGGCATTTGTTTTACCTTTCTTGAACCAGACCGGGTTGGCGGATGATACTCTAAAGGCACCGGCAGCATGGATATGTCTCGTGGCTAGTCTTTTATGGGCCGGGAGACGGGTTATCGAGAATCGAAGAGATCCATAGTTACTGAGGTTTTTGTTTCATATCTGTATTACTATTCCTACTGCTATACTCCTAACATCATAGCTCATTGTACACTATACTATTAATATATTTCGTTGCCTCAAATCTATATTGTAAGCTTTCTTACCAGATAGTAGTGCTGTGATCCAACGCCTTGATCGTGGGTAGTCATGACCTTTCAGCCTTATACAGTAGCACGCTATATTGAGCTGTTTCTTCCCCATGCATCTCAACTTCAGTATCGAAAGCATTTAGTGTATCGCTCGTTTGATCAATGGATATAATAAAGGCAAAGTAAGGCTATGGTCAAAGTATAGTGACCATCGGCTGGCTTCAACAAGGCTGGTAGGGCAAGTTGTTGACAACCCGCTCAAATGGCCATAAAGAACCTCATGGTCGCACGAAGCATGTCATCTCTCCGCCAACCTCACCAAAACCCTACTAACGTGTGTGTGCGCAACCTCTCAGCTCTCAGCTCTGCCACGAAATCGCCAAAAGCATGAACTCTTTCATCAACGTTAACCCCCTCTAGTTATTATGTTTTCGCTTCTTTGAGATTCAATCCCAATCGATACATCGTCTCTAAAGATGGGGAAACATACATTCACAATTCTCCATTTTACCGCTACGATCTCTCTTTTGATCGCGGGTGTCCTTCTTCTCATCATCACGCTCTCCGGTCAAATTTGGCGTGACTACTCTCTCATGACTGTTGTTCTCAAAAATGGTTCCGCTTTTGAAATCATCCCGTTCTCCCGCGATCGCGACTCCTATGTCACCTACGGTACCTTCGGATATTGCATCCAAAATATTGATTTCGGACAAGGCTATCAAAAGCAATCCTGTTCTGATCCAGAAGTCGGCTATCCAATCACTGAAATTCAAACATCAATCGATGGGACAAAGTTCTTTGAGAATAACAAGCACTTAGATTCTTTGACCAAGGTTATGATCTTACACCCGATTGGATGCGTTTTCGCCTTCACTGCCTGTTTGTTCGGACTTAGGTCCGGATACCTCAGGAGCATCTGGTCTATGTTTCTTACTATCACCGTTTGGATTATGACTACTGTTGCAATGGGAATTGAGCTCTACGTTTTCATTATTATGCATGAGCATATCTCATCCAAGGAGATGGGAGGTGGTAGTCGAGCTTGGATTGGAGCTGCACTGTGGAGCTTGGTTGTCACTTTCATCTCATTGACTTATGCTGTCGTCGTCACGGGTCTTACGGTCTGGCAGAAGAAGTATTGGTGGAAGGGAGGGGAGGCTGTCACTGTTGCTGCTAGGAAGAAAAGAGGGAGAAAGATTCCAGGACGAGGGGTCAATGGAGAGAGCGATTCAGGCGAAAGCTCACCAGTCAGGAGATGGAGCCGCGATGAAGGGCACACTCCATTCTGGAGACACAGAAGGGTAAGTGCTCCTATCAAGAATTCGGGATAGCATAACTAATTTCCCTTTCTTCTGTTTTAGGAGGACGATACTCTAGTCTTCGAATAATACCGGGCTAACGCCTACTATGTTATTATTCTGAAGGCTTGCATTTGAAATTCCAAACGAACCAAACTTTCTAACCGGTGGGCTTTTTTTTATTACAAAAAATCTTTTAATCTACTACAAACATTACATGTAGATAACTCCTACTCAGCCTCGAAGATCTGGACTCGAGGTTAGCGTTTATTAACCTGTATCATATCGTGTTACTCAAGCAATCCCTGCCCTTTTTACGTTCCACGAAACCAGGATATATTACTCCTCGTAAATGTTCGCGTCACTATGAACCGTTAGTGTAACCCCAAAAACGTAGCACGAGCCTGCTCCCCCTAATTGGAATGACTTACAAATTATTAAGCTGATCTCTTCCAGGCGCGTCCTTGTTCACCCAGATAGCACAGCTAGTACCAGGACAAGTAAACGACCCCCAACCCTCATCATCTATCACAACTTCACTTTGCTCCCATCCCAAAACATCCGTCCAAACTTCTCCTTTATGTTCCGGACCGACGTTCATTCGTTTGGTACCCGGTTCGGCGTTAGAAAGTACGGCGGCGAGTCCGTAGGACTTATCATGTGTGCCCTTTCTAACCCATCCAACACAGTTGGGTTCATCCCAGTAATCATCCTGTGTTCCGTATGAGTAGAACTTTCTTGCTGCCATCATGACTGGAATCTTGCCGTCTGATGCTGGTCCTTCCTCATTATCGGGGTTTTTGATGCCGAATATGTCCTATATGCATATCCATTAGCCTTCTTACTCATGAAGGTCAAGACCATAGTAGGTCGGCCAGTCTCAATTTAAAGAATTACTTACTCCATAGAAAACACAAGGATACCCATCAATCCTCAGAAGTATGACCGCATAGGCCAAGGCCTTCATCCACCCTTCCATTTTCACAAAACTCGCCTGTCCAACCTGTGTATCATGATTCCCAACCACAGTTACCGCATTAACCGGCATAGTCTGTACCAAAGCACCATCGAACATCTTTCTCAAATCTGCCCTCTCATTCGTACTTATCTCGCAAAAGTTATAAAACAACGGTGCATCAAACAACGAGAACTTATGATCCATCGATTCAAGATATTTGTGCATATTCTCAGCGGAATCTTGCCACCACTCGCCCACGAAAAACCAGTTTTGAGGAACATTCTCGTCGAGATGGTGGATGAAATCTTTTAGAAACCTTTCTGAGAAATGACGGGCGGCGTCGAAACGCATGCCGGATAGGTTGAGCTCTTTGGATACCCAGACGCCCCAGTTTTTGACATCTTCTTGTACCTGTGGGTGTGAGAAGTCGACGTCGGCGAACATTAGGTAGTCGAAGTTACCCTTTTCGCTAGTATCAACCGCTGAAGACCAAGTTTTTCCATCGACGGCATAGATGGCTTTCTTGCCGTTCTCATTGTTACTATAGTTATGGAACCCAACTGATTAGCAATTACACATAACCTTCAAACCTCAAGATCAAGATGATAATAGATAGACATACTAATCCGTCCCACTAAAATGTTCCCAATGATACTTCATCTCACTATACTGCCCCCCTCTACCTTCGAATTCGAACCCAAACCACCCGTCAATTTCATACGGATCGCTAACATGCCTCGTCCGATCATTAGGATCGACTTCAACGACCTTACAGCGTTCCGTATGATCTGCGCCTGCTTTGTGGTTTAGGACTACATCGAAGTATATACCGACGGAGTGTTCATTCGCGATATCTCGAAGGGCGATTAAATCTGGTTTTGATCCCCATTTGGTTGCCGTAGTACCCTTTTGGTCGAACTCTCCGAGGTCGTAGATATCGTACTATTCCCGAGAAGAAGAAAAAGGTTTGATTAACGACAGAGTTATTAAAAGTGAAAGTAGAAAAATAGATGTGAATTCATGAATGCTTACGATATCGTAGCCGTTTCCTTGAGGAGAAGCTGCTTTACAAGCTGGCGGTATCCAGATGTTTGAAACTCCGATTGAACTAAGTCCCGGAACGACTTTGGCTAGTCGTTTCCAGTGCTTTTGGTCCGCTGGGACGTACCTGAAGCAGAAAAGTACAATTAGTTGGATAAGAAAATATATGACATACAATTAATTGGCATGGTATACACGACAAGGAAGAAAAGTATACGCGTAGGGATATGTAACTTACCACTCAAACGCCTGCAGCATACAAGCATTAAGAGGAGTCGGTGGGAGACCGGCCTCACGATCATCGGTTTTCGTATCCGTCGCCATATTACAAGCCTTGTCGATATGGTGTAACAATCAATTGAATGCAGAAAGAGAAGAAAAAAGGGTGCAACCAGAACAATTGAAAAGAGTAAAATCTACAGAAAATCGTCTCAAGAGAGTTATTGCTAAAAAGTATTGAACTAGCCCCTCTTTCAAAGCACAATTTAATTTATACACGTCTACGCTCACTATTTGCTGACCCACGGCCAGAATTCTGCATGACGCATGCCAAGCATCGTTGACCGCATACCTGCTTAACTGCATTTCAACACACATCCGACGGCCGGCTTCAGTACATTTTCCAAGATAAGAATTTTTTTTGGTATTAGACGATAATAGATCAGAATTTCAATGCTCGGTGTTAAGGTATTCGTATATATAAATATTTACATTCGAGAACGGTGGGGGGTATACGCTGGAAATGCAATGGGACGAATCAAGTACTCTGGGCGCGTGTCGTGATATCGTGATATGTTATTAGGATTTCTTGACATGCGAGTACTTCGACCACTCTGGTGACTTCCAACCATAATGAACCGATAACTGCGGAGAGAAATGTTAGTAATTCTGAATGATCAAAATCGGATTTGTATCAAACTCTGAAATAATCTTACCTTGAAGCTCTTATATGCCTTTCCGCCTTTCCCACCATTTATCACTAAAAACTCTGCAAGTTCCCCAAATCCTTCTCCCTCCGCGACGTCTACCGCAGTTTCCCCGTCCTCTCCTGTCGCATTGATCTTAACTCCCCTCCTTACTAACAGTTTAGCGCACTCCAACTGTCCCCGCTCAGCCGCTACATGTAACGGTGTCCATGACCTCCACATCTTCGCGTTGACATCTGCCTTGAAATCCAACAGCAACTCTAACATCTCCACATCACCTCTTTCCACCGCAACATGCACCGCCGCCCTCCTCTCCATTCCCACAATATCTGTCTTTGCTTTATTCTCTAACAATAGCTTCACAATATCTTTGAACCCGTATTGAACAGCCACAACCAACGGCGTTCTCATGTCCCACCTCCTTTCATTGACCCCTGCTCCGTGCTTCAACAGAAGCAAAGCTACCTCTAAATACCCCTTCATCACTGCCAAATGTAGCGGGGTACTACCCCACCTCTCCCCTTCGCATTTGGGATGTGAGTACCCAAGTTTACTCCAGGCAGTCTTAGCATTGACATCCGCTTTTGCTTCTAACAGAATCAAAACGGCATCCCGATGCCCCGCCTCTGCTGCGAAGTGTAATGGTTGAAACCACTCGACACCTTGGTGTTGGGGGGATACCTCAGCACCGAGGGTTATCAATCGCCTTACGATGCCCGAATATCCTTTTGCTGCTGCAATATGTATTGGTCGAATATGCTTCTCATTCTCCGTTCCGGGGTGTGCACCCTTATTCAGAAGAAGATTTGCCATATCGACCATACCGTTTCTTAAAGCGTGGTGCAGTGCTGTATTCGAGCCTGAAGACCAGCCAGAAACACCGGCACCGTTGTTGAGGAGAAAAATCGCCATGTCCTGACGTTTTGAGGCTAAAGCTGCACAAAGCGGACTAACGGAACCGTTGTCCACATCCGCTAATTTACAGCCATTGGCGAGGAGGCATTGAACTAATTCGATGTTTCCGGAGCCAGCGGCAAGACTCAATGGTGTATCGCGAAGGAGTGTTTGGGTTTCAACATCTGCGCCACCGGCTATGAGTGCTTTCGCAAACTCCAAACATCCATTTTGACAAGCGCAGTGGAGGGCGGTTTTTTTCCGGCTAGCGCTACGTTCATCGATATGTGTCCAGGCCCCGATTAACTCAAGGGGTCTCAAAAGCGTGTAGTCATTCCGAAGCGCGGCTTCATGTATTGGTCCGAGATCGAAGCTTCCAGAGCTCGGTCGTTCTTTACTGCGTATTATCTCTAGGACGGGTGGGTCGGTGCTTGTGAGTGATAATCCGAATTTGGAAAGCCAAAAACGGTCTTCAGCGCCCATAGGGAGTGGTAACGAATTGAGAGATGCGACTTCATCGAAAGACGGAGGGGCATCACGGGCGAATCTTTCACTGCTGGATCGGCCCTGCGAAGCTGTTTCGTCATATGTTGGTGGAAGAGTTTCAACCCTCGAAAGTGTATTGAAATATTCTTCGGCAGGACCTCCGTTAGATCCGGCAGCTGATGAAGCATCCATAACAGATGTAGAAACTGCGCAAAAGAGAAAAAAATAAAAATAACACTATGATAGGTACGAAATGTCTAATATTGTAGTCAGAATGATGAATACCAAGAGTTCGATAAGTGCAGATTAGAAACACGTACCTTTCCTACTTTATATCTTGGAATCTAGGACGGTTAAAGCATCGGCGCAGCTTTTGGCAGGCCAGAGTTTCTGCAAATACGACGGCCGCTCCGCAATCTTGCCAGGTTCCTCAAGCCATAACGTTTCTGATCCTGATTAGATGACTAGTTCGGATTCATCGTCCCCTGCCATCGCCTGCATCTTGATGATTCATTACGACTCCTACTGTGCGTTAGCCTCGAGAGGCCCCGGACTACTCCGCCGCGTATATCGCTACGACTCCCACACGTGCTGCCCGTCTTGAGGACTGCTAAGCAATCAACGAAAAAGCTTAGCAGCTTCCTGATCGAGCGAGATTCTGCCCAAGGAAGGGCCGTGATTGGTTGTTGTCGGGAATGAGGGTGATAATTGGCTATGCAAGTGTGGGGACAAAGAGCTGTTAGTCAGTCGAAGTCTTGGCTGCTTGGAAATCGTCATAATGAATCCCAAGCCAGAAAATTTGTGCGCATTTCGAAGCGGGCCGCCTTTTGTTAAAAAAACACCTTCTCAACGACATCTCCTCCTTACCTTTCAGCCTCATCGGCTTCTCCTCTTGAATAGACTTTTCATCGACGACCTTTTCAAGGTCTCCCTGTTGATATAAACACTATCGTCAGGCATCATCGGTTACCAAGACCATATTCTCCTCCTCGATCGAGCCGCAAGCTGACAAGAACCACTTTGCACCACCCGCTTCCACCACAACCATGTCGCAACGCGTGAATCAACCTTCCAATCAAATCAAACTCACGAACGTCTCGATCGTTCGCATACGAAAGGCGAAAAAGCGCTTCGAGCTCGCCTGTTACAAAAACAAAGTCCTAGAATGGAGAAACGGTGTCGAAAAGGATATCGATGAGGTGTTACAGATTCATCAGGTGTTTTTGAATACCTCAAAGGGAGCTGTCGCACCCACGGCAGATCTACAAAAAGCATGGCCTGGAAAGAATCAGGATGAAATTATCCTTGATATTCTAGCGAAAGGCGAATTACAGGTCGGAGAGAAGGAGAGAGGACAACAACTTGAGATGTTACAGAAAGAGGTGGTGCAGATCGTTACAGAAAAGTGCGTAGACCCAACCACTGGCAGGGTTTATACCTCGGGCTTGATAGAAAAGGCCCTGGAAGGCTTGATGAGCAGAAACCAAAACAGTGCCACTACTACCACTACTACAAATGGTGAAGGAAGCAGCTCGGCAGCTCCGGCAGAAAGCAATGAGAAAGGCAAGGAAAAAGCCAAGGATGAACCCCCAAGATGGACCGGTGTCGTTACTACAAAATCGGCAAAATCACAAGCTTTAGAGGCAATCAAGGCACTGGTGTACTACCAGCCCATCCCAATTGCTCGACAGAGAATGAAGCTAAGGATATTCCTGCCTTCTGCTGTTGCAAAGAAAGTCAAGCCAACCATCTTAGAGATGATTGGTCAACTAGTGGATGAGGATTTTGGAGGAGATGGTTGGAATGCCGACGTCATTTGCGACCCAGGAGTGTATCGACAAATCAGCGACCTTGTTGGCAAAGAGGCGAAAGGAAGGGGAAGAGTCGAGGTTCTAGATACGGCTGTCGCCGCAAACGATGAGGATTGATGACGACGAGTATTAGTAGCTTAAAAGTTATGACAGTTATTTTCGGCTGGGATTGGTGCACCACGGATTGCATTTCTGGCGTTTGGCTAGAGCGAACTTCTTTAAAGGTTTTGTAATAGATAATGTCTCTAGTATAGAATTCTACATCATTGTCGTGGAAAGTTATCAAACTACACCGGACGGCTCACGGCTGTCTAGGTAGTAGAAGCTAGCCCGCGGAACTCACAGGTCCCTTTACGTTGGAAATTATTGAGTTATAGCCTCTACGCCGGAGAATATGAATCCTCATGAAGACGCCTTGAATTCTAAAATCCCTTTTCTCCAGTCTCATGAAGCGGTATAATTGTTTACATTGAAAAAAGACGTTAACCCCGTATGAAGAATTATCCCGTCACAAAACAGCGGATTAATGCATTTCCCGTAGATGATACAACCAAGGAAAAAGTGTGTAAGAGGTTATATAGAGGTGGAGGAGGTATTGGTAGTAGTAGTAATAATGAGTAAAAGGGAGGTCATGGATAAAGGCGTAAAAGGAAAAAAAATGCGGAAAAGACAAATGTACAAAGCGACACGCTTAACCACCCTTCTTCTTGGAGACACCGACGGTACGTCCACGACGACTAGATTTCGCATCACACGTTAGCCAAACATTCACATTGCCCCGAAAACTAAAATCAAAAGCACGTACCCAGTCGTCTTGGTATGTTGACCTCTAACTCTTAGACCCCAGTAGTGTCTCAAACCACGATGACATCTGATCTTCTTTAATCTCTCCAAGTCGTCACGGAGCTTGCTCTGGAGACCGTTGGCGAGAATTTGGGAGTTTTTGCCATCGACAATGTCACGCTGTCTGTTCAAGAACCAGCTTGGGATCTTGTAGGCAGTGGGGTCTTGGATGATGGTGATGATTCGCTCGAGCTCTTCAGTGGTAAGCTCACCAGCACTATTTTCATAACCCCGTTAGAATTCGGATCCCCAAGATATATTTTCACGAACTATGTGTATTTACCGCTTTGTCAGGTCGATATCGGCCTTCTTGCAGACCAAGTTGGAGTATCGGCGACCGACACCACCAATCTTGGTCATGGCGTACATGACCTTCTGCTTTCCGTCAACATTGGTGTTGAGGAGACGCAACTATAATCCAGACAAAATCCATCCGTCAGCACTTCTGTCGTAAATGATCTTGATTTTCCTTCGCTATCCGTCGATATCCTGAAGTTGAAGATTTTTCCCATCTCTTCCTCGAAAAAATTTCCACGTCATTTTCCCTCTTATTGACCCTCCCATTTCCCTTCCTCTTCAGAGCCAGCAGAATCGAAATCGAATGGGAATACTAACGATGTATTGGAAGTTGGATTTTTCGGGGTTTACGAGCGACATGTTGGGCGGATGGCGGTGATGTCGTCCGGAAGGGTTGTCGTGATGATGGTTGTCGTATGTATTAGATTGAGGTCTTGAGATTCAAGATGGACCCATTCACACAAATTTTAGCGGAAGCTACGCTAACCGAATACGGACTGGAGGAGGGTTTAGGAGCCCTAGGCCTAGGTTTGACAAAAAAGGGAAGTGTTGGCTCGACAAACACTTTTCGCTTTGACAACACATTCTGATGTTGGATTTTGGAGGTCCGTGCGAATGCGAACCTAGTCCTCATGCCGGCCTCGTATGCCGACCCGCTCTAAGCTTAGCTGACGAAGCGCGAAGCCACCATCCCGCAAATACATATTCAGGTACACACTTTTTGAGTGGATAGGTACTTTGGGATGAAACAAACCCGGCAAATAAAGACCTTCAAATATACTCCGCGTGATGCCTGCAACGGAAAAAGTGTTCCACCGACTCCCCAGGAACAGAGAAAAACGCCTGTGCCGTTGTCGCCAGAGGTACCCACTGTAGTCCGATCCCCAAACTTATGTTCAATACACAGACGCTCACAGTACTTGGTACTGTTACTACTCCTACCCTGCAATAAAAACTACTTCCGGTATCGTGGCCCCTCTATCGAATAGCTCCTTTTATATTACGAAAATACGGCACAGAAGGTAATTTACGTAAAATATCGACCGCGAGATCATAGACCTTCGCACTTCAACCGGTACCGTCCCCAGATATCCCCCAGTACAAGGGAATTATGCACACACTGAGTACTTGATAATACCTCATCTGGCATCAACATACGAGATGGTGGCAAGTAAAAGTACCTGCTAAAAGGAAGAGCCACTTATGCAGCTCCAGCCCCACAGCTGTCCAAGTACTCTGCCTCAAGAGCGCCTGGATTCGAGGCTAGTCCAAGTAAACCCTAAAATTCACCATACTTTGTAAATCTCAAAGCATGTTGGTACCATCGAGCTCCCCTGGTATGCAATCCTGCCCGGTTCGATATGCCGGCCCAAGGAATATTCCAGACCAAGGAATTGTACCTTGCATACAAGACTGGGGGGGGCAAATCAATCGAATATCAGGCAAGGCTGGCTATATCATGTAGGTATTTATAGCCCAATAGCGCTTTGCATGGTATAACGATAAAATATAAATCCTACGATTGAATCATATCAGCCCCGCTCTGAATTCAATTTATCACAAATTTTACGAGTTTTGATTTTATAATTTCTGATAGAAAGTTTTAGGATCAGTGTAGCATGGGGTCAGAATCAGACGGTACCTGAAATCTTAAGTGGGGATATATATGGTTAATCGTTTGATAGGAACCGGTTTCAGAGAAAGATATTTCAGTATAAAACTAGCGACTTCATTGGCTCTTTGCTTGAAAGCCATAAGAATGTTATTTACAAACCTCTTTCTGGTTGTATGTATCACATTTAACAAAATTTTCAAATAATAAATGCCACCCTGTAGCACATCATCAACATTCACACCCCGCATAAATATCAAAATTTCCGCGCGAAATCTGACTTCGTCAGAGAGTCTTTACGTAAGATCGCCTCTCGAATCGCTACCAAGGTTGATCCTAAACATGTCCATGCGTTCAGCTAGCATCGGTATCCTGATAAGTCTGCATGCATTGTTGGCAGTGGACGTAGAATGCAATCCTTATCATGATATCTGGTGATCCTTAGTTAAAATCTTGGATAATATCAAAAACTTGATATTGCAGAAATGCAACATAACTCGAGTACCTAGATGCCGTTCCCCCGATAGTTAAGACCACAAGACTAATGTTTCAAGTTTTTGTTCTCATGTTTAGATGTATGCCTACTAACTTGCGTGCATTGATATTGTGGACTTCCGGAATTCTTTCCAGCAGCTGCAGGTATAGAGCAAACGACGCATAAATGTCACACAAGAATTGTGGATCGTCCACAAAATACCAATACTCTTTGGGACTTTACACTTAAGTCTGAGTTATTTTGTTAGGAAATCTTCTATCTTGAAGTGGATAGCTTGGGGGATATAACAGGGTATGTCGAAAATACAAGTGACCAGTTCCTGCATGATGCAAGAACTAGAGGGATCAAGCAAAATCACTTGCATGTGTCGACGAAAAGTCAGGTATGGGCTAGAGGAATTTCTCGGCTCGCTAAATGATACCACGGATTGGAGTTGAATTGGCAGGGCACAACCTGTCGAAGTCCGGAGCAGGCACCGCTACTTCGGACATCATGGCGGACGGTATCTGCGGCTCACTCGGTTGTTCGTCAGCGCACGTCCCTCAAACCAGCATCCCCTGCGCCAAATGCAATCTATGGCCGGAAGTTGCTAATCACAAGACGTATATAGCGCCACCTATGGAGATAATACCCTTTTTGTTCAAAAATCGAAACCTTGGATATTATATACCCCGCATATGCATATCACACCGAGTTGAAAGATATTGTGGCGGCGCGGATCCTTGAAAGTATATCCAAGAAGCCATAATTTTCATCGACGGAAATAGGCGAGAAATAAAGCTTCGCTTTGATGGCCAACCGAACGAGTTGGAGCCTATCTAAAAGTTACAAAGAAAACGGTCCAAGAGTAATAATGTCCGAGGTATGAGAGAAAAACTGGCTTTCATGGTCATTTGTTCAAACCCGACTTAGAATTTTGAGCCAATATTTCCGATTTTTTGAGGGATCCGTATGTGAACTGCAGCGTTGATTCTTTGAATATACGGACTCTAAACAGCTCGACATTTGATATCCGTAGCTTAGAGTTTTAGTGTATATTGAATAGAAACCATCTTTAAAGTATTCGGTCAGCTCCCGAAAGGTATTGCATCATCAGGAGCTTGATATCTAGATCTGGTGAGGAGACCGAGACGTTTGGGGTTGTTCTCAGAAGTGTTGCTGTTTCAACAGTTGTGTGGCGTCAGCCATTTAAAGCGCCGTCGAATTACGGGAACCTTCGTGCCAATGGTGTCTTGAGCAATTAGGGGAAAGCTTGTATCTACAAAGTCTGGAGTACGCACTTACATCATGTGTGGGCAGTATATTGTGCAATACAAAACCGGGCAAAGGGATTAATCTGGGGTAGTTAGAATACGGGGGGCGTCATGAGTATCATTGTACCATTTGTTACAACAAGTTGAGGTGTTGGGGCCTAGATCTTGCCTTGCATGGAGATGTCATGAACCCGATATATGCCTCGACGGATACGATTTCGAAGGGAGCTCTTATTTTTATTCTGCTTAGACTCGAGCGTCATTCTCTATTAGGTTCCAAATCCCATAGGAGTGTCGAGTGAGAGTTCTAGAATTCTACAATGGTCATGACATGACATAGACGACGGAAAATATCATGGGCTGAAAGTCTCCGTAAGACCATGAGTATTGCGCTCATTTTGAAACATCTAGCCGTATATCCAGAGCTCCCCATTCAGCTTGAGGGCACAATTTCGAGTATTCTCGTTTTGGTTCCTTGGTTGATCAAACGATACTAACTACGCGAAAACTGGAAGCAAGAGCCCGGGTTTTGAGACTCTGCACATACATCATACGATCCTAGCGATAATCCTGCCCGAGTTTGGCGGCTGTTCACAGTGACAGCGTCTATGCTATTGAGACAAAATAACAGAACGGAAAGACGGTATACCCGAGTTAGCTGGTAGATGCTTCAGAATGCAAGGTGTGTGCCTGTACATTTTAAAACGTGGTTGACCGAATAGTCGATGTTTCACTTCTCCTGTGGGGAAGGTCTTCTCGAAATGTTACCACTCAGGTACCTGACGGATCGAAGGACAATGCAAAATTCAAGACCCATTATCGACGATTGGCTAGAATGGTTCTCTCCACACTCCCCGCGAAACATAATGTTTTTGAAGCCTGGGTGATTTAACGAATGGAAGCATAGGAAGGGCATCCCAGGGCTTCCAAATTTTTTCCATGCATGGATCAATGTCGCGTGCATTAACGGTTGGCCCTGCTGCCACCATCCGAATACAACAATAACTTGGGGATCGCAATTCGGCATAGATTATACCTAGCTGCCGAACAAACTTTAGCCGTAGTTGCCAGGAACCAGTATTTCTGCGACAAGAATAGATTTCAGTGCTCTGAGCATTGGCAGACATCGGTTCTCCATGATGTTGATCCTATGATGCAGTCAAATTGCAATTTTCTGTTGAAGGTTTCGGTCAAAATCTCTAAATCCATGATCCCTGCGAGCTGCGACAGGTGCAGATGCAGATATGGGCTAGGAGTATCCAGGTCCCGCCACTTTGCCTTTTCTTTTTTTTTCTTCTTTCATGCGGTACCTTTCCGTTGAACAGAGAAAATTCTCACAATAGCTTCCGGACATTGCTTATCGGCCTCAAGTCCGGTGACTTGAGCAAAAATTGCAGAGCTAGAATTAACTTTTCCCAAAGTCATAGCTACGTAGAGGCGCCGGAATTTCCCATGTGAGTAGAACTGTTTAGGCCAGAGCCAATAACAGGGAAAGTGTTGTCATAGATGGAGACACGGAGCTTTGGCCAAGGCTGGGTCTTGCATTCCAGTACTGCAGCCATGAAGTCCGGTTCAGTCAACGATTTGGTACATTCTGTATGGTACATACTTCGAAAAATTTGTTTTGAGAGATGCATCTGGTCGATCGGTTTAAGCGATGAGAAGAAGCAAAACCATTCCAATCTTTGGTTTCCCTGCAGGCTTCCTCAGCTGCCCCACGGGTCTGTGCAGTGTGAAAATTCGGACGTTGGCGCACGGTGTCGCATTGCAAGTATACTAGTAGATACAGGGGCAATGTTGCGCAACCTACCAGGAGCAATCCAGATGGCGGGCTAGTGTTTGGGGTCCCCGCACGTGAAGCCTCTAAGGGAAAATCTTGACCAGGTACCATGAAAATGTTCTCACCTTGTGTCCTAGCATCCCGAAGTTGCACAATTTTGGAGGTCCCACCGCTTTCCCTTGTCTTCCCTCAAGCGAGTGTGGGTGACCGTTTGGTCCGGGGTAGCACTGGAGGTAGTAGATTGGAGAGAACGAGAGGGAGATATAAGATGGCGACCTCCCTCGTCGGTGAGTGAGTTTTTTTTTTGATATCCTCATCATCATTCCTCATTTAGAGTGTATACATACTTTCTTTCCCACGTATACTCACTCCTATCAATAGCTCCCATCGCTATCCCTTAATATTTTTTCCACCTCATTTTATCTTTACTTATCGTCTCCACGATGGAAAAGAACAATTTGGAAGGTGGCGTTGCCACCAACCGAGTTGATAGCCAGGAGACCAATGTCGGAGGGGAAACCGATATCATCGCTGAAGCGGCATTTGCAACGGAACAGGAGGGAAAGATGACATTGAGGGAGGGTATCAAACTCTACCCCCATGCCATCGGTTGGTCTGTTTTACTCTCTATGGCGATCATCATGGAGGGGTTCGATATTGTTCTCATCTCGAATTTCTTCGGCTTCCCGCAGTTCGTTAGGAAATATGGTGAACAGCTACCTGATGGCACATATAATATTTCGGCTAAATGGCAAACCGCTTTGTCGAATGGTGCATATGTCGGGGAGATCATCGGTCTTTTTATTAATGGTATCGTCTCCGAGCGATACGGTTATCGTAAAACTATGATCGGCTCGCTTTCAGTCCTCACCGGACTTATCTTCATACCATTTTTCGCTCCTCGCATTGAAATCCTCCTCCTAGGAGGAATACTGCTGGGTATCCCATGGGGTGTCTTTCAGACATTGACAACGGCCTATGCTTCAGAAGTCTGCCCAACAGCCCTCCGTGCCTACTTGACCACTTTCGTCAATCTGTGCTGGGTTATTGGTCAATTGATTGCTAGCAGTGTCCTTCGTGGATTCTTAAGTAGACAAGACGAGTGGTCGTATAGAATTCCATTCGCTCTACAATGGATCTGGCCTGTTCCTATCATCATTGGATGCATCTTTGCCCCGGAGTCCCCATGGTGGTTGGTTCGACAAGGACGAATTGCGGATGCCGAAGCTTCTGTCCGTCGTCTTACCAAAGCAGGGAACGGTGTCGATATCCAAAGAACTGTCTCCATGATGATTCGTACCAATGAATTGGAAAAAGAAGCCTCTAGTGGCACAAGATACATCGACTGCTTCAAGGGAACTGACCGACGAAGAACCGAAATTGCCTGCGTAGTTTGGGGTATTCAGACACTTTGTGGTTCAGGATTAATGGGATATAGTAAGTCTGCTCAGCCTAGCCCGCCGACTCAAGCTTGATTTAACTAACCAAGGATGTGCCTAGGTACCTATTTCCTTCAGCAGGCCGGCCTCCCCGTTGAGCAATCTTTCAACTTTACCATGGGTCAATACGCCCTCGGAATCTGCGGTACCCTATTTTCTTGGATTCTCATGATGAGATTCGGCCGTAGGACGCTTTACATCAGTGGCCTTGTCGCTTTGTTCGTTACACTTATCGCAATTGGTTGCCTTGGTATCCCAAAGTCCAACATGGGAATAGCTATTGGAGCTGCGCTCTTGGTAAGTGTTTTGTTGCCAACACATCTTCAGTGTGTTATTCTGAACCCTAGCTAATATAATCGAATATAGGTCTTCACATTCATTTACGACGTTACCGTTGGACCAGTCTGTTACGCTATCGTTGCTGAGATGTCCACGACACGACTTCGATCCAAGTCTATCGTCCTTGCCAGAAACTTTTACAATGTTATGGGAATTATCAACAACGTCATTACCCCACAATTGGTTAACGTCACCGCACTCAACTGGAGAGGCAAAGCCGGATTCTTCTGGGCAGTGTCTTGCTTCTTTTGCACTATCTACTGCTATTTCAGACTTCCAGAGACCTCTGGTCGTCCTTATATCGAGCTTGATATCCTATTTGAAAACAAGGTTTCAGCTAGGAAATTCCACAAGACAAGCGTCGATGCAGTTGCAGGAACCATTGAAGGCACCGAAAGAGTTGAAAAGGCATCGATCGAACAGGCTGATCATATTGAGAAAGTTTCGATATGATTCCTCCCATAATTTTAAACCAAGGAGTTGGGTTTCACGACCAGCTAATATTATTGCATGGTCCGTTTTTTTAGCCTGCGTTGTTTGAATTGTTTTGTTTCCATCCGATTCAGGCAGTCGATCACATATCTTCATTCTTTTTTCTCTGTGAGAATCGATGCATGGAATCGGAGTTAACTATGAATTTTGATTTTAATGAATTTGTATATAAATATGCCTCTAGACCTTCGTTGGCTAGTCTTTCTTACGTCGAGCCACTCTTAGGTTCCTTCTTGCAATTGTTTGGCATTTTCATGATTCTTCGATGGATGGGATCACGCGGTATATTAGATATATAATCGGGATTAAATAATAGTTTAAATGTCACGACTGTTCAAATATTCAATAGCTCGAATTGTGGGGATCAAGTGAGGTTAGAGAGTACAGTAAGCTTAGTTAAGGATGTTCTGAAACCCCTGATTCTTAAAACAGTATGCTCCAAAGCGCGAAGATACTCGACCATGGCCAAGAGGCGTCCTATTACAAAGCTCTCAAATTTAGACCAGATTTCTGATCCTAAGTATGATATGAGATCGAAAGATCGTCGATCTCAAGACTGCCCCCAAAAATATCCGTAGTTGATTAAAGGTATACTGCTATAACCAGCTTGATTACACGTGTAAGCGCTTAAGTGTAGTACACGCGAAGGCACCCAACTACCTCACTCAACAAACATATATATATATACACTATAGCTACAATACCATACAAATGGCCATGGGCATTTTGAATTGCCTAGCGTAGTACTTATCCGTAATCTATTGACTGAAGTGAGATCAACAGAAGCAACAGTTCATCGACAATAGTGCTCAAGCCTAGGGATCGCTGCTATGTTTAAGGCTGAAGATCTGGATATCTCGTAATGCCTATCTGACTAACTGCGTCAGTACTTAGTTTTACTGTACAAGCTTGGCTGAGAATGCTCCATGAACCTACTAACGCCGTTGAAATTAAAACCCTTTAAACAAATCTCGGAAGTATACGACTGTCAGCCTGCCCAGCTGTCTTAAGATCTTGCTATATATATTATATATTACAATCGCGATTCGACGCCCTGTCGACACTATATTCTAATTACAACCAGCCAACTTCGTATACAGACCAACCCTCAAACTGTGGCGCCATGATAGGAGTCAGTATACTCCCTGTCGTGGGCTTAGTTTTAAGCGCCGGTTCCGCGAATGCCTTTATTCCCTCAGACTTAAAAACCTTGATGGGAATACACGGCACTTCGCATATGGAGCAGACCAGGATGGCAATACGGCAGCTATGGGAAACTTGGTATGGAGACATTCCGGGATGGGTTCCGACCAACAAGAACGTCCTAGCTATGGAGGAGATTGCAGAGGCAAATGCACTTGTAGATGATGACCAAGAAAATGGAGAACTTCATTTCGACGGAGAAAGCTTTCAACCCGGCCAAGAGCGACTCATAAAATTATCAGATCAGGTAGTCTCCCTCTCGAGCGCTGGGGACTATGTTGCAGCAAGGAAGTCGATAGGGATGGCGCTTCATACCCTTCAGGATTTCTATGCTCACTCCAGCTGGGTCGAGGCATTGAATCAAAAAAACGCAGGGGATCGAATATACCCGGGACTTGGATACCCTAATACAATGATTTACCCCCTTGGCCCTAAAGTCAAGACCTGCTCGAACTGTCGTGCTCAGGTGGCGGTATTCTGTGGCGATTGCGACGGAAATATCAAGTCAATTGATCTCACATCAGGTTATTATAGTGGGGAACCAGCTTTCAAGAAAAAGTCTAGCGCAAAGTGTAGCCATGGCGGCCCACTCGACTTTTCAACTATGTATGACCTGGGTATCATTGACTCGGTACTTTATATTGGGCAAGGCATAAACAAGGATTCGTCTACATGTTTGTGGTCGCCTCATAGGGTTTTACACTATCAAGCCGCTAGGCTCGCTGTAGCGGCTACAAAGGACTAGATTAATGGCAGAATTTATAAAAGATTACCTCAAAATCAGGCTGACCTTTTATTTGGAAAGGAATACGAAAATGGCTCTATATCAGATCCTTCAGCCCCAACTGTCTACGACTTTAGGATAAGCACTTTACAGCCTCACAAACGAGACTTAGTGGCGAGGGCTGCGGTTCTGGATCATAAAATGCATACGGTTGTCATGGCCGATAATGTTCATGAGCATGGGAAAGCGCTGGTACAGGCGAGAGTTGGAGGAAATAGAAAGCTTTACCCAATTCAAATACTAAAACGAGATTCACACGGGGATGAGCCATCGCCCGATGACTATGGCTGGAGAGAAATAGCTATTGCTACCGGGGGGCACCTAATTACGTTCCCTGAAAACGAGACAGCTGAAGCTAACGCCCTTTTGGATATTCTGTCACGGCCAAACCATGCCGAGATTCTTTCAGTGGCAGCAACCAGTAGCGAGGAGAACCCTGGCTGCGAATTTATCTTCCCAATCGACTCTAGTTTAAAGTCGCTGGTAATATCTACAAGCGGGGTTTCATCTTTAAAATTATTTAACTCTAATGGATCTCCCTACAGTTCATCATCTACAACCGATACCAACATCAGAAGAGTCGGAAACACCATTGCCCTCAATTTTACCTCGATGACAATTCCGCCCCCTGGTTTCTACCGCATTTCTCTAAAGTCTACTACCCATTACACTCTATCCATATCCGGGGAGAGTAGTTTATCTATAGTATCATTTTATCTCGCCGAAGCTGGGGGTCGGCCGCAACATCGCGCATACTTCCCAATTCCAAGCTATCCCATCGTTGGTGAGAAGTCAATGGTGAAGGCGCATATTCACGGTAATTTCACGGATGCAAAATTTGAGTTTCGTACCAAGGGGGGTGCCCTGATCGCCTCCCAGGATACAGTTCGCAGAGAGGTAGATCCTGAAGACACTGCAACAATGTTTTACGGTAATAGCACAGCAATACCTGAGGGCGAATTCATGGCCTACCTCACGGGTATAAATGACGATGGCGATGAATTCCAAAGAGTGGTTCCTCTTATGCTATCGTCTTCTAAACTAAAGCTTACTGCACCCACTATACAAAGAATGACGGCCGGCGAACCACAAAAGGTTACTATTGGGCTCACGAATTTTAACAGTGTCCCAGACACTTACGATGTCTTCGCAGTTGATAGCAAAGATTCTATTGTAGAAGTCACTCATGCGAGTGTCTATTTAGAGCCGGGGGCGTCTGGATCTTTCGATGTCCATTTGCTCCCCAAAACTAACTCTACTATTGGTATGACTGGGATTGTTTTTGGAGCGAAGGGTCGGACGACGCAGGGAAATATGTCCTTACAGCGATTCGTCCTGGAGCCCGAAGCAAAACCTCTATCATACTCAAGGATCAAGTACCATCAATATGCGAACGAGACCGGACAGTTGATTGAGAGACTTAAAATGGGCAAGAAAAGGTAGCTAGTGCGAAGCGGCTGCTCTAATATGTAATTTCTAATTGGCCAATTATGTTGCTTATTGACACTTCTAGCTAGCAGAACCTAGAGAAAAGAGTGTTCTTATCTTGGCTTCTTCTTTTTCTTTTTTTGGTTAGGGAGACAAATATATATATCTCTTATTGTAGCTAAAGATTCTATAATTACCTTCATTATGTTTAGTAGGCAGATGCAACATCATCGAGCTCCAAATTCTACTCCTAGTAATGTAATCTTATCGAAGCTATGGACCCGAAGATTAATCAATTAATACCACCGAAATTATTGGAGGCAGGAGTGTTTAGAGATATCCAGGACGCTGAGCTCACACCTGTCTTAACCCAGTCAACGAATCAAATTGTTCTTGGAGCTTGTGCTGTTTACTTAGTAGTCAAAATACCACATTGCTCTCAGGCTAACCTCAATCGTATAAGCGCTGTTGCAATTTCGCATGCATCGAGTTCTCTGCAACACGTTAACACCTCCCAATCATCAAGCCATTTAGGCGCTTTGCTTTGATGGCCAACATTTCTTTATAGTAGTTGGCTGCGGCTTGCTCCTTGGATGAAGAATAGAAAGGAAAGTCTTCGCGCTCGACGCTTTACAGATATATGTATTGGATAGACATATGTGCCAAGATGTGACATTGCGGCGGTGTGAGCGATATCGATATATCCGGAGCCCACTGCAGATAATATATATAATGGTAGGGGTCCAACCCCACTGCCATCATTCATCTGGATTTCTCCAATCGAGTCATCAGACGGGCTCGGAAAAGTCGCTAGCACCCGTCTTGGTAACCTGAAATAGTTGGTGGGAAATAAGCACGGAGAGCGCACATGCTTAGTTATGCAGCCCACGACATGACAGACATGTTGACATGAAACCAATGGCGAAAAATAAGTTGAAAGTTACCCCTCCTTTCCAACAAAAGACCACAAGGCTGTGCGCTTTCACAACACTCAAGCGGTTATCCAAACGCCATGGCTATCCCGTCCGTGCATTTAACCAGTGACTGTGCCCCTGTTTCCTCATAGATTTCGACAGCCTCGTGCGCCAAGCGAATTCGCGAACAGTGATTCATGTGTACATATCGGCGTGACACAGACAATATGATATGAATAACAAGGCTGAGAGAAAATTTAGCAACGTCGCGAAATTCGGTAGGAGAAATTTTGTGTAAAAGTATAGTTTCGTGGGGATGATACTGTGAGTATGAACCCCTAGATTCTGGTGTATATAGTACGGCCATTCCCCGTCTTTCTGTGAACTCGACCATCATGCCAATCCGCATTGCATCTTCATCCGGTTCAAAACGGGGAGTCGGACGACCCATTGAGTCCTCTGGTTCTTATTGAACGTTCAAACAGGAGCTACTCCGAAGCTCCCCGTCAATTTAGATATCTTCTCGTTCTTGAGAACCTGATATCTATTCTCTAAAATCGAATAACGGCCAGAGTTCGTCGAGATAATAGTTGAATCAAATCGCAATGGCACGGCGCTACGAGAATGCAGCAAGTACATACGGACCTTCCTCTTCTAGGTCGAGGTCGGACCGTCTGCCAGATTTTCGCCTTCAGGCTAGGTCTCGGAATCTACCTAAATACCTCTACCGGGTCCATTCTGATGAATCAATTACTGAGTACACATCAGCAGATGGATTTTTATCCGCTAGCGACGAGACGATTGACCTTAGAGGATCAGAATTTATGAGAACACTAAGCGACCATTTAACTTGGGGCTCTAAATCGCCATCACCTTTCATATCTACCTATGCAAACGAAAGTCACGCCATTTCGTGGGCTAAGCTGTTCTTGCAGAAGCCCGGCCGTGAGCATGACGAGGTCCAGATAATGAGGATTAACACCCAGAAAATTCGTGGCGATAGCAATGAAAGGAAGCCAATCATTTCTGTCAGAGAAGTAGTCATTGGGATGCGAGAAAAAAACGTCGAAGTGCTACCACCGGAAAGGAATGACAATCAGATTAGGGATGAGTACCTGTTCCTCTACCAAATACCAAGGGGTGCCATTGACAATATTCGGGATTATTCATTGGATATGCTCAAACCACAGCCAAAGAAGGGGGAGAGCTCAAGGAGATGGCGTGGGCAGGCTCATCAAGAATCGTCGAGAGAACCTGACTCATACCCAGACCGAGGGAGAGGAGGACAGGGAAACTCTAGACATACCCTTTCAGTAACTGAGGCCCCTCGAGGATACATACATGGAGATCTTCCCCGCAATACAGATTTCCATAATACACGGTCACCCCCACCGACGGAGAGGCGTGAACCACGGCGGAGTATCCGCGATTCGCGAGTATCCGATGTATGGAGACCCGAAACCGAGAGTACAATCGTGAGAACGGTAGGCCCTCCCCAAGACCCGTTTATAACGTCTGGGGAAACTAGGGTCGACTACTCTCATAGAGGTGTGGCCACGCCGGCACCCGGCCCTGGCCCTAATAACTATACATACACTCCACACCCTAAAGCGCAGGTCGCCCCCTTTCCTAGCTCTAGTCAATTTAACCAGCCATATGGCCATAATCCACAGTATTGGGACCATAATCCAAATGGTTATCAACACCATCAAAACCCCAACTATGCACCAACGCCTGGATTTGGTACACAAAATCTCACCCCTCAAGCTCGAGCTACCCAGAATACCGCTGCTATTTCAAGAACTGCACCAAATCCACGCGTCTCGAATCCAGCTAAGCATAGCCGTAACCAAAGTCCTGGTCCTACCTCTAGAGGTATATACATGACCCCAGCTGGAAAGGAGAGAGGAGGGGTAGAGCATCAGCAAAATCAACTTCTCTCGAGCTCCCGCCCTGTCAAAGCCTCTCGGCTTTCACGAATGTTCAATAAACTCCGGCGAAGTGATTGATTGCATTTCGAGACTGCCTCTTTTTATATACGCTTTTGGCTTATAGGTTCGGATATCTGGATATTCAAAATACTAAATTACATTGTTCGTTGATCGAACATTATATACTCTAAACCCGAGTTGAGCGGATCCATGAAGTCATCATACGACCTTCAATTTCACTAAATTGTTTTTTTTCCTTCGTTTTTCCCACTTTATGCCATCTGCATGATCACGATTACGAAACGCTATGTCTGATCAATCACTCCTGTAATTGTATTGTGACCACAATGCTATATACATTTTGTCGTTTTACAACTTTGTTTCCTTTATATTCATCTCCGTAGGCTCACTGCGCTATGCTAAATATCTCAACATTTAGCCGAGCAAGTAATCTAGCTTCCCAATTGGAACCCCATGATTTCTGAGGATATTATAAGCCGTGGTAACATGAAAGTAGAAATTGGGGATAGCGAAGGTTTGGACATATGATTGCCCAGTGAACTTTCTTTCAGTACCCCGAGTCACCAGGACAACTTCCGAATCTTCCTTTCCTTCGAACGCCGCCTTATGTTTCGCCTCCACCTCATCCAGCAGCGCAAGAGTAGTGTCAATGCGCTTGTAAAGGTCCTCCAAAGTTTCCTCGTTATCATCCAAAACAGCCAATTCAAGTTTGGCAACACGAACACAAGTATTCTTGGCAGTGTTGCTGGCGGTTTGAATCTGGAAAGTCAAGGGCTTCATATCTTCAGCGAGTTTCCAATTCACGACATCATTTGTCGAGATTCCGTTTTCTTTAGCATATGCTTCTCCCTTTTCGAGGATATGCTTGAGGGTCTTCATTCCTTTACGGAAGAGAGGGACAGTGACGTCAAAGAGGGTGAGGGAGCTGGCCATCTTGCAAAATTTGGACACTTAAAGTGAGAATTCAAGGTAAAGTTTGGAACCAAAGGTATTCGGTATCTTAGTTTTGAAGACGAGTTTGGGTTGATGAACATAGGAGCATTTACTCGATGGAAGATATGGAACTTATATAAGGCGACTGGAGTGGTTAATTAAACAAGACATCTTTAACAAGCCTAGGACGTGGCCCGTGGTCCGTGGTCGGATTTCGGATGAACCCTGACAGATCTGTCCAAGTGTGAAACCATGCTTACAAATGTGTATCTAGTTATGGGATACGTGTTCGGCCGACTATTGCTTACAAATTCGAGACGAACTGAAATGAGGCTTTGATTCCTTAACGTTAGGACCTTGTGATGATACGCAAGGCTATCTTTTAGATTAAATCGCAGGGCTCTTGCAGAGGATACTAGTGATATGTGTGGTGTTGAGAATGTTTTCCCCGCAAATATAGCTTTCAGCTGCGTTGAGGAACAACTATCATTGGCCAACTTCGCGACAAAGAACACGGCTATGCCGGCCGGGATGGAGATAGGCGGGTTTTAGGGTCCAAAATTTGGGGAGCCCCACCTAAATCAGACTATACTGTATACATACTACTTATTACCAGTTTCTCGTATCCTAAAGTGCAGAATATGACATGCATGGGAGCATCAATGCAATGTAACGTGCTTGATAATTCATGAATAAGGGGTTGCATGTATATGTGTAAATACGTACACCTAAGTACGTATACTCTTCCTAAGGAGACGGCGTTGATGTTGTTGTATTTTGAATGGCATTAAAACACACCACACCAACGCGGTGCGCGGGCTTGTACGCAGGATGAGAGACTTTGTACAACATGCACCGTTGGCGTCAAGCACTCTGGAGACGAGACAATGCAATTCATCTGATTGTTATCCTTCACATCCGCGATACCTCAATTACTACGTCAGTCTCTTCTATTTGAAAACTTTCCTTACTTCTCTACTTATCCCCTTCACCTGGAAAAGCCGGGTATTTTAATGGATCTCGAAATGTAATATGGTAAAATATGCTAGTCCCCATTGCATTGTAGCTGTAGCTATATATAATTATAAGGTGACATTTTTAAGTTAGAGATGTCAACGAGTTATGAACATTTATTGTTATATATGGATAGTTTCCTAGTAAAATATAGCTAGATCAATCGATTGGCATTGTAGCACGCCAATCAGTGCTATGCTCCACTTTGCTAACTAGTAGCTTTAATGCTAATATACGGTGTTAGAGTCTAGAGCCTCTAATAGGGCTGTAGCGTTGAAGTAGTGTAGATTGTAGTATAAACCCCTGGAATTTTGAAGGCTAGGGCTGAGTACGACAGCTAATATTATGACATATGATAAACCATTCTAAGAAAGAGTTCACCGCTCATTCAGCTTCACTCCGAGTCCTGAGGGGGTGCCTCAACTTCCCAAATTTTGAAACTATCAAAATAGAAGGGTTCTGTTCGGCCAGATACCCCCCCTAGTAGAAAGAACCAAATCGATAGCAAAGCGTCACTGGAATTCCATTCATCAGCCATTATAGGCACTGACTCAGCTGTCTGCCATTGATTGGTAGCACCGATGACTACTCCTGGATAGGCTCTCGCAAGCTCGAAAGCGATGAACGCCTGGGGCATTGACGGAGACTCAACCCTATATTCAAATTTAAATTTGTACCATTTTCCTAACTGAAGCTGCACTTTTTGCTGGAATCTGAAGACCCCTAGCGAATCAACCCAGATAGCTTTTAGCGAATTTGGCGAGCTGGAGCTTCCTGCATTGGGGGCAACTTCATGGGTGCAAGCAGAGCAGCCAAACCCAGTGTCATAGATCTCCCAGTCACGAAATGGGTCAACCGGGTCATCGAATCCTGGGTTTTTAATTATAGGCAGATAGGTTACTTGTGCTTCAACTGAAACGGTTTCTGTGGCGATAAATGTATCGGTCTTTGGGATAAATATAAGTTAGTAGTCTATAGGAATATTCTGTTTACCCATGGATCTTAAAGGCCAGCTAGGATCAGACTACGTACCAAAGTTGGGACCGTCTCTACGACCCAGGTATAATCAGTTATGGTCTCTGTGCTTACTGGTCGGTCTGATAGGAAGCATCGGCAGGCGCTGGTGATCTTCGCGTCATCGGTGGAGCACTTCTGGAGAATGTTTGAACGGCCCTTCAGATAGGCTTCATCAGCCTCCGGGTCCCAGTCATGGTCGCGCCTTCTAAACGGGGCTGCGGTGATGGTTGTTTCCACTGTGCCTGTAGTTCTGGTAATAGTCTCCGTAATTGTAGTTTCATAAAACGTCTCCTCGCCGAAGGTTACTGTAAAATCAATTTCCGTGGCGGTAGTGTAGTCTGGTCGGATACCGAGGAAATCAGAGCAGTACCTCAGACCGATTGATTCTCTTCCTGTTGCCCGGACTGCTCGCAGGCAATTATTCGCATTGCCTTGGTGTTTGGGTTAGAGAATAAGCATACTGTATTTTGTGTATTTAAATTCCTCAACGGAATTAACTTACATCCTCTCTTAACATGGTCCAAAGGGCTTCCTAATATGGCGCCGAAGAGTGTGATCAAGGGAATGACGGTTTTCTTCATTGTAATGTGGAGTCTGGTCCTGTTGGAGCCTAAAGCTTTTGGGTAGACGTGTCTGAGAGATAGGGCTGACAACGAAGTACCTTGCAATGAAGGAGGATAAAAGGATGGCCGTCCAGATTGAATGCGGGATCCGGCGCCATTCTATACCCTCCCTTGAGCCATCCGATTGCGATCTCGATGCAACAATTTCCTTCATGCAGGTGCGTGCGGCTGAACTGCAGGAACACTAATAAGGAAATGGCCGGTCTTGGAAGAATGTCCACATCACGGTACATTCGTTTGTCGATTAAGTGGTTTTAGACCCTGATTATCTCGATATCCGAGATCTTATTCATGGACACTAGAAACCGGACAGTATCCCATAATAATTTAGACATAAGGAACGCCTTGAGAAACGCATGTGTTCTTATGAACGGTATTTCTTGGAAGTATACACAAATTCCACAGGATTGAGACGCCCTGTAATTCGCGATATATGTTCGAGCCCGATCTGCATTTAGACATTTAATTTACGAGTTAGTGTGCTTCTTTCCTCGGCATGCTGAGGGACGAAGGAAGTGACATCTGTGGCTTTTTCAATTGGTGGAAGACCTCAAGACCGGCCCACTTGGGCTGAATTTAAGGCTTGGCTACAGAGCATATTGTCTCGTGCCCAGACCTGGAAGCAGAGTATATAAGACTTGGCGAGTTGCTTTCATTTATTTGTTCAGATGTGCCAACGGAATTGACAGACTATCATAGCATTTGAATATTTACTTTGGCGCGTATCCCTAATATTATGATCACGAAGCGCGTTAGGTGTATTCACAAGATCCTGACCGTGTAGCCCGCGTTCTATTTAGTTTTACGAAACCCGATCAGGGTCAATTGAACAGCTTTTCTAGAAGCATCAGATTTTCGCGGGTCCAAAAGAAATGTTATCAAAAGCGGACCCAGTCGAGAATCGTGTTTAAAATGTCCGTGACCTTTGGCCCCGAGGTTATTATTTTGTTGCAATTTTATGTCCAACACATCTCGGCTCTTTGCTCAGCATGAGCAGGAACTTCGTTATAGACTCCTTTGGTCTCGTTGGATTCCTTCACGTTTAACTAGTACTTATGCAACGGCCCCGAGGCTATTAGGCAATAATAGTATTTATATTAGATTGTATCGCCTGCTTCGAATGAGTCTGTGACTTGCGGTCGATTAGTTAGTCTCTGGTGTCACTTGCGGCTCGCCAGTAGACTGGTAATTGATATGCTATAGAGAAGAAAGAAAAATATGTTTAACGATTAAGTTTGGTTGATTTAAGCCGTCTTAAAAACTTCGAAGCCCTAATTATCCGCCACTTACTAGTCTTTTTCCCAGCCCAGTTTAATATTTTTCACACAAGTGTTGAATGTTGCAATTTGAACATGGTGCCAAAGCTGTGTCACACAAAGTGAGAGAGTATATTTCGCCAAGACCGCCAAGCCAGATTAAGCTACTGCTCGAAAGGTCCCCCAACACCTAACGATTATCAATTCGGATTCCGAAGCCAAAAAAAATCTTCTCCGCTACACCATCAAAGAGCTGTCCCGACGTTTATATAGTCCTTGCCTTCGGCTTAAACGCATCTTAGCCCAAATATAACCTCTTTGGAATCCGCTTAAACAGTTGACGCTTTTGCCCCTTATAACGCTAATCGAAAGCTACGATTCCCAAACCAAATGATAGCTTCCCGTGTGACAGGCGCGGTTTTCTCCTCCTTTTTCATCCTTCAATAACAATTACTTCTGAAAGGAGGCGAGCTACCGCTGTCCTGAAATCTTGGCTGAAAACGGGGGCTCAAAAAGTTCACCGCACTTAAACAATTACAAAACCACAGAGCGAGAATTTCCTCGGACCCGATTGCGGGGGGACTGGACGTCGCAATGCCCAATCTAATAATCTCGGAGTTCAATATAGTCTGCACAGTATTGGGAGGGTTTGTCCTAGCATTTGGGCTCGTCTCTTTCTTTGTCAAAGAGAGGTTGTATCTTTCTGAGGCTCGTACGTCATACACCTATCGCTCCCCAATTGGGTTTACTCGTCGAAAATACTTGGGCAAGGGGGGCCAACGCTTACATAGAATGCGAGTTTTGATGTCCTAGTAATCGCTCTTCTTATGGGGGTAGCTTTGGGTCCTTACGGTGCTCATATCATACGCCCGCTCAGCTATGCCAGAGATAACTCAGAGGAAAATCTAGATTCTATCAATCTTGCATTTTCCAGACTAGTACTCGGAGTTCAACTAGTTTTAGCTGGAGTTCAGCTACCAAAAAAGTACCTTATCCATGAATGGAAATCTCTAGGAATTCTCCTAGGCCCGGTCATGACCGTCATGTGGCTCGTCAGCGGCACCATAATCTACGGACTCATCCCGGGCCTGACATATGTACGTGTAGAAAAAACCCACACTACTTTTCGTCCCAGGTTTTTATAGCGAACAAAAAAAATGCCTCGTTTACTCATACTAGTCACACCATTTCTTACAAGGTTCAATCGCTCGCCATTGGAGCTTGTATCACCCCCACGGATCCCATCCTATCAAATACCATCGTTAAGGGTAAATTCGCAGATAAGCATATACCCGTCCCGCTCCAGCGCATCATTATTGCCGAATCAGGCGCCAATGACGGACTAGGATACCCTTTCCTTTTTCTCGCATTATATATCTATAGATACGCGTTCCTCTCTGATAGGGTCGGACATGGTGTGTCACTATTCTTTACAGAGACGATATCATATACAATCCTCTTGTCTGTAGTCTATGGAGGCGTAGTAGGTTGGCTCGCAAAGGACCTTTTGCATTTGGCCAGTGAAAGGAAGCTGGTCGACAGAGAGTCCTTCTTGGTGTTTGCGATTGCTTTGGCCTTGTTTATTGTGGGCACTTGTGGGATGATTGGAACGGATGATGTATTAGCATGCTTTATTGCTGGTAATGCTTTTACCTTGGATGATTGGTTTCGGCTGGAAACACTCGATGATAGTCTTCAGCCCACGATTGACATGCTACTAAACATCACGATATTCCTATGGTTTGGAGCAGTGGCGCCATGGTCGGAGTTTGGGACTACATCAGAAATACCTATCGGAAGGTTACTCGGGATGGCGATTTTGATATTGTTACTGCGACGTCCACCTATCATCTTGTTGCTTCACAAGTACATCCCTCGGATCAACAATTTGAGGGAAGCAGCGTTTGCAGGGTACTTCGGGCCGATTGGTGTCAGCGCAATCTTTTATCTTTACGTTACTATCGAATTTCTACGACAGACCGAAAAGCTTCCTTTGGATGAATCGCAAATAAAGGGAGTACACACAATGATGACAGCAACAAAGCTGGTAGTATGGTTTTCGGTGATAGCAAGTGTGATCGTTCATGGAATCACTGTACCGGTTATTAAAGTACGTAAAGTTCCCGCATTCATCCAAACGAAAAACTCACGTGGTGGTTGATTATTGGTCTAATGACGGCTTACTCACCTTCCAGCTTGGGAATGCGATACCATTGTCAATATCCCGCTCCGTGTCTCGGGTGACGGGTAACTTGTCTGGGTTGGGGGGCTTCGTGTCTCGCGGGTCTTCAGGAGGGCGGAGTAGTGTTTCGACTTTACCACTACCTGACCCAGTGCTTACTGATCAAAGAGCTGATGTTAGAGTTATTTCTATGCCATCGCCTGTGGCGCAGGTTACTGGAGACATCGAACGAGGGAAAACGTTGTCATGGGACGAAAATCTTGAGAGAGGGAGAGAAGAGAGAATGGCAATGGGGTTGTAGAAGTTCATGCATTTTAATTCTCGATTCAGATGGAATCATTGATTTTAAAATTGGATATGCCAAGATGGTGGAGGTAGGATTGATCTATATACACGGGGATGGAAAAAATACTTCAGAAAGGTTGAAGAGCCATAATAGGCAGGTATGTAGCCAGAATGATAACAAATGAAACCCAGTTCGCCTCTATATAGTCATGAACGCCGTAAATGCACCATCGGGATAAACCCTCTGAAAATAGGGATTGCTCGAAAAGAAAACAGAAGGAGAAAAGAAGGAAGGAGAAAAGAAGAATAGATGAATGAATGAATGGATTGCCCGTGCCAGAATGAAATATGGAACCGCCATCTTTGGATATCGTAAAAAGGAAACTGCACGCTAAATATGAACTTGCAAGATTAATTATAAAAGAGGTGCGATGAAAAAACTCAATGAGAAAATAGGATGCAATCGACTTGATGTCAAAGAAGTTTTTGATTCAAAACAAAATGGGAGAAAGTGCATGGAAGTGATTTCGTAGTGCCATTATCTTCCAGGGCTGTATTTAAGGGCCTCACGGTAGAACTCGTCTTCGTCCTCTGTTTCCCAGTCACCCTTCCAGGTGAACTGGCTATTTTTACGGGTGACTTTGCCGATAGTGCTGACTTCGCTAACATCACTTCCGGCACCGCTCACCGGCCGGCTGTAGAGGATGTGCTCCCGTACAACTGTAGATTCTTTGCTTGGGAATTCTGCCGGAGACGCGGGTGGGTATTGAATGCTCACAACGCTTCCTGCCCGAGATTTAGGGGAAACTGATACACTGATAGCGTCGGATTTCTCGTCGTAGAATCTACCATCGTAATCGGGGTCGTAGGAGTCAAGAAGACGGGAGAGTTCCAGGTCGTGTTCAACAGGGTCACGATACCTAATTGGCATGATGTGCATGGCTTCAGCGAACTGCCTCTCGAGGAAAGAGACCGAGGAACCGCGCGATTCTATGTTGGAGGGGAATCGTTTGTTACGCAGTTGATTCTGGATAGAATCGCGTTGAAGTTTTGAAACAGGAGTCTTGGGTGGTCCAGGTTGGAAGGCATGCCTCGAATCCACAGATAGCAACCCGTCGTGATAAACCCTTAGTGAGAGTATTGAGGAGGGGCAGACAGGTCGAGGTGTCTGTGCTGTGGAGCGGCCATTTGGACCAGGAGTATCACGTCGGAAAGCCATAAACTCGCTGCGAAGAGTGTATTCCTCAACGTCCAAGAACCCTTGTTTTCCCAGCCGTCTTGCCAAAGGTTTTGGTGAATGGCTTCCTGTTTTAACGGTGACACCAGTGTCCCGATCGTCGATTTGCATCTCGTGAAGAATTTCCTTAGCCTCCAGAACCGCCGGGTGAAGCATCGCATTCTTCCGTCGGCTTGATTTTAGACTAGCTTCTACTAATGCGCTGAGGGATTCCTTCATTGCTTCCCTCACAGATGTCCACCTATCGTTGATCTTTTCTGGTGTCAAGTTTAACTGGTTCACCAAGAACCACTCGAAATACTCGGCTCCGGCGTCGTCAGAGCTGGACATAATGGACCCAATTACATGTTGAAACTGGGCGAAAGATGTTATGATAGAGGATATTGTGTATCTCTTTGTCGGATTGCTCGATGCTGAAAGAACAGTCTGGAGAGAATGAGTTATCATGGACGACGAGACATATTGCCAGAATGCCGCTGTCGTTGGCGGCAAGGCCAGATAGGAGGTAGATGTAAAAGTTTGTATTCCCGGCATCTCCTCCTCCTAAATCTACGAGTCCTTGAAAACTGCTCCCTTGGATTTGTAATATCTGTTTATTTAGATTGTCGAGATGATGGATATCGTCTGTTATGCGACGGTGGTGTTGTGAAGTCTGTGTTGGTTAGGCTGTCAGCGACCGTATGTGAGGGGGCGGGACGGAAGCGGATGTCAAAGGGGTATCCGATGGCTGCCTACTTTTTTTTTCTCCGGAAAGGCCAATATTAACCTCGAAAAAAAGTTGACCAGACTGGGGGATATGCTGAAACAAATGATCCTTCAAGTCGAGTTTTCAGGATTTAATATCTGTATGTACTGTATTATAGGCGGCGCAAACGAAACGTCTGGTGTCTGCAAAGTCGAAAGATTTCCCGCGACAGGTTTATGAAAGAGGGTGTCGACTGGAAATCGAATTTTGAATGAACGGACTTAGGCTATCACCTAGCGCAGTATCGAAGACTACCAAGTTAAGCAAGTGCGGTGTCGAAGTATAGTATATTGTGTTAGTGAATATTCGAATGATGGAAGCTCGTGACTCAAGATGGTCAAAATGTGGCGAAAGGAAGGAGACTTTTCGATGGAGGAGAAGAGAAGGGCTTCTAAATGAGATTCTAGAATACCTGTTAACGTTAACGGTTGGACGGTCCTTCTGCTTTTAAATCTTTAAATACAAGTCTGGGGTCAGGCCAAGGGGTTGCCCAAGTCCAACAAGGGCCATACAATGCACTGCACTGCGGTGCAACTGACGGGCCCCTTTGTCATCCTCGCTCGTTTTCTTTTTTCCGTTGGTCGGTCGGATCAGTCTTTCAGGCTAGATACATATCCATACATGCACATATCTGGGCTGGGCAGGGAGGGGCTGCGAGCCAGGCATGCAGGCCCTCTGCATGTCTAGGAAAATAACTTCACCATACGCAGTATTCTATAGGAAAGGGGGTCCGCATGTTACTACGACAATAAAGCACCTTTAGCGGTCGGCGCTCTTGTGTTCGTTCGCCTTCGGTTCTGGACATCAACTTTCCATCTTCGTTTTTTTTTCTCCCCCTTCCTTTCTTCAATCGCAACTTGGCCGTAGCATTGCCGAATGGGAGTCGGGAAGAGAATGGCTCATGCACTTTTCGACACGAGCTAGGAATCGCGAGGAATCCTGACAGGTGCTAGTGAGTGTTCATGTTTGCCACCGCTTCCTTCTCTTCTTTCTTTCTTATCAGTCCATCAAATCAACTAATAAAATGTTAATTTCTATTTTACCCGATGAAGCGTTCATACAGTATGTTCCCACGGTTGGGTCTGTTAATTTGATGGCAAATCCGTTGGCATGGTCCCTCCAAATTTTCACTAGCTGTCAATGAACATGTTGGGAATAGCAATTGATTGTTATTGCATCCCATTTATTAATTCCCAAGCCATGGCCATGGCCTTGACCAGGTGTCCAGTGTTCAGCCACTTGACCATGTGCTACATTTCCCGACTTCTTCCCGACACTGCAGAGCAGTCTAGTCGACTAGACTGTTCCATCTCCTCGGACGGAAAACCCGGACGGTCCTGTTCGGGAGAACGTTTTTTCTAGCGTGAGGTTGGACCTACCAACATCTACTTTACACTTCGAGAAGCCACTGCTGGTTTCTGAGCTCAGAGGCACGAGGGCAGTTTCTTGTTAGACACCATAAAGATTTTTTTTTTTTTCGACATTCCCCCAGAGTTCCCGATCCTCCCAACGACCCAAAAATTCTAGAAAAAGCAGTTGTAGCATGACCATGACGCAAATTTTTCTCACTTCGGTGCCCCGAGCTTAGACCGTCGCTAGGTCACGGACACCAGATGTGCAGGCTCGAGAATGGAATTTTCCACGAACTGTCATTCTGAAATGGCATGACTCCACAACCGGTGCATAATACTAAGACGCCCCGCTTTTTACTTACTCTCGGAGCCTCACCGTCTAAATACATATTTCCATGCAAGCGAAGAGGTTGGTTATACCCTTCGTTTTTTTTTTAAAAAAAAAACTTATTTGTTAGGCCAAGGTATCATCGACGAAGCCGCAAATTTTCCTTTTGCCTCTTTCTGGAATTTCCTTAGTTTTGGGAACGTGGCTGAGTATTTCGAGCCGAGGACTCACATTATTTCCTCAATAGGCTTAGTGGTCCCTTGAAATTCCCTTTGTCAGGACTGCCTCGCCGAAAATAAATTCCTGTTTCGGAAAAAACGAGGCTTGGATGTAGATCTGTTAAATGCCACAATCTGGTTCAAGTTCATGGTTCATATCATGACGTTTATATATGCAGGTACTGCTGAATAACCGATTGCGACTTGGCTATCTAATCAAGATAGCTTTGTAATCCATTGAAATGATCTAATTTTCGCAGGTTCTCGGTTTTGTTTTACTTAATCTAGCGGAAATGTGGTTCGAAGTTTGCTCTATATTTCGCTGGCACTAGTATACTAACTATTATGGAAGTTTGGACATAGCTATACTCTAGCCGGTTTATAATACAAATATATATGGTCAGCAAAATAGAATTCAGTCGCCTTTCATGTTTTACTCAATTAGTCATCTTGCTCAGGGCTAGAAGCTGTATATGCATACATAGTAGGGGGCATTTGAGGGGTATATAGAGAAAACTGAAGTTGATTCGAAATGGCCTAGACTGGTCTCATATCCAGTCTAAACGAGGCCGAGTTGAATTTTCTTTAAGCCGCCCAATATCGATATGCTTAAGCATATTTTGTGATTGCGAAAGCGTACAACGTGGAAACTATGCGTAGCTATATAGTTTGGTAGATATACAGGTATCTAGATACGATATAAAGGGGCAGAATCGCCTTTCTAAGTCGTTAAATGTATGTACAAGAGAAACAAGACCCCGAGAACGCCAAAAAAATCTATGTATGCGCCAATCGCTCAGAAGACGAATTAAAGGTCCACAATTACCTAAATTTATACTAACCAATAACTCATGACGGTTAACGAGTATGCTTGCTATGCTTTAATCTTACGGCATTGCCGTTCCTTGCATTTCCGAACTGGGAGTTCAAGCGGCGCGCAACGTAATCCCAGGTCTCCCGAGGATGATCCCGACGCAGTTTCAGCAGGGCATCTAGCTCCGCTTGTGACCAACGAGCCCTCGAGCTGTATCTCGGAAGGGGTACGAAATTAGACTCTGTTCGCGGTTGATAGGACGAATATGAAGGTTCCGCAGGTTCCGTGAAGTCTTCGTTCGTTCGTTCCTGTGTAGGACGAGGCGACTCTGGTGGAGGATTAGGAGCCGAGAATGAGGGTCGTGAGGCACCACCGTCTGAAGTGGTTGATTCACTAAATGAGGAACGTGGAGTGCTGCTGTTGGAAGCCGTCCATCCACTATACGAGGAACGCGGGGTACTTCTATCCGAGGCAGTTGATTCGCCGAATGAGGAACGAGGACTACTTTGATTTGAAGTTGTCGAGCCGCCAAATGAAGAACGTGGAGTACCACTAGTTGATCCACTAAACGGGGTTGAAGAACTAGTAGAATCCTGACGTTTGTTCTCTGAAGCAACTTCATGTAAAATGATAAGAACTCGAAGGATATAGAAAAATGCCTCCCATTCCCGCTGTGTGAAATGTGAGAATGTAGATCCGTTGGGCTCAGTTGTTCGAGACTGATGCTCTTGCGCACCATGTCGCCTCTGGCTTTGTTCTTGTTGTCGCTGTTCCCTCCACCTTCTTTCTTGTTCTTGCCGTTCTCGTTCGACTCTTTCTCGCTCTTCTGCTGCTCGCCGTGCTCTCTCCGCTCTTTCTCGTCTTTCTCTCTCCTCGGCCTCTCTCTGCTCTCGCTGCCTTTCTTCGGCTTCTCTCCGCCGGCGCTCGTGGGCTTCCCGCTCTCGCTGCCTAGCTGCGTTTCTTTCCTGTTCCTCTCTTCTCTGACGTTGTCTTTCTTCCTCTCTAGCCCTCCTCTCGGCCTCGAACGTCTCGCGAAACCAGTTACCTGGATCACCCGCATCTATCGTATTTGTCAGAAACCTTGACCCTTGAGTCGTATCACAAAATAGATACTCACGAGTGAAAATAATAGAAGTACATCTCAGCTCATATAATTTCCTTGCATCTGGGTCACGTAAACACTTATACGCATCATTCAACTATATACCGAAGAAGAAGAAAAAAGTGATACGATTAGTACTACTCATGAATCAATTACAACTTCCGATTGGGTTCGGTGGTACCTACTTTTCCCATCATAGCGTTACAAAGAGCTAGTTTTGTAGGAGAAGCACCAGCATTCTTATCTGGATGCCATTTTAAAGACTGTCGCCGAAAACCCAGTTTTATCAGGGTATCACTAGCGTCATGACTGACTTCGAGGACATAATAGTGCGAAAGAACCTCGGGATCCATTTTCTAGATGGACTTCCCGTCTATTGATCTGTACAACCGACAATCAATCGGGTCAGGCGGTTTTGTTCCCTTATATGTGGTCGTCGAGAAATCCTGTTCGGGAGTAGTACGAAGGCTACCCAGTGGCTGAAAGATTGAAGAATTGAGGTTTGTCGGAAATACAGTTCGTCGATCTTCGAGTCCCACTCAATACCAACGAGATTGAAATTTTAAGGTATGGTAATACACGCTAGACCTGGTTACCTAGGTTCTAAAGCGGTTCCGGCTTATATAAAGTGAAGAAAAAAACGAAGCACAGAATTATTGGGTTGTGCGAAGGTTGACTACTTGTAGGTAGAACGACTAGAGGCTTCCGGATACTGATGTGGGAAATATGCGTTATTCCCGCGGCGTACCTGCCTAGATCCCAGGAAGTATTAACACAGCCGCATTCGAATAACCGCAAGGTTGAACCCATATACCTTATAATAGAATTGTTTTCGGTATATATCCGTATAGATCCATGTACATGACCCTAGGGAGCGTGGAGAAGCAACGAGGAATCAAATCGACCGATCATTGCAGCCGGCGTGTTATGAAACTTCTCAGAAGTTCTCTACCATCTTTTCCAACCATTGCATTGAGCTAGGTTGGCTTTCTACTCAACAGCCTCTTCAAGGCTCCAAACTGCCAATTCTGGAGCATGACGTGTAAGAAAAACAGGCCAAAAAGTGGGTGTGACATATCAGCCTAGTTTCCTTGCACACCTTGGAAGTACTTCGAGTGGGGTCGACAGCCAAATCCCCGGCAGGTGACGATAAGCATACCGAGTAAGGGACCAGTCATTGTTGCGGATCACAGAAGGAGGCGCTGTTTTCTTCCCCAACTGCTCCAGTAGGCGAGAAAACCGTCGCCATGTTCCTGGTCGAAGCGCCTTTGCGGCACAGCTCACCAAGCCAGCCAATCGGGTTAACGCAACAATAAGGGGTGCTCTATAAAAGCACCCCAGTTGCTGGTGGCTATAATTGTTTCAACATGCAGTAGGTTTCGCTTTTTTCCCCAGAAGAATTAAGATGTCAAGTCCGTCAAGAATCATGAGTTAGGCTGTCGTTCAAATCTATCTTCTTTGAATTTCAACACTTTGTGGTGTTCCCAACGTGGTAAATTTTTTGCCGATGGCTTGGGTTTGAAGTCACACAGACTGGACTCCAATCAGCTACTAAAAGCGAAGTATGTTACACCATACAAAGAAAACAGCAGGAGACTAAAAAATTATAAATTGCCACGAGCACGAGCTGAAACCCGGGACTGTCCCTACAAACTTTCTCGACTACCGGTGCGCCGGGAACCATTCCGCTTCCTCGGCCTTGAAGACAAAATTACGAAGAAATTCCAGCTATCGACCTGGCCAAATGGTCACATCTGAGCTTGAAACAACTGTATGACACATTCTGAGGCGAACTATGGGTCGAGGTCAAGGATTTTTAGGATTGCGGGTATAACCCTCAGGGCGAAGAGATTTTGGCCATTGATCTGCGTATATACCATTAAAAGCAATCTTTGCTTGACTGGGGTAAGGCGATTTTTTTGCGAAGGTGTGAAGGAGCCTAACTGGGTCGCCGAGTCCAAACGAGAGAAAGGTTGCCAGGAGTCCGGCTACGACGGGGCTTGCTATTTATAATGGAAAGCCAAGTTTGTTAGTGAGAACTAGGATCGGAGGGGAAATCGTATTCTACGGCCTCATGCATGCAAGTATGATAGAAGAGGTATCTAAGATGACAGCCGAGGAATTGATAAATTACCAAATGATGTCCCGTGCCCAACCTTCCACGTACTACTACTATCCCAGCCCTCGCCGTAACTTGGTGTCATGGACATCGAGTACCCTCGGGCTACAATCAGATTCCTAGCTTCAGCTGAAATTGTGACGATGCCACCGTAGTCATATACATTTCGAAGGTCGAAATCATGCCCTCCCACTACAACTATATTACCCATTAACTTTGGGTCTGCGGCGTGGGCGAATATCAGATCAGTTGTGACTTCCTATTTTTAGAAATGGGAATTTAGCGTATGTTCAATTAGACTCAATATTAGTTTTATGAGGAAAAGCACTATATACTACTGAAAGAAACAAATCAGCAAACCTTTCCAGAATTTCCACTAGCCATAACAAAGTAACACCCTAGGTTTACTAATTCAGAAAATATGTATCTCGAGTGTAGTTCAATTGCTGCGGCCCATCTGGCATCTATAGACTTTAGATGATCGAGTGGTATCCAGCCATAGCTAATATTAATCACACATTTGGCGATTCCACCAGGATTATTTTTTTTGACATGGTCGTATATCTTTAGTAGACAATCATGTGCTTTATAAAGGTCGTGGCCAAAGCCTTGCCGTGCATTGCCCGCAATGATATTGGCCACAACCACAGTTGCATTTTGCGCTACCCCAGTCTTCTCGCCAACAATTTTTGCGGTCACCGGAGTCCCATGAAAGTCGTTGGACTCTGGGAGGTCGCTATCATCCCTCGGTTCTTCTAAAGTCTCGGGCCCCGGAAATATCCAATCCTGGAATTTGGTATTTTTGAATTCCTAGTGGAACCGAAAAGCGTGAGGATTAATTTCATTTATTACGTATTATCAGGAAGCTAGATGCATACTTACTGGATGCCTTGAATCACAGCCAGTGTCCATAACATAAACAGTGACACCATCTCCAGGATTTTTCCACTGCCAGAATATCCCTTGCATTTGTTTCGTTGAAACGCCTGGAGGTGTTGATAGAGATACGAGGTCATGGGGTGCGTTATCCCTCTGCTCAATATTACTGTCTTTGCCATCACCCCCCCGGTTATCGCGGCGGAATTTTAATATTGAACTCCGTTTTCTGGTAGAATGTTGGGGCTCTGGGGCCTCTGTATGCCCGTCAAGGCCCCCCTCATCCTCCTTCTGCATAAACAGACAAGGCATATAGAAAGAAGTCTTCGATGACACCATATTTGTGAACCGTTAGAAATGTTCGAGTTGCTCATAATTCGCAGTTTTTTTCAAATATATCTTACCCAGCGCCGACTAAGGGCATAAACGGCTGCTTTGATTTCCTCCTCAGCTGGTAGACTCGCTGGTGTATCTACAACAAGACCCACTAGACCTAGAAACTCGCTTCTCATTTCGTATATTGTAAATTGCTGGGGGGGAAGAAGGTAATCCTCTATACGATTCCTGAAAGCTCTAAGAAATGCCACTTCCTCCCGCTTGCTCGCTGTCTTAGTGTATGCTCCGTTCAACCCGACCCAATAAGTTTTATAATTTTTCTCCCATGTTCCGATTTTGGGCAGGGTTGCTACTGCTGAGTGGATTAAGTGGAAGGCGATCCAAACGGTGGAAACAAAAGTAATTGAATAGCTTCTTTTTTGCATCCCTAGGCACTTTATCAAAATGGTTCTATTTCTGCAATTATCCGAGTGTGCTTAATGGTCGTCTTAGCAAGATGGCTATTCTGGCCTGAAAAAGCGGGCCTGTGTACCCGGCCGATGTATATGTAGCATATATATTGGGAACCCTTCTCATTAGCTTTGCGGGCTGTGCATAGGCTTAATTCAACCTCCAGAAGATCTAGACTACTATCCAACAAAAACTTAAAACCAGCCCGACATTATATCAAGAATAGCTATGAAGTTAACGGTATAACTCGTTTAAATGTTTATCCAACACAACAATCCCCAACGTTACATTAATTCCCAAGTATACTAATTAGCTATTTTACCACAGTTAGAATCGAGATTCAGCTAGCGTTTGGGCTTCGCAGTGTGCAGGGGTTTTTCATGAGTGACTGAAATTAGCTTGTAGAATTTGTCAAAGGAAGCTAATGGTTCTAGGATACGTACGTATGCACTAGGCACTTATCAATCTACCCGGTCCACCCAAAGATGTAAATTGCCTTTGGGAAAGTCTCCACGTTTTCACAACGTGGGAGCTCATAAACTGGATCGAGTGATTTATGTTACACGACCAACTTAAGAGGGGGATAATTGGGGCTGTTCAATACAACCATATTGCCCAATTGCCATGAACTTTAAGCTTGTGATCCCTAGGCTCACGATAAACCCACCCCTGGGAATGTCAATATGTCCCGAGAACGACCTGGGGATTTCTTCGGGATACCTTAACGACCATAGAGACCTTTTGAAATTCCGATATTCTTGTACAACTTGATCCCTTGATAGAAATCACACCCTCCCTAAACCTTGATTTGTAAGTCTGTCTTTGGTATGGATCGCCATGTTTCCACCTCGTGCTGATGCGGGATTACGTGCATTTAGGTGATTAGCGACATGAATTTTTTTCCTGGGAAAGGGGGATCCGACTTTACTTTTTTCCCGAAAATTGAAGACTGTCTTAAATAAATGGTGGAAATTATTATCGACCTCTCAGCCAGTGAAGGCGAGAATGACTTGTGCTACGTTGATTCAAGGTTTTCTTTCTCAAAGTTCGAGCGGGGGAGCTGAAAGCCTCTGATTCGGTGGAAAAGTCCGACCGATAAGCGACGGATGCCTGGTTAGAACTCAATTCGATTATATGATGTCGACTTGTAAATCTGTATGCTTTCGTATATTGAAGCTGGTTGCAGTGCTAGGAGTCGGATATAAAGAGGAATGCTTCGTCTCCCTTAGAGAAAGTCGGTTTATAGGACGACCTTGAAACACGCATAACCACATAAAGATTCGATAGGCCTTATTTTAAGCTAGTCTCGCTGAGGGTTACAATATTTATCACTTTGAATTTACCAAGAATAATTCATCTTAATCATTCATCGAAATATATACTTTACAGGCCTCTAGAGCTCAAGCAGAGTTTCAAGATGAAGGCATTCAAAATCCTTTTACTTGCCCTATCGACAGTGTCCTCCAACCTATACACCTCTGCAACCCCACTGCCCGATGCGGTCCCATCTTTTGCAATAATTGAGGCTGAACCTGAGCTTGTCATCAAGCCCATCAAGAGAGGTATATATAAATATACTCAATTAAACTCCTTTTCTAGTCACAGATCTCTAGTCATCCATTCTAACCCAATTCTAAAAAGCTATTCCTCTCAATCCTCGAGCCTTGCCCTCCGCCTGCACACTTACAAATCTCAACAACTGTTACAAAAACTGCGTTTGCAGCGGATTACCCGCTGTGTGTAATACTGTGGTGTCTGGATGCCGCAGTTACTGCTCGTTCTCCATCTGCGGAACATATACGCCACCTCCCGGGCTTAACGCAAGTGGAACGCCTTAATCAATAGAAAGAATAGTTTTTCTAGATAGACTAGCAGCTGACATGTTCACTTGCGACCATCATTAGTCATACTAGTATACTCTTGAAAGGTTTCTTGAAGGACTGAATGGTTTTGTTATTACTTTCCTCTGGACAAAGCTTTTTTTGGGCAATCGGGGGAGTACTTAATCACCTGCTATCATGTAGTTTGCTGGGAGGATGTTATCTTGTGAACTAATTCTAAATTTTGTTTATTTCCTAAGCTACTATTCTACCAAGTAATATTGAGCCCCTGCGCACTTTTCAATTTTAATTAATCTAGGTACCGGTCTGACCGCTGTCTTGTTGCTCATCTGTGAACCCTCTCCGAGATTCTGGCTTCGGGCCCCAGATAAAGCTGTACTGCACAAAGTCGCTATTCTCCTTCCAGTCAGGAGCTCTATCGAAACCACGATCGATGGTAATAGAGTGTGTTAATGGGTAATCTTGATCCTCTCCATCCTCCTCATCCTCGGTCCAATCCGGCTCTGCCTGCCACATCTCCAAACCTTCGAAGAATACAGATATCATTTTCACATGTCCATCAAAATAATTACTTTCAGCTATCCGCCCAACATTCTGTTCAACCCATCCCGCAGCATCCTTTTTGCTCTCTTCGAAGGCCCGAATTACTTCTTCCAGGTCCGCCTGTGCGCCTGGTTTCCCGGACTCCACATCGGCTTCCAAATTTTCCAGTCCCTTTATTTTTTGGCTGGCCTCGTGGAATGAAATGTTAAGGATGAGGTGCTCGATTTTCGGGTTACACCTCCCGCCGTTATAGCTTGGTCGCTTCCCATCTTTGTCAGGGCTTGGGTCATTAATCGCTGGTAGATAAAACCCTTGAGGCCCATGAAACAAAAAGTTAGACAAAAGATGAAAAAGTGTATGTGGTTCCGTCCCCGGACCTCCACATGCATAAAACCGGCCTCCTCGTTGCGTATAGTCTCGTATTTCGTAATTGACCCAAAGCTCATCGATTACATTATACGGCTCCTCAGGCGGCAGCGGAAGGACAACCCACGTAGGATACGCCAAGAGGCGGTGGGAAGTGAGGTTAAGCTCATACCTGAGCCTTTTCCCTCCGGCTTTGACGTTTTCACCTTCCTTATTTAGAGTACGGTGAAGGAAATCCTGAAATTCCGAGCGAATTTGTTGGCATGTTTGGAGAATTGGTAGGAGTTGGTATTTAGGGAGGGTGTTGTAGTATTTGATTCTGAGGCTCCCATTGTATCCATATTTGAGTGTGAATAGGGAGCCCTCCCTCTTAGACGGGCTTGCTTTTGGATCGTAGGCTGGGTGTATGAGTTTCGGGTCATCTGGACGTTGGCATAGGTCGAAAAGGTGGGAATAGATTGCATCGCGGATCTCTAGAGGTATTCGAAGTATCTTTGAGGATGCTTGATTGTTATTCATGATTGGCATCGAACATGGGTCCTCAAATAAACACTGATATCAATAGACGTGTACGCGCCGAAGTAAAGGATACCAATGATAGAAATATCTATCCGAGGGTTTTTGATATTCTGTGAGTGTAAGGTACATTCAAGCTTGGTTGAACATTGATTCGGATTCGATCCTGAGAATCAGGATCCAGAATTCACCCCTCTTCAACCGGTCAGGGCACCGACATCCAACTACCGACAGTATGCCAAGAGCGGGGATCCCGTTGAACCAGGAACCGAACGTGATTAAATACCGAAGTGGAGACGAGTGCGCTTAAGCCACAACGGTACTACTAACGTGTTTGGGCTCCAGGATTGAAGATATAGAGTTTTTATATGAAGATATTTACTTGCAAGGTTGCCAAAATCTATACATACGTCTGAGAACTTTGTAGTCAAGAAGTGATGGTTCGAAGCCGCCACAAAGATCGAACTGAAAAATTTAAAAAAATGATAGTAATGAATTGATGATGCTTGATTATGAAGACATGCAGAAAATAACAATTCAGCTAATGGTTTTAAACAAAAAAACGAACATCAAATATATAATCATGGTTTGGAAGACAAACTCCCTAATGAACGCCTTCCCTCAAAGTGCGCTAAAACAAATGCAATATATATGCCAGACTTCGTATCCGCATGAAAGAATTATCGCGTGCAAGAACAAATCAAATAAGCAAGGAAAAAACTGAGCGGACAACATGTTGAAGGACCGAAAAGAACCCTTCAATAGTACTTCCCCTTCCAATCCTTCATAGGCTTTGCAAGCCTCACATTCTCGGCATCAGAGAACACCAATTCTGCTTTAACAGGGCCGCCAACTTCCACACCAGTTTTGATTTTCCAAGACTTCTTAGGCTCATCGTTCTCGGTGAACTCTACCATGTCCAGCCACTTTGCAACGTTGGCTGCTTCCTCTTCCTTCCCCACAACCCCCAAGTGATTGACAACAACCACAGCACCTTCATCATCGAAAAACCCTTCCTCGGTTGTAATCTTGATGCCTCCAACCCCATTACCTGCAAGATAATCCTTATCTGTAAGACAGCTGTGGTATTGACCGTACTCGCCACCGCAGTAGAAACAAAATGCTGCACCACAGGCACAAGTCATATGGTCGCAGCCAGTATGACGTGCGACTAGATTCTGGCAGTTAACGCATTGTCGGTAACGGTTTGGATAATCCTCATATTCTCCGTCCTCATCATATTCGCCCTCGCTATCATCCTCTACGGTTGGCTCCGACGCATTCTCTTCTCCATTTTGTTCCCCGTTTTCATTATTTTCGCCTTCCTTTTCTTCCTTTTCTTCTTTCCCCTTTCTATACTTGCTAAGCATGAACTCCTTAAAGAAACTTGTACGGGACCCACAGGGCGTGTCGAGACCGTGGAAATGAGATTTGCAGAGAGTGCAGACGGGGGTTTGGCAGGTTGGGGATAAGCATATTGCGAGCTGTGTCTTGTACTCCTTCTCGACGACTTCGGTGATAGTTTCTGTTTCTGGCTCTGGGGTTGGTTCTTCCTTCTTCTCTTCAGCGGCTGGTTCAGCGGCGTTCTCATTCGTTTCCGCATTGACCTCTGCATTCGCCTCGGCACCTGTCCCTTCAGGTACCTCTACGTTTACCTGACCATTTGTCTCCACATTTGTGGGCACATTTGGTTCCACAGTTGTCTCTGTGGTTGTTTCAACAACGGTTGCTTCCGATTCCGTTTGTGCTGCTGGTTCAACAGTTGCCTCAGGTTGGGCGACAGTGCTTCCTTCCTGTTCAGTAGCAGTTTCTACCGGCGCTACTGTCTCTGTCGCTTCAGTTTCTACCGGTGCTACTGTCTCTGTCGTTTCAGTTTCTACCGGTGCTACTGTCTCTGTCGTCTCAGCTGCAATGGCTGTAGTCTCAGTATTTGCTTCCGGAGCGGGTTCCGCGGTAGTCTCTGTAGTTTGCCCTTCCGTCGCCGGAACCGTGACTGGCTCTTCCTTTGCCGGGGTTGGCTTAATAACTGTTCGAGTGACTGTCTCTTCTTTGGTCACAGTATAGGCGGTTCTAGGTATGTAGGAAGAACAAGTTGGAACTGGGCAAAATATCTTCTCCTTGTCATCCCAGTATGCTTGGATGTCCTTCAGCCGTTGCATATAAGCATCAGATACAAACGGCGTGACAAGGTAGAGAACTGATTGGCCCTCATGTTGAGGAAGGGTTTCGCGATGTGGCTTTCGAAAGAGTCAGTTTTTGCGACTATAATATTAGATAAAAGATGCGGATGGTGTGGACTTACCCAAGCAATGCAATTGTCAAACCAATCGAGCAAGCAATTCTTGCAGTAGGCTGTACCCTCATCACCAGGGTTACAATCTGGTCGCTTGTCTTCTTTAAGCTTTGCACGTGCTTCCTCATCATTTGCTTCGTCCTCGAATATCAGGACGAAGTCATCTCCGCATGCCAAACAGCAAGTAGCGTAGCATCGGGTCTCTCCCCCCTTGCAAGTATCACAGATCCCTCGGAACGGTATTCGGTTCCTATTCTGTACCTGGGGTGTTGGTGGTGGAACCTCTGCAGCTTCCGGGGCTTCCGGGGCTGGAGCCTCCTGTGTCTCTGGAGTTTGCGATTCGGCCTCGGGTTGAGGCTCCTCCCCTCTTGTCTCGGTTGGAGTTGTTGATTGTGCATTTTCTTCAGGAGGAGGGGTCGGAAGGCTAGCTTCCGGAGCTGGGGTTTCTGTAGCAGTAGGCTCTGCTATGAGAGTAGCTGGGGCCTCTCCAGATGCCCCGCTCTCCTCAGGCTCTGGGAGAGTAATCTCCACGGCCACTTCTGTTTTCGCGTCTTCATCCATCACGCCGGTCATATCCCAGAAATTCCTAATGGCGTCTTGATCTTCTAGCGGGATGACAAGAACTGCAGAATTTTCTGGTTGATGATCTTCCGTAGTCGTCGTTGTACTTTCCGTACGTACGGTTTCTATTTCCGTAGATTCGTGTGCTGATTCGACGCAAGGTAGAACCGGCTTTTGAGTTGTTACTGTTGGGAAGCTAACAAAGGATTCAACTGTCAGCGCTCTGAAGTAATATTAATCCCACCACAGTTATCTTCGGATGGATTTCTGCAGTCGATCGAAATCGGAACCGATGGGCAATTATAAATACAATCCCAAGTTCCTAGAAACGCTGACATGCATGGGTACCCAAGTCCACACGTCCAATTGTTTGTCCTCTGTCTATCGATAGCTAGGTTAAGTAGCTATCGTGTATGCAGAGAAGCTGACAGGTACTTCTGCACGTTACCGAGCAAACCCAATGGCAGAAGAGCATGGGAAAGAGGTGTACAAAATAGAAATTCCAGGGAATTCCAGGGATCAAAGTCACTGTCCAATGCTACTGTGGGGAAAGCTGCATGGTTTGAAATGAAAATATGTGTGTGCCCGAGGTGGTACGATAAGTGAAGTGTACAGCCACTAAGGCTTATTGCTTGCTCGTGAATTCGCAAAAGAGCATTTATAACTCACTCCTCTGTCCCTATTAAAGGATTTTCGGGAATTGGTTCGCCTCCAGCCATGATTTTAAGGAATGCGAAGTTGAAAAGGGCGCCCGTGAAAGCGGTTATGTATGTTGTCTCTTAAAGCTTATTATATGGACTGATCGAGGGAGATAAGAATAAAATAGCAAAATGAAGCCTAAGATGCCAATTATATAGAAATTTTAAACTGATATGGTCAATTCCGTTTGTATCAGTGCGAACGACGACAATAACGTCTTATGTTCTGACTATGATATTAATTTTCGAATATTCTGGATAATTCTTGTCTGATAATTGCGAAGTGAAGGATCGGGACATTCTCCGAGGTGGGGATCGCGAGTTTATATGCTCCAATCCTCAAGCCATCGAGATCACCATTGAGCAGCCAATTGAGTATATTCAACCTCTTCAATATCGTATTAAGTTATGAGTCGTACCTGAACATTTGTGTTGGCGTATAACTGCCATTTTGACTCATCCAGGTCAGCAATTGATGGACGCGCCCAATCACAGGCAAACAAGCGGGGAAGGCTAGAACAGAAATAGTATAGATTCGGGAGTGGATTGCAGTACAACAGGCCAGTTGGGAGCCAGGGTTTTGGGGTGCAAAATGTCAAGATATGCCTGGGAATCAAATCCTGGAGTCATGCATGGACGATTGAAAAAAAAAAAAAAAAAAAAAAAGATTTAACAAAAAAGGTACAAATTAACTTGAGATCCTGCGGTATAACGTTTAGTCATCAGAGTTAATAGTCCAGTCTTTATACCTCCCTTAGTACCTCTTACGTTACTTACGGCATGAGCCTCTGTAACTTCCCGGTTATTTTAAGGCATGCCACAAGGCGGCCTTGGTCGACATCACGACTGACGACATTCGACAACGTTTTCAGCTAAGCTAGGTCAACCGGCTGTTCTGGAATCCTGACTTAAAGGGAAGACATATAGATGTCAATCAAGTAAATTGACTATGTAGTATTGGGGAGCGCACTTTATTTTAGTAGGTTCCAGCTGTGCATTCGTACTCAACATGCAAATTGGGTCCACTAGGCCTGGCTACCTAGCTAGGTTAGGCTATCGCGAGATTTGTTCATCTTCCGCTCGAGTTAAGAGGCTGACTACTCGGTTATAGTGCTAGTTCACTGGTCAATCGTATCAATGGAGTAGTTGGTGAATTAATTACTATTATGCTAAGTACCTTGGTACTTAAGTGCTTATCCATATACACATATCGTATCATCATACAAATCATATCGAGGGTAGCTATAGAGAACCCTGATAACAAAATACCAAACCGACTGGCATCGGCGCCGGGACCACAAAGGAAATGCCGACACAAAACTCCCAAAGAAAGCGACCAAACTGCAAAGCAAGGTACCAATAAATGCGGGTACCCGGCCTGCAAAACAGCTTGACAAAAGTGCAAACAATTCAAAAAAAATGGCGAGATTCTCGGATGAACCTCGAGCCATGACTCCTTGCCGCCAGCTAGAACCAACACAAAATTCACAAAGGGGAAAAAAAAACACGCTCCACGCAGGTTAAGCACCATAAGATCGATCCTTCCCGGGTTCCCCCCTCCACTTTCGTTAAACATTTCGATCATCTCCATATGTTTTACCATCCCACATTGTGACATTTCCAATTATTTCTGTTGTCTTTACGATTGTCCCGTCTTTAGGTGGGACTCGAGGCGGTGTGCTGCTGGAAGAAAAACTGGTGATAGGGTCTAGACTTTCCCTGCCCACCACGATGCCTCCAACGATGCTTTCTTGACTTTCACCTCTCCCATCCTTAGCGATGACACTAAGTGGGTATAGACTTCTAACCCTGCTACCACCACCTTGAGCTCTTGAGTGGGATGGGCGACGCAAGCTGGGACCACCACCCGGGCTATTGATACCCATGGGTGTAAGGTTCTCAGTCAACCCTTGAGAGCTGGCAAAGCGCGGGAAGATTTTGATTGCAAGAGGTTTTAGTGACGGGATCGAAGCGCAGACGATTCCAACGTGGGTTTCGAGAGAAGTATATATCCATAGTTCGAGGCACCACCAACTTTGATCCCAAGAGACGGTAGCCTTCTCAATGTAGATGAGACGGAGGATAGCTGACAGTGGAGCACTGAAGCACAGTTATAATCAGTATAATAGTCCTTTGAATATCTTAGCCTATAGGACCGCGAGCGACTTACATAATGCCCAAGGTAAAGACCCCAATCAGGGTGAGCTTCTGTCTCATTGGCATCTGCAAACTCCATACAGTCGGTACGGGGAGCAGCAGCACCAGTATATCGGTTACGAGGTTGGTACTCCCATGCAACAGATGCATTTCATTCTGAAGGGGAATGCAAAAGTCACCACTCTTCGGTAGCCTCCAGTAAGCCTCGACGGGCACACACTGGAAAGTAACCAAAAATGTCCAGTTGATAGTCCACGCGACGAGGAAAGCGATTGTGCAATATATAGATATCTTGAAAGCCTTGGTCGTACAGAATCTCAGGTAAAAGAGTAAGATGGAAAGTTTGGTCAGGCTGACCGCCCAGGTGAATGTCAGTTGGGTGGCAAAAGACCATATCCGAACCATCTTAACCTGCTCTTGCCTAAGGTCCCAAATATGCATCCCGACACCAGCAGGCTCGGAGAGGATACAGGTGACACTGACTGCCATTGCTGTGATCTAATCATGAAGTTTTAGTTAACTTGCTTTCATTCCCAGATCTCAGAGTGAAACTGAGACTTACTGTTGCCGCGATGATGAGCCAGTCATCAGCTTTGAAGGCTTTAAGTATAAAGGCTCTGACATAGAGCCTTAGTAAAACCACAATAGCACATATTACCATCATGACTATAGTTAAGGGGGCCAAAAAATAGGCCTGTCGGTCCGGGTTTTCATAATTTGGTTCCGGCCATTTGACTAAGATTTCGATAGGTGGGAGAAGCATCTCGAAGATCAGATAGATAACTCAATCTATGAGTTTTATCTGAACGAGTGGCGATGGCAAGATATCCAATGATCGATATAGAGATTTGTCTGCGGAGACTGGTAAACCTCACGACGTCGACGTCGACGACGGTAGTAGCTGAAGCGCCTATAGACTATCGAAGGCAGGTGTCGGAAAACCCATTAGGAAGGAGGAAACATCAGGTGCCTTTTTAAGGTTGATATATGCCCCCCAGGTCCACAAAACCACAAGGTTAAAAACAAGGACGGGTTGGGAATGCAGATTAAATGGTTGATTGTGTGCGGGATGCGATTCTTTTCCACTATATACCTGCAAAGCCCGGGACCCGGGACCGATTGTTAATAAGGTGGGAGGGGGGGATATGTGGGTCAGTGGAGCCCAAAATAAATGGGAAGCAAATCCGTTTCTCGTCTTCTTCTTGGAAACTCCATTCTCTGTTGTCGAAGTGTCCCACGTTTTGGTGGCTTGGGAGGTGTCCTTGGAGTATTTATTGACAGGGTCATGGGGTGGCCTTTTGATATGCGCTTGGGAAAGGCTTGGAGTGGAGATTTGCCGCAGAAAAGATAGCGAATATTGCCAGTGGGGTCTCGAATTGTGGTACACTAAATGGTCTGTGGGGCGCTAGACTTCGTTCCTTTTTCCTATGAGGTGTGTATGCAAGAAGCTGCAGCTCGGGAAAATTGCTTACTATTCCTACGCACGCAGAGGTGCATTGCAACGGAACCCTCAAGGAAATTGGACCTCAGGCGACCACCCATTGTCGGGTGCATATGTTTGAAATGGAATGGCGTAGTAGGATTTGTGACAACTTCAAAACGTTGAACACCAAAGATACTCTTCCGATCTTGCGACGAAACAAGAGTGGAGCTCATAAGAACATAGGCAGGAAGGCTGGGTACAAATACATGGACATATTTCTGGTGAAGCCCCAAATAAAGGTGTTTTCAGCCGATGTACATGTACATGTACCATAATTATCAGTCACCCCGGTTGGATGGCGATTTCAGATACAAAATGGCGATCTATCATATTTTCCAATCTCACAGCCTGATACGCCTAAAAGCTTCCTTCGGCGATTTACAGGCGAGGGAATCGAGGTTTTCCCAAGAACCGAAATTCATCTATCTGAAGAACAAAAAGCGAAGATTTCGAATGGTGGAGCTATGTCGTCTGAAAGGGGTATCAAATGGACGGCACCGTATGAAATCCTGCAGGAACCACAGACGGTCGACGTTAGCACCTGCTTGTTGCGGAACGTTTCTTGCACCCACCCATTTTTTCTTTCAGATTTTTCGATATTCTTCAGAAGATGTAAAGGGTTTCCCTTTATCCCGCAGCTTTGGTCTTCCAATTGCCCCAGTCGCAGGTGGCAATGAAAGGCTTTTGGTGCACAAAAGGCAGAGCAGCTTGATGGATCACTGTCGAAGGCGAAGGAGCATGGCTACCCGAAGCAGTAGCGGGAGCCGAAGTGTGTGGTGCCTGGCATCCTCGGCTCCACCGCTAGCCGTTCATAGATTAGAGTAATTGTCGACAAGGGATAAAAAAACGTGGCGCACTGGATGAAATTCCAGAATCGGTGATCATTGGCTCTTGAAACCCCTCAAAACGATTGTTGACGGCTGCCTGGGAGCCATTGAATCAAATTTGGACTGCAAATGGGATATTCGTTCGCCATTTCCACGTTTTGGAAGCTTCCGGCTACGCAATGAAGCTTGAGCTCGAGACGAAATGGCTTGTGCTATCCGTTAATCTTAATTTGCGTTGTGGAACGTTGAATCGAACGTTGGTATCGATAACTATACCATAACCTCGGCCGGGCGTTTCCGTCCACTCAAAAGATGGCAGATTGTCGTATAATCTAAATCTTTGTCTTGAATCTTAACTAACGTTGAAGGAATGGCTCCTTTTCACGAGCTTAGTTCTAGTTGACCAGTTCTACTATGTAGCTTCCAATTGCAAATATGATCAGCAAAACAGACATCCAATCTGTTTCCTTTAATCAATTGAGGGCTTTTTGTTTAATGTCGCAGCCCAGGAACAGACAGGCCGGAATACGCGAACACATGCACTCCAGAACTCCTAACGTTAACGCGCAGCTGCGGAGTTGAGACTGCACCTTCCAGCTGGGCGTTTGATTTCTGTGAAGCCCTAAGTTATCTGGTGCGGAATTTCAACCCGATGATAAGCCCTTAAATTATTGCCATTCCGTGTCCAAAATCATCTTATTGAAATACATAGCCGACTAAGCTATATTTTGTACTCAGCTCAGAATCACGACTCACACCTTTTTTGACCCCCCTGCCCAAGAAGTGGGTCCAGCAATCTGAGACATTGTACCAGATGCTTTAATGTGGAGCCAAAATCAACACCACAAACGACAACAGTGGTGGAGCAAGCGAACTTCGCCCACCAAATATATCTCACAAAGGCTTCCTCAATTCCGGTTTCCCATGCCGCCTACAAAATCTCTAAGCTAGCTAGCTCACAAAAAACTTATGCAAATACGCTTCACACGCATCATGCGTAAACGGCACCGCTTCATCTAACTCTGACGTGACCTATACTCAAAGCGTTTACCCGAGTCTATCCATTTCCCTTATAGAATGTTCCATGTGGGATTGATTGCTTTCGTCCCCAAAGCCCAAAAATAACGCCACCGTGACAGATGTGAGGGGTATGGTCATGCGTAATACGTGCCTGTTTAGCTTCCCACCGTCTACGAGCTCACGGGTTTTTGACTCAGATATGTCTCACTTTCACAACTTGGCAATTTGCAACGGTCGACACACGGTTCCGGCGTCGGTTACAATGGTTTGGGACCAAGATAAAGAGTGGGTTCATGATAGTGGTAAATTACCTCGCGAAGATGCTGGTATTTTCCTGTGCGGGGTCCCCAACCTTGGACGTGGAAAGAACAGGTTGGCGGGCCCGCGGGTCGATGTCGAGGATACACAATAATGTGTAAACGGCTGGAGTAGCATGTTCGAATCCTTGGTCGTTTCGAATGAAGCAATGTTTAGACTATTCCAGATTGAGGTACCTGGCTTATAACTGCATTGCTACCCCCAGACTAATGCTCGTGTATCGTTTCAAGATTCATCCCGTAAAGTTCAAATTTAGTGACGCAATTACCACTTACTTCATCATTTTAGGCATCACTAAATGTTATCTATTTTATTCTTCAAATTTGTGCTAAACAGAGATATCAATATTCCAATAATAAAGTTTAGAGTTCTCCATAGCACTACAGTACTATAGCTAGTAGTAAACGGAAAATATAATATTGGCTCCCGGCAGTAAGGCGGGCCAGAGTTGCATATGCATGGTTCCTCGCCAAGCGGAGGAGCATACAGTCCTCCAGGGAACTACGCCAGGGAATCATCAGAGTGGATACCGTAAGATGCGTATACAAAGGATACTAATTTGTGTATCCTCACGAAATCGCTTTAATTTCACCACAGAAATCGAGAGTGTTAACAACACATTACCCAAAGTCCCTCGGGTTCTCTTGGCGGTTGTACTTACTGCTTTTGGTGATTGGGAGGAGAAAATGGCAGGGATCTTCCCGTGAAAAAATACCACATGCAACACACGGGTAGGACTGTTGCAGGTTCCTGCGTCAGGCTGGTATCAGCTGACGGATGACAGCCTCCACCTCGTTCATTCAGCACTTCGACATTTTTCATTTCGAAGACACAATTGCCACTTAAGACGGTTGACCTGATATCAGACCTTATATGCTAGATCCGTTACCCGATATCATTATGACATAGTTATCACGCCAATGGTAGAAGCCTAGCTTGACCCTTCGCAAGGACCTACAAGCCCCATTTGATTTCAAAGCATTGTGGTTCGTAACAAATTAATATTTATTCGAATACAGTTCATAACTGGAGCAAGGCCCAAAGTCAGGGGCGTAGAATAATCAAGGAAAGCAAATGGGTATATACAAAACTAAAGCTTGCAAAGCTTTTCAGAAGGACATGTGTTTGGCACTTTCATGGCTTCTCAATGACTAAGCTAGATCTCCTAGCGTTTGCAGCCTCAAGCTCGGTTTCCGTAGCAGGGCCACCATTACCGACGAAAGTAGTCTTAGCCAAGTTGTTCAACTCGTCTTCTTGCTTATCCAATTCACGGAATTGAATCCAGAAGAAGAAGGCGCCCAAGGCGGCAAGGATAGCAGCAACAGTGTAGTTCCAGACCAAGAGGGGATCGTTGGCGAGGCCAACGAATGCAAAGCCAATAGCTGTGCTAAACGCGCTCATAACAAGGAAAACAGATGTAACCAAGGACTTCATGTTACTTGGTGCCTTTGTGAAGGCATATTCCAATCCAGTGATAGATGCAAAAATTTCAGAGATAGCGATCAAAACAAAGGCGCCGGTTTGTGCCCAAACATTGATTGGTGCTGGGTCGCAGTCTGGGTTGGCGGCATCATAACCGCAAGGTGATTTTTGGTAGATGTGGTATTGCAAAACCGCTGCCCAGATCATGGCGAGAACACCGGTGATGAAACCGAATGTAATCTTCTTGATTGGGGTGAAGTTGAAACCCATCTTTCGGAGACCTGGATATAAAACGAGATCGAAGATTGGAATAAGAATGATCAAGGAAAATGGGTTAAGATTGGACAAAATATCGTTGGGAAGGCCCTTGGTATCCATGACGGCGGCTTGAGAAGTGAGATTACCATTGATCTAGAGGATTTCGAATTAGTTCTGTGCACAGCTCAGAGCCTTTGATGGTACGAATATATAACATACCTGGTTGTAGGTAATCCAGTAGAGGGGGTACCAAAGGAAGACCTTGCAGGCCTTAATACCACGAGAAACTTCGTCGACCCATTGGTCATCGAAAGTCATCCACTTTGGTCGTTCATTTGCTGGAACTTTAGATGGCTTAGCGTTCTCCCAGAAGCCACCGTCGGTCAAGTTCTTATATGTTCTAACAGGATTGATGCTCCATTTGCCTCGAGAAGCAAATGCCATGAGTTGCATGGATCGAGATAGAACTGAGTATGTTGCAGGTGTCCTAACATACTTCTTCCTGCAGATAACCATGATAAGTGGGCAGAAGATGAACATGATAGTTGGGAGAAGCTAGAACAAACACAGACTTGTTAGTCTACCCCAACATAAAGCGGTATTCATTTCTAGCATTCGGGGGGAAGACTCACGTAAGAAAGATAGAAACCAACGTAGTGCTCAGCATAAACCATACTGATTTGACCAGTCAAGGCACCAACATTGATCATCAGGTAGAAGTACATGAAAATTCGGGAGATCGTCAAGATTGGATCGACGATAACCTTCTCTCCAGTAGGAAGTGTGACAACTTCTTTTTTCTCTTGTTTATATTGTTCCGCAATAAGAGGCGAAATGTTGGACTTAAAGCCGCCAGTACCACCACCCATGATGATGATACCAAGAATCATAACTCCCAAAGATGCTTTTGGTGTCGCAATCACGGATGGGATAGCACAGACAACGAGAAGGATATGGCCAACCATTGCAAATGCAATTGAAACCATGATAGTCTTGTATCTTCCCCTATTCTACTATTAGTCTTTATTCGGATACAGCGGCGCCGGTATAGATGCAATGCCAGAACATACCAATATCTATCTGCGACATAGGCTCCTACCAGTGGCATAAGGTACGCCCAGAACTGATTGAACTGGGTAATACTAGTGGCCGTTCTTTGGCCCAACCCCAAGGCACCTGACTGTTGAATAATTCTTCCGGCACCTGTCGCGGAGTTTGATGGCAGGGGCTGTTGCACGAAATTGGTAACTATTTGAGTTACCGTCAGCACCGATACTCCGAACTCTTTTTCTCGTATAGAGGTTTACAAACTTACAGACTTGCGTGACACCATAGTAAGAGAATCGCTCGCAGAGTTCGACGAAAGCAATGGTGTATGCTGTCCATGGTACCTGGCCTGCCACCCTTCTCAGGGTAGCCAACTCTTCTTCCGTTGGGGTTCCATCTTCATTGACGAAATCTTTATCGTCGTAGTAAACGGGAACTGCGGGGGCTTCTTGATGAGAGATAACGAGATCACCGCCATCTGTCTTGGGCGACTTTACTTCAGCCATCTTGAATGACTTAGAGCCGCGTAGGGATACAAGACTCGACTGTCGATAATTGGTGCTAGCGAATAGGAACACAGCGAAAGACCACTGCGCTCTTCAAAAACTAGAGAGGGAATGTCCACAAAGGGTACCGAGAAAAGCGACAGATGAAGAAGATTCCCGTCCGTCGGACATTATATAACGAGATTTCTGATCCAGCATAATCTACCTATGGTGCAATATCTTGCATTACCTCTCTAGCCCTTGCACCATACAAGCGGGAAAAAAACTCATGGAACAGAAAAACCAACATTTAATTTTTCCACCCCCGCTCTTTCCTAAACCCTTAGGCTGTCAATCATTGGCAATGCCAATCGTTTACTGGGCGAGCGGCTTGATCGAAAAGAAGAACCTGCCAAGTGAGGGAGCGAGGATATTCACATTCCTCTTGAGCGACTGCTTGCTTGTGCCCGAATCTGGTAGGTGTGTTGCGCGCAGCTGATTAGGGCCTGCAGAGTGTGGTAGTTCATTTGGAACTAATTACGAGACAGGGGTGGCTATTCGGGACGAGGATGTTCGCTATTAACTCGGATAGGGCTCAGAGGAAGAATAGAATGCATAGAAGCATCGGAAGTGGCGTAAATGCTCGTGCCACGCATATAGCCAAACGTTCTTAGTTATGTTTTTCGCAACATTTCGTGAACCTTAGGAAGCTATTTTCGGAACAGCATACCACGAAGTGGAAAAGAGGTTGAGACATGTGCATGTATTTTAAATCCGAATGTTTAAGGGACAGTAATTATGGCAAGGCCCGACCCTTTCCATCGATGTATTGAATTATGTAACCTTAGACCAACCAAAATTCGAGAAAAATGATTGCCACAGAAGGTCGATTACTCGCCTTCTAGTGTCGCGTGAACGTTCTTGTTACCAAGATATGTTTTGATATCGAATCCACACTTGGCAGGTTGCCTTCACTAGAGTACCTGCTGAAAAGGGCAACCGTCCTATTGCGTTGCGCCGAAGGTCCTGGTTGCACAGGCATATCCTTCCAGATGATCAGCGGCCGAGCGAATCCAAGCCAAGGCTCCTTATCAGAAGAACGCGAATTAACGTTTAGAACCGTCGATAGCCTCAATTCCGGCTAGCTTGACACTTAAGGGTAGTTGAAAGTAATTCTCCAGCCCTCCAATTTTTTGTCTTGTCTTCCTTGGATGCCAACTGACTTGGTAACACCTGACGAGGATTTGCTATTATATATAATTATATAATTATATTCAATTGCTATAGAGCTACGAGTTGTAGAATGCAATAATTAAATGTAACCCGGTCATGTCTTATCACATCGATATCTCGGTATACTAGTCATGTGGCAATTCATATCAGTGCAGTACTTATGGCTTGTCATTCGGCACTTTGCGTCGGTTGATATCAATGCGGAACCTTTTCGGTTGCCGCCATGGATTCAAGACTTTTATTGTCGCATACGTACTGCTAAACGGTTCCTCTTCAATCTTTTATTTTGTGAAGATATTATTGATACCAGCGGATTGATCGTAAAGTCCTCTTACAGTTAGGTGATTTAGTTAATCCTTCTTGCCCTAACTTTGAATTTTATCTCAAGACATGTCGACAATAACGTTTACCATTCCAATATTATGAGAAATAATTCACGTTATATATCTGACGATCGACGTGTAGGATTGTAATTGATAAATATAATTAAAAGATGTTTATACCTGAGTAGTTCGCAGGGCTGTAGGAAGTCCTATAACTTTATTTTTGTATGCACCTTTCCTTAGGATCCTAGGCTTTTGATAAGCAAGAGAATAAATTATAGTTATAGAATGTGGGTGGCATTGATCAATTGAGGCGTGTAAGCACACAATATACCACTGAATAACACCTTTGATAGTAGGGTCTAGTCTCGAGACTAGACTCTCACCCATCAATCCAAACTGAGTATATTAATCTCTAAATATAACTCCTAACTATGAATCTCCAAACCGCAGTCAACCTCAGCCTAATCGATTCTGCGCATGGAACTTGAAAATCTAAACGAGAAGGATAACAAATTTGCAAACTATATTAATTATATTTGTCTTCGTGAGGTGGGAGACTTCAAGGTAATGGAATTAAAGAAAATGACAGACCATACGAAAACCGAACCCTGACCTAACTTCCCGAGCCCTAAAGCAAACATTCATGGTCCCGCCATGAATGGTCATATATGTTCGAGTATGGGATAAAAAGGGCATACTTTCAGGCATTTAGGGTAGGGAGGGATCCGGGTCAGCATCAGCGCCAGATCCATCACCCCTGGGACTGGCATCTGCCTCTATGAGTGAAGTAGGATTTTTTACACCCGCCGGGGATATCTCAAACTCTTCGATTACCTTGTCATTAGTGGAAGACAATGGAGCAGAGGGTGTATGTGAGTCGCTACCAGAATTTGAAGACCGTTTTATTTTGTGACTAGGCGATGATCTATACCCTCCCAAGTTTCGTACCAAATCGTGTAATGGCGGACGATGGTGTCGGGCTGGCTGCTCATCTGGTCCTTCGAGATAGTATGGCTCTTTTGTACCTGGAACAAGCATCTTTCTATGTCGAGAGCGCACAAAACCACTTTTGATCTCCTGCACCGTCCCCATTGCGGCGAATAAGTCATCTATCTGATCGGTTGTTATGTCAAGATCACCGCCTGACATTGGGGGTGGCACCATTGGATTCGAGCCAAGTAATGGCGCTATTGGTAGTTCTTCAAACCCTCGATTGAGGGCAGAAAAGGGATCTATGTTTCCTGTCTCAAAATCGTTTTTCGGCCGCAGAACCTTGACACATTGACAGACTTCTGGGTGTTAGCATCTCCCAATGTTTTTATCAATTAAAAATTCCCTTTTACTCAAATTTTTGGAAATGGTTTTTTTAATTTTCTTTTTTTTTAAAAAAGTTATAAACTGACAAAAGCTTGAATTAACTTACGGAAGATAGAGAAACATGCATTTGCAGTCTCTTGCCATGTGCAGAGACCGCCGGCAATAACATTAGTTGAAAAGATTGCTCCGGGACGCGGTTCTGTAACAATACCATCGCTATCATAGCATTGGCAGTGTTGGCAGATCGCCTGACGATCCTGAATTCCTTTCCAATGGATAGCCACGAGACTTGGAGGATCGTCCAAATTTCCAAATTGCAAATTTTGATCTTCTGGGAAAAACAAGTCTGGGTTCAGCTCAAAAGTAGTCCGCCCAGCCCAGAACGATATAACATGCCCGGGGCTCTGACACTGGACCTCAAGCGTTTCAACATAGGGAGTACCATCGAACTCTAGTTTTCGGGGCTGTTTCTCGGGTTCGGCGTCCGCATTGTTCGTAATTGGGATTGGTTGGTTTGTGTTATTTAGTCTTGCAACAGCCCCCGAATCGCCTACGTCAGGCGGTATTGGGCGGGTGTCATTGCCCAGCTTTTCTAAGCTTTTTATACTTGCTGTTGAATTTTTGGAAGCTATCTCTTCTAAAGGTAGCGCTCTAACCGGGCTGATAACTTGAAACCATATATATAACGCGGAAGTGAGTGGTATTATCAAATGCACGCGGGAGATATGCATCAGATCTATTGCGAGGGGGGGGAGGAGGGAGAGGTAATCAACCGGTCGTTTTTGATAAAGTTTTCGGTCTACTAATAATATAAAAACCTTTGATTCGGGTATCATAGATGCCTCGACAGATATCATATGGAATAATGATAAAATATTTAACTAAAGAGACTGAGATTCAAAGGTGATATCAAAGATATTGGGGACACATCGGCATATATCTATACCCCAGAGCTAGTCTCGGAGCTCAATATGGTCGGGGAATAAGAGGCGCTAGCCTAAGGGTCAAAGTTGGGTCGCCCAAACCATGTTCAGCCTGTGCGTTAAATGCCATGTTGTATGTCGATATTTCTCGCCGTAGACTCTAAAATTTGCAAAGTTCAGCCCTCGTGCCAGTAATCATTTTTTCGAATCTCATAATTATATAATAGATCTAGATACTTAGTAGGTATACTACACATCGATCGATTGAAACCTAGAGGCCATTATAACACGAGGACTTTGAAAAACGCAGCGATCTTGTTGCCTTTCAACCGGGAGTCGATATTCATTACCCAACAAGATTTGTTACACGTTGCGTTGTACAGCCATCTTGGGAACAGCCAGCTGTGGATTATATATATATATGGAATGTACGCGCTAGTCGTGGGTGGCCTATACATCGAGTATGACCTAATATTTTTGCTTTTGCTGTATTCCAAGATATATTATAGAGTTACACGTATATTGAAGATGGAACAAGTCACAACTCCAAACCAACGGATGAGTTATAATATTTTATGAAAGCTTTGTGTTTATCTGGCGCAGAGGTTTCTAAATTTACGGTTATAGGTGATTGACTTTCGGAACTCAAGAGAGTTATGGGGGTCGAGACTCTGGAGTATAAAGGCGTAGAATCCTTTGACCTGCGAAGCTGCGGAGATAACTTCATGATTAAATCTGTTAAAACCATCAGCGTATAACGTATAAACTAACATTTTTGAGTTGTGGCCATGTGGTAGAGAGTCTCAAGATTTTTTAAATTGCGGCGCGGCGAAGTGGCCTCTGTCCCATATATATAAATTTGTATATATAACGAATGTGCATGTGTGCCTGTAAGCTTACAATGGTAAATAAATCCTACAACGACCCTTTGGTCTGGGGGTTGTTTATCTACACCACCAACACACAAATTCCTTGATATACATACATTGGCACAATAACCCTTCGTTGATAAAAAAAAGTGTCTATCACGGTTGGAGTTGGTGGGAGATACGATATTTGTTCGTAGCGTAAGTATACGGGCAACTTTGCCGGTTATGAAACTTGGGTTGGGGTGGTGCTGGTAGCTATTCAGGGTGGCTGACGTTGTAGGGTTGGGATAGGTTGGCAGTTGGGACTTTCGCCACCGCACGGCTCGAACCTGAGTTATAGAATTTTGTTTAAGGAAGAGATAATACCGGGGTTCGTTGTTCAGAATCAAGACAAATTAGAATGACGGTATTCTTGCAAGTTATATTAATATATTTATATTCATGTGGCACCTATAAGTTTATAAAGTACTCTGCGAAACTGTGCTTATACTGAGCCCAACATGAAATATGAAACGATTCTAGCCAAGGGAAGTGGCGATCTATGACTTCAGTTTTCCTATACTGGGGGACCTTCGATGTTAAGTGACATCTGTTCTTCAAATACTCCTATTGCGATATTGTGAAGTTCTCTTACAGTAGTAGAACCTAGTGTACAGCCAAGAAGCCGACTTCCCAGCTGAAAGAAGAATTGAATAGTGGAAAGTAAATAGATTTGGCAAAGATGACCTTAAATAGTATGGGAAGCCTCCGGACTATCCCGATTTTAATTTGGGAACATTGCAAACCTTCTTATAGCGCGCATTCTTACAAGCTGCTCTCCAAGTTGCTATTTTGGTAGTATCCGTGGTATTAAAGTAGATCTCGACACTTCTGATAGAAAGTATACTGTTTTGTAAAGGTGGGCCGGCCGGCCAATCTATAAATTTAACACAAATTATTGGTTAACTAGGTGAACAGTTGCTATATAATAGAAAGGAAGGTATGGGGTGGCAGGATGAAAGCGACATACAAGGATTACCGTTGCTCCAGTTATTGATCAGTATTTGCCCGGCGCTTTTAGGAATAAATCTTGTATAAGTTCCGTAGGAGTTTCCGTCAACGGTGTATTTCACACCGGTCTTCAACCAATCGAACCGGTATTCGTGGTAGCCTTTTGTAGGGTCGAATCTACCATCGAATGGTACAACTCTATAGTTACTCAAGGCTTGGGTCTTTGTTAGAGGTTGTACTGTAAGTTGGAGACCAGGCTTTGGGACACCGTCTGGCTGCTTCGTAGTATTGTGTATATGGCTTGTGAGGATTTCGATGTCGATTTCGTGGTTGTCGTCTTTATAGAAAAACATTCCGCTGCAAGCACCTGCAACAGAACTGACTTTAACGTTAAACCGAAAGGATCCATAAAGTATTTTGTCCATTATAGTGCTGATCTCAGCACTTGGAATAATACTACGGCTAGTTGGACCACCCGAGACGGTGAGTTCAAGAGCCTTAGTATTGGCGTTGTACTTTAGATTTGATGGCGAATACTTTATATTCTTTGGGGTAGATGTTTGTTCGCGATCGCTTATGATCCAGCCTTGCTTATACAGCGCGACTGTAAGGTTGGAGCTGTTGAGAGCTGACGGATTCAAAGAAATATGGTGAGTGAATGTTTGTTTTGTTTCAGGAATATAGTAACCGCAGACGCAGTTGGCAAGATTGACCGATACTAGTTCGTCTGCATCCCGAGAGTGAAGGGACTGATGGGCCCCGTAAAAATTTTCAGTAGTAAGCTTTAAAACATTGGCCTGAGCTGTGACAATTAACAATGTAAAACATAAGAATATTCTGCGTGCGGGCTGCATCTTGGTGCTGTATTTAGTGAGGATGGTCTAATTTCCTATAAAATAGGAAAAACGCTGAATCGATTTGATCAATTGAAGTAATTTTGAGATTCGATATATTATATATAGCGCTGTGGCTTGAGAATTAGAATGAATACTGTCGTTAGGACTTGGGGTTTGTCCACTTTATGTAAGTGGATCAACCTGCAGATCATCGGTTGTCTATAGCAGGACTGAAAAAGTCTTTTTTGAGAGAGAAAAGATCAACCAAGTGTCGAATGAATGCGAAAACCTGTGGATCTAGGCTGATGTCGCACCGATCCGGCCGGAAATTGAGTTTCCTCAGGAATCCGTTTTGGGGCTGCGAAATATCAAATTTTGGTAAGCTTGATATTGTATTGTGACACGACAAGAAAGGGGAATAATGATATTTGGGACACCTAATCTACGAAACAGTGGTCCGATACAGATTCGTTTAGTATCTAAATTTAAATTACGATATCGACATATCTGCCTTGCAGGCTCAACTAGCATTTGCCGGCAAGGCTGTGCACAGGAACCACGGTGGCTGACGAATTGTGGCTGATGAATATGTTGTATTTTTTGCGTTGTCTTTCGAGATGATCTACAGGCGACTGTCTGCAGTCTTGTAATATATTATATATTATACTACTAAACTATGAGTATTAGGTATACTAGTATGTTTCGTGTAAAAACACAGAGTTCAAATCGATTGAGGTTTACTAAATATTAAATAGTATTAAATGTGAAGTATCCTAACGGACTGTGGGCGGTGGCAAACCAAGACTGAGGTTAGACCGGACGCTGTATTAATTTATCTGGCCGGTGTTTTGAACTACTTGCAAATGTATTAATTGATTAGGTAATTAACCGTGGTGTATATATTCCCCGGTGATATCATGATCGATCATCATACTAAGATATTCGATATTAATCTCTCAATAACTTAATATTCTATATTACATCAATACCGGGAAAAGGTCGCTATTGATAGATTACGGCGGGCCAGGGGGGATCCTGATCTATTTAGGCGTGTTTTCTGGTACTTCTGATATTCTACTAGATAGTACATAACACTTCATTTCTCGGCCTCACACCTCAAGGCGAGTCTTCATTCCGATTATTGATATTTTCCTGTCGACCACGGACTAGTTCTTCTAGTATTATAATTAACCCTTTCGTTTATCTCTTATCGGCTATCAGTCTTTGAAGGATTACTAGCGCTTTCTAATAGAGCGTATCACCCTTCCATAATAAGTATCTTGTTACTGGGAAGTCTAGAGGTTTTGAGGCATCAGCGTGTCATTGTATGCCAGGGATTCCAAAATTTACATCTAATCCAAAGAGAGAAGATCATCCGCCGTTTCCCCCTGTTAATATTGGCAAAAAACCCGGCTCCATGAGTTTTTTGAACCCTCTGGTAATCACACATGCGGTTAAACTTCCGCCGGCGGCTACCACCGTACCAGCATCACTCGTTCAGCCACAGGTAATTTCAGCACAATTAGGGCTATTGAGTAATGCGCTGAAATCCGACCAACCAGTATCAGAACTCGCAGATATCCTCAAGCTCGCCAACCCAGCGGCGCCTGGTGCTCCATTAGAGGATGTAGAGGCTATTTCCAACAAGGGACTCTTGTCCGGGCTGCTTAACCCCGGCGGCTTGTTATCCACGTTAACGAAACCGACCGCTATTCCAGAAAAATTGGCGGCTGTGACCAATGTTCTGAAGACGGGAAGCCCATTAGATGATGCTGCAAAGCTTCTAGGTGCGGGTGCATTGCCAGTACCAGCTTCTCAGGCCGTCTCCACCGCGCTATCAACTATAACCGGCGCACTCTCAACAAACAACTTGATCTCCGGATCCGAGATAGGTGACAGTGGGAGCCTTCCGAGTCTCATCCCGAATGCTGTATCTGGGGCGCTCTCTACGGTGACCAATGCCTTGAAATCCGGCAATCTGATTCCTGGTCTTCTAAAAGGGTCTCTAGGTGGCTTAGCTAACGTCCCACCTTTACCGATACTATCTGATATCATCCCGGGGGTGGGTGACAATAAGGGTCTGGCGAACTTGTCTCCGGACTTATTATCCGAAGCTGTGGGTACAGTGACGAATGCGCTGAAGTCTGGGGACTTAATTCCCACAGATCACAAAGGTCCCGAAGGATTACCGCTTCCATTGCCGGATCAAGTCACCGATGCTCTCTCTGCGATTACGAGTGCGCTTCATAAAAACGATTTGCTTGCAGATGTCACCAAACTACCCGCCACGATCCTACCCATACCGTTGGCACAAACAGTCTCCGAAACACTCGAAACTATTACCACTGCCTTGGCCTCTGCTTTAAGCTCCGCTGATGCCAAAAACTTATCTAGTGCCAGTGGTTTGCCGAATCCTCTAACTAATGTCATATCAGAGACTCTCGATACGGTGTCTGCGTTACCATCTGAGCTAGCGGAGACCGTCAAGAGTGCCTTAGGGAAGATATCCGACACTCTGAGGTCTAGTGATCAGCTTTTAGATGCAGTTGGTCTTCCGCAGTCCGCTTTGCTAGCACCTGTTACTTCTACTGTCGCCGACACACTTGACGCGGTTGCTTCCCTCCCACCACCAGTCGCAGACGCCATCTCTGGGATTATAGACTCTGTCGCAGATGCTGTAAGAAGTGGTGATATAAAGAGCACCGGACCTAGGGCAACCAAGCCACCTAAGTCAGTTACTTTTGAAGTCCCTGACGCAGATAATTCAACCAATGCAAATCCGGTGCCGGATGGCCACAAAGGGAAGCGGATTATCATCTGCTGTGATGGAACGTGGCAGGACTCTGATGCCGGTGATGCGGGATTTCCAACTAATGTCACACGCTTCGCTCGCGCTCTAAAAAGTGTGAGTGATAGCGGAGTAGCCCAGATAATTTACTATCAGAGTGGGGTTGGTAGCGCGTATGCATCAAAGCTTGGAAGGCTTATAGCGGGTAAATCTTCCTTTCTCCAAAAATTCTATCCAGTTTATCTCACAATAGTCTCTTTGATCACTTATAGGGGGTACTGGGCTTGGCCTCTCAGAACATGTCCGAGAAGCGTTTGTATTCATCAGCAATAACTACCATGTTGGAGATGAAATCCACATCGTTGGGTTTTCTCGGGGCGCATTTACCGCGAGGTCTATTGCTGGACTCATGGGAAGGATCGGCGTACTCACAAGACGAGGGATGGAAAATTTTGGCAAAATATACGAGGACTACATCAACTTTAAACTGAGAGACGATGCATGGATCGACAAGCAGGGATGGGAAAGGATTAAAGGCGTTTCCATTAAAACAATCGGATGCTGGGTGAGTATATCTTTAACATGATGGACATCCTAGTCCTGTGGGACACCCATGACAGCTATCATATGAACATACATACTGATTTTAGTTTGTTCTTCCTAGGATACTGTCGGGGCACTTGGGATACCGACAAGCCCTGTCATTGAGAAATGCAAATGCAACGACAAGTATAAGTTCCACGACACTGATTTAACAGCTTGTATGTTCGTCATCGGACCACTTTTCTGAATTATTCCTAGATATATTTACTAATAGAACACTAAATCGCGGCTAAAGTTACTGAAAATGCCTTCCACGCCCTTGCACTTGATGAGCACAGAATGCCATTCACACCAACCCTATGGCGATTGCCCAACCTGACAGAAAGGCACGCAGATATAGTACCCAATCTGAAGCAGGTGTGGTTTCCAGGCGGTATGTCGAGATTGAAAACTTTGGAAATCAGAAACTCTCGAGATTGGGGGGGCCCGAGTTCAGCTACAAGACTAATTGCTCTGATATAGTTCATACCAATATCGGTGGAGGCTACAAGGACCAAGAATTATCCGATCTCACTCTTGTCTGGATGATTGAACAATTCATTCCTTTCCTGGGATTCGACCTTAACTATGTCAAGTCTCTCAGGGAAGTGTCCAGCAGCAGCGACTGGGCTTCCGGCGCGATTCCTAATTCCTTCGTCGGCGTAATGAAAGTCACAACAAGCAAAGTCAGGACGCCTGGCGGCTACTTTGGAGATCCACCCAAATCACCTCTAAAGCGGGCAATGACGTTTGGAGCAGGGGTTTTTGGTCAACGCGGGGTCAGAAGTGTCACAAATGAGGAGATTCACCCAAGTGTCCGAGGGCGCATGGTTGCAAGCAACGGTGAATGGTGCAGCCGTGCGTTATTTGGGTGGTCATGTGACAAAAAGATTGTGCAAACAGCTACCGGGCCGGCTGAGAAATGGGTCTGGACAAATCCCAATAATGGAACTGAGCTTCTTGAGTCAGATATGGGGGAACATGAGAAAGTACTAGCGGGAACGGAAGTTGTAGCGAAGTTGGCTTCATTGGTGACTGTACCATTGAGAAAGAGTAAGGGTGCAGGGATGGATAAAGTTCCCGTTGATAGCAAATGGGCAGAGAGAATCAAGTGAAACTGTCTTTGGTAGAGGTATGTTGGAGCCCAGTACATAATACGCAGGATCACTCTTGCAACCTCCTTTCCACTACATTCTTTTGATCTTGTTGCTTGAGGAATAGAGTATTGTTAGTAGTTTTTCTTCATTTGCGGTAGTACTGTCAACTGCAACGTAAGACTGACTCCATAACAGTCATTTTGGGAATAGAGACTTTTTTAATTCTGTCATTGGACCTTGTACCTGTGCTTCAACAATGAAAGCGGTCTCCTGCAGACGAATGGAACACTGGTACATTCCTTGTGCTCCATGAGCGGAGTAAAGGTAACATTTCGGGTTTAACTAAGGCACATAGCAACTAAACCTATACCGAAAAGCGGATGCGAGCTCGATTCGTTGCCTTTGACGTCAATTCATGAACAGCCTTAGCTTTGTTTCCCGAACAGGAATATTTCCACTTTGAGCGTTAATTAACATTGCCTCCTACTGGTCAAAGAAGAATCGTGTTGTTCTCGAAATCCAACATCATGGGTTAAACAACATATCTTCACTTGGCCTTGGCACCAACCAACGAATGTCACAGCCTAATTGTCGACGTGCGTTTCACAGAGCTTTCCGGGCATACCTCTCTACCTGTTCTGCAATCCTCTTCCCGAAAGCTGTTTCACTATGAAAGTGCACCGTTCCACTACCGAAATGATACAAGTTCAACTCGCGTTGAGAGTTCCCTTCAAGGGTTCTAGCTATCGCATCGGTATATATTTGAGTACGCGTAGTGGCTCTCCAGTGCAGCCAGCCTAGCAGTCGGCCGTTTTCTAAAGAAAGAAACCTAGTTCGGAACTTTGAAGCCTCCCAGGAAGCTGCATAATGTCCTTGTTCTTTTCTTTATCGATAATTCGCCAAATTGCAGGCCCCACCTATGCAAGATAGATGAAAAAGACTATCGATTGGTTGTCAAACCTAGTTCCCGGGGCTACCTAGTCGGCTTGGTATGCAAGCTTGCTGCGAACGGCTCGCTCCTAGTCGGTCTAATTTGTTTCGCCCCAACGTCAACTGGAATGTTGCGAAAGACAACAGAACTTTCGGAATTGAAGGCGAGAAACAGGTACAAGCTTCGATCGACTGCAGGAGATTCGTCGCGGGGTATGAAGAAACGGGGCAAGGATAGCCACTATGCAACCGCACAGCCCGTTTCGTCTTCGCTCCATTGCATTGGTTGTATGTGAAGTTTATCAGTCCGGGTTCCGGTATAGAAAAGGAAGGCTGGTGCCATTTCGAACCCATCCCCATTCCTTCAACCTAGCTATCAATGAAAGCGTCTCGATTTCGTCTTTTTGACGTCTGGTCTGGTATTTAAGAGCTCTTGGTAATTGATGAATCCGTCGGGGTAGTATTTCTTCTCAGAGGGACCCATCACTTTTCAACTCATAAATTTTTCCTGCCATCATTCCACGGCTTGCACAACGGGTCCTCCTTACATTCCACTATCCCGAGCCGTAAAATTCCACGAGAGCAAAAGCATCGAAACTTTCAACAGAGCCCCAATCGCTCACGATAGGGGGATGAATAAAAGGCCACGATGATTGAACCAGTCACTCTCTTTTCCGTTATTGCGGGTGTTACAAATCTTGCGACCCGATTAACGATTGACCTCACTCGTCTGACGGTGACGCTGAAAAATGTACCGGATCAGATAACCCAGGTTTGCAATGAGATGGTATCGTTGAACGCTACGCTTAGTACCCTACAACAACGTTTTAATCCTACAGCATCTGGCTATACGCAAGAGCAATTGGTTTGCCTCGAAACCGTAATAACGTCCACGAGAGAAACACTCATCCAACTGTCGAAATTGAGCGAGGCTTGTGAAACCACAGGCAAGAGAAAACCAGGAGTTACGGGAATTTGGAAGAAGATGAGCTGGACCCTAAACGAGTCCGAAATTACAAGTTATCGAAGCGGATTAGTTGGTTACACGGCTATGCTCAATTTGTTGACGGCAACATTAGCAGAGTAAGTTTGGAATCAATGACGAAAAAATCTATAATACTGCCGATTGAATAATGACAGCTAATTACAGTTTCCCCACATAAAGTCAACGAGGAGCAAATATTGAAGCAATGGTCACAAAGACAAACGAAATGCTACAAACCCTTGTAGAGCGTCGAAATAGGCTTTCAATGGCGCCCGCAGAAACATCAGAAACTATGAATTCAAGATACTCACAAAGACCCAAAGTTCCACCGAAGTTGCCACTAAAGGGGAGGAAAAGATCAAGTTCTACAGCAAGTCAAGTTGCCGAGCCTCGTGGCCGCAGGAATGCAGAACCTTCACAGTCGAGGAGCCGCTCCGTAGCGGCATCAGAATCTCGGGGAGGTTCATCGACAGCAGATCCACGGGACTCTAGAGGAGGATCAAATCCCTATCAGTCCAATTCGCGGGATAACTGGAGAGTTAGATCCGCTTCAACTTCTCGTTTGCCGTTGCCCAGTTCTTCTCCACCCCCTCTTCCCGAAGCCGCAGGCTATTTACATATCGATGTACCCAATGGGCGTTCTGCTGGATTTGGTTATGGCTTGCCTTCGCCCCCTCCAGAATATACCGAGCTTGCGCCCGGAATGCTAGATGATAGCCCCATAGAACGCCGTTCGCAGCAACAACTTGTACGCATAGCGCGGTCCCCGGCGCCAGTCTCCTCTCGTACAACAAGCACTACGAGATCGTCGAGTTCTCGACCCACATACCGGAGAGCCTTCTCTTCAACCTCTACAAGAACTATGGATACAGACTCAACTGCTACTCCGGCAGTTAGAACTGTATCTCGAGGACCTGGAGTTCCGCCTACACCCGTTCTTCCGGCTAAGGAAAAACTCGATGGTCATAAGTTAGAATTTGCTGGAAAATGGTAAATACGACTGATGTATATCATCAAATTCTTGTGCTAATTTTTATAACTAGGACTGTAAAAGAGATTCGAATCAATGAATCCTTCATGGGGTCCGGAATTCTCTTCCTCAAAAAAGACGCACCTAATAAACGCGTTCTCGTCAATTTGAGACTAGATAGCAGCAGAGAAACCCGGCTTTCGTATCGCTGTAAGTTTTTACTTCATCAGACTTTTTTTTTTTTTGCCAAATTTCTGATTAACAAAATTTCTATAGGGATAGAAACTTCTTCAGCCACGCGGACAAAACCATCCTCAATGTTTACTGGTCCTTCATACGTTTTGCGAAGCCTTGTCCGGGCAGACGACTACTCCGGAGCAACAAACGGAAAGACATCTATAAAGCTAGAAGATATTGATTATCTTGCTGGCCAACGGTCTTTAATGATCGCTATAAATCTCATTCAACAGTCGCCGCCTGACTGGTTGCTTGATACAAAGCCACAGGAGATTCCGGTGATATATGCTCACCCGATCCATGCACCTGCTCCAATTAGCCCACCGACGAGCAGCGTTCGAAACTTCTTCAGATCAATCCGTTCGCCTACCGAATCAAATTATTCCGAGCAATATTCTCCCACCGAGAACTCCTACCGTGGCTCATCACATAACTTTTCAAGACCGAACCCGCAAAACCAGCATGGATTATACACCAGTGTGATGGCGCCTCCTACGCCCCCAGATTCTCCTTCCGAAACTGCTATGGGAAGCCGAAGCCGTCGTCCTAGTTTCAGTAGCGGGAGTGTTGCAACCGCAGATAGTAGAATGGCACGGGCCAGCTACGAGAGCCCTCACTATGTCTCTACCAGAAATAACCCTGGACAAGATTTTAGAACGAGAGCTATGAATGCAACAGAATGCTCGAATCCTGCTGCTAGATGCGACATTCCTAACGAATCTTCTTCTGCGCAAAAGAGAGGAAGACAACGGACTCGACGAGGACCAGGTTCTTGGTTTTCGTTTGGAAGAGGTTAAGCGGGGTGTAGCGAGTCTCGCGGGCTACGCAGCATGTGAGGCGAAAGCGAATCCGAAACCGGACGAAACACTTTGTTGGACCATTCTAGGAGTTTGAAGTCGAGATGATTTTTTATTGAGTATATTTTTGTTTAGAATTTGGCAAAGGTGGCACTTATGGCAGGCTCAGGCCACCCTTTCCCATTTCTTGAAGACGGACACAAATCCTTTTGGGGAAGAAAATTGCTTCTCCTAGTTATTCATTTTTCTTTCTCTTTTCTTTTCTTTGGATATACCCCTTTATCAGCGTAATTATACAAAGGCGTCTCGTTTGTTTCGGCCTCGGATAACTTGGCATGCTGAGAGATAGTGATGACGCTTCAGTGTCATGAGTTGCAGCAAATATCATCTGCTCCTTAACATATATATATAACCTTACAAGCTTATACAAGGAGCAATTGGCATGCTGCCTATAATTTTTACTATTCTGGTTTCATATTTGGGTGTACATTTTCTACATTTGCTTTTAAATTTACTAACCTTTTGTTTTATATATTATTAAATTGCATACATGAGAATAGGAGCCTAGCATTCTAGGCGCATACATACGGGAATAGAAAGTCGAAACCAGAATATTACAATTATTGGTAAACTAGCTTTATTCATAAAAAAAAACTTGGAAACTTGCATAGAGAAATCAGTGGGCCCTAAAGTTTCGTGATCTCTCTGATGTCTGACGTTATGTATATACATTAGTCTAGTTTTAGGGAAACGAGTATAGAGGGTTGATTTCGAAGGCTACATACACCACGAACTGCTACCTAGGCCTGTTTGGTTCTATGGGTCGATTTCGAAACTATACAAGTAATTCAAAATGGAACTTCATAGTATAGTAGCTTGGCTTGAAAGCTAAAGATCTACGGTTTCCTATTTCAACAATGGTGTCAAATCCCGTTATCGGTCTGACACTATGTCGTATCTGTTCCAGACGTATATTCTTTATTGCAAAGAATTCAGTGAAACAACTAACGAGAAATATGTTGTATATAAGGCTGGATATGACCCTGTATGTCGCCGATATTTTTCAGTCATCGATTCATACCTGCCATCATACCTACTGCTTTCTCTCTAATCCCTTTGCCTGGGTTAATGTTAAGATCACAATCACGCAGGCCAATTTTCACAAACTCACATCTAGACGTATAGACTTTATCGTGTCTGCGAACGCTTAAATCAAATCAGCTTAAAGAACCTCTGTTGTTATAAGAACTCGCCCCAGTCTGAAATAGAGTAATCTGTAAATATGGGAAGCCAAGTTGGAAAAAGCTTCCACGAAAAAGAGACTCATGAGAGGCCAAATCATGACAATATCGATCAAGTATGGAGTACGTTGGTGGACGAATCTATCCCTCTGAACAGGACATCTCGAGAAGGCACCCCACGACCGAAGAGTGAATACAAGCCGGAAGAAGAGATAAACCAAGAGAAGAAGAGTATGGAAGACGATCTAAGTGGTGGACACGAAAGCATCATGATTCCAGTAGAATCCACCAAACTGTCACCCATACCAGAACTCGGCACACCTGGAAGCTCCATATGTCCAGAAGCTCCGGCAGTAGCTAGTTCCCCAGACTCCAACAAAAATATTCCTATTACAGAGGATAGCTCCGACGAGAAATATCCCCGCGACACCCCTCCACCTCCTTGTCCATCGAAAAATATTCAAAGCCATTCTTCTTCATCCCTAGTTTGTTCAGTCATAGCTGCTGCATCTCCGGACCTAAACCCTCCATCGCCCTTTACCCTACACTCTGAGCCACTTATACTTCAACACCAAAACATGGACAACAAGGACACGACCATCCCCAGAAGGAAGAGGAAAAGTCCATCCGTGGGCCTTTCGAATCAGAAACCCAAAAAACCGAAGATCATGGCCGAGCCAAAGAAGGCTCCGGCGTGCAAGTCGTGCTACCACAAGCATATTGGCTGCGATAGACAAGACGAAAACGAACCTTGTCGAGCCTGCGAGAAAAGAAAGCAGCCCTGCGAACGAAATGACGTTCGAGTAGTTAAAGGGGAGAAAACGGTGGTGAAGAAAGATCCCGTACCTAGCGAATCCTCCCATGTAGTCCGAGAAACTTCCCAAGAGGGTGGCTTTGCCGCCTCCTCTAGCATCAGAGCGGTATCTGTCACGGGAGCAGATGGTACAGCTTCTCTTGTTCTTACATTTGATACTTCGGTCTTTGTTTGTCGAGCCTGTGGAGGTCGAGGATTTAGGAATACGTGCTAATTTCAAACATGGGGATATTGATAGGGGATGAAGATCAGAGCGAATGTGGACGAGGAGCCGAGGAAGAAGAAGAAGAAGAAGAAGCCACTTCTAAGAGCGTGCTTAGTCAGAGCCGAGAAGGGGATAGGGGCCACCGGGTGGAGGCTCATGTTGGTGGAGCCGGAATTGAAGGGGAGGAGGCCGGTGGAAATGGATACGCGGTGATGACAGATGCAGAGAAGGAGGCGGTCAAGATATTGATGGGGATGAAGAGCGTTCCGGTGAAGCAATTAAACGAGCAGACGTCTGATTGCTATTTTGAAGCAATCAGGGGCATTTTGATAGAGGAGGTGGAAGATGAAAGGAAAAGAAGAGTGGGATTGAAGATGCTTGAGAAATTAAAGTGGCAGATGACATGGCTCAGTGGTTGTGACTAGGTCCAATCGTGACGCCACTGGGCCATTATGTGACTAGATGACTATATCCAACATTTCCAAAAACTCTAAAACATGTTCTTTTTTGCCCTTTTTTCCCTATAGGCGTACACGTACGAGAGAAGTCGATCTGCAAAATGATGTCTAGGATCCCATCTCGCCTGCAAAATCAGCTATCTACCAAGCTAGGAAGGAATCATGAGGAGCAAATACTATTGCATTGCTAGAAAAGTACCTTGGCTTCCAAAGTGTACACCTTTCATAGTTTGTATATCCTTTCAAGAAGAATACAAGCCCCCAAAGGTGGCTTTGAATGCCCATGGCGCCATACTGGCGGATAGCGGCTATGTTAATTCTGGTGGCTCTTTAACCACTATAGCTATCTGTATCTTGAGCCTCCGCGTAACATGCCTATAGAGGCAATGAGAGACGCCCAAGCTAGATGCTAGCCGTAACACCTTAGCCCCGCTCCTGCATCTAGTCCTAGAGGGTTTCTCCGGCCGAATTAGGTATCGGGTACCAGCGAACACCGAAGCTGAATTAAAGGTAGGGATTTGCATCCACGCATGTTGACTACCGAATTGCAACATCATCAACACGGGTCCCCGTTCATAGTCTGGGAAATTTCGAAAAGCAGGTCTTGATCTCATAGAACTATCATTTGAATCCAAAATACCATCGCTTTGCCTCGCCATCTGAGGAATATTTATAACATCCAATATCTTGTTGTGGATCTTCTATGTGAGGGTCTGATACGATTCTTCTAGGGCTTGGGGTCAATTTCGCAGCGTGTAGATGAGAAATATGAATTATAGCTTCGATTGCGCCGAATTTTTGAATTCGATCGAGGATTTGATGGAGATATTGTCGCATCTACGTGATGTTCCAGTATTTTAGTCCTTAGAAGTGTCTCGAGCAAAGGAATTTAGGGGGCTTGACATACATATATATTAATTAAGAGGGAGAAGATCTGTGGCTAGGTCTGGAGAGGGTACTGTGCGATGTATAACTCCCAAGGTAGGTTGATAGGGCCGAATTTAGTCAGGGAGTTGAAGTTGAATTGGGTCAATTATTTGTCACTGGTAGGTAAAAATACTGATACGGTTGTGCGCCCTGACCTCACGCTCTGAACTTCAACAACCACCAACCCTACCAAGGAACTTCAACCAACTACCATAAACCCGTTCTTTCATCATTCTTACTTCAATCTCACATCCCATATCTCATATCGTTCCTATAAAGTCAAAACCTAGTCCCTCTTCAGTATCATCTTGGGTGTTTCTTTCACCTAACCCCTCAATTATGGTTTCACGCAAGCGTCGTCGTGCAGGCCTAAAGGCACGTGAGACCTATCTTCGAAGGCTCGCTGCCACCTCCCTTCCCGGATTCGGACCAAGGCTTTGGAATACCGGGCATCCTGGTGATATGAACAAAGCTCTCTGGAAAAAAATAAACGCGGAAATCATTGCCCCGAAGTCTCGCTCGAAGGAACTCTCCCGAGAGCTTTCAAGAACTCGAAATGAAGAATTAAGATTAACGAGAGAACGCTTCAAACACTTCTACGATCTCGCAAAGACGAAGGATCTTCAAGAGCAAAAGGTAATTAAAAGGGGAAAGGTTGAAGTCGAAAGCGAGAAGCTACGAAGCATAAGGTCAAAGGCTGCTGAAGAGATAAGCGATCATAACGAGGATAGTTCTCATGTCGACCCTGACGAAACCGAGTCTGAACATGAACCAGAGCATACCCAGCCCGACGAAGATCCAGACAAAACCGAGTCCGAGGTAGATCCAGACGAAACTGAGTCCGAAGCGGATCCAGACGAACCCGAACCGGAAACCGACTGTAGTGAAACCGAGTCCGAGGAAGAATGAACCGTCAGTTATCTAGACAGCTCTCCACCACAAATTACAATAGCTGACATGCTACAGAGACCATTTGACAATCCTTAGCGATCTATTCCTAGTCTTGACTTGGCGTTGTGACGGCGAATATAATCTGACTAGGTACTTGGCAGATGTTATATTCGAGTTACAGAACCGACCGAAGCTCCAACTTTGCGACTCTAAGCATCTTCGAGCTTATGATGGCTTTCCACTCCGACTGTCCTTTTAACCTGAATTCTTATATTATGGGGGGCTGTTTCGATCATTAGTTTGTTCTTTTTTGTTACTGGTGTCTACTTTGCTCTTTCATTTTTTTCCCCTGGTGGTCGATAGCGACATGGAAACTATACCCCAGACCTATTCTCCTTATCAACCCTACATCGCCCTTCCCTTCCAAACTCCACGATAGCTCTTATTACACAGGAAATAATAAACTAGACCTACTCCTGCTTCAACCCCTAATCGAAATACTTTTGTAGACACCAGTACCGGCAAAGCATATGGAAAGTCTCTTTTAACCATGAGCGACCCAAAGCTGATAAGATCTCGATAAACCCGGCAGGGACATGGCTATATTTCGGCCAAATACAACATGACCCATGACTAACCAGGGGCAGTTATAGATTATCCTAGTTGTGGTATCTTTGACTGGAGTATATACGTCTAAAATACGTATCCAATCTTGCTTCTGATATCAGATGAAGCCTGCCGCGGAAAGTACCCAAATTCAACATCTCTTCTAGATCAAAAATCATTAAAGACACGCCACCGACTTTAGATTGTACGGAAATTACGAATTCCATGCATCTTAATCAACGATTCTCTCCAGCACCAAGCCCAAACTAAATCTCCGAGTGATAGAATTCGATAATCCGTGTTGAGGTCGTTGGAGTTTTGTTCTCGGATCTAATCGGATTTTAGCGGTTACTCCGCGCACCAATCAGATGGCACGTTTCTTCGGTAGCAGCTTAGATTGGTTAGAATGACGACAGAGGGCCCCTCATCGGTGTCGATATAACGGCTATCGGTTGCGCCAGTGCGGTGGGCATGTTCTCTTGCCTCGGGGATGTCTATCGACGATGCAGGAACTCAAGTAGAGATATTGGTCTTAAAATGCAGGCTGCGACCGAAATATGTACTGCGGCGAGACCGACGAGTCTGGAATTCAGTACGAGACAGAGGAATTCAAAAAAAGGAGGAGGTTGCAAGTGTTATAACCTTATTGGTGTCAATAGGCACGATCCCGAGATTACCGCTGAAGCTTGAGTAAGATGTCCAACCCTGCCGTTTCTTCCCGATGTCCCCTATCGGCTTCGATATTTCGCTCAAGCCTCAAATCGGCATGTCCCAGAGGTAAAAAATGTTTTTTCCAGGCCTAATGGGAAAATTTGATCCGAAGTCTTTGCCTCATTCCATCTAGTAGCCCAGACCCTGGTGGCCCCAAGCAAGGCCTGTTACTAATTTTGAGAAGTCGCTATCTTTTGTGTTGGCTGCGGGAAAAACAAAGCAAAATTTTTTTTCTTAGCAGCCCACCACCACTCAAAGGAGAATTTACTTGCTCGACCAGCTGCTCTTGATCCTTCATCTCCTTTCCTCCGTAGACCCATATAATCACCACTCATCACCATCATCACCGAACCGGGTTATCGAACAGACTTGACGTCGTCGATAATATAGAACCTGCCATCACCACTCTCCACTCTTTACACCTCCAACAGACATATCCAGCAAAATGTCGGCAGCGGTAGCAGAAGTTAAGGCGGTCGTCGCCCCTCAGCAGAAGACAGGTATCGATCTGTACTCGAGGTTCGCGTTAGCTGGTGCCGTTGGTTGCGCCGTCACCCACGGTGCTCTTACTCCAGTCGATGTGTAAGTATCAATCTTCTTATCCAAGCTTCAATCGAGATCGTCGGTTCTCGGAGACAACGGCTATAACGGCTATAAAGCTGTTCATTCGATATTCAAAGGAAACAATTGCTAATTGGGATATGCAGCGTTAAAACCCGTATCCAGCTCGAACCCACCGTCTACAACAAGGGTATGATCGGTGGATTCAAGCAGGTCATCCAGGCTGAGGGTGCCGGCGCCCTTTTGACCGGTCTCGGACCCACTGTCATCGGTTACTTCCTCCAGGGTGCTCTCAAGTTCGGAGGATACGAATTCTTCAAGAAGCAGTCTATCGACTTCCTTGTATGCCAACATCTCTGAATGGAATCGGATAACCAGTGGATCTGCTGGTAATGGTTCATTTGATAGTTTTTGCTAACAGGTTGGGTCGAAACTACTAGGGTGTTGAAACTGCCACTAACAACAGAGCCGCTGTCTATATGGGATCCTCTGCTCTTGCTGAGTTCTTTGCCGACATTGCTCTCTGCCCCCTTGAGGCTACCCGTATCCGTCTCGTCTCCCAGCCTACCTTTGCCAGCGGTCTCGTCTCCGGTTTCGCCAAGATTTTGTCGCAGGAGGGTATCGGTGCTTTCTACAGCGGTTTCGGACCCATCCTGTTCAAGCAGTAAGTCGCACTTTTAAATATATCTGAAAATCAACGAGAAACTAAATGGAAATTACGAATTCCCACAGGGTTCCATACACCGTTGCCAAGTTCGTCGTCTACGAGAAGATCTCCGAGGGTATCTACAATAGCGTTGTCGACAAGTCGACTGCTAGCGGCGCCACTCAAACCATTGTTAACTTGAGCTCTGGTCTCGGTGCTGGTTTTGCTGCTGCCATCATCTCCCAACCAGCTGATACTATGTTGTCCAAGATCAACAAGACCAAGTAAGTTTTTTTTTTTTTCAAAATTTTACCAATTCTATGACAAACGCAGTTCTAATATGACAAACTCAACAGGGGTCTTCCTGGTGAGAGCACCACCTCCCGCCTCATCAAGATTGGTGGTGAGCTCGGCCTCCGCGGTTCCTTCACCGGTCTTCCAGCCCGTCTCTTCATGGTTGGTACCTTGACCGCCTTCCAATTCGCCATCTACGGTGACATCAAGAAGGCCTTGGGCGCCACCGGTGGAATTGAGCTTGGTGCTAAGCATTAAATCATAACCAACACTCAAACGGGGTTCCAGAAGATGAAGGAAAGATAGATAGGTGCGAAGGGGAAAAGTTAATGTGATATAATGACATTTGGGATTAGATTACTGTTGGGTTATAGAAACCATCAGGCGGGGGGGTCGAACCTAGAGGATCAAGCTTGGCATTTGGCTACGTTAGGCCACCAGCAGGCTGATGAACATCGAACGACACGAACAGAACAATTAATAAGACAACTCTCTGCTTTCACCCTAACGGCAACGATTCTAAGCCCTGAAGAAAGCTATGCACGAGCATAGTTTTCTTTCTCTTTCTTATTTTACCTCGCCCCTTCCTTGGGACTTTCTTTGTCATCTTTTCTTTAATGTTTCTCTGATGTCTTATTATTAGAATAATACCGTCCTCTTTCCTTTTGATTTTCTTGTTGGTGTTCCGTTTCAGCTGACAGATACTTTCTTGTTTATTTTACCTTGAACCCTCTCCAACTTTACTACCCCTTGTGTATATGACAGACTTAGACCTTGAACATATTCTTCATTATCCATTTTATTCGCTGCTGTATCCCGCCGTATCCAGGCAATTAATTTGCCTATGGCTATCATATGTAGAGAACTATTCTCGTATTGCAGACGGTCCACACTTTGGTAGAGAACTATTCTAGTGGCGCATCACATCCAACGGTCTCGGCAATAGCTCAACCTCCCCCCAAATCTATATCTTGTGAGCAATATATGAAACACTAGATTTTCCAAATACAGCCGAAACCATTTGTTTTATAGTTTAACTACGTGAAATCTTCTCGAGATCTCCAATTCAGGATTAGTGTACAAACAGATCCAACATTTGACATTGTGACGGTACTTCGAACCTTGAAAATAGTCTGCCGATTGTGCTAGCTCTTGTATTTATGCAAACACTATGTAATCTTTGTGCTAGCTAGAGGACTCTTGCTTCCCTCAGAAGATCCTCTAGACTAGTATATACCTGTACATTTGCGTTCATTAACATTGAGGAATAACATTATTTATTTTTTCAGGCATACCCACTGCGTGGCTCCGATCGACCCAATCTCAAGAAGAAATCTAGAAAGATGGGGTTGCACATACTGCAGAATCGAATGCTCAAGCTTTACTCCTTCAACAATCAACTGCTATATATTATACAAACAAAACCGATCGAGTTTTATATTGGTAATATATCATTGTTTGCAAAGATTTCTGGAAATAGTCTAATATACTCCGCTCGTTCTGGGCGTGATGTATCGGATAATATAATATTCTTGTATTTATAAATTAAAACTAACCTCCAGACACCATGCATATCCTTGCTGTTTCCAGCTATCCTTATCTATTAAAAAGCTGTAATATTGCGATCTCACTTCAGCGTTCACCCCTAAGATCCCCTTCACCTTCCACAAAATCTCAGAGCCATGGTGCCCAGAATAACAGATTTTGTCTTAGCGTGTTTTACCCTATGTCTATACATATTTTGTTGTTCTTCTATCGTCCCCCAACCTCGAAATCTCCCAGAAGGCTTACCTGTTTCATCAAATTCATATCATTCATCATTCGCATCGTCGGTAGACGGCGAAACCCCATATATATGAAGTTGACAAGACTACCCCATATCTAGCCCCTCGTAATTTATATAAGCGAGTAACTAGTAAACGAAAGCGTTCTCTAGATCCAGGTCACGAGATACCAGAACAAGAAGTAGCCCAACAGCGAAGGAAATTTGAGAAATGGTATCGAGGAAGTATTGTGCGCGACTAGTCGAAGAATTTAGTGAACACTTATTCCTCACTTTACCCGAAAAACAGAGGCTACAGATCCAGTTGCTAAGCTGGATAGGCTTTCACGAACCCGTAACAGTGGATTTCTTTCCAAATCAGGACCTCGAATTGATAGAGAAACTACGTGGTCAGGATACCTCCCGTAGAAAATTCTTATCCTACTGATGCACTACATGTTTTTCAAGAAAGTGACGGAGGTATAGCCATCCCGAAAATTGCCCTTGAAACATTTTTATCAGAGAGGAATGATCACTTCTCGTCGTGTGGGAAGGATATCATGGAAATATATCACGGGAATCGGCTTCTAATTACAGGTTACAAGCACCTACCTCACGTGCTTTATCCCTCCATGGCCTAAAAGCCTTCCACTGGGAATCTAGCTGCTATAAAATATATCAGCATCGCATACATTTATAATGAGCAAGCACTGGAAGTCGGGTGTGAGGCTGTTTCAAGACTTCCCCCAGGCCGATTAGCTATAGAGGTAAATTTTATCACCTTACGCTTCCGGGGCCTAAATTCTCTTCAAAATGACGACTCGGAGAAATCAGCATAGTTGGCACTTCGCGGATTCTCAGAAGTATTGTTTCTGTCGAGGATTCTAAAGGCTTATCCTGAGCAGTGCAGTTCCGCGTGAATGCCAGGTTTTCTGATATCCACATTTTCTTCCATCAAGGTCGCAACATTCAAAGTGTCAATCAGCCTACACTATCAATATCACTGGAGCTAAATACCAAAATTCCTGAAGAAGAGATCAAGGGTACCCTTTTTCATGAATCGGGAAAAAGAGGACTACGAGGCACTGAAGAGGCTATCAAAATGGAAATGAATCTAGAGGAAATGATGAAAGGGCCTGGCAAGCCCAATTGAGTCTCTTAAGATCTTCTACAAAGCATCAACCTTTCCTGGAGTGGTGGATAAGAATACCTTTTTAATACATGGCTTAAATCGTTAGAAAATCGATGGCAGAGTTCAGAGACAACTGTCGGCTGATTTGACAGATGTCATTTTTGTGTGCGGCGCGGACAAAATTCGCAAGAGAGGATTTCATACTTACCAATACAGAAATACCAGAGCCCCTGATTAGAATAAGGGTCAGGACAGTATCTTTCCTAGAAATGAGCCCGGAAACAAGGAGAATCATTTCAGAAATACGAATATTATCCGTTTCTCTGAGGAACTTATATTCGGAAGCTATGAGTGGAAATTTCCCGATTAACCCCGATCAGGATCCTAGGAGTATATCTTAAGTTTGAACAAAAGGACTTTTATCTCATTGGTGATGCCTCCACCCCCTGCGAGAGATACTGTGGGCTAGCAAACCTGCTTCCAGACACGGCGATATTATTAGATTAGAGTATCTTCCGATTAGAAGAGGTTATCACAAAGGCCCCACAAATTTGATTTGAAGAAGTGTATATCAGGTTGCTTTAAAGTTTCCATGGACTAACGGGCTCGAGGAAGTTATTTAGAGCCACGTTAAAAAAACTTAAGAGTTGCAGAAATTACTCTACCGTCATGTTCTCTAACCACAGGGACACTTCCTACTAGCTAGAAGTATCGCAACAGTGTCATCACATGGCTCTGAATGCTATCCCAGTATACCTCATCGAACTACGGATACCACACCGGACTCCGAGGCTATGAGGCATCAACAGCTGACAGCAGCACGTTTTGGAGGTTGGAACCAACAATCTCCAGGGCTCAGCGTATATGTAGGATCGGCTGACTTGCCGCTCGCCTCACTAGAGTACATTAGTATCGAAAAACGTTAAACTATTAAAGGGGACATTGCAGTTATTGGATTCTATAGGGAAATTTTGGTTACCCGAAAGAGTTAACCTCACGCGGAGCGCCCCACCTATTATCAATTCGTGATAACTAGGGTTCTTCATATTCCGTTCCTCACTCTTTTATGGCGAAATACAAGGTATTCATGCTTGGACCCTTTTTTGGGCTCTGTGGGGGTCGGTGCAATCGCCGATATGATCCGGTTAGATCTGAGCACTGTTAGAGGTCAACGTCTTGAAAGTATCGTCATCTGACCGACTTCATTTGGTGCTCGGGCATTTGTGAAAATCAGTAGATTAGATATGCACATGTGCAGACGTTTCGAGTCCGATACCGGGAAAGCGATATCCTGCCTATAACCATACCGTCGGATCACGATAGAAGAAAACTAAGGACTCAAATAGTTTATCAAATAAATCATTAGTCCTAACTAAGTAGCTAGTCTACACGTCGGTTGGAGTATTATTGTGGGGTAATATGCACATGATATCGTAATGTATCCATATTGTCTCCGCCTCGAGCGCCTGGATTCGAGGCTACCATATTGTATCGGGCAGGCTGCAGGGTGCAAGTTCCAACACAGATCCCGATAAGAGAGTGTTGTAAAATATGTGTTGTCGCTCGAATCTGGTTGGCCAGGTTAGGAAGTCGATTAACCGAGGCATAGCCAGTTCACTGCATTCCACATGCGCAATGCCCGGAGTCGGCCGGCGGGCTTTTCTCAGCCATTATAGGTTTCAGTTACAGTTTAGAAGTCCAATAAGATTCTGTTGCTTCGGCCTAGCTAGTGTCAGTTCCCGTGGCCGTGGTAGAATTCTTAAAAAGGCTCCTTCGCGCTCCATGTCAGTGCGTCGAACCAGTCAATCACCCGAGTCAATTACCGATCATACCCCCCGCATTATACTGCATAGTTCGGTATATCATAAGAATTCTAGCTAGTAGGTTTCAATTGTTATAAAAGAAGTACACACCCCCCAAAAGTTCCAAATGAATTTTTCCCCTGCTCCCGGCGAACTGCTTTCCGTCGGCCATTCTTTTGCTGCCCCTAACGATCTTGACGACGAAATCGACATGCCGGACAGTACTTCCCAAACCGTTAAACCACCACCGCCGCCACTTTCACATCATAGTTTGATTGAAAGTACACTCGAACTTACCGCTTTAACTGATATTGGCCCGACGGTCTTCACCAACACTCGTCCACTATGGCGTCCACCAAATGCTCGTGGTATTTTTGGCGGCGCAGTGATTGCACAGTCACTTGCTGCTGCTATTCGGACTGTCCCTGAAAATTTCTCGATCCATAGCATGCATTGCTACTTCGTATTGGCGGGCGATTGGACCATCCCTGTAATATATACTGTTGAAATTGTCCGAGATGGCCGTAGTTTCGCAACTCGGACGGTGCAAGCGAGACAGAAGGGGAAATGCATCTTCACTACAACTTGTAGTTTTCAACGACCCAGTGAAGGGAAGGATAGCCTGCTAGCTCAGGAGCCTTTCCCGGAAGGCGTAAAGGGTCCCGACGAATGTGAGGGTGGCGAAGAGACCGCCCGTAGACTTGTGAAAGAAGGCCGATTGTCTGAGGAGGGATTCAAACAATGGAAGAAGACGAGAGATACTGATCCTTTCGAAAGAAGGATTGCTGGAATTTATAACCGTAAGCTCCCTTTTGGCAGAAAAAAATTTAAGGTCTCTCTTCTTAACTAATTTTTTTCTAAAGACAACGATCCAAACCCGACTACCAAGCGTGTCCGTTCATGGGTTCGTGCTAAAGGCACTATCTCCGCCCCGGCCGGCGCTGGCGCCCACGTCGAAGCTCTAGCCTACGTCTCGGATTCATGGTTCCTTGGCACACTCATCCGTACTCATAAATCTGTCAACGTTGGTATGATGGTATCTCTCGACCATACGATCTACTTCCACGCCCCATTCCGAGCAGATGAATGGATGTTTATGGAAAGCGATTCACCCTGGGCGGGCGACCAGAGAGGGCTGGTTCACCAAAGAATTCTAGATCGCCAAGGCAATTTACTAGTGACTTGCTTCCAAGAAGGACTTATCAGAGTCCGGGATCTTAAGGGCGAAGACGAAGTCGCTGAAAGCAGCGAACCCCCTACGAAAAAGGAAAGCAAGCTGTAAACCACTTAATGATTGACTAATTGCCTATATTTAAATATACATACATATACATACACATACATACTTAGGGAAAGGGGATAGCTTGGACATGAAATTTGTTGGAGGCGTTGAGGTTTCGACATATGTATACACTATTTGCTCAGGGTTGCGCTCGATTGGGGGTACGCGGCTTGTATGATAAACTTAGATATCGATATTGGGCAGAGTAATATATAGCATATTAGTGTTTTTAACTTAAAATCATATCTAAGCTACATTGTATATCAGTGTGGCCATAGAGTTCGTAATCAATTGATTGTTTTCGCCCTCTAAATACCAATTCCTCATTTGAAAGCTAGGTACGCATGGTTTCAATTGGGCTGCACAACTGCACAGGAGACAAAGAAGCATGGAAGCTATAGGCCAACTTCGAAGCCACGTTAGACTAAAATACAAAAATCACATGTCGAAACTAGTGTTTCCCAACTGCAGTCGCGCAACGGACTGGGATTTTATCCTTTTGGGCGTTCACGGACTCGGCAGCACCGACCCCGCAACTAACTCCGATTTCTACTACGCAAAGTTTATGTCGCTACATGAAATTGCTCCGACGGCGCAACCGCCGGGACTGAATTTATCTTCCCATGTTTATACATGAATCTGTTGGGTCATTGTTGGTCTAATACGCTCAGCTGCGCTCTCAACGACTGCCCCAATTAAATCTTGATACGATAGGCCGGCGTTTTCAGCAATGGTCACAAGAGAAGACGCCCCTTGAATAAGACCGGCCAACGGATTAACCTTTCACATGTATAAAAACAATTAGCACAGTTACATAGTGAAATCTCTCTCGTGAAGAAGCCAGGGTGTCATACCTCAATAATACACGGCATTGCATCCGGGCCAAACTTGTCGGAGCGCACATCGATTCTTCCCAGATCGCGGCACTTTAGAAGCCTCCACGACTGCAAAGCAATCTCACAAGCTTTGATTACCTCCGGGTCCTTTGGATCCGGCACCGATTGGAGATTATGTGAGCCGTGACCAACTTTAAGGTTGAAAGTGCAGAAGTCAACCATATCTTCTGGTAGAATCCTTATCCCGCGGTCATTGGTTGTGATTACCTCCAAAGTTGAGGTGTCGACGGTGTGTCGGTTATGCCAACATATTTCGAGAACACCCAAAACTCGGGCTTTCACCCCAGTTCCAATGATACCCACAGTAAACTCTCGACCATTAAGAAAACTCTCAATGATTATATCCTGGCGGGGGTATTTCTTAAATAGAATCTCTACGCTCGTTCCTAATTCCTCAAAACCATGGATTTTACTGCTCGTGAGAACCCCCTTGGAAGTTCCTTCGGCAGCCGGCTTCGCAAATAGAGGGAATGAATGTAGTAGTTTCTCCCCATGCTTTGATTGCTTGATTGCGCGCAGAGCTTGTTCGCTTGCATTTCCAATCCCGCCATTCTGGACAATGGCAAACGGGGCTGTCGGGATCCCGAACAGCTCTAAAGTCAACTGTGGTAAAGGTTCCGGTTAATTCCTTGGTACCCTTCGAACGATTTAAAACGTATAACTTACTTTCGTCAACCCTTTATCCAAACAAACCGCATAGGTCGCTGCGCTGGCGCAAGTAAAGGGAATACCATATGCTTCAAGTAATCCCGGAATCTGAGCTTCTCGAGCAGTTCCAATAAACCCTTCACTGTCATTGTAAACGAGGTCCCATTTACTTGGGGAGCTCTCGTCATTCTCGTCAGTTATTGCCAAACGCTCGACAAGATCCTTAATACCCCCAATGAGCTCGACAATGTGCCCTAGGCTTCGAAGAGCGCGCATTACATCCGACATTGTATCTTCAGAAGTTAATTCGCAACATTCTTCGAAAGAGTAGCCCCGCGCTTGATACTTTTCTCTGCTTTCCGCCACGCAGGCTATTCGGAGAGAACGCTGAGGCATATTTCGTTGATATTGAGTAATCTAGCTTCTAAAATAAATAAAAAAACAACCAAAGAATTCTATGAAACTGAAGTCTATCTCAGAAAGTTGAGCTATATGGCTAGTATTTTGGCTATTAATTGAGAACGCCACCAATGAGCTAGGAACTTAGAGGGAAGGTATCCAAATATGTATGTAGACTACACTTTTATCACATATGAGCCCCTCCTGCCCTAAGAGCTCTGGGATCGGAGGCCAACTATCAATGTGACTAATCGGAGTCGTATATACATATGGTTTGTGTATGTGTACACGTCATAGATATTGAACGATTGCGAAAGTTACACCGCCATGCACCAACCAACCACCTGAATTAACTGTTTGCTCAGGGCCCAACTGTTTGGCTCAAGCCGGATCGCGGACGGGATTTAGGCTGGAGAAACTTTGTGTGCGACGAAATAATCTCGATTCCCGTCCTCAATACTACGTACCACTGCACTGGAACGAATCAACTCGGCGTTTGGTTTTGAGACTAGTCTGGGGTAAATATAGAGTCCATGTAATGTGTAAATTGGCCTTATCCTAGCATTGTGCAACCTGACGACAAGGGGTATTAAGGCGTGTTAGGCCGGTCCTACCCACTCCGTTCCGAATTGCGTATTCCCTATATTGTACGTTTTCCGGATCCTACATATTTTTTTAAAGTGATATCCTCGTGCTAATGTGCGACCACAATATATTTGAACGAAGTACAGCAGACCCATGGGTCCATCGATCAGGCACTGGGCCCCAACCAGCTACGATGTAAAGCAAAGAAAACATAAGTGTAACAAAGCAATTTCATAATACTTGAATTCCAACCCTCTGTCTTGATTTTAATGCACGCTCTGTGCTACCTTCTTTCTCCAAAATTTAAAGAACTCTTGACAAAGTGAGCCCATCAAATACCGGCAAAATAAGAGTCTCAACTCTTGGATCTTTCGCAGCGAGACCATTGAATTCCCTCAACTTCGATGCCCTCCATACTTCATCCTTGTCTCCACTTGAAGGATTGTTATCGCTATCATCTGCTACAAGCCCTCGCTTGAGAACGTTATCCGCGATCAGAATTCCATTCTTGCGGATGAGATTTAGATCCAGAAGAGTTTTGAAGTAATCGGGGTAGCCGCTAGAATTTTATTAATAATAACGTTAGCTTGACTGGCGTGCTCTTTCCCCATTACACAAAATAACCCTGTCAATGGGGGAGCAGGAATCAATGTTAGTGATGCATTGGCTAGGAAAGTTAACTTACTCCTTGTTTGCATCAATAAAAACCAAGTCAAAGGGGCCATCATTCTGCAGATTTTGGAGCCTATTCATAAAATCCGGATCTCAGCACAGGAAAACTTGTTATAACACTTAGGAGTCAACTCACGTCTCTATCGCAGGGGCCTCGATCAGGGTGACAATATTGTCTACACCAGCATCGCGGAAAGCGTTGCGTGCGATTTCACAGGTTTTGGGATTAACGTCAGTAGTGATAATCTGCCCCATAGTTTAGCGTAAGGCACTTCCAAAAATAAAAGAGAAAAAAAGACGAGCCATAATATACCTTTGCTCCTTCGACGTCCTTTAGAGCCTCTGCGAAAGCAAGTGCGCTAAACCCGCAGAAACAGCCAATCTCAAGAACTAAGAATTAAATTTTTTTTAGCTAGAGAAAACAACACAGCCAACGGACCGTTTTATTATTTTTCGAAAGCTAGAGGCCATACTTTTCTTTGCACCTATACTTCTCGCAGTCCAAATGAGATATTGTGCTTGTAATCCTGACACCATCATTTCCGAAAGTTCGGGAAGGTTTTCTTCGGTAAACTGTGCAAGTTTGAAAAGGTGTTCGGGTAGCGGGACGGAGTGTTCCTTGCAGTACCTGTACACCGCATAGGAGACTGCATCGTTGGGGAAGATGACTGGACCTTCGTCTTTCATTTTCGGTAGCTTTGGATGGTACTAGTGCTACAGTTGATAATTAAGTGTTAAACCATGTATATAATTCCGTTCATTTGCAATTGCAATATTTAAAAAAATAAAAATAAGTCGAAGATAGTGTATCTTGAAAAAAGTCTAGTTACGAGACTAGTATTTTGATATTATATCTGTGTTGCGATGTTGTAATTTTGAAGCTTCAACATTCAACAAGCGCAAGCAGCACTCGTCGAGCCGCATTGCTCGGCCTTGCTGCTTGGCCCGAATTACGTAGAGCTAGCTAGGTATGCATAGGCTCCAGTGCTCTCTCAGAGCTTAAACATCCAAGTCCTAGCAATTTGCATAAGACGTTTATTTTATTTTCAAACTGGGGAATCGGTAGAGCTCACTGTTTGTTTTCCGTTCCGGCTTCGGTCGAGGTCAGTCAATACAAATGCAACAATGCGGGGAATGTGTGACAGAGCTGTAGAATGTTGCAGATAAAGGACGAAAACGTACACAATCCTTGAGCCAACGGAAGTCTGCAGCTTATATGTATTTCACTTCCCATCGATGCCGGACTGATGACGAAATCCATCCGGTGGGACCGACCTGCTGAAATGGGGATAGCCCCCGGTCTTTCCAGCATTTCGAAACAAACGGACCGGCCCGGACTTGAAATATCCCTTTTGTATCATGATATCACCGCACACCGCTGTCGATTTTATGGGGATCCTTACTTTAATCTCAAGGTGGTTTTCAACTTCTGTATACGTAACTCTCTACCCGATTCATGTTCGTGGGGGTGGGTTTATATCTACCTTAAGCTCTATGTGACTAGTGGATAGGTTTTTCGATCGATTGATGGTTAAATAACAAAAAACGACAACCGCTAACTAGTATCGATACGATTACGCATTAGCCCTTGTACTTAATTAACCAGGTACTTACTTTTTCCCGTACCTAGAATTAGAAAGCGAACCGATTCCTTCCATAAAGAAGATAGCTATGACGGTCCGGTTAGGAATGTTAATTTATGTATCTATTGGACCGGATTGTATATCCATACAACCATGCATATTTAATAACACCTACAATCAAGATTTTTGTACTACTTGACCGCGATATCGACGCAACCAATTACACTGGTTGGCAATTTACACTAAATCGATACTGTAAAATCGCTCACACCAGCTAGTCTTCATCAATTTGTGTAATTAAATATGAAGAGAAAGAAAAAGAGAATGAAAGAAAAAAGCTTGGATAGATCGCCAAACTTGGCAAGGAATACTATAGAGGTTAATTGATTTTAATTGATGTAAGGGGGTTCAATTGCCTTGTGTCACCGGTGCCTCTGAGGTATCTATCCTGATATCGAAATCTGTAGGAGTCCGCATCACAGAAAGTGGAAGTGAATATCGAATATTAGCTAAAAATCGACTGATCCAGAGCAAATCCCAAAACGTATAAATAGGTAGTTAACTACTTAGTAAGCATTGTATAGCTGATGATGAAAGAATGCTCGTACTACGTACTACTGTGGAACTTCCTTGAATGAATTCGGAAAGATGCCTAACCTTTTATGGGTTTACTCCTAGACTACGGTATAAATCCTCGGAGTCAGAGGTTTAGATATATATCTCTCAGGCATAGATATCAGCTATTTGAATTTATACTCTCCGCAGAAATAAAGTTATCAAGAACTTCATATGATGAAACCATGTTTCTCAACCATAGTTTTAAAACTTTAGTCAGAAATCGACATCCATTTCTTCTAAGATGCTATAGTAACATATCCCCAGCCTTCAACCCTCCATCATCAGCACCGGCTCCTATAATCCCAGTGCCAGCCTACCAAAATCTCGAACGAGAACCATACTGGCAGAAAATACCACAATGGAAATCCATAAAAGAAGAAGAATTCTTAAAATATAGCTGGCAAGTAAGTCTCCGATCAAACTTCAAAAGCGAACGTTCGAACCAAACTAAATGGATGTAATACTTACTTATATATTACACGCACAGATAGCAAACACCGTCCAATCCACCCCCAAACTCTTCAACTTCCTCGAATCCGTCCTGCCGTCAAAAATCCCACACAATGATATCTCACAATCAAATACCCAAATATCCTCACAAGAGGAATTTATCCTAGACGTCATGGAAGGAATAAACTTGGCTCCAATGTCGACTCGTTTAACTCCCCATACCCTGAGTCGTATCGATTGGATAAATAACCCTCTCGGGGACCCACTAAGGAAACAATTCATCCCAATGAAATCATCAGTACTGCCCGATCACCCAAAGTTGACGCTTGACTCTCTTGGTGAAACGAATGATTCTCCTGTACAGGGTCTAGTACATCGATATCCTGATAAAGCACTTTTCCTAGGTATGTATATATATAGACACATCTACAATCCAACCTATCCAAAATCCACTATAAAATACTAATATAATTCCTAATAAACAGCAATATCTGTCTGCCCCGTCTACTGCCGCTTCTGCACCCGCTCCTACTCTATCGGCGGCGAAACCCCTTCCACCAAAAAATCCCGCTTCCTCCCCACCCGCAAACGTTGGTCCAAAGTCTTCGACTACATCGCCTCAACCCCATCTCTCCACGACATAGTCATCTCCGGCGGTGACGCATACTACTTAGACCCGCAACAAATCCTCGAAATCGGCCAACACCTCCTTTCGATCCCCCACATCCGTCGTATACGTTACGCCAGTAAAGGCCTAGCCGTATGTCCCAGTAGAATACTAGATGGTGAAGATTCCTGGGCAGAGACTTTGGTACAGGTTTCGGCCGCCGCGAGGATGATGGGTAAGTCCGTGGCGTTGCATACACATTTTAACCATCCGAATGAGATTACTTGGGTTACGAAACTTGCGGCGCAGAGGTTGTATGAAAGTGGAGTTACGGTTAGAAATCAGACGGTGCTGTTGAGAGGGGTGAATGATGATTGTGAGACTATGAAGGGTTTGATACATGGTTTGGCGGAGATGAATATTCAACCCGTGAGTTTCTTCTCGAGATATATCCCTTAGATGATCTGGTTGATTATGTAGAGCGAAGCTAACTTGAGGGCCATTGGTATAATAGTATTACGTCTACCAGGGGGATATGGTACGAGGAGTAGAAGACCTGAGAACGCCGTTACACAAAAGCCTTGAACTAGAAAGAAACATAAGGGGCACAATTGCGGGCTTTATGATGCCGCAATTCGTCGTTGATCTCCCAGCGGGCGGTGGGAAGAGATTGGTCTCCTCGTATGATAGTTACGATAGAAAAACGGGTGTGTCGAGATTCACTGCGCCGGGTGTTAAAGGAACAAATACCTTTGAGTATCATGATCCGGTATGGTCTGTAGCGGCTTAAGGGATCATTCTGAATCTTATCCTGGTAATTATTTTTTTTTGAACGGAATTGAGTGGTTAATTACTATGTAGCGGCTTGGAAGAGAATTGGATATAGCTAAGTACTTAGGTATTCAGGCTTTTCATGAAAACAAAGGAGATTAAGGTATATATGTCGGAGAAGCCGTATATGCATATAAACATCGCAAAAGAACCGCAACAGTTATGACATGTAGGCAAGCCAGAAAAATAAAATAAAAATAGTAGGCTAAATAAACTCATCTCGAGAAAAAACATAAAATACCGCCACATTAAAATGGGTTAGATATCTAGTATTAACCAAGAAAGCTTCTTTGCCTCCTTGAGAAATATTTTCAAAAGAAATATAATCGCTGGGATACTCATAAAATCATAAACGCCATAAACTCCAGACCTGCCCATCATCGGCGGATAGGTAGAAAGACTCTTACTGACTGGCCTTGAATTTCTCATAGTCGAACTCCTCGACCTCATCGTAGGCTGACCCATCGCCATCCTCATCTTCAAAGGCATAATCTTCGTCGATCAGGGCCTCGGGGATGTTATAGTCATCTTGACTATCATACGCGTAGTCATCATATTGATCGGGGTCGTATTGATACTGGTATTGATCATCATAGTCGTAATCCTCTTCGGCGTCTTCGTAGTGTTCATATTCTGAGGGTGGCTCCGAAGACGTGAGGGCAGGCGATGCTGAGCCAACTGATAGCACATCTTCCGTTTCCTGTTCAATTATTGTCGGTTCTAAAGCTGGAGTAGATGTTGAACTTAGGACTTCCTCGGTTGGTGTTACGACTGGGGCTTCGAAGTCCTTAGGCATTGGCCCAAAGATTCTTTGTGGTCCGAACTTTAAACCTAACCTCTCCAAAAACGACCCATCGCCTTTAACCTCTGGAACGACGTCTTCCGGAGATTCTGGCAAATTTGTGGAGATATTCTCATCGTTTTGCGAATCCGGAGCATCATGGGTGCCTGCTGCAATTTCCTCCGGGACCTGCTCCACTACGTTTTCGCCCTCTTCGACGGTCTCCATAGTGCCACTTGAGGAGTCGGAATTCTTGGATCCTCCAGAGCTTCGTGGCCGTGATCTGGATCTAGAACTTCGGGAAGAGGCCCTAGACTTCGAAGCGGATCTAGAAGACGGAGGCCGAGAACTAGCTCTTCCATTCCTTGTAGGGGGTCGGGATGCATCTTGAGATTCAGCATCTACATCATCAGTTTCAGGCTGAGAGGTATTATCGGACTCGTCAACTTCCCCGTTACGTGAAGATGGGCGAGAGTTATAATCAGATGGCCGTTGCTGAGGCGTGTATCCTGTCCGTACAATTGGCTCAGGCAACCGCTCATCTTCTTCCGGGATAAGTCTAGCAACTTCTGGTGAAACTTCTCCATCCAACTCACTGGCTGGTGTATTAGTTGGCTCTTCAATGTCTTGGTATGCTTCACTTGGCTCCACAGTCTCCTGCGATGGTTCCATAATAGGTATCTGAACCTTACTGGGGCTAGCAGGAACTTCTCGGATCGGAGGTGGGAGTTCCAGTTCAGGGATATCACTGTCGCGCCAATCTGGGCCTGCATCTCTAACATCCGCTTTTCCAACATCGATATCCCCGGCCTCGGAAAGACGATCGAAGTCATCATAAACGGGTAGATTCGGTGAGTGGTAATGATGAGTGGGTTCTTCAGGGAAATTCTTCCTCTCGCGAGAACGGTCCCTCCGGTACGGTGCAAGAGGAGGGGAGCGGGAACCGGACCTTTCATAGCCGGCAGAGTCCTCATCTTCGGATTTCTGCTCGCCGCGACCTCTTGCATCCTCGTCAGCGTTTAGTTGCTCTTGTCCAGACTTGATTTCAGATCCAGGTTGAAGTTTGACAGGACCAAATCCAAAGGCCGCCTCGTCTTCATCGATAAGGTCTAGATCTTCAATGATGGATCCTTGATTGGAAGGGCCGTCCTCACGTTCCGATGCAGCCCTTCTTATCGCTGCTGGAACATCCTCTGGCATAACACACTTCCCACCAACCTGGATACCATAAACAACGCTCTCACGTTCGAGGCCTCTCTTCTGAGCCTCCTGCCATTCAAGATTAGCTTTCTCTCCTGCCAATAGCCCTATCCCAGAGCCCGGAAGCATCTTTTCCACCTCTGCGATGACATCACCAAGGATTGAAGGTGGCGCAGGGGCATATTGAACTTCCAGAGGCACTTGGTTCATATCAGGAGCGGCTTGCTGTTGTTGCTGGAGTATTTGCATTTCTCGCGCGACTTGCGTTTCCATGAAGTTTCGAACCATATAGTCGAGGTTCCTTTGCGCAAAATAGCTGTTGACACTAAATGCAATCAGTCCGGCAAAGGGAATGGCAATTAGTAACAATGTGGGTAGCGGGATCGCCGAAAGGGTTTTGATTGTAGGTTTCAGCATGTCGCGAAGTCTATCGATGAGACCTTCCGGGAGAGGATCCTCCTTCTCCAGCGGAGAAGGTGATGAAGATTTTGACTGTTTAGGACTCCTGGACACCGACCTTCCCCGGGGAGAACTTTCACCAGGTGTGAATGGGGCTGTCCCCGACTCGCCCGAGTTCTTACGTGATTGAGCTCGGCTTCCAGGAGATGAACTCGTACCAAACGATTTGTCAAAGCTTCGCCTGATACTTCTTCTCCTTCTCTCTCTAGACGTGGGCCCCTTCGTCGGTTGTGGTTGCGGACTGCCAGCCCGAGACACCATTGGAGAGATATCTGGTGAAATATCAGGGGAAGAAAATCTAGACGGCATCGGCGACGGTCCAGCCGTCTTAGGAGTCACTGCCCGTCTATTTCGCAGAGGAGTTGGTTTCACTTCGGGTTCTTCATCTGAGATATCCACCGGGATGTTTTCCTTATTGTCAATGCTCTCATGGCGATTTTCCTTGTCCTCTTCCAGATCCTCCAGCGCTGTACCGTCATCAGAAATAGCAAGACCGACTATGGCCATGTTCCCTGGGTTTCTACTAGAAGTGGGGCGAGAGGCCGTCTTTTCACTAGCAGCATAACTCCTAAGTTCTGCAGGAGTGATCTCGCGGCTGGCTCGGCGGGATGAGGGATGTAACCTATGAGGGTTTGAAATCTTTCTCTGTTCCGGAGAAGGCGACGGCGATACAGTAGGAATATCTTCAGACTCAGAACCGATCGCTTCGCTTTCCACGCTTGTTTCACGAGAAGAACCAATGATAGAGTGGTGAATCGCAGTATCCATTGTGAAAGCGCTGAGTCTTCGGTCTTCTTCTTTCTCCGTAGCTAATGCTGCTCCTTGGGACGGTCGCTTGGCATTTTCATCGTTGTCCTGTTGTCGCGAACCCTCATCGTCCGTCGTCCAGGAGTCTTCGCTCTTGAACCGTTCAGTTGGCTTCTCTTCCTTATCGTCTTTGTCTTCCCAGATAGGAACGAATTCGCCATCCTCCTCTGTTGGTGGTTCAAAAATCGGAACATCTAGATCAACACCATCTTCGTATATTTCTTTCGCCTTCTCAACATCCGGTAGCATTATATCCAGCTCACTGAGCGGCTCTTGCTTGATATAATTACTAGAATTCCGACTCCTCATAGAACCGCTCGGGACGCGGGCGCCAGAGGGCTTCCTCCGACCAGCAGAAAGTCTCCTAGGTTGCGGCATCTCCTCGTCTGTCGTTGTTTCAACACCAGGTAATGGTTGAACCCGCCTCTTGAACTGGAAGCCGCCTTGAAGACTTCTTTTCCCGTCACTCCGCTGAGATGAGGGTCTAAGGGTCTTAGGTGGGTCAATATCCTCGTATCCAGGCGTAACAGTGACTTCAACATCTATTCTTTCCATCTCTTCCCAGCTGCGACTCCATGCGCCGGATCTCATCAAGCCATTCGAAGCAAATATATTGATTGTATACCATTTCTCAGTATGTGTGTAAGGTCTTCGGTGCTTACGTGGCCTTTCATGGCGACAGAATTCGGGTTTGAGACGCCTTCGGGTACATGTAGGACAGTATCCTTCGCCTTCCTCGTCCGATGATCCGACATATGAACCTTCCGAATGCGATGCGCAGTCATCAAATGAGTATGTCGCTGTCTTCTTGAAAGGTGGAGGAGTTTCTTGATCAAGACCAAGATTCTCTGCAATCATTTCAATTAAGCCTTCATAGTCATCGTTAGGATGAGGCAGCAGAAGGCCCCGGGCAACAACTGTCGGGGAAATCATTTTGCGCAAGTGATTGGCAAGAACTGACGATGCAGGACCTTGTGCAGGCAACGGGAGAAGAGTAACATGTAGTAATACCAAAGGAGAAGGGTCGGGTGATGGAGCGACCGGGACATCCAATATACGGCCTCCTTTGCGGCTCGGAGACGGATTTCCTCTAGGAAACCCGTTCTTACCGTTCTTCTTTTTCTTTTGGGAAGAAAACGGCGAGAAAATTGGGACATCCTGAAAAACAGAGTTCACGGTACCACCACGGGAGGATGATAGCCGACTCCTCGATACATAGGGACTAGGCGATTCCGAAACAGTAGATGGTAGAATAATGCCGTTGTCACCGGCCACCCGGCCAGCGGTCTTAAGTGTTGCAGAACGAATGGAAGGCCCAAAGGGGTTTGGTGGCGGAGTGCCAGACCTCTCATCATCAGAGTCCCGTTCTGTTAGGCGAGAGTAGTTCCTAGGACCACTAAAATGATAATCTGGAATGGAGGGGGGCCGAAGAGGCGATTCTGATTCGGAATCACTCTGTTCGAATATCGCGTCGATCTCGGTGGCATCTTTGCTGGTGGTTTCTAAGAGAGTGTCGTGGGAAGTCTCTGAGGGTAAAGCGACCTCTGGTGGAAATGTAGAAATGTCGTCCAAGTTATCAATTGATTCTTCCAGCGACATGTCTAGGAACTGAGCCTTCTTAGGGCTGGTCATCTTGGAACCGCCGTCGTCGGTTGGTGGAGTGCTCCGTGTTGAGGACAGCGAGGGACGTGAAGAATTCGAAGCGGAACGAGATGAAGACATGGTGTGCGTATTGACCACTGCGCTGCACTCAGCTACGTGACGCAAACAAACATCGACAACAAACAACAATTATTATGTACTCTAGCAAGCAAGTAGTAGTCGTACTATGTAGGTATGTCGCAGCTCGCTCGTTCACTCAATTTGACAGTGAAGGATTAGCTAGGTATAACCAGAGATATCGTGAGATAAGTAAGTAAGTGGTAGGTAAGTATATATAAAAAGAAGCGGGGAACTGGAATAAATCTAAATGGCAAAGCAGCGGCAAGCCGGTCCAGCTGCGATCCAGCTGGGAATCGGGTGCAACGAACAAGCTATAAACGGCAAATTAATTGGAATAGTTTGAAGTTGGACAGAATAAGAACAAGTGACTGTACGATGCATGCGAGGGGGAAAGTGCCGGCCGGGATGAGGTTACGTTTTAACAGCATTCCATCGGCGCTGCGCTGTGTTTTCTTTTCGTCTGTCGCAGCTGCTGACCCCGAACGGGCAGTTTGTTTACCGGTCGGCGCTGGCTGCTTGTTGTGACGCTGCCCGAACCGGTACTGTTGGCGACATTGGCAAGACAACCACCAACGTCGGTGCCAACACAGAGCTCCACTTCTGTCCGCCCACCACCATGCGCACCCAATCACTGAGGTTCTTCTGATGCATGGCCTGATAGCTGATAGCAACTGCCTGCTAACTGCAACTCTGGCTTATCGCTTTCATCCTCATTCATTCATTCTGTCATTCATTCGTTCATTCACTTGGCTACTTGGTTATACCCGCATTGCGACGGTGATGGCCAGACGTCACCTTAGCGACATTTCTCGTCACAGCCATGCAGCATTTCACACAACTTAAAAGGACGATATGAACTAGTAGCTGATTGCGATGGCTTCTACTTATCGATAATACTATTGTACGCCATCGTATTGCAATGTGCGGTCAAACAAGGATATACAAATATCAACAATCCATAAACCCCAATTCAGGTTGATTAGGCATTCCTGACTTTTTATTGTTATTCTTTCATGTGTGTATTTGCATTGTTTTGGACTCTCTTGGGATCTGGTCTCCTACTATTCCTTCTAACATGTATTAAATAATACCCGCAGGCTCTATTTATGTAAGTACATAGGTACTTACGTACTTAAGTAAGTATATATATCAATAATTCCATATTAAAATATGTATTAAAACATCCTTCGCAGAGTGAAATATGAAAACTGACTAAGATACAATTCGTAAGTTCGTGCGGCTTGTCCTGTTCCTGCCCAGACTCCGCCAACGAGACCGACCAGACTCCGCCAATTTTTGGCATTCGTCGGAAAACTGTGTTGAAACCGGTGGTTACGTACTTTCACACGGGAAAGGAGCATTCGGTTTAATTTTTTAGTTCCTTAAAGTACCTACTTAATACCTATGTCAAGGAAAGATAGTAACCCCAGATATCAGAGAAGTAGTGCTCTAGCTGTAAGTACTTATAGCGACAGACAATATCCCACAGCGAAGAAGTTTCGATCAGCGCAGGTTCGTTTAGGTTTGTTTGATTTCATTACGACTTCCAGTAAATGACATCCCGAAGAATATGAGAAGCTTACCAAGTAGATACATGTATACAATCGCGACGAAATTGTCAACCCCTGTTCATGTGGATTCATACCTGCATTCCATCGCATATATACTATGAAGTTTAAATCATAGGCCTGGCTACAGATACCAACTTTAATAATCAATTTTGGTGTGAGATTTTATACACCATGTCTCGTCGTCCACATAAAAAGTCGAGGAATGGTTGCCTACAATGCAAGAAACGCCACATCAGAGTAAGATATAAAAACCATACTTTCTTCACTGTTTATTCATGCAAAGGCGTCGCTAACACTAGTATCTCTCGACCGGTTAATTAAAAACAAAAGTGTGACGGGTTTGCCCCAATATGTGCAAACTGTCGTGGAGCGGAGCTAGAATGTTCCTACCTTAAAAACCAGACGCCTCCCATACTTCTAGCAGTACCGAATAATCGTGCGGGTGTATATGCTGCTTCACCAAGCTCCGGTTCAAATGCTTCTCCGGCGCCTTCGATATCAAGTTCTGATTCCTTAATCTCAGGGCAAAATGATACCAGTTCCACTCCATCTGTTGCAGTACTTTCATTTCCTGAGCCAGGGCCTTCAGTCCAGGCCAGTTCAACCAAACCGCAAGATCCTTTCAGCATAAACGAAATTCACTTGGAACTCTTTATGAACTTATCGAGTCAAGACTTTCGTTCATCAGAAGATCCCTCTCAGCCAGAGTATATACCTTCGACAGTATACATTGAACACGGCCTCGCCACCCCCTATCTAATCCACCAAATGCTTGCCATGTCGGCATTGCATTTAAGTACAACTTTCACCGATCGTCAAAAGATCAATCATTACCATTCCTACGCCACGGGGCTCCAAAACCGAGCCCTCTCACTCTTCAACCAGGCCAATCCGGTGCTAGAAGTCACATCATCCAACTGTATCCACATGTTTCTTTTTTCATCCGCAGTGGGTGTCCATCTACTATGCGACACTTTACATTATCAACGCGGAAGCCTTGATTCATTCATCGAAAAGTTTACTCACGACGTCAATGTCTACCGCGGCGTATTAGCCGTTGTCAATCAATGTTCTCCAGCAGTTCGAGAACAAGAAATCGGACCAAACTTAAGGCTAGGTCAAGTTTTCCTGCAAATCCCGGATGCAACCGGATCAGAATGTGATGATCTTATCAAGCTCATAAATGCATCTAACATACCGGAATCTTCGCGCGAGGTGTATCTACAAGCAGCGAGTGACCTGCAACGTATGTTCGATTGTGCACAGGGTAAATCAAGGGTTTCTGTGCTATTTACTTGGGTGATACTTCTATCTCCTGCTTACGTAGCCCTGCTGCGCCTATGTGAGCCAGAAGCGCTTGTAGTATTGGCGTTTTATGCAGTGTTATTGCATCGGGGGCGGTCTATGTGGCTGATTGGGGATGGTGGTCGGTTTTTGATAGAGGCAATCAGTGATAGGTTGGGGGAAAATTGGCGGGGATGGTTAAGGTTCCCAATAGAGGCACTACAGGAACAGGAACAGGATGTATCTTAAACTTTGAATTCATCAATTTAATTAAAAGTGCCAATTTTCCTATACGAATTAATCGGGACAATACCCATCTAAAAATCAATAATACGAGAGAATATCATAGTATACCAGGGACGACATCAACCTCAATGCGTGTCGACGTCTACGTATACAGAACCGGAATGACCGTACCAAGAATCTTAATAGCGGCTCTTGCTTCACAACGACAACACCAATATACGCAACATCTCTACTGAACTACAGGCACAAACCTTTTTTCGTTCGTATTTGGTGTTAAGGCTTAGATCTCGGACAAATTAATCTGCAGCACCCGTGGTGGAGCCTGCAGACCTGCGCAGTCGAACCAAATGCTGTGCTGACGTACTGGTCATAGGCGAAACAACGCCAAGAATTACTAACCTTGTCGGAGAGAATCGTACACTAAGTCTTAAGCGGTCTGATATGCAGACACTAAACCTAATATGGCCTATACGCGTACACTAGACCGGTTTGGGTCGGACTGAGTCGCTTTCACCGGGTGAGTTTTATATCTTTGATAGAATACCGACATCCTAAGGAGGTCTGTGAGGCTATTATTGTAAACGTTATATCGATTTTCTGTATTTTAATTTTGAGGATTCAAAGTCTAGGTTAGAAATATAAGTATGACTTCTATCTTCATCTCAAATTTCTGTTATTACTCAGTTCACCAGTTCAAACTACATCAAGAGCAGTCCAATTTCTAGAGCTACTCAAGTCGATATCCTATTCAATCTTCTTCTATTCTTTTGGCTTATCTTATCTTATTTCATTTTCAAAATTTCTCTCATTGAAAATATCTACTTCCAAGTTCCAACGGATCTACCTACTAGATTATACATACAATTCTTTCAGAAAATATTCTTTCCTTTCAACTATATATATATATACATCACCGCAGTTATGGTTGAACTTAAACCTGTGGAGGGAGACGTCTACCTGTGGAAATACCTACCATCGATCCCAGCAGCAGCATTATTCCTCGTCCTTTTTGCGGTCGCAACAGGTGTTCTTTGCTGGCGCTTGATCAGAACCCGGACATGGTTCTGCATACCATTTGCAATCGGTGGAATCCGTATGTCCATCCCCAATTTCCAACTTAGTTATAATTTATTATCGAAAGCCTACGCTAACACTTAATATTCATAAACAGTCCAAGTAGGCGGCTATGGTGTCCGTATATACTGTCACTGGCACACCGACGAAATCCCCGCCTTCGCCGTCCAAAGTAGTTTCATCATTCTCGCTCCCGTGTTCTATGCCGCCTCGATTTACATGGTCCTCCGCCGCCTCATCTGTTCAATCAAAGGAGAACGCTTTTCGATCGTCCCAGCGAAATGGTTAACCTGGATTTTTGTCGCAGGCGATGTAATCGCCCTAAGCATCCAAGGAAACGCCGTGGGTCTAACCTTCAAAGAAAGCACCCAAAAGATCGGAGAATGGATCATCACCGCTGGATTAATCGTTCAAATCCTCATCTTCGGTTTCTTCATCATCGTGTGCAGTATCTTCCACGCTAGGATGAATAAAGATGTTAGCGAAAATCCTAGAAGTGGACCGCATTTGACTATTCCATGGAGGGCCGGGTTGAAGATGTTGTATGCCTGCAGCGCATTGATCATGGTCAGGTCGGTGTTTAGGGTTATTGAGTACGTTATGGGGGTTGATGCGTACTTGTTGGCAAATGAGTGGCCTTGGTATATTTTTGACGCTGTTTTGATGCTTGCGACGCAAGTTATCTTTGTGGTTTGGTTCCCGGACCAGTTCCGACCGGAGGAGATTGTTTTGAAGAGTGAGGGAGATAGTGAGGATGGGCACACCCTTGTGGAGGTGGAGCGCAGGGGCTTTGATAACTGTTAGGAGGGAGATACGTATAAGGACTCGGGGACTGGTTGATTCAATCCATGAAGATATATGTACTATCCTCGAATCCGGGACACATCAGCCACACCCAGTCAGTATGCTCATACTCGTATACCATCTTCGTTTATCTGCATTTATAAAGGACTGGGCCGATAGTTAATGTTTTTTTTTGAATTGTGGGATGTTATTGTACAATTGTAAAGATCTCTTCATTTCTCCTTTTTTCTTTTTTTCAGTTTCATTTTTTGTTCTTTTGTTCTTTTTACTCTTTTTATTTTTTTGTTATTATACCTAAGTAGTTAAGGATAGAATATGCATGTAGATTTAACTTGATACTTGTCACTCTCCGGGGCACTTTAGCAGATATTGAACTTGGAAACAGTTGATTCATGATCGATAAGGCCAATACGCTCCGAGAACTAATCGAAATACAACAAGACGTGTGTTGCCAAAGTTTCAATTTTCAGGATTCAACTTTGATTTACCCCCACGTCGCATAGCTGACTTAGCCAAAGCCTCGATTTCGAAAGGTCAAACGGCCTCGCTATTTCCTTCCTTTGGTCTTACAAATCCGATCCCGTCTCAAGGTTATTAATTGAGATATCTCAAACTCGGGACCGAAGGAGCACATTGTCATCCACTTCAAGCATGCAATTGCCTTGCTTGCTGTTGGCCAAAGAACGAAACGCAATCAATCTGACATGCAAACCCTTGCTGTACCACCACATTTTCTCAAATCCCCGAATCCTTTCGCGTCGCAAAAAAGGCTCCCTGAACCTGGTCAATGCAATGGATTTGAGATATTGACCTACTTGCGACCTTCTGGAACCGATTAATGTTGGACTGACGCTGCATTAGTCGCCTGACTATGGTACTAGTTTACTATACTTTTTGATATTCAATGGCTATGCTTTGGTCGTGCACTTTTCTGCGCACCGGCGACATGGCGGTGACAAGGTTATATACGTTATCGCATGCAATTATATTACGTATCTGCTAAGGCACTGAAAAAATTGTGCTCGACGACCGGACCGACATATATTCACAGTCTTTGAACACAGCCCATTTTTGTATAAAATAACGGATATCTTCCCAAATTTTCGCTTTTTTCTGCTCATCGCGCGGAACATCCATATCCTCGTCAATAAATCTTCCGATCCGAGGCCAGCCAGCCAGCCAGAAAAAAAAAATGTCCGAGCAAGCCGCAATGATGTCAGATGCCGCCAAGGGCCCGGCAGTTGAAATGTCAACCTCAACTTCTATGGTTCCAACATCCCCCACCAAACCAAAGTTCGACTTAACTCTATATTTGGTAACTTCTTCGTCTCTTCTTCCTCAAAATTGTACCCTTGAGTCGCATATTGAGGCCGCTATCAAAGGCGGTGTTACAATTGTACAACTCCGTGAGAAGAATCTTGATACTGCGCCGTTTATTGCGCTTGGGAAGCGCATTCACTCGATCACCAAGAAATATGGCGTCCCATTACTTATCAATGATCGAGTCGATGTTGCATTGGCGGTCGGGTGTGAAGGCGCCCATATCGGATGGGATGATATGGGTCCGTTCTCTTTAAACAATTTCCCAAATAGTTATCTAGGTATATAATATCTAACAACGGTTATATCTAAAGACTACAATACTGCTCGCAATCTCCTCGGGCCGACCGCCATAATTGGTTTATCAGTATCAAACGTGACCCAGGCGTCTCTCGCCGCCTCTACTACTGCGGACTATATTGGCATCGGGCCAATATTCCCTACCCGAACAAAACCAGATGCCTCAGCTCCCCTCTACCCTTCCGGCCTACGCCAAATCCTTGGACTGATCTCTTCAAAAAGACCGGAGCTTCCCTCCGTGGCTATCGGCTCTATCAACGCGGCCAACTTACAAGCCGTCCTCTATAAATCCCGACCGACAGAGGGACTACCTCTCGCCGGAGTAGCGGTTGTAAGCGCAATCATATCATCCACCGACCCAGAATCCGCAGCTTCTGGATTACTCTCCCTCTACAAATCCCCACCACTATGGGCATCACCACCACCATCTCAATCAACAGCATTCAACCACTTCTACCTCCCACTAATCCTCGACAAAGTCGTTACTATACTCCGAACAATCAAAGAGCATAAACCATTAGTCCATCATATCACCAACGCAGTGGTGAAGAACTTTAGTGCAAATGTAACGTTGGCTGTGGGCGGAAGTCCAATAATGTCGGATAATCTGGAGGAAGTAGCTGATTTAGCTGCGATCGCGCCGCACTCGGCTTGTCTTGTGAACATGGGTACTTCTGGGCCTGGAGAGAGAAGATTGTATTTACAGGCTATAAGGGAGAACAATAAAACGGGGAAGCCAGTGGTGTTTGACCCTGTTGGTGCTGGTGCGACTGGGATGAGGAAAGAGACGGTTAGGTGGGTGTTGGATGAGTGTGGATATGTGGATGTCATCAAAGGGAACGAAGGCGAGATCAGAACAATAGCTGGAGAAGGAATCAGAATGAAGGGTGTGGATTCAGACTCAGCAGGGGGGATTGATGATTTGATAAAAGTTGTGAAGGGTGTCGCTGGGAGAGAGAGTATGTTACATTCTCCTTGACTTGATCGTTTTGATATACTAATCTGAGGGGGGTAATAGGAAACGTGGTAGTCACAACCGGTGTTACAGATGTACTGTCAGACGGAGTCAGAACCGTCCTAGTGAATAACGGACATCCATTCCAAGCCCTAGTCACGGGAATGGGATGTGCCCTTGGATCGGTTCTTTGCGCAGCTCTGGCAGTCAATAAGGATGATAAGTTGATGAGCTGTTTGGCAGCGGTTTTACTTTACAATGTTGCCGCGGAAAGAGCAGTCAAAAAGGATGGGTCTAGAGGCCCTGGCTCATTTTCAGCAGCATTTTTGGACGAGCTTTACGAAATAGGCGAGATATGTGCTAGAGGAGAGAGTGGTTGGCTTGATGGTGTCAAAGTAGAGTTTATGTGATTCGAAATACCTATGTTCGAGATGACTAGCCCGGGATTAGAAGAACTCGAGAATTAATTCTTTCTATCATGGAACTTTGCATCCCCAAACAATGCCTTGCGAGAGGGGCTGTCTCAGCACCTGCAAGAAATAATCTTAAAACTACTAGTTTGATATATGTGTCGAAACTTTACTTAGTGATCAGCTAAGCTGGGTTGATTTTGAGTCCGTCCCGCCCCTCTCTGATGCGACGCCGCCATCGAGTATGGTCCATACTCTTGATTGTATGCAGGTACAAACTTTAATTAACCGTAGGGATTTCTCCTTCTTTTACCCTTTTTACTCACGTACTATGTAGATGTAGTGACTGCATATGCATGTAGCCTCGACCTTACCATCTACGGTGAAAGATCGGTTCTACTCCAGTCCTTGGGTAGTAGGGCTATTGGTCTAGCTACCGTCCGGGCTCTCTAGATCTCTACGCGTGGTAGCTTCGTTGATAGGAGGGCGGAATGCTTCTAGTAAAAGAAACACATTGGTTGTAAAATATCGTCTATGGATCTAGTATTGCAATCCAATGACGTAGAGCCAGTTGAGTTTTACGTATATCCCTTTTGATATCGACATTGACACTATTGCGCAGATAGAATGAATCGGTTTACATAAGAGATGCACTCCGTCTCTTCTAAAATGGAAGTACCTTTGCATACCAAGCTTTTAACCTTCGTCCTGATAAGGGTCTGAAATTTGTTTGGTGATACAGTACGCCATATTTTCGTTCTGCATTGCGCAATCAACTTTCTCGTTATAACTACTAGTCCCTGGTGTAACATGGACAGGCATAATTTGGGCACGGACGAGATCTTCTAACTCCAATTCATAAGTCCTCAGGTTTTCAAGATTGTAAACTAGGAATGATATCTCATAGAGCTATATCTAGAGATTAGAAACCCTTTGTAATTCGCCATGATATAATCTGATACCCAGACCCTATGGGCATTTTCATTACTCTTCGTTTTATATACCATCTCTATAAGGCTATGATCATTTATCGATTAATCATTTCGATCACTGAAATCTCGATGACCAGCTATTCGATTTCTCAAAAATACCAATCTGTTTGTCCTAAACCGGATAGAACACAAATAGGAAGATGAGCTCGAGGGGGGCGGCCCATACATGAAATACCGACAGTCCCAAACGTAATTTGTAGACGTATCAGCATTCGATCCAGGTATCCGGGTCATCGATGGGACCGGTCATCTGGCCCTGGAAATGTCGTTTTCTCAGAATATTTACCCGATATGGTTAACAAAGAGAGTGGGATGTTCGCTAGCGTGATTGTTATCATTCCCTACTAAACAGGATAGACATGCATCATGATTATCATCAGCGACTTGGCAAATTCCATTCATACATCCCGCCATCTGAAATTCACCTGTTGGAATCCTTCTATCGGCGCACGCTTGGGAAATAAACTTTTTTTTTTCTTTGATCGCTGCTCTTTTCGAGTTGATATGGTGAAGGTCACTGTTTGTCCAATGGACCATGAAAGGTGGGGAAACTAGTTTTTTATGTCAAACTTCCACGATTTTTCTCACAATCATTTCTTGATTTAGAATGGGTGATGATTAGCTCGTCTGCACATGTGGGTCCATTGGTCAAAAAGTTTGAGTTAAGAATAATAAAAAGATGGAACGTGATGAGGGTTTTGGACGATTTTGACGGATGGCGAAGTTGGAGATAAGAATGAGATGAAGTGGGGGAAACCAGTGTAGCATGCACATGTAACATGTAGACAGAAATAAATAGAACTCTGTCGCCGGCGGGTGCGTCGATCTGGGCAGGTTTCCGGTCTAATTTGAATTTGAACTTCAAATCTCGAGATCTCGCATGTTCTGGTCGCAATCTTAAAGACTTCCGGGCGCCTTTTCTGTCCCATCGTCGTAATATCTTCTGGCATTGGTTTGAATTCAATTCAACAGGAACTCGAGGTTTTGGGTTCTCGGTTCATATTATATAATGATTTCCAACATCAACACATTCTCGTGCTTCGCCCTTTCGTCGCTTGTATTAGCGCACTTCGGCGAAGCTGTCGCAATACCGCGATTTGGAAAAATAGATGGAAAAGTTAGAAGAGATATATCGGAAGTAGTGCAAAGGTCATCAATTGCGCCGAGACAAGTTGCAAGTGCGAGAGGACTTGTGCAACCAATCTGGCTGGTACGTTCTGAGCGTAGACAGCTGACAGAAACCGAGAGTTTTACCAATTGCATAGAGACCTAACTTAGACTAAATGATATAGAGTGACGACGGATTGCGTTATTATACAAATATTTCCTTTGGGACACCGCCGCAGCCTTTAACTCTTGCCCTGAGTCTGGACGGAACGACATGGGCGCCGACACTACCGGCTGGTGTTAGTGCCGACTCGTACTGTGCGGACACCAAGAATGAGGTTTCTTGCTCGTATGCAAGGATATCTGGATTCTGTAAGTTATAGATCTTTAAGTGAGAATTAGGTTGCTAGGAGGCTAACTTGCTTTTGAGATACAATTCCTGGATCGGTTACATATTCTCCGCGGGGCGATTATCAAGAATTGGAAGTCGATAGCCAGGATACGGTAAGCAAGAGACCAAATACAGGCTTCCCATGTTTTATGCTAATTTCATGATACCAGGTCAATGGTATACAAGCAACCGAACACATCCAACTCGGATCTTCGATTCTCGCGAACGTCGGTATCGCGGTTGCGGATAGTTGGACATCTGCTCCTCAACTATCGCTTTCTTCCTTATCTCCATCCGGAAGCCCTGGCCAACAATTATTACTCGTACTTCAACGAGCTGGCTTTATTAATACCCTTACATACTCTCTCGCTTTCACTAGCGTAGATAGGAGAGGAAATATTGATTATGAGTCTGGAGAATTGAGCTTTGGAGGGATCGATGAAACTCAATTTTCGGGGGAGTTGAGCTCCTTCGAGGGTGGAAACGATACCGATGCTGGTGTTCTGCCAGTTAGTAATATCTACTGGATTGATGGAAAGGGAAGAAATGTGTCCATTGTAGATGAGGACAGTGATGCCGGGCATCTCGGCGTGGGTCAGGTGTCGCTTACGCCGTAAGTTTATTTGCATAGTCGCCCCTTTAAAGGTCTAGATCTGGCGCACACGGAATATTAAGCTAACCAAGTCGCAGATATCTTTGGATTCCAGATGCAATGTTTGAGATCATTGTTAGCCTGTTCCCCGATGTTGAGAAATCAAAGGGCTCTGAGGTTTATACAAGAAATTGCACTGCCTCACTTGAAGAACTTGACATCAAGTCACTTCAGTTATCAATCGATAGAACCTTCATTACAATCCCAACAAATCTTCTCTTTTTTCCTGTCATTGGAAAGAAGGGTCTTTGCAATCTCGCAGTCAGGCCAATTTCCGACTACCCCGCCACTACTGCCCCTGCGGATTATATCCTTGGATTTCCTTTCCTTCGGTCAGCCTACACAGTTTTTGACCATACCCACCGCCTGACACACTTAGCGCCACGCCGTGTAGCTTTTTCCTCAACATCAAGTTTGACACCGGTTGGTGAGGGCAATGCTACGGTATCCGGCACAGGCGCATCTCTTCGCACAACATTCCAAGCAGCTACAACCACCCTTTCCGTTCCGCTCCAACAACTCTCCGAAACTCCATCAACCGCTACCGCCACCACAACATCTGCCTCTGCAACACCTACAGAAACCAAGCTTGTCTATTACTACGAGCCTCCCAAATCCAAGCCCAACATCGGCGCAATTGTGGGTGGAGTAGTTGGAGCTGTTGTCTTCCTAGCAGTTGTGATCGTCTTTTATCCTCTTTTGAAAGCCGCCAATGATCGTAGAAAACGCCAGTCGAAACGCGAGTCTAGACGTCGTGAGCGATCTCGCACCTCAAGCGCGAATGATTTGAGTCCTGTGGATAGTAATCAAAATGGAGAGGAAAATGAAAATGACGAGGACGGTGATGAAAAGGAGGATGTTGATGCTATCACAACTGCTATTGCAATCGCAAATAGTAAGAGAGATATGCCTGCTTCAGAAGATGGGAACCGAAACAGTATTGCTGGGGCAAGAGATAGTGTCACAGTAAACATCACAGAGATAGATGAGGCCTCGAGTAGAGGGGGCAGAAAGAGTAGTGACGCGAAAAGTATGAATACTTTCGGTGAAAGTGAGAAGAATTAGCGGCACCGGTGCACCCTTCCGCTTAACTTGGGACAGATACCATAACTTTCGTGGCTTGTAATACAGCGCCTAATGAGTTTCTTTTCTTGAGTTCTTTACATATCACGATACCATGTATATATACAATATTTTAATAGGGATAGGAGGGGTTTAGGATTAGTCTAGCGGGAGTTTGATACCACGATTGTTTTTATAAACGAAATTCTTTATACATCAGCATGCAGAGTTCTCCATGTCCCACCAAGTGAATAACATCCCCAGCCGAGTCTCTCCGCTATATAACATAGCCCCTCCGTCTCGATTCCATCCTTCCCATCTTTTCCCCATTCCGTACCAATGATTGAGTGTACCGGAAACACCAATCCTTCTCTAAGCAAGTCCGCCCTGATATATAAAGCTGTCCCGCCCACCGAGTCCAATTTTACAAGATCGTTATCATCAGTCTCGCCAATAAGCTGAGATACAGCTTTGGCCCAACTACCCATTTCAGGGTACTCCGTTCCTCTTAGAATATTATTCAATATCCAACTCGGTGGGCGTTTCCCAAATCCTGACCAGGCGTTTCTGTCATAATCTGGGCGATCGAAGCTCTGACAGCGTAATGTGATTAACCCAATGGGAGGTGCGCTCCTCGGTGTGCTCCTCTCCTGTACACTATCAGAATTATTCTCTCCCGGCATTACCCTGCTTTCGGCCTCCCTAAGCCCTGCTTTCACCATGCCATCGATATTAGAGTCCGATGGGATCCTACCCAACTCTTGAAAACGCTTAAATAATCCAACCGGTAAACCATATACATCCGCATCAAGCCAAATCACATGCTCAACCTCCGGGGTCAACATATGCGAGCTCAAGAAATTTCGAAGACGGGCCAGGTATCTTCTCCTTTCAAGTTGAGCATTTAAATCAATTTCATGTCTTGATTCTCCTGCTATGTTCCCAAAGCTATCCTGCATCTGCCCACTCGGACCCGGTAGCTTTTCGAGGTATATTATTTCGGCTCTTGCCCATGGTGTCCTTTCTACTGGTGTCAATCTTGATAGAGTTGATACATAACTATTATAAGCTTGGAGGTCGCTAGTTAAAAGACCTAGATTGAGACTTTCAGCTGGTATCTGTTGGGCTCGTATTCTGGATATGAAATCTTCAAAGGTGAAAACAGCGTCAGATGTAACAGTTAGAGACCCCCATGATGTCGTATCGTTCGCGATTGTGAGTAACAGGGTAAGGTCTCTATGTTCTAGAGAACTGGCAGCAGGTGTTCGAAAAATCGTTCGACGAAAGGAAGGCGAGTGAACGATATGTTGGATCTTGAGGCCAGAGTTGTGATAATGATGATGCCGCCAGCTATTGGAATGATGTGGTGTGTGAAATATTGAAAAGAAGTATATCCAAACGAGTATGAAAAGGCCGATTAACACCGATAAAGCTATTAATGGGAACGGGCGGCGACTTTGGAAAGCTTTATTTGAGACCACTCTAGGATTTTGACGCGGGAATAAGGTAAAAGTGGGCCGTGAGGAATCGTCATGTTGGGCCATGGTGACTGTGATACTTTGTATCCTGAGTATATGCAATACAAAGGATACAGATAGAAATTTAAAAAGGGCTCGATAACAGGGTTTTTAAGTCCTTAAAGGGGGAGTATTTAGCTTTTCAATGACTCGATACTAGGAATCTTGCTTTTGTTACATTCCACAGAACAGGTTTCATTCCCATCCACTCTGTCTAGATTAAAATTTAACTCGCGCCCCTTTCCGTAGGTACAAACATGATATCATATCTAATACGTCAAATTTCGAATGACTAAGTGGGTATAAGACCGTACAAAAACCCTGGAAAGATTCCGTCTGGGAGCGCCTAGTATGCAACAGAGCGGGACCAGGGCTGCGTAAGCTTTTGCCAAGAAAAGCTTGTTTTCCTGAAGACCCTGGCAATTCTTTTCACTTGTCTGATCGAATAGGAGCTTGTTCGGCCGATCATGAGGTTACATTCGACTGCAGCGGGGATGTAAACTGGAAGAATCCAACTTTGCATTGGTTTCAGGTTCGATTCCAATTCAGGAGGGAAATGTGTTGGAATGTGTTAATTATAATCAGGAGACCAGATGTCAATTGATTGACTTGAAGAAACGGCCTGACAGAAAGCATCAATCTTGATCAAATATATATATCTATATGCCGCTATCAAGTTTCGTGAAATTTGCTACTCTAGGAGTGCTTAAGTGGTTGTGGATTATATATTTGAGAGAGATATTGTATATTTCGAACAAAGAAGCGAACTCCGGCCGGGTCTGTCGCCGAAGCTAGGGACTAATCTCAACTGTCCATTAACTATAGGCCCAAAGCGGGAAAAAAAAAACTGCTAAATGAACTTAGCCGTAAGCTCGCCCGGGCACTAGTTTGAATTGGTATACAAATTTGAGGTACTCTCGGTTTTTTCCGTCTAGCTATCTCAAAATTGTCCAAGTAGTCTATAGCTCTTTACCGCTAAGGCTGCACTGCGTTGACCTGTTGGAAACTGATGCATACCTCTTTAGTTTGATAATCGTATTCTCGTTCTAAATGATTTTTTTTTTTTTTGTTTGTTAGAATACGGGATTATAACATAACGGTGTTTGAATGCTCTAAAGCCTCGAGGGCATCTCGTTCCGAGGAGGCAAAGCGACCCAGCAAGCCGAAGCGAAGCACCAGATACCTGGATTTGCAAAGCCAAAAACGACACTTCCAACACAAATGAAGCATTCATTTCCATAACTTCTAATACACCCGCAAAGCTGCATGAGGTAACGGCAAAGGCTTCTCAAGGCTCCATATCTAACACTGGTAAACAGGCATTGGTGTTGCCGCTATCTGAGCTCAGCTTTTTCAGGGTATATATAGCTCTCTTCGCCCTGCTTTTCTCGAGGTCTATCCCAGTTATCAATCCCATGCTTGAGCGGCATGCATTGATGAAAAGATCGCAATTATCGTCCAAGAATATATATACAAAAGCTTGGGAGCTATCTAGAGAGTACTGAAGGGCTGCGATGGCGACATTAAGCTAATATGCAACAGCGGATAAGGCACTGCGCCTGGGTCCCTGAAAGCTATGCCCCGGTTGGGCGGGATAGTCTTCGCTTCAATCTACCTTCGCACCTCTTGAGATTTCTTAATGTAATAGCCCTCGAGGATCCATGTAAGAAAAAGGAAATCGGAAGCTACTTAGCGAGGGGGTATAAAAGCTGTCTCAGGCCGTAAGACGTCTCTTTCACAAGGATTTCCAGCTGTAGTCCCATATTTCCTCATATATCATCCATCATTCTTGTCCACGTAAGACCTTCTTGGGTGTATCATTTTATAAAGAACCGCCACCCATGAATCACTTTTTTAAACTTTTCAAACTATTTGCTTCAGGTTTGAAGAAAAAGTTCCTTAAATTCTTTGGGTTTAAAAAATGAAGTTCTTGAACTTAGCCGTCTTGACTGCGCTCGGCTTGGCCAGGTAAGCATCTTGGAACCTAAACATCCTTTATGACATATATTGTATTTCGAATTAATGACTGGCTTAACTATCTAGCGCCGCCGTCGCTGCGCCTGCGCCCGAGGTACCGACAATAACTATCAATCTTGCATTTCCTTCAAAGACAGCAGTTATGATAGAAAAACGTTCAACGAAATCCACTACCTGCACATCAAGCAAGAAGACAACCACTAGCTGCACTTCTACTAAAAAGACAACAACATCATGCACTAAAACATCAACATCCAAAACCACCACCTCTTGTACATCCTCAAAGGCGACCCCGGTTGTTCAAGTAGCGAAATTAGTGGCAACTACGGCAACGACGGAAGCACCTAAACCGGCGACCACAACCACTACCACAACCACAACCACAACAACGACAGTTTGTAAAAACACGATCACTGTGCCTTTCCCGACAATGGACGAAGGCACACTTACAGTTTACGCCTCCACATCCTACACTATCAAAACAGTAGAGTGTACGAAAGGATGTCAGATAGCTGTTGAAACTGCGCCAAGTTTGAATAAATTGGTAAGTTGCTTACTCCGCAAAGAATTTAAATCCAGATAGTATTGTAAGTTTTTAGCAAAGTTCACTAACAAGATTCTTAATCGGCAGCCTGATCCTACGAAGACTGTTACCGTTTCGTACACAATAAGGACATTGCATTCGTGCTCTCCGACAGCCAACGCCAAGAAATGGAGGGCGTGAAGAAAGGGATCTAGGAGTCTGGTATTCTTTGCATTGATATGAAACCAAAAATCTGCTGGCAATCTGGGGAAAGGTTGATTTCTTGTAATATATATATTTCTCAGGTCATAAGCGGCGTTTTACGGCATGATTTCGCTTCCTCATTCTCTAAATGGAGTTATCTTTATAAATTTAAAGCTTTGTTATAAGTAAATCATTCTTCCCCGTGGTAATCCCACAACTCCCTCGCGTTATCCCTCCAGATCCTTTTCACTACCCCTTCATCTCCCTTACAATAAACCTCCACAGCCTTCTTGAGCATTGCCGCATCATCCACCGTCCTAAAATCTTGAATCTTGTTCCTATCACCACCAGGATTCATCCCAACGCCCCCGGTATGAGGCCAGTCGCTTGCCCAGACAATCCTATCAGGTGCCAGAGCCACGATTTCTGTTGCATATTCATCTAGTAGCGGTAGCGTAGGAAATCGATCCATACCACTCAGTTTAGTGTATACCTCTCCACGCGACAAGAGACGCATAAAATCCTTATACCCATTCTGCGCTTTCGCCGGTTGCTTCATAGACGGGACGGCAAGGTGATCGATTATAGTTGTCACCCCAAGTTTTGGAATAATATCAGAGATCAGAGCAACCTGCGGAAGAGAAAGGTGTATTTGTAGTGCCCAGGTTTTCAACGGTTTCAAACGATCAGCGTATCGATATAGGATCTTTTCAAATTCTGACTTTGAAAGTTCGACAAGCGAAGATTTTAGATTGAGACGAACTCCGCGTACGCCTAGTTCGTGCATTTGGGATAGTTCGGAGTCGGGAATTGTGTGGGGGTCGATGCCGACCACACCTCGCGCGACGGCGCCCTGGGTTTTAAGATCCGAGAGGGCGTCGAGGAGACAACGATTATCATTGGCGTAGACCGAGAGAGATACTATAACTGGGTGAGTTATGTTTGGGTGAAGGTTGGCGCTGAAAGACTGGAGAGAAGCTAAAGAGGCGGGTTTTGGGCGGTAAGGGTGGGAGGGGTGGAGAGGATATCGTGCCTAGTATTCAATATTGATATTCTTAGCTTAAAGGTTTGATAAATTTAAAAAAACAAAAAAAAAAAAAAACAAATTGCTCTCCATACTTTGATAGAGATATTTTGGGGGTTTACAGAAAGAATAGAACATCAAGCCCAATGAATTCTAGTAACGCCCACTAACTATATACATAGATATGAATTCAAGATACGGATGTTTGATTGAAGGGGATTCTAAATAAGTACCTCATCTCCAATGACATGAACATGACTATCCCACGAGCCAGAAGGTATAGGTAGATCATGAGTTCGAGTACCTGTCAGAGTTGTGTAGCCAGATTTCCATGCAAAAGAGCTAGTTCGTGTTAAAGTCCGTCGTCCAAGCCGAAGCGCCTGGATGGTTGCCATTATGCAGGTTGATATGTGAGACTGGTGAATAGCCAAAAGCGAATCCAGCTACAAAGAAATCTCAATCTCTAAAAGATAATATTTTTCAAATCTCTTGACTTTTGAAGAAGCCAGAAATCCTACTAAAGACAGCTACAAGGGTCCTCTAAACGGTTTCGGTATCTTCCCGACTAAAACCGAAGTAAGTGTTGTGTGTGTGGTATTTTAATGCCCCTGCTGAAAACAACCCGAAATGCTGTGAAATCGACTGGGAAAGCAGCCAATTAAGTACTTTTGTTTCTCGAAGAATGTGGAGTCAAATGAACTGGAGTGGGTACGTCATTCGGGTTTATCATGAATCGGGCCGGTATTAGCCACTTTATATGCCCGAAGACAGAAATCTGCGGCGCACTTCGGTCCCAATACTATGCCCAGTCTTTATGCAATGCATTGTGGGGCGGCGGACTCGGACTATTTCGCCAATCTTCAACGCCGTGTTCCTGTTTCGGCCTCAATTAATTTAGTCCAGCTCATTCGCCAACGCCTGGTGACTTTATAGCCACTTGCACTTGACTGGCTGGTTTGGGTTTTTGGACCCAAGATTCAAGTCCCAACATTTGAAATCTAAGATCAGACTATAGCTATAGATATATTCGATTGATCAATTTTACAGTGGCAACGGTTAGGTGTACGCCCACTCGCTATTATCCAAAATGTCGACGCCTCCTCGAATCCTCACGATCGCGGGTAGCGACTCTTCTGGCGGCGCTGGTATCGAAGCTGATATCAAAGTCATAACAGCGCACAAATGTTATGGCATGACCGCAATGACTGGGTTGACAGCTCAGAATACAACAGGGGTCGTCGACATTCACCCAATTCCCGCTGACTTTTTGCGAAAAGTTTTGTCCGCAGTACTCGAAGATGTTGGAGTAGATGTTGTGAAAACTGGTATGTTAACATTGCCTCCTGAGTTTTATATACATTTGAACGGAACTTAGCTAATTCAATTTATTGACTAGGGATGCTTACAAGTGCACAATCAATTTCAGTAATCGTCGAATCTATCAAAAAGTACCATCTTAAAACAATCGTGCTTGACCCGGTACGTAATACAGACTCTGCAAATACATCTAAGGTCTCAAAAAGGGCCCGAGAAGTTACCTAATACTCTGCTATCAGGTCATGATATCAACTTCGGGGAGCATTCTCCTTCCTACAGATGCCATCTCCAATCTCTGCAGCAATCTTATACCCTTAGCAAGTCTCGTTACTCCAAATATTCCAGAAGCCCAGCACCTTCTCTCATACTACACAAATCCCAGCATGTTACCAAGGACCGCTTTTCCAATTGACAACATAAACTCGATGGCAGATGTCGTAGACCTTGCCAAAAGGTTGCAGGAAAAATGTTCCACTGCCGTTCTTGTGAAAGGTGGACATCTCCCTTTTCTAGAGGATGGGAGTGTCGCCCGCAGGCAGAAAAGCAAGGCATTTGTTATGGATGTGCTTGTTCTCTCTAACGGTACAGTGAAAATATTTAACTCGCCATTTATAGAGAGTAATAATACACATGGAACTGGGTGCAGTCTTGCTTGTAAGTTTATCTACATATCTGTAATCCCTTGTTTAAAACAAAAACAAGAGCTAACACCGCATAGCTGCTATCGCTTGCAATATCGCGTTATCGCAACCTCTTCCTACCGCAGTATCTAATGCTCGAAATTACATATCCGGTGCCATAGCCGCATCATACCCCCTCGGCAAAGGGAGCGGGCCAATTAACCACGTTCATAACGTATACAAACTGCCATACTCCAAGGGCCACTTCATCGAGTACCTAATAAATCACCCTTCTGTCACAAACATCTGGAACGATTACGTTAACCACGACTTTGTAAAGAGTATTGCGAACGGGACTATCAGCACCGAAAAGTTCGTGTGGTACCTCAAGCAAGACTACCTCTTTCTCGTACAATTTGCGAGGGCCAAGGCCTTGTTAACATACAAAGCAACGACTTTGGCACAAATAAACGATTGCGCAAATTACTTAACCGGTGTGATCCGCGAGTCGGCTTTACATGTTAAATACTGTGCCGAATTGATTCCGGGTCTGACGGAACGAGACTTGCAGTCAACACCGGAGGCACCGACGACTACTGCATATACGAGATACATACTTGATGTTGGTGGTAACGGCGATGTGGCTGCCTTGATGGTTTCATTAATAAGCTGCTCGGTTGGATATCAAGTCGCTGCAAGAAATAGAGAAAATGAAGAATTGAGTGTCAAAACAGCACAAGGAAATACATTCTGGAGGTGGGTTGAAGAGTACGCTAGTGAGGAGTATGCAAGAGAAGTTCAGACCCAACGAGGTAAGTTATGTTATCCCCTGTGAGGCTGTGTGGAGGGGAATGAAACTCAAGAAATTATCTCTATAGATATTTTGGAAGAAATGGCAGGAGGGTTTGGTATGACACAAGTTGAGGAGCTTGTGGAAATCTTTAGAAAAGTCACAGAGGTGAGAAAGCATCCAAAGATTTTTCATCTCCAGTTGGTACCCATAGGGGTATATACTAATTCCATAAACATTAGATGGAGCGTAACTTCTTCTCGGCGGCAGTCGAAGCGAAATTCCCATAATAACAAGATCGCTATCATCTACAAACTCCACATGCTCCGTTCATGACTTGACCCCAACCCTTTGATTCGAGGTTAAACCAGGGACTAACTGATTGAGTATATTGCGATCTCTTTACTTTGCTAAGCAGCAGCTTCGCTTGCACAAGTTGATAGAACTATAAACCAAGGAATAAAACTCAAACTTCCCGTCTAAGGAACCTATGCTCCAAATATATAATTGATATATACTGAAGAAAGTTAGTATAAACACGATTACTGTATTGATTGAGAACAACGAATATACTTTTGAGACCGTCTCGTACCCGGATCTGGAATTTTTGAGATGAAATCCTTAAAGACGTTGTTGTTCGGGATTAGAAGAGGATGCTGAGGACTGAGAAGCCGGGCCCAGCCGGCCACTACTAGTGTCTGATTCATCCGGCGTGATTATCTGCATGTTGTCTAAAACTGGTGAGTTATCGCCGAAATTAACCGTTTTGTCGAATAAGTAGCGGTCAACAAGGCCCTAGATAGAATGCGTTAAAACTCGAGAGCTGAGTTTATTTTGTGATAATTGTGGAAGCCTACCCAATCAATATTTCCGCTGCCACTCATCAAGGTATCAAAATCTAGTGGTTCAAAGGTATCGACCATGGGGTAAACATCGTTTCCAAAACCCAGTCCGAATGTTTCTTCTCTTGCCGTAAGTTGTCGCGGTACAAACTCTCCAACCTGCTCCGAGCGATCTTGTTCTGTTCCCCCGGACATCCCCACCATATTATTGCTAATGGTGCTAATATGTGCCGATGTGTCCATTGGCATGCTCCCGAATGCTGTACTACTATCTGAACCCAACCCCAAGGTGCTAACGCTGAAAATGGGGTTGCGTTCTTGAGATGGTGAGTTAGAATCGATAATTGTACCAGTAAATGGGCTGGTAGGAGGTAGGTTGGATGTTGGAGGAAGAGGCGTCGCTGTCCTCGCAGTATCTGGTTGTTCAGCGGTAGGACCTGTTGCTCTTGCGAGCATAGCCGCTAGAACGTTAGAAGCATGAAGGGCATCGCGAGACATATGCTTCTTTTCCGACCAAATTCGGTAGGACTTTTGTAGAGCTATAAGACACCGTGAGTTTTTTGAAGCACTTAAACCCCTTCGTTAGCAAATATTCATTATTTTGTGGTCCTAATGACTTACTCGGTATCTTTCTTCTCGCTCAAGTCAAGACACATTATCATACTAGCAAGCAAGAAGTCATGAATTGTTAAGCTAGATACCATCCATCGCTCTTCCCATAGCCTCCCGCCCGGCTGACTTTCATCATAGGCGTCGCTTTGAAGACCGAGAATTCTCAAAGCTGACTCCCTAGCACGGTTCCGTGAATATTCATATTTTGGATTGTCCTTCTCGAAAGTTAGATACATGCGGTGCAGCACGCAGAGGCACTTGTGGTAAGTCAATTCTAAGACCATGCGATGAAGGATCATATAAGAAGCATCGGCGAAACTGCTCTCCCTTATAGATTCGTTCAGTCTCAGAACTGCAGGGATACCATTATGAACTTCGTCAAGTTCCTTATCGAGCTTTAGGATCTGATCGTAATCGGGTTGCCGAAGCGCCAGCGCTTGTCCGATAACTCGACGAAAGACAGAGGTCATTTTTATCTTGTGGCAGTAGTAAAGCATGTTCGTAAACTCTGTTGCAGGGCGAGGCGGCGGCATGACGACTGTATCTTCGTCAAAATCCTCATCACCATAGTTCCCAGGCGATTCTGTATCGCACTGCTCATCGTGGATGATCCCTGGCATGCCATACTGAAAAGAAAAGATAAGATCGAAAGTGGATACCCAAAACCAAGTCCGCCGACGCATCTCAGCTTCGAAGGGGGTGAATTTGCCGAGGTGTTTAGGGTCACGGTGGTAACCTAACCGTTGCGCGAGGCGAGTCACATATCCTGCGAGCGCCCAAAGGGTAGAGTCTGAGTCTACGTTGAGCTGGTATTTGCAATAAGAGTAAATGACTAAAGCCTCTATCACATACGGCTGGCACTTTGTATGATGACCAGCGACAAGGCATTGTCGAGCCTTGCTACAGAGTGTCGCTGCCTCAATATCATATGACTCCAAGGCAATGAGCTTGTTGCCACGAGCCGCAATTATGGAGCCCATACATAATATGGAGAATAGGATCGAAATCCATACTAGAGTAGCTGAGCTTGGATTCTTCCAAAATGCTTCATACTCTCGTCGGAACTTTGTGGTATGGATGAAAAGAGCGTTTGAGAACTTGACGGAATAGTATATTTGAAGCAGGCGGTCCGCTATGTGACGGGGTGGGAGACTTCGTATTGCATCTTCAATTGTAAGATTCCCAGAACCATTGCCTAAAATCAAGTCTGCATCATCAGTCACCGGAGAATCGTCAGAGACCGACTGATTAGAAGAGTTGCGATCCATTCCGTCTTCAAGACACTCCTTGACACAGTTGATTTGTTCAAGAAGAGCAGCCCAGTGGGTTGCACCGACGTATCCTCCACTAGCTTGGTTATAGCACATGAAAACCGGGGCCTGCTGGTGCCTTTTATTAACGGATGTTGGTTCATTTTGTGGGCCTTCATCCTCATTACTATCAGGTTGTGTTCTTGGCTGCACAGCTTCTCGGCTTGTCCTCTTCGCAGAATTATTTCTATTGTCACCAGGTTTAGAAACAACCGCTCCGGACTGTATCAATTGCTGCACTATCTCTTCGAGTTTTTGTAATTTGGCCTGAGCTTCGGATCTTTTTGTGTCTGCAGCTGCAGGGCCACTAGATGGCTTAGTAATACCAGCAGACCCTACTCCATTACTTCCTGTGGTAGCTATGAAAGTGCACGCCGACCCTTCCCCACGTTTACTACACGCAGTACACGGGTTCTGACGGTCACATTTTAGCTTCCGGCTGCGACATGCAAGGCAGGAAAGTGCTTGGCGATTTCGCTTGTTCGCTTTACGCCTGTCGTTGAGGTTGATGCGAGCGCGGAAGACACTTGTGAATTCGGATATATCCGTCATTGTGCCGAGTTAAAAGGGCTTCCGCTTGTCGGCGACTGACCAGTATCGTCCTGGCGGTTTTGGGCAAAAAGATGGAGCCGAAATATTACTGAAGATGGAATAAAAAGAGGTATCCGCCTATCAGACCTGGACAATAATTTCTCGTTTGATAAGCAGAAACTAATATTCAAATTTGGTGACATTATAGGATCCAACTGTCATTTCGAGGCTTCGTCGGAGAACATGGACGGGCCTCGGACTTTGTGAATTACTAAATCCGGTGAAATTGGTACCCAAAAGCTTCGGAGCTAACCCGAAAGGGGTATCCAGAATGCCACACAACACGAGTTCCAACAACTCACCAATTCTTTAGCTGTAGCTTTCTTGGTTGCTTGATACTGCATACGTTACTGCAGGACCTTGGTCACCTCGGTAATCATAAACTTGGGTAGCCTAGATATCTTAACTTTGGTCCTGAGCGATTTAATTTTCTTATCTTTTCTTGAATGATCAGTCACATATCACAAATCTATAGAATTTTTCTTCCACAGCTAGATTGTCGATGTTCCATTAGGATACTTTCCGCAGTATCTCGTCTATCAATCGTAAGATCAGCTAGGCTAGAATTAAAAACTTCTGTATAAAGAACCAGCACAAAAGCTAGTGCGATATTGCAATTTCGAAATTTCAGTCATAGATAGCTCAGCCTCGATCATTATATCTAGCCATATACGCATACTCGAGCCTGGTAGAAAGAATTATCCGTGTGCCGTCTAATTTTGTGAAGCCAGATACATTTTGGAGTTAATTCGAGAGTTCGAAGAAGAAATCAGTGATCTAAGCTAGTACAGAGGGACGGGTATAGATGACGTAGCCCAAATCACATTATTGCAGCACCAATGGTAGGTATGATATATTCATCGATACATATCCTAAGATATCTCTGCTGATTATATTATCAATATGAGCCTCAAGACGTCGATCTCCAAGAACCACTTCTAACAGATTCAGCGTCCGTCTTGGGATAAATTTACCGGGAAAGCCGTCGATACTTCCTTTATAATTTACCAATGATTTCTAAATTTAAAGGGTTTCACAAAATATAGGACCACAGACAAAATTAATTGAACAGGGTAATATATATATGTCGTTTCTGTAATCACCTAAGCAATAATAGAGCCGGTGGAGTATATTGTGCAAGAACGCACTGTAGCGGCCACCGGAAAGTTGAAAAACGCTTAAATTTAAATCTTGTCGCACTTTACTCGCTAATTGAACGTATCGCACTTGATAGCAATTAGTTAACCCTTCAATTGCAACGTGGGAACTAGTACTACAATGTCTATCGACTCAATACACATATTTTCCTACAGCCAGCACAAACCCTAGACTAAAAGCCCCTCAAAAAAAAAAAAAAAAAAAAAAAAAAACAACAGCAAGTCTATTCAGCAATTAGTAATTTTCCTTGCTGACTTTGATAAACCTAATTATAAAGCCCCCGTGTTAGCTTTGACTCTCAAGTGGAACAGGCAAGGAGTGCAGGTGTTGTTTTAGAACATCGTGACTTCCTCACTGGTTGGACCTCGGGTCAATGGCACCAAACTAGAAAGTGTTGAGAAGCAGCCACAATACAATTGAACGGATAGCCACCAGATAAAGCAACTATCTCGATTCGTGTCCTGCTCATATATCTTTGGCCATGGGCAACCATCAAAGTCGTAAATTTTTTCTTATGAGACCAAGTTTTCCCCACAAATAACTCGATACAGATGTCCGCAGCATTGAGTAGTACCTGTTAGCGGTCCCCGACCTCCGTGCAACTTTAGTCTGATTCGCAACAGCCTAAAATCGCAAAGTCGGCCACTTAACCCTGTTGAATAAGCACTACTGTACCGCAAGCATGTCCCTGTCAGATGCCTTTGACTCTCCGAATGGGACTTTACTCTCGACATTGCCCTTGAAATTTTCGCGTGTCGCATGAACAAATTGTTTCTTAGGGTAGCTGAGTTTTTTCGGAGCCAGGAGGCTGAAACCAGACCTAGGAATTCCGCCTCCTCTGGACTGGTGGTGAGCACTGCAAAGCTGCGCTCGTTGAAGACTTTAACAGCTCGTGCCTACTCACGCGATTGATGATGAGGTATTATGGTACTTTCGAAGCTTTTGAATTTCTGACTGCAGCAATAATACAGCAAACACAAGATATCGGGGTTAGAACTGGTCTCGTTCCTAGAGAACCCGGAAATGGCCGCCAAATGTGTCCCAAGTTTGACAGCTCGATTCCAACAAGAATCGAAATCCTATATCAATATTGCGGAATGCGGTTTGCTCATACGCTCAACATGCACAATACATCATGCCATTCACGAAGCCATCTTAGTATGTTTTGCCGGCTCCCGAGGTACTTAGTTATATAATGGTTGCATGAATTTTTTGCATCCAAGACGTTTAAAACCATCGTGCTGCCGAATTGGGGTTCGGCCCAACATCCGAGCAGAACCAAGCCGAAGTATGATTGGCCGTTGCCTATTATTCCACATATATCGCACCGAAGATACGAGTTCCCCACGCATCCTCGCACGGAATAGGACCATGAACACACACAGCCTCCAATTGTGCCTCTTAACAGACGATGTTATTGCTGAGGGAAAGCAAGGCGGAGTAAATTCAACTACCGGTAAACATCTTCGCTCTAACTATTCGAAGTTCTCGTGCTAGATTGCCGAAGAAGAAGAAATTCTGTCGAAATTCAAAGATTCCGTTTGGAGCAATTATTAGGCCACTAGCAAACTCCAACATCCAACATCTGGCGCCGAAATTCCCATATTTGGAAATTCGATGCTCCGCTCATTCCAACCCGCAGGGCCAAGCATGTTGGACACCATGGAGCAATTCATTGTGGTGTCCTGATTGGAAGAATATATAGCCATATTATCCTTATCAAACTTACTAAACGATTGTATAACACTGTCGCAGGCATGTCGCACAGAGCTGATTTCTTCAAAGGGGCCCGGGTGGTGGTCTGGCAAACTTGAACTCGAATCCTTCCTTCGACATCGAACTATCCGCCCCCCTCGTCTACTTTTCTTCCGCTATCAGTTGCGCGTCTTCCTTCCTAGTTCTTCGTCTTTCAGTTCTAAAGGGAAATACATACCTTCATATCGGCTTATATAGTCCATTGTTATTGTGAAACTTGGCCTTTTTACCCTGGAAGTTTCAGTCTTCAAACCCACCCGCCACAATCGCCCTTCATCATAGCTGCCAACCCCGTCAGCCTCGCCTACGTCCGCGCCCAGCGCCTGGTTTATAAGGTGAACGTTGGCATCGGGGGCCTGGATGTTATCAATTTTATCCATTGTATTTCTCATAGCAATATTTTTGGCTGCAAGGATGGCGTACATTAGCTCCTCACCTCAACGGAGACTTCTTTTCATACTCTCGGCTTTGTTACTCATTGCCCTTGGATCATCATTTCTTAATCCCCTCGCCCCTCAAGCAACCATAGGTGGAGTGGCCGTCTCGCCGCTTGAATCAGCTTCGAGTTCACCCGACTCGAGTCGTTTTCGAGAGGTCCCAGACCGTAAAACTGAACTCAAAATCGACGAGCGTACTAGTTCCGACGTCCAGAAGCACTCTTTTATCACCAAATACTATGATGAACAGCGTTTACCATCAACACTGGTCCTAGTTGCCACGAAAGATGATAGATCCTGGGGCCACAATGAAGGCGAGCCCGATCGCACTTTTACAGACTTCCTAGATCTAGTCAGTCGACAACAGGTTCCGCCACAAGATATCTCGATTGGTCTTCTTACTTCCAACCGGGAATCTCTAGATCGCTATACCACGACCCTTCTCAGCAAGGATATTCCGATTGCTTCCGTCGAGATCATATATGCCCCCAGCACAGATTTCCAAATCGGCCCAGATGCTACCGACAGATCATTCCAATCGAGAAACATGCTTATGAAAGAGTTAGTCAAGAAAGAAGACCATGTCGTATGGATTGATCCCGATATTTTCGAGCTTCCGGAAGGACTATTCGATCGTTTTTATAAAGTTGCCAAGAGCGGGGTGGAGCAGATTCAAGTTGCGAACGCACCTAAGGGTAAAGGATCGAAGTTATTGCCGTTGGGAATTACGACAGTGATGTGCCGCCAAACAAATTATAGAGATATGGTGAGGAATGCATATAGCGGTCCAAGCGAGGCAGAAATGAAGAAGTGGCAAGAAGGTAAGCACTACCAGGCCCTATTGGCTTATCAATCACGAACCTCTTGCGTATATATCCGCTAACCGCACCCTTTATGCAGATGCAAGCCGAAAGCCGTTGAATTCATGGCCCAAGCCGATGTCACATATCTTGGCGGGTACCTCAGACGATACATTAGTACGATTAGACGGAGTCGGTGAAACCGTTCTCTACATTCGCGGGGACCTGATAAGGAAGGGATTGAAATGGCCACAGGGAGATAGATCGAATTCTGAAGGATTGTGCGCTTCGGCCAAGGATATGGGGTGGGGCTGCTACGGGCTAGGTGGTGGCTGGGAAACAAGACACACAGATATCTGAGATATCGTGGCCGCCTGGCGGATCTAGGCATGCAGTTATGATGGAGTCCGGGTGTTATTTTGCTTGGATATATTATACCTTATCATTTTTTTACGTCTATGTATATACGATGTAATACATTAACTAGCTTAATCGATCAAGACGACCTTTGATATATAAGTTTATACTGTCTCAATGTTTTTTGCTATACTTTCCCCAGTCCCGAATATTCATGATGAGATTCATCCCATGAGTAATCGATATCGACCTTTCACATACCAGGTTTCTAACAGAGTCATGGGACGGCCTATGCGTATGTACTCAATATCACACTTCGATGGGATTCCTCAATCAGCCGCAGGTGAACGGCCCGCTAAAGCAACACAGGGTGGAGAACTTCAAGTTGGCTAAACCTGTTCGAGCTACCTGTCCTTTGAACTGTCAGCGAGTCTGTGCAGTCTGTGCGCAGGTTTCACTCGAATCGAATCGAATCGAATTCGAACCGTTATCAGCGATCTGGATACTAAGAATCCGCAACTTACTGCTATAAAAGTGGATACTAATTCGAATGCATTCTACGATTTGCAGAGAAACTCGTTTAGAAATAATGAAGAAATCTACCTGGATTGAAATAGGTATTTGATACGAGATCGGATATCGATACCATGTGAGATTGAATTAACTGAAACCTTGATTTCCAAGAGATCCAAGATATCTCTTCATATGCATCTACGAGTTCCGTTCATAAACGGAGGATGCCTAGTTCTTATAGCTCCTTTATGAGAGAACTGTATAAATTTTTGTCGGAAACTTGCAACTTAGAGCTTTTAAAACCCGCCCCTTCTAAGCGCAATTAAGCCCGTACCTATTCGATTTTACAGTAATAATACAATTCATTTTACCATATACCAATATATTGTACTTTCACCATGAGTTTGGAGTTTAGTAATGCAGAGGAGGCAAAGGACTATGCTGAATATACTCTCGGTGTAGATGACGATGCAGTCAAGCGGTATGCTCTAGATCTATCTTCCTTTCTCGAGATCTCACAATTGTACAACCCAAATTCTCATAGAAAATTAGTTTGGTACTACAGAGTGCTATCACTCGAGAAATGATGAAAGTCCTCCTACCTGAAAAAGTCATTACGCATCTTCGTAATATTTCGGGAAGGGGTGAGCAACCTCGAATTGCAGATATCGGGACCGGACCTGGGTAAGATCCCTTAACTACCTACTTCGGCTACAACATTTGATTGTAGATATTATAGTGACTAAATATACCAACCAGAAACTGGCTATTCGATGTCCGGGCCCAGCTTCGGGAAGAGGGTATCAATGCAACCCTCGACGGATACGACTTATATCCCACCATGTTCCCACCAGAAGAAACCTCGAAGGCCGAAAATGTCAACTTCAACGAACTGAATATCCACACAAAAGAACAATTTATCCCACTTGAGAAGTACGACGTAATCCATATCCGTTACTTATCAGCTGCTATCGGACCGGAACAGTGGGATGGAGCCTTTGATAACTGTATGTCCATATTGAGTATGTCTACTTGAACCTGGGTTTGGACTATGAGAATAAGGCTTTGATCTAGGTGCTAATATCTTCTGACTCTAGAACCGGGTGGAATATTTATGTGGGAGGAACTTCTCCTCGAGAAAATGTCAATAAACGATCCTACGAAATGGACAAACGTCCTAGCAGTATTCAAGTTAAACTGGTCAATCCTAAGACGAAACGACGTCGACCCAAAACTTAGCTCACTGTTCTCCACGAAGCTCGAGGAAATGACGAAAGAAGAATTCACGACTCAGTCCCTACCCGAGAAGGGCCAGAGAATGCAAGCTGCAAATATGTCTATGGCAACCAAAGAACTAGTGGATAGGGCAGTGGAGCACGGTGAAGCTGTAGTTAAGCACTTAGGTTTAGAGTCTGCAGAGCAACTACAGGGGATGTTGAAGCTTGCACAGAAGGATTTCAAGGAAGGTTGTGTTCTGCACATGCCTGTAAATCGATGGACTGCCGTCAAGCCGCTAGTGATAGCCACTGGCAGAACCACTGGAGATGGGTCTAGGGATCTGGAAAGTGTCCAAGCAGGTTGGACAGAGGTCTTCAAGAAGTGGCTATGCTAAGAAGCTAGAAACACGATATTTCCCCAATTTTGAACATAATAAATACTTGGCTTGGGCCTGGACGTGGAAACGCAATGTACGATGTGGAGTATTTGGCCTTCGAGCCGAATTTTGTTAGTATTTCAGCAGGCTGTAGGTCATATTTGCCAAATTAAGCCCACCTTTTATCACTTTAACGCTCAAACGACAGCGGAAGCACTAAAAGGCCACTTTTCATCCTTCTACGGAAATGCCATTCAAAATTTCAATTGTCCGCCCGAAATCGAGGCTATCAGAATGCTAAATCATGAAAACGAGGCTTACAGGTTAAGAGTTCGAAACGAAAGTGCTGGGCATCAGAGCTAGCGCAATCCTTGTAAATTCTAATGAGTGGCTCTTGGGTCGTCTCGAGATAGGCGAGTGCGAGCCGAATGGCACCGGGAACGTAACGTCTCCAAGGATTGGGTATTGGATCTAGTTGCGAAACCAAAGTCGGCTTGGATGAAGATTGAGAAATGAAGAAAAGGTGATTGTGGTGTGGACTCCTCCTTTGAGAGTTGAATATAGAGTAGTCGCATAATAAAGAATATATGGCAGCCGACTTGGCGTATAACATCTTAACCCTCGAATCGTATCAATTTCACTTCATGGCATAAAGTTTTCGAATTCAAGACGGTATGACTTGCCAGCTAGAAGATTGTCACCATATTCCGTAAACGTTTGTAAATTTGTGGTTCTGTTCTTCACTTAGCTAGTACTATAGTGGCACGGATTATCTGACGTCTGAGCCCACGGCAGCTATCTCATATTTCGACTGGAGGAGGCTATCGATAAGCAGAGTCGTAGGTTTGTTCCAATATCGTAATTCCAGGGAATATCTAAATGCTAGGGTGAAACGGGATCTCGAATGGCGAATATATAGTTGGTTGTGGATATTTCGTCGTAGAGGCCAGTAGCTATAGCTAGGTTGGTTCATTCTTGTTTGCAACCACAACCTCTACGGTAGCGGCCGGCGTAGCGCTCACACATGGCGACAATGCAAAGGATATTAGCCAGCAAACGGTTTCATTCAGCTATGGTAGATGCCGACCGAAAAATGATGATCATTAGATACTAGGCAGGGGTGCGAGATGATTACACAGGCCTGAATTCATTTTCAAGCTATTGTTCGTAGGCTTTCTTAGCCCAAGGGAGATACTTAAATTTCGGAACGAATGGTCCTTAGCCTTGTTTATAACGTTTATGAGGCCTGTGCCCCAAGCCTAACCGTCAAAAAGGGTTCGACGGTACAGCAACACATATTATCCAACACTGCACCGCACTGGATCTAGATATCCATGCATATGCTCCAGTCCATGTAGTCAATCCTTTCTTCGAGGATCAACCTGGCCATTTCTTCGCTCAAGCCGAGAGCCATCGGATTGAAGTCTTGGGGGTTATTAGCCAAAGCCACACTAGTGGCTTCGACCTTCCCCCCACTTCGGCCGCCTCTACTGCCTTTCTTCTTCTTGATAGGGCTCCCAATATGATTGGGATTCCCAAGCATTTTAGAACGGCAGGTTCCAGGGAACTTGGCCTCCTTCCTCCGCTCAGGCGGAGTATCTGGCCAGATGGCTGCTATAATTCTTCCGTAGCGGCCGTAGCCCGGCTTCTAAAACCATTTACACAGGTTAGTTAGTCATTTACACGCGTATGGGATTGGGCAAAATGGATGCTATATCCTACAAAAAGCTCAAGTAGTGAATGGACCCGGCCAGCTTTGTGAAGGTGTCGTTTGAATCTTTTTAGGGTCGCGGATTTGTCCATCTTCCTGCGACGAGCGCAGAATGCAGGAAGATCTACCAAGATATGCATCGTCCGCGAGACAAGCATCGTGGCGGTTGCTGCTTTGGCTTTAAACTTTATAGTGTTGTGAGTTGAAATCCTAATAGTGGGTTGGTTAGCTATATCTCGCAGCTAACACAGCCTGTGGAGAAGAGGATTGCCCCACCCGTTCAATGGGGCCTAGGCTGGTGCTAATGTACCTGATTAGATGTATCCGGCGATATATATATATATATATATATATATTGATAGCAGTTGTTATTGTTAGGAAGTGTGGGGAAGCAATCAGAGGAAGATGATTATGAAGTGAAAGGTGAATTGAAGGTGGATGGGAGGTGGATGGGAGCTTGAAGAGAAAGGCTTGGAAACTCCGTACACGAAATTTGTCAGTTATGAGCCTGGCATCGGCCATATGAGTCCAGGACTCAGTTTCGTAGCCGAGCCAGCCCGGACTCGAGGTCGACTGCCCTGCCGAGGAGTTGAATATGCACTACGTCACCATGTCACCGCCGTATAACACCATCTCAGTTGTCTATCATATTGACGAAGCTACCAGAAATATAACAGTTTTCAATTTCCCCAATGGGATACGACGATAAATGACCATAAGTTGACATCGGGTTCGATAGCTTAGAACTTGAAATATAATCTAGGTTTTGACGTAGGACCGATGTACTTATATATCAAATATGCTAGCTGGCGATACCTCTAACTGTAGACTCTCTAGCTAGTTCTTTTTAGAAAAACTCATTCCATGCAAGTTTTATAAAGTTTATGATACTTTAGTCCTATAACCGTGGCTGCGGCACTGAAAGCAGTATACTTGTAAAGTAGCATACACAACGAACGCGAACCTAAATTAACCTGCACACTGCAAGGCGCCAGATTCGGACCAATAGGCGCTTAGAAGGGCTGCCCCACAACATCCTTAACGAATTACTCATACCAGTGACACTAAGCTTAGAAGTATTCGTACATATCTATATACCCTATATACTCTCAAGCTGGACTCAAGGAACCTTAACAGCTACGGATTCATAGATTAAAAACTCATTCCAGTTAATATCTCAAATAATGGAAAACTCGTCAGAGACCAGCTTCCCCGAGGGTAATTTCTCGTCAGAGAACCCACAAGTTGGTGGCTTAAGCCAATCATCCACAGCCTCAAACAGTTACCCTGAACCTTTCGTCGTTGAACCAATAGCCAGTTCTCACACTCACACTATTATACTCCTCCACGGCCGTGGCAGTAACGGCCCCAAATTCGGTACCGAACTCATAGCCTCAAATACCTCAACCGGAAAAACTCTCCCAGTATTATTCCCATCCACAAAATGGATCTTCCCAACAGCGAAGAAACGACGCGCCGTTTTATTTAAACGGATGCCTATAAACCAGTGGTTCGACATCTATGACATCAACAATCAAACTTATCGGGAACATCTACAAGTTGACGGCTTGCAGGAAACAACGGACTATCTGCATGGCTTGATTGAGCAGGAGATTAGAAATGGGATTCCAGTGGAGAGGATTGTGGTGGGCGGATTAAGCCAAGGATGTGCGGCGTCTTTGTATGCCATGCTTTGTTATAATAAGCGGCTTGGGGGTTATATCGGGATGTGCGGGTGGCTACCATTTGCTAAATACATGGAAGACTGTCTGGGGACATCACAAAACAACGATGATACCGAGGATGGTGATATGTTTGGAGAATCCGATGATGAAGAAGGCACTACTTTTGAAAAGGAGGAACAAGATGATACCCAAGAGACGGTAGCCAAAAATCCTATCACTGAAGCTATTGGATTCTTGAAGGATAACATTTCGTTCCCAAGTTCATCAAAGAAGAACAAGATAGAAGTTCTCGAAACTCTAATGTTCCTTGGTCATGGGGTACTAGATGAAAAGGTTCTATTTCGACTTGGTGAACAAGCCAGAGATGTACTAATGGGACTAGGGTGCAAAATTACATGGAAGGCATATGACGATCTGGGACACTGGTATAAAGTCCCAGACGAAATAGACCATATAAGGGATTTCCTTACGGACTCTCTAGAGCTTGAGGCGAACAGTTAGCTAATAGTGTAGCCTAGAACTCGGATGGTCTGGCCCGTGACTACAAATTATCTGCCGTAGGATAGGATGAGACCTAGATACCATCAACCAGAGGGCAATAGTTCAGGAAATACCCTGGGCCCGGATGGTCATAAGAACTAAGCTACCTGACGTCGAACCCTCTCGAGATCTCGTGGCCAGACTCATCAACTGTGTCTCTAACCAGGGTAACCTAATGCAATATAAGAGCCTGACCACTTCCAAAAGTTTTTACGTTTTCCAAGAATACCATAAAAAGAAATCGAATTAAGTAAAAGAAAAAAGAAACTGGGAGAAATAATGCCGGGTTAAATCGCCTATAGCCATAGATATTTAAATTTACCTCGTGAGCTATGGGTCTCCTCAAGGCTAAACTAGTTGATATGTCGAGAGAGGCGATCTCCGCCTTCGCGATTTTTTCCGATTTGAATATATCAGAATAATCTTCGAAGGGAAAAAACTTTTTTAATTTTGTGCTCCAATAGGCCTTGAACAAACAGGACCCAGCGAGAGGCGGTTAAGTAATTCCGTGACTAGATGGGATCTGACATGCTCGAATTCAGGCTCCCAAATAAAAACCTTCAATTCCACGGGAATATGTCTTGTGAGGGACATTCTTGAAATTTCATGCCGCAGATGCATTTCTATTCGATGAAAGAGAGAATTATCCTGCGCCGTCTTAGAAGTTTTGTGGCAAATGCGGGGATGGTGTGAACTCGCTGTTACTGTGGTGTGACTTGACGGAAGAATTGGTAGCAGCGCGCAGTTCTCGGATCAAACACGAAGCACCACCTACAGGACGACATGATATTTTTTCCCTTGGATTGAAAATATAAACTATTTTGTCACCCTACATCACATGCATGAGGCTTGGTCGCCTAAGAATTTGGAATCGAGACGAAGTGCGGGGAAGGTTTCAGACCAGACTTTTAGAGATGGGTTCTGGGGAAAAGAAAAGCTGGTTCCCGGCTCGAGTTTTTCAATGTTTCACCGGCCCCACGCTCTGATTGTGACGAGTCTTTTTCGCAGTACTAGTAAAGTCATGAGATGATTGAATATGCATATACATAGAGGCTAATAGCTGCATCTTTGGTAATTATGTGTATGTGTCTCATAATAGTCAATACAACCTGAAGCCTTTTCCGCCAGTACAGTGTCGTCTATAGTGCCTTCTTTCCTTGCTCTTGCCTCTTCGCAAGCCCCAGACCTTTCGCAATTTCGCTGTAGCTGACCCAGCACAACCAACCAGGTACCCAAACCCAGAGCATATTGAAGAAGAACAAGTAGACCCACTTGTACATGAAGTTGCTCGTCTCCAGTGCCGGACTTCCAGTTAGCCACTCTGGCGCAAATGTCATCCATCCTCCATAGATCTCGCCGACCGCAACCACCAAGATCCAAAACCACACATTCGGCGATCCCTTTGCCAACAAGTAGCAGATATACGCTGCTCCAGGTCCTTCGAGTAGTACAGTTGGTAGTTCAATCGCAACAACGACAGGGTCGGCGACTGCCCAGCGTGAGTCGGCTTTAGCGTATTCCTGCCAGATGAGGGCGAATGGAGCACTTGAATACTGTGCACCGTAGTGTTTCCGATCAGGCGTGTATGAGAAGAAGGAATGGTAAAGAAAGCTGGCCTCGAGGATTAAGTGTGTAAGAGCGTCGAATAGATGCCAGATGAAGATGAAACGGATGGTGAAATTAGAGCTCTTTGGGAGAGCAGACAACGAAATTAGATATGCCACTATGAGAAGGGCAAGCATAAAAACGAAGGAGATGACCGTGATGGCATCAATGGCAAAGGGGGGTGGTTCTGTAGACATCGTGACTATCTATGCTGCACTGTACTGCCTGTAGGCTGTAGGAGACGCGGTCTGGAATGTTCCGAACCGCAATTGACACGTAAAAATTTGGTTAACAGTGTCCAAATGTCAATCCAGAAGGCAAAGGGCCCCAGCTAAATCGAAACGGCGATACGAATGGTAATTGAAATTAATCGACCGTCGTGGTGGTTGTCGTGAATGGTGAGGTTGTCGCGTGGTGGGTGGTTGTTCGTGGTCCCACACAAATCGTGTAACCAATCTCATCCCGTTTTCGCCCTGGACTAATTAGCCCGAGTCCAGCTGGGGAGCCGAATGATCTTGCAATTACCCCCACCGAACCCGCAGCATTCGAATCCGAGACAGCCTGCCATGGGATGCGAGTAATGAAATCCACGAGACCTCCCGTCGGCTGAAGTCGACGGTCGACATCGACATCGATACGGGAATCCGGGGTAGTCAAAAAGGTCGGCACCTTTCTCGGCTACGTCTGCCGGCTTGAGACTTTTATGAAATGACGTTGGTTGCATCCGGAATGGGACCTGCCACACCGGCGAGAAGCCGTGTCGATACCCCGCCATGAGCTCCATCCGGTTGACGCGGAATTGACTATCGTCAGCTGTCTTGCTTGCGGAAGTGTTATCGGACAGCGCTCTAGGATGTCGAATTTTATGATATAAATGGAGGCAGATTTACGCCTTTCCTGGTTGACATCTCCATCCCTCTGGCCGGAGCTAGCCTACGCATTCTATCGATATCGATATCTCTAAAAAAAAGATTAAACCATGTCTACCGTTATCAATGTCGGTCTGATAGGCTATGGCCTCTCTACCACGGCCTTTCATATCCCTACGATTACGGCCGTTCCAAATGCGAAGGTCTATGCTGTAGTCCAGCGTGCTGCTCCACCCCAGGCGGGTTCGAGCTCTAAGAAAGGCGACCATGTCACCGTTGACTTCCCAGATGTCAAGCATTACCGTGATGCCACCAGCCTTTTCAAGGATCCGAATGTTCACCTAGTCATCATTTGTACCCCAAGTCCCGGTCATTACGACCTGGCAAAGGAGGCTCTTCTGAATGGGAAACATGGTAGGTGTCATTATTTTGACGATTAGCAGTACATTGACACCCGTTAGTATTTGTTAAAGTGCATATCTGACTGATATATTAAACGCCATCAGTGGTCGTCGAAAAGCCTTTCTGCCCAACTTACGCAGATTGTTCGTCTCTTATATCGATAGCAGACGAGAATAACCTTCTCCTCACCGTTTATCAAAACCGCCGCTTCGATTCTGACTTTTTAACTCTGAAAAAATATCTCACATCTCCTCATACAAGTTTCCTCTTTACTCCGATTGTTTCCGTAACCTCCCAATTCAATCGATACCGTCTTCCAACTGCTCCATCATCCACAGCGAAAGCATGGAAATCCGAGGATCTGCCCGGAAATGGAATCCTATATGACCTAGGAAGTCACCTTATTGACCAGATTCTCCATCTATTCGGCCTTCCAGAATGGATATGGGCACATACCGATAATCAACGGCAAACGGAGCCGTTAGAAATCGATGACAGCTTCACGTTGTACATGTACTACAATGCCAAGCCGGACTTCAACGGTGGGAAGCCATTGACCGTAGAATTGAAATCTACGATGGTCTCGCCGGTGGCAAGACAGAATAGATGGGTAGTCAAGGGATGGCAGGGAGGCTATAAGAAGTTTGGAATGGACGTGCAAGAAGACCAATTACGCGAGTATGGAATAGAAGCCGTTAAGAGATCGGATTACGGTGAGGAGCGGGTAGACGAGTGGCCCGAAGTCACGGTTCCTAAAGGAGCAGTGGAAGCAGACGAAGAAGGACTAGAGGGGATCTTTGGAAGAGTTGCAACTATGAGAGCCTATGGAGGGTTTGTGAACGGCAAGGTCAAACCGGAGAAAGGAGACTACGTGGAGTACTACAAGAACGTTATAGGATGCGTGGCTAGGATTGTGGGCGGCGAAAAACTTGACGGTGTCAAGAAAGATTTGCACATTAAGCCCGAGGAGGCAAGAAACGTTATTGGAATAATCCAATTGGCGAAGGAAAGTGCAAAGACAGGAAATAGAATAGATGGAGTAGAGAAGAGACTAAGTGAGATGTGAAATGATTTCAATTGAGTTGAGGTTATGAATGTACATGATACTGGCAGACTATTTATTCAATCGCTGGGAAATGATCTGGAGAATTATTCGGGCGGTGTTTCCTGTCTTTGGTTCCTTATTGTTAGCTTTGGATTCCATTATGGTTTTTTATCAATTGAATGGACAGAAAAACATAAGGTTGGTGAGAAGTCAGATAAATAATTTGGCAATATATTGTTATCCACATTGCTTGTTTCAGCACAGGTCTGATATTTTTTTTCATCATTCGAAAGGAAATAGCATAGCGACAGGTTTTGAGAAGTCTGAATGGGGTGTGAAAGCATACCTTTGTTAGTTGTTCCTGATGGCGGTTGGTGATGATTGATGGTGATGGTGATGGTGATGGTGTTTTGGGAAGAGAGATGGCGAAGATTTTCGCGCACCGAAATTTATTCTTTAAATTTTGCTTTGTGTACGCCGCTTTACCCTTTTCGGAATTGCAACTCTACCAACACAACTTCTGTACATACTAGTCTATACGAGTTCTTTTTTCTCACTTAAGCGTGCACTGATCAGCTGAGCTGCGGCAAAACGAGAAAATTTCTTGCATTTTTTCGTATAACTTTAATTACATTCGCATGGAGAATGTGTTAAATCTTTTCGCGTGAGGGCATCACTACCATATGGCTTTAAGGTCCCCTAGACATCGTTGGGTTTAAGTGATGAGGCACTCACCACCCTCCCCATATCATGGGCGTCTACCAATCCTCTCTTTAGTACCAGCTCTAAGTCTTTTATTCTTTGTTCCTAAAGTTCAGGCTCGTTGGTTAATGGCAAAACAGGCTACTATTATCACGGACCGTCGGACAGAACAACAAACAATATTCCCCGGAGAATCAGAAACGTGGAGTGACTGGGATTCCGCGGAATGGGAATATAATGGCTGCTCGCCGTTTGTATTATCCCAACCAGGCACAGTTTTAGATAAAATGTATTATTCACCAAGTAACCCGAACCGTGAGCGAAGCCTACCTCTTCCCATTTGGAAAAAGACAAACGATTTTAACAAGGAATATACATTTAGCGGAATTGCTACCCTCATACTTTGACCACATCGAACTCCACGCAGGTGTTTCAGACTGTTCTCTTGAAAACCCCCTTCGTATATACCTCGAATCCCCAAAATACGGTAGCTTCAAGCCGCCGAATATTCAAAACCTCAAGCGGGCCAAAAGAATTCTCAAATCGGAGGATATGGAACGTGAGGAGATCCCTAGATTCGACCCTATAATCGCACAAAATCTTGAGGATTTTCTAGACCGAGAAGCAATGCGGGAATTAGATATGGACCCGTTCGACTCAATACTACATGAGGGACTCCCTAAGGTTGATCCGTCGATTGGTGTTAATGCATGGCTCTCACAAGCTCGTGAGAAGAAAGAAGGCTACTCTATCGTTGCTGAAGAGCAAAAGGATGGTAAAATACAACCGGAAGATACTAGTTCTGAAACAGATATTGAGATTGAGGAGGAGGTTCCGTTGGGGCAAAGAGTTAGGATACCTTCGAGGGTTAATCATGATGGGTTGGACCAAGCTGTTGCATGGAGAATATTGGCAGATCCGATTACAGGAATGGAAATCGCGGAGTATACAATTTGGCCGGATTATTTATTTACGAGGCCGACGAGCTTGAGGTTTGTGTCCAAGCCTTTAGGCACCGAATCGAAAGTATAGTATCGATATATCGCCTGGTATTAATTAAAGAGTGTATTTCACATTATTTTTGAGAATATATGTATGTATATATACAGAATACATGGATAGCTTCCGTTCATTCAATACCAATTGGCCAAGCTTGTCAATATTATGAACTCGAGCTCTGGATCTTGATGCGGTACGTGTGACTGTCCCTTGTTTTTTTTCTCGGAAAAAACCTAGAGATGGAAATCGGGGTTGATCATACCCGGCCGATGGACTCGGAATACGGGGTTAAGACCAATATGATATAGGAGTAAAGTAATTTGAGTATTCTGATCCATATGACGAGCTGGTACCCAGCATCAAAGCTTTGTCAGCAATGTCGGCATCACCCCGAAACGAGATACCTGTGTTGCGAACTTCGAAAATACCACACGATATCTTTCTCTTCAATGTAATATTATGCAAGGCTAGATCCTTTCAAAATAGTTAATTAATGTATACGACAAGTCTCTTTCCCTTCCGAAAACTTATTGCTGATTGCTCTAGAACCTACTCGTCCAATTCTCCTCTCCTGCTCTTTCGACAAGCGCAGTCAATCAGAAATCTACACCTTTCCTCTAGCTCCTTGCACAAAATGTCATGCGAAGCCCCACCCACCGCGGACGGCAGTCCATGGCACGCCGCGTTCCCAAGTCCTCGTACGACTAAGCCGGGAGCGCTTACGAGGAAAGACGTCCTAGAACTTCTTCAGAAAGAGGGGAGTAAGGACTTTGTTTTAGTTGATTTGAGGCGTAATGACTATGAAGTATGTTATGCGTGCTAGAATTTCAACAGTTTTTCGTAGGTGCCTAGGCACTGGTACCTAGTAGCTAATCTATAAAACAGGGCGGAACAATCCGTGGATCAATCAATCTCCCGGCTCAGAGTCTGTATCCCACCATTCCAACTTTATATGACCTGTTCAAGGCTGGTAGCGTGAAGCAAGTTATTTGGTATTGCGGTAAGTGTAGTCGTCTAAATTACATGCTGGTGTTTACTAAATACATGTGACAAAGGTTCTTCTGGGGGACGAGGAACTCGCGCTGCGGGGTGGTTCGCAGATCATATTGATGACAAGGGAGATACAGAGATGAAAAGTGTGATACTAGAGGGTGGGATTAAGGGGTGGGTTAAAGGTGGTAACGAGTATACTGAAACAATGATTGGCTATGCTGAGGAGGCTTGGTCTAAGTAATGGACAATATAATTACTATGTATAGGTAACAATAGGTTCCAAGAAAGAAACGATGCAAGAAAAGAAAAAACTCTATATTACGCCTCGAACTTCCGCTATGCATGGGCCTGCTAGGCTAGAAAAGAGATATATAATCAAATTGTTGCTGAAGAGTGATGGTGCTCTATTAAGAGACCTCTCGTTCCAGCATTCCAGGTAGCCAGACTGAGATTTTGTATTCGAATAGCTTGTCCAGGAACCGAAGGACTGCATATACACCTGTTGGAGTTCTAATATCCCCGATATGGAAGGGGCCTAATACTGTCCGGGGTTGAGGTGTGGTTTTATCAGCCCGGTCTGCCGGTTCGGTAAAGACTACACTGAATGACCACATGTAGGAAAGGACCTGTAGCGCGAATACATGGTCTAGACCAACTTCTTCGACTGTCGGCACACCATTCACAGTAATAGGCCTTCGCCTACAAGGATATCTTTCGGACGCTGAATGCGCATAGGGGTCGAATTTGCTCATAGATTTGGGAGTCCCGAGCTTTTGCCATGATTCCAGAAGCGCGCTGGCACATAATATGGATTTCAATTCGGCCTCCAGGCCGTTTCCATCTTGTGATTTGCATGAAACAGTTAGTATCGGTGAAAAGGCGGCACGTGTGAATGGTGTTGGGTATCCACCGAACGTGTGGGTTATTTTCTTGCTGGTCGATTCTACATCCGAGTTTTCTAGATTCACATTGACGGCGATATCTGCCCGTACTGGAAAGAGTCCTGGTGAGACCAATGGGACTGATCTTGGACCTCTCGGTTCGACCGCAAGGAGCCGAGAGTACAAACGGGTAGAAGTGCTCTTAGCGGCTGGAAGCATGTCCCGATTCATATCTATTGTTGTTCTATCACAATTTTAGTCCAAACGCTCTTCTATGGAATCAAAAAGAGTTTATAACTTACACTGGCTCAACTGTCACAGGGTGGTATTCCTGCGCAGGTCCAGAAACGAATTCCAAAATATTTTGTGTTATTGTCAACCATCCGGTTTCTTCGGTTAGCTTCGATTGTAGATTTTCTGCCCGCTGTGTTACTTGAATTGCAAATTCAACTTCTTGAGCATGCCTCCGTTTATTGCTACATCGTTTTCTGGAGAAAGTACCTCCGACCCAAGGTTCAAAGGGCCACTGTTCAGCCAGGATTCCCTATCGTTTGGGTTATAATATTAGCCATTGAACGCATAATTTTCGCTTGAAATCGGCTTTTACCTGAACACAAGGACATAGCATTCCAACAAGACTAAACGAAGCCCGTAAGTTACGGATAATTCCTTGTAAGTCGCCAGGGACCTTCTCCTTATCGGCATTTACAGCTAAACCCGCCCTCCCAGAGGTACCCAAAAATGTAAAATTCGGGGTACTTTGTTTAAGTACTCCCAGTTTGCCCAATTTTGGTGTCCCTGATGAAGCAGCAGTTTTGTATGTATTGGTCCGACTGGATGATTGGGGCGTGTTGATATCTTCCTCCAGCTGTGATACACTGTCTGCAGGGTACAGATGCTCGCCAGCATCGAATTCTGTTCCTTTTGATGCCCGGGATTGTCTCTTCGTTACTGATTGTTCGCCATCGGGATTTGTGGTTCCAGTCCCAGTTGTGGACCGCTTCCTTTTGTGAGAACTGCCAGGGGTGCCTGTAATTCGAAGACGGTTCAACGCTCGTGAAGGTGTAGTGGGAATCTTGTGCTGGGACGAAAACTGGACACTTTCGTATCCGTTATGATTAGGATCGATGTCCGCTGCGGCGAGAATCCAATCTAATACCCGTGAATGTTCTGGTTTTAGTTCCTGTTCGGCAGCCATCGAGTCCTAAGGGTCCGGTTCTTTTCAAATGCATTCGAATTCGGAGTTCGCTAGAGAAAATATTGAATGGTGATCTGGTTTCCGTAACTATAACCCTGCTGAACACCTGCCGAGTTTGGATTGGAGAAATAACAATTGAAAACAAAGCCAGGAAATAATTTCGAAAGTTGGTTCAGGATATCAGAGTGCCAACTGGCAAGCACAGGCCATGGAGCCTTTATATGGTTTGTTGTTGTGCGCGTGGGCGTATGGAAGCGGACATTGCTGCATCATCCAATTGAAGTTACCTAAGTGGAAATGTGACTCCTTACTTTGGTTTATTTGTGATTTCCCATCCCAAGTCGGTCCTCGCATATATGCACAGCATCGTTTGGGAGCTGACGAGATGTTTTATGGAATTTTGAAAGGTGAATCGCAGTTTTCAAGGAGAATAGAGAGAATATATATTGTAAAGTTTAAAGACATTACACGAATCAGGCACTTTGGCGGAGTGGTTAACGCGCCAGCCTGCTAAGCTGGTACCTTCGGGTGCGTGAGTTCGAATCTCACAGGTGTCGATTTATTTTTTGAATTTTTTTGAATAACTTTTATTTTAAGTTTGATTTGTTTGTTTTTGCACAACTCTAACTTCACAGGCGGACGAGCGAAAACCTAAAGATATCCCACATCATGATGCATAACGCTATTACTATAGTACAGAAAACTGCGCACTAACCGCAGTCATTCATAGCCCCGTTCTTTTCGCTTCGTTTATCAAGATATCAAGTCTGTTACTTTTTTTTTTCGGATTTTCAGGCTTCATAAGCCTTTCAGTTGCAAGTATACGTTGTTTTTTCCATCCTGAAGTTCCGCGTAACCAGTTGAGTATGTTGTGTTTTGGAGGCTGGCATCCCACAATTGCCCCTCATCTTAGCTGGGCCAAGGATGAGTCCTCACAAACCCCTCCCCTGTCATCCACCAGCCATCTCGGGTACTGTTCAATCAAATTTCAAATGCATTTCAATGCAAAGAATGACTCTTGTATCGCTACATCTCATCTCATGATACTCGAAGAGTCATCCATGGAAATTCAGAGGCTGAAAAGATTATACATTGTACCAGAACCGACACGCGAGGCTGGTATTTTGATTGAGGAACGCGGCACACGTCTTCAGGTGCGCATGCGCTCAGTGGTGTGCCAGGCCTGATACACCCACGCACTTTCTCCTGTATCGATAGCGAGATGTCGTGCCAGCGAATTGCATCCGGTCATTAGATGCCTGGAAATATGTTGATAAATACGGGCTCTTCCGGAATGGCTTCCAGTCCGATATTTTGCACTTTCGACCGCTGATAACTAGCCGTCCCGCCAGTCCTTTGTCTCTAGCTCTTTTGGTTAGTCAAGTCGGATATCGACCAATCTTTGATAGACTGCAACGTTTGACTATAGCTTCGCCATTTGTCTCAGCCTCTCTAGCATATATTGACAGTGGCAACAATCGCTCTTTTCATCCAATATGAGGGTTCTCACACGTTCTCAGAAGACCGATAATATGCCCATGATGGCATCCAGCACAAAACCGCCGACGACTCCCCCAAAGAAAGAACCTCCAAAGTTGTTTCTATCGCCGCAAAAGAGAAATACGCCACCAGTATTTTCCAACACTCCTTCTTCTCGAAATTCTCAGGCGTTTCAACATCGAGCTACTACGCTTTCGAAGTTCTATAACGACTTCTTCGTTTATTTAGAATCTATCAACCTTCTTCAATCACATAACCAAACTCTTCCAGAATCCGAGGCTTCGAGATTTGCTCAGAGTATCTTGAAGGCAGACAAACTTTCTAATAGCTTTTGGTTCCTCCTTCGAGATATTATCAATCATATCCGTTCATTATACCTTAATGGTCAGGACCCACAGGCTACGTTGGTTCTCGGGTATTCTGATATCAAGATTGTTGTGGAATGTCCTTATTGCGAGGAACTTCATGAACATAGACGGGTTCCGGATGCGGGTATCGGTGTGCCTGTGATATACCCTGCGGGTTGTGGGGCTTTTGGGAGGTACAGGGTTGTGTTTCCGGGAGATATTGATGTATTGACTGGTACATTGGGGAAAGAAGCGGTGGGTCTCCAGGTACACAAGAGTGGGGCCTACTGGATGACGGTCAGAGATGAGGTCCCAGATCTTGAAAGATTTTTTGTGGTGAAATACCGGCCTAAGAAGTCTCTTCCGTCGGTCACCAAAGCTGTTGTCGTTCAAGAGGAAGTTAAGATTGAAGTAAGCTTGGAGGTCAAAGAAGAAACATCTGAAGACGGAGAAACAAAGACGAAAGAACAAATGTTATTCGAAGCCTTTCAACGACTGGATATCGCCGAAGACAAAAGTTACGACCCGGTTCCTATCCCCCCGACAAAACACTATTCAGCGATCGACAAACTGCAAGATGTTGCTAAATCTTGCGCCGAAAAGCTGAATAAGCTCGATCAGATTGTTGGTTACTATTCTAAGCTTGGATATACTGTTTCAGCTGAGAGGTGGAAAGAATCAGCTGTTGTGAGGGAGACCAGGAACAAAGTAGAACGAGAAGCGGACTGGCAAATGTGTACTGTAAACGAAGGCGAAGAAACACGTCTGCTTGGTCTTGTTGAGTCGGATGGATATCGAACAGTTTGCAGTTGTATTAGAGGGCCTAACTACCCAGACATTTCTGTTGTTAGCGGTCTGGTAGAAGCCGAAAGACTGGATTCACACCTCCCGCTCAACAACAAACAACTACTGTTCCTCGTTCGAGGGCTAGCGAAAGAGATTGGGCATGAGTTTCCGAAGGAAATACCCAAGAGCGCCTCTGTAGTCTGGAAACGAGAATTGGAACGCAAGAACATCACAGCTACGTCAGCGGAACATTGGCACGCTTGCCATTCGGAGAAAAAGATGCTAGTGAGATTTTTGATAATGCATACAACATGGGTCCCTGAGGAGTTTACTCATAATATCTTCAAGTACCGCAGTATTCTCGGAAAGGAAGCGGGGGTTAGAAGTGCATTTTGCCTAGCTCGAAGCACGAAGTTCTGGGTTAGCTGGGATACTTGTGACGATTGTAGGAGGTTTATCGAAGGCGTGGAGAAGAAGTTCGGGGTATATTTGAGCTTTCAGAGGATGGGTGACTATATTGCACCAAAGAAGCCAGCCTTGGACGAAGGGGGTGAAGGAGGGAAGAAACTCGGAGTAGATGAAGGATCGACGCAGAAGGAGCCTGAAGCTGCGAGTGTCAAGGAAGCGGCGGCTCCCGTATACGTAGCGAAAAACCAAAAGGACGAAGTATAATTTTTCTTTCTTTTTTCTACTCGTTCTTTTTGTCTAAGTTCTCATTTTGGAGGCGGTCTGATTACCATGTCTTTCTGGAGTTCGTATGGTTCGTGGTCTGATTGCATGTTAGCGGGTCCTAACTGTCTTTGATTTTGCTTGTTTGCATGGCGATACTAATATATTTTAATCCAACGGTATCTCGTCAAGTAGCAACTATCTACCTAGTATCAAATTCCCATGAAATATAAGTGTGAGAGGCTAGATTCGTGTCTAACGGGTTACGAGACTGCCAGATACTCTGAAGGGATAAGTTTGTTGTAAAATATGTGTTGCTTACATAAGACAGTGTTGCAAACGTCAAACAATCTTTTACTATCTCGTGTTGTTCTTCAGAGCAGTTCAACGTCGTTCCATTTCCAATTAGAGAACCCACCAGACGCTGCGGAAGCCTGTGGGTATGGTTTTGGCCACGCTACCAACCCTTTTACGCATGCCGCATTCTAGAGGATACAACCTTTGATGTTACACGACGGTAATCGATTCTCATAGATACTAATTAGGTAAGTAGTTATACTCTTAACGTTAACTACATGGATATACATATGTCCCACTGAATTAATATTGATATCGATATCGTTGGTTATTTAGGTAGGTCTTAAGTAGCTGGTATCACGCTTCTTGCGCTTGAACGTAACTACAAACAGTTGAGTTAACGGTATCTCCAGCTATTTACGACTAAACCGTGGCATATTGCAACAGGAAAGCCTTAAGGAGGCATCTTTGAAATTAAATATCAAAGATGTCTACCCCGAATATCAATCAAACCAATAGTCATGTCCATGACCATGAAGAAGGTGAGTTAGCCCGTGCAGTTTGGGTCCTGGTATTTCATACGTATCCTTTGCTCTCCTACCCTGATCCGAACGTATAACTACCTCGCTATATTGTTCATTATCCCTTTGGCATGGTCCTCATCTTTGTGGTGTAAAGATTATATCCCGGTTGAATCGATATTCATTCGATTTGACCAATATAATACGGCCCAAACAATGGATTCGGGTTGGTCCAATATCTTCCTTGAAAGGAGCTGTAACAGTCCATTACAGAGAAAAAGCAGGCCTTTTATCTGAAAGCCTCGGTGGCATGTCCGCTGTTGTCTGCTTTTCATGGTGCAGACCCAGTTAAGGGGTTACGCACTGGTGGTCTTGGTTGGCATCCTCCTCAGCCATATGCTTCAAATCTTGACCATAAAATCTTGTTCCTCTCAGCCCTCTTCATTTCTCTTTACAACCTCCATCACCTCTCATCTTATCCTCATCACACCCTCCTACCCCTTCTTCCATTGCCTCTCCGTCATTTACCCCGTTATCACCTCTCTTGGTTTCTATAACATTCATCTCTTCCTCCTTTCCTCCTATCATTCATTACCCCCTCTTCTTTTCTCTCCTGTCATTCATCCCCTCCTTTCACACATACCAAGCCACTTAACACGGGACTACAACCCGAAACTTCATTCAAATGGATTACCATGATTACCTCCGATACGAGGAACTCTATCGCGACTTCATCGAAGACGACAGCTTTGACGGAGGCGGCTATATCGAGGGCGAGGCGAGCGAGAGTTCCGAGAGCAATCAAAATGACGTCTTCGAATGCACAATACGTGAAGGTGAAGCTGACTATGGGGAAATTCCCCACAAAGGTGTTTTTGATCCTAGCTGCGATGAAGAGCAAAATGTTTTACGTGCCGCTTTGGCCTCTTACTAGTAAGTTATCCCTTCGCTGGCTTCATGTCGACCAACCATCGCAGCCAGCCTTTCTAACGAGCTTATCTACCAAATGGTAGTTTGTTTCGCCGTGCCGCTCATTGGACTTATACCCATCGTCGTCGACGCAATTTCTACTCGCTTCCAAGCCCTCAGCAGGATGTCTTGAGGTCAATTGGTTTCCTTCAAAAGCTCGAACGTGTTGATGCAGCGATTGACAAGAATGCCGAATTTGCCGAGTGTTTGCTCAAGTCTGGATCATATAGCTTTGGCATTGACCCTCGAGATGCTGAGCAGTGGAAGGAGCTTGCTACTCCTGATGATCTAGATAAAGCGAGGAGCACAATCAAACAATTCGTACGCGATTGGAGCGAAGCCGGGATCCTCGAAAGAGAAATGACCTATGGTCCTATCTTGGAAGCTGTCGATCGTCTCTTCGGTATGGTCTCTCCACGCTGTGATGTCCGAATTCTTGTTCCTGGTGCTGGTCTTGGACGACTAGCTTTCGACTTTGCCTGCAAAGGCTATGCTACAGAAGGGAATGAATTCTCGTTCCATCAGCTCATTGCATCAAACTTTATCCTCAATCAGTAAGTTTAGCTTCCCCCGTTGAGATTTGGAAAATCGCAACAAGGAACGTACTTGCCTCTAACACGAAATTCATGTAATAGTACCTCCACTGCCGAGGAGTTTCAAATCCATCCATTTTGTCATAGCTTTTCGCATCATCGAAGCCATGATTATCATCTGCGACCCGTTCTCGTACCTGATGTCCACCCTGGGACCGAGCTTAACCAGGAGTTGGAATTCACCACGCAGCCCGATACCTTCGGCCATCGACCCGGCGGGCCTCAAACCTTTCGCTACAGGCCAAGCCAATATTTCTCCATGTCTGCTGGCGAGTTTGTTTCAAGCTATAATACTCCAGAAGCTTATGAAACCTTTGACTGTGTTGCGACCTGCTTTTTCATTGACACCGCTCGAAATCTTCTAGATTACATGGGGACAATCCGTAATATCCTCAGGGAAGGAGGGGCCTGGATCAATCACGGTCCTTTGTTGTGGCATTTTGAAGGTAGTGATGCGACTGAGCCGAAGAACCCTGGTGATAAAAAACACAAATATGGAGATCTCAGGGGCTTTGACAAGGTTCAAGCAGATCAGGAGGATGCTGAGAGTAAGGATACTCGTTCAATTAGCGTTCCTAACAGTCGAGTAGAAGCTAATTTTGAGTGTAGTGCCTCAGCTCCCGACTTCCTTAGATGGAACTTTCCAACAGCTGCCATTCGGGAGCAGTCACAGCTCCCGAACCAGGGTCGACCCTGGAGAGTTTCCTGACGCTGTTGAAACCCCCCCTTCTGGCGAGACTGCTCCTGCTGGTGACGAAGGTAGTGTTTCGATCGGCGGTGAGACAGGAAGCTCAACTGGATTCATCGACGGCTCTCGTACCCCACAGACTCCAACCGCCTCATCCAATGCTGGTGCTAGCGTCACCACCTCCGCCTCTAACCTAACGCCTTCAACCCCTGCTAGTGATCGTGGTCGTCAAAACATTGGATCAGCCTCTCATTCCAACCACTCTCGCGCTGAATCTCACAGTCACCAGGGACAACACAGCCACAGCCACCATAGCCATGATGATGAAGAAGCTTGGAACGGCAGTCTCGAATTCACACTAGAGGATGTAATCCGCCTCATCGACTTATATGGATTTGAAATCATCGAGCGTAAGACCACGGAACCCTCCGGATACATTAATGATGTTAAGAGCATGGGCCGTTATATGTATGAGTCGGAGTACTGGGTTGCGGTCAAGAAGCGACAAGTCTCAGAGGTCGTCGATAGAACCTTGAAGAAATTCGATATCAAAGATGAAGTTGAGGATGACAACAATGCTGCAAGTGAAGGGGAGTCTGGTGGGGTTCCAGTCGGGGAGAATCTTGAATTCGAGGACGGGGGACTTGAACAATCTGGGCAACAACATTATGACGAAACCCAGTCAACTGGCGCAAGTTCCGGCTTGAGGTCGGTTTAATTTACATCCTTGGTTTTCACTCCCCTAGTATAATTTTTTTTTTTTTTTTTGGTTGAAGTATCTTCGAATGGTAGTAATCCCTGAAGCCAGTATGTATGCATGCGGGCTACAGCGGACTTACTTCCAACCATCGAAGCTCTCACGAATCCTGTGCCTCTCGAACCCTGTTGTCCCACATATCGATACATCCGGATCAGTATGCATTCTTATTAATGCCCTGTAGAATATTGCATCCATAGAATAGCATAGAAAAATATAGGACAACAATATGGGGCTCTACTCCCTTTCTCCACTTGTGTGTTTCAATTTAATTTCTAAACTGAATTCGAATGTGGATCTGCTGTAAGAAGAGCCTCGAACCACGCCAGATCCGACAAGATGCGTTGTTGCTGTTGTTGATAGTGATACAAAGGCTATAGGAATGTGCCACAATTTGGTACAGCCACCGCCACATTCAAAATGGGGCTGGTCGCGCGGTTCTTAAACAATCAACACATGAGTTTAGTTCATCGTGAATGTCAACTAGGTCGCTCTTCCATCTTCTTTCATCATCATTGCCCGTCGCTAGACATCGCCAGTACCACAACCACATCTCAAAGCAGAATGACAGAGTAAACACTCCAAACTGCCAAGTCTCATATTCACTATCTACTGAGTCTTGCTAATCCGCTTCTTACTTTATAGCCAGCCACCGCGTCAATGGGGCGTCACGCCCGCGATTTCTCATTCTATGCCAACAGATCAAGAAATAAAAGTCAACAATGATCTGATTGAAGAGCTGAAGGCTATGAACAGCTTCGAGAGTGCTGAAGAATCACAAAAACGGTACAGCTGGATTCTTTTCGATATTCGAACAATATTTGCACAGAGCAAGCCAGAATGGCTAACTTGACCCGTTGGATCGCAGTGTCGATGTCTTGAAACGATTACAAAGAATCACGGAAGATTTCGTCAAACAAGTTTATACATCAAAGAACCAGAACGAGCTGGCTACAAATAGCGCTGGAGGAAAGGTGTTTACTTATGGAAGCTACAGACTCGGAGTCGTCGGACCTGGTACTGGCCCCTCCATGGCCCCACTGACCGTTGCCCGAAGTTTCTAACGAATTAATTGTCTTTGTACTGCAGGATCCGATATCGATACCCTCGTCGTTGCCCCGAAACTTGTTACGCGTGAAGATTTCTTCAAATTCTACCCTCCATTACTCAAAGCCTTGAACAAACCCAATGAACCCCAAATCATTGAAGAACTTGCGCCAGTCCCAGACGCGTTTGTCCCGATTATCAAGTTTGTTATGTCGGGAATTTCGATTGATTTGATCTTCTGCAGACTCGGCGTCACCCAGGTTCCAGCGGATATGAGCTTGGAGGATAAGAACTTGCTAAGGGGCTTAGATGAGAAGGAGTTGAGGAGTTTGAACGGAACAAGAGTCACAGATGAAATTTTAACATTGGTCCCTGCACCAGCTGTTTTTAAACATGCTCTTCGAGCTATCAAGATTTGGGCAAAATGCAAGGCTATCTATGGAAACGTCTATGGATTCCCAGGAGGTGTCGCTTGGGCCATGCTTGTAGCCAGAATTTGCCAGCTTTACCCTTCCGCTGTCAGTGCTGTAATTGTCTCTAAGTTCTTTCGAATTTTGGGACAGTGGGCCTGGCCGCAACCGGTTCTTCTGAAGCCGATTGAGGATGGGCCTCTGAATGTCAGAGTCTGGAACCCAAGAGTAGGTTTACCTAAAAGCCTCGTTGTTACGCTTCAAGCTAACGTTGTCTATAGTTGTACCCCAGCGATAAGAATCATCTTATGCCTATCATCACACCAGCCTACCCATCAATGTGCTCAACCCACAACATTACTCCTTCAACGAAAGCCGCTATTCTTGGAGAGATGGCTAAAGCAGCCGATATTGTTGATAGAATCATCACTGGCAAGGGTAACTGGAAACAGCTGTTTGAGCGTCATACCTTCTTCACCAAAGACTACAAATACTATCTCGCTGTCAATGCCAGCGCCAAGGAACAGGAGGCTAGTGTGAAGTGGTCCGGTCTTGTGGAGTCTAAAATTCGACATTTGGTCATGAAACTTGAAATGTGCAATGATGTCATTGCGAGTGCTAGACCGTACGTCAAACCTTTCGAACAGGTTCAGTACTGTAAGAATGACGAAGAGGCACGTAAGATCGCGAATGGTGAACGTGTTGAGAACGATCCTCCAGCTGAAGCTGCTAATGCTGCAACTGGAGAGACGGCAGGTGAGGTTTCAGATCAAGAGAAGAATGGTGTTCCCCTTTGGATTACCACATTCTACATCGGGGTTGAGTTAGTTCCTGGATGGACTGGAGCAGTTAACATCACCTGGCCAGCTCGTGAATTCTATCAAATGTGCCATAGCTGGGAAGGTTATGATGAGGAGACCCATTGTGTGAAGCTTGATCTGAAGAAAAAGTATTACACCTCTACATTTGCGATTATTAACTCAGTGGAATTACAGGTGCTGACACGCGGTTACTCTAGTTTCAATCTCCCAGATGAATGTTTCGATTTCGCGAAAGGTGATATCAAACCAGCTAAGACTGTCGTTAAAAGAAAAGTCATTAGAAAGGTTGCTAGCAGCATTGAAGGCTCCCAGAGCGGGACAAAGAGAACTCATGATGAGGCCACAAACTCCACCGAGGTGCGTTGCTCATTAAGCCATATCCAAGGATGCTTACATCTAGGGACACTTGCCCATCTGGCCTTCCCTACGCTGCCCTCTTAGCTTCACTGGAATAGCCTTTGTATACTGACTCTAGAATTATAGGGCGATGTCAAGCGAACTAAGGTCAATGCACCCGTCCCTGTCCAAGGATAGAATCCTAGGAAGGGATCTAGTGCAAGGCAACAGAGAATTGTTTCTGCGCGTAATTACCGACTCCACTCCGCGTCTGTTTCCTTTTCAATGCTAATCTATCATTTTACTTTGTGTGCTAGCTCAACTTCATATCAACAATATCTCCACAGCTACCACACCGGACAAATCTTTCACATCTCTTCACATTGTTGAGCCTACTTTCCTATTAACTCCACAACTTTCATACTCCTCTGCCACAAACAGCGACATCATTGGGAACAGGATTTTTGCACCACCTACAAAAGCTACCGCTGCAATACCCATTCGACCAGCGGTAAATATCCCAAATGCCGTAGGTCCTGAAACGGACGCCATCGTGATTCAAACAAGTGCTTCCCGTGAAGAATCCAAACAGACAAAGAAACAGACAAGTAACCGCAAAGGAAAAAGACGTACCGGTCAACAATACTGAAGCTTCCTTACTACGAACTCTACCCAACTTCTGCTTCGAAAGAAGTTGGTTGATTCTTTTAGCACCTGGACCTGGGCCTCGACATAGGAATTCAATTCTGCACCGTTCCGTCGACTTCATAACTCCAACTTTTTTTTTTTTTCAACTTTCAAGGAATTTCTACAACAACCTTCTAATTAGCCTGTGGGTGGCTTTTCTTCTAGCTAAATATTTTTGGCGATCCTCTATTCAACCAGAGGCTAATCATTTTATTCCATCTGATGATGAGGGTACCGTCGATATTTCTCGAGAAGTTCCTCAGGAAATTAATACCACACTAACTGGAATAAAATACCCCCCCCCCCAAAAAAAAAATCAAAAAAAAAATAAAAAAGGTACAAAAAAAAGATATGAACAGAGAGTACCCTTATGAGAAAACCAGCAATGCTGCTGACGGAACTGGGGAATGCCGCATGGGTAGAAGGCTTCTTTACACGGTGTGTCCAACCCTTTATCTCTAATTCCTAATATATTGTGTGGCGTCGGCGTTTCTCGTTTCTCGTTTGATCTTCTTTGTCGTCCCGTCGATTGATACTCCATCACCTTTTTGCTACAGCTCTAGAGGCTGGAGAGGTCTGTCCTCGTTGCGATGCCATATTTAGTGTCCCAGATTTTCGCGATATTGGATTTGTTAGATCGGTGTAATTATACTTTACGGCATTATTTCTTTGTTACGTTCCTGCTTGTGTTCTGCTGCAGCTCGTCTTCTTGGTTCGCGCACTCTAGGCTTGTGCATCACTTTTTTTGTTCTTCTTGTATCTACTACGTAGAACTGCCTTAGATAATAGCTGGTAAGCGGCCTATCATACAAACAAAAGCTTTATTCTTTTTAACCACCAACCACACTCCGTTTTCGCTTGGGTCTGTTAATTCTCCACCCAGGTCTGACCCCTGCTTATTCTTGAAATAAGAATAAATTACGGCGAAAAGGGCTCTCGACGTTCCGTTTTTACTCTGATCTAAAGAATCCAACAGCTCTTATAACTCTCGTTCTAAGCATCGCGGATATCATTCTTTCAAAGATTCGAAATTAAACCATAGCTATAGTGCTAATATATACTTTCATGATCTTAGTTAAGCCTAGTTTAGAATGTGTTATGAACGTGTTGAACCGCTTCGAAGCTCGAAAGCCTCGGAAACCAGCAAAAGTGTAGAACTTTCAGTGCGAACATAAGTAAAGCTGAGATTCCTACGGTCCTAAAATTGCTCCTGTGTAACCGAGGGAAAGTTGGGTGAGGAGAAGTAAAATTTTTTAGTGCAAAGGTTTCGACTTTCAAGTTCTAGATCTCGTTCGAGATCTCGTTCATCGTATTGCGGCTGAACATGCAGTTGGAATCCGCCACCAAATTGCCAAATTCCCATACAAATAAGCTCATGGGATTTCTCGGCATTCTGTCTGTGGACTCTCGGCGCGTCTGCTTGATCCTTCAGTTTTTGAGATCAGGTTGTCCAGCGCAGAGGTTAAAAAGACCATGGATTCTTTCAATTTTGATACCGGTAACATTGGTAACCTTTGTTTTGTGCAACCTTGGGTCTATCAAGTAATACCATAGCCATAATAAATATTTACCGGCCACCTAGCGACTTGGACGACTAGACTACGAAACGGACGACAATGAGGTTCTTTAGCATTGGACCGGCTTTCATAGCCTGCATTCTCGCTATTGGAATTTCACCAATCAGCGCTGAACCCGCTTCGTGTTTGGCTTCATCTGTTACGTCGTGTACAGATGCTATCAAGTCGACAAAGACAAGAACATTATCATTGACAAGTTGGTGTTCTTCGGTTTTGGGATGTGTACAAAGCACGACTACTTTAACTGGGGATCCGGTGACAATAACTTCCACAAAGGTTGTGTGGGAGAGTTTCTCGTATGAAGTTCTTATAGGTACCCCTTAAGCCCAAGTTTAGTTCTCTATTCTAGTATATTAATTCTAAAAAATTGGGAATGATGTAGGCATCTGAGGATTGGGTGACTTCAAGCTATACACATACCGTACGTATGAGTTCCTTGACCGCTGGCTCAAAGATTCATATTATTGTGGCTTGTCTAACGAATGTATAGGAAACCGAATATAGTGCTGTCGAGACGACTACCTTAACGCCAACCTGGACAGTTGAGCGCTTTGTAGTAACGACAGTTAAACCTCGTGCTCGTCGTTGGGAAGAAGCCGGCCATGCCAAAGACATTCTCAAACGACAGAAAACAACATCAATCTGCCCGTCGGCCATTGAGACGCAAGCATGTTCGTGCATCCTGACAGGTTGCGCACCGCCTGTAACGAAGGATGCTAGGAGTACGATCAAAGAAAAGGTCACGGAGACTAGTTACTCTGTAAGATTTATATCTATTGGTAATAAATATTAAGGATTGAATTACTCATTGAATGCTCTGACACTAGGCTATCGAAATTCCGATCACCTACACCAATGTCGAATGGACTGGTACATCCACAACTGAAATTGAGGAATACACCGAAACAGCTACGGTTGGTGTACTCTCGACGCACACGACAACTATAAAATGCACACCTTCTTCCACAAACCCATCGTTTTACCTCCAAGCCACTGATGCACCCGCTATCAACGGACAATATTGGTGGGCCGCACCGACAAACCCGCGACTCTTAAGCTTCTCGGTTGAGGTTGCATTCAACCCAAACATCGCAGAGGCTACCGTATTCTCCTTAGATTCCGCCAACCGGTTGATCACTAGACACAAAGGTGGAACTTTATACGTCAATGTCGATCCTTATGCTAGTTTCTCAATCGTGCATCATCTTACGAGGGAAAACATGCGGTTGCGCAAGTACAATTATTTGAGGTGTGAAATCAAGCCGCCTAGTGGTAGATACCCTGGTGGTTATGGGGAGTTGTATTGTTTGGCAGATGGACCGTTTAATCGAAAAGTGTTCAATTGGTGTCCGATATATCTGGAGTGGTTTAATGCTCCTCTGGTGCTTTCGAATCGCTGGAGTGATAGGACTCCGCCGTGTGCTCCGATTGTGTTTTTGGTAAAGCCGGTTTGTGAAGATGTTTAAGGGGTTTATTTGGCGTTGTGGATGATTTTGCTATGTGTATGATGCATCAATGTAGGCGGGTTTAATGAGCTACTCTGTTATTTAAATCCGGTGATGATACTTTTTTGAGATATAATTTTGCGAACTGGGATGGTTATAACTAAAGATTTTCACGTAGGATATATACGTCGTCTAGCTTATGATATCCGATATAATTGATACGCAGAGACTCGTGAAACCGAATATTCATAGTGAACATCGAACTAGTATAAATTTAGAGAGCTTCAACGTCATGGACGACGTAAGGATCGAATACGAATCTAAAACTAGTATTTGGCCCAAGTTGATAATCTGGCCATATATGTGCAAGCAACAGTTTGACATTAGAGGAGGTTGGTGGAATACCCTCAGGTATAGATAATTCAGGGCTATCATCCTTGTTATCCCGTAACCACTCCTCTATATCTCGAGGCGGGGCAGCTCTCGCATTAGCGAGAAGGTCTTGGATTCCCAAATTTGGGATTACCCGGGGTCTAGCGTTAACAATTGGGGCCTCATTCTGTGGGAATGGAATAAGAGCTTGGTTTTCCCGTCGTTGTGCCGCCTGTGGAAATTGAATAACCTCACTTCCATCCTCGCTCGGAGTTTCCATTGGATCCCAATATAGCGGATCTCCCGGCGCGAAGCCCTCACCGCCTCCAAACCCAGCTTCAAAGTCGGATTCCAGCCGTCTAAATACCGGCGGATTTTGTTGGTTGGGGTTGCCAAATCTATTTTCCCAATCTGCTACTAGGGGGCTTTGTGAATCTGGAGTGAGTGGTTCAAGGTTTTCTAGGACAGGCCTCCGGTTCGGATTGGCATTTGGGTGAGGGGAATCAAAATTCGGACCCGGGAAGGTTTGTGGCTGTGGCTGATTTGCAATATTTGTCGCGGGCAGTCCGCCGACGAACCCTTCGCTGTTTTCCTCTTCAAGGTCATCTGACCCCGGAGGGGCTTGTCGTTTTCTTAGTTTTTTGAAACCTGCTTCTTCACGAGGTATCCACTGAAAGTCGTTGTCGTCATCATCCTGTGCCAACGGTTGTTCTTCTTCGATAACATCATTTTGATAATGCACATTTTCTTCTTCCATCTCATCTCTATTATATTCAGTTTCCGTGTTCTCTGGATTGTTGTTATAATGCACCCAAAAGTTTTGGCCTTGTTCATGTGGACTTGGATGCTGTTCTTCAGGTCCGGTCTCTCCAGCTCCCCAACCTCCCTCCAATTCGAGAAACATCTCTAGTGGTTCATCGTCTTCGCAATCCTGCACTCGGTGAATTTCAAGGCGATTTAGACGATCCGGTAGTTCAGCTATTTGTAAGAATTGGTATATTAGTCTCTGTCCCCATACTATCTACTTGAACCGTTCCCAAGAGTTGCCAACTTCAACCCCTCGTAACCGCTTAAACCATCCAAATTAATGAATCTATACATACGGTTTATATGTCTTTTATCGAACCCTATCGCACTCAAAAAAGCGCCGGGGGGAACAACATTATTTGAGCAATCATAAGCATCTCCGGGTCGTCCGGTGAGAAATGAACGGTCTTTGGGATCTGGGGATTCTTCCTCGTCAATTCGGTCGTACCAAACTACGGGGCTCAAAAGTGTTTTCTGCCATTCATTGGTCGAGCTGTCAAAATTACCGAGCCTAATGCTCACGGCTTCCAATCGTCTAGCATTCGCTTGGGATAGTAGAAGGAGAATTGGGATGCTAAGAAGTATGTGTTGTTGCATGTTGTATTTTAAGGGGGGTATGGGATGGTTAGCTTAGTTGATAGCGCACGTGTTCGAAGGTATTGTTTTAGAAGTTATCGGATTCTAGAAAAATTGAAACGATGATCCCATAACCCCGTGAATAATACCATGAACAGGAGAGCCACACGCGAAGATGCATTTCCATGTGGTCGTTCGACATTAACCAGAGACGTGAGCTATTTCTGCTAATTAACTCTTACCTGCGCCTCCATTTCCTGTGCACATGTGTGCAGATGTGGGAACTCTCTCGCGAAATGCGTATGAATGAAAGTATTGCCCACGCCTGTGCTATCATATATTCTAGCGTGGTATTCAGTACGAGATCTAGACTAGTACTGCCTAGGATTTCGACAATTCAAGGGAAACTTCTAACAAGAATACGGTTATGCACTTTAGAGGATTGGCCCTGGGATGGCGAAATTCAAGTTTTGCATTTCAGCCTTCGTTTGGCTGAGTGTGATATACTCCACTCTTATCGACGCTCGCTGGGTTATAGTTGAAGAATGGGGGAAAGTACTCCGGCATAGAACCAATCTGACGACTGGAGAGGTAGAAGCATATCACGAGACCATCAACTCGGCTATAAAGGTTTGGGATACTGATAAGGCGTGGACGGATGAACTTTGCATCAGCGATGTTATTATAGAGGACCATGCATTTGTGAGGAACATTGAGTATTATATCGGGAATCCGAGTCGTAAGTTGAGCCTTCCGTTCTTCCTGAAATTTTAAACTGATAATCTTATTATTTTTTTTTATCTATAATAATAACATGTCAATTAAATCATTTTCGGCCGTTTCCACTCGTATTCGGCTTGACTTGACTTTATATACTTTGAAACATGGAATGCTAATATCAAGACACTTTTGCTCAGCATTATTCCCTTACGTACTGTTTGCACTCGAACTACATGACAACAATGACTGCACAGATAAGAATTCGGTTACCGTGGTCTTCCCAACAGAGCGAGGGGCGAAGCCAGAATTATTCGGACCTATACAGTATGAAGATGAGGCGGAAGGGGAGGAAGATGTCATTGTTGAAGGAGGCGATGATCCTCAAAGTTTCAGATGGGACCCAGCCAAACTCCAAGAGTTATTAAACGCCCCCACAGTAGTCGAGAATGGATTCGAACAAAACCCTGAAGATTTCGACAGTGATGAAGTTGAATCTATGACGGGCGAAGTTGACCATGGAATATGGAATTCTGAAGCAGATCTTGAAATTCCCCTAGGAACTACTCAACAGCAAGGGCCATATAATCCAACGGTAATTGCTGAGGAGGAATATCAAGATCTTGATGCCGAGTCTGATCAAGGTGGCATGGGTCAAACCAATCTACAAAAACAAAGCCCATTACCTCCCAAGTCAGAACCAAGCGAAGAGCTCGAAGATTCTGAAGGCCTGCTAAGCTTTAGTCTTCCAGGCCAAGGGTTTATGGATGTTGGTACCCCTACAAACCCTACAAATAAGAACGGATTGGGCCAATTACCAATGCCAAACTTTCACACGAATCCTCACCCTCAAGAACAAGATACTTTCTCAGATATTTCCGCGGTTGGTCAAGGGAATTTTGAGTTCGGTGGGACGCTACTAGACCAGTTAGCCAGCCCCGAGTCCAATTTTTTAGCTACGCAGGATGTTGTCGATCTAGAGCCATTAGTTATGGAGTCTCGTGATGTCCCCTTCGAAGACGAGGATGGGCATCCGACTTTTAAGATTGATATTTATCAACGTGGACTTAGGTTTAAGAAGTTTACGAGTATAAAGCTTATTACCAATTGGAATCAGTGGTATAGAATTCCAGCAGGTGGAATTCAAACACGAACATAATGGTCTTGAGACTACATGGCTTGCTAGGGTCTAAAATTTAACCGTTTATCGATATCATATATCGATCATTCAATTGTGTATTAGTTTCTTCCTTCCTATCCAACATACTATAATTTTAGATCTGAAGAGTTTACCAAGAAGATTAATTATGCGTTTTTAGTCAATTAAGATGTATTCTGATTATGATTTAAGTAGAAAATAGGTATCATGAGACCAAAATATATACAGAACCGTATTTGTCTTGAGTTTGAGGTAATTTGCTATGTTTTTTGGGAAGCTAGTCCAGCCTTTCATATTATGATATCGATTGACTAAAATTTAAAACTGGGCTGCAATTTTGAACACTACGTCAAGCATACCGATATCCCCCTCGCCCCCCAAGATGTGGAGAAAAACGGTAACACCATTCTGCTGGATAGTGCAGACCTTCGTACTTATTGTATTGTTTAATCTACAACTCGCTCGAGGCCGTGTCGTGGAAGTTGCCCAGGTAGTTTGGGAGGAATCACAGGGTTCAAATGCGATATTACCAAGTTGGATTGGCTACGACACCTGGACTGATAGGGATACAATCTGGCAGTATGGAAACGATGGTTCATGTACTGGGTTTCTTGTGAATGAACCTGGTGCAGTTATTGACACCGTCAGCTTTTCTTTTAAGAATCCTAGTTGTAAGTTCGCCTGAGCTTCTTTATACCAGCATATATCTGCACTAAAGTTCAACCGACAACTAATTCACTGGACCTGTTATACATATACATATAGTTAGATTCCCTTGGTACTTAGACCATATCGAAATACACCGTACAAAGTGGTGCGAAGATCCAAACCCTCTAAAAATACCACTTGAAAGCGAGGCGAGTTTTCTCGATCTGAACCCTGGGTTTGCATCGGAAATATCATTGCCTGAGCATGAGAGTTCGGTTGTCACACAATCTCAAACAGAAATATCTACTTCGAAACAAAACTCACCTGGAGAAGATTTAGTTGAAAATATGAGCGGGATATTTTCAACTTTCAATGGTAACGGCGCCCATAGTGCCTTGGATAACGAAGCTGCCTTATCACGTGCACAGATAAAGGAGGTACAGGATGGAAGTGAAAGCGACTTAGCTAGCAGAACTTCATTATCAGATTACTATTCTGCCCCAGGACGACTAGAAACACCGACTTCTGATTTGGAGGATGATATCTTGACATGGAAACTCTGGCCGACGTTGAACATCCCCGCGCCTGTAAGTGTGCGATTTGTGACGAATTATCACAAAAAGCGTGTTCTACCGATAGAGATTTAATATAAATTTTGTCTACTGAAAATGGTGCTATTTATATCATGTCGAGTACTAATCTGTAAATGAGACCAAGTGCCTATAATAGCACTCACCGCGGTTAAATATTGCATATCGCTGAATATAATTGGATTCACAAGAGGGTATTTTGCATTAAATCATTTCGAAATTACATAATTATATGCACAATTGTACAAGACAATAAAGATGTGAAATTCAATGCGACAAAATGTGTAAACTTAGAAGCTATACGGGCTCCTAAGTGTATTTGATGCATAATGATGAAGAATTTCTGGTGCAGATGTTCGGAAACCCAACATTGCCATATACCAGTCGCCAGTCTATAGACCTAACGAGAAGTCTCTGCAAATCTGAGGACCTAGGCACTCTTCTCATCGACCGCAACAGCGTTTTTCCCAGCCCCCACAACGCCCTTTCCGTTGTCAGCTTCGAGATCAGAGTCTGATTGTGCGGATGCACTGAACTCCTTTTGTTCTCGGAAGTACATGAAGAGGAAGTAGGCAATGACGACTATCCAGTAAACGTTATAGGAAATGACGGAGCCATATGTTGCAGAGTTTTGCCAACCGAAGACTATGAGGGGAAATCAAGTACGTTAGAATATTGAAATTGGACTGCATCGGCATGTATCGCGGCTAAGAGCCCCATGGTAAGACTTACGGGCATTGAAGATACCCCAACCGCCACCTCCATTATATCCGGGCGAGCAGCAATTGACGTGCCAAACGCTCTGCCTGATATCATAAGAGCCTGGTCCAGATCCCGTTTCTGCGACATCACCACCGACAAGTTTTCCATATTCGTACATCTCTAGTGTCCATACACCTCGAGAGAAGAGACCGGCGGCGACGAGGTACAAGAAACATGTCGATATGATGAGGAAAATTTGGAGGTGGAACATGTTACCGCCCCTGATAGTCAAGCAGATTAGCATATACATAACAAATTTACCCAAGGACAATCATTTACTTACTTATACATGATGAAACCGATAACGAGACCAGCGAGGATACCTGTAATAACGGGAATGGGAAAGGAGCTTGCGGGGAACGAGAGACCAACGCCTCCAACAAAGATGACAGCCTCAAGTCCCTCACGAAGGATGGTAATGAAAGGCAGGATGAAGAGCGCATATTTTTCAAGTTTTTGTCCGACAGTGGTTTCTTTTCTGGGAGCTTGTAGAGCCTTTGTAATCTTCTCTTGCCATTTCTTTTGAAGTTTCGAAACTCTCAGAATGGCCGCGCCCATTACCTACCAACAAGAAAACCGTAGTCATTAATATCAATCCCTCCTCAATTTCTCAATTCAACCTGGGGGAATATTGTAAGTCTTACAGTAATGATTACACTGGCGATCAAGCAGAATATGCCTTCCCATAAGTTTTCGGATTTTGCCCATGCATCGACACCCAGCCTGTAGAAGGCACCGATCATGCCACCCCCAATGGCGAGTACACAAATGAAACCTACTATTAGACCCAGCCAGACATGTCTACGCAAGCGCACATATGCCGCCCGATCACTTTCAGGTGTATCAAATGTCTTCTTCAGGAAGGATAAGAGGATGGCTGCGATAATTGCGGTCTCAAGGGACTCGCGAAAGACGATAAAGAACACTAAAACAGCCCGTAAGAGCAATTAGCACTCTTATTTTGCGTGCTTTCTAGCAAAGTAGGTAGCAGCGCACGAGTTTGAGTCGCACTGCATTTTTTGGAAATTTTGATTTGTGTTATGCGTGTCAATTACATACCTGGAACTGCGAAGACGTTCACCATCTTGGGCGCAATTGTCTCTATAGATAACTCTTAGATCCGAAAGATAAACCGCCAGAAACGGATCAGATAAAAGAGGCGAAAGATAATGATTGATCTTTAAGAGAAGAATGGAAAGAGGGAAAGAGAGACGTGCTCTTCAAATCATATCAGATTGTGAGAACTGAAAAAAAAAAGAAGCTGGCTTGTGCCCGTGGCACCAAATCCACTGGCAACCGCGGAATCGTTTTCAAAATGAAGCTAGCACACGAATGCAAGGAGTTCCTGCAACCCCAGCCTAGCAGGTGATCGATGCGCTGCACAATTGACGAGTATCGAATACTGGCTGCCGCCGCCTCGTACTAACATTGACTTTAACGGTTTTCTCCGGGTCCACACTCTTTCATTCCGCCACCGAACATGGGTCGAATGAATCAAGAACCGATCGCCCGCCTACGCATATGCATGAAGTGGACGGTGACTTATCTAAACAGGCAGAAATGAAACGAGAAGGAAACATGCCGAAGATCTAAAAGAGGGGAAAGAAAAATCTACATCTTAGGTACCCTACTCTTTGAGACTAAAACCGGCATTTCTGAACCGACTATCAGGCAAGGAATTTTCAAGACATCCTGCAAGCTTTCGCTTCAGCAATAGTGACTGCGTGGGAGGATGTCGCACACGATTGCATAGAGGGCGTCCCGGGCCCACATTGGGTTCCAATCCCTGTCTATCGGGGTCGCACCACTTCAGGCTTGGCAGTACGGATCAGATAACTTTACTTGGTACGGGTAGATGATCAAGGGTTCAGAACCAGTCCTCCAGCATAGCAAAGGCTTAACACTTCGACAACAATGGAATGAAAATGTCAATCACACCGGAAGGACATAAAATCTTGAGGCGGAATGGAACTCAAGACGCATGTTGATTTTGAAGTATTCCGCTGGTATTGCGATCCATCGGAACGGAGACACGAAGGCTCACATAAAATCACTCGCCTGAGCACACGGTGTTTCCCGCAGATGCGGGACAAATCGCGGGTTAACCAAAAACAGTACCGTTTCACTCCAGCTTCGATGCCGGCCGAAATCGGCCAAGAAAATTCAGGTTTTTTGTGACCAAAATTCTGGACTGCACGAAATGCAAAATTGGAACTCAAAATAGGTGTATGCCATCATGGCAGGAGGAAATGTACAAAATTGTCAGCCTACGATCAGATCAGACTTTGGCCCTGGAGCTCCAATCCCATCATTTCGCTATCGTAGCCCCACTCGTGGATCAGCCCACCCTGTTAGCGCACAGGGTTCTAAAGCGCGATTCGCTGGAGCGTGGGATGCATACTCGTTACATAAGTCAGCCCTCAATCGAGAATAGGAAACAGTTAACAGAACAGCGCCATTAGTCTTTCTTAAGCTAAGTTCTGGAATTTTTTTAGTCGTAGGTTCTCGGGGAGTAACATGGCGCCCGCCCTAAAAGAAAAATTTTCATGAGCCTCGAACCACCTTTAGCGAGAACTTTGGGAATCTCTTCTTGGATCATACCACCGGACGGCCCTTCAGATCGTGATGCATTATCTGATGGCAAACTTATTTCGACGACAATCTGATGCATCCGATAAGATTCGTAACAAAGAGCTGTTGAAAATACCACGAAGCAACGCAAGTTGTCGATATACCGATTTAAATAATTTATACGGTGAAGAGGGACGTTTTAAATTTCCTCCGAAGACGTGGATCATAGCCTAGGGCAAGGGACTTGTCATCGATCAAGCCTTTCTAGTCCGCATTGGCAATGACTTGGGCAGCTGCAAGAACCCCACCCCTCCAAGACTTTTACAATCCCTTGCTTTGGGACCCAAGACTCGGACGAAAGCTTGAAAGTGGCGGTTTCTAACGTTGAGGGAAAAATGGAACTAAATGCATGAATTGAATTGATTACTAGGGCGGAAAACATTTCCTTGCCTTTCTGCTTACACAGGAAACTTGTTTCCAGACCACCTTCCTTGCCAATCGAAAGTCAAAATCCTTTTGAGATGCCGAAGGTGGTATCGTTTGATCAGTTGATTATCTGATCCGCCGTCTCAAAGGCTAGAAAACTTTCTTTTTTTTAGAAAACTGTCGGCCCCACCACCTATCACATTCTGCAAATTGTATTCACGAGACGGCGCTCCGACGTTGCCTCAAGCTGCAGAAGCATGTACATATGTCGGGGCTGGGAAGTGGATCCCTGTAGACTTTCCTACCGCTGCATGAAATCGCTAAAGCTCGAGTTCGAGCGACCATTGAGGAAAAAATTCACGAGTGGGATGTCATCGACCCATGGCCAACATAGGCCAGGTCGCGAGCTAAAGTCGGCGGATTGATCCGATACTTCAAATTCCTCTTGGGGAGTGACTTCTTCCCATGAAACAATAATAATCTTATCAGATCATTCAGCTGCTCTTCAGCTATCTTTCCTTCCTTCCATACTATCACCAACATCCTCTGTAATTATCGTGTGCTTGAGGCAACTTTTCCAACGCAACGCGTTAACGTCTCAGGATGAAGTCGTTCGTGGCGGCTTCTTTGCTCTCTCTTCTTCCCTCAGTATTCTCAAAAACTGTTACATATGATTTTAATGTAACATATACAACAGCAAATCCAGACGGCCAATTCGAGCGTCGTGTAATTGGTATCAATGGAAAATGGCCAATTCCTACAATCGAAATTGAGAAAGGCGATAGATTAGTCGTCAATCTCGTCAACGGCTTGCCAGATGTCGAAACAAGTCTTCATTGGCACGGTCTGTTCCAGAATGGAACAAACGCTATGGATGGGCCTGGGAAAGTTACGCAGTGCGCACTTGCTCCTGGCCAGAAAATGACCTATAACTTCACAGTAAGTTCAGCAACGTTATTTGGCAAACCCGGAAATGCTCCCGCATATCTGGGTCCACGGATATATATAGGCTTCGGTCGCGAAATAGAAGAATTTCCTGACTTGGCTTTCTTAGATCAACCAACCAGGAACATACTGGTACCACTCACACATTAAAGGTCAATATCCTGATGGTATCCGCGCGCCATTGATAGTGCGAGATCCAAAGGGCCCATACGCCAAAAAGTACGACGAAGAAGTTGTGATTTCACTCAGCGACTGGTACCATGATGAGAACCCTCCACTTTTGGCAAAGTTTTTGTCTGTCGGAAACCCAACAGGTGCAGAGCCAGTCCCTAACTCTGCTCTCATGAATGAAACACAAGGAATGCCATTCCATGTTAAACCTGGAAGGACTTATATGGTTCGTTTGGTAAACATGGCTGCATTTGCAGCACAGTACTTCTGGATTGAAGGCCATACCATGAGAATTATTGAGGTCGATGGTGAATACACTGAGGAGGCGGAAGCGGAAATGATTTATCTCACTGCGGCGCAGAGACTTTCTTTCCTTTTGACTACTAAGAACGAAACCACCAAGAACTATGCCATTGTCGGAAGTATGGACGAGGTTAGTATCAATAGCGCTAGTAAACCCTACATGAAACTTGAAATGTTAATATATTTCCTAGGATCTCTTTGACCAAATTCCTGACGGACTAAACTCCAACGTTACTGGTCACCTCATCTACAGCGCTGCAAGACCACTCCCAGAACCTGCGTTCGTCGATGCATTCGAGCCATTTGATGATTTCACCTTGGTCCCTTTTGATGGTGAGGATCTTTGGGAAGAGCCCACATACACATTTGCCCTTGAGGTTATGATGGATAACCTTGGAGACGGTGCAAACTACGCATTCTTCAATGGTATCACTTATGTTCCCCCTAAAGTTCCCACCCTTTACACTGCTCTCAACGCTGGAAATCTCAGCTTGACGCCAGAAATCTACGGCCGCGATACAAACCCCATCGTCTTCAAGCATCACGATGTCGTTGAATTGATTATCAACAACAACGACCCTGGAAAGCATCCATTCCATCTTCACGGCCATACTTTCCAGCTCGCCTATCGTAGCGATGTTGATGCTGGCTTCTTCAATGCTTCTGATGAGTCCATCGAATTCGCCAAAAAGCCAATGCGAAGAGATACAGTCTTGGTAAATCCGGGCGGCAACGTTGTTCTGCGCTTCCGCGCTGATAACCCCGGTGTTTGGCTTTTCCATTGTCATATTGAGTGGCATATTGAGTCCGGTCTCATTGCCACATTTATCGAGGCTCCAGATGTTTTGCAAAAGACTCAAACCATCCCGGAAGATCACCTGGCTATTTGTAAAGCACAGAACCTCCCAGTAGTCGGAAATGCTGCTGCGAACGCCGAAGACTACTTGGATCTCACTGGACAAAATTTGAGCCCAGCTCCACTGCCAGCAGGGTAAGCACTCTCCTTGAAATTTTATTAAATTTGAGAGCTTCGCTAACAAAGATGTATAGATTCACCGCTCGTGGTATTGTTGCCTTGGTTTTCAGCGTTATTGCCGCCTTCATTGGTATCGCAGTCATCACATTGTATGGAAGCCAAGAACTGAAACAGAAGAAGGCTTGATTTTTTGTCGATTTCTGGTTGCTGCTTGCCACGCGCAACATTCTTTTGATTTTTCGTTTTCATTTTCGCAATCATAAGTGCTAGCATAGCCTGTTGTATATACCGTAATACTGAGCACGAGCCACAAGAGCTTGTCATGAATCGTCACTAAGAGAGTTCGAAATACTGCATCGCTTTCATAGATTTTGTGACGTCATAGCCGCTGGGATACTCGTACATATATATCGTACACCTCCTTTATGTATTTGTGGACCCTTCAAGATCCTCTGACCTCCCTTCCTAGTTTCTCCAGGGTCCCTTCGTATATCTGCAAGGCCTCATCGTTGAGTTCCGGCGCACTTTCCTTGTTGATACCATCGGAATTGCTTCTTCGGACCTTCCCAATGCCTGTCCACCACCACCTTGCTTCGCTATCTTCCACCAAGCTCCATGTGATACCTTTGTTACCTGCGCGGGCGGTTCGCCCGACGCGGTGTATGTAATCCTTCTCGTTCCTTGGCGAGTCGTAGTTGATAACCAACTGTGCATTGGGAAGGTCAACACCTCTCCCCATCAAATCCGTGGATATTAATATGTCGATCGTTGAAGCCTTGAACTTAGACGTATTGGCAGATATTTCCTTTTTCCGTTTATCAGAAGTAGATACTGCAATTCTCCAGTCCTTTCCGCTGCTCCCTTTTCGTTTTTTGCCGAGCTTCTTGGCAAATAGTAGCTCGAGAAGTCTTGCAAGGCGGGATGCTGACTCGTTTGATTTTGTAAAAACCAAGATACCGGACTTTGTCTGGCTGTCTGAGAGGAGCTTCGCTAATATCAGTGGCTTTTGGGTCGGGTTGGAGACGGGATAATAATGTTCCTCTAAAGTAGAAGGTAAAGAATTAAGCTCCCTTAGTCCCTTGTCAGCCGTTTCTTGGTCTTCGCCATCGTTATCAGATCCGTCTATCGCCATCTCCTGGCCGCCAATGTCATCTACGGCTATCAATTGTGGCCGCCTAAGTTTCAACCCTGCAAGCCTGCCAACATCCCTAGTCATAGTAGCTGATAAAATAACTTTCCTCACGGTGTCGGCAGCACGTTTGGGGGTTCTCAGGCCCATTGATGTGATATCGAAGCCGCCTTGCTCGTCCTCTCTGGAGAAAGGTTTTTGTAATTCATCCCCAACAACTTCTACCCAATCCTGAAAGCTTTGGCTTAATAATCTGTCTGCTTCATCGACTACTAGCCATTGGAGGTGCCGAAGTGTGAACTGTGGATTGTTTCGGATGTGCTCAACTAGCCTACCCGGAGTTGCTATGAGAATATCGGCACCAGTACTTCCAATGTCATTGGCTATGATATGATCCTTCTCAACCTCAAAAGAACGAGTTCCAATTGCAGTGCTGATTTTTAAAGATGTTCCGGCGGCAAGCGAGTGTGCTGTCCGTTGAACCTGCGTGGCTAATTCGTGCGTGGGAACAATAATCAAGGCATAGGTATGCGGCACTATCCGGTTGATGAGGCTTGCGAGAATGGGGAGTAGGTATGACAGAGTTTTCCCTGAACCTGTGGCAGCTGAAACGAGAAGATCTGATCTAGGAGTCGAGGGTGGTAGGCGGTTATCCGGTAGTAGAAGGGGTAATAGCGCCGACTGAACAGGGAATGTATCCTTGAACCCTAGCTTCTCCAAACGGCTCAGAAGCAATTCAGGGAGCCCGAAAGATTCAAATGGCGGCCGTTGGCTCGTCGGTACTGTCGTAGGCTGAGAGAGGTAGGATGGAAGGACGGAATTCGGGTCCACTTTTTGGACTGGTGCTTGAGCCGGTTGGGGCAGTGGATGAAGTCCCTGTAGTGGCTCCTCTGAAACAATCTCTTTGGCCACAATCCTTGGACCAGAGGCTAGAACTTCAGCCCTATACTTGTCGAACTTAGAGAGAATTGACAAGTGCCCAGTTGACAAATCCTCGTCCTTTCTCTTTTTATTTTTGTCCTTCTTTGAACTTTGCTTTTCGTCCGAGCCAGTCGCTGCATCTTTCAGGGCCACTGGCTCGTCGACCTCCATAGTATCATTTGCAAGGTCTACGACGTTTCCCTCCGTGATAGAATCGATTTCCGTGGCATTGGCGAGTGATGCAAACTTCGCCTCTGGCTTTTCAGAGCTTTCAAGTCGTTCGTTGCGATCCTTTTTGGGTTTGGATTTGTCCTTTTCCGATTTCGAAGACTTCAAATCGGCGGGTGTCCCAGCGCTGTGCTCCAATGTTTCCGGGTCTCTCTTTCTTTTTTTTGACATGTCGATACGCCGTAGGTATGTTCAGGCTTCGAAGGTGGATGTTGAGGAGGAAGTTTTGTCGCAAAATTTCGGTGTCGCTGAGGTCAATTAGTGAAGCGAAGTCTTGGCTTAATCGGTCTTGGCTGCGACAGAGCCTCATAACAACGCCAAACTCGCGACTTGTCCGGATGATATATCACAATCCCATATTCAGAACGGTCGGTGGTCTGAGGTTCGCCTCAGATACCGCAGCTGTATGTTCGAAAAGATGTCCTACAATATAGCGTACGTTATATCTCCTATCCGACGCCTGGCGGTCAAGCTAATGGTTATCACAGGATGGTTTCGGACTTCTTCTTTCCCCAGCCTGGAGGCGTTGAAAGTCATATCTACCAGGTTTCTAGCGTCTGTTACTCTAATAAATCTCACACATCTACACGAACCTAGACTGAAATGTTGAACTATTAGAAACTAGTTGATCGGGGGCACAAGGTCGTCATCATCACACATTCATATGGCGACCGTACGGGAGTCCGATACCTCGCAAATGGCATTAAGGTTTACTATGTCCCATTCTGGGTCGTCTATCGAGAGTCCGCGCTACCAACAGTATTCTCTTTTTTCCCAATATTACGCCAGATTGTCCTTCGGGAACGGATCGATATTGTACATGGTCACGGTAGCTTGTCCGCCTTTTGTCAAGAGGGTCTATTACATGCCAAGACCATGGGATTGAAAACTTGTTTTACGGATCACAGCTTGTTTGGATTTGCGGATGCAGCTAGTATCCTCACAAACAAGCTGCTAAAGTTTACATTGAGCGATGTAGACCATGTTATTTGCGTTTCCCATACCTGGTAAGATAGATCCTTTGGGGGAAGACAATGAGTATTAGTTGCTAATTGGGTCATAGTAAGGAAAACACTGTTCTTAGAGCGGCATTGGACCCGTTCACTGTTTCAGCCATACCGAATGCCTTGGTCTCTAAAGACTTTAGGCCAGCTGATTCCCCTCCACCTACTTCTACGATTACAATTGTTGTGATATCTCGCTTGTTCCCGAACAAAGGCTGCGATTTGCTCGTTGCCACAATACCACGCATTTGTGCCCAGCACGAAAACGTCAGATTTCTTATCGGTGGTTCGGGGCCCAAGGCTATTGATTTGGAACAGATGATTGAAAAGAATGTCTTACAGGATCGGGTCGAGATGCTCGGGCCAATCCGGCATGAGGATGTCCGGAACGTCATGATAAGAGGTCAGATATATTTGCACGCTTCGTTAACCGAAGCCTTCGGGACAGTTATCGTTGAGGCAGCCTCCTGTGGCCTCTATGTTGTATGCACTCAGGTCGGCGGTATTCCGGAGGTACTACCGAGGGAAATGACCGTTTTCGCAAAACCGGAGGAAGATGATATTGTTGCGGCAACTTCGAGGGCAATTCATGCTATCAAATCTGGCACAGTTCGGCCAGAAATGTTCCACGACCAAATCAGGCAAATGTACTCATGGACCGATGTCGCGGAGCGAACTGAAAAGGTCTACGACGGGATCATGAGGCTTCGAAGCTCACGCCTTATTGATCGACTTAAGCGTTATTATGGATGTGGAGTTTGGGCAGGAAAACTGTTTGTTCTCTGCGCAGTCATTGACTACCTCCTCATGATGTTCTTAGAGTTTTGGTGGCCGAGACGGAACATAGACGTTGCGAGGGACTGGCCGAGAAAGCGGGTAGTCCGAAAGGAGAGTCCTTCACAAACCGACGCTGAGGGCAGTCCCGTTGTCGGCCCGGAAGAAAGAAACGGCTGGGTATCGGATATGCAAGACCAAGAATGATACCGCCGTACTTGCTAGACGAAGTCCCTACGGCCTCCTTATACCAAGCCAATTCTCGGCAGCCCAATTGCAGTTGGGGAACCCTAGAATTATCTTATAGACACTAGCCGCGCTTTGTCCAACATGTGGCACGTTCGTCTCAGGCCTGAAGCTGGAGCTAACAAGGCCAACAAAGGCAACAAAGCCGTCGCTTGGTAGCGCACGTCGCTTCATCCGCACCGCTCTCCATGACCTGGAAATCCGTACTTGTCTAAACAGCAACCATTCTTAACTCGCTGTCCGGAGATGGACTACATCAACTTGAGAGCTACTGTTCCATCTGGGTATATGTTTCATGGTCCGAGAGGTCAAGCCTAATATTTTGCAACGTTGAAAAACGCCCCAAAGTTACCCCTGGTTGTCATAACACCGGAAGCCTATGTATTCGAAGCTCTTTGCAAATATGTTTCGCCGGTGCCAGTTATATCATCTTACAAATTAATGAGCCCGGAGAAAGGGCGCCTTTCTGCTGACAACTCTCCAGTTCATTGTCAAGAACAGAATCGCAAGTTTACTAGCTCGAGAAGAATCTAGTTTCCTACGCATTTGAGCGATTGGATCTCTATCTACGGTTACAATTCACACCGCAAGTTTGTCCTAGCAATCAGTATCTTTAAAGGCCTTTCATTCATCCATTTATTCATTCATTCTCTGGGGTCATGGGTTCAGGGAATTTTCTTGGTGGTTCAAACGAATCCGATGGATATGGATTTCAGCATGAATTAGATGATTACATCAATAGTTTTGCTGAGGAAGATCAGTTTAGTCTATTCTTCGATGACACATACTACGGCGGGTTCGGAGGAAACGATGTTTCTCACCCCTTTCTACCCGACGAATGCGCTCAGCCCCCGTTCGATGTTCCGGATTCCGCCATCGACCCACGGCTAAGAGCAAAGCCAAGTATACCCGCTGAAGATCCTCAAACCCTCCTTCCTCACCCATCAGCCAGCGTAGTAGCCCCCCCTCAGCCACTTCGCTCTTATCCCTCTCAGGGCAATGTAAACCTACTATCCCAGACTCCCACGTTCTCCTCTCCTTCGAGAAAACTTCGTAGAAGGTCAAAGAAGGATGAAAGTACTCATAATAATAGCCCTGAAGCCAAGTACCCACTATACGATCGTAGGTTGTATGAATTGGCGACACATCATTATACACCTCTTCGGGGTCATTGTGTAGTCTATAAACCCGTGCCCGATGTTGGAAGCCTCAACGATGGCCCTACGCCCCCAGAGATCAGTCAATCAGAAATTGACGAGTTTTTAGCATCTCTCGACTCGATGTCATTCGACAGTATAGGGGACATTGTGATGACAGACCCCTCTGGTCCGGCTGCTCAACCTGTGATCCAGCCGACGCCAACCCATCAGTCAGTATCTATACATAATAAGCAGGAATACGTTCGACACATGCTCGCACCTTCTGCACCGCTTATTCAACCCTCAGAAAAGCGAAAGCGCGGTAGGCCGAAGAAGGATGAGGTCGACGAGTCGCATCAAGAAGCAACCTCACCAATTGAACTAAATCTTTCTTACTATCAAGGGATAAACCAACCTTTCATGCAATCAACGAGTGTTCCGGGCCCATCAAATGTCTTGAGGCCACCTATTTCTGCACCGCAATACATTCCCCCTGCCTACGGTATAACTTCTCTCCCCACTCCGAGCTCCTCACGCTCAACTCCAAATCCCGGATCTGAGACAGGTGACGAAAACTCTCGATCTCATTCCAAGCGTCGAAGACTGGATACTCGAGGTCAAAATCGGTCTATGTCTAAAAAGGAACAAGCATACCTTGAAATGGATGACAAGGTCAAATTATACGATCAAACAAACGTCCACGAATTGCTTTACTACCCGTCAATCAAACCGGGGCGTACTCCCTGCTTTTGGATCCAAAGGCATCCATACGCCAATACTCGTGTTTATGAGGATCATTATAGGACTTGGTGTCGATACCGCCACTGCAAGGGCGTTGAAACAACAGAGTTAATCCGTACCGCCTCAGGTGAGATGCGAGAAAAGAACTACAAACATCCACGAACGATAATTGCTGGGAACTACCAAGTCGCCGTGGATTGGGAGTATGCCACCGACGAAATTTCAGCATTCAAGAACGACCCTGAAGGCCAGCACGCCTATGATCGGCGCAATGTTTTTGATACTCTGGAGTGCTTTTTTCATCTTAGGTGCTTCGAACAACTAGTTGATTTTCCGCATGTTGTCAGGACACAGTTGGTTCAAATAGACCACCGAGTCTTACACCAGGATAAAAGCAGAAACAAGATCACTAAAAGGAAGAACAAAGGTGGGACGAACGCCGCAGAGATCGAATGGTACTTGAAAGACGATGCTGAACAATGGATGAAAAGGACACAGCTAGATTGGACCTTTAACCCTCTTCCTGGGAGCGACGAGAGCCTAGAGAGGGTATTGTTGAACGGGAAGAAGCAATACAACGAGAGGAAAGGAAGCAAATATATGCTTCAGCCAGGAAGTGAATTTGGAAGTCCAGCCCCTTCTGAGCTTTGAACGCTGTTGTGGAGGTTAAAATATTGGGAATAGGGGGCCTGAGGCTGTCTGTTAGATCTCTCTTTCGTTATGGCAAGTCGACTTACCAGCCCAAGATGAAGGCTTAGATACATACGCATATAGACTTATAAAGTACTAAGTATGTATGGGTAAATCTTGCAAACATTTGGATATTTGTGGGTTTTGCTATGGAGTTTGTTTGGTATTTGGGCGATATCAATTTCGTACGTGTTCATTAATTCATCGTGTTACATTGGCTATAGCTACAGTACTCAATAGCTTACTCAATAATTCAAGATTGCTTTAATACTGCAATCAGTATTCACAGTCTAGCTCCAGCCATTTCGAGTTAATTCCTACATCCAGAAGGTGAAGGGCCGATGACGAACCAATACCATGACGATCCTTTCGATTCCTTGCCAATGGATTTTGAATGTGAGTATATCGTCAACGTCCCACAGCCTTGATGCTAGCACGCACTAAAGTCTAGCTATACCTCTTCTGTTGTATGTACATGTATGTTGGATGTTGATATTCTAATCAACTTAATTAATTTGGGGCACGATACACTTCACTGATTACATCCAGAATCGAGTGTTCGCACATGCACGAGATCGAGAGCGAGAGCTCCCAAGACTAACTATAAGAAACTTATCCTTATATCGTCACTTCATAGTATCACCGAACATACTCAAGTATTTGCCCGAGGATCGCCATACACTATCACACGCAGGATCCTCAAAGATTTTACTGACCTACACGAGTACTGTTTCGAGTTGACATGATGTTTGAATCCCAGATCCCAAAACAACAAATATTCGCGTGTTATTTTGGACATGATTAGTTGTTTCCAAAGAACAAAGAAATAACCTGTCCACCATGTTGGTATCGACTCATGCGATATACATTGGGGGGTACCCTGCAGGCCTGGCTAAAAGTAAATACATAAGTTGATATTTTTATTTCTCGTGAAAGAAACGCGACCGCGTCATTTAGTTTCTATATTATCAATATACAAGTTCAATGGAAACTTTCGATTTGAATGCCGGGCTGTTTTCTTCCTTCCGGTTCATGTATGACTAGAAACCAGGGTTTTACAATAGAACTCTGAATACTATTCCTGTCAATATTATATCTGACTTCTCAAGCTTTAGGGTCGCTCTCTATATAATTCTCATCGATTTTATTAACATAGTGTCACAATCGTTATTCTCAATCTCCACTCCACAATCGATCACTGTCTATATTTTGGTATTCTTTTCATACCAAGTTTTCAGTCTTCAATTAATCTGATCCCCAAAACTTCAAACATACCATACATGTATACATTGCAGCTTGGGGTGGATAAAAAAGCGGAAACGTAGGCTTGAGGCCTATTTCTCACCAAACTTAACGATAAACATCCACACTAAAGTCAATCTGTCACGATGGTCTGCGAATACACTCTTTTCAATTTCCCAGGATGCGGTTGCCCCGCTCTCGTTCCTCTTCGGTTCTGTCCTGAGCATCTCAACCCAGATCCAAAGAACATATGTTATCAAGAAGGAAGGGATGCCGCCCAAAACCCAGCCCGCATAACTATGCTCTTCGGAGGCCCTGCACAACCTATCTCGCTACAAATATACGAAAGAATGTGCAATCTTTACAAAACCCCATTGCTCGCCAAAGACCCCAAACTCTCCGACAAGATCCAACAACAATCCTATGAACGTTTGGCTAAGTTGATGATGAACATGCAGAAACACACCGTAGATTGGCATGATGGTGGGACAGTCAAAGCTGGATTTCACACAAAATTGACGCGATACCATGTCATATACCCCAGCTGTGGGAACATGAGATTGGAAAGGCCAGCAGACGAAAAGTTCTGGCCGTTCGCGGAAACAAGGTGTATTGAACACTCAGACGACTTGATTGAAGATAAAGTTAACAATAAGTGGACTTTCGCCCCCCGACCTCAATTAGAGCTGTTCAATGAACCTTTTGAACACAGATTCAATGCGGCCATCGCGGTAAGGTTCCTTAAATTGGTTGATAAAGGTGATAAATTCCATCGACTAATTTATGATTTACCTGGATGCTATCCGGAACGATATGATCCTACTGGGAAGACATACAAGCCTACAGACGAAAATAATGGAAACCAGAGTGACGATAGCGACTCCTCAGATGGTTCTGAGGAACCGAAAACCGGAGGAGGATATGGAAAAAAGAAGAAGGAGAATAAGAAAGCAAACAACGGGAAAAAGAACGAAAGTGGAAGCGAGTATCAAGGTACAGAAACTGAGGGTAGTGGTGAGGAATCAGGTCCAAAAGGCAAAAAAGAAGTTGAAGGTCCAGCAAAGAAGAATAACGGGGGCTCTAAGGAGAACAAGCCCCAAGGGGGTAAGCAAGAACACGAAGTCGTCACTTCTACAAATACTATCGTTCCGGTCCCAAAGAAAAAACCTGCAGCCAAACGGAAGCCAAAAAAGGACGATGACGGTGAATGGGAGGAATCGGGGGAGGACGAAACCGATGAAGATATCGAGGAGGGGAAAGGAGGGAAGAATAATGGGAAAAAACCTTCCAACAACAAGAAGGATACGACAACCACAGAAACGAAGCCAAAGGCTGAAGGCAGCAAGAGCAACCCGAATTCTAAACCAACTAATAACGGGCCTAAGAAGCCAAATACCAATCCCACAAATCGAAATAATGAAGACAATAACGCTAATCAGGGAAACGATGAAGACACCAACGATGAAGACGAGCTATCTGAAGCGTTCACAGAGATGAGCCCAAAGGGACCAAAAACCCAGCGGCGACCAAAAAGAGGAGAGGAAAAGCCGGAATTCTCTGGACTGCGTAGGGTTGTACCATCCCATCTCGATGAAGTTGGCTCGGGGTTGAGGCTCTATCGAGCCCTAGGCAATTATCGGGAACCAAAATCGTCAACGGATGAACTGGAGCAATTAAATCTCCCATCTACGAACCAAACGATCGATGACATCTTCAACGGATGGAAACAGAATAAGCTACAAGAAGAAGATATATAAATTTTGATGAGTAGATTTTACTCGCCTGGCCGGCCGCCTACCTGTGTCGCTATGTGAGGTTATACTTAAAAGAGTAAGGCTAGCTTATTAGCTATTAGACGAATTTATTTAAACATGCTCGAGTTGAACTAATGGATACATCGATGACAGACTGAGGGTTACAAGATATGAATTCAAGCTATATGTACGTACAGAGTAAAGATTTTATGATAATATTGATATCGCGCAGTCATCTTGATCTATGTAGTCAGCATGTATATCCATGGTCTAAATGAACTCATATGAATCATCGAATAAGTAACCATCTATCTCCCTTTTTTTTCCAAGGTCGAAGGTTTTCCAGCATAGAGATGTGCTTTATTAAATTAGCACCCGGTTCTATAGGTCTAAATAATCAAGAGCTATCCTATCTCATCTCAATAGAGACGCATTATCGCACACTAGTCTAGAACGTTAACGCTGTATACCACCAAGATTTGGATAATTGATTTGTTGAAGACGATATCGATATCTATATCCCATTGCTTTGAGAGCATTAATGAGCTAATTACACAAGTTTTTCTGCATGTTAACAGATCCATGTCCTGGTCTAGTGGTTATACATTGGAATTCGGTGCGGCATTTATACGCGAGGATTTACATATCTGGGCCAATCATTCATAGGTTCAACCAATGATCAATCGAGACCTCGAGATGCACCGACGAAGCTGGGGCTAATTAATAATTAGCTATAGTTGAGATACCCTTTGAGTTCCTAGAACTAATAAAATACACAATGAGGGTAAAATATCCTCACTCTTGGATACTCCATCTCATAATCTGTCCTATCCTCACATCTGCCGTTGAAATCGGATTTCAAACTCAATCCCAATCTTTACAAAATACCTTCACTTTCCAAGAGGCTTGGCCCCAAGGCCGTTCCTGCTACCACGTTAAAACAAGTACAGCGGACCCCGTAACCTCAATAAAGGTACGCACAAGCCGTACAGACATCCAAGTCAAAAAGACACCAGAAGCAATCGGATTTTTTCTAGGCAAAAAATGTAGCATCGAGGCTCTTCAATTTGTAGTATTCTACTATCAACCTTTCGAAGACGCTGTTGATCAACGGTTTAATCTTGACGAATTACCGGCACTGTTTAGGGACTTTAATCACTATAGAGAGATCAAAGACGGTACTTTGGAATGGGTAAATCTCCTCGGTAACGCTCTAAGAGATGGGAATAGTCTGAATGAAGGAGATGTGGTATACCAATTAACGGATGGAACATGGGATACCCTGAAAAGCGTCGTGGAAGTAACAGATATCCCAAACATCAACAATCCCTCTCCAGTGCCGTACGACTGGTACCTTGACAAGGGTCTTCGAAAATCTACCCTCAAGAAAGGGAACTACCTAGGCCATTTCCGCCATCAACCTGTTACAGATTTTATGAGGAGTAGAACCGCAGACGTTGATCGTGACGAAGCAAAACAACTACGCTCAAAATCACGAAAGGAATGGAGGAAACATACTGCTGACGGGTATTCAATCGAAAACTTCAAGATTATGCCCTCGCCGGTGGAAATATTCTCACGATCAAGAATTTCGGACGCGGGGAGTCCATATTTTCCGGGACCGGCTATAAAAGGCCTTTCACCCTTGCTTAAGATTGCGACGGTGGGTGAGGGTAATGTAGACCCTGATGATACAACAGAATGGGACGAACCAAAGCTAGAAGGACGAACGTCGATTCCCCAGATGTCCACTATGAAACGAATTATGCCCTATCTTCCTCGCACACCACAGGTATCCCCAGAGGAAATAAAGAATCAAAACGAAGATAGTAACGAAGATATAATCCCCGATGACATCTATACCGGAATTACACATTCGCAACTACAAAATGAAGGTAACAATCCAACAATAGCGGGCAAGACAAGCAGGAGAAATGAACCATCTGCCAGAAGGAATATGTATTCTTCAGAATTTTACGGTACGCCGTCGAAATGGTATATGATTAAAAGCGCAGATACGGTGCAAACTCTCCAAGAAGAAGAGTTCGAACAAACACCAATGAATCTTATGGGGAACACGAGGGATTTTAGTCGAGCAGCTGCTATGGGCGATGCCGATTACGAAAATGACTCGTTAAAACTAGATCGAGAATCATTGGGCCGTATTGACTCTTTTTCAAAATATACCGGACCAACTTATATGCAACGAAGGGTATCCAAATTTGACTAGATTTTATATATAGACCTGTTTTAAGTATATAGAGATATAATATATTATTAATCGACCACCGTATTTAATCATAAATAGAAATATTAGTAACAAATCTAGAAAGCAACGTGGCATCCAAAGGACACTTTAATCAGAACCTAGAGTACTTATGTGGAAGTTGACCTCGCATATCATTAAAATGTTTTCCGCTTGCATGCGCGCATGGAGCGTTTGGCGATAACTTTAATGTAGAAATGATTGCATCACCAACCTAATAGATCTCGAGATCATGTATTCATGACCTAAAAGTCCAAACCGCACTCCGTAGCCTCCTTATGTATACCCCATGATTCTAAATAAAAAAGGTCTCATTATCTACAATTGACTACAACAAAGAAAATGCCCCAGAATCACCACATCCTCTGCTTCAAAGAGAAATTCCCAACCAATAACACCTCTAACTTCGCAAAAACACCACGTTACCTCCACATATCCTCTAACCACCTCTTTTACCCCCCGCTTCCTCAAATCCAGTATCCCATACTGTAGATCATCGCGCTCAAACACCGTGTCTCCCCCCCAAAACAGATTCCAACCCTCGGCCGCCTGACATCCAGCGCGGGCCGGCTCCAGATGAAAAAGACATTTAACCGAACCTCTTTATTCATTTGTACAATCCTGAGCATCTTAATTCTATTCCTGAGGCTCGGTTTACGGCTATGGCATAAAGAAAGCTGGAATGCGGGGGATACATGGAGTGTGATTGCTTTGGCGCATATAATTGCGAGGATGGTGTTCAGTAGTTATATCATGATATGGGGGACCAGTTTTGGTAAGTTTATAAATACTTCCTGAGAGCGTATAGCATAATTTACGTAAAAACTAGTGTTTTGGAGTAATTCTAATTGTAACATGGCCGTTCTTAATCCGTATAGCATTAACAGCGGGAGAGTTCCAAAATCATGAACAAGATTTAACGCCTACGCAAATCCACCATTTGGAGATTGGAAGTAAATTAAACGTCCCAAGTCGTATAATGTTGGTTGGAGCGTAAGATTGATTCCCCTGATACCCATACAAAACTCCAATAACCCATAAATCAAAATAATATCTTCTAGTGAAAGGCATAACTAACACACTTTTTACCAAAGTTTGTGGTCCCTCAAATTTGTAATCTTCGACTTTCTCTGGCGCATAATCCGAAAACTCCCCTACGAGCGACCAATATTGATAACATACGTAACAATCATCGTTGCGACATGGATAGCCTCCAATGTCGTAGTCCTCGCCGAATGTAGACCATTCCATCGATGGTGGCAATTATCTCCCAATCCCGGGCCATGCGTACAGGCTAATCAATGGCTGATTACCTATGAAGTCGGAAATATGGTTACCGACGCAATGCTTTTAGCGTTGCCATTTCCGTTATTATTTATGGCTAGAGTGCCTTTGGAGAAGTATGAATATGGTTTTATGAATTTTTTTTTGAGAAGGGAAGGGAGCTAACGGGTATTTATATTTACGTGCAGACGAATCCGGCTAATAGCCCTCTTCTCAATCGGGTTCTTCCTCCTTGCGATTTGTATCGTGCGTATGGTCCAAGGTCTCCAACATGCACACTTCCAGTTATCACGAACGATGTGGGCATCAATCGAACTATTATTCGCCACGATAGTTGCCTGTTCACCTAGTATATACTGCCACATCCGCCGGGGTAGAGAAAGCACCGGGATAACAAATATGATGCCAACCACACAACGGGGCTCTAACTCATCGGCACGTACAGAATGTAGAATGGGGAAAAGTACTTCTCACGGCAGTGGAAATAGCTACAGTATTGAAAACGGAAGATCTAGCTTTCCGGGTAGTATTGGTGGCAGTACCACGAGTTTCACAGGAGGGGAAAGACATTCTTCAATATTTAGTAATTATCGAAATAGTGAACGCCACGGGAGTTGTGCTGGTAGTAGGAGGAATAGTAGTAGAAACCCGAGTATTGCGAGTAGACATAGTATCATCAGCAGGAATTTCAGCGTAAGTAGTAGTCGAAACATGAGCTTTAGCAGTAGTCGACATAGCAACACTGCTGCGGGAGCAAGCAAAAGCAGAATGGGCAGTTACGCTGGTCCGAATTTCGATATTCCGACATATGACGGTGAGATATTCCCCGGGTTTGACGCTTTTGGGGGACACGAGAGGGGTAGTGTTAGTGCTAGTGTTTGGACTTATGGTGGAGTGATGGAAGAAGGGAAGACCGAGGGGGACGGCGGGAAGGAGGAAAAAGGAGGGTTTTATGTCATCGATGAAGAGGAGGGGAAGGGTTTGGAGGGAATTATGGTGGATACGACGTGGAGTCAGGTTTCAGAAGTCGATACTGAGTGTAGACCGGGAGCTTCGGGGATAATTCAGCCGCCTAGCAGGACGATTACCGAAGAGGAGGAACCTGAAGAGTCGGGTTTGTAGGCCTCTGTCTGTATGTACGATGTAATGAAGCACCAATATTTCAATATAATCTTCGAGTGCAGGCGTGCTATCATGCCAACTATAGTTGATTAACAAGAGATTGTATTCTATAGCAAATAATTTTGTCGCTCAATTGATAAATACAAGAAATTCAATGTACATATGCCCAAGATAACTTTTGTGAAAGGACGGTACATGCAATCAAACTAACTATCTGAAACAAAAGATAGCAATCTGTCAACATAATACCCATTTCATGAAACTTTTCGCATGAAAATTCGGACTGAGCATATGGACTCCCATAATAATTTAGATTTTCAGAGACGAAACTTCACCGTTGGGCGCATGCTTAGTGAGCGGTGTGCCAGGTCTGCTAGACAAGAACTGTTACGAAACACCTAAGTTAGTACGAGAGGTTCCAGGTATATATACTTATTTCACGGAGGGGAATCACTTACGCCACTCGCCGCACTAAGAAGAGCAATCAAACTGGCTTGTACCACATCTTCGTGGATACCAACACCCCAAACCGCCTCCTCCTTCACCGACTTAACACCCCGTCCAGCCTTCGAGGGTGAACATTCGATGTAAGCCACGGCTTTGACGTGGGTACCGGCACTCAACGCATGTTCTTTATAGTCTGTAACGTCAAGTTCAATGCCAAGCACCCTTAACGCATTCGCCATACTGGAAATGGCACCGTTTCCCACACCCTTGATTGGCCTTTCGATCCCGTCCAAGGCAACTATTCCCTCAAAATGTCTCTTCGGCTGTTCTTCGGCAGGCCTTCCATTGCCATTGGCTACCACACCTTGGGGAGGCCTCCCCCGACTAGCTGCTCTATCGGTTTTGATATCGTAGTCGATGAGGGTAAATCTTGGGTTATTTTTGAGATAATAAGTATCCTCAAACAACTTGACGATTTCTGTGGGCTGTAGTTCTCTATTGACAGACTCTGTGTGCTTTTGAACAACCTTTGAAAAGGCAATTTGTAGACCTCTGGGAAGGTCGAGGCGCATATGCTGCAGTATAACCCAGGCGGCACCACCTTTCCCACTTTGGCTGTTGACACGAATGACGGCTTCGTAGGTTCGGCCGATGTCTTGTGGGTCGAGAGGGAGATAGGGAATGACCCATGGATCATTATAGCTAGCATTGCCTTCGTCTCGGAGCTTGAAACCCTTTTTGATGGCATCTTGGTGGCTCCCGGAAAAAGCACACACAACAAGTTGACCACCATAAGGTTGGCGGGGGTGAACCGGGATCTTGTTGCAATCTTCAACGATCTCGATAGTCTTGCTGATGTCTGAGAAATCAACATTGGGACAGACACCCTGAGTGTAGAGGTTCAAAGCCAAAGTGACAAGGTCGACGTTGCCGGTTCTCTCTCCGTTACCGAAGAGACAACCTTCGACTCTCTGTGCACCAGCCATTTGGGCCAATTCAGAGGCAGCGACAGCACAGCCTCTGTCGTTATGAGGGTGGAGAGAAACACAGATCTTTTCTCTCTCTGTAATGTTGCGGCAGAAATATTCAATTTGATCGGCGTAGACATTAGGCGTAGACATTTCGACTGTAGCCGGAAGATTGAAGATGATAGGATTCTCAACGGATGGCTCCCAAACCGCCTTAATAGCATCGCAGAACTTGACAACATACTCTGGCGAGGTGTCTGAGAAGGTTTCAGGGCTGAATTCGAACTGCCATCGTGTCTCTCTAACTTTCGGGTCCGGCGAGTCTTTGGTGATCGAGCGTGCATACTGTGTGCACTTGAGAGCGAGAGCGAGAGTTTCCTCTTCTGACATTCCAAAGATAATGCGACGAAAACACTGGCTTGTGGCGAGGTATAGATGGAGAATGGCATTTTTGGCGCCGTAGAGGGACTCAACCGTCCGTTTGATCAAGTCCTCACGACAGGGTGAGAGAACCTGGATAGCAACATCATCGGGGACAGCACCGGGAGTTTCGATGATTTTCCGTGTGAAGTCAAAGTCAACTTGGGAAGCCGACGGGAAGGAGACTTCGATTTCTTTATAGCCTACTGCGATCAAGTGCTCGAAGTATCGCCATTTTTGCTCACCATTCTAACAGCAGAACAGAATTAGTTAGCATACAGAGGTCCAGAAAAGTAGACGATTAGACAATAATTGAAATATGAAAGAAGAATATAGCGAACCATTGGATCGGGGAGGGACTGGTTCCCGTCTCTGAGATCTGTAGCCAGCCATCGCGGGGCTTTTGTGATGGTCTTGCTGGGCCATTGTCTATCCGGTAAGTCGACCGGCTTGAACGGTTTGTATTTGAGAGAAGGGTCCTTGAGCCTGTAATGATTAAATCGCCATTAGCTATATCCCAGGACATGATTCTGCATACGGCGGTTTTCGATATGGGATTGTTGAGGGTTCGACTCACATTGGCATTTTGCAATTTTGGTGGTGCTGTAAGAGCCGAAGCTACCCACACTATACTGTCCCACTATTCCAGCAACAAAAACGACCTACCAAAAGTCGGCAGGTGGGAAATGAACGGCACCCAAAAAAAGGACGAAAGAACGTGGTGTTTAAAAATATGCAGGAACAAAATGGTATTCTGACAGGCTATACTCGGTAGTTTTTGGTGGGAAACTACAAGAGCACAATTGGAAGTTTGATCGAGGAAGATGATGGTGATGGTAATGATGATGAGGGCAAATGCAATCAAGCAATGGAGAAAGGATAGGAAAGAAACTTAACCACCAACAGACTTCAACCAACAAGAGATTTGAACTTTCAACTTTGAACTTTGAACTACGAACTTTGAACTCGAATTTAACAGAACCGATCAAAAGGAAAAGACCTTCAAAGGATATAAGCTTGTCCAGTTACAATTGTAATTATGACTCAGGCACTTCCGACATGAAACGTACAAACCCCGAGTGAAATTTTCTTCTCCGAGCCTTTCTCTCGACGATGCAATTTTCCTCCTTCGTCAAATAATCTTGTTTAGCCGGGCCCTTGTTCGTAACTGAAGCAAGGCTAGTACTAGCGCCTGGCGGCGATTCCGGCAAGCAAGCACGAATTGTCTGCGTCGAACCCGCAGAAGCGGAAGAAGAAGCCTCACCGGTTTCTGAATTTGCGCCAATAACCGAACTTACCAAAAGTCCAAGCATACTGTAACCCAACATCCGCAAGAAAATTTCAACCATTTGCCCCACCATAGTGCTTTGAACCATTATGAGGGATTGAAGGCTTGCTGCTCCCGTACAAAGTAGTTTTATGGCTTCGGCTTAAAGGCTCTAGACGTACAAGGTTATAGACTATTTTGGGCAGGGCAGGGTGGTTTGCATAATACAGTACTTCGGATGATATCGACAAAGGAAATTCGCCCCGCATTTATAGCTGCCTGTGCCTGTATAATACCGACCGACCGACTACGAACGATCGACGTCCCACGGTCTACTGTCTGTACATCGTCCATATGGTATGGTGTCTGGCTTCACTTAACTGTTCGATCTTGGGATTATTCATTCTGCCACGTGCTAAAGCGATCATGCCCAAGACCTCTGCACTGGTTCGGTTCACGGTTTTGAATTTCTGACCTTAAACTTCATGACGAAATAGATTCTGGATTCCATACACTAAATGATATGAACACGCTTCAGAAAGTTTCCATGTCTATCCACGAGCGTCCATTCTTCGGCTGCCATTGAGAGCAACTATGAAACAATGCATATGCTAGAGTCGACCTATAGACTGACTTCACAGGCGAGATTTTCCAAGATGCTAGATGCGGTTAGCGAAGGATCAACGGCGAATAGTACAGGGACGCCTGCCAATAGACCCCGAAATACCACAAACTACAACACTGATTTATATTTATCATTTTATCAGTATCGGACATTCAACAGAGGCAATTGGCATTTCTAGAATTCGAATCGAAAGTGGATGTATAGGACTATCGAGTTCGCTTCTTATTTCAGGGGAAACAGAGATTCCGAGCCAGAGCTAGAGGATAAATTGAAACTATGTTATCGTACGTACATGCTTACATGCTTCGGATCGATACATGTAAAGTAGGTAGTAATAACCAGTTTCGAGGATATAATGTTAGAAAGAAGGGGAGTGGGGGGAGGCTCGGAGATACACGTGAAAGTGAGGACAAAGCTCAAATGTTCACAGAAAACAAAGGATAATTTGCATGTGACTGAAGATACGACAGTTCTGGGTTCGATCGCGTTTATGGACGGGGAAAACCAGGGATTGGTGAAAACCTAGGCAAATAGACCCGCAGTAAAAGCAACCAACCAACATTCCGAAAGATCGATGCTTCAGACGAAAAAACAAAAAAAGACAAGGCATTGAGTAAACACATATGCAGAATAGAACTGACCATGCATTCTTAAGATATGTTAAATCTTTAGGGCCGGTCTAGAACAAGAACAAAAAAACAAAGCAATTACTTAAGTAGTAGTTTGCAATGGAAAAGAAGGCATAGACGCTAGACTATGCATGCTTACTAGGTAAGGATGTAATTAGTATGATTGCGAATTATAGCTTTTCAAGGAAAACAGGGATCAAACAAGTAATCTCACCAAGCTCAAAATTCAATCGCCTTCAGTCACATTTGTTATTTAATGTGGATTTTGAAGGGTTTCGTCATTTTCGTCGTTCTCGTTTGTATCAGTAGATGTAAAGCTGATGACTGGGAACTCATCATCACGGGGGGACGACCTTCGAAAAACGTTTTGCTGAGGACCGTCGCTCGTATCCCTACGGTGAGTAGCTTGACGTTGTGGCATTTCGGTATATGAACGTCTTCCGGCAAAAGTTGCAAAATTAGGATTGCTTGCTCCACGTTGGGTAGTACCGAACTGAGATGTATGCTGTTGACCTCCAGTCTCATCAGTTCGATGTAATCCTGTACCAGCCTCACGTAGTCCGACCGATTCCTTAACAGGAGTGCGGATAAGATGGCCATTAGGATCTATAGCGTAACGAAGTAACATAGCTTGTCTTTGCACATCCGGACCCAAAGCACCATGTGCAGCTGAAAGGAGTGGAGCCGAACGATGACGAACGGTAATACGATCCCCGAACTGGTTTCTAGGAGCTGTTGCTCGACGGGCAGCTTGCTCATACTGATCATAGAGTTGAAAATTTCGCATGGTTTGGGTGAGTCGTTGGACACTGGGATCGGTTTGCTGATTGGGGACTTGAAGGTGTCCTGTAGAATCTGATAGACCCGATGGGCCCTGGAGACGATGGGCAGCGTATCGCATGAGAACCGTATCTTCGAGTCCAGGCGCGTGATATGGAAGCTCGCTTGGCAGATATGGGGGCCTTGGTGGTCTTGCAGATCGTGGAATAACCGGTGGGGGACCAAGAGGGATTGCCTGTGGGGGGCTGAGTGGAACTACCTGTGGAGGACCAAGCGGGACGTTCGGGTATTGGGAATGATATTCTGGCTCCTGGACCGTAGTTTCTGGGATACTTTGCAAAGTATTGTGAGATTCGTTGCTTCTAGCATTCCCTTGGCCAAAGTAAGACATACGAGGAGTGCTCCTCGTTGGGCGAATGTTCAAAGTAGGTGGATTAGCAGGCTCAGGGCTGAAAAGTCCCTCGGCGGAGAAGATGCGTCGGTTGTGAATAAGTAGAGGGTCAATGTTGGCAGACGAATGACCTGCATCGTTCTCATCGTTGGTGGTGCTCATGCGAGGGTTGTATGGAAGGTTTGGCATCGTAGCATTGCGCCTTCCATGACGGAATCCAATATCAAACTCATGGGCGTTAGTATGCACTTTGGCTCGAAAGGTAGGGCTAGACAAGTCCTGCGTAACAAGGCATTCTGCCTTGACAATGAGAATAGACTTGGGATAGGGTTCCCCGAGCTCGGGCGTCTGATAAGTCAAAATCGGGGTATGACAGAACAAAATTGGAGTTCCATCGGCAGCCAATTGAGGGTCAGAGAACTAATCCGACCCACGAATGGCAACGATCCTGCTTCGAGACGTGTCATCCCAAACCATATTGGCTCCATTAAAGCCTTCTCCATTTTCAGGGAAGCAGTAAGACCAAAGGGCTTCATGTTGGTACATTTTGGCGGAGACCTTGGTGAAGATCTCAACGATCTCCAAGAGGTCCATGAATAGCTCAATCTGACGGAAGCCACTCTTAGATCTGTCTTCTCCTTGCATTGGTTTAAGGACCTTGTACAACTCGTCGGCGACCATCTTGACGCGAACATCTAACATATGATCCCACCATGGTTGGTATGTCAGCTGCGTGAAGCGGTGAGCACGCCAGGTAAGAGCGACCGTTCGTTGATACTTATAACCTTTATCACAGTGAATTTCATATGTCAGCTCATATACATCTCTAGACTAGAAACCAAAACGACTTACCTTCGTCGCTAAAAAGATTGTGTTCGAGTGAGAAGAGTCCAGAAAGATTGTCGTCATAGCCCTGCCAGATCCAACCGGGACCGAGACAAATACTGAACAAAACTCGCTTGATAAATCCCAAGACCAGAATGTACTTGGTATCCTTGCGTTCCAAAAGGGTCTTCAAAACTTCGCGAGATCCACCACACATAGCAAGGAAACAGTCGTATATCTCAGGAGAAAGCTCCTCAGCACCAAGTCCAGAGAAGAATTGTTTACAGAAACGACGCATCTTACGCAGTATCATTTCTAGTTCATCGCGGATCTCCGAAAATTCTGGTTTGGCGTAGTTGTGAGGAGGCTGAGGAGGCATTTGTCCAGTAGCCGGGTAGAACGGAGGGTATTGACGACGACCGGACAGAGAGAGAGGATCCTTATCGAAGGAGAGGTTTGGGCGAATCTCGTTCCAAAAGTCGTTGAACTTGTTATCGAAGATGGATTTGAACAATTCTTTTTCTGCCCTAACTTTCTCGTCAGGTTGTTTATCATGTTTGACAACTTTGACGGCGGCACGGCCGACTTTTTTAGCCAATTCGATGGCATCTTGTCGCTCATTCGCTACGACTTGAAGCATAGTCGAGAAGAGGGCTCCTCCTTGGTAGTTTAACAGCTGACTCCAGTCACCTGTTTCAGCTCCGTGCTAAATTTTAAAAAAAATATTGATTGTTAGCCGTGTTGAGGAGTGTTGGAAAGGGTCGGTACTGTGTAACGTTACTCACAGCCAAATCTCTAATGTCAACATCTCTCAAAGCTCCAGCCGTAGCAGCATCCTCTTCAAGAACACGTTGAAGCAGCCCAACCTTCTTTTCCAACTCGCTTGGTGGTTGCTTAGTATCGATTGCTGGAATTTTTTCATCACGTCGAAGAATCGACTTTCCAAGCAAGTTGCAAGGAATCTGGGGGCCCAAACTTGGAGATAGTATGATGGGTAGACTAGTACGCCTCTGAATCGAACGACGTCTTTGCTCAGGCTCCTGGTCGCTGAGCTGACCGTAGTGAGAAAATGGACCCTCGAAGGATTGGGCCATCTCTTCGCGAAGGCGTTTAAATTCTGCTTCAAGACGTGCCTCTGTGGTAAACTTTGTTAGCTTGTGTTTCATATTTCCCCCCCTCTCCGTGAAAAGAGAATAAAGGACTAAGAAGCTATGATTGCATATGAAGTTTGGGCTCGGGGCATATAATGAGGGAGTAGTGCGTAAATCTCGCGTCAAACTTCGAGGAAGTATCCTCAAGGCCTTAAGACGCGACAAATATACTCACTCTGCGAGGGAGGAGGGGTATGAACTCTTGAAGTTTGAGAGCTTTCAGAAGAAGACTCCACATCTCGAGGATATGGAGTACGAACATATGGCCTAGCCATTTTAGGAGGGTGGGGATTGAGGGTATGAAAGAGCGTGGAGAATGTAGACGGTATGAATGAAGAACAGGGAGTATAGGGGAATAAGGAACTGCAAACTAGGAGAGAAAGAAAAAGTTGCAGAGTTGAAAGAAGGGGAGACAAGGTTTAGGTTAAATAAATAGACAGATTGTGGGATCGCGAGGGATAAAGGTGGGACGCTGAGATGGTTTCCAAGCCCTATCAGCAGGGACGGCCGTGATGCGGAATTTAGAGCTTCCCACAGCTGTTGATACAGATACAGCCGTCCTTGAAGATGAGGGATGTCTCAAGGGCTAGAGACGAAATGGGGTGATGTACGTTGAAATAAAGCAGATCAGAGAAAATAGTTAACTTACCAAACGTGGCAGCGTCTTTCTTAGCCTTTTCAGCAATCTCCTTCAACTCTATATACTCCCCCAAAGGAACAGGAACTACAGGCATCTGCCCTGGTTCATTGATATGTGGAGACTCTGTATAAGTGAGTCGAGCAGGAGTGACTGGTTCTGGAACCAGGGGACCTTGGCCCACCTGGGCCGCCTGGTTGGTTCGATCCGGTGTAGGGATCGGAAGATGGCCCGAGGCAGTATGCTCCTCGGGCTCATCCTCGTCTCCCTGCACCGACTGGGAGGGTCTGATCGTACTACAAGACCCCATGACCCCGTCTGCAAAGGTTCCTGGTGTGGAACCCCTACAGTCGGGGTCAACGTAAAACTCCATTGGCTCTTTATGGAGTTGATCGCCAACCCAGGCGTCAATGGGCCCCTCGGGTTCTGGCTTGTAAAATTCGGACGGTGAAACGTCCGATGGGGCCCGGCCGCGTGGTTGCCAAGTGCTGCTGTACGACTTGACATTCCTGAACCTAGGGTCCAGGTGGGTAGGAAGGGATCGAAGATCCCTCCCCCGAATCTTGAACTCGGGGAGTCGTCGCCCCGTCGACGTGGTTGGAGGAACCGGAGCCGGCCCGCTGGTCCCCCTTGCGGCACGCTAGGATGATAAAGAAGGTTAGTTATTAGATCAACTTGGAACGCCAACAGAAAGGTTATCATCAAGACAATGACAATATATGGGAGGTTAGCTTGGGAATTGGGAACAAAAACTCACCCGATTCAGAACGGTTTGAATCCCGTTCTGAATGGCGGCCGCAGTGGCAGAATCCCTCTGCCCCTCGACCCTCGACCTGTCAACCTCCGCATAGGAATTGATGTCATCAGACATCCCGTCTGATGACACATCCCTATCGGCCTCGGTCGCCCAGGGCCCGAACTCCGGCTCCTCCTCCTCCTCCTCCTCCTCCTCCTCGGTTTGCTCTACCGACTTTTTCAAAGTTAGCTAGTTGCAGCTCCCAATAGGAAGGGAAAAGAGTTCGGAACTTACGCGAGGGCGGAACTCCGGTGCCCTCGGGTTGAGCTGGTTTGCAGCTGCAAACCAGCCAACCGTCGGCACCATCGTTATACGACCCTCGCCCTCGTAGAAGGCGAAGGCGACGTCTTCACCCGATGGCGATGGTGAAGCAACGGACGACATCCCAGGAAGCCTCATCTGGGAGTCGTTGTGGGCATTGGCTAATGCCGTACATAGGCACGCCGCCGCCAGGACGATATCGACCGCGAAGGGAACGATGATGTGCTCAAGGATTAGATTGAGCATTGTGATGATAGGGGGCTAGCTGGGGGTTCAATGAAATAGGGATGGGAAGAGTTCGAAGTGATGGGGAGGTGAGAGTGATGACAGGAGGAAAGTAATCAAGAGGGGAGTAGGAAAGAGAGGAACGAGGTGTCAAGAAGGAAGTGATGGAGAGAGAATTGAGTGTGAACGATGGAGAGCAAAGTTACGGAAGCTAAGACGCGTTAATGATGGAGAGGGAAGTTGGTGATGAATCACAGAAGGATGGTTTCGGAAACCAAGGTGCGATGAAAAAAAAGGAGGGAGGGAGGAAGAGAGGAGATGGTTCAGAGCCAATGGGCAGGTATTTATACTTGGAAGACGGGGAGTGCTGAGCGGAGTGAGGGAAACTTGCTGGTCAACGAACCCTCATTGCACTCCCCTTCCCTTTTAGGTACCTACATTTCTAGAATGTTCATCAACTGACTTATAACCTCTAACCTTCAAACCAAGGAATTACATCTTTTCCAATTGCTCTACCATCGTTCTCATCTTATCCCGGATGCTCGTTGCAATTGCAGAGGTATCCCAACTCATATTAATTACTGGTAAGTGCCCGTCCCTATTGCCGTTCTATCACAGGTCAGACGCCGCAATACTGTACTATAGCTTATTCCTGTACTAATAGCCAATCCACTTTAAGTCAAATAGTTACACGGACGGTCTAATAAACTCAAGGACAGCCGCCAGCTAGCTATAGCTAGTTACTTTCCGATGTATAAGCTTCGAAGAGTTGTTTTTGTGTTATAATGCTTGTATATTGCCTATCTAGGATATTTATGTATATCAGCTAACCTATTGTGGAAAGAGCTACTTCCGATCAAAGCCTAGTAAGCTAGCTACCCTCGACCTCGAGGTATCGACAGAGCATATAGTGACATCTGCTTAACCCTTCAAACTTCATTCTCAGAAAATTTTAGTCAGATTATACTAGCCGTACGTGACGGTATTGGCCCCGTCTTCCCTAAACGTCGGCACAGCAACTACGAACAACACTATTTCAGCTTCAGTCATCCTATCAGTGTATAGAGAAACACCGCCAGTAAGCCATGCTTTCACGATGAAGGTTTGAAGACTACGACCTAATTATACAGACAGATTGTATATGCTAAGAAGGATACCTAGGTTTAGGTTTTATACCTATTGCATTTGTCTCAAACCAGACTTCGAAAAAAAAAGTGTTCCCAATTGCAACGGGACAGCATAGATCCCTCAATCGAGCAGGACGAACTTCGGTACACAACTTCCTCACAAAAAGCTACAATGCATCATGATACCGGACCCTTTAATTGTATGCGCTTCGGGGACGATTTTATATTTTCTGGCTCTATTTTGACGATCTTGTCCTTGATAAAATTGAGGTTACACGAAAATTTCCCCCGAATATCGGCGTGATACCTATCCCCCATATTTGTGTAACGTATGTCAAAACTAGGAATAAAAGCTAAATTTTCGAGTTTTCTACCATAGACGGACATAGACTATTTCGTTATTATATCTAGGCTTGCTCGTCTAATATGTCGGGAAGTCAACATATATCAGGATGGATATGATCGAGAATATATGATCGTCAGCCTGTGTGTGTACGCATTTGATATATACTAGGCATCTCCGACATATAAACCCATTGCATGGATCCTGGAAGACCTCTCAGCCAGACGAACCCTGCTACACGATAGTACTCAGTAACTCTCAAATCTAGTGGAATAAATTTTAAACGGTGCACCCGTCCGTCGCCGGCCAGCCAGGATATTACGATTATCCTTTGATCAAGTCGAGTACTCTTATGCTATGCCACCTGCGCAACTATCCACCAGAATATTTTACCAACCCCAAAGAATTAACAAGTTAAAAAAAAAACACAACAATACAAACAGCTTCTATCATCCACGAAAAAGGGTACCGTGGCGTATAAATACCCCGTACTTCCTACAAGCTTTAAATATCCGGGTATCAACATTCGGTAACGTACCGACCCGAACTCCGGAAACATGCATATGTAGAAGTCGCATATATTCTAGCAGCTACAATGAATGCATACCTCCTAATAGTGAGCATCTAAGGGTGGGTTTACGAGACCAGAAGGCTGAACCCTATTTGACAAATTCTATTGACGGCCTAGTTCACCGGTCTCCGTTCTCCAAAAACAGCCAAGACATTTAAATGCAGCCCCGTATAGCGTATACGTGTACCCATGGCCCACTTTATGTATGGATGGTACCCGGAACTCCGTTTCTCCGCCCACAAGGCGAAAGTCCCTGTCAGTAAGAGCCCGTGGAGCTCGTATAGAAGGCACCTGGATAAGCTTCCTAGAAAGGATATGAATTGCGGGATTGACGTTTTGCGCACCATGCGAAAGTCAAAAAGGAGTGGGAGTTGTAGTGTTGTGGCAAAGCTGAACATGAAGAAAAGTGCAAGGCACTTGGTACAGCACCTGCGGCTCACATTTAGAAGCATCGGCAGCTTGGATTTCTGCAATGGGACATGAGTATCGGCGGGATCTATAACTAAGCATGTGGCAGGTTTTAGGATATCGAATGAAGATGGCTAAGAAAATCGATGCCGAAATCCGAAATCCGGAGACTTGGAACTTTAAGAATCGAGGCTGTGAATCCTTTTGGAAAGAAAAGTTTGATGCAGAGATGGGACTTTTTTTCCCTAGGTTCATGATATGCATGGAGCTTTCGTCACCACCACCACCTTGTTTTCGGCAAATACTAGCAGGCTAACCCCCATGGCCCAGCTGGCCAGTGGGTGTGCACTTTTGGCATTCTTTTTGGGCGGCTTTCCGAACCTGTTGAATCTCTGACGTTTGGGCAGGGATTTTGGAAGCGAGAGCAGTGCAGATGCTTCGGTGCCCCCTCATTCGATTTCTACCATAAAATTTCAAACCTTCGGATGAGAATAAAAGCCTCGATTCGAGACTAGATTAAAACAGAATAAGGAATTTTATAAATTTAAAGAGGTAAAATATTCATTTAACTAGTATAGTCTCCTAGTGAATTATAAATTGTACATCTTTTCTCGTTTCATCGAGAATATTCCCCGCTGTTATCAATTATAATATTATTAGCGAGTGTGCATCTTAGACGGTTGTTTTGCCCCAGATGGGCTCAGCTCGAGCTCGGATATCGTAATATCTCATCAGCCTCAGTCAGAGTAGCTAAGCTCTTACCATCCAACCTAAGGACACGAATGTTTGAAAGTATAAGTGTACATAAGTATATATGAGAGTATGTATTTGAGGAAGGAAGTTCCCGAATAAACTTCTCCAAAGAGGTTTAAACGTTTATGATTTCTTCTTTTTTCATCTGATACCTAAGCAGTGTTACAATCGTCAATCGATAATCCCGAAAGTTTCTTTCTTTTTCTTTTTTTCTTTTGAACTGGCCAGAAACGACGATTTTTAAGCCTCAAGATCAGCCTGGATAGCAGTAGCGTTTCTTTCTCCGAGCTCCGAAATTTAGCTTTTGTAACACCAAAAGCCTCAATACTTTTTACTGCTGGAATTCTGATCAGCCGGCCAATCAGTTGGTGATATTACTGCAGCCTCCGTCTTCACATCGTTCATTATCACGCCTTCTACTTTATCTGAAGTCATTCAATCCGGTGGGGAATCAAAATCAACTGGGGATCTAGCTGCAACGTAAAACCAAAAGGGTCAAGCGGGCCCTAACACCACTTGAAGCGGAAGCCCCACCTAGGCAAAGCAAAAGCAGCGTCTAAAGCACACCTTTTTCCTTCCCCCTTCCCTTGCTGCCAGCTGCAGGTTTCCAAATCCTTCAAAACTGTTATCTTTTCGAGAGGAGGTGTAGCTTCCCCCTTTGTTGTTGTTGCGTAAGAATTACATAGCAGCAATCTTGGAAGCCAGGACTTTGGCAAAGTAGCCAGCGTATACATAGTCAGCGGGAGAAACGGAAGTTATATCACTGTAGAGAGCTCAAGAAGCAAGCCAGCACCATAAGCCTTTTTTCTTCAAAGCCAGTAAGTTTCCTTTTCGTTATTATTGTTATCAGTTCAAATCCAGGGAATGCGCCTGGATATTTATCTTGCATTGAGCCTTTCAATAGTTTCTTTTTTTTTTTTTTTGTTGGGTGTACATATGTCTCGAGCCTTGATCCTTCGGTTTGGTCTGTCTGTAGGTAGACCGGACTCTTCAAGCGGAGGGTTTCTTAGCTACCGTAGATTCGGGAGCTGTAATCGTCACGTCAGGACACACTTACATACATCCGATATCCATACACAAGCGACAAGCTTGCAAGTAGGAGCAACCTAGCAACTTATAGCTAAGGTACCAGCAGTAGCTAGTACTAGTAGCAGTAGCTAGCAAGGCTAGATGCTGGCTAACTAGCTCTGAATTTATCCATTGCTACCTGATGTTGGGATGACATTGGAACTCATCCACTTCAATGCAGGTCCTTTTGCAATGCATTGGTATTGCATTGGAGAGTGAATATGGTCTTCTTGAATTTTCTTTCAACAGATTCGAATTGAAATAAGTGAATTTGATTCATGAGAACTGACTGGAGATAACTGCATCTGCATAAGCATTAGAAATAGTTATATTCATAATAGAGTTGCTGAGTGAGCATACTTACGAAGTACCTACCTGATCTATACTGTAACAGCAGGTAGCGCAGTGTAGTGGTCGTGGTTAGGGGCAGCACAGCTGGATCCAATCTCACCCACCAAGTCAAATCAAATCAGACCAACCACACACACCACCGCCGACTCGACTTCCATACTACATCAGACTACCACCAACGAACGAACGAACAAACTAACCAAGTAACTAATCACCAACCAACCAACATCCCCTCCTCCTCCTCCTCCTCTTCCTCTTAATAACCTCCTCTTCCTCCCTTTCTTCTCTTCTTCTCTTCTTCTTCTTCTTTTCCTTTCCCGAAATGGACCAAGTGAACTCTCGTTTCAAGAAATTTGGATTCAACCGCAAAGGTTCTACAAATAACGGCTCTACTCCTCCGCTGCATCCTTCGGCCTCCCAGTCTTCCCTCAACCAACAACAACCAGCGCGGCAAACACCCCCTCCACAGCCAAACTCTCTCGGCCGGCCTCCTTCTTATACCGGCGCCCCTCAAGGTCAGGCCCAAGGTCAGCAGCCTTCTGGACCTACCCCGCCAGCTCAGAATCCTTTCCCTCCTCAAGGTCCTCCTCAACCTCAACATCAGCAGCAACCTCCCCCTCCTCACGGTGGACAGCAGTCTCCTCCCGTAGGTCCTCCAAGTCATCCTCCTCAGCAGCAGCCTAACGTCAGGCCTCCTCATCCACAACAACAAGGCCCTCCTCAGCAAGGTCCTCCTCAGCAAGGTCCTCCTCAACAGGGTCCTCCACAGCAAGGTCCTCCTTTGAACGGTCCTCAGGGTAGAAACGGTTCTCCAATGCCTCAGGGACATCCAGGACAGCAGTATGGCGGACACGGCCAGTTCCCACCTCCGATAAATACTGCTCAATACGGTCGTCCTCCTCAAGGTCCTGGAGTTCCCTATCCGGGACCAGGTGGTCAAGCTCCTCCTTATGGTCAAGGCCATCCTGGAGGTCCTGGTGGTCCTGGATATCCTCAAGGTGGTCCTGGAGGTCCACCTCCGTTCCAGCAGCAACAGCAACAGCCACAGCATCCACCTCAGCACGGTCCAGCTCATGCCGCTCACGAAGTTCCAGGCGCTGGCAGGAGTCAATCACAGTTGATTGTTGGCATTGATTTTGTGAGTTTCTATAATATTATTATTTTTTATCTTAAAACTATATGCTTCAGACATTTCTCGTTTTTCTATCCTTACACGTGTTTTCCTCGTTTTTTCCTCTCTGTGCTCTTCGCTTGTCCCTCAATTTTTTGGGTGTCTGATATCACTGCAGACAAACCCCACTTTCCCATGTTTCTGCTCACACTCAGCCGCACTCGCAAGAGCGCAGCAAGAAGAACAACGAAAATCACCCAAAACAGGCCCCCTAAAAAAACTCGGGGTTGCTTACCCATAATATTCCAAATACAGTCTAACTAACAGGTTTTTCCTTCGTTTTTTTTTGTTTTATTAAACAGGGAACAACATTTTCCGGTGTCGCCTATGCTTTCGTTGCACCTGGGCAGGAACCACAGGAGTCGATTATCGCCGAATGGCCAGGTGCCGGCAACACCACCCGACAAAAGGTAAGCTTTCAAAGAAAATACGTCTAGTGGTAGTATAAATAGCTGATACATTTTTTTGCCCCTTGTCAGGTTCCTACCGTTTTATATTACGACCAATACCAGAAGGTTGTTGGCTGGGGTCCGGATATTGGTGATGCTCTAGCACCCACCGGGTATCCCAAGCAGGGTGTCCAGAAGGTACCGTCCATTACCCATCTATTAATAAATTCGCTGTTTATTATCGATTACTAATCTTTTAACACCATGCAGGTCGAATGGTTCAAGCTCCAACTTATGGTGTCGGGTAATACCTACATTGATCCCATTAACCTTCCACCACTGCCACCAGGAAAGTCGGAAATCGATGTTGCGGCCGACTACCTCTTCAAGCTCCGTCAGGCCATGCGTGCGGCGCTGCAGAAGTCTCTCGGTGAAGTGTTCAACAGAGAGGAGCGAAACATCAAATACTTCTTGACCGTTCCAGCCATTTGGAACGATGCCGGCAAGGCTGCCACCAGACAAGCTGCCATCCAGGCAGGTTTCTTGAGAGATGCCAATGACAACCGATTAACGTTGATCACGGAACCAGAAGCCGCCGCCATGTTCTGTTCGAAGATGGGTCTGTTGAATCTTAAGATCCACGATGCCGTGCTCATCGTCGATTGCGGTGGTGGTACTGTCGATTTGATCGCTTATGAGGTCGAAGAAGAGGTGCCTTTCTCCGTTGCCGAATGTACTGCTGGTTCCGGTGACAGCTGCGGTAGTACCGCGTTGAATCGTAACTTCTCGAATATTCTGCGAGCGAAGATCCGAAAGATGAAGCTGCCGGATGGTTCCAAGACCGCTGGTAAGGTTTACGCTAAGTGCATCATGGATTTCGAGAACAGAATTAAAGCAGACTTCCGAAACAACGGACAGAAATGGGCCGTCGACGTTGGTATCGAGACAGATTTCCCCGATGCCGGTATCGAGGAAGGTTACATGACCTTCACCAACGAAGAGATCCTGCAGTGCTTCGAGCCTGTAGTAAACCGAATTTTGGAGTTGGTGAGGAATCAGATCATTGCCATCCAGGCACAGAACAGGCAACTGCAGAACGTTCTCGTGGTTGGTGGTTTCGGAGCCTCCGAGTATCTCTTCCAGCAGATCAAATTGCACGTGCCCCCACAGTTCCAGAACAAGGTCGTCAGACCCATGGACTCCGTGGCTGCTATCGTCAAGGGAGCTGTTACCGCTGGTATCACAGAACGTGTTGTCACATCGCGTGTTGCACGTCGTCACTATCTCATGGCTACTCTGCAACCCTTTAAGGAAGGGCACCACCCAGAGGCTTACCGTGTACCATCTCTCGATGGTAAGGATAGATGCAAGTATACACGACAAATCTTTGTCACAAAGGGACAGAGAGTCAAGATTGGCGAGCCTGTGAAGGTTTCTTTCTTCAGACAGGTTGCGCCAGGAGCGACTCTTATGTACGAAGATATTCTGTATGCTTGCGACGATGACGTTTGCCCAGAGTATACCAAGGACTCGCGTAAGTACATTTCTTCCTCAGTTACAATCCTTATCACAATCACAATAGGAGTTGGCTAATAGATATATCAAATATAATAGGTATCAAGGAAGTTGTGACACTGACATCGGATCTCAGCCGCAAGAACCTGGAGAAGGACTTCGAGCGAATGGATACACCGCAGGGAACATTCTACCGTGTCTACTTTGATATTTACCTAACTTTGGACGGGTCTGAATTTAACGCAGAGCTTGTTTGCCAGGGCGAGGTTATGGGCCGATGCTCAGCCAAGTTCCGTTAATCCATCCGCCCTCCGAACAAAAAAAAAACCAAGAAAAAAAAACCAAGAAAAAAAAAACCAAGAAAGAAAGAAAGAAGAAAAATACCAAATACAAAGTCGGTACCAATGGGGATGGGATTAATTTTTTTTTTTTTTTATCCTTGAGTGTCTTTTAGTTTACTTTATTTACAAACTAGCGGTTGATGTTCCTTCCCTTCCCTTCCCTTCTTTCCTTACTTTGAAGTCTCTGAATAGTTTGAGTGACCGGGGTTATTAACATTTCTTGAATTCTCTATGATGAATGCATGTATGATGGAATATTTTTTTTCTTATTTTTTTCTTTATATAATTATAGCAAGAAGTTAACAAACGAATGGATATAAACCAGGTACCTACACATGCACATGCACCATTGATCAACGTTTCAACCCGCATATCGAACCGTATACACGTATATGTTCCCAAACTATGCATTGTATCAGATATTTATATATATTTACCTGCTGCCGTATATATATCCCAGCCGTGTGCCGAAGCGTTTTGGTATCATGATATGATCATGATACAAGACTGCCTGCTACCGACCCGAGTACTTGCATACTTGAATTATAAATCGCGAGAGACAGCTAGGGGGATAACAAGCTTTAATTTCGGCATGAATAAATGAACCGATATCGATACGACGGCCTCGTGCATGCATGCATTGACTAATCGACATTTTCCACGCTCCGTAGATAATTATATCTGTATGAACGAATGTGTGTATGCGGGAAAATTAAGAGAGGCTGAGTAGGACAGGATGCATCGAAGCGAGGCTCTTACTGCATTGATATTGGACAGCTGCCGGCTACTTGCCTGCCTGCCTGCCTGCCTGCTGCTTCCCAGTGCATGCGAGTAAAACTAAGTTAAACAGTGAGACAATTCTGGGTGCCACCAAGAAGCTTAGCCCTGACCTGCCTCCACAACAGTTATGCTTCCATACATATATCCTGCTTTTTTACTGAGTTTTTGAGGGGTAGCTGGAGCTATTCTTGTCTTGATCGGACAGGGTCTTGATTCTTTTTTTCTTTCTCCCTCTCTCTTTCTTCATACTCTGGCCGGATCCCTCAAGGCTTGTTACTGACGGATTGATCGATATAAACATACCATGTACATACTGACCGAAGTACTAAGATATAAGGAGAGTGGGGATTAAATTCGGATGCAGGTTGAGAGGGAGAAGATGCTATTTTTGACATACCTATATGATCCCGTACATTAACTAGTCCAAACTGATATCGCCGTCTCCACTGCGGTACTTTTTTTTATGACTACCCTCTCTGCCCTCTTCCCAGGGTGTATAACAGTAAGAGGTAAAAGTATGGGAGAAGGTAAGAAGTAATTGAGTAGGTGCGTAAGTGTGTAAACTGTGGATATGCGCCTTTGGTGAACTGACGATATTAGCCGCTGTCTGTCTGCGTGAATCTTGCTGACTCGACTCCTTCCCCTTCCCCTCCCTCTCAATTCTGATATTGCATTAACAAGTATACTGCATGTTTGAGGTTTCGCGATCGGATTCACTTCCTGACCACTGGATTTGCATTTTCATCCATCCATCGATCCTGTTTTCGAGCTGTTCTTGACCCTGCACGGTTGTAGTCCTGTGGGTCAGCTACTGTTGGTTAGCTACGGCCAAAACCACCTCCCAGAATCCCTCCATCCGCATCCACCCACTTACCTGACCTTACCATCACTACCACCCATCACCGCCACCACCACCACTGCACTGCACCGCACTGCAATTGGAGGACTCGAGCAGTACCGGCAGAGTAGAACAGGATAGATAATTATATCTAGACAATCCAGCCGGAGTCAGAATTAGCGGGTTCTTGAGAGCGGGAGAGAGAGTGAGCGAGTAAGAGAGAAGGGTTAGCCATGCCTCACCTCCCATCCTTCTTCAACAACCACAAGCAGAATCGCTCAGCGACCGCTCTGCCAGCAGGAAACAACATCTCCTCCACTTCACTTCCTTCCCCTCATCAACCTCAACATCAACAGCCCTTCCCTCAGAACCAGAACCAGAACCAGAATCAGAGTCAACCTCAAGGTTCTCAGACTCAAGCATCTCAGAATCAGCAGCAGCACGAGTACACCGCGTACTCGCCTCCTCCAGAGTCCCTTTCCGTCCACCAGCAGATAGCCCTCGCTCAAGCTCAAGCTGCCCAACAAGCTGCCCACCAACAGCTAAACCCTCAAGCTCAGGCTGCCGGTCGTTCCTCTGCCTCTTCAGGCCCCGCCAGACATTCCTCTGTTTCAGGTCCCTCAGGACTTCAATATTCCCATCAAGACCATCCCGTTCCTCCACCTTACGTCCCCGCCGGTCTGATTCGCCAGTCTAGCGGTGCGGCTGAAAGTCAGCACCTCCACCACTCCCAATCATTACGAAACGATAACAACACCGCTGACAACCTATCCTATTCTTCTTCTACCTCGACCTCAAATACGGCATACGAGCCTCAGAAACGCCAGTTACCGTCTGATGCTCAACCGCCTCCTCCTTCTGCTACTGCAATCCCTGCCAAATCTACCCTGAGAAAACCCTTGCTCACGAAGGACCCTTCTTCTTCTTCTGGTGGTATCAGTGGCTTGTTCCACAGACACAGCAGCAAACACAACCAGCAGCAGCAGCTCCAACAGGACCAATCTGTTACTCAAGAGCAACCTTCGTCATCTTCAATAGGCAGACGTCTATCTACCCGGAAATCGACTTCATCTCCTCAAAATTCTCCAAAGATTCCCCAGCAGATAGAAGAAGACGGAAATAATTACCAAAACAGTCCTCGTTCACCCCGCCCTCAGAGCTTGTTACCCCCACCTCCTAAAGTAGAGCACGTGGAAGCTTTACGATCATTGAGAAGGTCCGATACTGACACTCAGTCATATCAATCTCGTCCTAATTCTCAGCTTCAACAAGCTCTCAGTCCTCTTACTCCTGGTTTGCCTCAATATTATAACGTCAAGACTGGCCAGTACGAAACCCACCAACCACAACAGCAACAGCAACAGCAACCTCCACAGAACCAACAACCACCACCTCAACCTCAATCCCAGCAAACCAATTCACCACCCCCCCGCAACAACAACAACCACCTCAGCAACAGCAACAGCAAAAGCCTCAGCATCAACCCCCTCCTCAACAGCAATACCCGGGTCATAAATCCCATCCCTCCCAACCCCACATCCAGCAACCTCCTGCTGGATTCGCACGTTCTTCATCTGATCTTGGAAATCTCAAGATTTCTACCAACCTTCCCAGCGGTGGTTTAGCTGCACCTTCGCAGCAGCAGCAACAAGGAAGTAATAATAATCCGCCTGTTAGTCCTGGCGCTTCGGTTCACACCGTAGACACCATGCCTGGTAATCAGCCTACTGGTTTAGGGCAACAGCCCATGGGGAATGATGGGCGTGCTACGCCTACTGGTAAACCCGAGGGTAATGGCGGCGGATCTGGGATGACACCTAGTCAGGTACAAGCGTTGATGACAGAGTTTGACACTTTGCGTAAGTCCTTTCCCCCTCTCTGTCTCTATTTTATCTCTTATTCTCTATCTTTATTTACTTATTTATACCGGAATCAATTCTAATGTGATAAATAATATAGAGGGTAAGTACCGCAAAGTCAAGAACCTCTACTTCGAGCGCGCCGCCGAAATTGAGCGGCTACAAAACACCATGGCAAACCAGAGGATGTCCCAGTCCCGCACCCACCTCGATGATAACCAGTATAGCTCGCGATTCGAACGTCTAGACGGAGCAATCAAGAACTTGGCGTTCGAGATCCGTCAATCCTGGAAAGTTATCCCACAATGGCTACAACCCGTCGTCAACCCCGGTGCAGAAGTCAAAGGCGGCCGTGAGATGACCGTTGTCGGCCGAGCAGCCATGAGCCGCTGGGTTGTAGACGAGATCTTGGATCGGTATTTCCACCCTGGTTTGGAACCTAATATCAGTTGGAATCTCAAAGCGATTGAAAATGGGATAAGGCGAAATAGCCCTCAGCCCAACTCGATCGAAGAAGATGACAATCTAAGCGCTAAGGTGTGTACTTGGCGTATGTCCACCGTTGACGGTGTTAGACCAATGATCGATGGCCCCATCGGGAAAGAAAATGTTGAAAAATTAAAGATCTCATTGGAGGAGAAGTTGATGGCTAGTTTGGCCATACATTTGAATGAACCTTTGCCTCCTGGCCTGCCTGGTGGGGTTAACACTATCGTTGACATTAGTGTTGGATTACTCGAGAATCTACCCTTGGAGAGCAGAGACGTCAGAGTTTGGTACCCTCTACCCGGGGAAAAATTCGATGCGGTGTTCATGAGAGGGGAGACTGGTTTGCAACCGTTGGTTGCACCTGTCGGCGGAGCCGACGGGGATAAGAATGCCACGTTGATGGTCGATGGGAAACCTATTTCGCAGGTTGAGAAGGCAGGTGGTGGTGCACAACAACCACCAGCCCCACCTACGAAGGATGACGTTGGATTGCAACCCTCGAACAGCGTTAAGAGCGCGGAGTCGGGGAAGAAGCAAAGCGTTTTGAAAGGGATTAGAGGAAAACTCTCGGGTGCGGCTGGTGGAGGGTCTGCTGCTGCTGCTGCTGCAAGTACACAGGCTGCTACTGCAGCACCGCCGGCACAGGGAAGCCAGCCGAACCCAAGCCAGACCAGTTTGGCGGAACCTGTTGTGAATAATGGGAAGGATGCGGGAAGTGGGGTAAGTCAGGCAGCACCTGGGTTAGAGAAGGTCAGGGTGGCAGGGTTTATGGCGGTAGAGGTTAGGGGGAAGAGCATTTTGATTAAAGCGCCTGTTTGGACGTAGATATATTTTCCTTTCAGATATTTACTTTTTTGTAGATTTTCTTCCCTGGAGGTAAGGATAGGATGTTTGGGTGAGCGATCGAGCGGTATGTTGAGCGGAAGGGAAGAGGGAAGTAGCTATATTTGTGAATATACCTAAGTATGAATACAACACGTAGGCATGTATGGGCATTGAAAGAGTGGAGGTTTTTTATCTTTATTTTTTTGTCATTTGCATGTTCATTTCTCTCAGGCATCAACTTCTCGTTTTTGAAATGATACATGTTCGTTTTCCTCTTTTTGGCCTCTTTTTTTTTTATGACGACGACGAAGGTTCTTTGGTAATTACCCTTTTTTTATTATCCCCTTTTGGCGATTATATTTTAGTGTATATGGATAATACATTCGTTTTTTCTTCTTGCTTCTCCCTGTATGAAAGGTTTGGGATACTACTCCAATAGGTGGGGATCATACTTTACATTACCTTGCTGGGGGTATTCTAGTACTTTTCATTTCGGTGTCGTCAGTTTTATATGTATGTATGGGAGGTAAAACGCCGAGTATGCATGCATACTATGTATGAGCTGGTATATTTATAGCCGTTAGTTGATATCATGATATCATTATAAGGTCTAGCTAAATGTAGCTCGAGGGGTCCGTATACGTGGGGGTATTATCATATTGTCTGTGATAGTGACTTCTTTCGTAGTTATAATAGTTATGCTAAATGTATAATATAATGACGATCCAAATCTCTCCAACCATACACGCAGATGTCTAGATATGATTGTACATTCTATAACCTTTCCCACCCATTTTTTCTCTTTCTATTCCTCAACTTCTTCCTTTCATCCTTTTCCAACTTTTTCAAACAATCGTTACAGACGCTGGTATTGTTTACTTCAACTGCTAATTCTGCGCCTGTGATGCTTGCTATACCTGTTTGTGGGTTTATAGAGATCTTTGGAAGGATGTTGGGGATGTTGGGGCAGATGCAGAGTAATGTGGTTTTTCGATGATGATGATGATGATGGTTGTTGGTATTGGTGTTGGCTGTGGTAGGGGGTTTTGGGAGGAGGATCTGGTTTGGGAGGGTGTGGGTGCAGAGGGGGTAGTGGATTGTGTGGGTGTGCGGGTAGGAAGGGGGGATTTGAGGGGATGGAGGAGGGGGTGGGGGGAGTTCGATGTATGAGGTAGGAGGGAGGGGTGTGGGTGGGCACCTGGGCATCTCTTTTTGCTGTATTTTTGGGCGTATTATATTGTCGATGTGGTATTTTTTGGTAGAGTGGAGGGGGTGTAGGGGATGTTGATGTTGATGTTGATGTTGATTGAGATCTTGAGAACAAGTAGGCAGAATATAGGTTTTTGTAAGCAGAAGAAGGCTCCAGGCAGTCTCTAAGATGGTATTTATACTCTTATAGTTTAGTATTTATGATCAAGTGTCGTGGTTATATCTATGCATTGGTATGACGATTGTAGGATTGATGTTTTGAAATGTTAGTTATAAATGTTTCGAGATTTGGTGTAGATGTTGTAAAGGTAGTTACCTAGGTATATATGTAGGCCCTTGGGTATCTGATCTGGGATTGGGAAAGATAAGTTACAGAGTGAGACTGGTTAGGTTTGAGTCTCTAGATAGATGATACCTACCTAGGTAGGTAGGGAGATTTATGTGAGATATGATGAAGCTAACGACTGAAATTAGATACAATTATCTAGGATGTTTGATGCTTGATGAACCATCGAAACAATGTACTAGATTGTTAAATGCTGTCGCTCGAAGTTCATGTCTAAATATTCCTAGATACTTAGGTAGGTAGTTACATATATGTATGATATATTACTATATATTTATTGTATATTATATATACCTACGACCTCCCCACCATCGTCGCGATCTCTACTACACCCTCAACAGCCTTCCTAACCACCAAAGCCGCAAACTCAGCATAACTCTCCCCATAACCTTCCTGTCCGTTCTCCCTATGTCTTTCCTCACACCTTTCCATTATCCCCAAATACTCTTCTCTCTCACTTTCACCATCCTCTGGATCACCAAGAACCAAAACTATCCCCAGTTCCTTCATTAACACACCCGATAATATTATCCTACTCATTTCTTCATTTGCAGTGATAAAAGGATGGATATGCATAAACTCCGTAACTAGCCAAGCGGATAAAGCGAATGGATCTGAAATTGTCTCTTCCTCTTCTTGTTCTCTTAGCATATCTTCGATATTTCTTTGATTCGGGTCTGTAGAGGTTGAACGGTCCATGGCAAGTTGTGCGTGGTAAGTTGAGATTAGTTTTGACATGTACATTGAGACGGCGCGGGGGTCTATTGATTCCCTTCGTGGTCTTAAGTCAGGGATTGATTGTTGCTGGTGGGATAGTGATGGGAAGAGTTCTTCGTCTTTTATTTGGTGCTTTTGCGAGGATGGTGATTCTAATTCTTCTTCTGCTTTTTCTTCTTCTTCGCAGAGTTCGGTTATGGGGGTTATGGGGTAGTATAGACTACTCCCTCGACGCGGAGATGTGGGAGATGTGGCTAGTGATGAAGGGGTGGAGATGCTGCTGCTGTAACTGCTGAGACGTCTTGGGGTGTAGTTTTCTGGAGGAAGGGAGTAGATACTACTTGTGCGTCTGAATTCGGGTTGGTTGAAGGTGTAGATACTGCTTGAGCGGCGGGGGGTTGTTGGAGAGTTGTTGTTCGTATGACTGGCGCTATTTAGGTGACTTGAGAAGGAAGTCGAAGATGCGGTCTGTGAATGTGAAATAGGGTCCGTTGGGGTTAGGAGACGGTAATCGCGGTACCAGCCGCCGTATTGATCCCATGGTTTTGAATCTATAACCGGGTTATCGGTGACCAGGATCCGGTGGGTTTGCTTTATTAGATCTTGGGTGAGTTCTCCACTCGGGGATATCAAGGTTGTTAAAAAGTGGACAAGGGCTTTGGTGTAGTTATACACATCGTCTCTGCCCTTTAATACTGTTCCAAAATCTGTGGGGTGATGATTACTACTACTACGCTCACGTTGGGTGAATGAGTGTGAGGTTATATAGTTTATTTCCGAGGTGTATTGTTTTGTATGTGGGAGGTTTAGTTCCGTTATTCCTGTTGAGGTGAAGATTGATGTGCTTATTCTTTGGGTGGTGGAGTAGTCGGTCCCGGTGTTCGAGAGGAGATTGCTGCAGTGGATTTGACGAGATAGGAGGTGGGAGAAGAATCGTTGGAGTTTTGTGTGAGGGATTGTGGAGAGGTTTACATCGATGCGGCGGAGGAGGTCGGTCAGGTGGGTGTAGTAGGGTAGAGGGGAGGGGAGGTATAGGGGTGTATGAATGGGGGAAGGATGGAGGTGGAGGAAACCTTGGGAGATGCGGGTGGTGGAGAGGTTGGAGAGGTGGGTGATTAGGAGGGTTATGAAGTTGGGGTTTGTGAGAGGAGAAGTGGGATTCTCGGGAGGAGGGGGTTTATGGTGGAAGGGGGTTAGCGGGGCTATTGTAGGGAGGGAGGGGCGTCTGGTTGGAGTGGATGAGCCGGAGCCGGTTAAGATTCTGGTGCGAACTGTTTCGAATTCTGAGGCCATAGTAGGGAGGTGTCCTTCGATTGTTTATAGAGAGGAGATATATACTTTTTAAAATTCAAATAGTATAGTCTTAAGATCAGGGAAGATGGCCGTATGGTTGTATTTAATTTTTTTTTCCTGTCGGTGTTTTCGATATTTCAAAGGATGATGCGCGGAGACTGCATTCGCTTGCTAGGTATTATACAACTAGGTTTGATTGTAATAGTGCATGAAGAAGAGTTCTGTTGGGGGGGATGATATTCATTTGGAACAAGGAATTGGGATATCTATTACAATTGAGATTTGAGAGAATTGAAAGTTATAGCGATATCTAGATCGATCTGCAGTTATTGGCCTCTTCTGGTGGACTAAGTTAGTTTTCCCACGTTTATTGACACGCTTTATCAAGGTTTGTTCCACGTGGGTAGGTATTCAACGATATTATTATGAATGGGGGTACTTAGAAGTCTATATATGAGGCTCTTATCGCTATGTTCCACTAGAAACTCGATAAGCCAACCAATTTGATACCGTGAATCAGAATTGCAATCAATAGCGGTTCTTTAAAATACTCTGATCATGAGAAGTAGTGTCCAGCTGATTGTCTACAACGCAGAAGCTTGTTGTATTTTGAGGGCTCGCGGGCCTTTATGCGTGTGCGACCAACAAGGACTGGGTGTGTGCCACACGTCTACGTCGTACAAACAGTGCCTACTTAAGTAATCATAAGATGCCTGTAATTTGGTTATTACGGAGTGTCCGAGGTGTATAGAGAGTGGGATCTGGCATTAAAAGGGTGGAAGGTGCCAGTCATCGTCCCAGAATTATTCTGAAAAATACCCCTGGCCACGATCCACCCGTCCCCATCATTGAATGCAACTACCTCGGTGCTAATATTAATACTTCGCACTCTTCAAATTTCCTAGTTACCTAGATAATTACACTAAGGTATAAAATATTAATATATTCTATATATGTATTCCTGTTTGATGCAATATAATTCCTATCTAACCCTAGCCAAAGGACATTCATACACAATCTTCGCTCCAATATATATAACAGTCATGTCGACCCTAAAGACTGTCAAAGGCGTTAGAGTTAACTGCATCGGCGATATTGAGAAATGTTACAGACCGAAATACGAACCCGTCGAGATCCCCTTCAACGACCCAATATTCTCAAAAAACATCCGCTCTACCTCCGATATAACCGCCCGTCTCGGGATCCCCCTTTTCACCCGCCAATGTCCCCAAAACCCTATCTGGGCGGACTCAACAGGGTCATCTAGTGGATTGGGGTTCGCCTCAAACCAAGAAGCGGCATTCCTTCACCTCTCATGCAACCCAAACGAAGCGTTCGATCCTATCGCCGGTGGAACATTTGGATTTGGATGGGCTCCTCAGAAATGGCAATATACCCCCGGAAGCTTTGTTGCCGTCCGCCAGGATAAAAAGCCGTTGGATCCGGTGCACATGGAAGCTTTGTGTAGATATTGTATCGATCATGCTCAACCGCTTTTTGGACACAATTGTGGAGAATATGCGCCGGATGAACCGTTGAGTAAACAGGCTGTGTTGAGCATGATTTGTAGACCGACTTTTTCGATTTATTGGTATAAGAGGTTTACGCCGGAGCTCCACAAGAAGGGTAGTCGTAATTATGCATCCATTACGAGTTTGTATGAAGCTTGAGGGTATTGTGTCCTGTTTGGGCATGTCTTTCGGTTGATTGAATTTTATACAGTTATCATGTTTACAGGCCGATTGTTCAATGTTTCTGATCAAGGCTTCAAATGTTTTATCGGAGTTGGGTGATGCATGATGACAATATTTGAAGCTCGAACCAGGCACCGCGGAATGGCTGTTCTTAAATGCGAATTTTCGATATATAGATATATATATATATCGGGGAATTTGAATATACCAAATGCTTACCTCATTTTTCAAAACCGCTAAATGTTCCCTCGATAACGAGTGGGTTGTCAATGTCAATGTATAACAGAAAAATGGTCTGCTAAACGAGACCAGTCTGCAAGGGTCCCAGTTTGGTGTATTTTAGTCGAAAAGGAGTCGGACCAACACACCATCGTGTTACATTTTGAAGTCCCCTGTCACACAACGTTATTTTTGAATCCAACCTTTGTGAACGTGGCTCGAGCAATTCACCGCATTGCATTACAATTCCTTTGCCCCTCTTTCGGCGCCTGTCGTCACATTTCACAACCACAGTTTCCGTCAATCAAGGTTGTAGAAACCTTGTCCATGAATTAACTACTGACAAATACATAGCACTTAAAACCTTGTGTTGTTACTCCACTACGAGGCTTTTAGGTCCTTTTGGTTGCTAAATATGACCTATTGGTCCTTGGCATCTTCCTGACTCTGTGGGGCTCGACATTTAGTTGGGAGCCGGACTGGTGACTTGATTGGGTAGTCATGGCCTTGGATGAGGCTCATTTATTCCAAGGCAGTAACCTTCGGATATGCGTCGGGTAATCTTGTCGGTTCCCTGGAAAACTTTTTGATAATGGATAAATTCGAAACACGAGGTTCTGGTGTTCATTTTCAGGGCTGAAGGATTTTTCGAACGGCCGGGTGTCCACATGCAGATATTGAGCCGCATGGTGCTGATTCGGTTGCATATCAGCCCATCTTTTTTTGTTGTCAAAATCTTTAGGTTTTTTGTAGGGTCATCGTTTCACCCTTTTTTCTAATTTCTGTCTGTGATAAGATTAACGTAGGGCTGTCGTGTAGGTTCGATTATAGGGGTCGTATTACACGGAAGGGATCATGGGTAAGCATATTTGCGAAAGCGTATGTACGGTGTGGAGGACCCGCTTCATTTTTGTGCAATTGTAAGCTTGATTGTATATAGGCGATCCTGATAATAGGCATCGTACGAAGGGTGCCCCACGAGCCTGGGTCGGCCAAGTCCATGGATTACCAGATCCTGGCTGCACCAGGCTCCACGGCCCACGGCGAACATCTGGGCGTGACAGCAGATGCTAGGAATACCGCCCTTCCTGTTTGATTGCGTTTCTTGGTATTCCTATAATTGTCAGCCCCATTCCCCTCTTTGGTTCTATTGTTCTTCTGTGCGTTCTTTAATTCTTCTTCCGGTTGCTCTTGCAGGATATATTCTTTAGTAAGGCGTTGACTATATCTTGACTATATCGTGCGTTTGGGTATCAGTCTTTCTTGACTTTTAAAAAAATTAAATTTTAAAGGGAAGGCCGAATTTGTTCAACGATCTTTTGTGCCCTGCTCTGAAGGTTTTAGATTCGCCAACGGACATTCCAGAATAGTACACAGCACCGACCCCTGAGAAACAGCCACCCGCAAGCCTAACTGTGGTTGCGAATTCCGACGGAACATACCCCAAGCTTTTTCCCAGACGTTCGAACCTGCTGAATACGGCCAGTACATAACGATCCTTCGCACTGCACGAAAATACCTTGCAACTTCGAATCGTGGTTTGAACTCGGGGAGTAAATAGTTTGGTATTCTGATATTTTTTTTGGATTTTCTTGCCCAACATGGTTGGGTTGTCGTTGTCCCGAAGCGGCACGATACTGCTGGCATTGGCGAGTACTCTTTCGACAGGCGTTGAAGCGGTTTCGATATACGACCGGGCGACAGATTATATAAGTGAGAGTGTTAAGTTGGTTAAAAGAGCAGCGACGGATCCGGTGCTATTTAAATATAGTGTATGTTCATTCTCCAAGTTGTTTAATCCCACAAGCATTTTTATTCGCATGAGCTTGTTGGGGTTTACCGAGTGTAAGGCTGCTAACAATAGTATTGTTTAGGTGCTGCGATATGCATTTTTCGTTAACCTCGAAATCGGGTCGCGGGAGGACTCCGTCAATGTCCGATTAACAGACCAACCTTGGTTTTGGGTCGGGTCTAAGAAGCCAGCGAATTGTAGTAGGGAGGAGAGCAGAGCCAATTATCTCCAGTGCGTCTATGTAGACTGGTCTGGCCTTTGTAAGAATCCCTTCAGTCTAGTTCGTCCATACTGGCGGAAAACAAAGACTAACAGGACATTTACCTATATTATAGACAGCCCCAACCGATCCTCGACGTTTAGGAATGTATCTGATGCAGTCCTAAGTTTAACGCAATCAGATAGTTCGAGGTTTACAAGAGGTTATTACGGTACCGATACCGTTAAATTCGGAGATTCGACACTGGATAATGTTTATATCGGTGTCGCGAATAATTTTACGCAAGCGCCCGAGATGGGAATCGGTGTCTATGATAATGATAGACAAACATTTCCGAGTTTTATGGAATCTCTGCTTCAAGGAAGAGAGATCAAGTCTTTGACACATGGACTTTATTTTAATTGGTTTGGTAAGTCGATGCGTGAGAATCCTTCGTAGCATGATGCTAATATTTTGAGTTCAGAACGTAATGAGAGTTACCTCACCTTTGGGTCCGTTGATACCGCTAAATACGACGGAAACCTCGTGACCTTTAACGCCTCCACCAACGGCGAAATCACCGTTGTTAGACTTGTGGGCGCCTCTTTCGGATCGCCCGGAGAAATGGAAGAACTCAACCCAGTCCGAAACCTTCGTGCCAATGTCGAATTCAGCACAAGCCGAATGTCACTTCCCGACGATGTTATCCCTACAATAGTCGACCGGACGGGGGCCGTGTACGACGATAACTGGGGCGGATACCTCGTTGACTGCACAATGCGAAATTCCGATCTGAGCTTTGAATTCAGGTTTGAAGACGTCAACATTACCGTCAATGCCAACCATTTTATTCTACCGGCATACGGTGTTTTGGGATATAGATATCAGTTAGCAGGAGAGGATGCGTGTTCTTTACAGGTGAATCCTATGAGCAAATACAGTATTGCAACGAATTTGGGTTATGAAGCTGTACTCGGGACACCATTTGCAAGACATACCTATTTGGTTCACGATTATACCAATCGACAACTTAGCTTTGCGCCAGCTAAGTTTAACGTTACGGAGACCAATATCGTCGAGTTGGATTCTAGGGGCGTAGCGCCATTATTCAGCGAGCTGCCGGAGCCAACACCAACAGCGCCACCAATTAACACCGACCCACCAAGTCCCTCCCCAAGTGGAGATTCCGGAGGAAGCAAAACCAACGTTGGCGCTATCGCAGGTGGTGCAGTTGGTGGTGTAGCAGCGATAGCTGGACTCGCGATCCTGGCGTTCTTCATGATGAAACGGAGACGACAGCCTGTTTCTGACGAAACCCTTCCTGCCCCTCCACCGCCTATGATGCATAACTCCATGCCTGCTTCGCCGCAGGGTGGTCAGGCCGGGTATAGCCATGTACCATACTATGATGTCACCAAGGGACATGAGGGTGCCAGACCTGTTAGCGAGCTCGCTGGTGGGGATTATAATTGGAATAATCCTGGGGCTCAAGTACCAGTTGCTCAAGGAAACACACATCCGCAATTTGGAGCGCCGTACCAAGGGAATACAGGGTATGTTAATGAGGCACCTGGCAGTCAGACATTTGCGCATGAGATGCCGGCACAATATAGGTAGTTTGCTAAGGGGGTGTGCATGTGGAGGGGTCTGCTAATATAATGTTGGCTGCAACTGTATTATGATAATGAATTATCCTGGCCTTTTTCTTTTCTTCTTTTAATACCTTTACCTTTATTTTTTGTGTATATTCATTATTTGTCATTTGTCCTTTACTAAAATCGAGATACCATTACCATTCCTGAGATTAAAACAATCAATCAAACGATGTAGCGAAGCGGCTAAGTAGATATTTAGATTACCGATCTGCGGATGCATCGATGTATGTACTGTACTGTACGTGTACTCGAAAATCAGTAGCCCGAAACCCTGCGAAATAAACTTTTGTAGCCCTATTACTTCTTAAATCTGTAAATATTCTTATCCAGATTGCCAGATTATAAGAGTACATGAAGTGGAACCCGAATAAAATTTAGAAGTAGGCTGTAATATAATATTGTTTGTTATGAGTGTATATACTATAACAAGCTTTTAAGCTGGATGCGGCTCTGCCGGAGATTTCGATGTTTGCCTTGTGGGGTTGTTGCTTTTTTTGTGTTGCGCCTTCCAAAAAAGATTTTAAATTTGCCCCAAAATTTAAGAACAGCCCTTTCCGCCTTTTGCCCGTCAACGCACCACCATCATCATTACTCATCACCAACCACGTCCACCACCAACCTCGACTTCAACAAGAACGACGAAACTCTAACAGCTCTTCGATATAGGATCGAAGGAAGAGGCATCAAGGCCATCTGGAAGGCGGATTTAAAGGCTATTGGAGGGCCGCAAAGAGGGTTTGAAGCCTCCCTTTACCCACAATCATAGGGGAAAGACCAGAAGAACAGAATCCTTACCTTTCCGGCAGTTCGTCACACGATATTCCAGCAATCACTTAACTTCTCTTCGAGAAACCCCACCGACTATCACATCCTATTTCATTGGTAAAACTGATCAAAACGAACATTTTAAAAAACAAAATGTCTGCTCTTGATATCGAAGCCCTCGTGGAAGAACCCTTCCGCGCAGAGGCAGCTGAGTCTAAGAGCCGGGCCGACCGAGCATCTAATCATGATGACGATGATAGCAGACGTAGCGACGCTGGGAGCACCAGGTCCAAGAATAGAAGACGTCGTAGCAGGAGCCGAGAAAGTGATAGGTACGGATTAATTCCCTCTGAACCCCACATACTAGGTTGAAAGCTTTTATTGACGCCTCCCTACCTTCGTTAGACACCGCTCAAGACGCCATGACGATGATAGATACTCTGATAGGTATTCCTCCGGCCGTGATCGTGATAGGGACCGCGAGCGTGACCGAGACGGCGGACGTGACCGCGAATACCGAGATAGAGACCGCGATCGAGAATACCGCGATCGAGACCGTGATCGAGACCGAGAGCGCGAGCGTGAGGAACGATACAACTCTCGACGACGAGAACGTGACGATTTCGACGAGTTCCGCACCCGCCGTCGTTCCAGATCTCCTCGCAATAGATCTAAATCTGGGTCACCAAAACTTACGGAAGACGAACGGGATAGGCGTACAGTTTTCGTTCAGCAACTGGCTGCTAGACTTCGCACCAAGGAGTTGATTGCGTTCTTCGAGAAAGTTGGTGGTGTCAAGGAGGCCCAGATCGTTAAAGATCGCGTCAGCGGAAGATCTAAAGGGTATGTACAACTTATCGGTATATTTTTAAGCTTGACTGCTAACAAGATGTTTCGCAGAGTTGGATACGTTGAATTCAAGGAGGCAGAGTCAGTCCCTAAAGCTATCGCGCTTACAGGTCAACGATTGTTGGGTATCCCCATCATCGTTCAACTTACAGAGGCAGAGAAGAACCGACAGGCTCGTGCCGAAGGTGGTCAACATAACAGAGACGAAGACCACCGCCGAACTATTCCTTTCCATAGGTTGTACGTCGGAAACATCCACTTCAGTATCACGGAAAACGAGCTTCAACAGGTTTTTGCGCCTTTCGGAGATTTAGAGTTTGTTCAATTGCAGAAGGAAGAATCTGGTAGGAGCAGAGGTTATGGATTCGTTCAGTATGTGCCCTTGATATCCGTTCCATGACTCGCAAGGTGTGCTAATACAGATGATAGATACCGCGACCCAAATAACGCTAAGGAGGCTTTGGAAAGGATGAATGGGTTTGATCTCGGAGGTCGCCTTATCCGTGTCGGACTTGGGAATGACAAATTCACCCCTGAATCTACTGCACAGATGCTTCAACGTTTCAGTAACGGGCAGCAAGCCTATGAAGGCCGCCAACGTCACAATCAGATCCAGAATATCAACACGAGTGGAGCCGCGAGCGCCCTCGATGACGCTGACGTTGCTGGTGTCAACTTCAACAATTTTAGCCGCGATGCCTTGATGAGGAAGCTTGCCCGTGTCGAAGAGCCTGTTCATGAACAAAACGGTGAAACGAACGGGGAACAGAAACAGCGACGACAGATCGCCCCACCCCCAAAGCCACCAGTTGCTACCAACTCGACAGTTGCAAGCAGATGCGTTGTTGTTAAGAATATGTTTGACCCTACACAGTATGCATGCACCCTCCTTCACCCCGTCTAATAAGGTCCAACACTAACAAGAATTTTTGCTATTTTTAGAGAAGAAGGCGATGCCTGGGTTAAGGATTTAGAAGATGACGTTAAAGCAGAATGTGAAGCTAAATACGGTCACGTAGTGCACATCTCCGTCGACCCAAACTCCGGCGGCGACGTTTACATAAAATTCGAGAAGATTGTCGGTGGCGAGAACGCTATCAAAGGTCTCAACGGCAGATTCTTCGGAGGACGTCAGATATCTGCCCTTCCGGTTGTAGATGCCGTTTACAGCAGTTTGTTCTCACGCGTCAAAGCGATGTGAGTTCTTTAGCGGAGGATCGTTGGTATGACGAAGACATTACTTCTTTATCGGATCAAGGAAGATCGAAGCACTCACATTGGAGCAGAGGAACTCCCGTCTACTCTCGAAGTTTGATGGCTCTGAATGCCACCGTCTATTCACCAATTTATACCATCGTATGCACCTTTCACCCTTCAGTATCGCAGGAAAGAAAAACTGCAATATTCTTTTCTAGGAATCGCCGACCAATTATCCTTCCCCTCTACCAACGAAAAGGTCTTTTGACCAAAGAAATTTAATACACGACAGTTTCTCTCGGGGACGAGGTTTGATCAATACACTCCCAGCATCATAACCAAACTCTGAATTCACGAATCGAAGGCATTTATCAGCCTTAGCCTCACAACATCTGTCTTATAGGTCCCTCACGAATTAAAATTTTATCGACTGTAATTATCGTGCCGGTTCTGAGTTTTTCTGAGTTACCTTTGCTTTTACAGGTTTCCTGCATTCTCGTTTTTCGTTTTTCTTCTTCGTTTTTTCTCATTTTTTTTTGTTTTACACTTACCTTACATACTTCTATCATGTCTAGGGGAACGACGCAAACGGATGATGGCGTCCCTTAATTCGCCATCAGTTCGTCGGTTAGTGTCTTTCGTTCGGTTTGACGTGATTTCGAAGTGATAGATTCATGCTAGTTTTGATATGAACGAATCCAATGATGTTTGATAATAGCAGTAATAACAGAACTAGAAAGTAATTTTTCCCCAAGTTTCTTCGAAGTGCTCATCTACAAGTGTCTCCGCCATAGTTTCCTATTGCAACGCAGTTAAGCTGTGGTATTTTATTGTCTTTTGCAATGCCGGCATCTGCCTGTGTAACCTACCCATAACTCTGACCTCAAAAAACATCCTCGATTAAACTCTCTCAAATAATAACCATTTACAAGTATCATAACCTCAAAGTTGGTCAAAGTTGTCCAGTAAATTACGACCCTCGTGTGGGGAAAATTTCGAAAACAATACATGAGTAAAATGCGCTATCTCGGTCGATTCGTCATTTCGCTAGTCCTTCCAGCATTTGTAGATGCATATTCCTACGCTTTCCTACGCGAAAATGGCAACATTACGGATCCGAGGACCGTCCGTGTCGAATATAACAGCACAGAGCCTAGTTCCTGTCGGGTGATCAATTACTCTTTGGATACCGGATTGGTAACTGGGATGAAATTATGGACAAACACAGATCTTGGAAGAGGACCCTGGGCTTTTTTATTCTACGCCGACTCGCAACATTGTGACCATCATGCGAATATACCGGTGTTGGTGGTTTATTGTAATAAACCGGTCAAGAATCCGTTTACCCTCCAGCTAGCGGACTTTGAACCGTTAACAGCGTTGATGAAAGGTCCGACGGCTATGATATGGAAATTAAGGTCATGGGAGGAGATAAAACCCGGAACAAGGAAATGGAGGTTATTCATCGAGGATTTGAATTTAGTACCGGGGCAGATGGCGTTCGATAGTACTGGTCGTTGGGGGGATGATTTATTACCCGTTGATCCCGAAATAGCGCGGGTGAAGATGTGGGCTACCCCTACCGATCGATTTGATAGACCGCAGACGGTGTTCAAGGATTTGAAGGCGATGGAGGAGATCCTTGGAGAAGAATTTGGGTTTGATAGGTATAGTAGGGGAATAGATGAAGCGCCGTTTTTGACGAATCAACCGACTACGGAGAAGTGGGCGAGGATGTTTGCGTTTGGGGATATTAATCCTAGAGAACTTGTGGGGCCGGATCCGAGGGCTGTGGTTGGACAACCGACGACGGAGAAGTGGGCGGGGATATTTGAGATTGGGGATGTGTCGGTCCCTGCGGTTGAGGGGTTTGAAGGTCCAGGGTGGGGGGATGATATGGAGTTGGAAGAGAGTGAGGATGGGTGGAGCATGGGGACGGTACCTAGGAATATGATTGATCAGAAGCTTGAAGGTGGGGGGTTGGATGGGAGCATTAGACCGGAGCATGGCTCGGAAGATGAAGTTCCTGTGGAGATAAAGATTGAAAATGATGAAGTGGATTGGTTTAGTGATAATCAAGAGGGCTCGGAGGGACGTAATACACCGCCGTCGAATCTGAACATTCCTGGACCAGGAGGTATTAATCCCACCATCGAAATTGAGAGAAAGAATGAAGAACCGGTAGATGCAAAGGAAGAGCCACTCAGCATAATGGCAGAGCGAGCACGAAGCGCGATATCAGAACCAGTGGAGAAGATAGAAACGACATCAGAACCGATTGAAGTGGTTGAGGGAAATCAATACCTTCTTCCAGTCGAAGAAGTTGCAAACGAAGTTGATTCGGAAAAACAAGATTTCCCTCAAAGCGGAATCGAAGAGGAATCCCCCAATTCCGCCGACATGGATTATCAAAGTATCATCAGTGAACTTATTGGTTCCAAACCAAGTCGACCTTTACGCGAGTTCACGTCAATACCGCTACAAGCCGTCCCTGGTCTGGGGAAAGCTAATCAAGGGTTTGCAATTGGTTTATCAGACCACCTTCAACGACAATATGCAATCGCAGACCAAGGCATTAGGGAACTAGGACGCAGCGGATGGGACTGGAACAATAAGCGTCAAATGGGAAGAATAATAAACGAACTAACATCGTCACCAGAGTCGAGGAAATCGACGGCAAGGAAAAGACTAAAGAAACTACCGAGATGGAAGAAGACGCAATCATCTTTAGGAGAAAGATTGATGTATCAGATTGCTGCAGCTGATGATGGGGAGGAGCAGGAATCTCTTTTTGAAGATGAATCGCCTAGGACGGCTCGGAGAGGGAAAACTCTGAAGAAATCGCAGCAAGAGATTGTAGATCTGCTTGTGCCTCCATCTAAAGGGAATGTAAAGAAGACTAAGACCCAATAAGTACCTATATTCTATAGTTGGGATACTTGATTCACGTGTAAGAATTCAACAGGATACGTTAGCGTTATACATGCATCGATGTAACATGATGATTGAAAATTCTAAAATATTAGCAAATTTGAATACTACTTTTAGCTTGCTTCAGGTGAGGGTCTAATATCAATCTTTCGTGATTCGGTGACCTAGAATTGAGCCTCATTAGTGAACCTTACTACACCGGTTTAAGGTCTTCAGGTCGAACGAGCTCTAACTCTCTCAAACACCACTATGCGTGCACTATCAAGATATAGCTTGCGTTTGAAGCTGAATGGTTAGTGGTCAAAGTATTTCCTTAGTCGGATCTATAGACCTATAACCAAACTCAGGCTCGATATTGAATTATAGCGATTGAGATACATGCCTTGATCCACACGACACTAGATCTTAGTATTTGATGAATATGTTTCGGACATATCTCCTTTCGATTCTCCTCTTTTGTATCTCAATACACCCCCTTTCCGCCTACCTAATAAACTTCCAACGTCACAGAGACCCCCAAACACTGGGAGACATCGATCGAAAATACTTTTCCAAAGAGGCAACCGATCAATCATGCACTCTCATACCTGGTAACCAAACCCAGGAACTATCAACAATCCGTATCCGAGGCGACCCCACCGTTGGTAGCCCTCCACACGCATTGGCATTTTTCACAGGTACCGAATGCAACGATACCACCGTTTCGGTAATAACCCGTTTCTTCCAAATCTCCGATAGAGTAGAACAATCTATTTCGCCGTTCGCCGTTCGTGGGAGCCTTACGGAGGGACCTGAGTGGGATAGAAATTTGATAGCACCAACGTTGTACAACTATTATGAGAGCGTTGGGTATACGAGTACACTTTGGGGTGCAATTGTTGACTTAGAGTTGGAACCGGGAGATATGGCGTTCAAATATGCATCCCTAGATGGATCTGTGAATGGATGGCGAGTTGCAACAGCTGTTATTGCTATGGAAGAGGAACCGGATGTAGTTGGAGTGGACTCAATGCTACCTCCAGCTTATTTTGCACGAAAACTTAGTATTAGTCTACCTGAGATGGCAGAAGATGAAAGAAAACTTATACCAGCTCACTTTCAGAAGATAGCAGAGGAGCGTCCTGCTGAAGAAAAGGTTCTCATAGTCGAGAATCCTGCACTGATAGATCCTGAATCTGCATGGAGATATCGTCTGGTTCATGATCATGAAAGGAAGATCAAGATTGGAAAACTTGCTAGAGCAGCGAATAATTATGGACCGGCTCCTATCAGGAAGAATAATCCGAGTATGATTGAGCTCAATCCTTTAGTGAATCTGGTGGGGCAATCGAATTTGGAGGACATCGAGCGGAAGAGGGAGTTAACGGTGGAAGAGTATCTTAATGATAGAGATTGGGATCTCTACCTACCTGAGTCGAAATTAAAAGTTTAAGCTTAAGGGGTATGTGTACTCGGGTATATACGACTCGCCTTATGAGGGGTTAGGGGATGGGGTATAGATATCTAGATATAGCGATAGATATCTGTTGGTTTTTCACAGTGGAATAAATCTCAAATGTATGCGTAGTACTAGTGATGTACATGGGAAAACTTTTCCTGAATTATCAATATGGTCTAAATACTAATATATATACGTCTATCTATATTCAAGTTATATACTAAACCGGCCAAGAACACCCTAAGATCCACCTCCAAAGTCAAGTTTGAAGAGGTGACAAAGAATAATAAAAATTACAAAATCATATATATGCATAACTGTAAGTGTGGAGAGACCCGAAGAAAGTGTGGAGAATAGGAGCAAAAAGTTCCACTCCTTCTTGTCCGCAAGAAAATATCAAAAACCCATGTTCATGGCCTCCAACTTCCCCGTCTCGCCAATTAATCTTCTCCAAATAATTTGTTTAAACATTTCGGTCCAAACTTTGAGCCAAACACATCTCAAAGTACCTTCCCTTCTTCCTCAATAGCTCAGTGTGGGTACCTTCTTCCGCCACCCTTCCATTCGCAAATACGTAGATCACATCCGCCTTAACAACCGTGCTCAAACGATGTGCCACAGCAATTGTAATTCTTCCACTCTCCTGCTTAGCTTCATCAATGGCAGACTGTACCAACCGTTCGCTCTGAGTATCCAAAGCACTAGTCGCCTCATCCAACAACAATACCCTAGGATTTCTGATCAATGCTCTAGCAATCGCTATACGTTGCCTTTGCCCACCGCTGAACTGCGCACCATAAGCACCGCAGGGTGTCTCAAACCCTTCGGGAAGACCCATGACGAAGTCGTATGCGTTAGCCATTTTGCATGCCTTTTCGAGTTCCTCGCGGGTAGGTTCATGTTCTAGACCGAGTGAAATATTTTCTTTGACGGAACCTTGATAGAGGGTTGGTTCTTGTTGGACTAGAGATAAATGGCGTCGGTAGAGTTTTGGAGAATGTGATTTGATGTCTTGGCCGCCGAGACTGATTTGACCGTAGGTTGGGTCGTAGTAACGTTCGAGGAGAGAGATTACGGTGGTCTTACCGCAGCCGGAGGCACCGACGAAAGCGACGAACTGTGATGGTTTAATCTGAAGTTACGCTGTTAGTATATATAAAACGAATAGATTGTGAGGTCGGGAGATGCAAGCATACCTGAATATCGATACCCTTCAAAACACGGCTCTGTTGTCGTTGAGGGTATGCAAAGTCGACAGATTCCAAAGCAACATCATTATCGCCGTCTGGTCCGTTATCTTTATTCTCGTCGTTGACAGTAATAGTAGGTCTTAACGTTCGCGCCCAGAGGATGTAATTAGCACCCTCGGCCGCCTTTGTCAAACTAGTCGTATATCCGAAAAACTGGCCTGCTGCTTGACCGGCAAAGATGACACCGATGAAGATCATGAAGAATTGCTGGGTATTATATTCGCCGCTAACAAGAAGTTTGGCACCGTACCAAAAACCGAGAGCCATGACCAAAAAGTCGAGGGATTGGGAGACTGAGTAGAACAACATCCTAACCAAGATGCTGCGGAAAGAGTTGTTGACAACTTCACCCAATTTTAACTTGAAAGTCTTCAAGACTTCTTCTTCGAGAGTTAAGGAGGCTACAGTGCGGATAGCAGCGATGGATTCACTTGCAATACTAGCACTTTGAGCGAATCGATCACCGTTTTCTTCGTCGAGTTTGAGTTCAAGTCTGATACGGTAATATCCTGCCGCAATAAGAGGAATCATACCACCAGCGAGAACGACTAGAGCCAGTTTCCAACCAGAGGCGAGAGCCATGATCGAACTGCCGACGACATTACAAACAACCATCAACATGAGTGGGAGGTTCATAGACAGCAGTTCCATAAGCTGTTGTGGGAGAGCAGATAATTTCGCAGTTAATGCGCCGGAAGAGTTTTCCTCGTGGTCGAAGAAGGTCATATCCTGGTGTAACGCAATCTCCATAATTTCCTTACGGTACTTGTGGCTAATGGTCTGAGCCTCGAGATTAACAACCCAGCCGAGGGGTCCGTAGCAAGCAACTGAGCCAATGGCGACGATGAAGAACATTAACGCCCAGAAGTTTGCGCTGCGAGTCGCGTTTTGGTAGACTTCGCTGTCGGTGGGTGTAAAAACTTCGAAAACTCGGGAGAAGAGGATAGCTTGAGCGGGGTAGATAGCTGCACCGGCAGCGCAAAGGAAAAATACAAAGACCATTTTTCCATAGATTTCTTTTTGTTCGGCCAAAAGGATCCAGATACATTTGAAAATACCGTAGTGAAGAGTACCTTGTGTCATTGCCTTCTTCGCTGCGGCAGAAGCTTCGGCTTTGGATGCAACAGTCTTGGTACGGGAGAGCGCAAGATGGTCTTCATTTTCTTCGTCATCCTCCTGGTCTGAGTTCCAACCGGCGGATTTCTCGCCCTTGTCTCCGAGGTCTTGTGCGCGGACGAGAGCGGCATAGTGACGGTCAAGAGCGACGAGTTCATCGTGAGTTCCCTGTTCCACGATTTCTCCATTTGACATGACAGCGATATTTTGAGCTTTCTTGATTGTGGAGAGACGATGGGCGATGGTAATTGTTGTTCTGCCTTCAGATACACGGTTTAGAGCTTCCTGAACAATCTTTTCGGCCTTGGGGTCAAGAGCGCTGGTAGCCTCGTCGAGAAGAAGAATTTTGGGATTGGAAATGATGCTACGAGCGATAGCGACACGTTGTTTCTGGCCTCCACTTAGTTTTCCAGCACGTTCACCGACTTGCGTATCGTAACCATCGGGTAGTTGTGTGATGAAATCGTGGGCATTGCTGAGAGTACAAGCTTCCTGGACGAGTTTTCTCTTTTGCTCCTCCGGGAGAGCACGTTGTTCATCGAGGAAACCGCGGCAGACGTTCTCATAGACAGTTCCGGCGAATAAGACTGGCTCTTGTTGGACTAGACGAATTTGGGAGCGAAGCCATTTGACATTGTACTCCTTCAATTCTTTACCGTCAAGTTTAATAGATCCGGTTAAGGGTTCATACCACCGCTCCAAGAGACCGATGCATGTACTTTTTCCAGAACCACTGGCACCGACCAAGGCCGTTGTTTTGCCGGCTGGGAATTTGATTGTAAAGTCCTTGAGAACTTGGGCGGTAGGACGAGATGGGTATGCAAAATCAACGCCGGAAATTTCGATATCACCAATACACTCTTCAGGAGCATGGCCAGATTTGTCGAGGGGGTCGAGTTTAGAGGGGGTATCCAGGATGGTGAAAAGTTCAGATGCTGCTGCTGCTGCTGCAGAAACGGCAAGCAGTTGGGGTGCAATCACGGACATGGCAGATGCCGCTAACATCATTGCTAACTCGACACTACATTCCCAATTCATACGATGTTAGTCTGTTGTGTTATTGAATGCATCTAGCTAGGTTAATGGCGCTCGGGAAGGAGTCAATTATGACTTACGTGAAAACTATTCCGACATCCTGAATCTCACCACTCCGATACATCCTATGCCCCTGCCAGAATGCCAATGCCGTCCCGGAATATATGCAGAAATACTCAGTAGAGAACATAACGCTATATATAGGGCTCTTCTTGTCTCCAGTTCTATGTGCTGTCTCCAAGTACTCATTATACTTCGCAAGCATCTTATCATGAGCGAAAAAAGCGTGGACGGCCTTGATGGACGAGAAAGTCTCCTGTGCTAGTGCGGATGCCCGAGAGTACAATTTAATAATTGTAGCTTCATTAGAGGCATCCAAAGCGACACAAAACCCGGTGACGATAACAATAACCGGGATTATGGACATGGTGATCAACGCCAATTTCCATTGTGCAGCGAGAGCAACAATGAACGCGGATAAAAACATAGCAATGGACTGCACAACCAGGATAAGCTTTTCGGCGATACCAGAGTTGATCCTATTACCATTAGTTGTAACTTGAGTTGCCGTCGCTCCGCTGTCAGCCTTGTCGAAATGGGAGATTTCCATACGGAGTAGATGTTCGAGGAATGCTTGACGAATGTTTCTGACGGTACGAGTGGCAGCGATAGTGATGCATGTGACTGCAATGTATGTGGTTACAAGGCGACCGACGAAGAGATAGACGAAGTAGAGGACGAAAGTATTGACATCGCGAAGGAATTGGTCGCCTCCCTGAGTAGGATCCGCCGCGAAATTTGTGAACTTCGCTGTGAAACGGCCGAAAATAATGGTCATGAGAGGCATAGCAGCACCGCTAGCAATGCCCGTGAGAAGGGCAATAGCATACAGAATACGGTCGCCAGTAGAAGCATACTTGAATATTCTCTGGATCGTACAACAAAAAATTTATTAATATATAACCCGGATTCTCAATTCTTTTGATAAGATAATAAGTAAATCGGTTGTACGCACCCAGTAAGCACCAAAGCCGCCTTCTTCCTTCTCCTTCTCCTTCTTCTTCTTTTCCTCTTCAGCCTCATCAAGTATTGTTATGGAAGCTTCTCCACTACTACTTCCAGGGATTTCAGACTTGATACCCTCATCGATTAACTTCTCAGAGATAGGAATCGAAGGTTCGTTCATTGGAGCCGTCGTCGACATATTGGAAGTTATGGACCCAAAAGGGTCGTGTTATAAACTGAATCTTCTCTTGCTGTTCTTGTTTCTAAGCAGGATAGCGAAAATCTCGCAACTTTTTTATAGAAAACCGCGAACACCGGGCACCGGAGCAATAGAAGAAGTCACAGTATTTCTTCAGGAGGAAATTAGCAGGACACAGAATTAATTCTAAAGAAACCCCCCGATATTCTGGGAAGGATTCGGTCAAAGTTAGCCCGAGTTTGTGTTGGCATGTTGGAGGCTTAGCTAACCACTTACATAATCCTGCGGTGACTGGTTGGACAAGCCCGATGAGCTTTCAGGGATTAGGATAGCGTGAAAGCCAAAAGTGATGTCGAAGAACTGAATTCCAAACACGTTCAGAGGTATCTTATAACGTAATAAAAGATCGATCGACTACAAAAATTGCCTGGAGAGTGAATTAAAATTTAAAAGTATTAAAGCAAGTAGAATATTCGAATTAAAAAAGTGGTTTTATTTTCCTCCTACAAAATATCAAGCAATGAAGAAAAAGATAGAAGAGGATCGAGTATTTTTAAAAACAATCAGATCGAGAATCCCCATTCTCTCCTGACCAACCGGACGCCGTTTAATTCTAACTGGGTGTGGTATGTGCAGGTGTTAACGTTATGGAGCCGGCGACTGTGCGCGGCGTCCGAGGGGCCCGTGATGATGAAATGAATAAGGTGCGCGGCAAGTCGCTTGGCCACACACTTGGCTGCCGCTTGGCGAGATCCGAAGTTCGTGAATGATTCATTCAATTTCTTAGCGACTCTTGGATTAACTGTGAGATTGTATGGAACTCCGTCTTGGGGGCAATGCGGGTCTGGCTGGCCTGGTACAGATATCACCCGGTGTGGAACTCTGGAAGAAGCCAGTTAGACAGATGTGTAATGTATTACGTCGGCCGGAAGCAGATATCGTGATCGTGGGAGGACGAATGCAGGCATTGACGCGTTCCGGATGACGGTCACTTTTTTTTCCTATATCCCGTCGGAAAATTCATCGTCTCACGGTCTCGGGGCCCAAAAGTAGTCCGGTGATAGTTGCATACGGACTGGGGCCCTGGAAAGTTTGTGACGGTTTGTTACTGATAGCCTCGAGACTAAGCTAGTTACTGGCGATAGTGCGGAGTGACCGATCAAATTTAAATCTTATTGTCAATGTAACAATAAGGTTGGCTGGCATTAACTAGTTGCCGCATAACCTTAGTAGATATACATATCAAGAAGCTGGACTAGTTCTGCGCAAGGCAGTTTACGAAGCTTAGGGAAAATAAAGTTTAACTTCTTTGATTTGTTATGAAACTAGCTAACTATCAAATCGCAGCCTTGGAGAGATCGATGCACGAAGGCAAACTAAGAGAATACGAAGGGAATGGATATCAATAGAGGAAGCTATTGTCTCCAATAATCGCCTAAACCGTTTACAATACGGGACTAGTCAAATCGTCGTTCAAGACGCCCGATTTGAGAAGAATTGAATACCAACGCTAGGACAGTGGATTCGCTGTCAAACCGTTCAGTATCAATGATCGATGAACCTGCTTTGCAGGGCGAAACCTTGCGATTTTCAATATTTTACGTGGGCAGGGCGGAACCTTGCTACTTCTCTGCAAGTTTGATACAGCAGCTAGGAAGGGAAGAAAACCTTGATAGTAGAAGTAGTCTTGTATTAATTTCATTTCATTCAGTCGTTTGTCCTGAGCATCAAAACGCCTTGGAACTCCGGTGGCCAAGAAATGCGTAAGCGTGAGTGTGAAAGGAAATATCCCATTAATGGAAGAAGTAAGAAATATATGACATGAAGAGGTATAAAATGCTTTTGGCGGTAAGAGGGTCGAAAAATTGAGCGTTTACCGATTGGACTTGGCGACACTATAATAGACAAAATATTAGCGAATGTGACCCGAATAAACGAAATGGTGTGGAAAAAAACATACCGCTCGAGCTCGTCCTTCTTCTTGATGGCATAAGAGTTGGAAGAACCCTTAGCGGCGTTGATCAACTCTTCAGCCAAGCACTCAGCGATGGACTTGACGTTCCTGAACGCAGCCTCACGAGCACCGATGGTCAAAAGGTGGATGGCCTGGTTGATACGACGAAGAGGAGAGACATCGACGGCTTGACGTCTAACAGTACCGGCAGAACCGATTCTGGTAGAGTCTTCACGGGGACCGCAGTTGACAATGGCATCGACAGCAACCTGGATGGGGTTGAGGTCGGTGAGGAGGTGGATGATCTCGAAGGAGTGCTTGACGATGCGAACGGCCATGAGCTTCTTGCCGTTGTTGCGACCGTTCATCATGAGAGAGTTGGTGAGACGCTCAATGATTGGGCACTTGGCCTTGCGGAAACGCTTGGTAGCATAACGACCAGCAGAGTGTGGGGTGTAGACTGGGGCCTGGAGGTAGACATAGTCACTAGGTAACAGTCAGCAGAAGAACAGATGATAGATTTTTCATAATATGAAGATATCGGCTTCGTACACGAGGGAGAGATCGCTGACGGTGACACCCTCGTAGGTCCACTTGTTGAACAGCTTGACGGAACCGATCTCATCGGTAACCTCCTTGGGGAGGACGTTGCTGAAGGTGACTGGAGCCTCAACTTCGACTTCTTCGACGTCAGACATGATGGCGACTGATGGTACGAGACTACTACTGATATTTCTTAAAGGGAGATGAGGGGCGAATTCTCGGAGTTGTCGATGGTATCTGCGATTGAGGTGTCGTCGAAAGTAAAGGATGGAAGCTCTGATACCTTCTCTAGATGATGGAGGACTCGAGCTAGTGGTGGTAGTACTCATTGGAAGGTGGGTTGTTTAGCGAGGGTTGGTGCCCTAGAAACAAGACGGATTAGGCAAGAAGTCGCACTCAAATGCGGACGCTGTCATATGATCACTGCTGTGATGTGTTGCTGTGTTGATATTGCCAAGCAAACACAACACAATGTTGAGTAGCCAACACACCACCGGAGAGCACCCAGTCCAGCCCCACCGCCAAGGTCTCGCCAATGTCACGATGTTACTACGTACTTCTTCTTAGTGTATTCGGTGCGGCAGTTGCAGCCAGAAGGCCGACGCATGCTTAATAATAGGGCTTTCTATGAGATCCAGATCTTTATCTAAAGGTTCGCCTGAACAATACTATTCCAACTTAAGTCAACGTAATGTCTACGAAGCCCCGCTGACGATATCCTCATCCACACGCGCTCAGCGAAATTACTTCTGGTTTGAACAGCCGGACCACTCAAATTGATCACAAGTTTCATACACTCGCAAGGCTCTTCCAGTGTTAATTTCAGCAGCCTATAAAGGACAGAATGTCTTCAACCTGATAGCCCCTCCGAAGTCTTCGTACCTGGCATTACGTCGTCCAATCTCTTCCCGCGACTAGCTGACATAATATCTTATCAAATGCAACTGCAACCCAGCCTTACCGCTGCTTGCCTGCCGCGTGGAACATGCATGCCAAGCAAAGCTGGCAACTTAAACCTCGTGCGACATCCATTTTACCTAAGCAGCATCCAAATTCGGTGAATCATTCTTCGGGCGCCGCGGACTCCGACGTTTGCGGTTAAGGTTATAACCTCTCTTGTTTCTCTGGTGGGATGTCGTCAAGTTTCCGCGGACAGGAGATCATGGACTGAATTCCCACGGAAGTCCGAGGCAATCCAGCTATCCTTACTCCCGTATTCATTTTTGTAGCATCGAATTCCCCAAAATGGAGTTCCAGAGTTCGATTGGTGGGCCAAGTATGGGCGGCGCAAACATGACACCATCCGTATTAACACAGGCTGTAAGTTGGATCCCTCCAAGATGAATATCATTATAAGAAATACCATATTATGCATTGTTTGACTTAGGTCGTCATGGGATCAGATCGTATACTTACCTTTAACTCGATAGTGCGAGAATTGCAGGCGTCGAAAAGTGCGTTGTCTCTGCCAAAATATCACATTTCTGCGAAATATGCATGTCCGTGTGAACTAGAGCATGGCATGGCATAATATATTGTACCCCATTCTTGTGTGCGCGCAGTCCACGGAACTCCTTTTTTGTCTAACCTTGGTTTGCGAATAGGTTAAATGCAATCGGCAGGACCCATGTTCCAATTGTATGACTTCCAACCTCGAGTGCCGGCCTGCGAAGCGGGTTATCGAGCATCGTCCTCGAGTCGTTCTTTCTTCAAATTAGTATGCGGATCAAAGCCACCTCTTGTTTTCCTCGGGCTCCCAAGATGGTAGCGAAAATTAGACTAACACCATGTAGTCAAAAATCTATCGATGAGATCAATAGCCGGCTCATATCCATCGAGCATATGGTCAAGAATATCTCGTTGAACGAGCCTGACCCTACTCACATGGTGGATTACCGCAAACCAATATCGGGGGATAAATCAGCAGAAACACCGAGTTTTCGTTCGACGGGATATAGTGCCTCTTCGTCCGATGGCATGGCAAGTGGATCCGTGTCCACGCCTGCACCACCAGCGTTTGAAGGCGACTCTTCCTTTGCTACTCAGACTGTAATGGCTGGCGAGCTCATTGCGAAACAAGGCCAAAAATCTAATGAGATCCTAGACGCACTAAGTTCGCTAAAAGAATTGATGAATACTTCATCAGTGGGCGGCTTTTCGAATGGGTTCGATGATTTGTATTTCGATCAAGACGAGAGGCCTAAGAGTCTCCCGGAAATGGAACTGCTCCCAGCACAATTCGTGATATCGGTTTTAAGAAAATTAAAAGGTCAGTGACGGAATCAAGCAAAGCATTAGAATTAAACTAACTGTTATTTCCGAAAAGAATACCCATCCGTCCACTATCTCGCATACGCTATGCGCGACCAGATGGCCCTTGAGAAGATCTGCCAGGCCGTCTACTTCCCGACCGAGCCTGTCTCACTTGGCCAGCTAACAACTATGCATGGTCTTCTATTGTTTCTGCTCGAAGAATATATCGCTCTCAATGACCCCATATTAAGTGGCTGGGATTCATCTAAATTTCTGAGACTTTGTGAAAAAAACCTACATATTGGCTGCCAGAATTATGAAATTCTTGCAGTTCCTCATGTCGATAATGTAAAAGCATTGACACTCGGGGTAAGAACATCTTTTCTAGAACTAACATTGACATCTTTCTCCTAATATTTTCGATTAATATCATTCTCTGCATCTAGGTTGTATTTGCACAACTGTCTTCGAAGCCCCTCCTGGCATGGACTTTGTGCTCTGCCGCTGCCCGACATGTATTCACCCTCGGATACCATCGCGAACGATCGTTGAAGAGCGATCCTCAAAACATCGCTGACGAAAAGCGTCACCTTTTCTGGTCCTTGTACGGCGTAGACAAGAACCTTTCTTTAACCCTTGGCCGCGCTTCCAATTTTCAGGACTTCGACATCGACACCGAATACTTCACCGTCTCTAGCGTCGAGGGTATCGCACCATGGGATCACGCTTCAATAGCTTTCGTCTCTTTGAGTCGTCTCCAAGGCATGGTTTACGACCAACTGTACTCTGCGACGGCATTGAAGAAATCACAAGCTGAGCGGCACGCTCTGATCGGCAACCTCGATGCACAACTGAGACCTTGGCTCGAGCGATGGCGAGAAGTAAAGTCCCGTATATCATCCGAAGTGATATTACCGTTCCACAAAACATCAGTCTAGAGCATTTAAGTCTAACTTTTTCGCTAAAACTAGGTCATGTCCACTATTGAAACCGCCTACTACTCCGAATACTTCGATCTATTTTTCGGTCCCACGGATATAATCTACTATTCGGTTCAAACGACACTTCACCGTGCCGCCTCGATGGGCGAGGGTGTACATACCACGGAGATTACAGCAGCGTGTTTCGAAGCTGCAACCATGGGACTCCATTGCCATCTTAAATTCCTCCCCATCTTCAAGAAGAAGATTGGATCCAATAATATGGACGCCTATGTCTCCTGGTTTGTTACCCACTATATGTCGCAAGTTTACCTTTTTTTGATAGCATCTACTTAAAGCTCGTACTCTGCGGCTAACATGTTGGAAATAGGGTTTTGTTATATACCTCATTTACACCGCTTATTGTCGTTTTCCTACATTCTGTAGCTTCAAACGACCCCTCCGACGTAAAACTCCTCCACGATTTCCTTGATTCAATCGAAACTATTGCGCATGTGACAAAGGACTCTGCTCGTCTTTTTGAAGTCACAAAAGTGTTTTGCCGTGTTGCCAAAGCACTTGTGGATTCACAGAATCACAATCCTTTGGGGACTTATTCACACCAGTCGAATACACTACTTCTCCCACAAGATCACAATATTGTGAATATTGCTGAGGGCAGAGGGGTTGAGCAACTACCAGATATCTTTATGCAAGATTTCGAAGGTGGAGGGTGGACTGAAGGAGATGTGGAAGCTATGAGTACTTTCTTTGGAAATTGGATGGGTAGTTCGGGGCCCATTGTTGATATGTTGAATTTGGATTTCAGCAGCTGCTTCTAAAGAGGAACCAACGGTTTATAGACAGCATGGGTTGGTTGGACTAGAGTAGAGCTAGTAATGGGTATATACACATACATACGTCATTTATTTAATACATGTCTAGGGCCGGAAAACACTTTGTTGGATTAATGTGGTGGGAGAAAGGGGTTCAAAGCTAGCATCGAGACTAATTCGATCTGAGATGTTGTTTCTAAATCAAATATATATTTAAAATATCGACATCATAATATCGATGCCGAGATCCGAGATTCGATTTGCCATCTTTCTCATTAGTTTTGCTCCCACCAATAGAGGGTAATGTTTATTTTGGAGATAGCGTGAAGCAGCGGATGTACTCTAGTACTCTAAATCCAAACGGCTTTTCGAAATCTTCATTCCAGGAACCTTCCACTTCAGGCCCCGCCATGACATCAAACCCTACGAACTCGGCTATCCCCATCGGGCAATTTACCTAATGCTTGACGATTAGGCCACAATCCCCGATCGTGGCCAGCCAATAATGGTTTCGCAGCAGATATTGGTTATGTCATTTCAGGGAACGCTGCCAAGGCGGAACGCTTACCGACGTCATATGGTTGACGAAAACAAGCTTCTCTGGGCACAAATGTGCGGTTTGGGTGAGAATAGAATGAAGAAAGATAACGCATAGATACTGATGGCAAAAGATATAAAGAGGCCGTTTTCAACATAACTTGATTCACAGATCTTGAAGTTTTCCCGTAGTCTTTATCCTCGAGGGACTAGAAGTAATCGAAGTCAATTAGAGAGTTACAAAGTGTTCGTGTAACGTCAACACAGTTGTTGGGAAACAACATCGACAACGCAAAAGCGCCTGTCGATTGTATATTTGGCTAAACAGCGGACATCAGTCTCGCCAGTCATCTAAGTCTCCTTCAAACTCTAGATCTCTACATCAGTATCGCGTTACAGACTTCGCTATCAAGATGGGTCTCTTCACTCGTACCCAAAATCCACCTCCACCACAAGCCGACCCGGCGGCTCCTCGAGGCAGCTTCTTTAGTCGTCGTGATAAACCTTCTGTCTCTACTGCGGGCACTGGGAATCAGACGGGCGTCTCGCCTGCATCTCCATATGCATTTATCAACCGCCGACCCACTTTTGGAGGATGGGTAAAGACGATTTGGTTGGACATAATAACCATGGCTGCCATGGGTGCAATCGGGCTAGGGGTAATACATTTCTTTATGACTGATGCAGACCTGGAAGGCTGACCAACGATAATAGGTTTACATGGCGCCTCCAGCACCAACCCGTAACTTCCCTGTCTACTACGCTAATGGCGAAATCGTCTACCCAGAGATGGCTTAGTAAGTTTGCTATGTGGCATATCATTCTTCTAGAAACACTCTCTAACATGACATCCGTTGCAGTCCTCTTCGTAAAAACATCATTCCGATCTGGCTTGCCGCTTTCCTTGCCTCAATCATTCCAATTTTCTTCTTTGTTCTCCTCCAGATTCGCATTAAATCTTTCTGGGATGCGAATAACGCTATTGTCGGTCTCCTCTACTCTCTTATCAACGCTGCTGTCTTCCAGGTCTTCATCAAATGGCTTATTGGTGGCCTCCGTCCCCATTTCCTCGCTGTCTGCCAACCCCGTGTCACCTTGCCGCCAGCTGCAGGATCGGTCGCTGGCAGTGCTGAAGGTGTCGGACCAGGTGGTGGTAGCGGGTTTGGGTACATTATGTTTACCAAGGCGATCTGTACTGGAGACAAGGATGACATCAACGATTCCTTGGAAAGTTTTCCATCTGGACATTCTACCGCGGCCTTTGCTGGATTCGTTTTCATGTTCTTGTGGCTCAATGCAAAACTCAAGGTGAATAATCCCTACAGCCTTAACTATATAGTTGATATCTAACCACGATTTCTCTTTTTCAGCTCTGGTCAAATTACCACCCCGCGATGTGGAAAATGATTTGTGTTTATGCGCCACTCCTTGGAGCAGTCCTAATTGCAGGATCTTTGACCATCGATGAATTCCATCATTGGTACGACGTTGTTGGTGGCGCTCTTATTGGTACTATCTTCGCTTTTGGGGCTTACAGAATGGTTTACGCTGCTATCTGGGATTGGAGGTACAACCATATCCCTCTTCCAAGAGGCCATGATGGTGTCAACTTTGGAAAAGGAGTTGGATACGGTGGGTTTGAAAACGCAGTATTCACCAGGAAAGCCGGGTGGGGAACCTTCGTCGAAGGAAACTTCTACAACGATAAGGGACGTCACGGACACCACGGGCATAGAAGAAGTCGGAGTAGAAGCATGGGTAATAATGGTTACCCTGTCGCCACGGGGCCTGAGAGGGTCTAGACCTCATGCCATTTTTACTAGAGTGGAGTTTTCTTCAGCCACTTTGCATAGGCTGAGGCACGATGCTCACTAGGGTAGAGGGAAGGGTATCTAAAATATTTGCGCATTCGCGATTGGTCGTTTTCTTAGCGCCGTTTTCATGGATTCCACGCAATTTTCGCATTCAATTCGTGTGTACACAGCCCTTCTTGAGAGCTTTAGAGCCTCTTTAGCAAGCCGCATCAAACGTGGAAAATATTAATTCCATTTTTCAAATTTAAATTTCTTCAGGATCACGATTCCCCAAAAGAATATTGTGTTTAAACTCTTGTAATGGAGTTTCTAGAAGGCTGCCAAAGTGATCGTATCTCTAAATAGTCCAGCTTTGTCTCTATTTCGTGAGGGCTGGCTCCCATCTATACCGCCAGAATGCATGGACTTTTGCCCAATATTCTTCCTTTTTCCTATTTAGGTCTCACAGCCCACATTTTTTACACCAGCGCCTATGAAATCGGTTTCTTAGGATATGACGATGACAGCGATATAGTACCTACCGGGAACGAGATTCTCTGGCAGACAGCCCCCCCCGACATCAACTCTACAGCTTGCCACCGTATCAACCCAAGATGGGCAAATAACGTAGAGTACGCTTTTGTCCGAACCAAGCCCGACCAAGAACCAATCCCACGATTTATAGGCTTCTATGGAAACAATGACCGTCCCCAAACCGGATGTATTCCATTTAACCTAAAAGTGATCATCAAATGGGAACCCGAGCTCGGAGATCAATTACAAGCGGCGGACACACTAAAACGAGACCTTAACCGATGGGCGGTATTAGAACCCCATACTGAACGAACCGAACGACTACGAGATATTCTCGCAACTTTGGAAATGGATTATGCGGATGGCCATGTAGCGTGGCGTTCAGGTGATGATTGGCGGGTGGATCGAGATCCTATTCGACTCTTCGGCCCTAACGAAACTGAGATTGAATTTCGCCAGCGCGATATCATAGATTCGGATAATGAGAGCGATTATAATTATGAGCGTGACGGCGACGACGGCGACGGCGACGGCGATGAAAACGAAGAGATTATTGGGGATAGCCTCGGCTCTCCTAGACAAAGTGGGAGCACAGAAGGCTCAGAGATAGCCGCTGGTCCAGACGATCCGTTGCGAAATATACAATGGCCGAGTTCCGTTTTGGATGCGTCCCGAGATTTATTAATCAGCCAGATGCAGCCCATGGCTGGGGTGTTTGAAGTCCCAGATGTGACTGATCTACAACTGTTGAATTTGGGGCTTGAGCCTCCGATTGACGATATTTTGGATCTTGCGAGTACAAGATCAAGCGTAGCCAATCATCAAGCTGGGCTGACAGGGGCAATGCAATTAATGCGAGATCTCAGTGGTCCAGATAGTGACCTTGAGACGGGTCAGGATTTCGTCGGAAGAAATCCTCTAGATGAGTTAGAGTAGATTGACAAATAAGATGTTAAAAATCCCTGCCATGTAGCTTATATATCCCAGATCCCAAGTCGACAGTACCGGCCCCTAATGGACTTGACCCTCAATACAGGAAAACAAAGTAGCACGTTGTGTCTTTACTAAGCACTATATAAGCGGCTTGATTTGTGGGGGGCGAGCATTATCTTATCATTATGTATAATTCTACTTAATTCTAGTTTACGAGACAAGATTGATTTAGTAGATAGTTTTTCTTCCTTCCAATGGATTTCTTCAGGGTTGATGTATGGTAGGTACAACCGGTATCCAAAGTGGGCCCGGGCCTAGTTTACGAGATGAAAGGGCTATACGAAAGTACTATCGATCTTCGTAAGCTTCTCGATTGCTAGATATCCATCTATTTTCTCCCTTACAATCAAGGTGATGTATTTTTCCAGAGCCACTAGTTACCCGGATTTAAACAAAATAAATGGAATTTGAGGGCCTTTGATCATTTTTTGACAGTGGGAAAACTTTGGGGAAATACTCCTGCCGCTACCGGGATACCAAACAATTACCCACTATTTTTAAGAAATCGCAATGTTAAGTAGCCGTCACAGAAGCTGCTAACACGATCGATAGGCTGTAAAGGGCCAGTTCCAAATTTCCACAAGATGCCCGCAGTGACATCAATATTTATCACTCTACTTTTAGTAGGCTTTTCGGCTCCAGTCTTAGGGATGATTGGAGTCGAAATTGCGTTCGTTCCTATTTGGGACCCTACATGTCGAATTGTACCCTGGGACTTCACACGATTGGAGCCTACAGGGTGCCACTCCGCTGTTCCAGAATATGAAGCCTTCCTCGGACATGTTCGGCTTCGGACAGCTTACCCATACCTCGAAGACATCCCAGACGCAATTGCGATATATGACGGTGACTGCACCAGGTCGAATGCTACACTTGTCATATTTCCTTACAAACTTCAGTTTGTGGACCAAGAAGTTCATGTGACTGAAGAGCCGGAATGGAGCGATATAGAATACCCTGAGAATGCGAGGTACCAGGTATTAAAGGAAGGGAGTCTAGAGTGGAAGAAGATCCTTGGTAGTAAGCCTTCTGTGCCTACGAAAGAAGGTGATGTTCTATACAAGAAGAAAGATGGACAATGGGGCAGTTTACCGAATGAGATATGGGTATACCCAGCACGGCAGTGGGGAGGATCTAGAGGGTTGAAAAAGACGCTTGATATTTATGAAAAAGGTGTGGGTTTGCGACCCGAGCCTCTCGTACAGCCATCCAGGTTCGAGAATTTGAATATGAGACTTGGGACTCTGGAAAGGCAATTTCCAAACAGTCCGGATTCTGTGCTGGCAAGGCCTCGAATAGGAGACGACGAAGATCGACTTCCAGGTTGGCTATCGAACCCGCAGACACGAAGGGAGTGGGCAGGGACAGAGGATAACCCGTTAGTTCCGCAACAAAGGAAATACCCTATGAAATGTGGGGGGCAGCCGATCAGATATAAGGACTCCTTAACAGAAATGACTGAACAAACCGACACATTCGAAAAAGTATCGCCAGGGTTCAGGTTATTCAGGAATAACCGGGCACGCTCACCCCTCCAGATCCCTCCTGTGAAACCTGGCACAATAGGATCGAATAAAATTCGCGTTCCAAACCCAAGACTTCCAAAGGTACAAGCCCCTTCGGGGTTTTCGCAATCAAGATCACAGTCCCCAGACGACTTTGGTTGGGATGTATTGCGGCCTCAAAGGGGACACCAAAATCAAGACCCGACTCCAAACTACCTTGGAGGTAGACTTCGAGAAAGTGCTGAAAGAGATGACACTATCACAGAAATCCCTGATGAATTATCCCCTGGAGAGAAGATTCGAGTGGACATGAAAGAAACAGAATACGACCCGATTTTAGCAGGGCTAACATCATCGGCTTTCCGGAGTGATATTAGACCTCTGGACTCACTGTCTCCAATCTTACCACTGCAACGTGAGCCTGGAAGTCCATCTGTTTATCCCGACGAGTCTAGTGACCCCAGGATTAATGCTATAATTTTGAATTCAAATCCTGACTTCGACTCTCAGTATTTTTTCTGAAAGCTTGCTGTTAAAATATATCTGGTACGAAACAATGTGCATATTTATATGAAGCTTAATATCGCAATTATAATAGTTTTAGGTATACTAACCAGAACATTAACACCAAGATTAGCATATATTATATCTCTGGAAGTCCGATATTTCGGGTGCCCTGGTTCGAGGGAACCACGGTCAAATGTTGAATGTATGGCAGAGAGTATTTATTAGACAGGTTCATAATGCAGTAGCGGGACCTAAATTAGCACTCAAGGATGCTATATATATAATTGTAAATACATATTATTGGCCGCTTAGTTCATCATATTCTACCCGAATAAGTATGCGGTTATGTTAACTCTGTATTTTAAATAAAATTAAACTTTCCGCAAACGTTCTCAAATATTGAGGCTTTACTAAATACAAAATGTTGCGACTGTTAGAGATGTATAGATTCTTTATACTGGTTCATTTTCAAAGTTAAGTGTGCGAAGTCCCCAAAGGTTGGCCAATTGGTTTTCAAATCTTCTGCGTATGACATTGCATTTACTGACGACGACACCAAGTATAATGGGTACGACTACAACTTCGCCTTTCTTGCCCGCACCAAGGGGCAGGAAACTTGCAACCGCCTACCTATAGACCTCAATATTGAAAAGGGGCCGAATGAAATTCTCGTCCGAGCTAGAAATGGGAATACTCCAGTTCCAAATTTTATAGCGCTTTATAATAACGCCTCTCCCCAACTTGGAGAATGCAATCATCACAGTCTTAGGATGATTTTAGCCTTTGACCCTAATGTATTTGATAGGCAACAGCTGCAAAAAGTTCGGGTAAAAAACATCAGGTATTGGAAGGAGATAGATTATAACTCAGAGGATCGACCTGAAGGCTATGAATCTTTTTTGTCTTACTTTCGTCCGTTGCCAGGAGAGTTTTTAATGAAAGATGTCACGACTTTGATGTGGAAGCATAGGGGGACAAACCCGAGAACATTGGGATGGAACGAAGGTCCGGTTCTACCAAATCGTCGCCGCGATGAAACGGTATCTATAATTTCAGGTGAGCTACAAACAAACCAAGCTAGAAAAATGATTACTAGTCACATGCACACATCGCAGATGGACTAAAGGCCGGTGTTTCCTATAGAGGAAGAAATTGAAGAGGAAGAAATCGAAGAGGAAGAAATCGAAGAGGAAGAAAGCGATCACCCCTATACAGACTCTTCCACTCATCTCTCATCCAATAATGCTGAGACGGATGGAGGCGCTATTCTGTCCGATCTATTACTGCTGACTCCAGAGGAGGATGAGCCTGAAAACATATTCGATTTCTGGGCGCCGGATACCCCCCCTGAAATACGCAATGCAATTGAGGAGTTGGATATCGCTTCTATTGCACGCCCTGATCAAAGCTGGGTTTCGAGTATTGGGGGATCTAGAATTCCAATGGGTATGCGTGCGAACCGATTCGAAAACTTTATGGATAGCCCAGATCTGGATAGCATCCCCGGCCGTGGTTTTTTGAGTAATCATCGAAACATCCAACAAGTAGAAAATCATCAGGCGTTCGGGATGAATGAGGAACAAAATAAGAATGTGTTTTATGACCTCCCGTATAGTGAGGATTTTCCTGAGGACATTGATATCACTGCTTTCCAACAATCCCCCCCAGATTTTTAGTCGCCTTTTTGATTGGTTTGTTCTGTCTCTCTATATACGAGCGCGCTCTTGGGCCTGTAGTATGAATCGGTGCATCGATACTTCGGAGATTGTGCAAGTTATGACTACACTATATGAATAGTGTAGTGCACTAGCGCAGGATTTGGAATGTTGGAGACAGTTAATTATAACAATAGATATAAAAATATATTCGCAGATTTAATATGATGTTTGGGATCCCATGGGCCCAGGATATTATTTTCTTGGGCTATAGCACTGGTAAACTAAACGGTAGAATCTGGTTTATGAGATAAGGCTAGTCCCATTCCTAGATACCATAGGTGAAAAGGATATCACGCTAGTCTGGTATACAAATCAAGCTCTAGCAAAAGATAATAGGATTTTCCTGTTGTGGCTTCGACTCGGAGCCGTAAAGTTTAAGGGTCGATGCAATAAATATCTACCAGTAAATTTACGCAGCCAGCACACACAAAACTAGCTAAACATACACATGGACAAACAATTAATTAAGTTAATGACAAGTCTCGCTGGCGACGACACAAAAAATTTAAGAGTTTCATACCTTTTTTAACACTAAATTCATTAGCTTTATGCCAATCTATTTCATGAAACCTTAGGGTTCCTTTTGATGTGAATTCAATTGAAGATTTTAGGTGCTACGGGCTTACCGACCTACGTACGGACATGCATAGCTCGCTTACTCGTTTTAACATATCTAAATCAATATGTTCGTACCATGTTTGTATAGATATTACAGAACTATCCATTTGGTATTTATTTGCATTGTTGTTTAAATGTACTAATGTTACATGTTATGGAAATAGTGTTGATAAGAGGCAGGTATACTCGGCTAACCTGTGGTCGAGTCGGTAGACCACCAAAGTTGCAAACTAGAAAATGACAAAGAAAGGTGTAGGTTGGATTTGATACAGACAATCCCTGTTCATATTTAACAAGAAAGAACGTCTATGAGAGACTGCGTTTGGCATCATCGCTTGCATGTAATGTACTTATACGGATGTGCACATGTGCATGTGCTCGTATGAAGGTGTTCTATTTAACAGTATAAACGTTCACGTTGAGAACTAAAAGACGCATTAACCTAGAGATTTAAATAATTACTTACTTATTGTATTAGCGCTGGTCTAAGAGGGAGGAAAGCGGGTGGGCCCTTTCTAACTTTTTTTCTGCCGATCTCACACATATATATATCCTCCAAACCCGAACAAGTTACAACCTACCATCTCATCATCACCACCAACATCAACATCCATCTTCCTCAAAGCAGCCCTTCCAAGCTGACCCAGCCTTGGAAATTCTTCCGATGACAGGGGTAAGCTAGTTCCCGAGATAATAAATGACTGGTAAAGGTTATATACTAAACAAACGAGATGCTGATATCAACTAGCCCTCCTAGCTCAATCGGAAGAGCGTGGGACTTTTATGAGCATAGAAATGCCAATAAAAACATCCCAAGGTCGGGAGTTCGAGCCTCCCGGAGGGCGATTGATTCCTTTTTTGCATTTCTAACCTTTCAGAAACGTCAAAGATTCGATTTTTTTTTTTGATTTTTTTGAATTCTCGCCATGTGGTTGAACTTTTGACTTTTTTCGGAAGCGGGAGCTCGCCAAACGGGGGTTTTTGGGGCGTGTGTTGTTGGCCAACACTCGCCGTGTTGTTTACCACCTCAAAAGTTCATCCGTCCTTCGATTCGGGGCTGCTTCGATGGTGGTGGGGGGGGTAGTGGGGAGGGGTTATTTGGATCGCGTCATGACGGGCATGGTGATGTTTTTTTGCTGGTGATGGTTTTGAATTCTGGTATCCACCGACTTTGCAATCAATTGTGCAATATTTGGTCATCGGTCTGCTCAACGGAAACTTCAATTCATGGGAATCGTGGATCATTGTATTAGTAGGACTGGTTGGACAAGGATATTGATATTGACACTAATCCAATTAGTTATTTAATTTTGTATGAATGGAACTTAGAGCTCAAGAGTTAAAGGGCTATAAGTATTTGTATAGAGTAATTTTAAATCATCAACTATGATCATAATGCTACGCATATGCCTCCAGGTGCTTCCAGGTAGAGGCTATGAGGAGGCTTCCTGAGCTGAGGCCCTGCTGTGAATGGAGGCTCGAGGGCCCGCAAAAGGACTAGACACTTCGCTTGATTTTTCTTATGGAAACTAGGCAAGCAAACACTATTCTACGTCCATATGCATCGAAAAGACTTGGGATCGATGTCGATATTGTAAAACTAAATCCTTTTGTAAGATTTTGTAGTGATGCTATCGAGAATTTCCCAGTTTCATAGGTGGCGATGGCTTCTCTACGTTGTAGTTGTTGTAGGTCGTGGTTGCTACGCAACACAAAGCCATTTTGGTGAAGTCTACTATGAGACTTCGAGGCCGGTTGCTGAATATCACTGACCCAATTGAGAATACCACAAGAGGTGTACCGATACTGGGCAGGCCTTATATCTGGTAAGCGTGGGGGCGAAGCTGTCGATCGTGTACGCGAAACTACCAGCCTCGAGTCTATAGAGCTATAGGCATAGATTGTACATGTAGACGCATCGATGTATGCAAGTATCCAGGAGATTGGCGTATTTAATTCACATCCTCGCATCATCATGCTCAGCCCATTAATTTTATCCATAGCTTAGGCGTTTGTGTGATCAATCAACAAACGTTGCGAACTTCTTGAATCCAGTCGGGTGCGAATACAGCAGACGGGATAGGCATTGTCTCGACAGGCACTGTATTAAATCTTTGAGCAAAATCCGAAAGCCGGTTATCCGAACATTAGAGCACCGCGCTATATTGTCTAACACACATGGATGTTTTGCGGAACTTTTGTTATAGCACATGTCATGGTCCTTCTTCCAACAGATATATTAGGTGTCGACAGGCGTCGTGGCGACACCGATACTCAACATGTTGCAAGGAAATTAACCGGGTTCGATAGGTACCTCAGTGTGCAATCTATAATGCAGGACATATATCGCAATATCGTTCAGGAGCATAAAACATGCATAGACGGTTGTTCCAACGTTGGGGCATTCGGTGGCTGGTTTGTTTTTGGGAACACATGCAACTTGCGGCTGTTCGCTAGTGTTTCAAGATTGGCGTCTCAGTCTGAGGGTTAAACTTTGAGGCATCACCGTCAGGAATTCTCCAGATTGCCCTGGGGAGATTGCATATTTTCGCATTTGAGAAAGCAAACAGGTTAGGAATTTGAAAGTTTTCCGCCTCGCAAAAAGTTTTCCAGGCGACAAGATTCTTACGATAATACAAAGCGAGATAATATTATCGGATAAGGGTATCTACGGAGTAACGTATAGGAGAAGGTGTACGACCCGCTCAGGTCTGAATATAGAAGCTACGATGGATAACTGATTATGATTTGCATGGGGGAACATGTCAGCAAGCGCAGTCCACCGTGCCGGCCCCGCTACAGCCCCTCAGAATGCAAGTGTGCTCTGCCGGTGGTGACAAAATTAGAAGCAGCGTCTGTAAAGTATCTTGGCTTCTCTCAATTGAACATGCCGTTTGAAAAATCAAAATTTAAAAGGCCAAAAGGCCACCGTGAAACGAAACGTACCCGCTCACACATGATAATTGAAGTTGGACAACGGATGAGAGACGTGATACTGTAACGACTAAACATTGCATAGCATATATTCCCCCCTACGTTGTATGTAAGTAGTACCAACCGGCCACGACTCGACTCAGTCCGACGGATCGCAGCCGCAATCTTTTCTGAAAGTATTCAACTCTGTCGCATTCTTGAGGACCGGTATTGGGAGCGAGTGAGGGATAGTTTCAACATAGAGGCGCCCGTCAGAAGGTCTCATTAAAGTAGGCAGGTAAGCCGGGTTCGGTTCGTGCGGAGGAGCTAACTGGAAGCAAGACCCTGTTTGAACACCGAATCCTGTTCTCCTTCTTTACAATCGTCATAAGACACAATCCGCCGTGTATCTTCGACGCCTTTTCTTCCAGAAACGTTCAACATACTGTGGACAGGCCTCCTTGCTGGTTTTGGTGGGCAGGTATTTGAATTTTCTTTACTTCTTCGACGCCTCCGCCACCCTGACTAGCAGATACATACCGCTAGTTTTTTTAAATTTTTTTATTTCTCTATTGTTTTAAGCCCTGGCTGGCCCGACGAAAAAGAATAAGAACAGATTGATGGCAGCTGAGATATAATCTGTTCCTGTCGCCTGGCGTGCCTAAACATCGGAAACGTCTACCAGTTTTGCTCTGAAAAGGTTGCTTATCCGAGTTCCCCGACCTGGTCTTTTGGTGTGTGCGGTGCAATTGCAAGGAAAGCAGCGGTGGAGTTCTTCGTCGCCTGCCAACACACACCTGATCCATCTCCAAATTTCTCCCGCCTTCGTTTCGTTTGCCTCCGTCCTCTCTCATCGTTCATCCTCTTCCTCCCATTTCAACCATATCGCCCTCCATCGCCGGCCTCATCCCCGCCGTTGCTCTTATTACCGCCAATCTAACGGCTCTGATAGTTTTCGTACCAGAATCTTGACACTTTCTACCCCTTTTGTGACGTTCTGAGTACATGGTAGAGGCCACCAGTCGAACTCGCGTCCCCGCATCGCTTGCCGACCAACAATCTCTGGGGCTGCCTCCGACACTTCCCTACCCGATCCTTTCCGATCATCGACGTCTTCCGTTCAGATTTCTTCGTTATAATCACAATCATCATCATTTATTGCTGCCATAATAATAATATCCGACTTTTACAGCCGTCGCGTCGGCTTAGCTCTCCGTTCTAATGGCCGTAATGGCTTACTCGAGCGATAACTCCCCCGGTCGGGGGGTTCTGATCGCATTACTTTCAGCCTTTGGATCTGCTGCCTTTGTCCTGCTAGTAATCGCTGTAATATATTTCCTAAGATTTACAAACCGAGGAAGAATATTATTGGATAGACTGGGCAGACCGGGTGAGTTCGACGATGAACAGGCATTCCTCAGGGAGGAGGCCGAAGCATTAGAAATCATGGATGAAATGGACCGACAGGAGTATTGGAGAGCCAGAGGTACGAAATTTAACCCCTTTCTAAAACACTCTCGTCATTTTTCTCTCTCTAATACCGTATATCAAATATAGCATTTATCGAAGCCAATCCGCCAGATTCTATACCTACCGATATCTCACTTTCTCAATTCCTCGCCATTCAAGAAAAGGGTGTATCTGCCTGGGAATTCGAGGCAGAACTGGAAATTGCCAACTGTTTCGTTGAAGCCCGTACTGAAGTCGAGTTTTATGACACCGAGTGTTCCGTTCAAAGCAACCTCCCTGTTCCCAAGCAGAACGAGGTCTACTACTGGGAGTGCAAGATCTTTGAGAAGCCAGAGACGACACTTGTGGCTATCGGAATGACTACAAAACCATACCCTATGTTCAGACTTCCCGGTTATCACAAACACTCTGTAGCTTATCTCTCCGACGGCTCACGACGATATAACCAACCATTCAACCCGACCCCTTATGCCAACCTTTTCCGACAGGGCGACGTTATTGGCGTTGGATACCGACCAAGGACTGGTACGATTTTCTTCACACGCAATGGTAAGAAGCTGGATGACGTGTGCCACGGATTGAAATCGCACAACTTTTTCCCAACTGTCGGCGCGAAGGGTCCTGCAAAACTACACATCAACTTTGGGCAACTCGGATTCGTTTTCATTGAAGCAAATGTTAAGAAGTGGGGCTTGGCTCCGATGACCGGAAGTCTCGCGCCGCCACCCCCGTACGGAAATGAAGCCGGAAGCATCCTCTTGGAAAGCGGTAGAGCCGGTGTCCGTGAGGGCGAAAGTTTGATGGACGCCCGAGCATTTGCACAACACCACCAGGCTATTGCATCTCAGAACCTCCCCCAACTGACTACGAACGTTCATCCACCATCACCAGGATCTGCGTCCGGCAAACGAAAGAGCAAGAAATCACACAAGTACACACAATCCCAGCCGCGAAATCTGCCGCCTACTAGCCCTGGTCCAGTTCGCAGTCCAACGGAAATCAGCCTGGCCCCGATCAATCCGTCGCAGCCCCCTCCTGAGTACACTAGCGGCGGCGAGGATGAGGATAGCAGTGATGATACAGATGGTGGCTACAGTGACGAACGAAGGAGATTACTCGGACCCTCCACGAGCAGCAATAGAGTCCAGACTCGAACACGAAGCCAGAGCGAAGCAGTAATCCGACGAGTCTCGCCTCCAATCCCTAGTTATGGTGAAGTCATGTCGTCTAGAAGCAACGGCGGCGAGGGCCCGAGCGCCACTCGTTGAAAAAATCAATGACGGTTCAGCGTTTTTTTCTTTTGGCGATGAAATACTGAGGGTTGCTTCATATTTCTAAACCCCTCAGCCTGCTCCTTGGATTTACTATCGAAAACCGGTTCCCGAGGCTGTTAATATCACAGCCAGGCTCTGCGTACGACCCACCACTTTGTATAGACCTATTCCCCACTCCTAGAACACCGGGTTTTTTCACGCACCTCTACGAACCAAAGTCACGGCCATTTGGTTCACACATACTGGTTCATCATCTCTGGCGTTTTTTCCCTTACTTTTTTTGTATCGAAACCATTGCGCTCTCCGTTCTTTTGTTATGCTTTTAGCACAGGTCACTCGCTCTCTATCTATCTTGGGGTTTCTTGGTGGGATTGGGTTTATCAGTTTCTCCTCTTTTGTTCTTCTTTGTTTCCTTTGTTTATTATCGCACGGGAGGGTAGCGGGTGTCAAGTCTATTCATTTCTTTTCAAACTCTTTCGGATTCCCTTGCAAGCCTGAGAACTGGATTTTGAAATCTCCTTTTTTTGTAGCTATTACACTGGCTCGTTGTCGATGATTGAAGCCAAATAACTATACACAAGCACACTTTTTTTCATATTTCTTTCCGGGTTTGTGAGACTATTTCATTTGCATTTCTGAGTGTTTCTTTGGGATGTACTGAGAATATAATGACGAAATCAAAAGTTACAATGATCATGTTGAGAAGTGTTCAATATCCGTATATCGATAATATTCACGCCCTCGAGACTGTCGATGTTAAAGTTAGTGTCTATTTTGTAGTGCCTTCTCGGCTGATTGCGTTGACGTTGATATTGATCATGCATATCAACTCCCACAATTGCAAAACCTCTTAGCTCTTACAACTGCCGTACTGACAGTCAGCAAGATATCGCCCTCGCCGAATTACACAGACTCAACGATGGCTGCCCCGCCGTTGGCTTCTTCGGAGGCCCAACAGATTTACCAGCTGTCTGTTCCACTGCCTCGAACGGCGGACACCTCGCTCCACCTTCACTTAACCATAGCATCTCGTCATATTCTTCTCTTCCTCACAACCACATCTGCAAACCCATCGTTCGACCTCTCGCTACTATCGATACCCGGCGTGAATAGTTCCTCTACAACGTCTACTACCGAAGATGTCCTGAATCCTATGCGTGGAGGTGATGCCGCTGTTCCTCGTGGTAAAGTGGGGGTTGGCAGTTTCGTCTATGCTATGCCTTCTTTGGTAACCACCCATGCCTTTATTTTCTCAATTCCCTCTCCAGAATACTGATTTTGTGGTACTTTGCAGAGAAATAACAAGGAAACAATATGTACGCCTTTAATACCGGATATGGCAACGTTGGAGACGACGGAGCGAATTGCAAGGATCCTGGCGAGGCGGCTACAGGTGCCGGTTTACTTAGGGAACTCGATGAACTTTGCCGCCATGGGAGCTGGTGGAAGCGTTGAAGAAGAGATGGGAGTTGTAAGGGACGTCGTGGAGACCGTGGTTGGCGTTTGGGGGAAGAAGGACGGGTCATCGTGATGACGACGTCTATATTCTGGATAGACTGGCGTACGAATGGATACTCTCCCAGACATACCCAAGTACGCTCGAGCATATATCGATTGTGGAATATTACAGCCAAGACGAAAGCGACAGCACGGATGCGGATCTGTTTACGAGGTCTTAAGGACTGGCCTTGAGCTAACTTTGGATTAGCTTCGCGATGTGACATTTGGATTAAGCATAAATGTCAACGAGTACCACCTTTCTGGCGCCTGCATTATGCGGCTGTTCTCCACAGATACGCACACACATGCACATACGTACACATCCCCAGCTATCAGATTACGTTTGGGGTGTGCGTATGCCCAGATCTATCGCCTTGATATACTTGATATGAGATACCCGAATCTAGACCGTTGTAACGTTAACGTTATGGACATCGATACCCGAGTTTTCTCTTTGTAATATTCCTCCTCTTCCAAGTTGTTACAACCGATCCTCGTCAATTAATTTCCCGCAAGTCGAGGTAATCTTCGACCTGTGCATCCACATGCCTATGATTATGCATACATTCAAACATTCATACGCAAAAACTAACGTGGGCTCGCCATGGTCACACCACAAGCAATCCACTGCGATCAGATAAAGCATAGCAACTTTAAGCTCGATAGATGCGATTGGTCGTTCTCAGCAAGGGGCAACCGCAAGAACTTTGCAGGTTTTGGTGAACTAGCCGAATCTTGCCAGATCGTTCTTCGTTTAACAGCTCAAGCTCCTGCTAGACTGTTTCCCCTTAATATCCGCCTCCTTCCCGCATTTTCGTTTTAGAAATTTCTGTTTCCCTTTATCTCAAATTCGAATTTGGTTATTTCGGAGTTGGGCGGGAAAGACTTTGGCTGCTCTCTTTTCAGGACTTCTTTGGCTGCTGTTTGTTTACGACTTCTAAACGGATATTCGGTTTCCGTGTTGTCCGACGTTCCGTTCCCTTTTTATAATCTCGACCAGCGCTGTAGTCAGCGACATCATCACAACTTCACAGCAGCACCCATCGGCCGTATCGGAAGCATCATCATCATCGCTGTTATGATTACCACAATGCCGTCCGCGAATCTACCTACATTTACGCTGGCCGAGCTTGCCAAAAACCATTCGTCAAAGAAGTCCTGTTACGTTACTCTGGGCACCAAAGTCTACGACCTGACCGATTTCCTTCCAGACCATCCCGGTGGCGACGATTTGATTCTCGATTATGCTGGCAAGGATATCTCCGATATCATTGCAGACCCTCAATCGCATGTTCATTCTGATGCTGCATATGAGATTCTTGACGATTCTCTTGTCGGTTTTTTGAGCCCGGAGGATGCTAAGCTTGCGAACGGATCCGCCAACGGGTCTACCAACGGTGCCGCCAAGACCTCCGCCGTCCCAAATGGGAATCCCACATATGAAGCAACTGGCATGTCAACAGCCGAAGACCTTTCGGTCGAAACTGATATCACCAACGACTTCAAAACACACAAGTTTATCGACCTGGATAAGCCTATGTTTATGCAAGTCTGGCGTGGCAGGTTCTCCAAGGAGTTCTATCTTAAGCAGGTTCATCGGCCAAGACACTACAAGGGTGGAGATTCCGCTCCATTGTTTGGAAACTTCCTGGAACCGTTAAGTAAGACTGCTTGGTATGTTATTCCTATAATTTGGTTGCCATGTGTGGCCTATGGTCTTTGGATGGCAGGCCAAGGTTTGACCCCGGAGAAGCTTGCTCTTTGTTTTGCGAGCGGTATCGCGATATGGACATTGGTGGAGTATGTCCTACATAGGTTTTTGTTCCATTTGGATGAGTATGTTCCCTTTCCTCTCCTATATTTTTCTCTGCGAAGTTGCTAATTTCTCTTGAATAGATATCTTCCGGATAATAACGTCGCTATCACCCTACACTTCCTGCTTCACGGAATCCACCACTATCTCCCAATGGACAGATATCGTTTGGTCATGCCGCCAACCCTATTTATCGCTCTCGCCACTCCATTCTGGAAACTAGCACACACTCTTTTCGCCCACAACTGGTATGTCGGCACAGGAGTTTTCTGCGGAGGCATCTTTGGTTATATCTGCTATGACTTGACACACTACTTCCTTCACCATAAGAAGTGAGTTCCTTTATCCACCATCACTACCCCCGAGCGTAATACTAACATCAATACGTTTAGACTTCCATCTTACTACCAAGAACTTAAGAAATACCACCTACAGCATCATTTCGCCGACTATGAAAACGGGTTTGGTGTCACCAGTAGATTCTGGGATCGTATTTTCGGAACCGAGCTTCCACCTCTACCACAGAAGACTGCTTAAAAGAAAAAGAAACGTAGTCTTTATAAAAATTAGTAGCCTTGGTCAAAAACATACCCCCTGGGTACTAGCTTGGAAACAAAACGTTTGGGTAGGCCTTTTTTCTTTTGTGAATATATTTTGGAAGTACTCTTTTTTTCATGGCGGGTTTGGGAATTTTGTGTACATGGATCTCTACTTTGATGGGAAATGATAGGATAGGGTGGGCCGAAGGAAGAGAGGATGAACTTAACATATGCATGCCTTTGTAGATAGAATGGGTTTAATGTCTAATACAAATGACGATTATGGTTTTTGAAGTGGATTGATATGTCGAAGACTTAGAATGCTCTCTCACTCGTGTCATAGTGTTTCATGGTGATACTCGCACACTATATGGCCCGGCCCCCGCCGACCATATGCAATTAGAGATCGAACCACTCTTAATGCCCGCCTTTTGTGGCACTCTGATCCCGATAGCCGGCTTACGATTGTACACATTTAACTACTTTATCTTTTGATAAACACCCCACCTATACTGTAGTACTGTAGAGACACTACAATCCTGGCCTGAAGGCCAAAACCTTGAATTTCAACTAAGATAGGTAGAAATCATGGCGATGTATCTTGTCTGCCCTATAGCAGTCAGATAGCCATCCCTCCCATGAAGAATAGAGTGTAAACTATGATGATATCCAACGAATAGCTTCACGTCTGTAGGCATAGCCCCAGCGCTATCCCGTATGCCATGAAGGCACAATACAATCGACGCTGAAAACATGAAAGTTTCCCACAATTGTCCAAAAGCCCTGTGAATCAGAAATGTAATCTTTTCCCCATCCTCACACACTCTTCCACCTACAAACCAAATTATACACCATACCCACCGGGCAAAGAGGTTCTCGAAACCATGCCAGACCTCACTGCCGAAATCAGTGCTCTGTCAATTGTCGGAAACGGCCTAAACAGCGAGACTATGAAGATTTCTTCAGCCTCGAAGCCTTCTAAGAACTATTTTGCTACCTCCCCAGTCGAGATTGGTGAAAAAATTGCGACATCCTTAGACAAAGGATCTCTTATCGCATTTTCCTCCTGCTCCCGCCTCTGCCGTGCAATTTCTGTCGCTTTGTTGTGGTCGAAGGTGGTTCTAGAGTTCCCAATTGTCGAATCCCGGAAACTCAGAATTGAGTGCATCTTAAGGAACGCTCAACATGTCCGGTCAGTGTATTTGAAAAGCCTTTTCGACGGATCTAGATGGCCATTGACAAATTACAACAGCGCTATCCACATGGCTTTGGATATAAGATTGCTCCTTAGCCAACCGCAGGTTGCGTTTACCGGGACGACCATACCTACATTTTTAGGGATGTTTCCTGGCCTGAAGGAACTCCGACTAGTCGAACTTACACCACAATCGTGGGAAGTACGATGCAATATTGTAGCGCACATCTTGAATCATCAACATTGCCTCGAGATTCTAGGTTTGTGGCTCTGTGGAGTGACTCGATGTCCTATCGATATTGTATATCGTATCTTCCAACGGCATGAGCTCCATGTTGTTAGATCGTGCCGCCTCAAAATCCTAGAAATTCTCATCCATCAGAGTATCCATATACCAAGTGAGCGAGGTGAATATCTATTCAAACCGTTTCTCAACCTCTTCGGTACCCGCCTCGGTTCTCTCGAAGATTTCTGTTTTAATATCGAAGGAGGCCCTGTTACCAATATGGTCATCAGGCGTCAGCAGATTGAGGGATTGGGTCCTGAACAAGCTTCCCTAGCATTGACCCCACTTTCAATGCCTTCTTTGAGTTTCCTCGACTTCGATTCTATCTGTTGCTTCGAGGACTTGTCGCATTTCATGACGTTGGATAGCTTTGAGAACGTCAGATGTTTGTCAATATATACCTATATCTCCACTCCATGTGAAGACATTGTCTTCCTAGGTCCAGCACCGGTGGAAGCAAAACACGTGAGTATCTTTAATATTGTGTGGATCACTACGAAAAGAATATTAGCATGTTCTAGATGAATATGTATGAAATTATCAGTATCTTGAATTGAAACTAACTTCCTTCCAACTGTGAACAGCTTGCAGACACGCTCCAGCATTTCAAAGCCTTGAGGTTCTTGTTAATTAATATGGGCGATCCCATCGGCAATAATGGTGGGGCGGGAATCCTATCTCCGGAATTTTGGGATGCTTGGGCAGGTGAGGTGGCCAAATTCTGCTGGGCAGTATCAACTTTATTTAGTATACGTGGACAGGCCGGTCTGACTGGCCGCAACTTCCGAGTCACTAGAAGTGAAGATGAAATCCAAATCGAAGAAGTTGTTAAAACTGCTGAACAGAAAGCGATTTGGGCTGATATAAAAACAACCGACCCAAATAAAAATTGGGATTACTGGAAGAGCAATATGTGCATAGAAGATTAAACCATTGAGGAAGGGTTAAAATTGAGAAGAGGCGGGAGCGAAGTTTATTCGAGGTGTCCAGGGGGCTTCTATTAACATATTTATTAGTTCGAGGTAAGTGAGTGCCCCACGCATTGCCATCTCTACGAGACTACGTGTATACATGCTATTAGATCACACGCTTTTGGGTCGTGAACCTTTACTGATGTATCTATAGGAACGAGCAGCCACCAGCAAAAGCCAGTTGCTATGTCAACTGCCACTTCACTCTCATGAGCTCAATCTTTTCTGCGTCGCCCCTGTCGATCTCTTTAGGTACTTATACTGATACGTGCGAGTGCATCCCCCTTTGATACAAAATTTGTATGCAACTTCAAACTCGACAGCCCTCTACTCTATATACTTTCTTTTTCTTCTTCCCCCTTCTCTTTTCCCCTTCTTTTTTTAATACCTTTAAAGAGCCTAGTCGTGCGACAGCCATCCGAAAGTGTTTTTGAACATGTAAATAGGCTTAAAATACAATATATATATATAGCTCAACCGGCCTTAAATCTGGTGGTGACTGTTAGAACCACTACTCCATACTCTAGATCTGTCCCTTCACTGAATGTACGGGAGCCTGATTGACCTTGGATTTCTGTTATATATTAGATTACAGACCTAGTAGAACCATTATTATACTCCGCATGCATGATCCATGCCATGGTACTAGACACAACACCTAAGTCCTCCGCCCAAGAGTTCCTGTTGTTACATTATTGGCGTTGAAAATGTTGGATTTTTTTGGCAGCGATCGATCGGTCAGACGAAACTCGAAAGGATCCCCTCTGATTCGATAACGGCTCGTAGCTGAGGTCGGTCTCAACGAGTACCTGCGCTGGAAAGGAACCTAAACAAGCGGGAACCCATCGCACACCTTTGTAACCAAATATGGAGAATCTCCCGAACGAACTCCTCGACAGAATTGCTTTTTTTCTATCACTCACGGACCTCAAACAATTCAGTCTCGCATGTCACAGAAGCAGGAATATTTCCCTTCGACATCTATTTCGGAGGATCAAACTTACTTATGGCTTATCGGATGAAGAGCTTCAGCAGTCCGAAGGGTGTTATTCTTGTTATGTTCGGCAGGCACGGCATGTCCGGTTAGTACACTTTGTTGGAAGTTTACTTTATAAAGTACCTCTATGCCCAGAAACGTTTGATTAACACGTTGAATGTTGGAATATATACATTCGTGCAGCGAGATCGAACTGTTAACGGAATCGAAATCATTCTATCATTACAACGTCCAAGGATGTCACGGAAGTATTATCCGTAACTCGTTGATGCCATTTAATCAACTGGAAAGCCTACGATTTCTCGAAATAAGCGAAACGTCATGGCACGATTTCTTCTCGATTATAAAAAACCAATTAGAAACAAAACCGAAGTTGAGATATCTTAGCATACAACCAAACCTAGGCGAACGCGGGAGGGGGCCTAAATCCCAACCCAGAGATGAAAATATACCATGGCTTCAAGAACCACTTCCAAAACTTCAGACCCTTCGGCTTTCTTTCTTTGCTCTCGATAAGAAAGTTAGGAACTCTGAACTTCTACGGGTCGGCCAGGTTATCGAGATCGTAGGAAGGTTGAAGCAGGTGACGGATAGTTTACAAACATTGATATTGGACGGGTTTCTTCGTATCGAATCACAGGGTACGCTGCTGCTGAATTCTAAACCGCTGTCGCTCCCTCAACTCGAGTTCCTGCAGATTCAGGATTTGCGACTTTCTGGCGCGACAATTTCAAGCATCGTAAGCGTGGAAACCCTAAGGAAGGTTCGCATCTTTTCGAGTCCACGGCCGGAGAATTGGACGACGGATAATGGGGTCTGTTCTATCACTTAGCTACCCATGAGTTTCTATTATCAACTGTATTCTGACATCGCTATTGTATGTTGCAGATTTTGGACCGCTTCCTACCGTTTTCAAATCTTAGGGAAGTCCGTCTTTCGCACGCTCACAACTACTTTCGCTGCTCAACCTGCAAGGATACACATCGTATTTTTCACGTCGGTATAGCACCAGCACTAGCCGACTCCAAAATTCTTTCTAAACATCTCCCTCACCTCGAAGTTGTGAAATGGTATAGTGCATACGCTCCTCCGCTACTATTTCAGTATAATATTACCCGAAATAGCGACAGGAGTGCAAATTTAAGTTTGCAGCGAATGAAATTTCAAAAAGCAAGCGTTGAAGATGGATGGGATTGTAGTGACTATCATGGGAAGTATCCGAATATTGAGGTTTTGCCTTGCGAGGATGGTGAATTCCCGCCGAGGATTAATTGGCAAGATTTGGTTTGGTTTGAGCGGGAGGCGGTATCGTATCCGGGGCGGGAGGTCGAGGTTTCGGAATCTAGCTGAGCGAATTATTTTACTGTCCATGATGAATATAAATGAATGAATGTAATGCACGTATGAACGAAATATATTTTAGCGTGATCACGTGAAATTGAATAGGACTTCTTAGGATGGACTCTCTAGCCATACTTGTTCCACCTGGGTACCTAAGGGGCGATTCGAAGCCATTCTAGTTCTGTCCTAATACTCGGGACCAGCCTATTGATCCATATACTATAGTATTTTAAAGTCATTGATGCATCATGTATGTGCCGTCGCCAATATTTGGAGATCTAAGATGTCGACCGTAGAGATCTAGATATAAACACGAATCCTTATGTTCATTCCTTAACCTGTACATCAACCCTGTTTTCACGTCCACTCCAGAACTTCAACCATTAGCCCCACAAATTCTCACCAATTCAATCCACCCAGCTAACCCTCAACCACGACATTAACAAGCTATCATTCCTTTGAAAACGCCAGTGAGCAATCTTAGCACTTATAGTACCATGAAAGCTACAAGTGGGAAGGAAACCATGAGACTGTCAGTGATCGAGCGGGCTATCCAAGAGTTGAGGAGAACCACCATCTCAAACTTAGGGGGCAATTTTCGTTCTATCGGACAATGTCATAGAAAAAGACTAGCCCTCGAAGAATCTGTTCGCCTCTTGTTATGGAGAGAAAGGCTTTCCTAGACAAGGAAGCAAAGAAGAAGCAAAGGGGCGCCTCCAAGATTGAGCTGCTACCGACGGAGGTCCTGTTGGATTTGGTTGAACATATGCGCCTTGAAGATGCAAAAAACTTTTCAATGGCCTCCAAAAGATGTCGCACAGCGACTGTCAGGCGAATTTTTGAAAGGGTTCACTGTGAAAATAGACCAACGGGGGACAGATTAGGAAGGGCAAGTTGGGCTACATTGGTACAAAACTTTGCCAAGTACACAAAGTTAGTATTTTCGATTTAACCCTAGTTGAAAGAAACTCCATTAGTCCATGAATACGATGGGGAAATAACTAACATCATAATCCGAACAGATCATTGGTAACAACCTCCGATGTCCGAGTCCGTTCGTGGGGTGGTACAATACAGTTCCCCCCAGGATTCAACCTCGAAGACCCGATGAGGCAATATATTGATATAGGAGTTATCGAGGTGGTTCACTCGTTCAGAGGACTGCGTTTCCTCGAGATTAGGGACAGAGCGGGCCTACACTGGCTAGGGTTCTGTGATGGAGTTTCAGCCATATTGTCCCTATGCCATGGTCCCAAAACACTAAGCATTACTCCGTACTTTGGAGAAAAGGCGGCATTGATCACATCCGATGGCGTGCACCTTGATATTGAATTTTGGGCGTATCAAATCAAGCCGATCTGCCTCAACCACGCCCGTTTGTCGAAACTGATCCTCAATTTCGAAGATGATGACGAGTTTCGTTTTGATGTCGATATCAAGAACTTTTTTTTATTTCTTGGATTCTGTGAACGAGTTACGGCGACAGTAGAGACCGCTGAGCTCAAGCTGTCTTTGCCCTTTCAGAACTTGTTCAAAACCATTGAGGAGAACGCCGGTGACGAACGGCACCCTCTCCTCATCCGCCTACCATCACTCCGTCATTTGGTCATCAGATCTACCGACATTATTAAACACCCAGTTATTCCGATTAGAGTGCACGAGGTCTTTCTACTTCACCAAATCGAGACGCTGACATCGCCATACTACCCACAAAAGCCAGAAATTGTAAGGCGTATAATTGTTCCTGATAACTATACATATATGCATATATGCGGATTTGGCACTAATACTTGCAAACAGGCCCTCGGATTTCTATCTCAGTGTCCGGAAGTCACCACTATCAATGTGGTAATCCAACATACGACCGCTGATATAGCAGCGACGTATTTTGGTTACCGGGGCACAGTATACTTGTCTCAATATGACAAAACGATATGGCAAGGCAACAAGACTGCACACCCTGACCACAAAAGGCTGGAAAGCATCGGACTTTTTCAACAGATGAGTTTTCGCGAAGATGATATTGTGTTTAATCGTCGCGAATACTTTATCCAATCCCCATGCGACGGCGGGGTTGAGTTACGAATGAAGTGAGTTCAAAGGACTCCCAACCTATGCGGGTATAGTAACCCGACGATGAAAATCCTCCGTCGAGGATTGAAACCCTGTTAAAGGGTTGTTGCGATCGCCTTTTTTTTTTCCGCAGAATTTGTCTGCATGTCACCATCTTATATTATCCGCCCTTTTAGAATCATCCAAACCCAATCCCCTCCCACTTAAGCCTTGTAAACCCCCCTTAGCCAATAGATTCATTAGATTTAACAATTGAATTGATTTTAAAATTTTGACTTTGTAAGAAAAAATGCAACGCAGGCATTGTGTGGTTCGGTTTGAAGATTTGAGATTTATTTTTGGTTTCGCGGTCTGCCGATTATATGCCCCCACTATGCATGGCCCCATACGTATAGTAACTCTCCGTATTACACCTTTCGGCTCTTATTAATAATACAACATACTCCAAATGACATCTTTCTCCACATATCTCGTATATACCTTGGTTATTTTTCATCCTATCATTCAACTAGTGACACGCCACGGACCAGTTGACTGTCACTAGATCAGTTTGTGGCTGTGGATATGTGCAGATACGTGCAGCTATCAGCCCTAAAAGGCCTGCATGATTATCCTCTGCGGCTTGTAGCTCTACAAGCTTGGTAACATTTATATATTTAAATTTTGACAACTCAAGTCTACGACTGTGGATCCCAGATCCCAGTTGGCTTACGGTGGTGCGCACAATTGCGAATAGGCTGCTATTAGTTATATGATACTGACCGGTAATTTTTGTCAGATACGGAGGGCGTCTGGACTTGTGTCGACCGATACTGGACGTTTATGTTCAGGCATGCATGAGTATATCCGTCGAGGTCGGCTTTCCGGCTTGGCGTGGATTCTTTTAACGTTTCCCGTTCGACCTCGACCCGGGAGCTGAAGCTATTCCCTGGATAAGAAAAGTGTAAGCTCCGCGCTCCGAGTGACGGCAAGATTAATGTATTCCTGTTCTGATATATATATATATATTTGGGCGCCACAGATGATAACAATTATGCCATCTCTATTCCTTGGTTCCACGGGTTCCGGGAAATTCTAGCTACGTGCCTGCCAGCTGCTTTCCCGTTTATCGAAGTTATACTATACTATAAAGTCTTCTCAGTTCTTTCATTCATTCCCAAGATCTCACCATCATGATTGTGATACATGGGTTTGGTTCCACAAATCTTTTGACAACACTTCGACCGGGATTAACCTCATCTTCTACCAAAATGGGACTGCTACCGGATCCGGCTAGATTTCGACAGAAGCCTTCTATCAAGCCGAATCTTTTGGCTTCGCTGCCTATTGAAATCATCCTACAGATCATTGAAGACGATACTCTTACGCCTCGGGATCGGGTGTGTTTTGCTGCGACTTGCAGATGGTTTCAGGGTATAATGTATCCGATTTTGTATCGACGGTTCGATTGGATTGCACCATTTAATCCGACTTGCTCACTGGGACTTGCTAGTGGGTTCGGGCTCCTGGTGGAGGTGCTGTTGGAACCGGTTATTAGTGGCCTTTCGATGATGTTTGGGATAGGGCCACCACCAGATCCTCACTCAAATGCTTTCCAGAAGAGAGCAGAACTCGTTCGGTAAGTAATGCAACATGCTACGGTTATGCATCTAGATCTTGATATTATTATTTTTTTAAAAAAAATGAATGCTGACGAAATATGGACTGAAGGGAAATGTCACTCTTGGGAGGCTACCAATACTACAGAGAGATGGGCGTCATAACTCGTTATTATGGACCCTTAGACGACGGAGATCCCTTTATCAGTCTATTCGAGCCGTTTCAAAATCTTCGAAGCATAGAATTCGATGAACGAGCTGCTCTATCATGGACTGGATACCTTCGAGTCGTCGCTAATATCTTGGTCTCAAAACCTACTCTTGAAGACTTAACCCTAAGACACCGACTTGCGGCACAGCCCGACGCTAGATACGAAATGCCAGCTAATATGAAAAGCGTTCACAATACTCTGTCGAAAGGTGTTGTTTCGAAGCTTAGAAGTTTGACGATAATACTAGGAAGGAGGTTCGAGCCGACGGAGATGGGATATGAGTACTTCCACCAACTAATGGAGGTATTTGAGGGGGCTACGAATGAAGTTACGGTTTTCAAGCTTTTTGCGAATTACTCGAAATTGGATGAAACGGACCCACTTTTGATAGACGGCATTAGCAACCGCAAAGACGGCACTCTATCACCAGTCAAGTTATGGTCGTTTCCGAGAATTAGGGAGATGGAAATTCATGCGCATAATTTCCCAAATACTGGAGCTATCAGGTCTATTGAAAAGAAGAGCCTAGGCAAGGCCAAGAAACTCAAGGTTGCTTGTGATATTGTGGATATGGATTTTGATATTGTATGTTTCCCTTTGAATTCGGATAGTATGATCATATGACCAAACTAACGAGGCAAACTTCTAGCTCTCTGAAAACTTATCTTTGTTCAGGAACCTTGAGGAGCTTGGTATATGGGACCCACAATGGCCCGAAGCTCGAGAGTATACCAACGAGGAACTCACACCAATATGTGAAAAGTTTGGCCTTCTTAAAACCAATCTCGAAAGGCTTCATACTGTGAATTGGGCCCTTGGTTATCAAAAATTTACCGCACATTGTACCCTCAAGTATCCGACCAACAGAAAGATATCGACACCCACAATATCGTTTGTTCGATCACAGGGGATAAAAGCACTTGAAAGAAGCATAAAATCCTTACCGGAGCCAGTGAGATATATAAAAGAAGGATATATCTCGGCTCGGTAACATCTTACCAACGAACATGGATTGAAAGCTATCAATCTAAAGATGTATATATAAAATATTAATAACACCTTCAAGACGAGAGGTTTTATCTATCATGATACAATATCAAAAGCCTTGCTAATTTATCGCATTGATACAATCTTTAGAGAATAGCCTCAAACCCCAAGTCATATAGGCATTTCCTGCGGGCGATCCGCATAAATATTGACAACTTAGAAGCTATCATAGTTTTGATGCCCATGGTACCTGGAAGAGGGTTTCTCTTGCTTCACACATCTGTCACGCACCATCACGTGATATTTAACCTACCCCCCCCCCCTCAACCTGGGGTTTGCCCTGCCGAGCGTGCAACATATAGACCTTAGGGCTATATTCAAGACCAGATGATGAGGTGCCTGGACTCCCCAATGGCTAGGACCCAAATAATTTACTTGAACTGTCACCAGCCAGTTCAATTGTCAACCAACCCTCCTGGTCATGACATTCACCAACTTTCAACTATAATCAATCAATCCCTTCATTAACCCATCCCTCCTTCATCCTCCATAACATAATCATTATCCTATATCGAACATCGATACTCACTCACTCGCAGAAAGCAGATCAACTCTGCTTTTCCCATCCTTATCGGTCTCGAGCCTAGGCTTTTTCATCATCATCAACAAGTCCACTGGGTATGCATATGAGATCTAAGAATCCCGGGTCTTGAAAATGGCTAACACAAACGAGCCCAAGACTATTACTTCTAGTCTTCGATAGTTTCATAAGACTAAGCTATTGAAGCTCACTAACAGAAGCTCATCCTATTCAAATCAGGGTAGCTGGTTTTTCTTTGCTCACGGGTTGAACTTGTAACTTGCAAGAACAGATACATTTGAGCTTCAGTTATAACACTGGGGTATACGGATCAAGAAATACAGCTGCAGAGAAACAATCATATTACGATGGAGAAGTGTCCAAACGAACTGATTGGCCTCTTCCTCGAGGATTCTTCCTTGAATAATGAGGACCTCGCTAATTGTGCCCTCGTCTCGCGAAGGTTCCGAATTATTGCTGACCGCGTTCTCTATCGCACATTACCAATTGCAATTGACATCGACCCAATCCCATATCTTGATGACGATATGGAACCAACCGCTCCAGATTCTAGTACAGTAACCAAATTCAGAAAAATGATACAGGTTTTCAAGAAGAAGGGGAGCTATGTCCGGTAAGTCTCATACTTTCGAGTTTTCTTTACTACTATTCAATTTAAATTCTCAGATCTGGTGCTGGGCTGACTCTGAATTCATGAACTAGTAATCTATCATACAACCACACATCCGCCCAGGCCCTCGATCTTGGCTCCGATGAAAATTTATTCAAAGATCATTTCGTTTTCTTCAATCGAATCCAGAGACTCGCGCTGTATACATTCGGCGACGGAGCACAGTATTTCTCATGGTTTGAGATTCTTAAGGGCATCAGTGGAATTCTTGTTTCAAATCCAAACCTCAAGGAACTGGTGGTTGTACACAAGCCCAGCGCTGAGGAACTGTCACAGGAGATGGATTTGGATTGTATCCATGAGATTCTACGACAAGGGACTGTGGTACAGCTCACATTACTCACGGTCCAGTTCATTCTCAAGGGATGGGCCCACGAGGCACGAGGCGACTCTTGGAACTTAACTGATAGTTTTATGACCATGCTTGACGGTTGCACCGATGATATCATGCATTTTCTGTTCGATTATGTCGTTCCACCAGATGGAACCCAAGCGGGGGAGCAAACAGGTACTCGACGAAGACTTTGGAGTCTCCCTAGCTTAAAGAATTTGGGGATCAATTTCGTTGGGAAAGAGGTTGCGCCGTTGTCGGATATTCTTGATCTGGAGACCCTAGGGAGTGTAGAGGCATTCCATTTTCTCAGCCCTTTACGTCAAGATCTCGAAGAGGTATGTAAAGCCACCGAGCTCGAGTCCGAATGCCCAGTCAGCATTCGGTCTATATTAAAAATCTTCTAACTTGTGTTCGTTCTGATTCTATAGCTTGCTGATAATCTTTCCTCGCTCGTCCAAGTCAAGGAAATGCATATTCACGTTCTCAACATTAATAACTGGGTACCTCCGTTCCTTCTATCCGGCGAAGCTATGCCATCATACAATAGGGAGGGTTGCCGCATGGTAACGGAATTGCTAATCATGGCATTGAAAGAGCTAAACTCAGTCACCTATGCTGTAGAGCTTCCAGCTCGCGAAGGGGTTTTGCTATTAGCTTATCTTGTCGAGCGCGTCCCAAAACAAGTCTTTGAGAGCTTTGAATTGCCAGCCTATGCTCTGGCTGTTGACTTCTGGGGCTGGACTACGGACGATATTGGGTATCTTGGGATCGGGCATCATATACCCTAAAGGGTGTACAAAGTTTGGGTCAATGCCATGATAGCCCAATTCTTCAACTCCAGGATAACTTTACACTTAATAATTCGGGAGCCTATCACCGTTCTTAAATTTTTGTTGACCAGTGCTTCTTTTCCCACTGTTTACCGACTCCACGTGGAATTCCGAAAGGGTCAAACACCCAGTTTCTGGCCTGTTTCCTCTTCCTTTATGGAGTTTGTATTCAATCTAGTTATTGAACTATCAGAAAGGTTCAAAAATTCTGTTTTTCAATACAACTCTCAAGCTCAGTGTTTTTAACACAAAAAATGCATCCTGTCATCCAGTCTATAAAGCTCTTTTCATCTCGTAGGAATGCAGTTCGATAAGTCCAACCAAGCACTATAACAGCCTCGGACTCGTAATAAATTAATTATTGATCCGCCCGGGGTCCAGCCCTGTACACTATAATGACGATGCAGCCCGAAATCAGAAATACGAAACTCAACTTTCTCGACCTTCCGAACGAGTTGATATTTAGGATCCTAGAATCCCCATCCTTGAAGAAATCAGATCATGCCCGCTTCGCTCGGATAAATCAGCGACTTAATGCGATATGCACCGAAGTCTTATACCGCCATTTACAAATAGAATGTCCATTAGATCGGACGGAGTATCGGAAGCTTGGCGAAGCGTACTTGAGAAACGATAGTGCCCCTCATGTTCGGTAAGTCTCATTCATCCCTTCTCGAACGATGAATACTTTTGTAAGGGGACAACGACGGATTTATTTGAACCTTGATCAATGCTCGATACACTGACTGGCGCTCTTTTCTGTACATAGTGAAGTCACGATAAACACGTGCACATACTTCAATACAGAAAGCACAATTGCCCGTATATACCTTTCCCTCGAGGATAATGAACATCTAGGAAAGCGGCGGAAGATAATAAGGCCGAGAGAGCGGGAACTTTCGTACTACCCAATTATTTTCATGACGTTTCACAACCTTATACCCCTAGTCCTGGGGTTTCAGAATCTTCGCAAGCTAGAGATCTGTGACGATCTCGGCAATCTCGGGTTTGCCGATACCCTTGATATCGTAGCATATTCACTTGAGAGGAATGGAAATCTAAAAGAGCTAGATATTACGCAAAAATTTGGGGCGAACGTCGGCAATTACGTGGGTGCTAAGCAGATGATGATGGTGCGAAAGAAACAGGGTTGGAATGTTGTAGCGAGGTTGAGGAGGCTGCGGATACGATTCATACGGTATTGTACGGAATTTATCCGCGAGCGCTACAATACGAAGCATTGGATGGAGTCATGGATAGCCGTCATGCAAGGAGCTACAAGCTCCCTTGAAGAGTTTGTGATAGAGGAAATACATACCTATGATGTGGAGTGTCAGTATCGGTTGAATCCGGATACAATTCCCATGCCTGGAGCCGAAGACGATGGAACGGATGGAGTGGTTCTTTGGGAACTGCCTTGCGTGAAACTCTTGGAAATGAAGGTATGCGCTTTCGGGGGGCTTCCGCTTCAGATGTCGTACCTGGACGTGAATACTCTGAACAATGTCAAAGAATTTCGACTGAATATAAAAGCGGAATTTACCCCGGATGATTTACGGAAGGTAAGTTTATTTCATATGATCATCGGCATCGGTCCTTCCTCTCTCACGACTACATTTCATGTGTACGAAGGAACTAATCAGAATTTCTGTATGAAATTTCGACATAGATTGCAATAAATTTATCTTGCCTCGAGAACCTTGAAATACTGGAGTTCGAACATTGTGGTGTAGTACGCAGAGCTCCGGCTATGGTGTGGAAGAGTCGCAATGATGTAATCGGAAGCGCCAGCGGGCGCGCTCAAATGGAAGAAAAGGAGAAAGAGGTGTATAAACACGCAGCAAAACTCTGTGCCTTGTATATCACCCTACTCAAGAAGATTATCTGGAAGAGTGTGAGATACGTCGATAAGAGTGTTTGGCAGTTCGAGAGTTATGTGATAAGGCAGTCAGAAAGGGGTATTGATATCATACAGCTAGGGTTCCAGGATCGGGAGACCAAACTCGGCGTGCCTTCACTGACACCAGACCAATAGTTAATCCGTCCAACAAAGTAGTTAGTTTACAAAACTGAAAAAAAAACTTTGCAGTGCAATGTGTCTGATTCTTTGGCTTTTTCTTTTTCCGTCAAAATGCAAAATTTTTTTCAAAGAACGTGAACATGAACCTCAAAGAAACCTCTCAAAGAGAAGGCTGCGTTGGGGCCTGTTGCATTTAACATCAATCTAACCGAAAACGGAAAGAACCAACTTCAAAACACCAAATCTAGCTAAGCGCCTGTGATGCTTCGACTTTAACCACACCAACCACACCAACCACAGCCAGCCACATGCACACTAACCACAATTGCCAATGATCCCTATCCTGGTACGTAAACCCTCCTCCATGCCCCGGTCCATGGCACCTGTTGCTTCGCCTCCTCAACTACTCTCTCAAGGATCTGATTGCTCACCAGATCGCTAGCCAGGGCATGCTTTGCTTCTACATATCTCGCCTGTTGTCTGTGCATAGACGACTCACCTATTAGATCTGTGTCACAGCCGGGAAAAAACTTCCGAATCGATCAACTTCGTCGACTGCTTCTCGAACGTAACGCAGGATCAAGATTCCATTCCACGGAAAGAGCCTCACGTGGGTCAGGACAAAGCGCATTTGCTCGAGGTCTGGGCAGCAGCGGGATTACGCAGGTGCCAGGAGACTACTGCCGCTACCAAACTCCATTCTGCGGGTGCTTGCTGCCACTTGCTGCCACTTGCTGCCACTTGCTGCCACTGCTGCCACTTGCTGCCAAACCGCTGCCAAAACCACTGCATTGTTGCTGCACTGGTGCTGGGAGACGCCGGTCTTTGCTGCAAGATTGAGAGCAAACCCTGGCTGATGACGCCCCTCACCGCTGCCACCCGATGAAGAATTTTCCGCCCATTTCAACATTATTTTATTATTCCTGGACGGTGGCTGGGCCTATTTAATTCGTATCGATATCCCTTATTCTGAACTCGAAGGAACACTATCACTGTCTTGATTTCATTCCATACCAAGTACCTACGATCCACCTTGCATTCGTCGGAGCGGGTTTTGTTGGTATCCGGAAAAGGAGGCCGAACCGTTTAAAAGTCCAGGCCACATTTCTATTCCCCAATTGGTCTTTCAGCCTGAACATACCCCAAGTCGTGCATCTGTCGACATTAGGACGCCATCTTATCAAAAGTGGATCCCCGATAGTCAAAATTCCCGTCAAGCTGGCGAGCCTTACCAGTCCTCCAGCTTTCCAGGTCATTACTCTGGTATGTTCCCACCTTGCATCGTCGTCATCGTCGCACGCATATACCTATATGTGCGTTCCCGAGTTACATGTACTCCTGCTAACTGTCGGTCTTATAGGGAGCTGGAGGAGGACCTAGCGAGGAAGGTGTCACTGGATTTCTCGTCAGATCCACAGCCACTGACTGGTCGCCTGGCTCTATCCTCGCTGTCGACGCCGGTAGCCATCTCGCTTCCATCATCCGTATCCTTGAGAATACTTCGTCTCCTCAACATCCCACAACTCCAACAACCCCTAACTCGACTAGACGCCGAGTCTCTTCGATCCAACACCGCGACCTCACCGTAAATACCAATGCTTCAAATCCTCCTTCGCACTTCCAGGGGTGTGACCTGCCTTTCAAGACACCACGTGCAAATGCTGCCCACATTTTCCGCGAACTTGTCGGTGGTTACTGTATCACCCATCCACACCTCGACCATATTTCGGGCCTCGTAATCAACACGGCGGGCATGCTCCCACACAACGCAAAAAAGACAATCGCAGCCTTACCTCCCACGATCGAAGCCTTAAAACTCCACGTCTTCAATGATATAATCTGGCCAAATCTTAGCGACGAAAATGGTGGTGTCGGCTTTCTCACTTACCAACGGCTCGTGGACGCCTCAGTCGTTGATGGCAAGATTGAGTACCGCAAAGTTGTCGATGGTCTGTCGGTGCAAGCATGGCCTGTGTCTCACGGGCACTGCATGCATAAACACACCCACCGCGGTAGTGACGCGGCGATGGTAGCGACGGAGGATGGAGGACCGCAGAAATGCGTGTTTAAACCATCAACTCTCCGGTCAGCTACTTGGCAAAAGAAATGTGTGTACGATTCATCTTGCTTCTTCATCAGGGACGACTATACATCCAAGGAGATCATGATATTTGGAGACGTGGAACCCGATAGTGTATCAATCTCGGAACCCAGGAGAAACGTTTACATCTGGAATTACGCAGCAGAGAAGGTGCACAGTGGTGTGTTAGAGGCTATTTTTATCGAGTCCAGCTACGATATCCACCAGAAAGACGAGTTCCTATACGGACACTTGACACCAAGACATATTGTTGAGGAGTTGCAAGTTCTTGCAAGCAAGGTGCTACTGCAGAAAGAGCGGGAAGCGAGACGGTATTCAGTGCCTAAGAGGCGGAGAACTAATAATGGTTATGCTGAACGCTCGCAGTCACTTTTGCAAATTGATCCTTTCGACGCAGAATTCTTGCAGCCTTTGAGCCAATACAACTCTGATGGCGAAAGTGATGTACCAAGGTCACCTACCGATGTCGAGGGTCTGACTACAGCATCAAACATTGGTATCCAACGGCGGTCATCTGGTGGAAAGAGACGAAGAGAAGACGACGATGATGATCAACCGGAATATACTTCTGTCCCCACCCAGAATGTGTCACCAATTTCGATGGTGAGCAATGCGGGGGGTCCAGTTGATACAGCACTACCCCTTAAAGGATTGAAGATTGTTATCATCCATATCAAAGACGATTTTGACGACGATAAAGATGTTAGACAAAGTATTCTAGCGAATTTAAAAAGGCTGGGAGAAAAGGCGGGATTAGGTTGCGAGTTCGAGCTAGCAGAGACCGGGGGTTCGATGTTCTTCTAGGCGTACAATTTTTCTTTTTTATGATTCCCAGGACTCGTTATGTTCTTTTTATTGGCGAATATTGGCATTTGGGCTTTGATATCCTTTGGGGGATGGAAACGGCTTAAGTTACTACTATTGTCTTTTGTTTCTGGGTATTATTTATGATACCTATGATATCCTTTGGGATGTTTTTCTTCCGTTACTTTATATCCTTCTTGTATATACTTATAGCCTATACCTCCTTTTCTTCTTCTTCTTTTTTATGTTATTCCGAGTTATGCGGAGTTGTTGGTTCTTCGTTCGTATTCCCTTTATCGTACCTGCTGGTAGCGGAAGAGTGTGTATTCTATTTTCCCAGGATTGGAATAGTATATCGTTTGGAGTTTTTTAGCCATCGGTGGCGTCGACTTTACAAGTGCACTTATTGATAGCGGCTTCCGAAACCCGCGCAAATTATTGTCCCTTGCCTCTGTACGACGACTACGATCTCTAACCCACGCAATGCGGCTCCATTTTGCGCATTTAACATGTCCCACGAGCCATCTATGTACGGGCCGCACTGAATACGAGCATGCCGCCCCCCTAGATCCACGTGCGACTCGATTGTTCCAATATATCTAACAAGCGCCCTAGCCGTTAGCCCAAAAGCCAATATACCATCTTTCAAAGCTAGGGGCGTAATAACAAGGAAACGATGATATATACCGTTATCTTTCTAGCAACCCTCCAGGCTCCCCTTGCCTATGCCTGGTCTTACAACGTTCTCCGCGAGGGTAACGCTCCAACACCCGTAGCCGACTTCCATGGCATGAGAGTTCTTGAAAACCGTCTACCATGTACACCTTTAATCGTCCTTGGTGGCGATGGCGAAGTCGATCCAGTCAATGGTCTGCAAGTCTACCAGTTTGCCCCGCAACCTATTGACAGACAATGGGCACGACCTGTTAAATACATCGGGTTCTGGGGGGATCAGAAGTGTAGCGGTATGCCCCGTTACGTCGTACATTGGTACGATCTAGTTGATACGGCACAGTCGGTACTTTTTGATAATATAATAGAAGGAAGTTTGGGATGGGGAGAAGGGCTACGTCCGATTCTAGGGGTTCATAGTTGGGCCGAGTTGGGAGATGCGGATAGATTTTGGCCTGGTCTGATTCCGCCAGGTTCCGTAGCAGTGGAATTAGATGATTCGGAAACGGAGCTGGATTTGGAAGATTCATATCTTGTGCTTGATAATGCTGTTACGATGGTGGAGTTGATTTCGGGGAATAGAAGGACTATGCCCAGAAAGGATATTAAATGGGATGCTTATGGAACTGGAACCATGAACCGGCCGGGTATTGTACAGTTGCAATCGGGTAGCGATTTGGAGTCCGCACGAGGTAATAACAGGCTTGGCCAGGACGCTCAGGAGCCTGTGGATAGACCACCAATTATACCGTCGAAGCAGTCGGGTAATCGGCTGCTGGGCTTTGATGATGACTACGGGGATATCCAGATTATTGACAAGGACCAGTTTCGTAAGAACACAGGTCGACGAGCCAGGAAAGTGCCACCACAGCCCGAGAATCAAGCCCAAATGAACGAGCCAGTACAGGGCGAAGGTATGAATCAAGTGGATGCACCCCCTATCGAGACCAGAAGGAGAAAGAAACCAAATACGACGAAGCAGAATTTAGAAAATGAAATAGAAGTACAGCAGCAGGAGGCGCAGAACGAAGCTCAAGGCGAGACTCAACAGCAAAGCAATCCTAGTGCTTCAAAAGAAACAAACACACCGGACTTGAAGGAGATCCATGGCCAGAAGATGATAGAGCTACTAAATTATTGGGTCAGTCTCGGCTATCCCTATACTCAAGAGTTTCTAGTCGAGCAAATACGTAAACTACCGGATCCCGTCTACGTTCAACTATTCAAACTCGCAGTAACTGGACAGATAACTGTCCAGCAAATCGCAAAGTATCTAATAGATGTTCACCAAGCCGATCTCCTAGAAGCGCAGATGTTGCAAAGGGCGCAAATCCAGGCATTTAACCAGCTGGAATTAAATAGATGGGCACAGTCCCAAGCCCAGGCAAGTCAACTAGAAATGATAAGGCAGGCTGCGCAGCGTCAAGGACTTACACAAAGTGGGCCCAATTGGTTTAATAACTACCTTGTGAACCCTTATGCAGGTACGGGCATGAGCGGGAATATCAACGGCAATATGGGTGGGTATGCGAATTCGAATATGAACATGGCCGGGGGTCTCAATCCGGCGTTTAATAGTCAAGGGGGCCAGCAGCAATTAGCTAGTTGGAATTTCCAGCAAATGTTTGGTAACCCCAATACTCAACAGCAAAGTTACGGAAACCAAGCACAAATGTACGGAAATCAGGGACAAATGTATGGAAACCAAGGACAGACATATGGAAACCAAGGGCAGACATATGGAAACCAAGGACAGACATATGGAAACCAAGGACAGGCATATGGAAACCAAGGAGGGCAGCAGCAGTCGTTCGAAAACATGGCCCGAGGAGGCCAGCAAGGAAATAATCAGGCCTATCAGACTCAACAGACTCAACAGGTCAACTCTCAAATCGAACAAGAAGACGACTCTGGCACAAGCTTGCAGTCCGGCGAGGAACTCCTCAACCCCGATCTATCAAATCTCCGTGGCAACCACATGCCTTCGGATGGGAAAAGTGGTTCTCTCGGTGCACCACCGGGCACTCCAATTAACCCTACAGCTACAGACTACACAGTTGGGTCACAAGACTCTCTAGAATATCTCAGAATGCCGCATCTAATGGCACAACTTCCGGGATTCGCGGGAGCGGGGGAACAAGGAGGGTTGCTAGAAATCAATGATAGCCAGCTTGGCGGATTAGCAGACTTACTTAGGCCTGAGGCGCGAGGCCCACCACTCAGTAACACCCAGAATACTAGACCTAGTGGAGGATCAACGTTATCACAAATGCTAGCGGGTATGAACGCTAGGACAAACCAGCGACAACGTACCGGAGCCATGGAGGAGGAGGGATTCAAAGAGGAGGACGACGGAGCGAACGGTGAATTTGTTAAGGAAGAATATGAGGAATTCTGATTGTATTCCCGTTGATTACCTAACTTGTTGATCATGCAGTGAATATTAATACGAGTTAATATGATGCGTATTATAGACGAGAACCGAGTAAATAATTTCTGCCATATTAATAATTAAAACATTCTGTTATCATGATAAGTAAAATTTCAAAACTCCATGGATCCAAGACCGTTTATAATTAATCCCGCCAATGTCATATGCAGGCCTAGGGCTGAAATCCTACAAAGTGTGCATTATCTCGGTTAATCGCAGCATACAACCAGAAAAACAGCTTGATGTAATTCTCTGAAAAGGTATAAAAAAAATGAAAACCATGAGGTTGAAAGGACCATGATACCATACGAAACCCTTTAACTCCAGTAAAAAAGGATATCCCAAGTACCGTCAGTCGTTAGACAATCAAAGATATAGTCTTTTTTTTAAAAAAATTTCGTATGATAAAAACTCAAAAAGTTCTAAGGTGCACAGGCACGAATACCTCCCGACCGCCACTACACGGCACAGGCAAAACTCGTTGGGTAATATAATTAAATTAAAGCATCATTGCAGCAACAGCGACAGCGCCGGCACCAGCTATGAGTGCCATGTTAAGATGGACGGAAGCCCTAGTATTCATATCAATTAGTAAAATTTCGAGTAAAGAAATTAAGGACTTTCAACATACGCAGAGTTTGGATCGTCGTCGTCGTCGTCGTCATCCCCACCACCACTAGTCTTAACTTTCTTGGGTTTGGGCGTGCGAACCTTTTAGTTTCAACTCATTAGCTTTGTGCCACCAACGGATGAATTTAAGCTTAAAACTGAGATCGGAATGTTTTACCCACCTCGATGTTTCGCTTCTGGACAGTCTCGCTCGCGGCTTTCGCGAGAACGATATCGCGAGCGTCAATGGTTTCCTCTAGGCTAATTGCGGCAGAGAAAGATGTAAGGATAAGAGTGACGAGGGAAAGTCTTGATAGCTGCATTTTGTATGATTTTTTTTTTTTGGTTCAGTGAAGGGGCTGTCGGGTTATTGAAGGTTGATATGTCTGAGCGCACGGAGCACCAAGTGTCTTTTTACCGATGAAAACCAAAAGTAAAATGATATGATGAATTGTAGGGTTGCCCAAGCTCAAAAATTAATCTACCACTCCCTTTATATATGTAAGAGAGTTACTCTAGTTGCTTATATATGTTCTTGGGATTTCCACTTTTCTGTTCTTTGCTTTTCCTTTTCTCGATCGCTATCACTTTCGAATCAATTTTGCCTTTGATCCCATGCCACAAGGGCCAAGCTTGCAAACTTAATAGGGCTGATATTGAGATTGTTATGCGGGAGCTATGACACAATAATTTGCTGGCAAAAGCTTGATCGAATTATTGAACGAGCTTGGTTTCTCGGCTCCTGCGAGTTTTGCAGCTGGGGCTGTGAATGTCGGGGAGATCGGTACGGCTGGCTTGTAACCCTGAGCTCTCTGTTGCAAACAAGAAGAATTGAGGTTTTAACGTTATCTTGCGTTAACGTAGTAGTTAATACTTGAAATTGAAGGGTTGGTGACACCACTTTGGCTGATAGGTAAGATCCTGAGAGTGTAGTAAGATTTGAAGGCGTATAATAATAATCAGATAGAAAATATCCAACGGCAATACCGACGGACTACGGGATATTTCATCGTTTTATAGAATCTTATGTGGCATTGGACTTTATAAATTTTAGATGACGGCACGTATGGATCATTGTTTGTCGACTATTCATGTCGTGCAATCATGTCGCAAAGGGCCGATGACATGACATGATATCAAGGGTCCGTCAGATCTTCTGCCCCATTCTACTCAATATTGATCAATTCACATTTGCGGGTAAATAAAAATTTGCCCATTACAAAAAAGATCTTGTTCAGTAATTAGTAATGGCCAATCTTGTCGAACTCGTGGCTATGATGATGATAGTGTTCATGTGCGGGTGGGCGGGCGAAAGTCTTCACCGTCTTGGCAATGATGGGCTGTGTTACGAGAGCCAAGACCACAGACTTGCAAAGAATGATAACCTTGTGGAACCAAGAGAGCTTCTTTCCGTTACCTATCGAAATGTGCATATGTGCAGGTTAACGGAGGGGATCTTTTCGCCTGCGCCTGCAAGGTGCACTGAAAGGCTTATATCAAAACTTCCCTATCGATGTATCTTCGGTATCAATTATTTTTCCAAGTGACATATCAACTCTACCTCTACTTTTTATTTTAAGTATATATCTGGTGATTTTGCAAACGAAAAAACGTGAGAAAAGAATATATATTAGTAGAAAAAGAAGTTTGTATATATATAGGTAACTCTTGGTATCAAATCGAAGGTTAAATGAAAGCAAACTCGAAGCCTTATGCTGTCGCCAGCGACTATTAATTACACAAATATGCCAAAACTACTAGCTAATGGTTTCAGATTCTCAGATCAAACCGAACCAGGGCTAAAATCAAAAAAAAGTATACCCGAGCAATCCAGTGCTCACCACCCACTTACCAAAAGCCCGAGAACAACAGCGAAAGATACCCATAACCCCCTTCCCAAGTCTTGCAGCCCACTACTACTTCCGCTACCCAGCAATGTCTTCAAGATGTTCGTACTAACGCCACCCGGACAAAACATAACCTCAAATCCCTCTCCTTTTACGCTAGGTACAGCAAACGTGCTCAAGTAATCATCATAGGCATAACTATACGCATCCCCGCATACTTGTTTTGCCCGCTTACTATATAGATTAGGCCCACAAGTCTCAGCTTTATCGTGTTTACCTGTGCAACAGTCCCATTCACTTTGTGTATATGCGCATGCTGACAGGCACGGTGTCCAACCTCCACCAATAGTCGGGTCATCATCATCAGGATAGGGGAAAACGGATTGTTTACCCTTCTGGGAGGTGAAAAGTAAGTTTTGTCGTGGACACCAGCGGTGGATGTTGTTGAAGCTAAATGATTCGTTGAGCGAGTTTTGGTAAAGATCTGTGCCTGCTAAAGCCGAAGAAAGGGTAGTAGAGGCGACACAAATAGGTGTATTATTGACCCGGGGTTTTTCAGGGCTATCGTGAAAGGGTGTAATCTTCATGTCGAGATCGTATCCATCAACTAGTGAGATATCATAGAATGTCTGTTGCATCCATCCCGTCATTGTAAATTCCGCAAGGGTCGTTGGAGCCAGCCCTGAGAGTTGACACTCGATTGCCGAGCCACAGTCGCCTGTTAGGCAGTTTCCTGCAAGCTTTTGACCATCCGGAATGGTAAAATTGTCGACTACGTCACGGATTTTGACGGATGTAGTTGAGTTTGCAAGGTAGAAGCTGCAATTCGTGCGAGCCCATAGGCGACCAGACCAATCCCAGCCGACCCATACGTTACGGCTTTGTTTGCTTGGGAGGTAGAAGCCCGTGGTATACGGACCCGTACCGTTTGTTGTTAAAACGGCCTATAGGTTTTCCGGATCCAAGTTAGCAGAGTGAAACGAAGTTATTGCAATACTCAAGCACCATATATTGGAGTGGTATATAGAGATCGTTACTTACAGGATAGACTGGAAAGCTACAGTTATTCACGATTGATATCGTACGATTGTCTGAGATTGGCCTATACGACGAGATTGTCAGATTTGCGAAAGAGCTCTCGGTATTAAGATACGTTATCTTTGTGGGCATTCTTACGGTATCCTGATATCGGGCGTAGTGGGCCTTTGTGAAACTGCATATTGAACCAGGCTACAGACATAAAAGAGCCGTAAAAGTGTTGTTAATGTGGTAGATTTGGCTGCCATACTGAACAGGCTTGCTCCCGAAAGGGAAAGGTAGAAATGTGTATTTTGGTTCACAGGAACCGAAAGCCGATATTGATATTTGAGGTTCGCGATGCGATGGTTTTAGTATGTTGGGCTTAGATATATTCAGGAAAACCATGTGTCGTTAAAAGAGAATTGATTAAATGAAGATCGAGTATTCGAGAGAATTTATGAACGATACCGGCGCTAATAGAAATTCAGAATCTATCTTGAGTTTGGGTGAGAAACCTGGCCTGGGGAAGTCAAAATGTTATATACAAAGCTACTTTAAGGATATTGCTATTGCTAGAATGAGGCTTGAGAGGACATTAAGCAATATCCTGCAAAGTGGAGCACCAGCCATGGCTACATGTGGGCCCAAGAGGCTTCGTCATGCTCTATGGAATTCCTGGAACGAGTACCTGCTTTTGCCTCATTTTACAGTCTCTACGACTGGTTTTAGTGAAACTTGAACGGGTCTGTGGGAACTTGTTCCTGGACCGAATCGCTTATGACGTTCCCTTGCATACAATGAATTTGGCAGCGAATGGATGGGACGAAAGGCAGTGGGGCAGCATCAACGTCAGCGATAGATCTATAGAAGACAGTAATATCAAAGAATAGAAAATGAGAATAGATAAATTCGGTACTTACCAAGTACTTAGCTGCTGACTTATCAAAATCATACTTTTGCTTTGTTTTGACGAAGAGTGTTTGTGCAGGTCAACTGTGCCACATCATGTGGCTTTGTCTTTGAGGCTCAAGAGCTATGAATTGATGCTCCACAGGCTCCACATGGGAATGGTTTCTCGAAATACCACAACTTGAATAGCTAGTTCTAGAGCCATGAGAATGATCTGTATGTAACCTACTATTTCCACTACCAGAAGCTATCCAAGCCTCGAATCTAGCAAGTTATCCTATAGTATCACCACTGTAGAGGGGATTGCTGTCCATCTTATTCGTGGTTGTGTTAGGTGTATCGTCTCCACAACACATTCTGACCACATCAGCAACACACCGTCCCAATCAGGAAAGTTTGACCGGATTCTCGAGAAAGGACAAAGTGACCTCTTCCAACGGGAACAGGGGAGGCACGACTGGCCGGGGCCCGCAGGCTACTTTTTATCAAAAACTAAAACGGTGTTCTCAAAGAAATCGTTCCATCTTCTTCTCCCGCCACATTTCATCTCGAAAGTTGGTCTTTACAATTATCTTTGTAAGTCGCTATTTCCTACTGTTTGGATTTGATACCTTGTCTCTTTCGTTCGTTCATTCGTTGCGGTTTTCGATCGAATTTCGAAGTTTTGTTTCTTTCTTGTTTTCTCTTTCTTATCACTCCACCTTTCCGCAACGACTCCTAACAGATCTCCAGGTATCGCACATAGCTCTCGAGACCAACAACATCGCCAACCCCACCATACATCTTCGTACCCACACGACCAGCCATCACCACCCATAGATAGATCGGAGACTTGGCTGAATAAGCCATCGCTCTCCTTGAAGCGTCGTCAAGATGTCGACGGACTACAACTATGACGAGCAGGTTAGAACCAGCTCCTTGCCTAGGTGCTGAGCCTTGTGAACCGTACTAAATATCCTCATAGGGGCAATTCTTCCCTTACTTCGTCGCCACAATGTTATTCCTAACTCTCGCCCCAGTCACATATTCTACCTTTGCTCCTAGCAAACGTACGTTACTCTCATGGCGGTGTCGGTGGCTGGCTGGCTGTATTCGCTGCTAACTAAATAATATAGAGGTCGGATTGCAAAACAATCCTCGCATTGAATCCTCCTTTAAACCTGCCGATTATGACCATATTGAACAGCACAAGCGAAAGAAGAGAAAAGAGTCCAGAAGGATAAAGCGAATGATCTTCTTAACTTTGGGATGGTCGTTATTCTCCTACATGATCTACCTCATCGTCACATCTTCGGCGCTCACACCCCAGATATGGGACCCATATAGCATATTGGGCATCTCTATGGTACGGTAAACCCACTTAACTCGTCTATAGTGTATCGCTAACAAGCTTGACCGGTTAGTCTGCCTCCGAAAAAGCCATCAAATCCCATTACCGTAGATTATCCATCAAATTTCACCCGGACAAAGTCAAGCTGCAAGGCAATGACACCATGGAAGCCGCCAATGAACGTTGGGTCGAAATTACAAAGGCATACAAGGCCCTTACCGACGAAGAAATTCGTAAGAACTACCAAGAATACGGACATCCCGACGGGAAGCAGTCTTACAGCATTGGTATCGCTTTGCCACAATGGACGATCGCTGATGGATCGAAGTACTATGTTCTGGCTTTCTATGGTGTTATGTTCGGAATGGTGCTTCCCTACTACGTCGGCAAGTGGTGGTATGGTACCAAGAAGTACACCAAGGATGGCGTTTTGATGGAAACGGCTGGAAGATTGTTCAAGGCTTTTGAGGAAGATTGCGACGAGAAGAAATCCATTGAAGTACTTAGCGCAGGTGGTTTGGAGAAGTTTCAGAAAGACGAAAAGAACTTCGAGGGCCAAGAGCACATCATTGAATCCGCTATCAAGGACAAGGTCCCCATTGGCGTCATGAAAACTCTTGAGAAGATGGACGGATGGAAGCGAAAGACATACGGTTTACTCTGGGCCTACATGACAAGAACAAAGTTTCAAGACGCGAAATTGGATGCTGGTATGTCAAAAATCCAACTCTTTGCAGTGAGATACTTTCCCTAACAATCTTTCAGAAAAACTCGATGTCGCCCAAGAAGCTGTGTCGTGGAACAACTCCCTCCTTTCTATTGCCCTCGCCTACTCTATCACAAAGCCCATCCTTAGCTCTATGCGCGTGAACCAAAACCTTGTCCAGGCTATTCAGCCCGGCGGCTCTCCACTCCTGCAACTCCCCCATTTCACTGAAGAACTTTGTGAAAAGATCGAAGAATTCGGTGCCAAGGATCACTGGACAATTCAGCGTTTCATGTCCCTCCCTGATGAAAAGCGAAGACAACTTTGCATTGGAAAGGACGGCCTTACAGAAGAGCAGTACAAGGAAGCTATCTCTGTCGCTCAGAAGATCCCCATCTTACATGTTGAAAAGGCATTCTTCAAGGTCCAGGGAGACAAAGTCGTCACTCCTAACGCCATCTGTCACCTTGTTCTCAAGGTCCGCGTTGTTCCTGCTGGTGTAAAACCCCCTCCAGTCGATCCCAAAGACCTTGAAGACGAGGATCCCGCAGAAGACGATATTGATGCCTTGATCGGTAGAACCCCACCAAAGTCCAAAGCCCAAACCGGTGCCTCTGAAAAGTCCCCCATTCCTACTAATGAAGTTGAAAAGTCTGCCCTTGTCACTGCCACCGAGACCCCACTACCAACCCTCACACATGCCCCGTTTTTCCCCGCTGCCACACTTCCTAAATGGCACGTCTTCCTTGCAGACCGCCGAGCTGGACGTATGATCATCGCCCCAATGACAATTCTACAATTCCCAGAGAACACAGACAATTTCCAGGTCCAGACTTTCAAGTTGCAATTTGGCGCTCCACCAAACGGTGGCGAGGTTCATTTCCAGATGCATTTGGTCTGCGATTCGTATCTTGGAACGGACTACAAGGCTAGCATCATATTGAAAGTTGATGAGCCCGGTATGTTTGGTGGTCGGGATGAAGACGAAATTAGTGAGCCCGAGGAAGGTACGGTTAAAATGCTCCCAATTCTACTTGATTAGTATGATGCTAATTAAAATTTTTAGATTCAATCGCTGGTGTCATGGCATCCGCTCGTGGCCAAAAGGTTAAACCATCGCCATACCATAGCCACCACCACGACGACGATGACTCTGACGAAGATGATGAGAGCGACACGGATGGTGAGCAAGATGACGGCAGTGCAACTGACACTGATACCGACACCGACGAAGAATAAATAAAACGGTATATGGAGCGAGACGTTTTATTCTGTTAGTTTGAGATTATGTACACCAAGGAAAAAGCACTGAGACGGCGGGACAGGTTTGCCATCGGGTAGTAGACCTCTCCGGCATAATTGTTTATACTCTACTTTTCTTATTATTCTTGCATCTCTCCTTTTACTTTCACATCATTGCCTAGCTCTTTACATTATTTTGCGCCCCTGGTCTGTTTTACATTGCCTTTGCCCATTTCCTTATTATTACCCTTCGTGTAGGATACTTTATACGATCATTTATTCTTAGTGGGCGGGAGATTAGAGAATCAAGGTTAAACATTGCAATTTTCTTCTTTTTTCCTGCAAATTACAAATAACGGCAATCCCGCAGGCTGTTATGGGTGTCCCTCCTTGAGAACTAAACTCCATGCCCGAGGGATCGATATTTCACTTTGGTTCCCTTATTTGGCGAGTAGGCCTACATATTGAGATAGGTCAGAATTCATTCAAATATATGGTATTACGCTGGCACCGAGACTAACACGACGTCTTCGACTAACTACCTCCTCTCGTAGTTTCTCTTACCACCTTGGCCGTTAGGTCCGAAATTTTGACTCCATCCGGCTCCACTGGCGCGATTCCGCGAAGGTCTTGCTGGTCCTATATCTTGGGCCATTGTCTCCCAAAAGTCGGGTTCTCTTTCAGTTGGCTGAGATATAGATGTATTGGCTTCATTGGCTTGGCCCGCTCGCCTTCGCCTCCGAGGTTGGAGACGCCGGCCAGTAATATTCAACTCCTCCTCATCGTTAGTAGCCTCGCCAGAAATCTCGTTGACAGTCTGTACTTTCTCTTCCTCTGGCTCAATCACCACTTGTTCGATTACGTTGACGGGTTCATCAGTCTCAAGGAGTGGGGCTAACACTTGTGCCGGCATTTCTTCTGTGTCGATGGCAGTCATCTCAGGCTGATTCAACAACCGTGGCTGCACCTGTTCATCTGTCACAAGAGCTGCTGGGTTGTAGGGAGGATTTGCTAATCGCAATTGTCTTCGCCCTCTGGGTGCGGTTAGGGGCTGGTTCAAACCGTAAGCACTCGAACTCAGACTTAGCCTTGAACGAGACATTGAATCGAGTGATGGTAGCTCTGGGGCCGGGATTTCCTGTTGTTCTTGGTTTTCTATGTGAAAGTTAGTTACACATATTTTATTTAATGAGTCTGTTTGGGAGGGTACTATACGTGGTCTGATCAAAGGAACAATAGCAGGAACAGATTCTGTGGTGGGCCCAGTTATTTTCTGACCCCATCTTCCCGGCTTCAAATCATACGGAACTGTGCCTTCATCACCCAGCGTAGCCGCTTGGTTAACATTCGAGCTGATCTTCCTCGGGGACTCGAGGAATGCCTGGGCATCGATATTGATACCAAGTCCAAGGTCACTAGCATATCCACCAAGGTCATTTAGCAAGTTCAGTCCCACCTCCATGCCAGATGACAATGGAAGGGGGGGCAGTGTATCAATGACAGATTCCTCATCACCGATTATTGCTGCAGCGCCTTCGTTTTCATCCATACCATCGGATACAGTAGAGGCACCAATCTGTCGGGCAATCTCTTCAAATGATGCTCTCCGAGGTTGCTGCCCTAGCCCCGGCGGCTGACTTAAGACCGATTCGTCGTCTTCAATGGCAAGAACGTCGTCATTCCATTGCGCGAGCTCGGGCGAGGCGTCTTCAACTTCATTAGGTTGCTCCGTTAGAACTTCCAAATTTGGTGGAGAGATCATAGATTGCTGGCCTCTACTAACGCCGATAACTCCAGCGTCTATGCTTGGTGTAAGGTCTTCAGCAGACACATCGTTGACAGTATTGGCCCTGAGGTCTTCAAACGACTCATCCGCAGGTTTATTTTCAGCCGGTCTTCTAGTCGTAAGGCCAAGACTCTCACTGAGGTCGGCTTCGTCCCTAGAAACACCCGGGAAGAAACCACTAAGCTCAGCTTCGCTGATATCCCGGTTATAACCTACTAATGGGTCTTGCGATCTTTGAACCGCTTCAACAGCTGCAGCGATCTTCTCGTGTTCACTGTCTGGCTCCTCAACAACCGGAGTGGTCCTGGACCTATCACCAATCTCCCCGATTGCTTCATTTCTTTGACTTAAAGCCATCATTTCTTCATCAGAGATGGCATCCGCACCCTCTAAAAGAGAACTCCTCGAGTTTACTTGCCCTTCCTGGTTTAAAACAGGTTGTTGTAGATCATCTTGAGCTGCAGCTATCATTTCTTCATCTACAGCCTGCCCTAGGGATTCTGTAAGCAGATTTGAAGATGTAAAATCTTCATATGGAGGATATTCCTCTATAAATTCAGTAGTGATAATATCATTCGCAGGTTGTGGCTGCTCCACAGCTGCAGGCTTCTTCTTCTTAGGCCTACGGCTATGCCGAGTTTCCGTAATACGACTGACAGCAGGTCGGAGAACGCTGCTTTCTTCATTTGCGTATGTTCCCTCAATTTCAGGAAGAACGTTACCAGCTCCAATAGCACCGCCAATAGTTGTATCTCTGGATTGACGATCAACCCATGATTCTGGATCTTCCACTACTTCTTCGTCACCAACGGCAGTCAGAAGTACACCGCCTCCTTTTGGCTCGGTTATGCTGATCAAAAGACTAAATGATTTGTCTTCGTTTTGGGTGGCTAGAAGGGAGGGGTCAGACGAGAGTACTTATTTTTTCTGTCTCCAGATTTGACAAGGCGCGACAAGGCGAATCTTAACTTACTAAGGAGTTTATAATAACCCACGGCCCTGGCACTGGAGCCGATGAACTGAAGGGAATCACCAGGGAAAACGTGTCCCCTTTCCTCCCCATACCGGGGCAGGCGCTTCTTATGACCAGTTGTGAAACTATGCGGGGAAACCTGGTCAATATAGATTGATCAATTTATTTATGGGTCTAACCCCACAGCTATACAGTTTCCAACGGTACTATCGTCGCCAAACTGTCACATATATAAGTACCCATCTTTTGGCAAACAGATCAGACTTACATCGCTTTGGAATATATTTTGGGTTGACCCAAGTTGCCTAGTACGAACTTTTCAGCTCCTGCCAGAGCCTCAGGCGTAGAATCGAAGTGGATAGCTCTCCCGTCCGGCGCTTGAAGAGAAAAATAGTCGAATGTATCTGGATATACAAATGCCTTGGTACCACGCCTTGACACCTTTTCAGAGGCAGGAGTCTCTTCTGGAAAAAAGATCCATCGATCGCCGCCACCATACTTTTCGCATGTTGCTTGATTAGTCGTTGCAGCCATGAAAATATCATCGGTTAGATCGTCCTCGGGGTAGCATACTAGTTTATTTTTGGTGTTAGTATTTATACAAATCTATATAACAGCCCATGGCACAGGATTATTTATGTATAACGAGGCTTACGTCTTAATACTCTCCCATAATTAGGGCTTGTAGTCAGCGGGAAGGTTGCATCAACAAAAACTGCATCTTGAGCTGAGACAACTGATATAAGAAAAGCGCCCAGCTGGAGGGATGTTAGGAGCCATGACGTCGGCATGGTGTTAATATTCAGAACGGCGTCACGATAGTTAGAAACCACTGAATACCGTATCTGTATGCCGAAGGTATCTAGATTTTCTATGATATCGATATCTTTGTGAAATTTAAGGGTACATGGAATATCCACGTCTGTTTCCGTGCATGGTCGGCCGGTCATCCATGTGGGTGTTTAAGGCCGCCAAGTGTGCGTGGGTATATTGAAAATATGGGAAACTATCTCACTCGAAGATCAGAAAATATGCGCCAGATACCAGCCGGAGCCCGGCTTCAGACGAACTTTTAAATTTTGCATTATAACGGTTATTGAACCGGTCACTGGTCCCAATGACATAATAGTGGATTAGGACTAGAACGAGAAATCTCAATGCCCCAAATCCCAACTGCAAAGACCCTCCACATCTTTTTTTAACGGTCGGCGCTAGTTTGTTCACGTCGCCATAATTATATTATGAGTTGTATGTTGGATTTTGAACGTTGCATCCTTCGTATGCACCACAACGCAGCTTTTGAGATCGTGGAACGTTCTAGATCTAGATGCCGATGCTATTTAGAGGTGGATAAGAAGTATCTGCAGATCTGTAACTGGGGTTTACATCTTTCTATGAAGGACACTTTACTCAAGATGTGAAAAAATAAATATTGAACTTGCACTTGTACTTATTTGTCCAAGTACAGATAATGCAAGCGCTTCAGCCCGCAATTAATTGGAATGTGTGCGTATAATATATGACCAGTCCTAGAAAGTACATAAACAAGTACATTTATACGTGGTCTTGATTCGATCTGCACCTGTGGAATGTACGGGGGTTAGCATTAATACACTAGAATTCTAGCGGTTTTAGACTAATATATCATATAGTATATTACTACCGTTTACCCCGCATGATCGTGAGCCCTTATAAGCTTAAGATCTTCAGCCCCAGGACATTTACATTGATATCGATATGTATACTGATATATACTAGGCCTACCAACAACTTTGAATCCCTACGAGCAAGAACATATAGATATATCGATCGAACCATCTTTTCTCCATACTATCATAGTTTGGCTTGGTCAATTAATTGTGCCGGACCCCAGCACCATGATTCTCTTGAATTTCATATCCTCCGAAATCGATACCTCGCGGTTCGTCGCTGTTACAGCTGTACTTGCGATAGGATACTTCCTGGCGAATGCAATATACCAATTGTATTTCTCTCCGCTTTCTAAAGTACCAGGGCCATGGTATGCGGCAATATCTCCAATCTTCTTCATAATCGTATCTCTAAAGGGGAACGCGGTTTATACTTGGGAACTATTACATGTGAAGTACGGTGAGTATTTCCAAATATATATACTTAAGTATGTATATATATATATATATGTATTTGAATAATTGATTCATACAGCGTAGATAGGCAAGATTCTGAAGCCGACATGTATATTTCATACGAAAGGGCCTTACTTACGTGTCTCCCCGACTTCCGTTATGGTTGCCGACCGCGAACCCGCCTTGAAAGTACACTCTCCGAACGACGTATTTCCAAAAGGTCCATGGTACACCAATGCGATGGCATCTGAGTCTATACTTACCATCAGGGATCACCAAAAATATAAAACTCGACGAAAAGCGTTTGGTTCTGGATTTTCCAAATCAAATATGGCACTCCTAGAGCCGGTAGTACGCAAAAAAGCTGAGCTCTGCTTCAAAAAAATCGGCAAGCATTTTGATAATGGCGATATTGTGGATGTCAAACCATGGTTGTATTGGATGGCTGCGGATATTGTTGGGGAGTTATGCTTCGGGAAAGATTTTGGGATGCTTGAAAACGAAGCTGTAAGTCGGGCTATTATAGCTGAAATCTATGGGTCTATTGACATATATGATTTTGCCTATGGCTAGACCTCGAGCTTTGGCATTCTGATGTTGAAGCTCTAGAATTCCATAAACGGCTATGGATTTGGTACCCCTTCAGATATCATAGTCAGGGAGAGAAGCCAGGATTGCTAATAAGGAATATTCCCGTTCGTAGGAAAACCTGCTTGTTAGGGACTGCCTCAACTTTACCCTCGTAGCTGGGATTCAGGCCCAGGCACCCTTTACTAAATACATTATCTGGCTCTTGTCGTTCATCCCACATCCTACAATCCAATGGATTTGCCGAAGCGAAGATTAACTATGCAGGTACGGTAGCGAAGCGCTTGCAGACCTCCAACACGAAGTTCAAAACTGCAAGGACGGGAATCCACGTCCAAGCCTGTTTTCACATCTCCTAAAAGATGTCGATAATCCTAATGCAAAATATAAAGTGAATATAACAGAGCTGAGGAATGAGTCGACACTGTTCATCCTGGCTGGGACAGATACTACAGCAACGGTGGCAACCTTTCTCGCATGGGATCTGTTCAGAAATGCTGATATCCGACAGAAAGTAATCGTTGAGCTAAAGGAAATTGGGTGGACCCAAGGCGACAATGATGATGGGATTACAGATGAAAAGCTTCAAACTCTACCCTACCTTGGATATTTGTTACGGGAAGCACTTCGGCTTTACACCCCGGCACATACTGGATTCCCCCGCGTGGTTCCCGAGAACGGACGATACCTCGGTCCACATTTCCTTCCTGCGGGAACTGAATGCCTCCTTCCGGTGTATACCTTGCACAGAGATCCAAACATCTTCGATGAACCATTCGCGTGAGTTTTATGGGTTTACGGAGAACATATTGTTTTTTTTTTGACATAGGCTAAAATTTCGACGGTTCGATTGATTAAACAGGTTTAAACCAGAGAGATGGCTCAATCCTAGTAGAGAAATGGAATCCGTCATAATGGCTTTCGGTGGAGCCTCTAGAGGTATTCCAGCATTTCTAAGATCCAATATACACATCATCTTCGACAGTAATTTTCTAACGGATTTTTCTCAATAGTTTGCACGGGTCAGCATTTAGCAATGATGGAGCTTCGCCTTTCTGTTGCCATGATGCTCAAGTATTGGGGCAATGCAGAACTTGCGGACTCGTGCACAGACGAGAGTATGGAAATTGTGGAGAGATTTCTCATTCATCCTAAAGGCAACAAACTTGAAATACAGAATAAAAAAATCACATTAGAGAATTAACAGGTACCAGGTTGGGCAATGCGAGACACAATGGTAGGTCGGACAGGTAACGTTATAATGGAAGATCGGGGACCTAGCCTCCATTTGGGTGGGGCCATGATACCATGAAAATATGTATATTTAGAGTTACTGAGAAAAATAGATGAGATTAGCTACCTGTCGCAGAGAAGATCAGAGACTCAACCACAATCGGGCTGTTTTGCCATGTTACATTGCTGCAAATTCTGTCGCGTGGATTTCATGAGATTATAACACAAACGGGATGGCGCCGAGGCTTTATAGTGTTGGCAATATCACGCTTATTGCGGGGGAATCGCCATAGCATTCATTCTAAAGCTAAAGCTCGAGCTCCACCTACTACTGTAGTACTTGTATACTAGCTAACCTAGCTCTTTAGACTCATTTATCCGGAGTACCCCCTTTACATTTGCTTTTGTCTTTATAAACGTCATTCATGACGCCGATGCCATGCCAAAGCCGTAAGAAATAGAAAAGTTAAAGTACAACCGCAAATGCTTTTTTTCCCTTTTCACAAGACCCAACGCCGTCTTTTTTCATAATTCTCATATACAATTCCGTCTTCCAGTCACATCTTAATCAGTCGGTATGATGTTTGCCGTATCTCCGCGGTGTAGTCTTTTAAATTACACCCTGCTGTAGCACACTGTAACCAACAATTCATTGAATCCAACAGTTTAACCTAGAGGTTAATGATGCTCCTCCGTCGCTCCAACGCTATATCCTTCCACATACCAACATGCATGATCCCTTCCTCATCCCATTCTCCCGCATCATCGTCCCGGTAGAACCCATTATTAGCCCACCAACCCTGGACATTTGTCTGGGCGTGGACATAACACTTTCCATCCCATTTTATTCCCTCCCCTGGTAAGTCGAATCCGCCTGCCGATCCTTCGCTGGCAGCGTACCGAAGCGCTTCTTCAACCAACAATCTTGCCAACCCTAATTTTCGAAACGGCTTCAAAACGGCCAATCTGCCGAGAAGGACATATGATTTCTTAGAGAGGGTTGGAGGGATGAGACGAATTGTACCGACTGGGGTTCGGTTCTGGCTCAGTTCGTTTTCGGGGGAGATGCCATCGACGGCATGCCTGTCGTGATTGCTATTGCTCGATACAGATGGGATCGAAGCATATGTTACCCAGTGGATTGAGTCTTCGTCGTACTCGTCTCTCTCGTTCTCGGCGGGGACGCCTTGCTCATTGACGAAGACCTCGACACGGACGGACATAGACTCATCGAAGACAGGGTCTCTAAACGTCCCTCGTCGGATGAACGGTGTGGTAGATTCGAATGGCATCTTGTCGGTAGTTTGTGGGGGAAAGGTGTCTGGTTGAGTCAATACCGCAGCTTGAGAAAGCTAAAGGGAAGCTTGGTGGAGCTTGGAGCTTGGAGGTGTTGTTTATGCAGTTCTTGTAAAGCTTAAAAGGCCAAAATTAAAGCTTAAAAAAGTGATGTGATTCAATGAGAGATTTACATAAGAGAGGCAGTAATGGGTCAACCAAACTAGCGAAGCTGAAAGTGAGGAGGGGAAATGTCCAAAATCTTCGCAAACAGCGGCACTCTTTAAAGGATTTCCCTTCGAAACAAAATATTCTGCCAGATCACCAAATCCAAAGTCCCCGGTAGACTCTCGGACAGCGCAGAGGGAGCACGGGCAGTGGATTGACAGGGTTCTACTCTGTAGTGTGCTTTCTTTTCTTTTCCTCTATCCCTTTCTTTTGGATGAGTGGTCGATCTTTCGCGTGGGAGGCAATTGCGTAGCCTCCAAATGGCATTGACTGACGCTTTTTATATCCTGCTCCGGGTCACAACATTGTCTGCCGCGAGCTAGCGAGGGGTGATCCTTCATACGATGCAGACGAAACTCACAGAACCAGTTCGAGGTAACGCCGGTTGAGCAAACTTTGGTATGGGTACAGGCATGCGCATGCATGGGCTGGCACTTTGGATGAAGCAAACGGATTTTTCCAGCCAGAGACGTCTTTGACCAGATCGCCAAATTCGGTTCCTGAAGCTGTCTAGTCGCTTCTGCTGTCTCTGCCCTCCCAGGAACCCTTGGCTTGAGTGACAACCGGCTGATGGGACTTGGAAAGTACTAGCTGTCCACGGCTAGCGCTCGCTCGTCGACAAGACCCCACAAACAGTCCTGGGGGAAAAACGTGCTTGGATTGCTTGCATCATGCATGATGACCGAAGGGCTTCTGGGCGCCCGAACTTTTGTGGTACTGCCAAGGGAAGGCTAACTGCAAGGGTCAGTTCTCCACTTTGAGAACCGAACCAACTCCAGGAACACCCATAGACACTCGAAACGCCTACCTCTTTCATTAGTCTCAGAAAGATTGAGCAGAGCGGGGGGGATTTTGTGAATATGTTGTGTCTGTATTTCGTGGCACCGCGACCTTCGCTGGACAATACCTGCAGCTATCCTGAGCGGTTTGCTCTTATCTAACAGATGCATAGGTATGCGACAATATATTCGTTGGTGCAGTTGGTGCTACACAAGGACAACTGTGATTGTAAGCTGGCAGATACGCTCACTGACGGGCTAGAGTTCCCCTCCCAAGCTGCCGAATCATCCGAACAAGCAGCTCGAAGGAGCGCACTAATCATGCCACTTTCGCAGGGATAGATGCGAGTTCCTGCAGATTGGGCCTGCGATTATTCGTTTCAAGGCTTCAAGGCTAGCATCCTGGCCGGGTTAGATAATCTGTTGAGGCGACAAAGCGCCGGCTGGTGCAGCTTGCGTTATCATGAGGGACTTACATACCGTATATACAGTACACGATGAAGAAAGCACAATGCAATTGGCCATGCCGGACAATATGCCATTTTTGAAACAAAGGCGGTCCGTGACTTTGGGGTGCGTAATAGACGTTGGTTTCCTTGGCGTTCTCTGGATGCAGTACTCCCACGCTGTATGCTACGTAGTCTCGAGGGTTGCTTAAGTGCTCAAGTGTGGAGGTGGTGGTAGGTATCTAAAGTAGGTAGTATAGACATTTCCATGCTGTGCCAGTTCATTCTCTGCCAACACCAACTCTAGATCTTTCACCAAACATCAACCTTCTAATTTCCACTCACCCTTTTGCAACTTACGACTATCATCCAAAACGCGTCATCCAACGGTTTCTTGTATCCTCATGAAGCTTCATTGTTACCTGCAATCTCCTGGCCGGGACAGAGCCTGCTGGAAGCGTTAAAAGAGAAACATCAGCAACTGCTACAACAATTAATTTCAGTCTAGAGATGACATCATGAGTTCCCAATCTTCCCTATGTTCAACTTGAGCGGAACTACCCGCAAACGCGGGATATCCTAGTCTGGTGAACATGTGACATCTACGAAAGCAGCCAGATCATATAGGGTGAAACACTCAACCGTTTGTTTGATCAATAAATAAAGCTGGTGACAAGCTACTTTGAACCGGAGTACTTTGGCAGCTCTGCACAGGCTATTGATGTCGCCATAGCGGCGTTTCCGAATGCATCAAATGCCTCGTCTTGCTTATTAGGTTCTCTCAAACCTCTCACACGGTATGTTGAACTAGTTGTTTCCTCACAAGGATGGCTGGACCTAACGTTAACATACATCTTTAGAGCAGTTGAAACGAAAGATATAAGCTCCCTTCCACAATATTACAGGGAGCTACCAGCAGAGCAAAGTGATACCAAGTCTTCTCCCACGTCGACCTTCGACCAGAGGGCCTCAAACTCCGAAGGAGACAAACTAGTAGGTCACTTGCTGCTACCTACAAAATATCGAAGAACATATTACATACACTTCCTCTTGGTGCAGTTTACCAAGGGCTAGGGGTTGGCAAGGAACCCTCCAATAGGCTCCTCCAAAAATTCGGCAAGCCTTGTGTTACGTCGGCACGGGATAATCGTAGGCCTATGCGTAGGCAGACCAACTCTATACATATAAGCATATATACTTACGTATATATACCTTGGGATACCTAGCGCTAAGTTGCATAGTTATCTACCCGCTGAGAAGGTTACGCATTCAGATTAAATATTTACAACGGTGCGTCTACAACGAGGAATTGATTTTGAACTGCAGAACCAAAGCTTCATAGATCCGCGGAGCCGGCCGGCTCGACTGCCAAGGTAGAGGTGAGCGTCCCCCAGACTAAGATTCGCTTGCTGCTCAACTTTAGGTCGATGTACTAGCCTACCACTTAGCTAGCTCTCCCGCATATATAATATTTCCTGAAACAGGAGCAGAATACTTACAAAAACTATAGAGCACCAGAGGAAGAATCGCCCGACGTGACTGGAATGGTTTAGCTTATTACTTCGGTCACCAAGCCGTTGTACATGCCATTAATCAATATAAAACTTTGGCATCCCCGAACTCATTATGAATATACTAATTATACACATACACACACGCACCAGCATCTAAAGGACGCCATTTGTGGCATCGACAATGTGGCAACCTGTACCGCTCCACGACCCCCCCATCACTATTTCAAGCGAACCTGAGCTCTTCAATATGGCAAGAATACATTTTTGAAGATAATGAATGCATTAGAAAGTGTTTGACCATTATCTAGCCAAAGCCTATGAGAGTCCACACAGGAAAACCAAAATTAAAAAGTCCTGCCGCTCGGGTATACTCCCTGAGACCAATTAGTCTGGGAGGACCTTTCACAGTATAAAATCCGCCGTAATTACACCAGTAGCGACAGGTTACTTCTGCCAGACGTGGGGGCTAGGGTCTAAGGGGGAGGATGGGGCGAAGTCGATGAAAGTTAAAACTGCAAAACGGCCGGAAATAATCGATATGTCCGTATCGTTCGAACCCACTGACAATAACGGCTTTTTTCGGTCCAACTTTGGCCCCTATCCCCTCTCCACTCGTTTTTGGGTGGGCTTTCCGAAAGATGCAAATTCTAAGCTGCCACAAAACTATGGGTCTCGCGAATCGAAAAGCTAAATATCTCCTGATCGTTTGAACACTCACGAGAATTGACCTTTTGGGTATCACCTAAACCATTACACATATTGCACTACAAGCGAATGATCTTATAGACGCGAACATATGAATAGGACCACGGGTCGAGGGCTTGTGGTCCATGTTATCTCGTCTTTGTATACCCGAGCAAAGCGATCCAGACGTTGCGATCGAACCCGTATGTTTTAAATTGTTCAACTAATTTCCCCAGTACTATTGTTTCAATACGTAAATATATTACAATATTTATCTCTGCCAGAGGAACGGAAGGTATCCTTTAATGACCTCAAATCAGCACTACCCTACCGGATGACCCATTTTCCATTAAGCAAAGAACTATAAATCTATGTGGATAGCGGCAAAAAGTAAGATCAAGGAATAGTTGCCTACATATATATCAGCCAAAGGGTTCTCCTGAGGACGACCCAGGATCCTAGGACCAAACGCCCGACAAGAGCAGCCACAATCTGTCGCGTTTCTTCTGCGGAGCTAATGTTATCTATAGAGAGCGTTCTAGAAGCTGTATGAGATACGCACCGCCCTCACCACCACCGATTACCGCACAAACAATGGGTTGTGGGAGCGCACATAAATTTCAAAATACCAGAGGTCCTAGGAGATATTATTGCAACTTTGGCCTAGACAAATGCGGGGCGAATAGAGTCGAGTAATGATATCAACCCCTCAACAAAGCAATCTAGCCATTGTATGAACTTTGGAAAAATTTCCAACTACTCAGGCTGAAATTTCAAACCCTAAAGTTTATGAATTCAAGTCTTTGCGTGGAATTAATGACCAGAAGGTCGATTAATATGACAGTTAGGCTGGCAGTTGGACAAGGTAGAATATAGAATGACCATTCAACAAAGTATTCGAAATTTGGATATGGAGGCCCAGTTTATGCTTCAGCACGCCGGTTTGATTAAAGAGCAGATTAGAGAACCTATAGCTTCTACCGTGGATATATATAACAATTGAAGATGATCCGCCTAGCTATGCCTGAATCATGATATCATCGTGCTGGTATCGATAAGCCAGATGCTTGAAGTAGATCATATAAATATATATTTTCGTGAAAGTTCAATATTGAGTTCATTATACTATAGCTTCCAGGTCTAGGTACGAGACAAGTACTACAGATAAATTTCCTATTCATCGCTATGTCCTTATTTCCTCCACCAAAAACAGAAGTATACATATAATCTATGCATCCTCAAACTGATATAAAACCAACTTGTAATGAACTCTAATTCCTCTATTTACTCAATAAAATCCGGTATATACCCCACATTCATCTCCCTCGCCAACATCCTCACATTCCTCCTCTTCCCAAATTTCCATCCAACCCCCTTCATAACCCCCATCACCTCAAACCCTTGCCTTTCATAAAACCTTCTGACTTTTCCGTCTAACTCCGTATCCTCAACTATAGCCATCAACGCTAATAACTGTGTACATTTCACCGGGATTCCATGCAAAACATTCGGTTCGTCGGGTACTTTACTAGAAGATAATGAAGGTGAAGATGAAGGAACTACCGCTCCACCTTCAGAAAAGGTAAAGTATTCGTTACCCTCCAAATGAGATATTAAAGTCGCGAGTAGAGCGGTACCAATACCTCCGCCGCGTTGGGTGGGTGAGATATAGAGCGATACTTCGAGGGTATATGCGTATCCAAGCTTTGAAGGAAACCAAGGCGTGACTGTTATGAAACCTATTACTTTTTCCCCTTCGGCTTCTTCGATATTATTGTTAACGTTATCACCGTTATCGTTAATCTGGGGGACTTCGATGGCAACGAAGAAAGGAAGCTTTCGACGGGAATGGTTGTCGGTTAGGATATTTTGGTAATGGGATTCTGGTAGTGGACGGTAGGATTTGTTGACGATGGTGGTAAGGATATAATGGTTTACTATGGCGGTTATATGGGGGATGTGGGAGGGGGTGGCGGGGATGATGTGGTATGTTGGAGCGGGTGTGTTGGGTTGTTGCATTTTCGTTTTGGGGTTTTTGTAGACGGATCGATCTCGTTACGAGGGGCGGATGAAGGAAGGAAGGAAGACGGCTTTTTTGGAATGTGGCTGCGGATGTGATAGGAGTAGCGTCAAAGCTTGTTTTTTTTTTTTTTTCCAGTCTAAGTTGAATCCGGGTCTTCCGTCCTTTTCCGAACGCTAGTTTGAAAATATGGGCACAATATTACGTTTATAGTGCTAATCGATTTAAACATGTCTCGACTTTTATACAGGTTTTTATAGACCGTTGACTTTTGAAGGTTTTCGTTGGTATTAGTCATTCTTCCCGCACTAGTGTACATGTATGGGAATTTATTCGGCGAAGTTGGAGGGATTCGAGTTTTATACGATAAAGCTAAGTGATTGTTAGTAGGTACGTAAAAATATCGAAGTTGTAGATAAGCCAGGGTGCATTGGCCAATTGGCATTAACTATCATGGTCTTGGGCCGGGGAGTTTCTTCGGTGGAGGTCCGATATATCGAAGTGATAGGAGGTATTAGTGTGTATACTATACCCTTAACTAGTCTATAAATGATTAGATGCCTCTAATTTTATGTATATATAAATTGTATTCGTAAATTTACCAAGCTAGGACTAAACATAGATATCATTCAGTTATGTATAAAAATGAAGGGCATGTGCGATCGCGATATCTAGTTGCATGATGAAGGACGGATAAGGCCATGGGCAAGTACCATTGTATTGATTGAGAAACGTGGTCTGGTATTGATCACGATATCGATCTTCAACGCCTCAATGTGATGTTATCAGCAAAAACAATCCCTAACGCACTATACTAGTTTTAAATAATAGCTACAAATAAAAATTCAAAATCCAACTATCAGGTGTATATCTATAACCTTTAAATATCCTACAATCTTCCAAAGAGTCACTCCTTGACTCCAACGGTCATGAACCCCTCGAACCCTCCAAATCCCATAATCTCAATCTTCTCATCCATAATCACGCTCTTCACATCACTCAGCCCAGCATCCCTAAACCACTTTTCCATCTGCTCGGTTTTGAACCCGTGTGGCCCATGTCTATGCTTCTTCTCCCCTCCCTCTCCGCTCTCATGATCATGCCCGTGCCCGTGTCCATGCCCATGACTGTGACCATGACTGTGACCCTGTTCCTGACCATGCGAATGTCCATGCTGTTCATGATAAACCCCGTGCTGCTTCCCCTCCGCCAAAAAGTCCTTTTGAAAATCCTTCATATGAGCATTATCATGACTATGAGACCTATAATCCGCATTCCTCCTAAGTCTCTCCTCTTCACTTGCCATCCCAGCCTCAGCAGGACTAATCACACTCCCCTCAGCAAGGGCATTTAAATCCCTTTCCAAGAATTCAATAATAACAACCCTTCCTCCGACCTTTACACGGTCCGCAAGTCTTTGTACCCCTAAAGCTGGGTTGTCGACGTGGTGTAATGCTGCCGAACAGATTGCATAATCGAAGTTTTTGTATTCTTCCTCGTTGAATTTGGCGGGGATGGATGAAGAGTCTGGGAGGAAGATGTCGGCTTCTTCGGCTCGGATTAGGGATGGTGGGTAGGAGGAACCCAGGGAGCGACGGTTGTATTCTGAGACTTGGTGGGGGTTTACGTCGAGGGCTCTGATTTGGGTGGTGTAGGGGAGGAGGGACTGTAGAAATAAATGATAAATATCAAAAATATAATATAAAAACGATATATATTTATATTTATACGCATAATCAATTATTTATGAAAGGGATTAATTACTTACGAGTGAGACGACACCGGGACCACAAGCGTAGTCCAGGAGCCTGACATCAGTGGTCGGAGGGGAAGAGAGAGCGAGCCAAGTGGCCTGACGTTCGATAAAAGATTTTATTTGTCCTGTTAGCTTTTTTTGCCAGTCGAGGGAGTCGTATGCTGAAGTTGCGGTTCTATATCGATATTATAATTTAGTTAGACTGATTCTCGATTATTGAGGAATATATGTATTAAAGAAACTAGAGACACGAGGGGAAATGCTTACTTCCAGAACTCATCGTTCCCTTGCTCAGAAAGTGGAGTAGGCATGGCGGATAATGATGCTGGACAGAAGTCTACCGGTGGGACTATAGAATGGTAATGTGTTCTCAAATAGTAATTGTAGAAAGAAAAGATGTTTTCAGGTAGAAACTGTGAAGAGCAGATCGAATTGATACTGGCCATATAAATGTCTTCAATATATAAATGCTGTGTTTACAAAGATAGAGTCTTGTTGTATTTTGGGGGGTACGAAGGGGAGGCTTATATACACATTTCCAGACCCCCTATACACCCTAATTTCTCGGACGAGATTGGGAAAAAAGAGCATACGAAGCTTCGTACGTAGTCTATAGAAGGAATGAAGGAATTTATGAACCGTATTTATCAGCAAAGAGACGAAAGGAGACTTTTCGGAGGGGTGGGTGAGGGGGGGCTTGCTGGGTTTTGTTGTAGTAATTTTCTGGGTTTTTGTGAGAACATATGCATACTATGTATGAAGGATATGAAATTAGATTTTGCAGTATGATCTAGATGAAGATAGTGCAAAAATTGGTGAGCATATTAATAATTTTATGGGTCATCTTGAGGGTCTATGTTGGAAGTCTTGATCATGAGGTGTCTAATCTACGATTTGTCGAGATGTTGAGGGGAAGTTGGCTTGGATTTGGGATTAGCTTTTTGGTGTGTGTGTGTGTGCCTGGATTCATACACGATTCACACACCCGGGTAGCAGAACTTCCGAAGTGCGAAGTCTTACTTGGAATTCAGAGTACGTAATCGATTTCTAAGCTGTCTACGGCTCTGGCCAGATGTATTTTACTAATCAGATGGTCGTCCCTTGCGGTCTATTGATCCATATGTGGCTGTATGGTTGAGTTTCTGTGTTGACGTGTGTGGCTAGTAAAGATGTGGCTTAGCTATCGCTATCGATAGAGGCGCAGCTGGTCCCTCGACATTCCAACAAACGGGAGGAAGAAGGGACAAAAACCCGCATTCCAAGTCCGACATTCCAGCCTACTTGCATAGAGGCAGCTCGTTGGGCGTTCATGGCCTTTTACAAGTACTATGCATATAAGTACTTAGTAAAAGTAGACTAATGTGTGGTGGATTCCCGGTCTTCCTTCTGGCTAGCTGGTATGACAGCGACCTTGCAGAAGGGAATTACATAGTATAGCTTGAAATGGAGATCTCAGCTGTTGGAATCCCTTTTTTGATGGCACGATGGTATTTTGTCCCCTGTCATTGATGGGACGACACGACAACGGCGCGAGTGGGTGACAGGAACGTGTCATTTCACGCTTCGTGAGTCGAGCTCGCCGATGTGCGGAAAATCAGGAAATCGAGTTCCTCTTTTTTTGTTTTATGGCAGGAGCGCGTACTAAAAGTGACCTTTTTGGTATACTTAATAATACATCTTGTACATACTACATATATACCTAGTAAGTCAGCATATACATAGTAGTATAGTATAAGGCATAAAGAATTAGTGGGGATGGTAATAGTACTCATATGACACATGTTGTGTATGCGAGGGAAAAAACGCAGATGAAAAAATAGAAAAAACAGGCTTTTGGTGACACAGAACGAAGAACGCAGACGACTGACAATGGGACATAAAATTGGGGCAAAAGTCCCTGGACCTGGAAAACTCGCCTGTGAGGAACCTGTGGGGAACTTACGAGCGGTGTGCAGAGCCGGATGTTAGTGGACAAGACGGACAGACGAGGCAGCAGGATCCGGGAGTTGGGGGAGCAGAGGAAAACGCGCAGGATCTAGTCACCTCACCGGCAGCAAATTTTATGATTGGGCAAACAATAACAAGGGGGAGAAATTACTCAAAGCGGAGGGTGTTCGGGGAAGGGTGGGATCACGAAGGCGTGCGGAGACGAGTGAGAAAAGCAAAGGGAAGTTCGATGCAGGCCAAGGGAGAAGAGACATGATTGGAGGAGAGGCGATGTAGGGGGTGTTTGGGGCTAGTTTGGGGGAAAAAGGGAAGGGCCATGGCACGGCGGGGGCCGTCTTTGGAGGGAAAAAGAGGCTCGTAGTGAAGCTGAAGAAGGGCGTCTATGACCAATGTGCGAGGGAAATAAAGGGGCTGGCTGGATCAAGTTGCACAACACGCGAAGGGACAACGCGTTGTTGGATGTCTGGGAAGGGAAGATTGTTTGTCATGGCAGACTTACCGGAAACGGCAATGCAGAAAATAATCTGGCTGGTTGGTCGGGCAGCCCAGCTTAAGGGAGCGACCGCCCACTTTGAAATTTCCCATCCTTTTAATCTCAGCTTCTCCTCTCCTTCGGCCGATAGATTTCGCAACAACCTCACCTCATCTTCCTCCAACACTTTCTCGTCCCACCAGCTATCGTCCTATCAAACACATCGCCAGTGTGAACGATAGGAACATCGACAGCTTCGTAGACATTCGTTGCCATCTGAAAAGAGACAACACATCCTATTCAGAGTTGAGACTGTGTTGCCCCCTGCGACTCTCTTCCGTTGCTGTCTGCTGCTGCTCCGTCACCAGCGACGTCGAAATTTTCTCATAATTTCGTTGCACTCATTTTGTTTATTCTTCCTTCCTTCCTTCTTTCCCTCACTTCCCTTCCTTCTCCATCGCACTTTCATCAACATCACCATCTGTCATCTATCATCTATCATCATCACCCATCAACCTTACCTCTCAATCAACCGCTGTTACTCTGCTACCAATCAATCATCACGACTTGATCAAAGACTCCCTTGCGATACGGAGTTCTGTCTTCTTCTCCCTGCTGCTCTAACATCCATCTTGTAACTGCTAAGTAACGATCACAAACTCGATCTGAACTGGTTTTTGGTTGCTGGGAACCTCTAGCAACAACATAACGAACAACTGCAACACATCTTTTTTCTCACTCCAAACACCTCTCATCACAACCATACACCTCCCTTCATCTCCATTCATCCTCACCTACCTTACTCTGAGTACTTCTTTACCATAATCCTCATTCTCATCATCATCGCCTTTACCATATTTTCATGAGTATTCTATCTACCTTCTTCTTCTTCTCTTGAACATCATCGACATCAGGATTGTCTTTTTACCTCTTTTTCCTTTGTCGGCTTCGCAACTTCGTCATAATCACCATCAGGAAAAACAACAACACATTACCAAACCGACACCACGATGTCGTCGAGTATGAGAACGCCCTCGTACCGAGGCAATTCTCGACATGAAGCTCCAGCTGGCTCTACTCCCGGTCCGATTAGGAGAAGACCTCAAAATGGCCTAATGAAGCATCTCGTTTCAAGTCCCTACACTACTACTCAAGTCGTTCGCGACAATGGTAATAACGTAAGTAGCCTGTTTCCTTTCTCTTCTCTTCCCATTTTTTCCCTCGTTCGCTCTGCGGGCTTCGCGTGGGTTTCTCGCTTCGCCTTGTGCCCACACTGCACACACACATCCACCACGGCAGAGCAAGTTTCTTTGTCCGCTCGGTTTTTCCGGGCTGCCTTGCGTTGTGTTGTGCTGTGCCGTGTGTTGTGTTGTGTTGCGTGCGTTGCCCAGCCCCTTTCTGCTGGGCCACCCAAAACACTGGAAGTCCCCGCTACGCGCTGCTCCGCCCTGTCCCTGCAGCAAATTAGCACCGACCGTTCTCCCCTCCCTTTTGGGACTAAAAACACACCGCTTTACGCGTTTATGCTTTTTTCCCCATCTTCCCATGCCCCACTATCTCTGCTCTTGATCATCGGTCGCGTCTATAGAACGTTTTATGTTGTGATATTATCCTATTCTGGTAATTCGTGCTAACGTAACGTGCTCCTCATCAGCGTTGGCTCCCCACATTACGTGGCCTTCTCCATGTGACCACAGGCACCGTTGGCACTCTTGCTACCGTCGGTGGTGTCGTTGGCCGTGTCGGAGGCGCTGCCACAAGATCGTTCTTCTCCTATGTCTCCAAGTCTACTAGAAACTACATGGGATGGGATACTGCTCCCGCCCAACCGATCAGAACTTCCTTGACAGATGGAAGTCTTCATGAAGAACAAGACCGAAGATACCGTGAGAGAGCTGCTGCCTATTATCAGAACCAAGATAGAGAAGCCGAAGAGGCTCGAAGAGAAGCTGATCGTGCTGCCGAGGTTAGAGCACTCGGTAATTCACTACAGCAAGTTTCTCCTCAGGCCCCTCAAGTTTCCGCCACATGGACAGAAGAGCTTAGGAGGACCGGTCCTGCCCACACAGTTGATCGCCAGACTGAGGATATAGTACTTGAGAAAACCTCGAAGACTCAAAAGGCTACCTCGAAGCCTGCTCGAGAACGCGGTTACCCATACCGTCAACATAAACGAAATGACAGTGGATTCAAAGCTGAATTCCAGGAAAACTTCAAATCCGACCCAAGCAAGGACGCCGAAAAGCTGGCCTTCCTTCTTTCCTACACTGGCTGGAAGCCATCATTTTTCCGTAATCAAGCCTCTGTCTTTCAACGCCTGCCAAAACTTCCGGACGACTTTGACATTCTCAGCGACACCGACCACACCGAGAACATCGTTCGCCTTGCTGAGATTATTTCTGACCGTGGTTTCCTAAAGCGCCAGAATATCGTTTGTGAGGTCACATTTGAGCCCGTTTGGGGTCGCAAGCCTGTTGGTGACGCTGCTATCGCTGCTCTTCACAAGGTCTATATTCCAGAAGACCAATTTGAACCAGAACCCTCTTATCAACCTCGCGAGTTCTCAGAGGAAGAACGTGAAATCATGAAAAACAATGGCGACTTCTCCGCTGTTCGCAACGAATTCAAGAAACAAACAATTTACGACCTTATCTTCCACACCCCGTATGATCACCCACTTCCGGCAGCTGACATTGAGCTCCCAGATGAGGAATTCGAGGTCTCTAGAGACGACCCGAGATTCCGACAACTGTGGCAGCTTCTCCCATATGTCCGTCTACCTGGAAACCGACACTTGCTCCAAGCTAACGCCAAAACACGCCTCGCGTACAAGAAAATGGTCAGCCGTCGCGACAACTGGTTCTGGAAGCTTATCCAAGAAGTCAGAAAGCGTGACCGTTATTTAGCTAAGGTCTACGACCACTTTGACTTGAACCGAAAGCGTTCTGAGATGAACTGGGACGAGTTCCGAAGAGTCCACGTCGTCCGTAACAACAATCCACCAGCAAACAAACCCGAGAAAGCTCAGGAAGTTCCCCACCAAGTTCCCCATCAAGCTGTAGATAAGCACCGTAAGATGCGCAAAGCGAGTGTCAGTCCAGAAAGACCACCTGTTCAACAATACGACCCTGAAATTCACAAAAAGCATCGAATTCGACATAACCGGGCTCAGAATTCCCGGACTAGCTCGAAATGCTGGGTCAATAAGGAAATGGATCTTTCCGATGAGGATAATTTCCCCAGCAAGAGATCCGGTCGCTCAAGATACACCGCTCAAGATGCAGAATACCAGGCAAACCGACTTGCAAGAGCTGTTGCAGCTGAGCCAAAACCGAAACCGCAGCCCAAGAAAGTTACCTTCGCTCCCGGCCACACCCTCAGGGTGTTTGAACAAGAGGACTCAGATGCTTCCCGTAACGCATCCCCAGCTGACACACACGCTAGTAAGAAGATGAAAGCTACAGATGAAACCTCTATTCGAACCGCCCAAACTTCAGCTGGGCCTGGTCAACACAAACGCTCCGGTCTTAGCATGGCCCCAAGTACCTTCACGAAGCCCAAGACTGTCGGCAAAGGGTCATCGGATCCGATTCACGCTTCTTACCAAAAGTCGTTAGTTGACGTTCCTCGTGAGTGGCGACAGCGCGATGATACTGGTACATTTTCTGCTTGGGAAGAGGATTCTGAAGAAGCAGGTGTCTTTTACGAGCTCGATATCATTGACGGAAGGCTTCCAAAGGGCCGAGGCTCATGGGAAACCGAATTGGAGCAAACTTGCGGTCCAAAACGCGTCCGTATCATCAGATCTAACGGTACCTCTCAAGACTTCGCAGTTTGGAGCCAGGATGGTATCCTCCGCGATCTCGACTGGGTTCCCGCCGGTCAACAATCCGAAGAAGAAAAGGAACGTGCACGCCTTGAGGAGGAAGTTGCAGAGTTTAAACGCATGTACCCAAATCTCCCAACTCCGGAAGTCGAGGCTCTCCCAGACCTCAAAACCGCTTTCCAAAACGGTTACACGTCGCCGAAGAACGAAGCAGAACGCATTCGCATGTATCGCATCATGGCTGCGACGAAGGACAAGGTTAAGGGCCCAAAGTTCCGAGCTGCCACAGATGAAGAAGCTGCGAAGTGGGGTCCAGATAGCACTTTTGAAGAGACGGCCCGGATGCACCAACGTGCACGGGAGATGGATGAGAGGGAGGCGGCCCTCAAGAAAGAGGAGGAGAGACTCGCCCAGTTGAGGGCTGAGTTGACTAAGGCTCAGGAGCTCCCGAATATCCTTAAGAAGCGACGACGATCGAGCGACCACTCGCCAGCCAAATCTCCAATTAAGGCTACGGAGATTACTGGCGAGTTCCCGAGATTCAATCCTTTCGGGGCAGTTCCTGCCCAAGCCGGTGGGTCGCCCACCAAGTCTTCTCGCTCCCTACTTTCACCCCCTCTTTCGAATGAAGACGACACCAGCGGGAAGGAGGAGAACACACCTGGCTCCAAGGCCAAGGCCCGTCTTACGGGCTTGTTCGACCCTGTCCAGACCCAGAAGAGTAAGCTCTCCCCATCCAAATTTGCGTTGATTCGCTGTACTAATCATTCACCAGGTTCTGGGTTTACCGTCGTCGAGGACGCGAAGGAGCAGGGCTGCGGGGACCATGTCGCCGGTACGAACGAGGTCTTCCGACCTATCGTTAATGGCGCTACGTTGCCGAGACTCGGATCGGCCGGCGACATCCCCAAGGCCCAATCCCTCCTCCCCCCGGCCCCCATCACTGCTGCCCCGGCCACCCCTTCTGCCATTACGCCTGCGGAGGCTGGCATGTTCGCCTCCGTCCGGCCATCTCTTAAGAATGAGATGAGCCTGGACGAGGGGTCGAGCATGGAGCTCGACAACACTCCGCAGTCGGCCAAGAAGATCAGGAGCCCGAAGGAGTTCGGGTTTGTGACCAGTGCGGCAACCACCCTGGCCGAAACCTTCAAGCCGGTGGTTCCGGCTTCATTCGACTTTGGGGGGGCAATGCCACCGAAGATGAGCTTCGGTGGCGACAATAAGTCGTTCGCCTTGGGGGGTCCAACAAGCAACCCCTTCGCTGGGAACAGCACGTTCCAATTTGGAACTGCTGCGGCCGCCCCATCCATCTTTGGGGTTTCGACGACGGCTGAAAAGCCATCCGAAGTGTTCACCTTCGGTGGCAACACCAAACCGGCAGCCAAGAAGGCACCGGAGGTGTTCAACTTCGGTGGTCCCAGCACCACCCCAGCCGCTGCCCCGCCCATCAACTTCGGGGTACCCAAGCCGGCCGAGAAGACGGACGTCTTCAACTTTGGAGCTCCAACCACCGCCCCATCCGCCCCCGTCATTTTCGGAGCCACGAGCAGTGCTCCCACGACCAATGCTTTGTTCGGAGCCACTTCGGGAGCAACTGCAGCTCCATCGTTCACGGCGCCGGCTTCCTTCAACTTTGGCGAAGCTACCGCGGCCCCAGCTTTCGGCGGTAACAATGGTGCAACTTCGAGTGCATCATTCACCTTTGGCTCCACTGCGACCACCCAACCGATTCAATTCGGTGCGGAGTTGCCGAAGCAGACGTCTACGTCGTTCAACGACAACTTTACGTTCGGAGCCAAGACTGAAGCACCTCCTACCTTCGGTTTTAACGCATCAAATGCTACAGCTGCCCCCGCTTCCACAACTACCGCTGCTCCAATTTTCGGTACTTCTAATGCTGCCCCCACTCTTGCTCCAACCGGTTTCCAACCTGAGTCTGCAAACAACATGTTCGGTTTCCAGCCTCCAGCTGCTCCCCATGGGCGTAATATCAAGGCCCCTGTAAGCCGTAAACCAGGCAGTGTCCGCAGCCGACGTTAAAGGAATGATACCCCTTTTTTTTGAATGCCTGTTACTACGGGTGGTACAAGCATCACATGAGACTACTTACAGAACCCGACTGTTATCCGCTTTATTCTCTTTTCTGTTTCTCTACACTCGAGCGTTTCGAAATACTTTTACTCGGAACGATATTATGATTATGGTTTTCTCCTGAAGGAAAACGACCGAACATACGAAAACGATCACGGTTATCTGACCCTCCAGAACATCCACGACGCTACCTTGTCATTCCTCATTACTTGTCTAATCACCTCGACTTCTCCGATCCCCCACTGCTTCCGCCTGCCGAGGTTATCCCAACCCACTACTTTTATTAAAAACACTGCATAACGGGCGTTTATTGATTCGACATTCGGTTTCACGATTGAAGCTGCGGTTATCCCTCGTCCCACGCCTTGATCTTTTCCGAAAAAAACCCAGCACACATCAACTTGCAAGCTTTTCTTTTCCTGCTCGTTATTTTCTGGATTATGACCCCTTTTCCCTACCCCAAATATGTACTTTAACCAGGTTTAATAATCCCTTTCCCCATACTTATGGCGTTATGAAGGATGTCCTTCCCGCTGTTTTTTTGCTCTGGCCTTTCACTGTTTTGGCTTTTTGGACTTATCCCGTTTTGCTTCTCACTTTTTTTGGTTTTCTGTTCCTCTCGTTGGTCCACATTGCATTATCAAAAGAATTATGCTTTTCCGTCGTTGCATTTGCTTCTCCCTTGCTATAGCTTCTTGCTTATAAGATTGTAAAGACCACGAAGAGGTCGTATACCCCCACCCCGTTTTTGAAGCTTACTTTTGAATTTCCCTTCTTTGGATGCCGTTTGGATTCTCTATTCTTCTCACTGTGCATTATTACTCCCATTCTTCTTGTTTTTCAAATATTTTAAGTTGTCCCTGCTGTCCTTGTTTTATTATCTTTTTTTTCTTCTTGCAAGCGAAGGAAAAACTAGTTTTGGTTTCCGCCGTCTGGTGACCGGATCCCAGGATAGTTTTTCTTGCTCTTTTGCTCTTTTGGATGAATTTTGATGCATCCCCTTTTCCCCCTGGTGGACCAAAAAGAAGTTTGTATTTGGTATGGAGAAACGGGTGGTGCTTCTCTTGGCCACTTGATATATTATATAATTGAGATGACATTTTTTTTCTTTTGAATACTCTTGAAGCATAATTAATTCGGTTCACTTGTGAACGCTTGTGAATTCGTGAAATATATGTTGCTTTTCTCGTCCACTTTTTGATAGTATTGAGGCTTGTGGTTTCGTCGAAGACAGATTGTATAGATGTACATCCGAATAGTTTGTTTGTAGTTTAACGTTTATGCAATGTATGTTAACTTGAAGATTAAGCTGTTTAGTTCAATATCGTGTGTAGTAGCTATTATATATCTCAATACTTTTGACTTTCTGCCCAATATATATCATACAGTCCATTCATAGGTGGCTCTTATATCGTGAACCAAATCTTTGAAATTTAGAGCCTTTTCAAACTATCCTCGAGCGCAGCGCTCACTTCCTCCCATTCCACCACCTTCCCCTTCCCTTCTACTCTTCTTGCAATTGTATCAATTTCCTCTTTTCCAACCCTTATAAACCAGCCATCCTCCGTGACCAAGGACAAAACGCCGCCTTTTAGCCCTTCCAACCCTTTCTCGTCCGCCAACGTTTTCCTAATCCAAGCTTCATCCTTTCCAACCCTGTGTCCTAGACTTCTCAGGCTAATTTTACCGGTACCTTGGGTTTCAATGCTAGATATGCATTCCCTCAGTTTGTTTATATATGTCCGGTTTTTCTCCTCTTGTTCCCTCCTCTCTTCCTTTTCTTTCAGTTTTGCCTTTTCGATCTTGATCTCTGCTAATGCACGACGCTGTTTTTCTGCAAATATTGTTTCTTCGAGGTCATTTTCTAGTGCTTCTTCCCGTTCACGACGTTCGCGGGCTTGCGATTGAAGGAACTCGGAGTATGCTCTATAAAAAATTATGTGAGTTAGTCCTGCAAGATCTTTCTTCTTCTTAGAGAAAATCTCGAAAAGAAAAGAAGAAGAAAAAAGGCAAACCTTCGACGATCCCTCATTTCTAAATTCCTCGCCTTCTTTTTCCCGACTATACCTCTATTCCGAGGTTGTCGAGGAACACCACCGGCATTCGCGGGTCCGGCTTCTACTTGTTCTTCTCCATCATCACCACCTGCGCCTCCGGCTTCAGCGAGGAGTCCGTCGACGTCTACATCTTCACCAAAGTCTTCAGCTCCTAGTGCTCCTTCATTAACATCTTCCGTTTCTCCTTCCCCTTCTTCTTCTTCTTCAATTATCTCTCGTGGTTCATTGTTTACAGGAGCTCTAATAGGCGGAGATGTGGGAAGTCCGGCTCCCGCGCGTAGCGAGTCTGCACGGTTTAGGAGGAAGAGGATCAGACCGCCTAGGAAGAGGAATGGGAGTAATATGAAGAAGTTTTTGATATAAGGGTGTTGAAGGAGGGAGGTAAAGGGCGTTTGTGGGGTTAGGGGGGGTGGGGAGGGCATGGTGGGTTCGGTGGATGCATTACATTTGGGTCTCTTTTTTTAAGTTAACCTTTGTATGGGAGATGGGATGGGATGTTGGATATTTGTGTGGACAACGCATGATTTTGATGGGTGTGGTGTTAAGTTGCTATATTAGGTACGGTCGGACCATGTAGGGGCCTTGAGCGACGAAAATAGGGTCTTTGATTGGTAAAAGGGCGGTATTTAATAAATTAGTATACTATTCGTCCCTAGCTTTAGAGGTATACATAAGTATACCCCAAAAGAATCTAACGCTACTGGCACCGGACGAAGTAGCCAATCAAGGGAAGGCTGGCAATCCAAAGTCTTTTACATGTCCAGAATTTTTAAACCAAGTATGACCAAAACCATCCCGTTTTTCCGTCCAAACAGAAGGCGCAGGAGCAAGAGCAGGAACAGGAACAGGGCGAGACCCAAACGAAGAGGATTGTACTACCCTATCCTTCTCCGCCTCGGTCTTTGCTACCACTCTTTTCTCCTCCCTCTCAACAAACTCTGCCCATCCAATCATTTCCAAAACCACCCCAAACTCTCGACAACTCACAACCCCATGTTCATCCTTTCCGATATCAACGGTGTGAATAACCCATTTACACTTATCCGGTGTTTCGTCGGTATCGCTGTTTAGGGTTGATATGTAGCTTTGTAGGGCACTTAATGCTGCTTGACAGAATTCGGGGAGTAAACCTATTGTGTCCCTTTCTAGTGGTGGGTTATCATCCGTATTGTTGTTATCATAGTCGTTAGAGGATTTTAGAAATGGTACGGAGGGGATGTCGAAGGCGAAGCAGTTTCCTTGGTCCCAGTCGCCGTCTGGGAAAGTGTTTTTAAAGATCACATATTTGTAGGGGAGGTAGACTTGATTTCTGGGCTCGGAGGAGGTTGGGGTAAGGATTGGGGGTACCATTGTTTGTTTCTTTTGTGGAAGTTCGACTTTGAGGCTTTGTTGTATGTCGAGGAGTTTATAGAAGTGGACAGGTGTATGATATTTGAGGGGTCAAAAAGGATTTTCGTAGGAGAAAGACAGATAGTTATAAGACTCTTCTTAAACTAGGAAAACGTGCGGAAGACTGGAGAGGGTTTATACCGTACCATTTTTGGGTACAAGCTAAGTACTATATACCAAATATAGTATGTATACAAATTTAGATCTATCGTCATAAAAAAATAAAAAAATGAATATTCACTCAAGTGTCCCATCTAATTCGTGGCCTGAAAATCTTTCAACTCCATATTTTTTATCCATATATCTCGCACAGTCGTAAGAAATCCTCTGCTCGATCTCACAAAGCTGGAATATTACAGTAAATTTCTTTTCTGGCCCGCTTGTTTCTTCACCATTTTTATATGTAAATGGTGGTACTTGCGCATGTGGTATAGATATGAATTTGACACGCCATTGATGTCTCGGTAGAAGAGTTTTGAGACAACTATGGCTGTTGAGTATATGAAGCATCCAGAATATAGCGATCCAAAGGGGGGGCGTTAGAAATCGCGCGTGATATTTTACGTCGAAACGTCTGAAGTATAAGAGGTCGCCCGTGGAATTATCGGTTAGTTTGTGACCGTATGGGATTTGAAAGATTGGAGATTTGGGATGATTTGAACAGGTGACGATGAATTTTTGAGAGGTTGAGGATTTTGAGAAGGAAGCGACTTTGAAGAGATGGGGTTTGAAGTGTATATCGCAGACCATGGTGGGATATTTGATGCCTCTCACATCGTTTGGAATATTTATTATATTATAATTGTATTGTACTATAGAATGTTATCCGGCCTCGACATGATTGAAATCATGATTATAGTGTAATTAATAGTCTATGTTAATATGTCAGATATCTAGATACTAATGAATAGCTCCAAGTTTTGATAAAAGCACGTGGCCTATAGGTTTTATAGACCTAAGGTCCGCAAGCAGCGAAATGAATACTTTGTTAAGTTTTCCCTAAGTTTCTTGATGTTTAAGTTGAGCAGATTTAAGTGTCCTTATATATAATTAGGAATGTGTTCATATGGCATATTTTTACAGTCTTTTCGAACTACCTAAAGACAAAGGTATATCTGCTCATGTTTTTATATACCCAAATTACATTTGTTTTTTGATACTTATTTCGGGTCAAGATCTTTCAGGGACTCTACGCAGATCCAGGCCAGGCTCGATTCGCGGATTCGACACGCCAAGCGCTTTTATAATATAAGCTTACAAGTAATCGGGTTATATCATATGCCAATATTAATTATGAGACAGAAAATTAATACCGGATTTTGGAAGTAGGCAGCAAATAAAACCACGAGTTTTCCCATGCAATATCATGTGCCAACCTATTGTGCCAATTGTGTGATGATTCGGCTCGATTCGATCAAGAGAAATCCGGGGCTGGGCCTGTGCAAACACTCGAGTACTCATAAGTTCCCTGAAGATCTATTCAAATCCTTTCTCTTTGTAAGATATAAAGTCTAATACCTGAAACTATCTATCTTTGTCGTAAGGTATATAAAGAAACCAAAAAAAACTTTAGTTTATATATCGATCTATTGACTATCAGATATACTCTCTTCAAATGGCTCCCACCCGGTACCCTCCCAGCGCCATACAATTGTATACAAATACGTTACCGTCGAAAAAGACCCCGAAACAACGCAAAACTCCGAAAATGTGCCAACATTCGCGGCCTTCGACTCCCTCAAAGATCTCATCCCCGTGAAAACTAGAAGGACACTGCTCGAAAGAATGACAACCAACGATCTAAAAGCAGCCAAACGGGTTATTAAAGTAATTAACGAAGAAGAGAAATTACTTTCTAAAAGAAACTGGGTATAAATATTTTCGATATTATTTGGTTAATATCCTTATATAATTATTGCTGATCATGCACCAAGATATATTATAATTAAGCGGCTAGCTATTATGTTCTTAAGCCTTTAATGTCTGGGTTACTTACATATATCGATGTTACTTTCTCTCCTAGATTTAAAACTGTTGTTATATCTAAAGCGTAGTTTATCGGGTTACGTTAGCGTTGGCGTAGACGATCAGCGAAAAAGCAAATGTTACGATCCATGTTTCAGAATACTCTCAATTCATCTATAAAATTCAGGTTAAAACCAGACCAACCCCCGTGACCCCCGAAAAATAACAATTACGATCAATATAATTAACGTCAAAAGCCGGTACCAATACAACGATCTCCAAAAACCTTCATAATGTCCGAAGCAGGGCCAGCTCCGTACAAATACGTTGTTGCGAACTTTGAAGGGTTCGAGTATTGGAAGGCAAGGGAAATAAAATACTCCTCTATTGACTGCATCAACGACCCTACCCCCGAGAATTTCAAACAGACTTACCTCCATGAACTATATGACTACGACCTCGAGTTTGTGCGGGATACTATTGCGCTCGTCAACAAAAACGAGAAGCGACTTCAAGGCACTGGATATAGCTATTATTTTTCGGGGTTAAGCCAATTGCCTCCCGAATCTAAGACGAGGCATACGTATAGTCGTACTATATTCAAGCTTTATTTGAAACTTGGAAGACCTCAGGTTCTACCTATAAGCAAACCTTCCGAGCATTTACATGAAGTATCGAAGGATGCTTGGGATACATTGACAGGGATGCACACCCCTGCTTCCACCATTTCATAGCTAGCTTTCACGATCAAATGATTTATCTTAGTCTCAATGCTTTCAATTAAGATGAGAATGTAACCCTGAATACCGAGTATTTAAAAGTTCTCCTGGACATATCTTCAGTATCACTATCGATTTTAACATGTTCAGTTTTTTCTTAAACACTTTCTGTTTTTGCAGATATCAACGCCGTGCGGCATGGCTACTATCTTTTGCAATATTCCAATGTATGTACCAGAGGGATTCTTGGCCCCCGACATATCTGAGCCAATTTTCCAAAGAAAACAACAGCTCGACGCCGAAAGTTATACGTGTAGTTAATATAATCCGCAATCTATATATTCCTCAGATGCCCATATTTTATTGCTAAGTTTAGAATTCCGAAGGGTCAGCCGAGTTTATCAGTAAGATAATATATGGTTGGTCACTGTTGCACAAATCTATTTCCTTTCCGAAAGAAAAAGGGTGATATGGCTGGTGGGTGACACCGTCGATATATCGATATCAATTGATCAAATCGATCAACTACCTCACTCCCGAGCTTGTTCCCATTTCAATCCAAAATAAAAATTTGACATATTTTAACCCTTATCTTATCAAGAAGGAGGTGAGTGTCATCGCTACTGCCCCATCGTTCTAAGGCTTTTAGATTGATTCAAATTTTCTGAAGCAAATAGAGCCCTCGCCATACTAGTATATGGTACTTATACTCCACTCCAATTGATCAGAACACTACCAGACTCTGCGTTTTCAGCTTCCACGAAACACTCCACAAAAATGCCAACCCTCAAAGTCCCATTCCCATTCAAAATGGGAGTCTTCACGAAAGACACGGCAGACAACTGGTCTAAATGCTCGGTCACCATCTTCGACTGCGTTGAAAACCCACTTGCTCACTTGCTTCCAGAGCGGAACGGCCAACCCCATAGCGGACACATTGAACTCTCTAATTTCTGCGCCGATGCCCTCAACCGGCTGAACAGTGTTATATCCTCCCTCAACGACAACGAAAATAGAACTTTACACGGACTTGGGTATACATGGATCATCAATTCTGTGCATATCGACTGGGAGTATCGTCCTGAAAGGCAGTTTACTGTGGTCTTCGAGTTGAATAATGCGCAGATGGCGTTTAATAAGGCGTTTGGGAGTTATACACTTAATAATGTTGATGCTTCGGGTGACTTGACACCCGATACGGATCGATGGTCTGAGGTTTCGGAGACACTCGCCTCTGATGATTCAGTTTCACTGGAAAATTAGGAAGTGTGTGTGTGTGTGTGTTAACTTCATGCTTTGAAAAAGATTCCCTGTGTTTCTCATATCTACCTATTAATTTCAGGCCCAGAGCTTCGTCTATATAGCTGAACGATTACATTTGTATTTATGTTTACAGTTACTTGCCAAACATTGTTATTAATATATTTCAGACAAATCAGCTAGGCCGATGTATCCTGGGATCTAACGGGGAAGGCTATTTTGTAAACCTCTAGAATAACACATATCTTGGCTACTCTTAGGACTCATGACTAGGTCGAAGGCAGTTACAGGATAATGTTATATGGTATTTTCTACCTACAGGCCCGAAATAATCATCTCCATAATGTTGCATCCCTAAACAGCAATCAAGACTTTAGACTTCCTGAAAAGCTATTTAACAATATGTATACGAGCACTATTGGGAACCATCATCGCCAGAATCCGACATGGTAGAAGCTGTAGGAGTTTCCATTCCAAAGATATTAATCGGTGCAAGACCGTTCCTGATTCTATACTCAGCTACCGTTTCAATTATTCCGCGTTTCAAGACTAGGCAAAAAGTATCCCCACGAGTCCTTCGGGACCAGCTGCTCAGATAGTATTTAAACCTCGTGTCACGGACTTCCGGACTACTATTAATCTCATCGGTTAACCGACCCATAATACTGAAGTCAGATGATCCGAAGAGAAAAAAGTCCGTGGTGATAAATGTTTCCTTTAATTTCCCTAACATCGAGTCATCGAGACAGTCGAAAATGATCGGCTGTTCCGGACTGCCCCAACTGAAGAATGTGATCACTAACTTAAACGGAGCGGGCACAGTTTCAGTCATACTGTTTTTGGCAAATACGCATCTTGCGTCTCGGTTGCAAACGAAAGTATCTTAAATGAATATAAGGCTCTCGGTGAATGTAAAGTGATGATAGGAGTGATGGATAGTGTTTCGGAACTGTAATAACGTTGCGTGCTACTAGTTGCTCTAACCTGGGTGCGGTAGCCGTTATAAATCAGGTATCTATTAATATATTGAGCTTATCCGAGCCTGTTTATCGAAATTCTGGTCCACGATAGAGCCTCTATAGCCCTAAGATCTTCAACAAACCCTCTAAAAATTACTAGCGGAATATTATAAGTAACTGATTGGTCTGGACCTAAATCTAGAATTAGTTTTCCCCGACCCAATCGACCGAATATCAAGCGTGGTCTATCTAACAGGAATGAATATTCCCTATCGCTCACTATATATCGAAAAAATAAAAGGCTATGTGGCTTGGGACGGAAATTCGCTTTTATTGAAATGCTATATAAATCTATCAGTATGGTATACATTTCGAACAGGCTTAAGCTTCTAGAAGCTTTCTAAAATCCTATATAGTATAGGTATGGGGGGCCGGTTTCTTTCACTGTCCCACTGGGACCTGCTATAGCACTGGAGCTTGATCGGGTGGGCCATTCTCAGGGGCAGGTCTGGATGGTAACGGGGTCTCACTCCGGCTGGGAGCAACTCCAGCAGTATCAGGGCTATCTCAATTGTCTGATTAGACAAGCTGAATCAATTGTCTGATTAGACATTTCAGCTTGTCCGTCGCTTCTCGGGTTATAAGCAGTAGTGAAGCACTGTTTTATTCCTGCGGATTTCATAAAACCCTGCCAAAGTTGTGAAAGGAACTTCGGAACTCTGTCTGAGATTATATTCTCTGGGAATCCCCATTCACAGAATACCCCCAAATGAAGTGCTTCTCCCGATCGGCTGGCAGTTTAAAGGGATAGTTTCTCTAAACAACTATGATCGTCATACAAGCTGTCCCGTAATACAGGAATATGTATAAACCACAAACAAACGGACTATAGAAACTTCCAAAAAATTGTCAACGTCTAAATATTGGCGAGATATTCAACCAAGTTAGGCCAGGGAGGAAACTAACTTGTCTTCAACGCCTCAAAGGCGATCTCGTCCCCGACCGATCATCCAAATCCGAATACTCATCAAAATACGCATTCCGCTGTCCAAGCTTCAGTGACAAGCAAAACTTATTACCAAGATCAGTAAGAACGCCCCAATTCTGCAAGAAATATTTCAATTCCGTTCCCACAAGTTCCGGACCATCATTAATATGCTCAATGACCCTGTTGATATATCTCACGTATGAAATATTGTAGTCGTTGAGTCCGAGAAGATTTGACCTTTGAGGATCCTTTGGTAATGGATCTTCGAGACAGTCGACGGTCTCGTATCCATCGGTTAGACCCGCTTGGGTGTCGACTACTACGAGTTTGTAGAGTCCTGGGAAGTCGGGTTCATCGAAGGAGGCAGGCATTTCTGGGTCTTAATTTTGGTCGTCGTAAGGTGTGGTGATTGGAGGATCTTTTAGGATTGGATTCAGTCAATGGGAATGGTTATGGGTGGTGAGTTTGCTTGACCTATTTTTTGGGCTTATTAGTACTATTCTAAATGAAGGATAGATCTTGCAATTGAAAGCATACAAAGGAAAGAAGGAATAAAGAAGAAGAGAAGAGAACAAATGGGGAGGGGTTATGATTTTGACCTACCGATTGATGAAATATTGTAGCACTTCCAAGATGGTGTCGATTTACAAGTTTATTTCAAGTATACAAGCCTGAGGCCCTAGATTATATACGGCTAACTACCTAACCTAGGTAATTACACATTAATATCGATGTCGATATATGAGCAATTTCTGGGTCTTCATCATATTGTATCAGACCCATCGATCTCTTCTAGAAACTTGTGAATTATGCGCTTAAAAATCAGTAAATGGGGGTTTATCAGGCTAGCTTTGATCCGAAGGAGATCTCAAGTTCATGGAATTCATTGAGATATTTACCTTTGTCGATCGTATTGGTGAGAAGGTCTGATCTGGGAAGAATCGATATATCAATCTTATGACGAACTGAGAATCAAGACAAAGACGTAGATAAGCTAGGCCAATCAAACAAGGAAAGAAATTAGATATTCAATTAGAGCTCGATGAGCTATTGTATTTCTCTGTCAATATATATATATATATCTCTTAGAAACCAAAGCTCTTGTGCCACGTTGTTTTTTAGAGTCCGGATACCTCTTACGTTGTGTTGGATTTTAAGCTGGCTTAGAGTTAGACAATGATATTTAGGCCGGTTAT